CTGTACTTCCAACATGCAACCGATGCGCAGTTCGGATGGTCGATGAATTAGTATTAGACACAACCGAATCTGTCGGGCTGCTCGGGCGATCATGTCCAGCGGGCTGAGCAGGAAGCGCAAGAGTTGCTGGCTGCAAGTTTGAAGGCGGTAGAGGGGGGGATTGCACTGCCTGACGTTCCCGAGCAGTAGCGGTAAGATTAAGTGACGACGACGAGCCATTGATAGCGACTAATCTCCGTTTTAGGTCTTCCAGTGCAGGGTTAGTCGCTCCATGGTCAACACTGGAGGCCCTGCTCATGCGTGGAGTACCGAGGCGTCCTGGGAAGTCACCTGGCCTGCGTGAATAGGATGCCAAGCGAGAAGGTCTGGGCGTTAGATCGCTCATAGAGGACTTTGATTTGAGGAAGACAGTCTGGGGAACAACAGATAACTTCTGCAATTCAACGTCTCCCATCGAACGAAGATTCCTTTCAAATTCTAGTTCTGTTTTTGGTCTGGATGCGAAACTACCACAAGTTCATTAAAAAGCTAGCGGATATTAAAGAGAAACCAACCTTGATGCATTATTAGCCAGCTTGAGGATGTAATCCCGCATCGCCGTGAGCTTCGCCTCATCAGCGGATGTCATACCAAGGTTCTGCAGTTTCAGCAATTGCACTTCGTCCCTTTTGCACAAATTAGCTCCGCGGAGGCCTGGAAACCAAGAAACTCACTCTTCTGACTTGTTACGTCCAACGGCCGTGCTTCCTCCCTTCCTCATGGAAACTATGCTTTCCCTCGGGGATTCCACCTTGGTTGCTGGTCTACGATTTCCCCTCCAAAAATTTGTTTTCTCTGCTTTCATTGCCCATTGGACAGCGCCATCAAAAACGGGACGTGGCAACTGCAAATCATGAGCAGTGAACCCAGGTCTATGAAAATCATGCTTACCGGTGACTTCATGGCCAACAAAAGACTCTGTTCCTCGACCTCTTTCACATCCGAACGCAGCAGATGACGCAAGGAAGGGTACAGGATGCACCACACATCACTTTGAGGTAGACACTTCGCTGCAGCCGCAATAAAGGAAGCTGCACCTGAAGTTGCACAAGCTGTGAGTGTCTTGTGGATCAAAAGGATGTGTAGACCATACCCTGCCGTATCCAAATATTGGGGTGGTAGAAAAACGGGAGAGCGGCGCTCATTAGCTCCCAAATTCGCATCTTCTGAAACAGACCCAATTCGCAAAGGCTAGTGAGGGCAGCGAGTACCCGTGCTACTACAGTTTCTTCCACATCTGGAACCAGAAGTGTCAGGAACATTCCATCATGAGTGCAGTGACATTTACCAGAAAGTGCCTGTACCATCAACGGCAGAATATATTCATCTAGGCTCCTACCTCCAGCACATGCCGCGACATCAACAATGCTTTCAAAAAACGCGTGACGGAGAAGCCAGTCTCGATCGTTCAAGTACGTGATCATATGGCTCAAGACGACATCGTTCGTTCTTTGACTGCCAAGAAAGACGCAAAGCGCATTGATATTGTGCAGTACCGCTCTCTTAACAATGGGAGAAGGATCCATGAGAAGCGTCGACAACTGTTCCTGGATAGAGGATAGAAGGTCTTGTTTCATGACATCGTACGATACCTATCAACAAGACTTAGATAAGAGGAAAGGCAGAGTGTTCAAGTGGCTTGCCTCGAAGTGTATTTCCTCGTATTCTTGTCTGTCACCATTGATCCCAGGAGAAACACCATGTGCCTTAAGGGCTTGCCCCATTTCGAGGTAGCGATCGGCAGTCTGAGCTAGGGGGGCAATGCACTGCGCATACATTGCCCGAACCGACACCTCTGGGTCTTGCACAAGATAACGCACATTCGGAATGATATACTCTGGTATAATTGATGCATTCGAGGGAGTAATGACATTGACTTGTGTCAGCTGCAATTTATTTATTTGTGGGCACGGCGTAATTGGAGAAATGAAGGACACGCACAATCTGAACAAGCGTTCTCACTGCTGCTGCCCTGACCACTGCAGCCTCGTCACGCAACAGCTCTACGATGTATGGCACGGCCCGATCAAGCTTGGCCTCATCAGTCAGCCGAGTCGATAGAGTGAGTAATATATCTAAAGCACGGAGGCGAGATGAAGGGAGAAGGCAGTTGCGGATATTGGCTAAAACGAGGGAGAGAAGTATAAGTGCGGGACCATCTTCGGCAGGAGTTGGATGTCGATTTGAGGGATGAGAAGGAATATGCATGGAGACGGGAAAGACATCCTACGAGCAATGTAAGTCGATGTATAAATTTCAGCTCGCCTAGCGCTAAATGCAAAATATACCTGGAAAGGTTTGGACGGTCCAGTAACATTATTGCTGAACTCAACCCTGACATCCATCACAGTCTTCTCGACGTCTGTGTCGTTGAGGTATGGGTCTACATTCTCATATTCTTCCCAAAGTCGCTCCAATCTGTGGTCACTATCACCAGGAAGTACACTGCCATTCCCAGTCGTGCCAGCAGCTGTTGTCACTGTTTCTTTACTTGGCACTTTGATCGTTGTGTTTGAAGTGGCTGCTGGAAAATAGGTGGACGGAGTAGCATTTGACATGGAGAATGAAGCGGAGGGGAAAGGGAGGGAAGAAGGACGTTCGCCAACTGAAGCTACATACTCATGCAAGAAAGAATAAAAACACTCGGGCAAGACATTCCCTCGTGCACCCGCTAGGAGCGTATCAAAGGTAGGTCGTGCAGCAGGATCCAATGAAATCATCTGTCTGACCATCGACTAGATTATAGAAGACATGTAAGCTTTCAAATAAACTTGGCACTGGTCATTACTCACTCGTATACCTTCGTCGCCTATTGCCAAAAGTTGAGCTTCCACGCTATATTCCCCCTCACGGTACTTGAACAGCTGGCTAAGCGAGAAAAGAGATGCGCCCTCGAGAAACACTTCCGCGATGACACAGCCCAGACTGAAGACATCCATCGCCTCAGTCACCATGGGTTCCTTTATTTCACCTTCCTCATTTGCCCATGCTTTCCTTGTTTCTTTCTCCACCTTATAGAATCGTTCTGGAGCGACGTAACAAATCCGCCTTCCACTAGTATCGAAGAAAAATGAGAAATCTGAAGGATCATCTAGAGGAAGTCGCGTAGGTTTCAAAGACCCAGAAAAGTCGGTCACGTAGATCCAATTTGACGACGTAACCAGGATGTTTGTCGACTTGATATCTCCATGCGGTGTTTTGTGCAGGTGTGCTTGAGAGAGTGCGGTGAGAAGCTGGTAAGTAATCCACTTCTTCTCAATAAGAGAGAGAAATGGACGAGTACTGCGTGAATGAGCATAACAATTAAGACGTGCGTCTCGGGTCGCACCTTATACGATCATACAAATTACTTGCGGCCCATTGACGAATGAGATATCCTGCTTTCTCTGTCTCAAGGAATGTTTGATACGTGTAAATATTTGGGATGTCCAGTAGAGCTTCCCTATCCGCTGCTCGAATTCAGCAAGTTGCACATCGTGCCTTGAAACTACGTACTCTTCAGCTTTCTTTGGTAGGTCCTGAGACTGATTGCAGGGTCTTGTTTAATGAATATCTTGACAACAAGGTATCCATTTCTGTGTCTACATTTGACTGTCTTGAGGAAACGCGCCTGATTAAGTCTGCGGAGATGAGCAAGAGTGGACGCGCATGTGAGGGCTGTATAGGACGACGACTCACCCCTTGTCATAGACGATGTCCCCTCCTAATTCGGTGACGAATGAATCTAATGCTCCACTTGTCCGTGTAAGTGTGGAGCCTGACTGCACATTCCCCATCTCTAGGCCTAAGTTTCTCGATTGATATTAAGTGGGTTGGGAATACAGCAACTATCCAGACTCCAAAGGCTGCAGCGCAGTTTCAAGGCTTTATTCGTTATGCTTTGATATTATATTTGCAAATTAGATGCCCGAATAATTCGTATAGTATCCCGTAGACCGTCGTGTCTGAAATGTCCACCAGCGTGACTCGTCGAAGAATCCAATCCAATAGAGAGTCGGGTCAGATTGAATGATGATTGCAAAGTTAGTCGTAACGCAATAGGTTGGAGATACGCGTAGATTATCTGCGTTCTGACAACGAGTGAGGACAGCTGGTGACAGTACTAGATGACGCAGGCTCAGAGAAGTGGCAGAGTTTTCCGAATTCCGACATGTGACTATTTTGCTTCCGGCTTTAACGAAATCGACTGTAACTCTCAAGCAACTTGAACTTCTCTTTCACAGATCACGGTAGCGTCGACGAGTCTCCAATATTCAATCCCTGACTATTATGATGCTGTGATTATAGGTTCATGTCGACCAGTTCGCACATTTGGCAATGCAAATTCTGTTTTGCTAACTGACTAACGCTGCTAAACACATTTCACGCACTAACTTGAAGTACTACCGGCCACTACCTCCTACCAACAAAACCTCAACCACACCATGCGCTGTTAAAGTCGATGATGTATTACTCAAAACAGAAGCTGGGTGCTGATCATTGCTTACACTTTTAAAGCCCGTGTTGCCGTTATGATTGTTGCGGTGCTGGTAAAGCATCGTCAGGGTCCCTCAGGCTCTTGTGCCCTCCGTCAACTTTGCAGTCATATTATCAGATGGCACGGGCTGAGTTTCGATAAGCGGCTGGCTGGTATCTTTCGTCCGTTCCATCTCCTTTTTCATCTGCTCGTCAAAGTGATCTTCATCAAAAGATTCCCGGCAACATCCTTGCGGACCGCAGCATTTGGCGTTAGCGCCAAACGCATCTGTTCAAGTAATGAGTTAACGAACTTATGTTGCACCGAGTTCCTTTAGCAGTTGTTGGCAATATTATGCCTGTATAAACATTTTGGTCAACGAATTCAAATCGGTGGAACACATTTTGGCGTACAACAACCTCCGCACAGAGAACCCAAGCATCCTGCGTCTACCGTGACCATGACCGGTAAATGTGAAGCAATGGACAAAGGGCCAAGGGTCTAGTAGATGATGGAATTAGGTGCCCGCGTATTATTACGTTGTTATCCCATTGGCACTAGTACTCCTAAGTACGTAGCTCTGATTTACCCCGCTGAGCGGCTGAGCTAAATGATCGTTTAGGCGAAACATCGAGGAAGAGGGGAATTTCCCAAATCTAGTCCACAGATTTATGGTCATTGTACAATCGATGCGTATTCAACGGGACTGGCTTGTCTGTGTCTGTGAAGCTTTCATGCCTTCAGTAGGTGCAGGTTGAGTATCAAAAAGTCGTCCAGCAGCAGCCTCTCTGCGTTCCGCATCTTCCTTGAGTTGTGTTTCAAAATTGTCCTCGTTCAAAGCCGACTCGAAACAACTATCACAGCACCCGCGTGGGCCACAGCAGCATTTGCAATTAGCGCCTAATGCATCTAAGTATCCAAAAAAGTATGCAGTGTAAGTCGTAACCGATATGAACGACACAATCACTGGCAAGGAAGACTCACGGGTATCGCACCATTGCTGGAGCGAAGTCAAGATAGCCACACCTAATTATTGGTTGAAGTTTAAGGTAGATGCACGATTAGAACGGTTTGACTCACAGCAAAAAGTGCATGCGCTATCTGATGGGATGTTGGACATGAAGTAGATGTTGTTGTGTAGCGCGCAAAGGGCAATGATAGGAAACAGAAGTATCTGGGATAGACCGTACTCTATGAAGCGTGGTACTTACATAGCGAGGGTTATAACGTTACACACCAATGCGTACTAGTTGCGCACTGCCTTGCATAGTCAGAAGGAGCCTGAGGCATGTGAAGACACTGGCTTCTGCCGCTAGCCTGTATGTAGATGGTTCGCCACAAGTTCACCGTCTCTGAATCTAGCGTGTGAATAACGTGCTGGCCCGGCCCGTAACCGAGTAAACTTCATGCCAATTCATGCGATCAACTCAACAGTGTCTCAACTTGAACTCAGTAAACATTCTGTCTATTTAACCACTATGATATCCGATGATGGCGCAGAGGCAATCTGGACGTTTGCTCAAGCATTCACATCCTCTTTCCAAGCGTCGTGTTCTGGTAAAGCCCTTCGATTTATACCGGTGATATCGACGCTATCATAGTTCGTAGAACTTGCCTCCCGTCTCAAAGCTGCAGAGGCAGATTATGTGCACTCTATAGCTGGAGAAATACAGGCTCTCAACAAGCGTTTGACTGAAGCTACGGGGAGGCTTCCAAGCTATGATCAAAGACAAAATGAACTGGTGTGCGGCGTGCCTTCTGTCTGATTTTGATATCTGAACTAACCAAACCGGAAAGCAACTCAAAGCGTTAGAGAAGTCGCTCGAGGAACTGCGTTCATCGACCGCGGGGAAAACAAAATTTGCTTTTAAACGGAAGGTCAAGATACCAGCATCAGCATCCGCTGAGACCGCAACGCCACCTGCTCGAGCAAATGCACCAGCGATACCTACGACAACAATATCTAGTGCCTCCAGAACGATATCCGATCAATCCAATTGCTACCTCTCTAGATCGTGTCTTCCTTGTTCCAGCTCATCCACACATCACATAGAGATGTCTATAATCAGAATATCGAACAGCGTCTTAAATCTTCTTACGACCACGAACGAGTCAACCCTGTCTGCTAATACTGCTTTCCTTTCGGCGCTTCACATCCGCGACATACAGAATACAATTCTCATTCTAGGGACCGTCGATGGTAGCATCATGTTGCACAACTTGATAAATTGCGTGGTTGTTGTTGAATGTCACCAGGTAGGGTTATATTATCCACGTATGTTACAATTGCGCTCACGACTGGCAGTTCAGGATGCACAATTCTACTGCCATCGATGCCTATCTTGAAATTACATCAAATCCCATAATCGAAAGTTGTGATCAAGTGAGGTTCGGCGTATACCCGGGCGAGTTGAAGGTCCATTTTTCCCCACTATTCCACCTATTTAATTGCCTGAAATGTCTACGTCACCATAGACAACCACTGATCAGCAAGCTCGGGTCACCAGAGAACATGCCGGGATCCCTTTCTCGCCTCAGGACTTCTCGCACATCCGCGCCACTCCATCACCTAATTGGAGAACGCTAGAAGAAGACGAATTGGTTCGTGATTGGCCCCTCTCAGAGACCAATTATACTGCTCAACTCCAAAGAGCACTACCCCGTCCAAAAATTTGATGCTTTACGCGCGTGAGCACTAGTGGTGAAGAAGAAGATGCCGTTGTGAACCATTGGGTAATTATGACGATGTCTGGTCAGATCATAGATGTACTAAATGGAGCAAGTCCCTGTGACTTTTTCTGGGGACCTCCTGCCATTTCCGAAGTCACCTACGATGTCTGGCTACAAGACTAGCTCTGATAAGTAACATCGAAGGTACCAATGAAAGCAGACTATTATCAAGGAGAAACGACTGTTTTCCTATCATATGGTCTGATTAGGGGAGACTATAGATTATTCGGTTTGGGCATATAAAGGTGCTGCATACTGAGCAGAGTATCCTTTCAGCTGGTATCACACCAGCGCCCGTGCTGCCGAATGACGCCATCCTGCTGCACATCTCAGTCACGGTTGGACATTCAATGTCAGTTACAAGGAAAAACCAACTTGCTAAGATGTAATTGGAGCGGTGGAAGGAGGAAAAGAACGCGCGAAGATGGAGAAGCGTCGGCTTGCAAGTGGAGAAGTCGTCGAGAAGTGAGTTGGAGGCGCCGTTAACTAAACCGGTAGCTGCGGAGGGCACTGCTACTGACGAGCTTGATATCCTTGATATCGATGGTGACGAGCACTATCTAAGATCCCTATTAAGGCTGGCTCAACTGGTTATCAAGACATTCTACTGATCCTTGCATTAGCATGGTCATTATATATCTAAACATGACTGTTATATCAGAACGCGCGAGTGTTGACTTGAGATGGTCAAGAATATCAGTCTATACCACAATGATCCCTTGCAAATGTGTCATTGACTCTTCATTGCAGTCTAGATGTGCGTTTATGCATGCATATCCATAAAGCAGTCAAATTCATTGGTGTATAAATAGTATTAGAAGCAGAAATATATATTCCCATTTAGTTACAACAATATCGCGAACTCGTGAGTTCACTGATGAAGATGAGGGAAGGTAGACATTGGAAAATTCAGGATGTGGATGGATACTATGGGGCACAGTACACAATTGATGGGAGCTAAAGATGTACGAAGGCTAAAGGCAACGAGCGTAGCTCGTCAATATTCAATTTGAATGCAAGTCTAAAAACAGCTGTCGCCGTGGGTAACTTCAGCGCACGTGACCGAACACGGTCGCGACTGTGCCTGCCCTGAATTCGTGTTGGTTCGATTCGATTGTTGAAGCTTGAAGACCTGTTGTGTTTTCTAAATATCTGATGTGCTTGTATTGACTATTTGACAGTGACAACGACGCTCGCGAACTGACAATTGACAGAACAAACGCGGGCGATGTCGAGCTTCGACCCGCGCTCACCAGGTTATTATGGCACAACGACGTATTCGTCTATCTCGAGTAACTCTGATTCTGGTCAGTCGCATGTTAGCTGTCCTTTTAAATGTTCGAATTCACCAGCAATTTACACATAGACACCCCCCGTGCATCTACAGATTCATCCGCCTCCCCAGGCCTCCTCCGACGCGTTGCATTAAGTCCTTCCCGCTCTGAAGCCAGCTTCGAAGGTCATGGTCATGACGACAGTTTCGCAGAACGTGCTGAAGTCGAAGCAGCTCTTACCGAACTTGACCTTGACCCTGAGATTAATTCTACCCAGGATGTTGTCTCCCAATGGTCCTCTTCCCGACCATCCTACACATCCTTTAGTACGTCTACTCCGTACAGTGGTACAGGGTCTTACACTGGCACTTCCGCTTCGTACTCCGCGGACACTGCAACAGCAACAGGAACTTATTTTACCCGCGACCCTCGCATCCTGAGCACAATCTCAGAACGCACAGAGCACCCCAGCCGACCGACTTCCTTCGCCCACAACCGTCTTTCTACACACCGCCTAAGCACAATCTCCAATCCGCATGTTCGATCAACTACTGAATCTCCTGCAAATGCCAACAGAATTAGCACGCACTCCCAGGGACACACACGCGGTGCCACAGATATTCCCACAACTAGCCGTCGCACGGGCGATCTCATTGCATTCTTCGAGGACCGTGCAGGAACCCCTAGCAAAGAAAAGGAGAGAATTACAAGCCCATTTTTACCTACAACCCAGAGTACTCCTCATTTAGGGAGTACCACAGGGTACACCTCAACTGGATATGGTTATACTACGGGATTCACTTCGACCGGGTACGGATATACCACAGGGACAAACGGCTATACCACATCCCACCTATCCTCTGCCGCTAAAAGCAGGTCCGATGATTCGCGTTCCACCGTCTCGACTTCTTCAGGTGGAGGTGGGACTGATCTGAGCTTGTCGACTTTGTTAAGTCCACCAGTGCGCGGGTTTGGCACCCCAACCGGGACGTATAGTGGCAGTGGGATAGCAACAGCGACAGGGAAGACACAGTTAAGCCCAAGCGATTTTGCGAGTACATTCTCGAGTGCATTTGGGGTCACTAGGGGTACGTGTGCCAATGCCTCTTCTATCCTTACCTTCACCTCTTCACTTCGTGTTAACACTCTCAATTCAGGCAGACAAGATGATAATACACCCACGCGCCAGACTCAGACCGCCCTCCGTCGTAGCACCGCTCCTCTGAACGAGACCAACACGAGCCCTAGGAGTCCGTTAACTAGCGTACGGAATATTGTAGCTGCGTGGAAGGAACGCACACCCGGGCTAGGGAAAGCGAAGACTGAGAGCAGTGAAGGCGGGAGCGAACTGTCTCCACCTGGTGCATCAAAGGTGTGTATAATTTTGCAAGTTGGGATACATGCGTGCTGACGAGCGTAGATGGAGGGCTTGTTCTCTCTTCGTAGACGCGCATCGCGTCATGGTCCACGGGGACAGCCGCCAGTGACACCTGATAGGAATGGTGGGAGGGGCAATGCAGGAGGTAGCAACAGAAACAGGGGAAACGAAGGAATGACTAGTAGTGGAAACAATGTCATGAGGAGGAGAGTGAGCTCCACAAGTAGCCTCATACCCCCGCCTTTTGATATGACAGATCTGAGGTCAAGAGAGAATCGGGAGGTATGCCTCTTTCTTATTTTTGCTCGAAGTTCATATCTGACCTCGTACACAGCCCATCCGCATCGGCACTCTCTGGTATCTCAATGTGCATTCCCCAATGCCTTACCGGTGGCAAAAATGCTCCGCGCTGCTCTACCCCCACGTGCTTATCCTTTCTTGGAGTGCCCCTGGGGGTGGTCGGGGCGTAGTGAGCTTAGATCTAATCAATTGTACAGAAGTGAGGAGTACCCCTGGCTTTACACACCCTGGGGCAAGGGGTGATGTCGGGGGCGTGAGTGCATTAGCTCAAGTACGTGCACTGGCGAGTTGATAATCCGACATAGAGCGTTGATATGGACCATATCCTCAGATGACTGAAGACGGCGTGAGTCTCGTGCAAGTATTGTGTCCGTTTCAGCTGTTGTATGGTGATGGTGTTGAACGACTTGCGGCGGAGAGTGCGAGGGAGAGGGTGAGGTGGGTGAGTGCGATTTGGTGAGTGTTTGGTGCCACACTTAGATTTGGATAATTCTGACGGGTATCTACTTGACTTACACAATGATATGTATACAGGGAAGCACTCGATCGCTCCTTGTCGCTCCCCAATCGTTCCCAATCCGGTTCGCCCACAGGCAGCATAGGCACCATCCACTCTCTAGCCTCTTCCACATCCACATCTGCTGGGAGCAGAAGTACCGTGTTTGTACCCCCGCTGCATACGATCCCGAGTCTGTCGGATCTGGGAAGTGGTCTGAGTACGAGTAGGGTGCCCAGTGTGGGCGGCCATGGGCGCACTACGGATGATTCGTCGTACCTTTACCCGTCTGACCCGCGCGTCATTGCTCCATCCCGATCTTCATCCTTGCGCCGCACCTCGTCTCTCACAGACTTGGACGAGGAGTTTGCTAGTGCTGTGTCGCGTGCTCGTTCTGCCAAGCCTGGGCTAGGCTTTGGCTTGAGTTTGGTTAACGACAGTTTGAGTTCAGAGAGTGGTGGCATACTAGGCGTGGGTGGGGGAAGCCCTGTGACAGTGAGCAGTGGCCCAAGATTGGGGGGCGATGTTCGCGTCACCCCGCCTCCCACTGGGAAAGTAAGGAATCGAGCTCTCAGTGTCAGTGAGGAAGAATTCTTCAGCGCCGGCTCACGCACGTCCAGTGTGCCAGGCTCTCGTTCTGAATCAGACTTTTTCTCAGCGGACAGCTCCAGGACAAGCAGGAGTGGCGATGGCAGGACAACGACAGGCTTGGTGACAGATGGGACAGCTTTTGAATTCACGAGCGGCGAGTCAAATACGCAGATCGTCCCGAGCACGCTAAGCTACAGACGCACGGAGAGTAATTCTTACCTGGGGGACTCGCATGACGGCAGTGGGAGCTATACGCCATATACATCTAGCGATGGGCGTTCACGAACACCTTTCTCATCGAGTGACAGCCGGTCGAGAACGCCGTACTCGTACTCGTCCAGCGGATACACGAACAGCACGCCCTACACGTACACGAGTGGCAGTTACCCCACCTCTACTTCGCCGTCCTTATCTCGTACTCCTGAGGTTCGGAGACGGCGGTATGGTGGATACTCTACAAGTGAGGGACCATCTGATAGGGAGTACTCTGCAACATCAAGGTCGACACTGAGCGGCTGGACGAGGAGCAGGACGCCAACAACGACAACAGAGGGATTTTTAGTTGTGGAGGAGAGAGAGAGCAGTGGGAGTGAGGGGTATACCACGGCCTACGCGTCGCCCAGCCCGAGCACTGCATCATTCAAGAGCCTTCCAACGATCCCAAGCGAGTCAGACTACCAGACATTGAACACATGCAAGACTTGTGTGAGCTCGGAGTTCGTGACTGCAGAGCGGTGCGTGAGTGATGTGGAAACAGAGTATGTGACAGCGGAAAAGTGCAAGACCGAGACCGAAACGGATTTCTGGACAGCGGAATTGTGCAAGAGTGACAAGGAGGAAACGCAGTATGAGACGGCGAGCGTATGTCTTACGATCCCGAGCGAAGAGGGGTTGAGCACACCGAGGTCGGGTTTGGTTATGGAGCTTGCTGCCGAGGAACCCATTGACCAGCCTATTCAAGCGCCCATTCAAGCACCCATTCAAGCACCCACTGACCTGTACATGGACGAGCTTATGGACGAGCCCATTGAAACGCCTATCGAAGCGCCCATCGAAGCGCCCACCGACCTACTTATTGAAGCGCCCATCGACCTCCCTATCGAAGCACCTATTGACCTGCCTATCGAAGCGCCTATTGACCTGCCCATTGGACCACCCATTGACCTGCCAATTGATGTGCCCACTGACGTGCCCATTGACTTGCATGAGGGAGAGGAAGTGGAGGTAGATCTGCCGCCCACACCCCCGCCAAAGACACCGAGCGAAGTTCCCAGTATCATCTCTGAGGAACCAGTGCTGGAGGTGTCGATCACGCCTGAGGCTGTTACTGCACAGGAAGAGATCGCAGAGGAGGGCAGCCTAATTGAGAGCGCCCCGCTTACCGCCCAGGCGCCCGAGACACCGACCCCCATCGTCAGTTTCCATACCGACTCGTCATTCTCCTACACCGAGAGTGATCTGAGTCCCGCACAGCTAGAACTTGACACGTCTGTCTCGAGTTTGACAGAATCAACCGAGCCCTTCGTTATTGCGACACCTCAGGCAGTCCAGACTCCACTTCTCTCGATATCTGACCATGACGAAGAGGCAGTCACGCCATCTGTGCACCCATCTCAATGGCCTTCTGAGACAGATGTGTCGTTTGATTCGTCTGCACTACAGCCTACCCCTAGTGTGCAGAGCGTTGCGTTGCAGGAGGGCATCGATGGGAGCTTTGAGACATCGTTTATGCGCCCCAGTGTATCGCCACTGAGCAGTATTGCGAGGCTCACGCCTATCACAGAGACTATTTCTTCCCTTACACCGTCTCCTAGACAGGTATTTCACCCACTTGAATTGGTGTCTTCGCCATCCAGTGGACCGACTCCTCTGACGATGTCGACGAGCGCATCGAGTTCCCTGTCAAGGACCGCGTCCACCGTGAGTGGAGTATCGAGTATTGCGATTGAGGCGGAGGAGGAAGATGCAGTGAGTGTAAGAGCTGCCAGTGATATTTCGACGGTGCCGTCTTTGTTGTCGACGAGAAGAGAGGAGTCGGTGCGATATGTGTGTAGTTCTTTATTGTGTTCTGGGTGGAATGCTGATGTGTTGTGCTGATTTTCTTTGCTGTAGATGCCAATGCCGTCCCCGCGGACCGTCCCTCTCCCGGTGTCCCCTGCCCCTACTTCGGTGTCGATGAGTGTGAGTGTGACAACACCGCACGATGATGTTCCTTCCATCCATTCTGTCCTTGAAACGGAGCACACCCGCACGCACACTGAGCACACTATCACACACGATATTGACCGCCTTCTTCACCATATCCAAGAGCTTGACCAGTTCCGTGGCCAGGAAACGCAGGAAATCGCAGAGAATGTGCGTGCTATCCGGGACGAGTTGTATGATTTGTCGGAGTACGTCCGTGAGAGGCTCGTCACGGAGAGATCGCCACCTGTGCCAACTAGAGACACGGCTGTCGGAGGTAGTGTGCTCTCTACGCCAAGAGGACCGCGCCCGAGGCCGGCTATCACCCTTGTCGAGATGTCTCCACCCCCTATGCACCCCTCCTCCCCGAGTTCGCTCAATTCAGTTATGTCGTTCTTGTCTTCGCATCACTCGGATGATGACTTAAGTCTGTTGGAAACGGAATTGGAAGCGGAGACGGTGGAACGCTCGTATTCAGTCTCTAGGGAGCCATCTTGGCCCTCATCGTCCTCATCATCATCCTCGGTCTCACCATCTGAAATTTCGTCTAGCGAGCCATCCCCTGGTCCCAGCTTGTCGGCGACGTCTTCGTCATCACCGACACCTCCACCCTCATCACCGACACCTCCACCCTCGTCACCTACACCTCCACCCTCGTCACCTACACCTTCGACGGCATCGGCCACCACTGTGCGGCAGCGCGATAGCATTACGATTGAGACGTTGAGAGACATGCTGACCTCACTGAGAGAACAGACGACTGCACTTTGGGAGGGCCAGATGTCAACAAACCATATGCTGGACGAGTTGCGCGAGACACGATCAGGTCCTCTGGATACCACGGAGTTTAATGATCGGTTTCGGGTAATCGAGGCTCTTTTGCGTCAACTTGTCGAGAGACGGGTCGAGACTGAAAGACCAGTCCATATCCAGCCGCCATCAGCGACTGTTTCTGATGTCAGCACAGATGTAGATGCAGAAGATTTTCAACAGCGCTGGCAGGACTGGACACGACTCTTGAGGGATCGCGTGCCTCTTGCTGCACCCCAACCACGCAGAGCTCGTGGAAATCTTGACGATGAGCTACTTGCATTATTGCAGGCACCCCCGCCCCAAGTGCCTATAGGCGTCCAGCCGCCACCAGCATTGATCCCCTTCGCTTATCAACCTGCGGTACGTCCTCCAAGGTCAAGGAGTACCAGTCCCATATTACGGCCTGCGACGTTCCCAATCGCCACAGAGCCGGTGGTGTTCTCACCCGAGATTCCACACTCACGTATACCTCACCGTGCTCGAGTTCGTCGTGTCGTTCGAGAACCGCGCGACCCAGCTGCAACTGAGACTGGGATAGCATTTCCTGGTGCACCTGGACCACGTATCCAGCAACCTCTCGGGACAATGGCACCACCACCACCTGGAGTTGTTTCCGATCCCGCACCTACACGCCCGCCTACTAATATTCCACCTCCTCAGCCTGTGAGTACTACTGTTGAGTAGATATAATATAACACCAACCTCTCACTTAGATCAACTTGCAAGGAAGACCTCCAAGTGCGCCTGCTAACCTTGAACCCAGTGACGACATTCGCGAGCCTCAACGCTGGTACTATCCTCCTAGATCAGAGGGCTTGGTAGGTCTTTCAACGGATTTGATTTCAAGGTATAAATTTCGTAATTCTGCAGGGCGTACCTCCTCCGCCTGTTCTCCCTGGTCAACAGGGTGGTCGCCAATACGTGCCAATGCCTCCCGGACCAGTAAGTAAACCTTGATGTATAATTTTCGAGGTTTTGATTTCTCTTTCCTAGACCGTAGTGCAGTTGCCACTGTTTGACACATTGATGAACATCCTTCGGGCAAGTTACGCTTATGATATCCTATTGAGACGCTAATTTTATGTTTTACGTTAGGAACATCGTCTCGCCCAACTTGCGACCGTGGATCAACAACGAGAATTGATGAGGTACATGAGAGGTCTGAATGAATGGCTTGAAAGGGATGTGCAGGACCGCCAAGCAGAATTACGGGGGGTGACTGCTCGTGTTGATGAGCTCAGAAATGATCTTGCACGACTGGGGTTAGGGGTGCAGCCCGGTGTGCAACCGCCAGGTGTGCACCCAGGTCATGGAGTGATCCCTGTTGGACCTCCAACTATGTTTGGTCCTCCTGGATTCGTTCCTCAAGGAGTTACAGAGCCTCCCGTTATTCCGCCCTATCAAGATTCTCCTCAGCCAGGCCAATATACTCCCTTCATACCTGATGAACCTCAGTGGCGTAGGCCGGGCCCGCAGGGCATGCCAGAACCTCATCATTTCCCTCCAGGTGCGCAAGGACCAGTAATCCCTGATCATCCCCAACGTACAACATCGTGATCAGTACGAGCACCGCCCTGACGATGAAGATGAAGGAATTATTCCCACAAGTCCTCTCTCGGGGTCTAGCGATTCTGTGCTCCCCACAAGACCATTCGTACCGGAACAGACATTCATCGTTCCACACAGTGACGATGAAGGGAGTGATGCTAGCACGGATACCCAACAGACCTATGCGCATCCCGACTCACACCATGTACAACACCCTCCAGAGAGCCCAGCGTTACACAGGATGCCAGTTGATCAACAAGATATCCCTGACGTCGTACATTCCGGGGAGCATACATACAGCCATGGAAGCCCTCCGCCTCAGAATATCAATATCAATATGCCTCCGCAACCGGCTCCAGTCCCTCAAGTAGGTATGGCAGATCAGCCCGCGCCAATGCAACATGACCCAATGCAACATGTCCCAATGCAACCTGTCCCAATGCCGCCCATGCAATATGGACCCGCTGGGCTACCACCGCCACCCATGATTGGAGGGCCTGATCCCGGACACGTGGTAATCCACCCACCACAACCAGTATTTGCGCAGCCTAGGCCCAGATCCAGATCCAGGTCCAGTTCCGGGAGAGGTGCAGTGGTCATACAACAAAGCCCTCCTCAGCATTCGCCTGGCCATGTCATAATACCATCGCCGACTGGCGAGCATGTCGCCAGATCTCCCACTCGGGAATTTGTTGGTGTTACTCCTTCAGGTGGCGGCCCTGGCCCTGGGCCAGTGGTGGTGACGGTACCTGCTAGTCGAGGACATGTTTCGCGTTCACGATCTCGGTCTCGGTCACCTCGTAGGCATTACCGCGACAGGTATCCATACGATGATCCTTATTATCGACGAGGTCGACATCCTGACTCTCCTGATTATCATTACCCAAGACATTGGGATGACCGTCGACGCCGATCCTACTCACCTGAATATCGCTACCGTCCTCGCTATCATGACGACTACTCTCCCGAGGATCGCCGCCGACGCAGAGGGCCGCGCGATGACTATTCGCCATCTCCACGAGGAGGCGAGAGATATAGAGATGATGACCGCCGTCGTCGCAGACACCCCGATTCACGCTCTCCCACACGTTCAGAAGAAAGAGAGCGACGCAGAGATGATCATACCCCTCGTCGCAGACGGTCCAGTGACGAAGAAGATCCCCACGGCAGACGTCCTAGTCATGACGAAGGCGATGCCTCACGAACTCACAGAACTCCCACTCAATTTTCAGAGGCGGATGCTGGCCATCGCACACCCAGTCATAGCCATCACACACCTAGTCATGGCCGTCATACACCTAGTCATGGCCGCCATACGCCTAGTCATGGTATCCCTGGTTCTCCGCGGTTTGAGGAACCTCCGCGGTCACCAACTGTCATTAGGATTGAACAACCAGAGCGACACCCTGACTCACCCACCGGCCGACCAGTGATCATAACTCCGGCAGGTCTGTGGGTTACCGTGGGCATAGACTTACTCTGACAAATTTTCCAGAACGACGTCCGATGAGCCCCAATAGTCAACTTCAACATGACCTGCGTAATGCCCCCGATGGATACATTCCAACCGTACATTCCTCACATCGGATACCTTCTGTAAGGGACGACGATGGACAGCCACACCATCGAATACCTTCAGTGATGGAATACGAACTACCACGGCATCGATCACCTTCTGTAAGGGATGATGATAGACGGTCACACCATCGATCACCTTCTGTAAGGGATGATGATAGACAGCCATACCATCGATCGCCTTCTGCAAGGTATGACGAAGCTGACCCGCGTGGACGTCGCGGCGCTTCACGATTTCCGGATGACGAAGCTGACCCTCATGAGCATCGCGCCGCGTCGCGAGTTCCGGGTGACGAAGGTGAACCCCACAGAAGTCGCGCTGCTTCGCAAGTTCCGGATGACGAAGCTGATCCCCGTGGACGTCGCACTCCTGCGCGAGTTGCATATGACGAAGCTGACCCTCATGAACATCGTGCCGCTTCGCGAGTTCCGGGTGACGAAGGTGAACCCCACAGAAGTCGCGCTGCTTCGCAAGTTCCGGATGACGAAGCTGACCCCCATGGACATCGCACTCCTACGCGAATTCCATATGACGAAGCTGACCCATCTAGATATGGCGCTCCTTCGCGTTTTCCCTCACGCACGGGATCGCACGCGGGAGGTATGCCAGCCGCTATTCTGGAAGATGATGGCAACCGGAATGAGAGCGAGATGGTCCACGTCTTACCACCAGGTAGCCATGTTCCCCCGCCAGGTCATGATCCTCAGGTACACTTTGACCCAGCCACTGCTGAGTTTGATGATGCCATTAATCGGCGGCACGAGCGATTGGACGAAGCAGAACGCGAACTCAACCAGGTCGTTCAGGATGCTCATGAAGCTGAAAACCGTCGTGAAGCAGAGTTCCGACACAATGAAGAAGAAAGAGAGCACATCTTCCTCCAAAACGAAGATCGGCGTGAGGCTGAGGCAAGACAACGCGGTGATGAGCTATTCGCTCAACTGGAAGAGAGGGCCCACAGTGTACCCCCTCTACCGGTCCCTCCTCCACCTGGATCTGGGGATAATGCTTCCATCATTGAATCAATTCACGCAGCTTCTCATGAGGCGGCTTCTCGCCATGCTTCTGACATTTTGGATACGGTTCGACTTGAGCGCGAGCAGTTTGCTCGCGAAAGGGAATCTTTTGCATCTGAGAGGGATCAGGAACGTGCTGAATTTGCCGCCGAGCGTGCTCGCATGGATGAAGAGCGCGAACGAAGGGTCCATGACCTGGAAGAAGAGCTCGCACGCGTTCGTGGGGAGCTTGATGGCGAAAGACAGCTACGACAGACTGAGAATGAGGAACGGGCAGCTGCCAATGAACGTGACGAAGCCATGCGCGCCCAATTGGGTGATATCACACAGTTGGTTTCGGAACAACGTGATGAGTGTACCAGGAAGAGGGAGCTCATGGATCAGCGGTGGGAAGAAAAGCAGGGCAGGCGTGCTGAAAAAGACGCGCAATTCCATGAACTGAAGGATATGGTCTCCAGGCTCATCCAAGACCGCGAGGCGGATCGAATTCAAGAAGAAGAGCACAGGCTACGGGAGGAGGGTAAGCCGGATATTCAAGTGGTGCTCGACGAGCTCACCCGGCAAAATAACGAAATGCGAGAGGCGCTTCGGGCTCTTTCTGAGGGTATGTCTTAGACGTATCTTTGAGTGGTGCTTTGCTGATTTCGCTCCTTATGGCAGACTGGCGAGCTGAAGGTGAGCGGCGGCATGAAGACACCCTTGAAGCCGTCCGTGCTACCGCCCGGGAGCAGGTTCCATTCAATGTGCAAGTGGTGAGTGCCTGTGAACCATGTATTTTTTTTCAAAAAACAAAGAGCTCATATGGGATCGTTTCTAGTATCTTGACGAATTTAGCAAAGCACTTGCGACTGAGGTCCGGATGCTCCTTGGAGAAGTTGGCAAGCTTCGTGAAGAACGCCGTAACATCCAACAGTGAGTTTTTGCTTGAATACGTCGTTCCTATATCTGAACGTCGTCTCTTCCAGTGAACTTGGATACCTGATGATGATGAAAGCTAAATATGGACCTGGAGGGGAGTTTGATCCTGAGTGGTAAGATGTTTTAGCCATCAACTTGAGCCGTTCTCATCTTTCTTGACAGGAAACCGCCAATGCCTGGTCCTGGTGGGCCTGAACCACCGCCACCGCCCGAGGCACCTCCCCCACCTCCTGATGAACCTGGACCTACTCGTCCAGCATGGCGCACACTCCACAACACGAGGCGCATTCGTAAACCCCGTCGCGACCAACCACCGCCCCCTGAACCTGCTCCTGCACCTATGAGGCAGCCTGTGCATTCCTGGGTCACCTGGCATCGTGAGTATCGAGTTTTTATGCATCGTTCAAGAAGGTGAATTGACATCGTGGATACTAGCAAACCCTGCGCATGCACCTTCACCGCCGTCGATTGAGCCTAACCTGATTGTACCCGACCAGGGTAGCCCTGGTCTCTTTGGACCTCGCTCGCCACGCAGCTACCGGTAACGACGCATTGCTTCATCACAAAATCAAGCCCAAGAATCATATTCTACGCATCATATCTTATGACCATCTTGACGATATCTAACGAGTATCTTTGTCCTCTTATATGTATCTTGCTCCTCCGTATCTACTACTCACATTTTCTTCTATTTGTGTTCATGCTCTGCTCTTGCTTATGCTGCATATCTTATGATCTCATCGTATGGCTTCCTTGGAGCTGGACTCGCGTTCTATTAAATTTGCGAATGGATGCATGCTTTTCACTTTCAAACTGCAGGTCATGAGGTTTGGCTGATGAGTCATGAGTATGCGAAGGAAGATGTAAGCATGAATGTAGTATTGGTGATTAGTGAGGCAATGCAAGTAACAAGTACTAATTGTCCACGATCGACTACGTAGGACTATGGCGAACATGAGGTTTTAAGGCCTTGGCTGCTGAGGGTGCTTGTGGCGTTAAGGATGGCAATGCAACCACAGAGGACATTACTGGGTCGTTTCTCGGGCGATTGCACCCTCCAGCACCAACTTCAACTTGGCTGCAAGGCCCTCCGTAAGAAGGGTCGGGCCATCAGAAGTGCAAAGGCGATAAGATGGCATTGACTGGTATGTGTTGGGAAGGATCTTCCGAGGACCTGATGAGCAATATTGAGCAGAACGTATATCATCAAAGCTCACTTTGCTATCCCGTACTAACACAGAAGCAATAATATCATCCGGATCGCCTATTCTGCCTAGGGCTGGAAGGTTGCGGTTGTCTGACCTTATTCTTGGTTCTAACCGAACGTAAGCAAAGTGAGTGCATCACATACCGTGTATATGCATCCAGCCTTGTTGTAATTGCAGCGCAGCGTTGATCCAAATGTCGTCCACTTTTTCCCGTAACCCGGTTTGGATTGCCTCGTGCATGATTGCGCGAAACTTGGCTGTGTAGAGTCAGTGGGTATGCGAATTGAGCAGGATAATTTACTATGAGTAACGTACGGTTCTCTACAAAATCGTTTAGCCCGGCTTCCGCGTCCGCTTCTCCTACAATCTCTGCAGGCAACCATCCCATGACAGAGCACGAATCAGGGGTCGGTGGTGGTTGAGCGAGGAAGGAAACTGCATAGACTGAGCCTACCATCGGAAGCGAAACGGGGTGGTAGAAAAGGTCTGGCCGAGATGGGTCTGATATTACTGGATTGGAGGTTAAGCAGCGCGCGAAGAGAGCATGCGTGCGACTGGTTGGAGACGCAGCTCGGGAAGCCGCGGGCGCTGAGGGGATACGGATGGAACTGAAAATAGTGAAGAACCTTCTACACAGCAGCGAGCTGTACGGTCGTAAGATCTTGCACGTAGTGAACCGTGTCGCTGCATTAGTTGATGCCCGTAGCATGTTAGATGGTGTCACTGTCTGCCAGCGAGCCGCAGGATATGAACACGGAACAATTCATGAACGGTAATGGCCGGTTTTGATTTTGTGTCACGTCATCCACAACCAAACCCGTGGCCGTGAGATTGTATTGGGTCAGCAGCTGTACAGTACCACCAAGCCCCACCAATAGTACCTCACGTTTCCAAGGTGTTCTCCTCAGACCCTTCCATCATCAAACAGGTATGTTACAATCTGGTTTCTGTTGTTGCATATCGATATAACCTTTGGGTATCATCAGGATGAGAGAAAAGTGGAAGAAAAAGCGTTCCCGTAGGCTCAGACGCAAACGCAGAAAGATGAGAGCCCGTTCCAGTTCGTATCCATCCCATGTTCTTTCCGTCATCCTCTCACCAGACCAAATCAACAGAGTAAACGACCAAGCAGAGTGAGCCTGTGACGCTAAGGCCTCAACAAAATCTGCGGTGCGCTAACGCCGGGCAGGTCTTGCCCCGTCCCCCTCCGCGCGCCAAAATCTTTGGAGTAGGACGGATTCTTCTCAGCTGGACATGCTGTTGGGGGTGCTGCTGGTCGTGAATTGTACTCTTGACAAATGAATCAAACATCGCTTTGTCCCATTCATCTTACATGCACTTGTTGTATATTGTATTGTGGTGTCAGATCGCAGTCGAGCATGAATTTTGTGAACAGAAATAGTTTCGACTAGTCACTAAGCACATGTGATGTGCCTTGCAAACTTGCACAAGCTTCTGAGAATTCCAAATTTTCATCTGAACATTGAACTCATCTGGTTACAATATATACATCATATCAAGTTAGCTGCATAGTAGCCCTGCACCCTTGTCTCCACAAAGACGAGAACCGGATTTCGAATTGACAATGAAACGTGCTAACACATCTACCTCTACTCCCAAGATCATTCTCAAACCGCGCCTCGCCCAAACGCCAGCTACGCCTTCTATCGTTGATGAGGATGTCGATGACGACTCTGCCGAAGAAGGCGAACTCCAGACCAAGAGAGAGGATTCAGAGGGTGTGCTTGACGAAGACGAGCCTGGCGATGAGGAACCCGATGAAGGTGCTGTAGAGGGTGAAGGAGACGAGGGCGAAGGCAGTGGAACGGAGGAGGTTGGGCCTGAAGGCGTGGAGCCACGACCGTTCCCTCGCCCACGGGGACGCCCGCGTGGAAGAGGGCGAGGTGCAGCCCCCATTGGTCCTGGTCGCGCAAGAGGGCGCGGGAGAGGAAGGGGGCGGGGGCGGGGGCGGGGTCGTGGGTCTTTGACTATTCGATTGCCAAAACGCGACGGCGAAGAGGCTGACGACGCTGAAGCAGAGGAAGGGGAGCAAGATGGTCGACCATTCATGCGAGTAGCAGGAAAGGTATACTTCATTGACGGCGACGAGTTTGTCACAGACCCGGATGAGAAAGGTGACGAGAAGGTTGATGCTGATGGCAATCTTCTGGGAGGTGTGTACTATCTTTCTACATGCTCAGTCTCTTGACCTTATTGAAAACCTGCGTCGTGGACAATCTAGGTCGTAAGTTCAAATGCCACACCTTTGTGCTACCCCAGCGGCACCCAAGTCGACAGTATATGCTCGCCATCGATGCCGCGCGTGCGTCAGGTTTTCGTGATTCTCTATATTTCTTCCGACGTAATCCGCTCGCGCTCAAGCTCTCCGCTACACAGCCCGAAAAGGAGTTCCTCATCTCTGCAGGGAAGCTAGGTGCACACCTGAAGACGCGCAGCGTCACCCTCGTCACGGCACGCAGTGCATATAAACTCCATGGCGCCAAGATGATCCTGGGTACGCTCTTATTCTTCTATGAAACCTATCCAGAAATTATTATTGCTGGCTATAGATGGCCGCTGGGTTACAGATGACTACTACGAATCAAAATCTCTCGCTGAGATCACAGAAAAAGGACTTAAACCAGGCGACCTCGTCGGCGAGCTTCCAGACCCCTTGGGTACCTCATCTCAAACGGCACCTTCAGGCCAGCAGCCCACCACCTCTACAACATCAGGTATATATCGAGCGGGAGGACCTACGACCATTTTCGGGAGCACTGGTTGGGGACCGTTTAGTGATGGACCACACAGCGCGGTGCGTAAATCGCTGCTAACACGGGAGGGCCTCACGGAAGAGAACTGGATGGCGGAGGCTGCAAGGCGTGTCGGAGATGCTGGTGAGGAATGGGCGCGAATGAGAAGGGAGGCAAGGGTTGCGTGTGGTGGGATCCTTGGCGATGGACTTGACAAGGGGAAGGGGAAGGAAGTGCAGGTCGCCCAGGGAGAGGAGAAGCGAGCAGTAACTGAGGAGCTGGATGGCACAGAGAGGCCGAAGAGAGCGAGAGCTGAGGAATCACAGTATCCACTTGGTGTGTATGAGCCACACACGGGACTGGTCCATTGTTTGTATATTTCTATTGCTTTTTTTCCCCATGTTTTTATTTTATTTTCTCTAGATCGTGCAGACACGCAACCTACCCGCTGTCGCTGGGAACAAGTTGGACAGCGGAAGATGCTTCGGGGAACGAAGGCAGGGAATGGCGCTTGGGCGCTTGCGTGGGTCGATACACACATCGAACTACCCACGCCCAAAGAGACAGATCCATATGCACGAACGAGAGCAGAGATTTTGGAGGCAGTAGGTGAGATGTGTTAGGAGATCAATGATCGATCAGATTCTGTCCTTGTCAGCACAATGCAAAGGTCGTGAATGAAGTTCCGTTATATCCAGGGTCCTACCAAGCTTGGACTGATTGTGTAACGAAAACAAGGTCACCATGCATGTAAGCCGGATCATTATCTTGAGGCTTGAAAGTTTGATACTTGATGCTATTGGGAGTGTCTGATAGGGATTCTGTAAACTTCGATTTTACCATCATACATATGGCTTTGTCTTGACTCGTTACCTCCTATTCGCTAATGGCCGAGTCGTCTCTGGTTGCTAACCGACGGTGAGTCACCCCCAGGATTGTGGTGGTTTTTCTTATATATGATTTTATATTCCAATACAACAACTTTTCGGCATATGATATCTGCGACTCACCAGTCCTCTGACATACGGGCACCGCTCCGCCACTTAATCATGGTACCAGACTCAAACGAATATAACGATAGTAAAGGTTCTGCCAACTACGCATGTGGCATGACTATGCAATGTACATGTTGACGGTCGAGGCTCGACATTGTTACATCATTCGAGGAAAGTCAAGTGAGTAGGTCAAATCTGCCGCGGTGTTGCCAATCGAACATATTCTTCCCCTACTAGGTGCACGCTCGTCTGCCTTACGACAGTGCTGACATTGTTTCCACACCGCTTTCATAATGATACTTATGATACCGTACCTCAGCACAACATTAAAGCCCTGAAGGCACCGCCTTTGGGCCGGGAGTCGAGCGCCGTGACCTTAGTATTGATTAATTTTTCCTGCCTTATGTCAGTGATAGACGCTGAGAATGTTCTTTATCATCTGTAGAGGCCACCATGCTCATTGTTTCCGTCTTCCTTCGTGCCTTCCGCCCAATACCATCTACTCAGTGGTGAGTTTCCCCTTTGACTACAACTCCAAGTCAAGGGTTTGGAATTAACCATACAGAAAAGTGAATAATGCGACTGCTACATACCAAGAAACTAATATTAGACACGCCCACGGATGTGCGACCTTATGCCATCTTATCTCACCGATGGCTTGCGGAGCGTGAAGAAATATCTTTCCAAGACTTGCAACCCTCGCGATTTCTTCCTAGCGAAGGCTCTCACGATGATTATGCCGTATGTCATCTCGTTCGAGCTTTCGCTTGCTGGCATTTACCATCAATTCACTTCAAGGAGCCCACTTTCCCTTCCGATGTTCAAAGCAAACAAGGCTTTGAAAAATTCCAAGGAGCCTACGAATATGCCTCTCGAGCTGCTCTGGAGTATATCTGGATTGACACTTGCTGCATTGACAAAACCAGCAGTGCCGAGTTATCAGAAGCGATAAATTCCATGTACGCATGGTATCGGGATTCCGCTGTGTGCTACGTTTACTTGCACGATGTTGGCGACGATGGGGACCCCGAATCCGGTTTCGAAGATGCCGAGTGGTTCCAAAGAGGATGGACCTTACAGGAACTGATCGCTCCAGATAATGTCTATTTCTTCAACAAGTACTGGGTGAAAATCGGGAGCAAGGCGACATTTGCGCCTACCCTGAGTAAAATCACCCGCATCCGCCAAGATATTCTGCTGGGTGACCAATACGAACCCAGTATCGCGGAGAAGATGTCATGGGCTGCAGGACGAAAGACGCAGAGAATAGAAGATAGAGCTTATTCTCTGATGGGGTTATTTGGCATCCACATGCCCATCATTTACGGAGAAGGAGACAAAGCTTTCAGGCGCTTGCAGCTCGAGATCATGAAATCATCGGATGATCAAACCATTTTTGCCTGGCACGATTCACGGGCACATCCACATTCTGTCAGAAATCGCGGATTGTTGGCATCTACACCTGACGTTTTCATGCGAGCTTCACCGGTAGTCGCCATCGATCATTCCCATTTTATCAGCATTCTTCCATGGAGTCGCAGCCTCTCTAGCGAACTGTCGCGTGGTTATCACATTCTGAATGACGGCATTCACATTACTCTTCCTATGAAGCGAGTCGCAGAGGGGTGGCTTGCCGTCCTGAGATGCAGAAAGAAAGATCAGGAGTTTCCTTACGGGATCTACTTGAAAGAAAGATCTGGTTCCGACGATTTTCTTCGGACTTCGCCCACGAAGCTTAAAGAACTCGAATCCACAGATCTCCAAGGCCTTACCCCGCGTACAATACGTATTGTGGTCGACTATCACGTACTACCAACTACTAAACGCCGACAATTCTTCACTTTTCAGTCTACAGATCCCGTTTGGCAGTACTGCGGTTACTATGTGTGCCCTACGCCAGGAGATCGCCATGATGTGGGCCAGGGAGGCGGCTACCGAGATCTTGAACCCTGCACTCGGATTGAGCTTTCAGATGATGTGCAGTGTTGCTGCGTTTACTCGCAGGGCCTGCGTGGCGAAGTATCGGTCCTTCTCATTGGGATCAAACATCACCGTCCTTGGCTACACCTCCTCACAAATGCTGGCCTATACCGATATGTCGACACGTCGCGACTTGGCCGTCGAACCATTTGTGACATCGCTCTTGTGTCTTCCCCTACTTCCCCCCAATCTAGCAGCCTACCCGATCTCCTTTCTCCTACTCCCCATGATCTTCCTTCCGCGCCGTCTTCTCGTTCAATGTCTCTTTCTTCTACTTCCACCGGAGCCAATATCCACAGATTTCCAAAGAGAAATTCCACCGCCCCTTATGCTGCGCAGCTGCGTGGAGGTGGCGCTGGGTGTCCTGTGTGTTCTATCATTCAAACATACTCTATCGACTTGAATGACATCAAGAATCGCAGGGTTGATTTCGTGAATGAGATGATGCCAGACAGGGAGATAGAGATCGATATCCGAAAGGGACAGGTTTGCGTCTCCGAGTCAACGCTTGACGTTGACTATGTTATAACGATAGCTATATCTGACCCCGAGTCAGAATTATGATTTAGTGCCGAATGTTACCTAGAGTACAAGTAGTACGTATACTAATACCCCCGGTACCAATGCACTGCTAAATTCCAGTACTTACTCACGAGATTTGTACGGTATTGACATAGCCCATGTGCCTCGATTATAAAGGATTCCGTTATCTTGAGCAGCCAGTGTGGTTCCTGTGGGCAAGTATCATTGGTCGTGCCTAAAAACAGATACAAAGGACTGACCACAGGACCCTTGATATCACGTAGTTCTTTTCCAACGCCAAAGGCCTGTGTAGGTCCCGAGGAAGTGTTACCCCATTAGTTCGGCTCATGAGCCTCGGCGCACAGCGAGTCTTTGAACGTCACGATGCTGAAGTTTAGTGCATCTAGTACCCATCTCAAACCTGTGCTCAGTGTCCACATATTTATATATGGTCGCTGAGGGTCCGCCGAGTCATACAAGGGACGCTTAAAAACGAGAAGACTGGCCATTTCTCTTCCTACAAGAATATCATGCCCCCTGAATCGCCTCTCAGTTTCTTCACCAGCGTCTCTGATTCCCCTTGGTTATCATGGTCGCATGTTGACCTCGATGTCGCGTCCGGAATGGCAATTTTTTTCGGAGGCCAAGCAGCCGTATCTGCGCTTGCATTACGGCCACTGTATGGTCGTACATGGCATGGATGGTACAACGCACCTGGATGCCATGCAATTGTGTGGGAGCTAGTGAAGACATTGTTGCAGGGTTCCTTCTCGTCGTATTCAGAGAGACTCGCGCTTTCTCTCGGCCTAGATGGCAAGGAAGGGCCGAAATACATTGCATCGCGGTCAGGAACGGTCATGCAGCATACTCGCCATCTCGCCCACGTGCTGAATAATAGCAATTGGAGGGGGGAGTCGGTGGTCGTGGGTCAGAGGATCAGCCCGACGCCGATGCAATTGATGATCGTGGACTTCAAGAAGAAAGTGTTGACGGGAAATGACACGCTGCTCCCAAGAAGTTCTCATCATTCTTCCTTACCCATAATCGCTACCACCGCCAGCATCGCAGCTTGCGCCATTTGCGCCATTGTTGAGGACTGGTTGTCCCTCAAGATGATTCTGCTCGGAATGGTCTCCTCTGGAATCACCTCCTTCATCATGTCCACTGGGAATATCACCCTCGAACGGCTTAAACCGGCAGATGGAGCTCCGCGTGGAGATGGCATGCTACTGTCAGATACTCGCATCATAATATTGAGGGGCAACGAGGAGGACGTTAACGCTGTGACCAAGGGAAAACTGCGATTGAAGCTCAAAGGAGGGGGTTACACCCTCCTTCTCTGCGTGTTCATAGCCTCGTTGCAGGTTACCCTACAACTCATCTTCATGCCTTCCGGATCGCTAGCAGGACAACTCATGTTCCTATCATCGCTCCTAGTGTCTGGGGCATGCAACTTATATCTATCAGCAAAGGAAGATGACGTGCAGTCAAGCGCCCTCATCACCCTACTGAATACTCCAGAGGTGAAAACGTACCAGGCCAGTTCTAGGGCAACCGCTGCTGTTCTGGCGTGCCTAGCGCTCTGTTGGGGGTCTACGACGCCACCTACGCAAGTCCTCCAGGAGATTGTCCCCATCAGACCAAAAGTGTGGAAGGCCTGGTCTGAGTTTCTCGTAGAGAATATCGGGAAGAAGAGCAAGGAATTCGTGTATGGGGAGTCGACGCACGATCTGGACGATCGAGAGGAAAAACTCTTGCTCGAGCTTATTGATGATGCTCATGCAGCGTACGACCGGTATATTGAGGATCACAATATATAATATATTCATTGCATAGTTGTATCGGTATCTGGGCCATGTATAATGATATGCTTGAGTCTGTGCAATACGAATCTTATCAGCCTACAAGTAATGATATATGCAAAAAATTCTCATTCAAACCTTCTGCATGCGTTGCTTCTGAGTATACACTGGTTTCTTCCTCCGGACTTGGACTTGTGGATGTGCACGTTGGAAGAAATACACATTTTATGGACTTCAGTCACTTCACTGACTTGTTAGCCTCTGTGACAGGTTTAAGTTTTCAATATTTAAACAGCCGATATACAAAATTTACTTGATCTTAATTCGACGCTCCCGTCGTGACTTCATACACATCGTCCCCAGGACGCCATCCAAGCACCTCACTCCAGAACTCCAAAATTGGCTGCCATTCCTCCTTTAAACTTGCGCGCGGCATACCCTCACCCGCACGCTCCACATCCTTTACTCGAGAGAAACCTTTCCTGAATGCAACTAGCGCCTCATTCTTGAGTTCACGTGGGCGGCGAAACACAAAAACAGGCGTCTCGCATTGTTTCGAGAGCGTTGGGTATGAGAGTAGGGGGCCAGAAATGGTGACGAGCGAACCAAGGGGCCGCACGGGGGTCTCTTTGTTGGTCATGTGCGACTGCGATGAAAGTTCTAGCTCGCGACGCCACCACTGAAGACATGCTTCAGCTGCAACACTTCCGCCTTGCGCGAATCCGAACAAGTGGATGCGATGTGGAGGCCACCCACATTCACCCATCAGATGACCGAAAACATTCTTCAGAAGATTGAGTGCAGGACTGGGGTCTGGCCGCTCGATGAGGTCACCGAGCTGGTCGAAGGAAGGATACCATTGGAAAGCCTGTTCGTACAGGAAGGGGACACTAGTACATTGTTAAGCCTGCAGGTACACATACAATCAAGATGATCAAATAGACACTTACAGATCAGGTGCGCGAAGCGCGAGGGTGGCTGTTTGCGGGAGCTTGAGTGATTTCCCAAGGCGTGCAAAGGGAATATTGGTGTCACCTGTTCACCGATGACTTGGTTCGGATTAGTTGCTCTAAGTAGTTGGACGCCCCGCTCACCGAGTCCGTGCAGGAGAATAAGGAGGTTTTCGTCTGTTCCGTCGTCACTAGGGGAGTAAGAGAATTGCGTAGGAATGGCAGACGCTTTTGGAGCAGGTTTCACGCGCAGAGACGGGACGGATGCCTCTGCATGGACATGGATGTCTGGAGAATCCATGAGTTTTGTTCCAAGTTACTTCAGGTTAAAATATTAAAATATCTATATTTTATCTTGAGCATGACACGTGCTAATATTCTACTGTTAAGGGTGTCTCCAGACCATCAGATGACAACAAATTACTTGTTGTGCTGCGGGAGCCTACACGAATGGCGTGCCTATAATGTGTTTAGAACCTGAACCGCCCCGTCACCGGTTTTTGTGGCTCTTCCCATTTGAATTTGAACGGACCACTGGGCGGCGAGCCGTGGCTGCTGCATTCACTTGCGAAGGTTCAACAGAGGCAAATTAGATTTAGTAGTCAGCAATTTATATATTAACATACTTTTCAGATGTAGGTGCAGCCTGAGGAGACAAAATTCTAGGGTAGTGCTGCCTTAACATTCTTTCGTGGAGTTTCGTCAGAATGTCAGCCCCATGCGGGAGGCTAGCACTAGCAATCCTTTGAATAAGCGTCGGAAAGTCTTTCATGATAGTAGGAGTAACGATGTTCTCGAATAAAACCTCGATTTCCATCTCAAGAATGGCAGGAAACCTTCAAAAGACATGTCATCATCCCGATGGTGCCAGAGATGCACGATCAACTAACCGGGATGTCAGAGACGAAGAGAGTTCCTGTAGGACATTGTGCTCAGTTAGACTAGAGCGTATCGCAGAAAGCGCTTTGGCCTGCAATTTGTCGTGTCTAATCTGGCAAAATCCCCCGTATGAATCCACACAGAGAGTATCAAAAATTAGATAACACACACCTTGCATGCTAGGCGATACATAGACTTCGGTGAGCATGATGGGGCCTCGCCAAGGCTGCGACGTCTCGCTGACTTGCTTGCTTGCGATCGCAAAGGTGCGAAAACAATCTCGTCAGTGTAAAGATAGTCTAATAAAGCCCGCCAGCTATGCAAAATCAATGGGTAACAGAATTTAGTGCTAGGCTGGCAAACCGCACGTATTGAACGCAGTATCTGTTACCAACAGTCTGCGGCCTGGAATGATACACGGGGTTCTTTTTGTAGTCAAGCTCTTGATCGATTCCGTTCGAGATACTTGTTCCGCAGAGACTTCCGCGCACCTTTCATCTTCAAAATGTGAACCTAAGATGGGTATATTGTGCCAGGGTAGGTGAAACCACTCACTATCTTGTACGGTTTCGTCGGTCTCTTCCTCTTCTTCATCGAGGTCACTATCAGACGCATAGCCGTATTCATCGAGAGAGATCCCTCCTTCACAAGCGTGGTAGTCTTGATATTCGACCACAGAAGAATCATTGGACGGATTTTCGGAAAGTACTGAAAGTATCTGCTGAACTTTACTGGGTGGTAACAGAATTGCGAAATTGCTTACAGTTACTGAAGTACTCTGAGCCCGTGGTGAGGGCTTCATCATCGGCAAACAGTGCTTGAAGGTTAGTAGCATTGCCCTCCGAGTCACGCTTCGATCGAACGGAGAATAGGTAAAATTGGGTGTCAATAAGTTGCCCAATAAGTGACTTCCTCAGCAGTGCATTGATCCTGGCCTGGTTGCTCGACATTGTAGAGGAACAGTACAAGAAAAAAGTGGTCGCCTGGAAATAGATCTAGAGACTTCGACAATATAGAGGATGCCGTGATTATGTGTCAAGCTACAAACAGAGGAACCGAAAAACAGTCAGACGGAGACGATACGTGTTGTATTATATGCAAAATGAAGGACAAAGGGGAAGGACTGAGAGACGAATGGAATGTGCACTCATATAGGAGGACAAAGGGCTAAAGAACAAAATGCGTTGCGAGGCGTTGAGATCTAAATCAAGAACGTGACGCTGACGGACGAGCCGGACCGTTTTTGAACTTCCAGGCTAGACCCTCTTACTCTGCTGCGCGGAACCTCGTGATATGATTGTTATCACTGTAGGTGCCCTGTGCACTGATTCACGCGCGATAAGTGTCAATCTGAACACATGGTCGTTGACTATACTTATATCCTTTCAATGATATAAGTATAAGTGATTCATCCCCACAATCGGCGGAACCACGCTTTCAATCGAGATGGCCACACCTGTTGACTATGGCGATTTGGAGTTTACTAGACCTGCCAAGCAGATCAAGGCTGTAAACTTACCGATGGTCCCGCAGCGCATTTTCGATGGTATGAAGCAGTACGAAGATGCTGCTCGAGGTGCGTAGCGGTTATATTCTTGGAAGTACGCTCTGATATATCTGGTTCGCGGCAAGGTTTTAGTACTCCAGGGTTTGAGCGGACAACCAAGGATGCCAACGGCAAAGAAGTTCCAGGCGGCATCATCATTGCGCACAGGCCTGCAGACGCTCAAGTCACTCAGTTGTATCGCATGCCAACAGATCCTTCCGGTACCGAGTTGAGCCGGCTCACGTACTTTGACATTGGTTCTGGCAGGACGATATCAATGTTCTGCGGAATTCTTGAAGACGACTGGCGGGGTGTGCACAGGCGTGGAGGAGCCATCATGGTTATGGATCTCAACGGAAATGAGCATTTTCAACTATGGCACGTAGCTGCGTACAGCTCAAGATCCTGTCTGACCAAAATCGCAGGCGTTACTGGGAGGATTCTCTTGCTGATCAAGTTCTTCCAAAAATACAAGGAGAACTGGATAATGCGCCTGGCATGGGACGCATCGAGAGACTGACCCACGATGACTATAGATACGGCTCAATTGTTATGTCTCAGGCAAATAAGTATGTCTGTCTTCGTTCGTTCAGTTTGTATCTGATCGAATCTCGCGGGACAGCCTTATGGCCTTTGCGTCGAACAAGGAGAATAACAAGGATACTTTGGTGTATGTTACCAGGCTCATAGACTCGAATACGGGCGCAAAGGCAGATGCCTCTCCCTTCACTCTGCCCTCACGTTTAGTCGCTCCAAGCACTGGGGAAGGAACGACCATGTACAGCCCGCAGAGCTTTTCCATTGATGACAAGTATCTGTTGATCATAAGGCGATATGGCTCGAGTTACAATGCTTTATATGTTGTCGACATTTCCGGAGAACAGGTATTACCACCAAAGTTAATCGAGTTCCCAGGAGCGACAGAGAAACCAGAAAATACTGCGTTCGGCGACGCTGCGTTCTCCCACGACGTTAATCTACCCCACTTGATCTACTGCACCACCAATGGCTATGGTGATTTTGCCTCAGTTGTCATTTACGATCTTGACACGGCATCGGTCACCCATGTCACCACTTCCGGTGCCACAATCCAAGCTATACGACCAATTTTGTGGGAAATACAGGACCTCAAGGTCACTAGCGACAATATCGTATTTACCGTCAATGTTGAGGGATGGACCTCCCTGTTTTTTATGCCCCTATCCGGATCTCACAAGAACACTGTGATTGAGGTCAAGGTTGCTTGGGAAAGGGGTTGGCTCGCCTTCCAAACAAATGATCTCAATGGCAAGCCGTACGAATTAACGCTGCATCTCACATCATACCACTCCAGGGGGCGTATCACCTACTTGGATCTTCTCCCATTGTTGAACGATGTCAAGAAAGATGAAAATGGAAACGCCTACGTGCTCGCCTCTGTCTTGCCATATGCACAGGCAGCGCCACCTACAGTGACACATGAAGTTCCGCCTACACTCATCAGATACAAGAGCTTCGATGGCTTGGAAGTCCCTGCCATCTATTACCACCCGACTGGTCAATCGGTGACTCCGGTCATTATTCACATTCACGGTGGCCCGGAATCTCAAGCTACTGCCAATTACCGCACGTTAGTCAAAGTTTTTGCTTGACCAAGTTGTAGGCTGACAGACTTCTGCAGACCTACGCATAGTTACCTGTTGAACGAGCTGAAAATTGCTGTTATCTACCCCAATGTGCGCGGAAGTTCGGGATACGGCAAGAAGTACATGACCGCGGATGATGTGTTGAAACGCGAAGATTCAGTCAAGTACAGTGAATACCCACCCTCTCGGGGACAGATCACTCATTTTTTCTCAGGGATATTGGAGCGTTGCTTGACCACATCGCATCTAACATGCAGAATGAATTGGATTCATCCCGCATTGCTGTAGCAGGCGGATCCTGTGAGCAAACTTCTCGTGATTTCTACCAAAAAACTGACTGTCACCGTTTGAAGATGGTGGATATATGTCCTTGGTGCGATATATCTATATTCTCAATAGGCACCTCGTTCTCACGTCAAGGCATTGCATTAGGCGACTTTGACACATTACTCCTCCAAGCTCGCTTGCGGCATTGAAAACTTTGGAATCGTGCACTGGCCTTCGTTCTTGGAGAATACTGCGGATGTCCGGCGAGCAGCACGCAGACGCGAGTATGGCGACGAGACCATTCCTGAAATTAGAGAGTTCCTTGACAGGATCTCGCCGATCAACAACACCTCGAAGATTACGGTGCCCCTCCTGATCACCCATGGCGAGAACGATAGTCGAGTGACTGTGCATGAAGCTGTTAGTATGTACAAAATCGTGTCGAAGAATGTGCATACCGAGCTCGTCCTTTGTGAAATGGAAGGCCATGGTATGTCTTTTCGTATTTTCGCGTGACGCTGCTGACAGGCTTTTGTAGGATACAAACAGAAGAGCGTGATCGAGTTCACTAATGCTGCTGATATCTTATTCTTGGAAAGATACCTCCTTTCTAGGTCAAATCTGTAGACTTCACCACGTTCAAATACTTGTATGTTCTATTTTATAACATACCAATAAGGAAGTCGTACGAGCAAAACTTAAGGGTGACTTCAATGCAAACGACGAAACTGAGGAGTTGTACGAACCAATGCCTTTACAGACTCGACCAGGCTTGCGCCTAAAGATACTGGGTGAGTTCAGAACGATGTGTTATGAGAACTCATGGTGTTGAGGTGTTGCTCGAATGCACAACAGTGACGAACAACGTGTGTAAGGTTTTTGCTTACCGTAAGCAAAGTGTTGGTGTTTCGGCTTTCTCCATCGCATGCCTCTTCCAAGGAACCATATGCGAGATGATCAACAATAATACTCAGGCTATAAAGACGTAAACTTATCCTGTGCACCTTCTTGTGTCATCAGAACTCCCCCACAGGGTCTTTTTGTTCTTGCTTCGTGACCGTTTATGGGTGATGCTCTGCTGGCAGCGTGGCCTTTAATTTTAAGCCTGCGCTGCCTGGAATGTATATAAAAGGTCAGCGGACCAGCAGCTTCCCATATGTACAATCCTTCCGGGTTTTGACAACCCAATCATTTACAGCTAGGTTCGTCATCCATCTGTTGACTTCCGTTTCTTCTTCCGTTAACATATTTTATGTCCCCTTCTTTATCTAGGCTGTTAAGTGAGCTACCTTTCTTTCCTTCTGAGAGTCTCGTTCGACATTAATATTAACTCGGACGTGTCTATTCTTCCGCTCACATTCAATCTCGTCTGAATCAAAACTCAGTACTGCCGAGACATATATCATATTCTCACGTATTCTTTCAGCGCGCTCCACCCACATCTATCATCGCAGGACGATTTCTGTTATTACCACCTAATCAATCTTCCCAATCGCTTTACTGTCGTTGACTGTTATTATGAACGCTACATTCAGCCTTTCCACCACTCTTGCTCAAGCTATCGCTTATCTCATTCGACCTCTTACCGTTATGCACCCTACTGCGACCATCAACAGGCTTCAATCTGTACTTGAGGCGAACTTAACCGCACTGTTCGCCCCGACATGGACTCCCAATGAACCGCTTCATGGTTCCAGCCAGCGTTGCCTCACCCTCTCCCCTAATTGCCTCCCTCCACGTGCTATATATACAGCGTGCCTTGCATCCAACATTCAGTGGTTCGACTGGATTGCAGCCTTGGGCGGACGTGAGTTTGACTTCCGTGTCGATCCAGGATGCATCTCTGTGCAGTTCGGGAAGGGTACTAGGCTCATTACGATCTGGTCGGAGGAGCTGGTAGCTGAGGCTGTATCTAGGCGTCATACGCCTTTTAGCCAACTGCCACTTAACAACTCAAGGTCCAAGACACTTTCCCAGCAGCTCTGGGAAAATGATTACACAGAGGATGAAGAAATTTTCGCCTTGCTCGCTGACGAAATCAGTGCACCCACATGGACGATTCCTGTCATTCACCGTTTCCCTGCCCCTACACGTTTGAAATCGCCCCTCTCCGATATATCTACCGATCTGTGCTCCAGTTATTGCTCGTCTGACTTGTGCTCCTCTTTCTCTACTACGGCTGCCTCTACCTTGTCGTCCAAGAAGAGCAACAACCAGTCATTCCGACTTACCCGCCGCGAGAAGGCAAGGCAGGTTCGTGTCTTTGTAGACACTTCCAAGACGGAAGTTATTCCCTATGACGGTGGCAAGACCACAGTCCTCACAGGTGGTGTGATGCTGGGAGCTGCACCTCCCAAGGGCAAGAGCAGCCCGTCTACTCCTGCTTGGCGCCGCGCATAAACGACTCCTTTGATTATCCAGCCGACGAACTCCCCCGCGGGATCACACTATACGCCCATTTACGCCCCGCACACTCAACGAAAGCCAATCCAAACAATCTTCACTACCCACTATCATACCATACCATTTAACGTCTACTATACCGCATCTGTAATGCATTTATTACTTTGTTTTCGTAACCCTGATTCGATGGAGATGTAGCATCTTAGTTTTTCAGATTGTTTTCAAAATTCGGACATGTCTGAATTCATCGTTGCACTTTTATTAGCTATCAATTTGCTGTTAGCTCATCGTCTTCGAGAGGCCTGGGCATTAATATTGATAGTACGTCCTGCACCATGCCAGAGATAATGGATGGTAAATTAGACAATATCTATCAGGATCCTCATTATGATGCACTGTAACCATTTTAACTACATGATGGGCCTCAGCTGGATGCTTTTGTAAATTTCTGCAGCGGACAAAACTCGCCAGCACTGGGACTCCTCCAACATTTTTTCGCATACTGGGCTTTGTTTCGGACCTACCACTTGAAAGTGATTATCATAACCAGTCATCTTTGCGCCAACATCATGACGAGACCTCACGAAGAACTATACGAGTTGTGCGATTGCCTACGCTCTGTAAGCGTTGAGCTGGACTCATACGAGCCTGAATCCCAACACTCGCCAATCATCGACTCATCAGGAGAAGAACCGGGCGAATTGAAGCCTCAGACCCGAGAAGTACTACCCGGGTTGCGGTTTCTACGAGATGAGGTGAAACGAGACCTGCAAGTTCTCCAAAAGGTGTGTCCAGTCCGCCATAGGGATGTTTTTATTCATTCAATGATTCTAATCGATATGCAGTAGTTTCTTGATGACCCAGAATCTTCGTCTCTTCCTCCTCTCTCGACCAATGCACCATATCTCGTTGCAGTGTGGCAGGAACTACGTCAAGCTCGTGGAGCTGTTGCTATATACCGGACATTCCACACCGCCGTTCATCCTCAGACCTCCCGTAAGCCCAAGAATGGTGCAGCTAAAGGGCATGGTGTCAAGGTCGATGTGGTCGCTGACAACGGGAGACGTTGGATCAGAGTCAATACGTGAGTTCGTCCAACATTTCACCTAGAATAACTCTGGACGAATTTTCAGGATAAAGAACAGTCGCATTTTAATGGAGTTTCGCGAATTGGATTCGTATCTTACCAGTTCTGACGAGGACGACGGTGATGGGCGCTCTTGCCCGAAGAAGGAAAATCTGATACCCCAAGAGTTTGACAATTCCGTGCTGCGCATGGGTCGTGAACTTCTGGAGGCTGCAAGGGCAAACCCTCATGGTTCCAATGAAATTCCTTCGGTTACCATGCGTCTAACCCGACTGAATCTCTCTGACACCAACCACGAAACAAGTGATCCCAGAATCGCATACACGATCGATTGTCTCCAGAGAATGGGCATAGATGTCCAATTAGGCGAAAAGCAGGGCATCGTAAAGGAGATGGACAACGTTCCAGCGCAGCCAATAGTTTTGGAGCCCACCACTCATATCAACCTCGACCTCTCAGCATTGATAGCGCTCATCTCTGATACCACTCATTCTCATCTGCCTCGTGATCCAGAAGATGCCATCACACGATTCATTCCGTCGCAACAATACGTAGAATGGAAAAAGCAGCGGGTCCAGATGCTTTCCGATTCTCCAGATGCAGCAAGCACATGGGAGGACTCCGGGATTCACTCAAGAGTGTTGGCAGACCAAGCCCAACAAGAGATGAAGAAGGGTCTCTTGCAGGATATGCACGACCGCTTGGGATCCATATCCCCTACTCTGCAAAATATCCAATTTTGGACGACACAGGAGGCTCGCCGACGTTGTCTCCAGATTGTGTCCAAAATCGCGGGCACGAGAGAACGCCAGCGCGCTGAAGCACTGTTCTCTTGTTCCGTATGTTCTCACACGACTACCATACCCACCCATGATCAATTCTGGGTGCATTCACGATACCCGTCTAATTTCATTCCATTGATGCCTATCAGGTTGTACCCATCTTCAGAACCCGATGCCACTTCTCTCGAGTCCTTTCAGCCAAATCCTTCGTCACCTTTCATGACGTCCCTTGCCTCGACCTGTCGGATCATACTATCCCAAGAAGACATCTCAAGACTTCGGGAGTCGCAGAGTCCTCCTGGCCACTCGGCTGCACCTTACTTGACTAACGACGAGGATGACATCCCACCGGCTGTAGTTACTTTAACAAACTCGAAGCTCACGGTCCACACGGTCCAAAGCATGCTTTGGGGAGCAACACTTGGGTGGACGACATTGACCACAAATAAGTCCAGTGTGAAAGTGCTCCTCAAAGAGATGAAACGATCCGGTGGAGGTGGAGTGTTAAACAACGAGCCCCCTAATGGAGATGACACCGCTCGTGGGTGCAGAGCCGCAATCTGGATCATGAAACCACGGAGCTTAGCTGAAGGATCGCGATCAGATTACTGTAACGGAGTGATATCAATGGGGAAAACGGTTTAAAACAGGTTTCTATGAATAATAACACTGGTACCGTCCAACTGATCGGAAGCTTAGAAACTAAAACTACATGTAAGGCCACAGAAAGCCTAGAGATCCGAGGTAAGCAGCCGAAAGTTCAAGGGACGAAACATGATAGAAGATAGTAAGATGAATGCCAGATATAGGAAATAAGTCCTAGTCAAGTCACAATTGAGAAATAGAGATATTCTCATACGACAAAGGGCCGAGACGTCACTGGCGTCGCAGGTCGCGCTGTGAGCGGTGTAGTGGGCTGCGAGAACTCCGAAGCAGCTGTCTCGAAGGATGTCACCGAACTTGAAGGCGAGTCACCCTGTCGTTGATCTGAAGATGGTAGCAGCGAGCGTGGTGACGATGGAGGTGATCCGGATATGACAGAACGTGTGGTTGTTTGTCCAGCCTCATCCGCAGCAACACTGTTATAGACAGGGCTTCCTGTTGTCTCTCTCTTTGGTGCGCTAGTACTAGACGGGTTGCGAAGGTCAGTTGATAGTGAGCCACTTGCTTGACCTGGTAAACTTGAACTTGACATAGTGGCGTCGAAGCCGGGCGGCGGCACCATATTAGACCTTGATGCTGAAAATGCTACAGCGTCTGGACCGTATGGAACACCGAATCTTTCTAGTGCATTCTTGGAGGTGATGAGTTTGAATTGCTCAGGCGTAATGCCACCTTTTGGCGCCCGGAACTCTGAGCGCATAACAGTATGTGTGAGGGGTGCCGATATTGAGTTCAAAGATATGGTCGACGGGGATGTCATAGGCGTGGAATGGTCGTGGGGCCTGAGAGCTTTCAAAAGCGTCGAATTAGAGCCCGAGCGATTGCGTCCATGTCCACTGGTTGTTGATGCTACAGAGAGGGATGAAACGTTGCGAGCATGGTCAGGAGCGACAGCCCTGTTATTGATCGAAATGGGCGGATGCCGTGATGAACCCCCGAAGGGGTTGAAAAGGAAGCTGAATCTAGAGCGTCGATCAGGGGCAGCATTGTCGATGGATTCAGGAGGCTCATTAGGCAACGTGTGAGGAGTGTCGTGATCTACAACCTCAAAGTACGGAGGAGCTTCTCCTCGTGGGTCTTCGGACATTTGTGTTTGTGTAGTGTGCAACGGTAACAATTCGGAATGACTTTCTTGCGAGTGATGCGACGTGCCTAAGCTAACAACGTCTATACTTCGTCTCATTGGTACGTCGTCAGAAACGTTATATATGAGATTTGTGGAAGAGTTATCCGCCTGTATGGTACCGTGTGACTCGATGTCAAGACCACGATGTGTCCCTCTTGTTTGAGGGTGCTCTGCTTCTTCCAGTATTGGCATAGGATCGTGGTCGTCCTCCGTCTTCAAAGGGGCTCTGTGATATTGATGGTGTCAAAGGAATGTGGGTACTGCGGGCACGTAAAGTATGCACACCTGAAGATAACAAGCTCCTGGTCGCCCGGTTCCAGCATGTAAGGTGGAAGCGATTTTGTGGAAATCTGACTTGGAGTCCGTGCGGGCCTCCGGCGTCTTCCAGGACGAGTTGAGGCTGCCTGACCAGCAGGCGTGCTCGCTACGGCAGCTGCGCCAACTTCCCTGTGCGTGGCCCGTCTGACGCATCCAACTAGTGTCAGCACGGCAACAACGACTGCGAGTATCAGTACAGGTATCTAGAAATTTGGTTTCTTTGTTTTAAGTATTAGCGTTCGGGCTTGACGGTGAACAGTACGCACCCATACGCTTGCAGAAATGCCGTTCCCGTCGCTTCCCACTTGACTGGTATCTGATGCGCGTGGTAATATCTCACTTGTTGGTCTTGCAGATACAAATTGGGGGTATCGGACGACCGAGAGAGACAGCCAGAGGAGCGTGCGGGGACAGAACGGAATTCGACTCGGAGCAGATGAAAACATACCGCAGCCAGGGATTATGGTGTCGTGAAAGAGTCGTTAGATTATGAATAACATGCAGTGCGCAGCACTTCTGAATTGTGGTTGAGGCGAGGAAGATTTAATGTGGTAGTAAGACACTACTAAAGTTTGCACTAGTATACTCACGCCGAGGCTGTACCTGGCAGACAAACGCCCGTGCAAGGTATGGTCTCCAATGATGGTCGCACCGCCTAACCGATGATTATGCTCAATTAACCTGTCTCAAGGTACGTAGTAGTGGACAGGATCTCCCTCCCAGCGGAACTACCGTTGGATGTCTCATAGTGACCTGAGAACGTACGTTACATAGAGTTAGGGTCGACTATTCAACGTTATGTGGACTCGTATAAGGCCTCGAGATCATGGTCATTGGTCACAATTGTTTTGAATGGAGCAAAGGAGGCGTAGTACGTAGCTAGGTGCGGGGTTGAACTAATTGTTGCTTGCTATTTTGGGCTGATGCACTTACTCATAGCACAGCAAATTGTTCGCGACCGCAGTAACGCCCAAATAATTCCTCGAGTTAGTATTCATCTGCAAGCAGCACATGGGGTGCAACCGAAAATGCAGCTTGCACCAGCACTGTCATAACAGTGTACATGGCTACATGCTAATAAGTTACCCAGAAAACCGCGACGAACTTCGTCGGTTGAAAATAAAATTCACCGGACACCATGATACAAAAATATGACATCGATATGGTACGGTTGCAACTGAGGCTGTGGTCCCACCATGTGAATATGTGCTGCCAGATCATAAACGTGGATCTCATCATGCACATCATAACTTTGGCCACTTGTGAGCTGGCAATTCAAGTACTTCATCACACATGCAGAACAGCAAGAATTGCATGGGTTACCGCGTCGGAAAAGATTGTGTCAAAGTCATGCCGGTCCTTGTCATTCAAGAGGAGTAGCAAGCACCTTATTACTATAACCTCATGTTGGCTCATGGCCAACTATTGCTATAATCTAAGAGGGAAACTATCAATTAGAATATTGGGACCTGACATGGTCAATTACTATTCCGGGGATAGAATGAAAAGTAAGAAGGACTCACGTGTCGAGGCATTGATGAATCGAGAGAGAAACTGTCAATATTTTCAAACTTGGTACGTGGGAAGGTCTAGAGAATTGGACTTAGGAGATTGGGGGATTACACTCTTGTTCGTAGGTTCTAAGAACTTGCGGGCTCACTGGCTCCGCCTGAAGCACCAAGTTCATTCTACCCCGCGAGACGTGGGTCCTACCGCCTGACATCATTCCTGATGAATTAATCAGTTGCGCTGCAAGCATGCCAATGTCGATAAACACAAACCTTCTGCCGAAAGGAAGAGCGAATAGACCAAAACACAAAAGAGTGGACGAGAAGAGGTGGGAAATGGGTGGGGAGGACACAATCGGCGAGCGACACGTAAATGAGGATGAGTGCAGGGAAGAAGAAAGATCCGAAGAACATGTAGTCGATTGGCCAGTCACGACCGTGAAATTTTGAACGGCGCAAGCCCAGATGAGTGTTTTACTAGCATAGAAGCACATACGAAGAGGATTTCCATGTGGCTGCTCACAAGGGCTATGTTTCGTGCTCACAAGTCAACGCTTGTGATCCGCTCGGAAAGGTCAACTCTTTAGCTTCGTCATGCTGGCTCGTTGTGGTTTTATTTTCCCTTATCCTTGACTATGATGACAACCTCCCTTACTCCTTACTCCCCGTCGCGCCCTTCATGCCACCCACCTCTCCCTGCCGCTATCAACTGCAGCTCCCCTCCGGGAACCCAGACCACCTGCAACCTCAGCCCCTTTGAAGAATTTGACGACGCACCTGTAGATGAACTCCAAATATGATGCGGCAAGTTGATAATATGAAATGTAACTGTCAACGTGGTTCGATTGAGGCCACCGTTGGACCATCAAGCTAAATCCATGTAACCTCATGCGAGTGCAGGTGAGTACATACGCACCGAAAGAGCATGCAGTGCACAGCTGCATTATTCGCGCCTGACCCTGCTGGAACAAGGAAATGGCAGTCAAAGTAGTACCTACGCAATCAAGCAGCAACCAACTCACGTAGAAGGCCAGATCAAAAGAGCGCCGTCGCAAAGATGACCCACCTTGTTATTCTAGAAGACTATCGTGTTCATAAGCGAGATTCAAACGTGACAAAGAACGTCAACTATCTATGTTTGTTTCAGGTATGTCTTGTTTGCAAATTCAAATATCACCGTAAAGGATATCATAGGTATGCTCTACTCCATGGCCTGTACTTTGTCTCCAGGAAAGCTGATATTTCTTGGGCTAGAAAAAAATTATGACGTGAACATTGTTGTAAACATAAAATATCATTTACCAAGCTCCTCTGGTGATTCCTGCGCAATCTGAGTGACAGCCACCTCAATCAGACTTGTACATGGACACAAAATATCGGCTTACCAGATGTCCAGCTGAGTAAATTACCACGTTAGAGGAGTTAGCCGGTCTTCGCCATACTCGCACCCTCGTCGCTTGTTCGCCCATAATTCTGAAATAAATGTCAGTAGAGCAGATTTTATGGGTTGGGGAGCTAACGCACCCCTTGTCTCCGGGCTTCCCTGGAACAATCCAGCGTAATTCTATTCGCTCGTCCACCTTTTCCAGCAGTTCCCATGCTTCACGTGATCCTATACGATCTGAAAACACCAAAGCCTCTTGCAGAGCTGACATCTTTAGCTTCACACCCCCTTGTGAATCCTTGGTCAAACCATATGTAACATAAAGCTGCAGGGTATCAGGATGCCAAGCTCTGAAGAATGGAGAGGCCTTGAACAAGCGTAATGCCTCCTCACTGGCAACATTACTTAAATACTTAGAAGTCATCGGCACAAAATCATGACTCACCGTGATGGCCAATGTTCGCGCCTGCTGAGGGCAGCTAATGTGAGCCTATTGAAATGTGAGGAATAGCCACCATTGATAATAACAGGGTCTACGAGAATGATGGAGGAGAACAGTGCAGGGAAATTGACAGCCGCTAGTACGCTGCATTAATGTTGTCAACATTCCATTAGAATATAATGCTAGCAATAACAACATACGAAGAGCAGCCACCGAATGAATGTCCAACAGCCACCAGGTAGCGGGATGACAATCCCTCGGTCTTCCTGGATTCACTGATAGTCTCCTGCAGAAGGTGTAGATGCGTCGGTAAAACCTTCGAAGATGCATCTTCCGGTAGGTAGTATAACAGAAAGTGTGCAATATCCCGCGCGTTATCTCGCCAATCAACTACAAAAGAAGGTTCGGTTGAGCCTTTGGATGAAGTGCGCGGGTGTCTTACATATGCCACTGAGACTTGTCTCGTTGATTAGTCCAGCATCACCGTGCTGAATAGCTTCCCAAGACCAGACCTCGTCGACCAGTGAAGCTGTAGGTGACGATAGTAAATAGCGCAGAGTTGTTTCCCATATCTATAACATATTTGATGATCGTTCCCTTGAAACAAGAGAATCGAGTGAAATAATGAACACCTCTTTGGGAAAACCATTTGCGTGAGCGAAGAACAGCGTCAAGCCCCTCCTCCCATCTTGAACTCTCTTGGTATATCGATTGACGCAATTCCACAACGGTTTCTCGCTTCTTTCTCCGCCTAACTCCCCACTCACGAAGCGCGCTTGTCGCTCATTAATTTCAGCAAGAAGCTGCTCGATATCCCGTTTCCGTTCTGCGCTATTCGTCGAGAAATTAGGGAGCACAGGCAATGGGATGTCCGGAGTGAGTCTTGGACAACCAGCAGGTACGAGGTGGGTACTGACAACGTAATTGTCGTTGAAGAGTTCGTTCCGAGGCGACGGTAATGAAGGTAACTCTTCGCTACCGCAACGTGTGCGAAAAGGCAAGAACGGCCTAGGGTTTACAGTTGTCCATGGAGGAGTTGGTTCCAAAGGGTATGTCGAGGCCATACTGGCGTTCATTCTGAGTCGTTAGAAGCTCGACGTGCTCGATCTGGGCTAAGAACGATGAGACGATAGCCGGAATTCGGGTAAGCATGGAATCACGGGATAATTGGTGCAACCGGTGCTGCCGAGTCTTGAAGCTTGAAGTTCATTGCGGTGAAACAGCTAGCAGGATAAGCTTGCAGTATGTCTAAATTGATTGTAGTGATCCAAGTTAACGCGATACGGGTCCTGCCATGAGAACGTCTATCATATAGCAACCAGAACGATACAGGGTCAAAATTTTATACCAAGACCAACGACGTGGCTAGCAAGTCTACAGTGTGCACTGGATCCAACTAGTATTCGCCGGTAGAAGGGCTGACACGCTACTGCACTTGCTTGAACTTACAGCATTGGTTACAGCTTGAGGCGGTGCCCATGACAGTCGATCGTAATGACTTTCCTTTTGCAGACTGTTTATGTCGCTACTAACGTTGACGAGGAGTTCAAAAAATTATGAACCCTAGGTACTTACGTTCGTCGTTCAACATCAATATAAATGGCGGCGCTGCAAAAGACAAGTCGCGTTATTTCCTTTCCTTTACTCTCTCTAGAATAATCTCATTCGTTCTTTCACCCTTTTTTATACGGTGTTGCACTGGATGCACTAGAGCCGTTCAGTTTATTATAGTAGCATTCAGATTTCGGCTGCGCATTTACAATGTCGCGTGTTCCAGTTTCTTGTGTGAGTCCTATAATGTTGTTTTTACTATCGCGTCCAAGACTCATCAAAGCAGGCTGAGCATGACGTACCGGAAGATATATCTTTTGCACCCGTTCCAGATCCCGAACGAGCTCAGCATATACAGCTTGCTCTCCAGCGCTTGGATCCTCTCCTGGATCATCAAGAGAGCCACAGTCAGGGCCTCATACCCTCTTCCACCTTTTCTTCTTCCACATCTTCAGAAAAAGTCCTTCGACAAAAGAGAAAATATCGGCCTCCTGCTCTGAAATTGGATGCACACGCGCTGCAACACCTGGAGCCATCCCAGGATCTCTCTGTTACAAAGCTGGGAAGCCGACACATCAAGTCCCAACGTAGTCTGCCCACCCTACGGACTGTACCTCTTTCGGTGCGCACTCACGCATACCACCAGTCTTCCGTCACTTTCAACTTTCCGAATTCTTCTCCTACTTCCGCGACAGCTTCGTCTCCTGCAGCCACGCCGATATCCGCCACAAAATTTTTGGCCGTACCTCCTGCACACTCACCTGTGTCACCATCGACACCCCCGCCACCGTCTCCTTCAACAGTGAAGAAGAAGCGTTTCATGAGGCTGTGCCGTAAGTTCGGTGAAGCCCCGCCCCCTGAGCTCGTCTTTGGCAGGCTTCCAGTACCTGTGGGTGTAGAGCCCAGGAAGGGTCGTGTGCAGAATGCTCCCTGTTTTCCTCCTACCATTCCTCCTATCATGGAGGAGGGCACCACCTTTTTCGCTCCCATGATGCAGGAGAGCAAAGAGTACCCATTGTCATGTAATCTGGACACCTCCAGCACCAGTGATATGGGAACGAGTCCGAGTGGGAATCTTCACCGACCTTCGTCTATTCTCCTCAAAGACGCTGGGAAACTGCAACATATTTCAAGGCAGTATAGTACAGCTTGTCTGTTGGAGAGGAAGGGCCAGCGGATCACGCAACGGAATTATGAGGATATTTTGAAGCGTTTGAGGATGCTTTGATCGAAGCGGCTCGAGTCATTCATTTCATTTCATCTCTTTCGGCTAGCTTCACTCGTTGGTGGTCGGGGCACCTATTGTGATATATTTATCATAGCGGTTGAGCGCCTTTTCATCACTTTGGTGGTGTGCAACAATCCTTTTAAGTGCGTACACTGATAGTATTAATTATTAGAGATACAAACACTCGTGTAAATTGTGCAACAACATACAAATGTAGTCAAATATTTGTTCTATTCAAGATCTCGTTTCTAGGAGATGGTTTAGCAATTGTTGTTGGCTTGCGCAAGCCTCAGATCATGTTACATCACGCGAAGGGTAACGTCAATTGCCGATTCGACCATGAAGAGAAGATGCTTGATATATAGACAGGAAGCGACTTGCATCAGTGCGGAACGGATGATCCAGCTGTAGTATAGCGACGAGTGTTGAACGTTGATATTGGAATGCTTCAAGGCCCAAGGGCATCCATCAAATCGGTTTTCTATGAGATGGTAGCAGCCAAGTCAAAGCAAGGCACCCACAACGATAGCGGAATGCCGACAGATTTGAATGCGTGAAATTTCCCCTGTAAGACAAAAAAGTACATACTAAAGCCCGGATATCAGCGCCAAGTGGAGTGGAAAATTGAGGTGCGTTCGCGAGTGCATGCCTTTGCAGCAAGGCTTTCGGAAGGAAGGTGGAGCACCGTAGCCTACTAGGGTAGTGCCACATGTAGTAAAATTTCTCTACAGAAACCAAGACGCAAACGAAACTTCCTACGTATACGTGGCATCTGTGGTAGTAGGCGCTACTCTTGTTCCCATCAAGAGCTGAAGCGTGAGTCGGTAGAGTTTTGGATAACCAGGTTACCGTTATCTGTGAGTTTTGATGATTTTTGAATGTAAATGGCGGGAAGAAGAAAAGGTGCTAGTCAAGCTCTGCTGAGCTGTTTGGCTTGGTCGTTGTTTGCCGTGGTGATGACCCAATTGTTTGTGCTCGCACACGCTTACTAGTCATTGTCCACGATCCTCATCGACCGTATCCTCCGGTTTCCCTTTATCTTTGCACGTTCTTCGACGACAGTGAAAACGAACAAGATTTTTTTTATTTCGAGCGTTGCTCATGTTAGTTAGACTGCTTTGATGTCTGGTAAAGCGCCTCCAAAGGGACCAAGAGCGCTTCTGAGTTCGTTGCCTGGCTCATCGTCACAACAAGCTCCGACGCCGTCAACTTCGACATCGGGTTCCTCACCTGGTGCTAGTACTAGTAAAATTGGCGCACCACCACCAACAGGACCAAGACTCCTGAATGGTGTTCCAACTCAACCCCGAGGTAAACCGACCGGAAAGCCTTTTGTTAATGGCCATGTCGGACCACCTATAATAAACGTACCGACGGGACCAAGATCTACGCAGAAGGGCAAGCAGGTTGATTGTTCATTGTCAACATCGAGTGTGAGTTTTGTTTACTTGAATGATGAGAATTCATCATAATGATAATTTTCTAGTCATCTGTATCGCCAGTCGACGAAACTTCACCCGTAGCGAGCTCCAGTAATAATACTTCAGCAACTATTGCTGATGGTGTTAGACCTCATCAACCTGTGAAGATCTCCTTTACAATTAATCGCAGAACTTCCCTCACCGAATTACGTCCGAGACCACCACAACCTTCAGAGGAACCACCACCACCGCCACCACCTTCAGAAGTACCGCCGCCGCCGCCACCACCACCACCTCATTCACCTTCACCTTCACCACCACCGCAGCCGCCATCACCATCACCACCACCACCACCACCACCACCACCACCTGCACCTGCACCGTCATCGCCGTCACACGATTTACCAGATCACGCGCCCTCACCCCCACCCTCACCCCCTCCTCCAGAACCAGTCGCATCATCATCGAAACCGCAACCACCTAAATTCTATTCCCTACCTCCCCCTCCCCCATGGCCGCCCTCCCGTTCCGAATACCCCGCTGGCAACAACTTCAAAGTCATCTATGACCCTGTCATCGACAAGGACCGCGACGGACGTTTTCGCGCTTTAATAGAGAAGGTTCGAGCTACTCAGGTCGATAGTACAGACGAACCCCGGATCAAGGGCAAAGGAAAGGGCAAGGAGACGCTCACACGGTATAACGGACAAGTGATCGAGGGCGAGCCAGAACCTACCATAACAGATCCTCGTAAAGCCCCAGGTTTCAAGAAACGTCCCCACCGAGACGCGTTCCATGAAATTCGGTATGAAGTGAGTGTAATCACTATATCTTGCGATTAACCCCATTGACGCATTTTGACAGTATGATCCAAACTCAACAGGCCCACCGCCCCCCACAGCTGTGCTGATCATGAATTTATCACCCCTAACACCTACGCAGCAGATACGTCGCATCTTCAGTGCACATGGCAGGATCTCCTCCTTTGATCCGCAAATTGACATGGAGTCTGGGGTAGCGCTTGGCATCGTGTTCATCCGGTACCAGACACATGAAGAGGCCAAGTTGTGTGTAGAGCGTACCCACGGAAAGAAATTTGGCACAGGCATGGGAATGGCTGACGGGGAGGAACTGAAGGTGGTCTTTGACGGCGAAGGTCTCAAACTGAAGGCTGTGCGGAAAGAGCTAGAACAACAGAAGCATCGCGGCAGAGAAGAGAAAAGAAGGAAGGAGAAGGAAACCAAGGTTCCGACGTTACCACCTGCACCCATACCCGCACCAATATCCATACCGAAAGCTCAGACCCCAAGCTCAACGCATACACCTGTCCAGCCTACATGGCGTCCCAGTCATCAGCTCCCTGCGCGCCCTGCACACATCCCATACACCAACGGACGCCTATCACCTCCCCGCAGAAGAGCAGCACCTGTCATGAAAGCCAAAATGATGAACTCAGCACTGAGCACTCGTTTCCCGGCCGTGAATGACCTTGCGCCTATGTCATCTTCACACTCCTCTTCATCAACACCCATCCATACCCGCGGTCGTCCTTCACATCATAATTCTACTCACGCTATAGCACCTCCATCCCGCTCACCTTCCCCTATCTCCCGCCGCCCAGGACAAGGGCGCCATCAACAGCAGAGAGAGGCTACCAGTGCCACTGTCGTCGACGCCCTTGCCAAGAACGGCTTCGAGCATGTCCGAATAGACCTCACCGGTGGTGCGATGATATCTATACGTGAAGAAGACGTGCGCGCGTTCTTCAAAGACTTCAAGGTCGACTGCGTCCTACGAGATCACAACGCTTGGTATGTTGCCTTCCAAACAAGCGACTCTGCGCGACGCGCAGCTATGGTGCTCAGCTCGCGAACACTTGGCCACCACTCGGTAACGCTCTCAGCTTGTCCTCCTCCTTCACACGCCGCTCCTGTGGCTGCTGAAAAGACCAGCTGGACAAAGGAGGAGATAGTCCAAAAAGCAGCAGATACGATCGTCAAAGAACTCAAGGTTCTTTTGGAGAAGGATATTACTGAGCGGGTAGCTGCTGCTGATCTCCGGAAGCTGGTTGCAGACGAGAAGGCGAAAGTTGCAGAGACGAAAGCTAGGGAGGGTCCTGAGATGGTCAATGAGCAACGGCCGGCGGAGAAGCGAGGTCTGAAAGGACTTTCATTTCGGAAACCGAAGAGAATAAGGGAGGAAGAGGCGAAGACAGCCGTGGTTGAAGAAGAAGCTCCTCTCGTTGAACCGGAAGAGCCTGTGCCCGTTGAACCACCAAAGAAAAAGCGGAAGAAAGATATCGTCACGAAGGTTACGAGGGTATCTGAATTAGATCTGGAGTCCGAGGATGAAGAGAACCTTGTACCCGAACCGCGGAAGCGGGCTGTTTCCGAGGTTCGTGATGAGGAGCAGGAGCCTGTCAAGAAAAGGCCTAAGAAGGACGCTGTACTTGAGGATGATGAACCGCATAAGAAAGCCTTGTCGAAGAAGAAGGTTGTCAAGAAAAAGTCAGCAGCTAAGTTGGTGGTCGATGAGGTCATACGGCCCGACGAGTTGGATTTCAATGTTCCTGCTACTGCTAACATACATATCTCAAAGGCGGAGTCGGTCTCGCGCTCGCCTTCTCCCGTGCCGGAACCACCACGACCTCCGAGTCTTCCTCCTGATCCACTCGACCAAGGCATATGCAATGATGACGAGGACCTATATTTCGCTCGGCTGGCTATGTCAAATGACACTTCAAGCGTGTCTCACGTCTCGCTGCATCCTACCGACACAGTACTAGCATTTCGGAAGCATCTCACAGGCTCAGCACGTACTGAAGGCTACTACAAAATCTCTCATGCTGAGAAATCAGCCTATGTCGCTCAATATGCCCTACGATCCACGAACGTGGAATCGGTCGCTCCAGCCGAAGCACCTGTCCAACCAGTCACCTCTTCTCGCTCGAACCGCGCCAACGCTCGCCGCCGCGCTCAGGGTCTGGAAGAGATCAACCAGGTGCAGCGAGCTGTAGCTCTTTCAAAAGGCGAGACAGCCGCTGCAGAGCTGAGCATCAAATTCAACCAGCTCCAAACGCGGAAAAAGCATCTCCGGTTTGCGAGGTCTCCGATTCATGACTGGGGATTGTACGCTATGGAGAGGATCGCGCGAGGGGAGATGGTCATTGAGTATGTGGGCGAGATTATTCGGGCTCAAGTCGCAGACAAGCGGGAAAAGGTGTATGAGCGGCAAGGGATTGGGAGCAGTTATTTGTTTCGGATTGATGAGGACCTTGTGGTGGACGCCACAAAGAAAGGGAATCTTGGGTAAGTTCTGGCTCGAATATTTACGTGCTGCAGCTGCTGATTGATGTTTTTCTTAAGACGTCTCATTAATCACTCATGCGATCCGAACTGTACTGCGAAAATCATCACTATCAACGGCGAGAAGAAGATCGTCATCTATGCCAAGCAAGATATTGAATTGGGCGATGAAATTACATATGGTCTGTCAGACCCCCATACTTTGTTTCTTTGACTGATACGATGCCCTTTGCAGATTACCATTTCCCCATCGAGCAAGATAAGATCCCATGTTTATGTGGCTCTGCGAAGTGTCGCGGTTATCTCAACTAGAAAAATGTTTGACGTTATCCACTTCGCTCTACATTGCATATTCATACCCTTCAATGCTATCGACAACAACGCTAATTCACACTGCGCTATGTATCACTCACCTCGTTGCACACTCGTTCCCTTTGCATGGCATTGTTTATTAATGATCATTGGTTCCACTGCTTGATGGGTCTGCTTATAGACTGATTGGAACTCGACGAGTGTATGGGGCAATTTTGGTCTGAACCGAAATCAACGACATACGAGAGGAAAGTCCAGACGGCATCTGTTCAGTTCATGACTGTCTCATTCCATTGCACTCCTTACAGTAACAACACTTCGAACGAACTAAAATCTCATGCGGGGCACTTCAAGGACTCGCACTCGCCCTTCGAGCTGCGATACAACATGATGCACGGTGCATACATCATCTAATCTCGAATCACTTCGGATACACGTCATGAAAGCGTGGAAGGTCACGTGTCATGAATAATAGGATACGTGTTCAATCCTCAAGCTGAAGGTCCCCATACGGCTTTGCTCTGAAGTAGGACTCCTCGAAGTGATGGACACGTATAAAACCATCTTCTCCGCCAGAAGCATAGCTCGTGCCAGCCGGATGAACAGCGATCCTGGCGGTCAAATCATCAATCAAAATCACTGAAAAGAAATAAAACTAGGGGAACTGACGTGTTGATGGGTCCAAAATGACCTTTTACTCTACCAACCTCTTCCTCGAAGACCTTGTGCCAGAAGCGGGTCTCAAATTTGCCCTGTCGCAGAGACGTAGTCGTGACCTGCATTGCTTCCTGACCACCACCTACTAGAACCTGTACACGTATCCGTTTTATGAGCAAGATAAAAAAGATGAATGATCGACCTACGTATGGTTTGTTGGGTGTTAGTGCTGCACTGTTCAAAGGTGTCTCTGTTGCAAAAGTTTTGAGTACTCGAAGAGTTTTTGTGTCGTGTATCTAGGCAAGTAGCATTTATGATCAAAATGCCCAAATCACCGGTAGCTAGAGACTCACCCGAGCAGTTTTGTCTTTGCTACTTGTTACGAAGTAACTGCGATCGGCAGACAATTGCAGATCGGTGACGACATCCATGTGTGCACGCTCATTATTAAGAACTTCTGTCCCGGTGACAACATCAAAAAGAGCGACTTTTCCAGACTCGTGGCCGGTTATGATCAGGTTTGGTGTATAGGTGAACGCGCAAACGGTAGCCTTGGACCCTATAGGACTGAACATATGTTCTGGTTCCAGTGATTCTGGAGGGGCAGTGGTGTATCAGGAGTGATCAAGAGGAGTATCTCCATCTTACTCACGAGTCGTTCCATCTCCATCACGATTTAGCTTGAACACTCGTATGACACATTGATGGCCCATGCGTTGCTCAGTGATGCAAACGACACGCTCGTCATCATCACTGAATGCCACACGCTTCACGGCCGTCGGGAACTCCCAAACGTATAGACATTTGCCATCGGATACGTTCCACAGACGTAGCTCGTTGTCGGCAGATCCAGAGACAAGAAATCTTGATTGTGCTATCAGATATTGGTCAAGATCAGTAGCACCATTAAGGAAGAAAAAAAGTCCTTACAATCGACGTCGATTGTCCATACTGTGCCATTGTGGCCATCGTATGTACCTAGGCGTTCACCATTGTGTGAGAACCAAACGTTGATGATATGGTCCTTCGAGCATGAGAACAGTAAGTCCCCTTCTAAATTGAACTTGATTTGAGTGAGTGATCGTTCGTGACCTGCGAGATAGAAGGTTAGATCACGGTTGAAGCTTTGAAGGTGCTATGGATTGATTGCCTTGCAATAGAATTGGCCTCTATGACGGAGCAATCAGTATGCAAAAAAAAATCAGGCCTATGCATGTCCAACCATTATTCAATATCTCGACAGCACGTCGAGCTGTTAATCAACGAAACTGTATTCGCTTGTGCGAGAGTCGGAAGAGAAAAGATTTCGAGTGGTTTACGACTGCCGCATTTGGAAGTTTCGCAAAGTTGTTCTCATTATTATTGCAACTATTCTGCGGACGCGATGCATCTGCCAGCAGCAAGTTAATCGTAGCACATCGACCAGGACAGAGTTCAAGACAAGAACTATCATATGCGTTGAGCGAAGTTCGTGTGGATGACTTATCAATACTAGAAACCCTTCTTACTTATCGTATCCCCAACTACTCCGATGACTTGGCTTACTAGAGTAGCAGGCCTGGTGACTTGAGGGAGAAAAAGATCTGATAACGTGGGTGCATGCACGCTAACGTCCTTACTGCCAGGCTCATACCCACCACCACCACTACTACTTCGAGGGTGGAGGCGAACTACAGTAGAATATTGAGTGATCACGTAACTTTCAAACCCAGCGCAACTGGCAGACAACATTTGTAAACATTGCCAGCCACAGCGGCACGGCGGGTCCTGACTCCTCATCGACATCATCGATATGCTAGTTGCAGGACTGTGGAAGGTTTTGGATGGACGGATGGATAGACTCTTCGGAGCTACACTCTGCTGCGTACTGAGTGCGTACATCGGCGGTAGTCTCGGTGAACTCGCAGACATTCGACAATGTTTACAAACAAATCATGGACGAGACGATTCGTACGTCGGATGACTTGAGTGAGTGGTTTGATGCAGTACAGGAACATATTTTTTATTGAGATCAACAGGAGCAGTAGAGTTAGTGTTGGTAGTAGATAAATAATGATCTTTGATCGATTTATCGCAACGGAGATGCGGCCAAGTTTCTCTTTCGGTTCGTTTTGGCACAGTCCCTCGCTCAATGTGGTTCGATGGAGACTTATACCAATCAGAAAGATCGTTCAACGATAGACCCCTGCCACTCCTGATCAAGGACCTGCCAACGCCGCTGTCACGCTGTCCTCTGTCTGTCTTTTCCCTTCCACCATACACCTCGATTTTATTCAATATGCCTCGTCAATTCTTCGTCGGCGGAAATTTCAAGATGAACCCCAGTTCGCGGGACCAAACGAAGTCTATCATCAATATCCTGAACTCTGCTGATCTAGACAGCACAACTGGCGCGTATTCTAATCTATTCACCAGATCTTCAGCTTACAGATATTGCTGCAGAGATCGTCATTGCGCCTCCGTCACTTTATCTTATGGACGTCAAAGAAACGGTGCGATCGGAAATACAGGTCTCTGCTCAAAACTGCCACCACAAAGATTCAGGAGCATTCACTGGCGAAATCAGGCGAGTTGACAGAACGCCCTAGTTGGCTCAATTTTGAACTTTCTTCCATCATTAGTCCTGTGCAACTCGTCGACGCCAATATCCCCTGGGTGATTCTAGGTGAGTGATTTATAAACTTTTATAGATGTCGGCTGAACTTCTTCCAGGCCACTCTGAACGCCGAACCCACTTCGGCGAAACATCTGAGTTCATTGCCCAGAAGACTAAGGCTGCTTTAAAAGCAACGTTGAAAGTCATACTTTGTGTCGGCGAAACCCTTGAGGAGCGTGAAGCAGGGAAAACTGCAGCAGTGGTTCAGAAGCAGTTGCAGGCCGTCGTCGATGTGCTGCAGGAGAGTGACTGGAGGTGCGAATCTGGACAGTCGTGCCGTGTTGTGCCATGCTCACAGATAATCTCGCAGCGGCATTGTGATCGCATACGAACCTGTATGGGCGATTGGTACAGGGAGAGTTGCCACATCCTTCCAAGCTGAGGAGGCTCAGCTGGACATCCGCACGTACATCTCTCAGAGTGTGTCTCCGTCTGTAGCAGAGAATACCAGGATCATCTATGGCGGTAGTGTTACCGCTGCAAACAGCAAAGAACTATGTACGTCTACGGAACAAGATCGAAAAGGATATGCTGACTCTCCCTTTCAGCTACTCAACCCGACGTGGATGGTTTCCTTGTCGGAGGAGCTTCATTGAAGCCAGAGTTCGTCAATATCATCAACTCGAGATTGACTTAGAGGGTGTGATGTCTTGGCAGTGTACGATACCGTTTGATATCCAAATGAACTCGCCGAATATGTACTTGCTTCTACACGATCGTATGATCATGAGGTGTTTTAACCGATCGCACGCGAGGCTCTTGGTGTCTGTCATAGTGCGGGTAATTCCGAGAGCTCATTCAGTCTCCGCTCAAACCTTAAGTCCCTACTAGGCATATCATCAAGTTTTCTATCATTTTGGTCAGCGTATTGCTCGAGCCATTCAGCAACTCTTACAAACAAAAACACTAACAGCTCATCAAAATGGTATGCTGCACGTTTGTTCTTCTTGTCCGAAATCCTCACAGATTTTGGTCAGACTCTTGCTGTCGATTTATTGAACCCCTCTGCAGAACAGGAACGCAAGCAGCACAAACTCAAGCGTCTCGTGCAATCCCCCAACTCTTATTTCATGGACGTAAAATGCCCAGGTGCGTACCGTTGCTCCAGACCCGACACCACTGATCTTACCCGGTTATTTGTTACAGGATGCTTTGCTATCACCACTGTATTCTCTCATGCACAATCAGTAGTCCTTTGCGGCTCATGTGCAAGTGTCCTATGCCAACCTACGGGTGGTAAGGCAAGACTCACGGAGGGTGTGTTATCCAACGACGTCGTTTTGTGATATACTAATCTTTTGCAGGTTGCTCATTCCGCCGGAAGAACTAGATACTCTTCATCTATCACTGGGTGTAGCCGGCGAGTATTTGTAGTATGAAGCCTACTCAGAATGAAGGATTAACACATTCCCAATCGGCTTTCGCATGTAGGTACTTCCGAATCAACACTAGTAGACGAGCCGCGCTCGTTGTGGCTTTGGCTCCCGTTGTGTACTGTGTCCCGGTGTCTCTGATATCTTATATTTTATATTTTCTCTCATCCCTCCATCTGCTCATCTTCCAGGCTGCCTTTCAGTCTTTGAGTCTTGTGTGGTTGTGCCCGCGATCTCCCTTTCGATCGTGGTGCTCCATGGCTGCGCATGGCAAAGACAATGCGTCATAACACGTGCCACGATGTGGACGAATACATGTATATAACTTGAAGCAGGTTGTGGTACAGTAGTCCGCAAGTTCGTCCCGTGCATGATGTACATGGCAATATATTCGGCCCAATCTAACCTATTAATGTGGATGTGAACCGTCCGACGTACGTATAGATGATACAGGTGAGACGTGAAGGGTATTCCATCAGAGAATATCCACATCGTCCTTGAGTGACCTCTTGATCTTCAACAGTATTCCTGTCTTCCAATTATCCAACTTCGTTACCTGATCATACTCGAACACTGCTGTCGTAAAGGCTTGTTCATCGCCCTCCATTACGAGGGCACACATGTCTGCTAGGAACTTGCATTCCCGAGTTGAGGTGAATGTAACATCTTTCGACTTGAACACTTCAATGTCTCGCTGCGCTTTCCCAACATCCTAGAACATGATCAAAAATTGAGTGGGTCACATCAACGCGAAACATACTTTCATGGCAAGCGCACAAAGGCCCGAACGCAACCAGTAATCTTTCACGCTATACTTTGTCAAGTTCGACTTCAGCGCATAATTCGCAACCATCTCATAAAGTTGTATAGCTCCTTTGTAATCTTCTACTTCAGCACAGAGGTCCGCGGCATCCTTACGACATGCGCTAGCCGTTCTGTCAAAAAGTGAGCTACTGTCCTGCCCTGTGAAAACTGTACATACGCAGCAGCATCCTCCTGGTCATACCACTCAGCGGCTCGCTGGAAGCTCTCGCATGCCTTCGCGATGTTATTCAATTCGTGTTGATAGATCTGACCAATCTCCTTCTCTCTGTCTGCTGCCTGGCGGAACCTGCCCGACTTGGTGAGATGCATGATCGTGCAGCCTAAAGCCTGAATCGCCACTGCAGAGACAGATCAGTATCAGCTGCATCAACAGTGCGGAGAGACATGCATTGAGGGTCATCTTTCTTGTATGCCTTGGCAGCATTCCACCAAGCATTTGCTGCATCGTTGACTTCGTTGCACTTTTCTCTGCATTCTGCTTCTCTTGCAAATGAGTCGCCAGCCGCCTTGAATTGCTTCTCGAGCCGGAAAGAGTTGGCAGCTTGTTGGTATAGATCCCCGGCCTCCTCCCATTTGGTTGATGAAGAAGAGAACCATCCAGTGGAAGAATTTGATTTCTTATCAGCTTTCTCGAGAAGAATCTCTGCTGGTGATTTGGGCATGGTGGTTGTGGAGGGTAAGGTCACTCTGAATCATCGGGAGGCGCATTTGGGGTTGGATCGCCTACAGGTTGCGGTGCTTACATAAGTTCAAGTACAGCCTGAAGGAATCACATTGTCGTCAGGCATCTCGTACTGCAAATGATCATGATGCTGCCATGCGCTGCTAAATACTTGGATTTCTAGGTACCCTCTTTTCGTAAACCGTAAGTATTCGTAAAGTGCTAAATATTTGTAAAATGATGAGTATTCATGAAGTGCTACAGGTTCGAACCAGGTCTTTAGGCCCAATCTTGATCCTCGGAATGTGATGGGAGAAATGATCATATAGTACTGTACGGTAAAAATCGCTTTGCTCATTTTAATTTGAGAATGTAATATACGGATACGGATCCTTCATGATAAGTTGTTCAAGAGTCGACTCAACTGCTCCTCCCGACTACCACCAGGGCAACGATGAACAGCAGCATAATAACAATTCCACTCACAGCAGCAGCCACCCTACACCGTCTAATCCATGGACTCCTCGCCATCAAAAAAGGGCCACGAGGATGCACTGAATGTATCCCTCGTGAATGCGATGGTGGCATTAAGCTCTGCACCGATGGCGCCACGAAGGGATAGCCATGGTGCAACGGCTGCATCTTGAATGAATCAATGGTCTGTGCACTCTTACCCGTCCACAAGGGTATCATGCTGCTGCCCCTGCTATAGCTATTATTATTCTTGGCTTTCACCAACCATCCACCAATGAGCCAACACCATGGTGCGATAAACCCAAGCCAGAACAGTATCTGAGCGGTGTCGGATTTCTCAGCATGCTTAGCCCATTTCTCGTTGGCCTGGCGCGCGCTAGAGCATTCTGTGTGTGAGCCGAAATACAGCTCTGACTCTGCAAAGCGACGGTCGATGAACGAAGATGACATCGATTGAACAGAATCACGCTGGCTTGGAGTATCGAGCCCACTGTGATTGGCCCGGTGATCTACATTGGGCTGTGGTATTGAGTATGAGGGTGGATATGTTGAGGTTCGTGATGAAGGACGGGGAAGTAAGGGTGTTTGTGTTGCTGGAGGTAGTGAAGGCAGCTGGGAAATTCCTTTTTGACGCTCGGGGGAATTCTTAGAAGACTCCGCAGTTCGGCTTGATGGGAGTTCTTGATCATCTAAAGGTTCATGATCTGGTTCCAAAAGCATAGCAGAGTACCTGCTCTCCCGCATTGCACCAGCTGACCGAGCTGTGACGAAGCTCTCGCGTTTCGTCGATGCATCATCGAGAATAGCATCAGTGATATCCTGGGACAAAATTGTATCTGAGGGGAGAGGTCCAGGAAACGCTGGGCGTAGATCGAGAGGAGGAATGACAGGCGGTGTTGCAGATAACGAGTTGCCAGACTGGTGTGTCCTCGTCGATGACATGCTTATGGTCCTGTTCAGCGGACGGGAGAGAAAATTTGAAAATACTGGCGATGAACCTGTTTAAATAGATGAGTCACGAACTATATTCCAAATTTCGCGCACGAACGTGACGATTCACCAAGCGAATCCTCTCGTCGTCTCACAAACTGCGGAGGTGCAACTGGAGTGGTGGGCGTGGGTATTGGGCGGGCGGAGTACATAGCCACCGCACTGGTTGGGGTCATCATAGATGGACTGATCGGTGTCATCATAGTGCCCGTAGTACCACTCGTTCGAGAACCGGAGCCGTCAGGGCTACTCGGTAACGACACAGTGCGCTTCTCAGGTGACATATAGTCTTGCTCAACAATTGGAGAAAGTGGTTGCCCAAAACACTCCTGCATCGGCACTCGTAATGAATGCGAGCTCTTGGAGGATTGTAAGGATCGCGTGCGTGTGACATTTGCTGGTGGTGCAGTGGGTGGTGGTGGTGGGAAGTGATGAGGCAGAAGATCTGGTGAGGATGATACGGCACGAGCAACCGAAGTTCCTCCAGCCCCTCCGAGCCAGGAAACTTGCGAAGGGGTTTTAGGTGATTCGAGGCTGCTCTGGGAAGATGATGCCGGTGTATGATTTTGCCAGTATGGGTAAGGGTGTGTTGGCACGCGTAGCCCAGGTGGTAGCGGGCGCTTAGGGTTTGAAGGCGTAGTCGGAAGGGAGGAGGTACTGTCAAGGGCTTGGGAGCCCTGGCTCTCCCCAGGAGGACGGTGAACTTCGGTTTGGATATGCACCTGAAGTTGCGGGTCAGCGTCTTGCTGACGTTGTTTACCCTTGCTATTTGATTCCGAGCCCATGAAGCGAAACATAGTGGGGAAGAAGATGAGAGATAGAAGACTGGGTTGGATGAGTGGTGACAAAAGCCTTTCTTGTGGATACCTAGCGTGCGATCAATGGCGTGGAAGGGTGGTAAGGGTACTGAAAGATCAATGGGGGTAAGTACGTGTAATGTGTAAGTGTAAGGAAACCTCGGACACATGAAACCAGTGCCAGGTATAAGTACCGTGGACGGGCAGGCATGCAGGAGAAGCTCGTTGTGAAAGGTGAGGATGCCACGAAAAAGGGGGGCGTAAGAAGCACGATATTACTATCGATGCTCGTAGAATGAAATCGATTGGCCATAGAGAGTAGGCGGCTGGCTGTTCTGATTATCATATGAGGCTGACGAGCGCAAGAAAAGGCGTGTATGCCTCACACATAACATGAGGCGAGTACTTGCTATATCGGCTAGTCAACAGATATTAATGGAGTCAAACCGTTGTGGACCGCTGTTTGCAAGTTCAAGTTGGTAGTTTTCTACATAATTCCAGCCACTGCATCGGACGAGTCAGATTACAAGCAGCAGTATGAAAATAAACTTTACCTGGAAAGCCGGAATATGTGTGCATTCCAGTAGCTTGTTAAGCGGATAGTACATGAGGGATGTGAATGAAAGAGTAAACGAGCCGCGTGCAGGTCTGACTCCTCGTGGTTGCTTTTCAGCCGCCTGCGCATGACTAGTGATGCGCATGATTTCGACAGGAGAAAACTAAATATATGGGAATCGTCCTTCTAGTCTGTTTGGCTTGCCACATGATGAGATGTAGAGAGATGCATGAGGCCATCGCAGTTAAACAGGTGGCTGTACACGTTGAGTCCCGAATAGATGGATATATTTGGCAAACAACAGGAATTAGCAGTACGTATAAACAGTGTCGGGTGAGTATCGTAAATCGTTAGTATAACCCTCTTCTGCACCAGCCAGCGTGCAATCCATCCTGCATCCACATATTCATCAACAACTAGATCTATGCACCGAAGACGTACTCATGTTCTCGATAATTAGAGTAATGGAAACTGCAAAAGCAAGGGTAGGGTCCGCGTCATGCATCGGTCTCTGTGACGGCTGGGGTATCATCGGCAGTAGAAGTATCTTCTGTGATAGGTGCATCCTCGACGGCTGAGGTAGAAAGTGTCTTGGCATCATCCTTTGAATCATCCTCAGGCTGCCCCTCATCCAAAATTACCTTAAACGAAGAAGCTACCGAATCCGCATCCGAGTCATCTTGGGGATCTTTCTTATCAACCTCCTCCTCCGGAACCGTAGCTGCTTCTTCTGTTGATGTTACATCCAGTTGAGGGGTTCTACCAGGAGAATCTGGAAGCGGGACTTCCTCAGGGCCGCAGGATGAATCCAACTTTTTCTCATCTAATTCCACATCCTTCACCCCTTGCGTCACTGATTTAACATCCTCCCCCTCCTTATCCGAGACTGCTGGTATCGGAGGGTTGCTACCTTCAACCTGCGTGGAGTCCCCCCTTAGTTTCTTGATACTCGTAGAAGCAGTGTCATCATCGGCATCCTCAACGAAGCTGAAGCACCTCTTCCGGCCTATCGTGGGTGCATTGGACGTTGCTGAATATCAGATCAATCAATTAAAACAGTAATAGAAGAGTGGGTCGGTTCCAAAAGATAGTCAGATCACCATGTTGGGATGTGAAATACAACTTACCATCGTCTCTCCAGGGCCGATCTGGGCGCGGCAGAAATGAAGTTGAAACACGACGTATGAACTTGAACATCGATATGGCACGTGTTAAGCGAAATGACAGAGGTATGAAAGATGAACAGATGAACAGCAAAAGATATAAACTGGGGCAAGCGAAGGTTATTATCGATACACTGATGCTCAGCTAGTTGGGTGGCCGATGTACTACTACGTACACCAGAAACCAGATTTACAACACTTCAACGAACACGAACGGTTAAGGATCTTCTATTGACATTTGTTTGGTCGTATGGTTTTTGTTCTAAATTTTTATTTCCGCGAGTCGACATCGAGATTTCAAGGTCATGCAAGCGATGAGGAAGTCGCTGATCATGATTCGTTCAGAGGTTCATACAGTGACGACTCGATAATGCACTGGCTGGTTTCGATGGCAGTGATATCCTGCTTACGTAACGTGATCATGACTCGAATGATGATTCAAAGGACTATTGGAGGAAGAGATTAAAGGATAGCGAAACATCTTGATTCGTGACACTACACCAATCGACATACTAGCTGATACCCTTGATCTCGAGCATTAGCTATCTCCCTCTTTAATCACATCGATCCTCATTGCAGCGGTCCAGAAGCTTAATCAACACTAGAAGAGAAATATCACCACCATGACGCTTGACGTGACTAGTTTCATAGACAACAAAGGAGGGAATGCCGAGGAAATTCGTGAATCGCAGCGGAAGCGAGGAGAGTCGGTAGAGCTGGTCGATCAGGTCATAGACATGTACGCGGAGTGGGTGAAGAGTGAGTTTTGATTGCTTTTCATGATCGGCAAGCCAAATCGCCCTCTCAAAAGAGCGATCTTGAGAGCTCTCTGTCTTTGAATATAGAACCCACGAGCTGATTGCATTTTAAGTGGATTTTGAGGCGAACGGCCTCAGCAAGCAGGTCAACGCGGTGCAAAAGGAGATCGCAGCCAAGAAGAAGGTTGTTCTTGACGCTCATCTGCTTACTTGCCTGAATTTATGATCTCTTATAGGCCAAACAACCAGCAGATGACCTTGTCGCTTCCAAGAAAGAGCTAGATGCGAAGGTTGACGCGAAACGGAAAGAGACTCGCGAGTTCGAGTTCGAGATGCGGAAGAAAGCTTCTACAGTAGGAAATCTCGTGGCGAAGGATGTCCCAGTCAGCTTGACCGAGGTGAGCATCCGAGTTATGTCTTCCTAGCCAAACTGAGAAACTGAGACAACGTTTTAGGATGACAATGTGACGCTCCGAACCTGGCATCCAGATGGGCCTAATGGTCAAGTAGAAAAGAAGACGGATATCATGCCTCATCATGAAGTTTTGCTCAGGCTAGACGCAATGGACCTTGATCGAGGTTTGATTATCGTTGCATTCGTATTCTATAACTGGTATTGAAACCAATACGCCAGGTGCCAAGGTCGCAGGTCACCGCGGCTACTTCCTCACAAATGACGGTGTCGATCTCAACCAAGCCCTCATCACATATGCCCTTGACTTCCTCCGCAGCAAAGGATACAAAAAAGTTCAACCGCCATTCCTTGTTAATAAAGATGTTATGGCAAAGACTGCGCAGCTTGACCAGTTCGACGAGGAATTGTACAAGGCATGACGAATTTGGTGGGTAGCACAGTTCAAAGCTAATCGATATCGTCGTACAGGTTATTGCTAATGACGATGAAAAATATCTCATCGCGACCTCGGAACAGCCCATATCGGCATTCCACCAAGACGAATGGTTCGAAGACCCCAAAACTCAGCTTCCCATACACTACGCTGGATACTCGACATGTTTCCGTAAAGAAGCTGGCTCGGCTGGACGTGATATGTGGGGCATTTTCCGTGTGCATCAGTTTGAGAAGGTCGAGCAATTCGTGATCACCGCTCCAGAAGAGAGCTGGAATGCATTCGATACCATGCTGAAGAATAGTGAAGCGTTCTATCAGAGCCTGGGTCTCTCTTACCGTGTGGTGGCGATCGTTAGTGGCGCATTGAACCTCGCAGCATCGAAAAAATGTGATCTGGAGGCGTGGTTCCCATTCCAAGGTGCATACAAAGAACTTGTTTCTTGCTCGAATTGCACGGATTATCGTAAGTTTCATTCTTGTCCGTAAGCTTCTCGTTGACGGAAATTCGGCGATACTACAGAGAGCAGGCGACTAGAGGTCCGTTGTGGTCTTAAAGTGAAGGACCAACAGCGGAAGGTCTACGTCCACATGCTGAACGGAACGATGTGCGCTACAGAACGCGCATTGTGCTGTTTGGTCGAGAATTACCAGACACCGGATGTATGCTCTTCTTTCTTTTTACGACGCAATGGATTGATGCTAATACTGCATCTACTCTCAGGGTCTCGTTATACCTGAGGTACTCAGGCCATATATGCAGGGACGGGACTTCCTACCATGGGTGAAGGAGCTACCGAAGAACTTGCAGAGAAAGCAAGGATAGATGCCTTTGGTACAAGGTTACATAAACACCTTGGTCCCAAGACCTTCTAGGTTTGACTACGAGAAATCAATCAAACGTGTATCACCCGAAATTTTTTATTGAGGTATTAAACGGCAAGTTTTATCTATATTTCCTATATATCGTCTAAAAGTCACGCATGTACGATAAGTGGGGCGTCATGGCATGGGGTACATATGCATGCAATCTCATTGATCAAAGGATGATTATGGCTAGAAAGCACTCACCTCTCAGTGCAACTGTGTCGCAAATGAATAGTGGTAATTCATTTACCAAGTCAAGCGCCCGTCTCGAGATTTTTCGGCACACTGAACAATGGAAATGAGGTGGAATTCGACAGCGTCCGTCGCAAGTATTCATCTCCAGCAATTCTTCACTACATAAAATCTCGCAGCGGTCGAACGCATTCTTGGCCGTGAGTTTACCACCTGAGTGCTTGCTGACGAAATTAATCATGATCATGTTCGGTCACACGCACTAGTACAATATGTACCTATTTCATGCTGCAGCATAGTTCAGGTGTTGTTTATCTGTCAGATTCTTGGTGTGCTTGTTGCCGATCACAGGAAATTGTCTCGCACCCCGTCAAGATTATAAAGTCAGCCCGTCTAAAATAAAAACACAATGCGCCGGCAGAGGTGAATGGTTTTGACATATATAGGTACGCTGTTTTCTGCTAATGCATCATCATTTCTTGGAGTCGGGGACTGGCGTTTCCCAGCACCGCTACAATGTAGAGCTAGTGAACGCAATGCACTGTTGTCACACCATCTATTTGGACGAACCCTCCTGCAGTTGCCTTTCTGCCTTTACCCACTCAGCAACAGCACCGCCTTCACCTTCAGTTACCCAACTGTCCCACAGGTCTACGATCTTCTCTTTCAGAATCTCCATCTTCTCTTGTTCATTGCCTTGATCTGTCCCAAGGGCGCAAAAATCGTATATCGTGCTTGTGGTACGTTCCGCTTGACGTGCTACGAATTGAGTGAACGGGAGGCGGACGCCCTGATATGCTTTCAGCGCGGCAGGCACGTTATCCAATGTTGTGATTGGGTGGGCAAGAAGGCGTCCAAGCACAAACGCGTCCTTGATAAAAAGAGAAGAATTTTCGCGGTCTGCTGAATGAACGTGCACACCTCAATTGCTTGACCAGCTCCAGCGGCAAGGTGGGGCGTCATCGCATGGGCCTATATGCACGAACTCGTCAAATGATTATTGTGCTAACAAGGAGAAACGTACTGCATCGCCCATCAGCGCAACTCTGTCGGAAGTGAATAGCGGCAATTTATTTACCACATGAAGCGCCCATCTCGAGGGATTTTCCAAACACTGCGAAAAATAATCGTCAGTCGAGAACAACATGACCAACTCAACCCAAAAAATCACATTCAGAAGGTGCTTAACATCGGGTTCGAAGTCCTGATATGCTTCCAAAACTTCTTCTAGAGACACAGCTGAAACCCAATCGCCCTCAAAAGGCATGCCAATTTTCTGTTCATCAGAGACATATGCCACGACATTGATCCGCGTTCCTTGCGAAATAGGATATGATACGACATGCTTTGTAATATTCGTCAGAAAACAGGGATTAGTTGATTGTGATAAATTACCTTTCCCTTCCCACAAAACTGCCAAATGAAAGTTATTCATGGCGATCGTGACCGCTTTCATAGGACGTACTGTCATGAAACCCTTCAAAGCTACGTTATGTGGATCCAATTTCGAAAGCTTCTCCGCTGGAAAGGTGCCGCGATAGACAAGCGTTCCGGTCCAAGATGGATCGCTGTAGTGTCTTATCTTGCTTGGGTCTATGACGTCTGGGCCTATCGTTTCGAAAAGTGTCTTCCGCACTGCGGAATGGATGCCGTCTGCCCCTACTAACACGTCGGTGGTCGATGTACTATCATCAGCAAAGTAGAGGGCGAGTGATCCTGATGACTGCTTTTCATATTTGGTGAGTTTTTTATTAAAATGGATAGTGCATGACGACGGGATGCTTTGCTTAAGAATGTCGACGAGCTCCTGCCGATGCATAACGAACCCTGGTTTAACTGTGACAGGCTTTGTCATCTTTCTGCCCCCAGTTCAAAATGATGGAGTTCACAGACCAGTTTTGGAGATATATTGAAACCACTCAAAACCACCATTTGGGACGTTGGATTTCCTCAATCTCCGACCTATCAAAACGAATCAAGTTCAACGCAGTTGCAAAACAAGTTCTCTAAACAGACCATGACCATGATTGGAGGAAGGGGGCATTGCCGAAACACGAGAGATTTTTTCACACAAGCTGAGTTCCGCTAAAACCTCTGTTGTGCGCTGCGAGACTATGATCCCAGCCCCAGCAGTTGTAATAGCATCACGGACTTCATATAAGTCTATGTGGATATCGCGCCCTGCAAACTTCCCTATCGTGATAGCGAGAACTAGCCCTCCTATGCCTGCACCACTGGAGGGCAAGTTCAGTCTGCGTCCAGTCCGAGAGGTTATCCAGCTCACCAGATTGCTACTCGAAACTTGGGAGGGTCGGATGAGAGCGACATTGAAGATACCTCTGACAGTTGAATCTGAGTAGCACAATGCGGCTGCGTCACGTAAGTAGCTCCATTAATACTTCGACACCGGAGAAGCAGTGACCATTCCTGTGATTGCCGTTGATCGCACCACTGAGGAGTCATATCGAGCTTCTATACTGTAAGTCATAGGCAGCAACCGCGTCAGAGAACCCATGAGTGTTTGATTCCTTTAGCCTGAGGGTTGGTTGCAGGGCCTTGACTGTCACTGGCATGTAAGGCCAGTTGTTGTTGCCTTGTATGGGTTACAAACCCGAACAGAATTGTAGAATGTATCACTGCAGGATTTAATACCTTGTCGATTAGTCAAGAGGTACCCGGCCACCCCTTACCACTCGGGTCCTGAATTTACTAGTGTTTGTCTCTTTGTTTTTAATGCTCCAGTTACTAAGGCCGCTCGATGGATCTTACGCACCCATATCAGACACGAGGCTTGTGGGGTGTTGACCATTTCATCATGATTATGATAACGGTCCAGAAGCTAAGCGCTAAACATCGACAAACCTCCACCTGTCCCCTGCTGAAGCCCATCACACTACACCTACCCCTCCGATGGCATTTGCAAGCTTGCAGCTCACTCCAGACGAAACAAAAGCACTCAAGTCTCTGCCAGCGCCAATACAAGTTGGATCTCTTATCATACAACAATTCGTTCCATCACTAATATGCGCTCAAGATTGCTGCAAAAAAGGCTCTACAGGGATCCATCAGCGATCTGGCAAGACTGGTTGATTTCATTACGCTCCCAAGGACTTCCCGATGCTGTTGCTTGGTGCCCATCTTTCACGCGATCCTTCATTCGGTTCAAGTACCAACCTACATCAATCCCAAGACTATCCCTACCATCACGCGCGCGAAGTGGGCTCTCATGGGATTGGTCAAAATTAGCACGGTTGCCTCTCAAGCTACTGGTGTCAAGGAAGACGCTGTGACAAAGTATATTGTGAGGAGGTGGAGCGATACATATCCGTGGATGTGGTTCTTCGCCCATAATTGCCTCCCTCCTCCTTACGATGTCTCAGTTACTCCTCCGCGCCCCGATGTTTGCAGTGTGTCCGACGCTGTACAATTATGCATCAGTCCACTCTCATTGATCTGCACCAAATCGGAGGAAGGGCGTCACTTGCTCCGTTCTTCTGTTTCTGTCCAGCAATTTGCCGCGCGGTTATGGATATTGGTTGGAAACCTTAGGGGAGATGTACTCCCAGGCCATCGTGGAGCTTCAACGGATGCCCTTATTTCTAAGATCCGGGCGTCTTTTGCGCTAACAAACTATGTGTGCGTATCTGAATCCGAAGATCCAGCCAAAGTCACCCTTCCGTTATCGAATTTTATACATGCTGCCGGAGGGGTGAAGCCCGTTGTCTTCACCCTTCTCAGATACATCCGTCGGATCATCAGAGATGCCACTGCTGTAGAAGAACCTCGATCGTGGACGCCAGGCGATCCGAGCGTCAAATTACTTCATCTCTATACTGTTGGTCTCAAATATTCCTTTCTGTTTATCCAGACCATCAGTCGCCAAGACGCTTCGTGCCGCGCGCAGCTTATCCGCCAAGGTTCGATTCGCATAGTGGTGGATGCGATCACTCAGATCTTGCCGAGGATCTTGGTGCAGGCAAACGAGGAGATAGATCTTCATCCACAGATGGGACTCGCGGGTAGGCAGGAAGTTTTGTGGTCGGGGTACTCGTACATTGCATCCGCTATTCGCGATGCAGATGACGGAATAACATGTGTATGCCAAGCAATCGATGCTGGCCTCATTCAAACGTTGGAGAAGGGGGTTGTTTGCCCGCCTCACGTCAACCGTCGCGATCACCCACCGCGTGGCCGCATGGGTGACATAGAGTTGCTCTTCCTTCTCGCCACATTTTTCGTATACCACAGGGTCGTTCAATCTATCTTCCGACACTGGTTTCGCATGCAAAATGATCCGGTGGAAAAACGAGATATACGCGACGAAGGGTTGGGGCTTGCTCTCGAAGTCGTCCTGACATCTACTATCAATGCTATGGACTATCGCAGTGTAGAACCTATAAACTTCCATGAATACAGGTGCAGTGGTCCAGGAGTACGCTGATGATCTATAGTTCCATCATGTAGATGCTGATCGTGTGCTAGTGTCCGGTGTGCACATGGGATTTTGTCAACAAAAAGCGTCGGTGCTCAGGGTGCTTGGTATCAATCTATTGCTCGGAGAAATGCCAAAGGACTGCTTGGCGCAATGGACACAGGAAATGGTGTCAAGTTCTGAGGTGTACCGTTGGTGGGTCCCTTCGGTCCTTGTCTCATGCTTCTCAATCGAATCACCAACAGGGCCGTGGGGCTCACGCGATATCCGTAATAGTCTTCAAGTCATTGCAGGCTTCGAAAATAATCAGATTTCTGGAATGGCCAAAGACGTGGAAAAGCGCGTCCGTGAAGCACAGCGGCAGTTCCCTGCATTCAGCGATAGACTCGTGCTTCTGTTGGACATGACTGTGTATACGCCGGGGATCCACGTGCTCCCCGTGCACAAGCTAGAGCAATTCCCTGGAGATGACCCTATATGGCCAGAGGTCGCTGACGAAATTCGCGCACGAAGCGACTCCCCACCGAAAGGATATATGTTTTCGGTGGTCAAGGTCCACTTGGGGAAATCGAAGTTCACGTTGTTCAGCCCGAGCATAGCGTTGCGTATGGCATTTGAGGGCCAGTATTTTTCGGATAACGAAGCGCATGAATCTGTAGATGAAGATGAAATCGATTATCCGAAATCGCCAGGCAACCAGGACTTGGATTATGATTCAGAGTCATCGAATGATAAGTGCTACGATGTTTGACGGTTCTTGTGATATATCTTTAGTGGCCTTCGTTGACTATGCATACCCTTGCTTTACTCTGTACAGGACATGCGCAATACCAATCTTGTGGGTTCATGGTGGAATCGATCGATCTGCACTTCACTTGGTTCTAGACATTGTGTCCGGGTGACATCCGTTGAGCCTCTATTACTGTCACGGTGGGCCTAGAGCCATCCAATCTGCAGAACTGCAGGTAGACTTGTATGCGTATGAGGTGGAGTCAGTAGTGCTGGACAAGAGAAGTAGAAATCCTCAAATCCTGCATCGCTGGCGGACTTTTGAATACAAAATCATTATTTTGCTGCTTAGCCTGACGACCATGTCGACGCCACGCTAAATACTGACGAAACTTCTTGTATTGGAGAAAGTTCCACCGGCCGTTGGGCACATTGCTGATGTGGGGTGTACCGAGCTTTGATGCTGCATACAAGTAATTGCGTTCTTGTAATAGTCAATGGTCTTGCATTCAATTTCAACGAGTCGGCGTCTGGGTTGTGGTGAAAGGCCAATCCACCAATCGGAGTCCGCCCCGACTAAGAAACTCATACCTGAGTTTAACAGTAACATGTATCGACGATCAACTCATTCCGACTTTGGTGTGTTCAGAGCTTGTGTCATTTCAGGTGACCAGTACTCGATGCAGCAAAAGTACGGTATATTAGAAACGGGCGTTCCTTCTCATATCCGAATCGTTCGCTGAGTACCGCGACGAGCAGCGTGGCATTACAACAAATGGGCCGATGATCACTGCGTTAATTCTTCAAAGAGTGCGTTATAAACTTGACTCTATACATAGGAACTGACAATGCTCTTGGCGGGTGAAGTACGTGTTTCGTCCGTCTAATACGCAAACTTGTTCTTTGATTGTTTGCAGGCTTGTGAAGCTGAATCGAGTACTCCGACGTAGTATCTTTGAACTATACTACGTTTATCTATAGAGTGAAGTTTGTTGTACTGACAAGGCTGTGGCCACAATCAAAGAAGCGCCTCTAGCTAGGCTGTCATGCTTCCATAAGTGATTCTGTTTTGAACGATTTGGACTGATGCACAGTCCAGACTTGCTGTATACACGAGGTGCGCGGCCCTCTAATTCAGGCCCTGTTTCTTTCTATCATGTCGTGCCAGTATCATCTCCAAGGTCGTTGTCGTTACGGAGCAAAGTGCAGGTTTATTCACGAGATCCAGGCAAGCTTTTGTCCAGAAATTCGGAGTATGTACTGAAGCTTGGTCATTACAGGGTGACGCATTAGCACGCACTCAGCATGTAGAGGGTGCTGAGTTAAGTCGCACTACTGTCGACCGCCCATTCGATCATAAGGGTCGTCGTCAGCATAACGGCCAACAGAATCGCCAGCCCAGGGCGGCTCAGCCACAGGTGCAGCGCACCGTGTCTCAGGGGCCTGCCTCGGAGAATCCCGGTCGTAGTACGTCTAGGCGAAGTTCCAAGGGTAGCACAGTGTGTCGCGATTGGAAGACCGGGAAGTGCACAAAGGGCACTAAATGCCGGTTTCTGCATAGTATCGAAGTACGTGAATCTTTCGCGTGCCTGTCTTCCCGTATTTAGCTTGGGATATCAGGAGCATCTTGAAGATGTTGTTCCCCAACAAATTGAAACAGAAGAAAAGTTAACCGAGGCTCGTGCAGTCGAGATTGCCAGAGTTCGTGCGGCGGAGACCAGTGCTCGTGCAGCCGAGATTGCCAAAGAAGCTGCTGCGAAGACGGTCCAGAACGTTGTGCTTGGGTCCATCGTAACCTTCAGTGCGGGCCTCGAATTATCTCATCTAATCACCGGATTCGAGTGCTGCACCTTGCGTATTGCGAATCTGCCTCACAATGTGCAGGAAGATGAAATCAATGCGCTACTCACAGACCGCGGTCTTGATCGAGGGCGCTTCCACCTCGTCGGCATCAAGCCCATGCCAGGTGGTGGAAAGCTTAGTGCTGAAATCATCACGGACGCTGAGTCTGGGAAAGCACTATCGCTTGACCTCAGTGGCCTCGAGTTTAGGGACGAGGTTCTAACTCTCGAAGTATCAGGCTACAACAGTCCCGGAAGTATGTCCGCGGCGACTGAACGTGACAGTAATATCCTTGCGATATCCTGGCGTGCCCCATCCGTGCGCTATGTTGCAGAGTACCCTGTTACAGTGAATGCTACTGCGAAAGTGCAGGAACTTAACCGCAAGATGTGCTCTGGACGGCGGGTCAAAGTTGAGGTCAATACCATGCCACCTGGTCGCTTCGTGCCAACATTCCGCGACAACTCAGTCAAGATTAGTTTCCTTCCCCCAACCGTCTCTGACGAAGAAGTTCGAGCATTTTCTGGTTCAGATGTTGTCAGACGGTTGACGACGAAGGGTGGACTTTCCAGCGAAGACGTCGGTCACATTACTGCCACATTGCGGGATGATATCGAACGCATCTCTCCTGGAACCCTAAAGTCGCTAGAGCCGTTGCTGCCTACTCCAAGCATTGAGGGTGTCGTTCAGGTCCATGCGCGGTTTTCTTCGTGGGAGGACGCGGACGCGGTGCATTCCCGTCTCCTTAACCATCGCATCGGGAACTTATCCTTCTGGTTCCGACTCCCGAGTCCCACACAGTACTTGATCACTATCTCTATTGAGCAGTTTCGCGCACAAAAGTCTTTGTGGGATGCCTTGATCGGCGGCATCAAAGACAAGCGTGCGTGTATGCTGCATGTTCATGAGCAGGGCGCCGTTGTCCGGATGCGCTTGTCTGGTTCCAAGAAAGAGGCCATTGGCGCACTCAAAGTTAGAGCAGAAAGCCTGATCGCAGGAGAGAAGTTGGAAGGGTGGCACATGACGCTCGGATATTCAAACAACAAATTTTTGCGTTCGGTTTTGGACGACACAGGAGCACTCGTTCGTGCAGATTGGAGACGACAGGTTTTGAAAGTTTATGGAGAGTCAAAAGCTGTTGATACAGGCTCGTGAGCTGATCAGGGACAAGCTGGAGCAGCTCTCGTCCCTCGAGTATACCAAAGTACTCGCGAAGCAGTCCGTTCGATTTTTCCTCGCACGTGGAATCCCAGAGCTGAAAGAAACTTTTGGCGAAGACAATGTCAAGTTTGTCATATCTGCACGGAGAATAACGATCTCTGGTGGCGAGGAAGCTCGACACTGCCCTTGAGCGCTTGATTCAAAGCTCGCTTAGTGGACCAGCAGATTGTCCCAGACCCGTCAGGACAGCAGTCCTGCCCGATCTGCTATGACACCATATCATCCCCGCTTCGTCTTGGTTGCGGGCACGTCTACTGTTCTCCTTGCATACGTCATTTCTTGACATCCGCTTTGGAATCTGGTCAGTTTCCGCTCACATGCATGGGTGATGAGACCCAGTGTAAAGTGCCCATTCCTATTCCCACTATCCAACAATTCCTCCCTCAAACTTCCTTCACCCGCCTGCTGGAAGTAGCATTTCATGCGTATATATCTCGACGTCCACAGGAATTCAAATATTGCAAGACACCAGACTGCAATCAGATCTACCGTTCCACCGACCCCAGCACTACGGTCGCAGGCCAATGCCCTTCATGTTTCTCAAGCATATGCACATCGTGCCATGATGACGTCCATGACGGCATGAACTGTGCCGAAAGCAAGCGGCAGGCCGGACGCGTTGCTGAGGAGCGAGAAACGGAAGCATGGCTGGCAGCTCATAATGGGCGCGTGAAGAAATGCCCGACTTGTCAAGCACTGATCGAGAAAGTAGATGGCTGCAATCATATGACTTGCACGCTGTAAGTTAATTCCAGACGTGCTATGCTTCTGTTTTGCATTTCATTGATTCGCCCGAGTACAGGTGCAAAAGCCATATTTGCTGGCAGTGCATGGGCGTCTTTTCTGATGAAACCATTTATGGGCACATGAATAGGGATCATGGCACGATCTACGATGAGAATCCTGTCAATGAGCCTGTCGATGTACAGGAACAGCAGTGGCTGTTGCGATTGGCAGTGCAGCAACGTCAGCGGCAGGAGGAGCTGCATGACTGGCGGGCTGTGCAGGCGCAATTGGAAGAGCGGCAAAGGAGGGAGGCCGAGGTCGCGGCGAGAGGGGAGGCAGCGGTTGCGGTAATGGCGAGGCGAGAAGCATTAAGACGTGAGGAAGCGAGATTAGAAGACGCGAGGCGACTAGCAGAGGCAAGGAGAGACGAAGCCAGACAACGTGCTGTTTTGCAAGACCAACATTACCAACAAATGCGACAAAGACACGTTGAGAGAGCAAGAGCCCAAGCACAGCAAGAGGAACGTCCGAGCTGGGGTTGCACTATCATGTAGCGCGTGTCGTCAAATACATGGAAGGAAGCTGTCTATTCAGGATGAATATTCTCATTACACAGGACAATGTATATCAGTCAACAAACAGTTACAAGTACAGATACATGATGTGGATATGATTTTAAAATAAATATGCAAAGTCGAGTGCAAAGACAAACAAGATCGTCGATTTCCACTCGATCAAACGAATAACTATAGAGAGCATATTAGTCGACCAGTTCGAAATATGTCCTGAACATGGACTCGTGGCATAATGGTGTGTTGGATATGACGCCGTGCACATGCATGAAGAGGCGGGGAAAACGGCGGGTGAAGTAGGATAGGAAGCCTTCCGGCATTGGACCTAGATGCCGCTTAACATGATCTGGGAGATCTTGATAGTGGTGTTTCTTCAAGTGCACATTAACTTCCGGCAGAAAGGATTTTTGTAAACAGTTCGACTCACTTTATTTCGCAGAGCCCTTAGTAAATCTTGTACAGACTTGCCATCATACTTCCGGTACTTGCCTAGGTTCTCAATGAAAACCTTATCTAATCGTGCATGCCAGTCTTGACCGAGGACATCGAAAGCGCCGGTTTCGAGAATAATCAGGTTTTCGTCGCGGGGATCTCGGCACATGATCTCGAAGCGGTCTGATGCGTCTTGTAAGAAGTTCAAGCGACGCCCTGGGTCCCAGAAAAATGGATGTAGAAGACATGATGTCGTGTCGGGCCTGCACACATAAATTAAAAACCCAGAGACAGAACATGTACGAGAAACATACCTGTTGTAGGCTTCAGGATCTAACATGTTGGTGATTAAATCTACCGCCTCCGAGCCCTCTTCTCCAAACTGCTTCAGGCCATCCAAAGATTTGGTATTTTTTAGAATGTTGACCTCCCGCTCGAACCGATCCCCAAATGGGTGCAATCCGTTAGTGAGGACGTAGTAAAATAGGCATCCCAGCGCAAAAATATCAACAGATTTAGTCAGTCTCGTTGGTTTGCCTGACGTTGACCCATTCACTGCAGTACTGACACTGCCTCGTGATGATTGCGAATGGTCATCACTCATCGAGTCGTCAAGCTTCACTTCCCCCCTGAGAATTTCAGGCGCTCTCCATCCGACAGTGCCCGCAGCCATGGCGCCGTGTGCTGTCGGCAGAAAACTCGTTTGGTCCATTTCGAGCTTCTTACATAGGCCGAAATCCGAGATGAGCATCCTGCGCCCACCATCCCTTCCCGATGCACCCTTCTTCTGTGCAGAAATAAGAATGTTTTGGGGTTTGATGTCGCGATGAACAATCTTAAGTGAGTGCAGGTGTCGAAGCCCGGATGTTATCTGGCGGAGCGCACGCTTTGGGTCGAATGAGTTGGATATCTCGCGGAATTGGTCGGGGCTCTCAATGACGTCTGCGAGGGACGCGGGACAAAGTTCGAGAGCAATGTAGAGGAAATTAGCATGGGCTTCTTGATAGTAGTATCGGATGACATTCGGGTGGTCGTCCGATTCTTGAAGAATATCAACCTCGCGGGAGGCTAGAGTAACAAAGTCTTGCAGGAGGCGCTTAACAGCTACTGCGCGCCCCTGGAGGGAGCCTTTGTATACAACTGTTCCGTGAGATCCAAAACCTTTGGAACGTGTTAACAGATGAGACAGATTTTATTATGAGTACTCACCTAGTATAGTCTCAGATACGACCAGGGAAGATGTAGCGGCCTGCGGCGTTTGAGGTACCACGAGTGTGGGAGAAGGGGTATTCGGGTTGTCTTTGACCACAATCTCAGGAACATGGCCGTTTGCATCCTTGTCATCCTGATCTCCACCCATGCCATTAACGGCTGTCCCTGCGCCCTTTCCTTTCTTGCCCCTGCGCCCACGTCGAGGGCGTTTCTTCGGCGTTGCATTCTCCCTGTCGCTATCCTCCGCCTCTCCAAGATCCAGTGCTGTCGTGCTAGGGGTATCAAATTGTTCAAGTTCTGTGAAGTGATTGAGAGGCTGCGATACGTGAGAAAGGGTGTCGTCTGGTGATAAGTTGATGGTAACCGGCGTGAGTTTTGAGAGAACCGGGGATATCTCCATTGTGTGTATGACAGGGGTATCTGGGTGAGGCAATGCTGGCGCATCTTCATCCGGCTTTCCATCAACGGAACTTGGTATAGACACTGTGGCGGGCGCCATCTGAAGCCTCACGCGGGGAAGCTTTGATCGGAATATAAACCCAATCGCAAAGGCGGTGGCGAGAATTATGGAACCAATGGTAGAAATGGGGGATGCTGGGCCAAGTACCTTCGTATGTGTACCAGAAGTAGTGCCTGACCATGGCATCCAGCCTGGCACAGTCATTGATGCGTTGTCCCTGGGATCTGACAGGGTGGGCATGGCCTCTACGGCATCAATTGGTGGATTTGAGGTCTCGCCAGGAGGTAGCATTGCACCAGGAACACCTGGGAGTTGTTTGTTATTCAAAGACGAATCAAGGTGACGTTTACCCGTGAGGCATTGAGTGTTGCTGGGGTCACGTTCGCATAGCTCCACCATCTTGCGTCGCCGGGTGATACCATCAACAGACTCGATGAGTTTGTGGTTGAATTCAGTGTCACCGAATGCCGTTAGTGGGAAATTATCCACACCCATTACGTAGAGGGACTTTGTCTCTTCGACAAGTCCTACATAAGCTGTATCAATGTCAAGGGAGGAGACATCCGATCCGCGCAAGAAATCGGGACGAGGTTGCAAGAGGACGAATGGATCTGGTTTTTGAGCGCTCGACAGAACATCAAATACAGCCACTCTATATAAAATATTAGAGACATTCTGGAAATACACACAATATTCCTTACATAGGACTATCAAAATGATTTGTCCACATAAACTGCGCTTTCTGCAGGGAGTACGGACCTGCGGAGTCATTTTCATGTGCTTTGAGTGAAACGATTGTGCCAGTGGGTAGGGAGTCAATGTATGTGCTGTCTTGCGTTTTACGGTACGCCGCTTGCAAAACATTGTCCTGGTTATTGGGACCATATATAGAGAAAGACAGATTCTGTATAGGAACCTTCCGACCATTGGGGGAATTTGAGCGGGTGAAGATGGATATTTGGTAGTCTTGCAAGGAGGTCTTGATTAGCTTAATGACTATGAAAGTAATGGACACATACCGGTACGTCCAATGAAAACCTCCGTCGGAATGAACCTCTCGTTGTTTGGCATATAATCTTCAAGTTCGTCCAAGTCAAGCTCTTCTTTGTGGCTGAAATTTTCAAACGGGTCCCAAGGGCACTCAGCATTAATGGCCTTGACTTTCCCGGTTTCCAGTTCTATTGACAACAAGGATGTCTCTTTCTTTCCCACAAAGACCCGTTCATCGTCATCTCGCGCGAATTTAAAAGGTGACATCTCGACAAGCTGTGCCATGGAAAAAGAGAGGCGCTGGAGTTTACTACTGGGGGTCGCCATTACATATATGTCGCCCGACTGTGGTTCGATCATGTACACCTCATGATGAGCGTCATCGTCATCCGTCAAGTCGGAGTCATAGGTGGCATGTTGGGTACGAACAAGCGGTGCAAGACTGGACGGGACCTCGTGCGCAGTATGCGACATGGACCAGATTTTCTGTCCAGAGGTACGGTTGAGTGCGTGGAACCGACCATCTACAGACGCAACGAGAACGATATCGTGTAGGGTTACATCCTCTTTGTCCTCCACAAACGATGGGCTTCTTGAATATTGAGCGCTGACCGCTTTAGTGTCGGCACCGTTAGAGAGGGCGTTGTTGAGACCAGCATGTAGTGTAACTGTCTGTGCAAGACATATGACTGCAAGTAAAACAATTAACGTTGAGAATCGAGATACGGCGGCCATGGGTTTTAAGGGATTTTCTCTCCCCCATTGACCGACACAGATGGGCAAATGATGTTTAGGACACAGGCGCATTCACCCCAGCTCTTAGACTACCGGCTGGACCGCCGGACCATTCCGGCATCATTGGAAACCTGTGGCCGGCCTTGCATATTGGTCTTATGCCAGTACGGTTCGTGTCCACATTATAATCGCGAGCAGCCTGGCTTGCTACTTGTTCACCTGAAGTCTAGCTGTAACTCGTCGACGTCACTTTCATGCCGGACATTCCAGTCGGATCCCAGATTTTTGACCTCGCATTTCATCCCACGCACTCGACTGTATATACTGGCCTTCTTAACGGAAAGGTCAAGGCCTTTCGGTACGATGAACAAGGACAGCATGAAGAAAGCTTTGTATTAAGGCCTTCTAAGCGTTCCTGCCGTTGCTTGGATATTAGCGAGGATGGGTCTCGTCTTTGGGCAACTGGAAAGGCAAAAGCTATTTTGTATGTTTTATTTTGATACGACCATTGTCCATAGTACTAAAGACATATAGCACGATCGATACAACCACTGGAACAGTCAGTGAGACGCGCAAAGATGCCCATGAGTGAGTCAGTAATTTCTTGGTGTGACTCTATGCTTCGTTGAGGCAACTGATGGCAGTGCCAATTAAAGTTCCCCAGTAAATCGCATCAAACGCCTTATGCCCCAGATGCTAGGCACTGGTGATGATGATGGAGTAATCAAGGTCAGCCGATTCTATTTGATGTGCTACGATCAACTTCTTACGTATAGGCTGTGGATAGCTGTGGGACCCTCGAAAGTCTAATCCCATTCGAGGTTATACCCATCATTATGACTTCATCTCTGATTTCCTTTGGTTAGACGACAAGAAGCAACTCATCACAACCAGGTAAGCAAGCACACATAGCAACAGTATCCTCCGCACTCCAACATTTATATAATTTTTTTTTTTCATTCTGTGCGATAATCAAGCGGTGATGGCACATTATCAGTGATTGATGTGCGTGGAAAGAAGCCGGAACCGGTGGCACAGTCCGAGGATCAGGAAGATGAGCTGCTCTCTATTGTTGCTATTCGAAGGTGCTTCCACCTACATATGTGTCTAAACATGCTCATTGTGTGCATGCGAAATGCCGGGCTAATAGTGGGTCCAAAGTAGTAGTGGGCACACAGACAGGGATTTTATCCGTGTTCAATCGTAGTCGTGGATGGGGAGATTGTGTCGACAGAGTTCCTGGGTAAAATTCTGGATGTTTTCCTGAAGACCTCTCTCATTGTCGCTGCAGGCACCCCCAGTCGATTGATGCCCTTTGTACGCTACCGTCGTCATACCCGTCTTCTCACTCTACCATCCTCACGGGATCGTCTGATGGTCTTCTGCGGGCCGTGCAATTATTTCCTACCAAGCTCCTTGGGGTTATTGCTGACCACGGGTCTTTTCCCATCGAAAGGATTGCAGTTGATCTCGGTGGGGAGGGAAGATGGGTTGGTAGTGCAGGTCACGATGATACACTCAAAATGACAGATCTCAGGGCCATTTTTGAAGACGAAGAGGGTGAAGAGGCAGTCGATGAATCCGATAATGTACAGATCATCCAAACGTCGGACATAAACTCGCAGGAACCCGACGGAGCTGTTGTCGGAACCCGAGCACCTCCCGAGGGTACTGCAACAGTAACCGAGGCCTCTGACAGCGACGAGGACGTACGGGACTCTCACTCCCCGAAGGAGAAGAAAAGAAAATCGAAAAGCAGCAAAAATGCACTGGCAGGAAGGAACAAGAAGGCGCGGAACCAGATTGATGCGGACGCTTCCTTCTTCAAGGGCCTATAATTTTGGCATCGATGTGAGGCATACTACACATTCATTACCGGCATCACTGCCCTTGATGCTAATTTAATTCTCATAGGTGCATCTCATCGCTTTGCCTCTTGGTACGGGTACTGTAGTACTGACAGCCGTTCAGGGACCAAATGTTCATTATACATAACCCGTCGGGAGGCTCCGAGAGGGATGCTGTGAGATCAGTGCATCCATGACTATCCATCCCTGTCAGTATTTTGGTTGCTACATACTGCATCATCTCAATGAGATCCGTGGCCTTTGGTTCTGGTCCGAGGTTGTACTTGGTCTATTAATGGACGGATAAATCTCTGAAAGCTCGGCGCTTAGATACTTGTTATTATGTGATAATAATTATGCTATCTCATTCATGTTAGCTCACATCTCGTATGCACGCTTCTCCTGCAGCTGCACATGAGCTCACCAAATCACGTGATTCAGACGCTACATCGTCTCAAAAATTTAAAAAATTTGCAACTCGAACCACCAACACCACAGGGTCGCAATCCGCTTCGATCACATCATACGTGAGATTTTTGTTTAATACTGAACACTTTCTTCAGGTTTAGCGCTATGATACTCTTGCGTCACCCGGTCTGCGGCACTCTTCGCGGTGCGCGGAGCCTGTCAACGCGCGCTTCGGCTATTCTTTCGTCACTTGACATCCCTGCTGGTGCTGCAGAACTCCCAGGAGTTTATGACGGACAATGGTCTGGCTCCGGGGATATACTGGAAAGCGTGTGTCCCGCCACAGGGGAGGTCCTTGCGAGGGTTCGCTCGGTATGGACTCACCTGCGTACTTTGTCCGGCATGTAATATAAAATCTCACAGGCGTCACCGCATGAGCTGCACGAAGCACTGGGAAAGTCTAAGGAAGCTTATCTTTATCTCAGGACGGTTCCTGCTCCCAAGCGAGGCGAACTTTTACGACAGATCAGAGAAGCACTCTCCGCGAAGGTACAAAGTCCCTGTTTCCACCATATTTAGCACCTCCAAAGGTAGTCTTATTGTTTTTTTTAGCGTGACGTTCTTGGGGCATTGGTGTCCCTCGAAATGGGGAAAATCAAAACAGAAGGTATTGGGGAAGTTCAGGAATTCGTGGATATTGTGCGGATCCTTTTGCTTCTTCCGATGCTGATCTTGAAACCCTTGATCTCTTGAGTGCGATTATGCGGTGGGCTTATCTCGAATGATGAACGGCAGAGTTGTGGCGTCTGAAAGACCTGGTCACACTATCCTGGAAGGTCGACTGCGCAATTAATTCAATTTTGACATGCTGTGCTGATGTACGATTTTGTCACAGTGCCCAACCCCATTGGTGTTGTCGGCGTGCTTACTGCTTTCAATTTTCCGGTGGCAGTATATGGGTGGTACGACTTCCGACTATGGTTGTAGGGAGACCTGACTAAATAATTGAATATAGGAATTTTGCGCTTTCAGTAGCCGCTGGTAATGCGAACGTCTGGAAACCTTCACCGAGCACACCACTTTGTTCCATTGCCGTAACAAAGATCATTGCGAGTGTGCTGGAGAAGAACGGCCTTCCTGGCGCTGTGTCTACTCTCATCACGGGCGGAAAGGATGTCGGAGAAGCTATCGTTGAAAGTCGGGATATACCCCTTGGTAAGGTTTTTTTTTCTTTCCGAGTGGCGTTTGTTGAATGAAAGTATTTTAGTTTCATTTACAGGTAGTGAGGCCGTAGGCAGAGTGGTTGGTAAGGCTGTTCAGTCTAGATTCGGCAAGAGCATATTGGAGTTGGGCGGGAACAATGGTACTTTCTTTATTCCGATGGACCATGAGGACGACCACTAATAACATTTCTCTAGCGTCAATTATCATGCCAGACGCAGACATGCGGTTAGCTGTCCCAGCTGTCTTTTTTGGCGCTATTGGCACTGCTGGCCAACGGTGCACATCTACCAGGCGACTTTATCTTCATCGCGCAATTGCACCGAAATTCCTTGACGCACTTCAGAAATTATACGCTACTATAAACGTCGGAGACCCCCTAGTGGATGGCACTTTGCTTGGACCTTTGCATACACGTGCAGCTGTTGGAATTTACAGCGAGGCTGTGCAGCGACTCCGCATGTCCGGTGCCGAGATTCTTACTGGTGGAAAGACATATGACCATGCGGCGCTGAGCCAGGGCAATTTCGTTCAACCCACGATCTCAGTTCCAAAGACCGCGGATCCTGCTGATAAGATATGGAGTACTGAAACGTTCGCACCTATCCTGAACGTCGGCTTGTTTGATGAGTTGGAGCAGGCTATTGAATGGAACAATGCTGTTCCTCAAGGACTGTCTAGCAGCCTCTGGACCAGAGACGTTCGGCACGTTGGTAAGTGGATTGGGCCTGAAGGTTCAGACGCGGGCATTGTGAATGTATGTCCATTTGGCTTTGGGAGATGGAGGTCCTGATGAGCTAATGAAACAATTCAGGTCAACGTTGGGACTAGCGGCGCCGAAATAGGTGCCGCATTTGGAGGCAATAAGGTCTGTCACAGCTTCTGTTCTGAATGATCGACCTTCCCAGCCTAATTGCGCCCATTCTCACCTATAGAGCACCGGATGGTCAGAACATCTCCAGGCAGATCTTCTTCTCTTCTGACTTCTTCATTTCAGGGGCCGCGAATCCGGCGGAGATGCCTGGAAGCAGTACGTTCGGTGGAGTGCATGCACGGTGAACTTTTCGGATGCTGCACCTCTGGCGCAAGGAGTGGACTTCTCCACATGAATTTGAAAGTCAAAGATACTGGATTGGACGATGAGTTATCTCGCGGCTGTCGTGGCACCGCCAGTTGAGATTTGGGGTCAGCCAAGTATGGATTATTGTACCCAATGGCACTCTTTCTGTGGTCGCCTTCATCGTTATTCTTGTATCATAGCTGCCGTTTACAACCATACCTATATCAGGACACCGGCCAGCGTCGTGATGATATATAAACGTGAGAGCAGTCCGAATATCCGTCAGCGAGGTGACCTGGCTTGAGCGTTTGAACTTAAATCTACTTGGATGTGCCAGATGTCACCCCTGCTGACATGAGTATGTTGACATGTCACCCAGCAAACACTGATTGGAATAACCAAGGCAGTGCGTATGGTGAAAGCCGCATCGCTACGTTGCATAGAAAGGACACCTGCAATTATAAGGCTGCCGCATGATTATCTTGGTCGAGTTTTTATCTCCACTCTTGCAACACTCCTCAACTTCACCATCCCGTTGACGGAGTATCAATCATTTAGTGATCATGCAATCCGACGACCTTCCATGGCCAGAACTTGGCAACGTCTCCCGTGGCGCCACCAGAGGCAATCAAGGTCAAAAAGGTGCCTTGGGCCCTCCTGATCCCGACGGTCGCTGTGTCCTCCAGCTTCGAGTTCAACCCGGCGTGCTCGCCGTAAAGCTAAACCGACGTTCAAGCGATTGGTATCGAACTCTCGATAATGAAGTCAACCGCGCCCTGAAATTGACAAAAACCTACTGGAGAAAAGCAAGAAGACGTCAAGACTAGTTTGTCAATGATTATTTACAAACATGCTTTATTGTTGACATCGCGCTCTTGACGGCAGTGACGCTCGCGCAGATCAAGACCACATGGAATTGCACGAGTGGTTGCAACAGCTCAAAGATAAGACAATGTCACATTTAGAGGTCCTTATGCAGAAAGGCGACATTCAAGGCCCCCCATACATGATGCCCGATGACATTGAGCTTGCCTTTCTAAGGAAGTTTATTGAGCGACACAACGCGGGCATCCCCCACAACCCCCGCTTGCGACATCTTGGTCCCAATGCCCCCCAGCTTCCACCCATCGACGATTCCATGGAGGTCTCAACACCGGAACTATCTGAAGGGAGTTACCCGCCTTCCAGTTTGGTGGATCATATCGCTCGATTGCAGCCAGGTCAGCCGCCCTGATCGCTCTCAGGTACTTCCACGCCGTCACACATATTGACTCCCCATATACAGAAAGTGGTTCCAATGTTTCAAGTCCAAATTATGTACACTCACCAGGCACATCTCGCGCGCATGTGATTCGAACTTCCTCCTCGCCTTCAACGGCAACATACGAGCAACTCTTGCAAGACGCGCAGTCATCTGGTTTGTCCCATTAATCATCCTCATGTTTTCAAGTTAATTTTATCTATAAGGCCAATATCTTCAAGAAGCGCGGGCAACGCTCGCTCGTGCGCAGTCACAAACACAGGATGCGTTTCAACGGTACAATGTTTGTCTGGACGCGGAAGCCCGCGCTAGGCGGGATGTCAACGCCGCTGAACAGCATCGTGACGAACTCAGTGGGTATTTTTGTACTGTGCTAGCCTTACTGTCCCGCCTCATCAAATTTTTGCTAGTGACAGCTCTTCTCTCCAGAACTCAGAGTTCAACAGGTAGGCGCTTATCCAAAGCATTTATTTCTGCGTACTATAATCTTACTTTCTCTTCAAGATTACTCGCGGCAGTCATCACTACCCCACGATGATACTCCTGGTCAACAAGACGTGCGTTTGGAACTGACACTGCCCAGGATACACCGCTCATTTCGTTGCAGCACCCATATTCGTCACATCATCTTGTCGACCGGAGACCCTCAGTTGACATGGTACCATCACAAAATAGTCCCAGAGTCGACTGGCGTCAGCCAGATATGACAGGGTCGTTCACTGGGGCACTCGAAGCAATTCCACAATCAGAGGTAATGATGATTTTCTGTAATTCCCTTTCCACACTGAGTTTACCGGGCAGATGCGATCATCAAGAGATCCATCCTACGGGCCAGCGCGCAAGCACTCGCGGAGTTGGGAGGAGGGTGGACAGGTTGACGTACATAGTATGTGGCGAAGACCTTTTGGTTAGGAACCCGGTCCTGAGAAGACGACAGACTTTCAGGATCCAAATCTCCCGCCACGCAAGCGTTCGCATCACATAGTAAATTCATCTGGTCACAGCGCACCTTTGATATCTCAGGCCATAGCACTGCCTCTACGACTCTGAGATGGCAGGTCGCCTATCGGTGTTCAAAAAATCGCCGACAGTGCGACTTTCCATTTTTTCAGGAACTTTGTCGCGCATCCTGATTTCGTGCATATTACAACCATCTCTTCCTAGTTGGGAGGATGGTCAGCATCTTCTTCTTCTCTCGGACATTCTATACCATCCCATTCTCACATCATTTTCTGACCAACTGTGTCGCTAATTGTATTTCGAGTTCTGTATTACACCGCTATACTTATTATTGATTCGTCGCTCTAGATCGCTACAAGATCTCGATTGTTCTATTCGTCAGCGCAATTGCGCATTGCCAGAAATGTCCTGACATAATGATCTGCTCATGTGAATGGGCCGACGGGACACCAGATCCCGCCAGAAAAGCTCAGGTGAGTCATAAGTGGACCATAAAGAATCCATATGCATTCGCATGGGCTATCTGTGAGTATACCCTGATCTGATCACGATTACTGTCGGAAGAACACTGTATGCCGTGATGATACGTGGCGAGACTTCTTGTTTTGCCAGTACCTAATGCATGCTGTTATGTTTGAAACAAGATAAGTGCGCTCCATTGGCATGATGGCGTCGCGACGCTATCAGACAACTCAAATACCGGTTTTGAATTGTCTAGCCCGAGCGTACTTGATTGACTAGCATCGGCCAATGAAAAGCACGAGGTTTGACAGGACACCAAAGCAGATCTATCCACTCGTTGTAGATTTCAGCGCTAATAAAGTAAGCACTTTATCACGCACGATGAAACTTCTGGCTAACTCTTCTTTTGTCGATGTTAGCAACTGCTGCAGCTTCAGCTGTGGTCCATGGGTAAATATTTGTACCCGTATTTCCACTTGTCGTGGCCAATACCAACACGTGGACATGTCAGTCGATTAGGTACTAGTTCTACGGTTACCTTGCACTGGATCGCTTTAACGCTCGTTTGTCAAATAGAAATTGTCACGACCCAGGCCTACAGGCACAGACTGGTGTCTCGTTGGCGACGTTTCCAACTTGTACAGTATCGTTGCTTTTTGGCGAGGGGGAGGTTATAATTTTGACCTTTTCTTCGTAGTTTTCACGATGCAGCACTGCCATTATCTCCATGGAGTTCTCACCAAGAGCGGGATGTATGCCAAGGAGCCATGGAGCACCAATGACGTGAACGCTATGGAGCTGCGACACAGGCACATTATTTGGCATACATGTCAAGGGATGTGCAGCGTTTACAACCCCGAAGACGTTTCAGGCTTGTCCATGCGCCTTGCCGAATTATGCTGATGGTACTTGTTCCGCATTTCGACACTCCTCGATAGGGTTCCAGCCCTAGCAAATTATGGGCTCCGGCGACTAGTGAAGGATCCGCTTGGCCATGTGGCTCATACGAGACAAATGGAACAGCCTGGTATTTCACTCCACAGATTACCAGCTGTGCCATTGCTTACGAGACCAACGATAACGCCACAGTCGCACACTGCTGTTCGTAAATTCTAGCATCTACGCCCGCAGCTATCTTGGCGGAACGCTCGAGGCTTCTATCCTCGTATAGGATCAAGGGACATATCTTGATAGGGACTAATCCGTCTTCTGGTGATCAGCAAGGTAGAAAGCATTTATCAGTTCCCGTGCAGAACGACATCTCACCTGATCCCGAGACCGTCGTGGATAGATTTACATCGTCGCGGACAAACGAGTTGCAGCGTCGGATACCTCGGGTGGACCAGATGAAGTTAAAGCCAGCTGCGGCGGCTGCAGGATGATCTAGTCCTATCATGTATTCCTTTAGTCACGGACATGAGCTCGCATCTCACTTGACTACTCGCTGCATTTACATTTAACTATTGAGCGATAGATTTATGGCATTCAATGGACTATACCCTAGCTGTACAAAGTCTACTAGCAGGTTAGTGTGGCTTAGACCAAACCTGGGATTGAGTGATATCAGGGCATCCGCCTGCGAAGTCAATTTCCGCGTGTGTTCCCCCTGCTTGTTGTGCTGGCACTTTGTCGTACCTGGCGATCACACGTAGGTTGGAATGGAAGATTTGAAGTTGTTACCAGAAGTTGAGAAGCTACAGTCTGCGTCGCGAATTCGCCGGTATCCATACTTGTCTTTGAGGGTCAGCGCGTCGCGTCGCGTCAGGACCCCGGAAAACGACATCGATCGGAATCGAATTACATAATGGCTTGCTTCCACGACATCCGGACGACTTGATATGAAATCTGTAGATCCTGACGCGTAGGGCAAATACCTGCCTAGTCAGTCTCGAGGCAGACACCTTCAAGTCGTCATGAGCCACGTACGTGGGTCTCGGAGTAATAATCTGGCTGGACTTAGGCCATCTCTGATGCGCTTCTATTAGGGTCTGTCCACGAGAGAAACCACGTCACGGTATACAGCCCTAAAAAACCAATGACCCATACATTACATAGTACACTAGAGTTAGATACAAAACGGATATAAGATGCGTGATAAAATAAATAGTTTCATTGAAGGATCTGGCTATCGGACGATGAAGAGAAAAAAAATCAATACCCTATGTCACCCAAAGATTTCAGAGCCTTCGATGCCGTCTGTGAAATCCAAAACAACAATCTTCTGGTCATGCGAAGTGCTGTAGGGAAGCAGGGTTAGCGAGTCTCATCAATCATAAGAAGTCGGAAACAAAAGAAACAATAACCACATAGCCAACTGCAACCCAATACACCAAAAAATCGCTCACCTAACAATCCTTCCCACATCAAACTTGACATCAAAGATATGACTCGCGTGCAAATTCCTAAACTCCCTCACCAACTTCCCAACACCCCTCTTCTCGCTCATACCCGAGTTTCTATACCCAACGACACCGTCCGCGACCCCTACTACGCTTGCTCCGTCCGTATCAGATGCATAGATCGATGTTCTGGTGTTCGTGGAGTTGTTGCTATGTGTGGAGGTACTGGTGTGTGTCGAGTGGAACGACGACGAGGAAGAGGTTGACGGGGAAGAAGAGTGCGAAGAAGATGACGAAATGAAAGGACCAGCATCCACACCAGGAACAGCAGGCTCCCTCCACTCCCAAACCCTAACGCTCCTGTCATAACTCGCGCTGACCACGTACCCAGTCTTCGGATCAAAACACAACGCGCGGACCAACAACGTATGACCAGCAAAAGTGTGCAAACATTCTCCTGTGGATGCGCGCCAAAGCTTGATCGTGCAGTCATTTGAACCGCTTAGAATTAGGTCGTCCTAGTAGAGTTGAATCAGTAAAAGATATAATCGAGTGCTAATCACCGATGTCCGACAACGATCACACTTGAGGGGAAAAGAAAAGCAAGACGGAAGAAGAAACACACCTTGAACTCAATACAAGCCAACCCCCTCTCATGCCCCTCAAACACCCGTTCACACTTCCCACTAGCAGCATCCCACAACATCATTCGACCATCCCCACTCGCACTCACTACTCTCCCGCCTTCGAGCCCGATGGCGTTCACGGGTCCTTCGTGGCCTCGTAAGACAGCATGTAAAGTGAGCGTAGATCGGGAGTAGACGTTGATCAATGCGTCTTTGGAGCTAGGTAAAGAGGGCGTTAGTATCGGTTGGTGTAATGTCAATGTGCGATATCGAGAGCATGGTAGAAGGAGACTTACCAGCTAACGATCCAATTCTCATCCATCCTCAAATCCAACACGCCCCCCGAATGGCCACGCAGAATCGCACGTACATCAGCCCGTATTCCCGAATCACGATGCTTTGCGTATAAGTCCCAGACGCGTACTGTGCAATCTGAAGAACCGGATACCATCATACCGTGCGATTCCTCATCTTCCACCTCGTTCGCATCCTCACCCTCCTCCTCTTTACCAGGCTCACGAGAAGAAGACCGGCGCGTATGAGATCGCTTCGCATCAAAGTCCTTCTCAAACTTCAAACAAAGCACACTCCCCAAATGAGCTTCAAACGTCGCAAGACACTCGCCAGTGCGAATACACCACACTTTGATAGTTCTATCCCTAGATCCTGTGATGATCCGTCGCGAGTCAAAGTCGAGGCAGTAGACGCTATGGAGGGTTGATCAATCATCAATTTCAAACGCAAACGCAAAGGAGAAGGTATAGAACTCACCTGTCTCCGTGCCCCTCAATCCGCATTACCCGCGGTTCACCGCCTGGATCTCGCCATCTTCTTTCAAGCGTGGCACGCGAGCGGTAGAGGGTGTGCCAGTTAAGCCGGAGAGGTCCCAAATTCGTGCTTCTTCTCAAGATCGGATCCGCATAAGGGATGTAAATTGATGGTCGGTTAGCATCAACTTCCTCATCTATAAAAATATCCCTCGAGCGCCCGCTGTGCCGCAACGCCTCGACTCGATCCCAATCTATAGCCCAGCCACTAGGCCGATCTCCCTCCGCATCTTCGGAGTCCTCAAGAAGCGAGAATCCATGTACGCCTTCATCTGCGTGGGCATAACGCAGCGACATGATATCTGAATCTGAATCGTCTTGAGAAGAAGAGGAGGATGAGCTGGGTAAGGAATTTTGGGGGACTGAGTAAGAGGACATGTAATTTTCTGAAGGCCCGAGTCCGTACGCAAAACTGTGTGTGTAGGAATATCTGTATGCGCCTTGGTGAGGTACGCGTGGTTGGACTCTTGGACGACCCTCTCTTGCTCTCCACACTCCTAGCCAGACGCTCGGGTCTTTGGCTAGTGTGTAGAAAGAACGAGAGACGAGCATGCATGCTAAGACAGAACGCATTGGGAGGAGGGAGAAGATGTGTAGGATGAGTTCTGGAGGGAGGGGAAGGGAAGTTTGGGCAGGGGGGCGGTAGTGCGTGGAAATGAACGTGGAGGTGGAGGCTGAGGCGTATGATGTTGGGCAGATGGTGTAAGCTTGGGAGAGTGTTTGAGGTCGAAAGAGACAGAGGTGAGATGAGGTAGGGGTGGTAGGGGTAGGGGAGGGTGAGGCGGAGTGTGTGTATGACGATGGGGACGCTAAATGATAAATGTTAATCCAGTATTAAAAAAATCCAAAGAATGCGTACCTGCGAAATCGCATTGAACTGCATCAAAATAACCTTCGTGATCTACGAGTTCGCCTTCTTCACCATCAAGCGGGTCCAATGCACCGTAGTCTACGTCGACGTCCCCATTGATGTTACCCTGAACCCTGGATCCACAGTAAAAGACGTCTGATACTGAAGGACGTTTTATCTTGCGCTTCGCCCGCAAGATGTTAGGCGAGGACCTAGGAAAGTGTCTATGGATCGGCGATGGATGTTTGAGGATAGGCGACGACTTGCTGCCTCGAGGAGATGGAGAAGAGATGCTTTCCCAAAGCTTCGTAATATTTGGACGCACGCGGCGTTTGGTACCGCCTCCCAAGGCTATGCTGTGACTTCGTATATGAGTAGAAGTGCGGGTTGGAGATGTCCGAAAGAAAGGAAGAGTATTTCGCCCTTGCGGTGCTGAAAGGAATTGAGAGTGATATTGAACATAGGAAGGACTGCTTGGTGGTGATATCATGCTAAAGTCTGCGGTTGGTGCTGGTGAGGGCGGACGAGAGTGTCCTAGCGTAGCTTGACTAAAATCTAATGAGAGATTAAAATTAATGTTCAAGTGCAAATTCGAGTGCTCTTCTTCCTCCTCCTCATCGGAAAGCTGGAGAACATGATTCGAGTTCAGAGAGAAGACTGGAAGGTCTAGCGTGAGTTTGGATGAGCCTGCCAATGGCTGCTGTTCATCGTCAGAGAGACACGGAGGCTCCGGAGATGGATGAGCTGTGTAGTAAGGCGTCGAAGGTGAGCCCCCACGATAAAAATCGGGGACTGTCCTCCTAGACTCCATTGTCAGCGAAAAACAAGGTTGCGTGTCGCCAGCGTGATTTGTAGTCCCTGTTGGCTAGACTGCAAGCTACTGCGGGCATGCGTCTGCCCTCCGACTCGGATGCATGTTCAACTTGCATTCCCACGTGACTTGGGAGCCACCTACGAACTTCAACTTCAAGGACTCTGACTTCAGTCCGATGTAAATTATTAGGATGATCGCTTGTACGTGCCGATACGTCTCATATGAAGGGCTAGTTTTTGACCGTATGACACCTGTAAGCCAATACGTCAGCTGAAGACCCAAAGACCAAAGCACCCACGGCCCACAGCTGACCTCACAGGCAGACGTGGTCACAGGCAGACGTTTCTGGCGGATTCCCAGCAATGTGAAGCGAAGCGCAGCAGCAGCAGCTGGTGGCGGCCATTCCGTGAGGATCCTAGTAGTACTTGGGACACACCCGCGTGATCTCAAAATCAAGTACCATCCTCAACAACAATTTGGAATGACATCGTGTCACGGTGACTATCATTTCATCGTAGCAGGCACTCGACTACCTTGAATCTCATGTATCGATATCGTGTATAAATGAAATATAAAAAGCATTTAACTGCATCGTGTGAAAGGTATATGTATCAGTTATTAGAGTGAGGAATTTGGTGTGACCCATGTTTTGACAGGACCTTTGAAGCTATGCTTTCCCCACCAAAACCAGTTGATCGTGATTATAACCAAAAGACCGCCCACAGCAACAATTGCGTAATTCATGTTGAGGACGTTCACCGGGTATGCCGTAGGTAGGATGAATAAAACGCAGATGAAAACGCAAAACTACACAGATACTCAGTGGTTATGTGTAAACATGAGGAATGTACGCACCAAAAAACTTGCAAAGTTCACTGGCCATGACCATTTTCCAAGGCAAAAAGGTCCAAATTCTTCGATGCTAAATTCAACGCATAAGTTGAACGAGGCTCGGATACATAATTTTCAAGAACGAACCAGTCAGGCCAGAACACGCGAATAAGGATGGGTTGCAAGTAGCTCAACATCACTGATATGGCTGCTGAAGATAGGATGGCGTTGAACTGTGAACGAGGAAATGCCATCAGAACAGAGCATATGAAGAAACAGAGTCGACTGACTGCCACCGCAGATCCGATGTAGGCACACGATATAAGGCATCCTATCAAGACGCTGGTCCATACACCCCAATATGGCGCTTGGAATCGGTTCAAGGCCATAAATTGCTTTTTGAACGGGAACGCATTGTCTCTTGCGAGCGCATAGAACAGCCTCGAGCTTGCAGTAAAATTTGTAAACGCAGCCATCACTTGAGCAAGTGTCACCACAACCAGACACACTTGTGTCAACTGGGGCCCGACAGCATCATAGAAAAGTTGAGAGATTGGGAGGGCGAATGTGGTGGCCTTAACGGATGCGATGTTCTGGACCGCGAAAAGAAGCGAAAGCATGTATGCGAGACCGATTAACCAAGAGCCTGCAATGCTGCCTACCACAGCAAGAGGGGCCAGGATTTCTGCGCGTACAGCTTCTTCTGCTACTTGAGCTGCTGTTTCACATCCCTCCAGTGTGTATACAGCCTAACGGTAGCGCTGTGAGTCACATTGTACATCATGCGTACATAGTCAAACCTGACCTGAAGAAACCCAAGAAGCACGACGAAGCCTTTCGATTGCCAACCGGTGAAGCTAATCTGCCAGTCACTAACTTGGTCCTTTGAAAAGCAAGCAAAAGCTTACTTTTCAAAATTCGTGAACACGAATTCCGGAGAATTCTATCATACATGATCAGGTCCTGCGTAAAGAAAGCTCGCCAGGCAGATGTAAGAACTTTACCTTCACAGGCGCTTTCACAAGCAGGGTGATGACCAGCACAAACGTCCCGCCCAGCGTCCACCAGACATTGAACGCACTCATTCGTCCTATAGCCTTCGTTCCGATGGTATTGATAATGCCAGAGAATATATTCATGGCCCATGCGATGGCAGTGATTTCTATTCCCGTCAAAGTCCTTCCTTGTCCAACCTCTGCCATTGATGCAAGGTATAGAGCAATACTAGTGATGATTCACAGGCCGCAGATCATATGATGCGAACGAAACTTACCTCAAATTTCCGGCAGCACCGGTAAACACCATAGCCATGGAATAAAGCCAGCCAGTGAAAACTGATTCATGAGCCACGGCGTGAAGAGTAGACGTCAAAACCTACAACCAAGGATAGGCATGTCTGGTTTCATTTTGCAAACCCAAAAGTAGAGTCCTCCCATTGTTGGGCTATACGATAATCTAAGTCACGGCTCTGGCAGGGTATTACGATTTGCTCACTATGTACTGCAAATCTCTGCGAGACTTAAAGCAATGAGAAACATAAAGAAACTGCATATCTATACAGAACAGCAGCTTGCATTGGTTTCAGGCAGACCGAAGCGCTAAACTCACATTCCATCCCCAGAAGAGGCCAAGCGGACCTCCAGAGAATAGCCCTGTTTGAAACGCACTGCTCATTCCAGTCAAGATGCCGATGGCACAGAACGACATCCCAAGCACGCCGAAAAGAGACATCTCGCGGCGGAATTCAACCGCGTACCCTAGATCCTGAAGGCGTTGATCAGACGCGACAATGTCGCATGCAACTTCCTTGTCATCTCCTGCACTGAAATCTCGAAGTTCTGCCTTGATCATGGTGGACGCGACACACCCTGATTGACGTGAGCGGATGAGGGGACCAGTGTTATATGGTAACTAGTAGAAAAATGAGAGCAAGGTAAGATAGAGTGTAACAAGCAACTCACTCGCCTCCAGATAAGCGACTTAAGTACCGACTATGACGCTCTGTCAAGTGTATGTATTGGTGGGAATGAGGGGTATCTTCAAAAGTGGAGACCACGAGTTTGTAGAGCCTCAGACGCACCACCTGACTCCTTATCATAACTGGTTAAGATAATTCCAATCATGTTTAGTAAGGATTTCGCTGACCTTGAGATAGTGATTGAAGGCGCCTGCATGTGCCAGTCAGTGTGAAGTCGCGTGTACATCGTGTAAGTGTCACGGTAAATCTGGTTCGGCAGAGGCTTTATCATGAACTTATCCAACAAGATGGGCGCTCTAGGGAGACACTGCAACAAATCTGAGGATTAGCCTGACAGGTCAGACAGATGTAGCGATAGGGCGAGTTACTAGTCAATCAGGTGGACCAGCACTGGGTGAAAGAGTTCGTTCAAACGCTGACGAGCAGAGCGACTTTTCTCTCGTCGTGAACATAATAGGTGTCCGAACATTGAACAACGCCGGCCAATCTATATCTGATACGCTCCGGCCCTAAATTCATTTTGTCTGTTCGCACGGTCCTGTGCCTCTTCCTTTCCTTGGCTTTTTTTCTGATAATTCCTGCTGTTATTCCTTCGAGTTTTGAATCGACCATATCGTTGTCCAATGTGTTGCGATCTGTCACCGATTATCACGAGGCCGCTGTGGAGTCCACTTCTGGCCCAGTGCGCCCGTATCAGATGCTTCGTCCCGTCTTTTTGGTCAAATGGGCGCGATAACTCAACTTCACTTAAACGTTCATAGCCTGTGAACGTTTAAGTGAAGTGGAGTTACCGAAGTCGAAGATCCACTTCAACAGCTGGTACCTTCATATAATGATACATGCGTTATTTATAACCATCTATCTAATACTCAATCTCGGACAACACAACCATCCTTTTACATAACTCTTACCTCGTATTCTGTTAGCGCCGTCCGAGATTCACAGACTAAATTTACGTTGACCGCACATCCACTCAGCCAGGTTCAGATCGTGTCTGCTAAAGCTTTAAGCAACCTCTATGCCTTCCTCTTTCCCTTACACTCCTACGACACACCGGACGTCCGTGAAACCACGCCCATGGGTGCCATTGAAGCACCATGAGGGGCGCATCGAGGTTCCATCCCTACCCTTCAACCCCCGGACGGATACCTTACTTGGCATGTACGAAATCAGCACGCATGTCATACCTGCCGTCAATCCCAGAATCACCCCAAATGTCCCAGTTCCCGAGCCACCCCCTCACTCTTTGAAAAGAACCGGGAGGGATATCAAGAAACTGGGACTTGAATTCATAAACCAACAGGCCAGGCAAGAAGAGGATGGCTATTCCGGCGTCATGGACGAAAGGCTACTGTGGAATTGTATCAACCGATATGTGAAAAAGGACCGGGGCGCCAACATCAGAACGAAGGGGGTCGCCTTATTCCTTGTGCACGCAGTAGGCTTTCCGAAAGAAGTAAGCCCGCAATGCCTGTTCACGGTTCGCATGCTAGGAACCTGACTATACATTATGCATACTCAGACTTGGGAGACCACCCTATGCTATCTACTAGGCACCTGTGGTCTCATAGATGAAATATGGTCATGGGAGTCCGTGCAGCATGGGGACTCTGCTCTGCTAAACAGGCAGAATCTCAGTGGTAGCTGTAAGAGAACCCCTCTCAAACCTGCTCGCTCAAAATTAATCGACAACAGTTGATTGGACTGACAATGCAAGAGACATTGTAAACTTTTTTATCAACTACATGCCAGAAGAAGTAGAAATCCCCGCGCTGCCGATCCAACTCCATCGGCTCCCTGCATCCATCAGTGAGGCACGTCAACAAAGTGGCTTCTCTTCCCGGACCCTGGTCTTGGCGGGGCACTCAGTCGGGGGTTGTGTGGCGTATGTTATCGCGTTTCCAAGGCTTTGCCGAACCTCATGATATTACGCAGTGCTTTAGTCGCGTTACATTTCCCAGCCCTATTTTCCTCGCTCATCCTCGTCGATCCGATGATCGATACATTCACAGAATTTCCATTTGAGCACGGACAGAGCGTAGTTGGCCATGTCTTGATAAGGCGCCAACAGTGGCCATCACGGTACTTGAATGTCAATAATAACCCTCGCATCCACTGACTATGATTGTAGCGAGGCTGCCTTACGTTCCTTCAAATCATCGCCTTTGTTCTCCGTTTGGCATCCTGATGTAATTCGGCTCTATGTTGATTATGGACTATATGAGGACGGGAGCGGGAGCGTCAGATTGAAAACAGCTCCCATTCATGAGGCTATCGTCTCTGCCAACCTCCGAACTAGTCGCGAGACCTGGGAGTTGATGGAAACGCTTGACGAAAAGATCGAGCTGTTATGGATTCTCCCCGGTAAAGAAAACAAGGTGGTGTAAGTCATAGAGGCAGGGGAAAAAATTCAGTAAACTCATAGGTGCTATATTGCAGGTCAATGATGGAGCCATTCTTGAAGGAGCGTGTTTGGCGCAGACCAGCGAATTCATCTAATGTTATCATCAAGTCGTCTGATCATCTCGTCTGTATCTTCTTCGATCATCATTTTTATAACTAATGTGACTGTGTCATAGATTCCTCACGAATCTCCAGAAGCACTTGGTACGTCGCGTTCAAAGGAATTAGTTGTTTGATAGCTCAATTTCCATACAGCGCAAACTATGGCTGACTTTCTTCACAAGAAATATGGTGTTTCTTCAGTGCAGTCGAGGCTCTGAATCGATTATGGATGGCATAAGCTGTTCGAGACTCGTCTAATTGATTCAACACATCTACTCCCTAGGCTTAGGGTGTACGAAGACCACCAGTAGTATTGTCCGCGGCCTTGCTATTGCAACTACTTCCACGTGGACGGACCAGAATTCATTCCGTTGTACTTACCGCTTTGATCAATCGTCGGACAGTGAACCCGTCACACTTCCGGCGGACACGACTCTATGAATGTATGTACAACATGTACCACGATGTATTTCCCAAACCCTAGCAAAGTAATGTAACCCTATACACACTAATGTAAACGAGGAAGATAACTCAAAAGCAAACATCTAAACGACAAACCATCTAATCGCGACAATTAATAACCATGAGTCGTATCATAAGGATGAAGGTCCGTATCCCCTGGCACAAGATAAGATTGTGAAGAAAAAAAAACCGATAGCAGTAGTTCCAAGGAGACAAATGAAAACTCAAAGAAAGTGATGTTAGGAATACATGACCACCTTACACTCGCACTTCAGGTGCAGAAGGTAGTGGGACCGTGTCCCTGAACGGCCACCAATCCTGAGGAAGAATCTCCTCCAGCTGATTGGTAAGCGCGACAGGAAGACGACTGCGCGTGCCTTCAAGCAACGCCCGCTTCGATGGGTACTCGTGCGGCGACACCCATCCGTACAACCGCATACCAAACGTCGTACGCACGTCGTCTAGGAAATCATGCCATTCTACATACCGATCTCGTTGAAGCTTCAGCTCATCCACTTCCTCCCGCGTGAAGCGCAGCGGGCAGGGCTGATCACTACGAGAGAGTTCTGCCCACCGGCTGAAGACATCTAGCAGCGCGAGGCGCAGTGGAAGAATGCCGTCTTTCCATGTCCGGCCTGCTGCGCGGACAGGCATTATCCGCGTCTCGCGATCGCTGACACGATAAGGGTATAGCTGCTTAATTTCATAGAGTTTATAGAGCATCTGCGCCTTGTGGTCCTCGCGCATTACAGCCTTGGTGTCTTGGCTCATGATGTCGTACTCAGGAGGAAGTTTAGGGAGATCGAGGCCTGAAGGAAGTCCGGCACCATCACAGGCCAGGAAGGATGGACTGGTCATTTGAAGATACGCAGGACCAGCCCAACAACCTTGCCAATCAATGATGCTAACGACACGTCGTTCATCATCGTCGGACACGAAGATATTTCCAGGGTTAAGGTCAGAATGCCACAGGTTAGATGCAAGGACCTTTCGCGCGGTCGGCACAAGAGCGGGGATGATTGAACGATACTGCTCCAAGCACTGAAGATGTTCTTCTTTGAGCTGAGGACCAGAGACATTACGGAAAGGATCATCATGAATATTGGGCTTGGCAAAGCGCGAGATCCATGCCTCCTCGCGCAAGGCGAGGGAGCGAAGGTAATCCTCCGGGGATGACCCTTGACAGGCATTAGCGATCTGTTATGATTACGCAGTGTCAGATGTACGCACACGGTCCTCTATCAAGGTCCATAGTTGCACGTTCATCTTCATAGAAATTACGATGGGCTATAGGACCTATGCAAAACTTGTCCTCAGAACCGAACCTACGTGATCCGTCGGCATACAAGCGTGGGGCCCGTTTGGACTCGGGAATATCATCCCTGTAGTACAGGCTACCATACTGCGCAAACTTTGCGTTCAGCATGTTCTGCTCGAGTGCTACAAGCGAATTGACGACGCTCTTCTTCTGACGTGAATCCATGGAGCGCCAGACGGTGCTAAGCTGGACGCCTGGAGCGGACTCCATGATGATGTATTCTGCTCCGACTCCATTATTGGCAGCGTGGGAACTCCAGGCTAAGATCTTAGGCACGGGAATTCCGAGGTTGTTGCGGACAAAATCCATCGTTGCAACCTCGCTGGAAGTCATGAGGTGGTCAGGACCCGCAATCGGATTCTATGAATGAAGATCAGGACGAGTACTTAGCGCCGTGCACATGCAATGTGACTTGCCTTAATACGGGCAGCGACTTTTTTCCCATTTGCGAGTGTGACCATTAAGGTCTTATTAAACAAACCCTCTTTTTTCTCCATGGACATTACAGGGGAAGAGCAGACAGAGGCAATGATACGACGCAGAGCAGTGACATCAAACTTGATGTAACGCTGAGCCATCTGTTGAGATTCGTTGTACAACCACCTGCCGGAGGTGTATCGGAAGAGATTCTCATTATATTCGGTTCCTAAAGAGGTGACGACTGAAGGTTTTTGAGTAACAAGGAACAGCCAAAATGCCTCATTGCTTACCTGGGGGGTCCGGAAGACGAGGTTGGGGTGGACCTGGGGGTGGTAGAGACAGGTAGGAAGGTGGAGTTATGGAAATTGCGGTGGCCAAATTTCGAGAGACATTTGTGGGCTTGAGAGCGGTCGTAGGCCTGACGATGCGAATAGATGCAGGGCTTCTCAGTACCTTCATAGCAAGATCATACGAGCCTTTTGAAATATGGTGGGTGACGGAAAGTCAAGAAAAGATGAAATAGAGGTGAGCCAGGTTGACTTATTATAAAGGGGAGAGGAGAGCAAGAAAATGATATTTAAATTTCAGTTTGTTTGGAAATCCGTAATAAATATGTGGGGAAACTGACACGATCGGATCTTGTCTCGCACGCCATCAACTTTACTGCCATTGCAAACTGGCCTGCCGCGGCCAGTCTAGTCTGGTCTGTGAGGTCCGCAGTCTCAAGCTTCATAGCATTTTACATCGCTCCAGAGCTAGTAACGCTGACCAAAAACTCTCAAGATTATCCTCACTCCAGCTTCGCGAAGGTACTATCGATTTAACCTCGACTGCTATCATGGCGCTAATCTGTTCAAGCTACCTTTTACACTTTCGACTCGGAATCACGGAAAGGACAGCTATTTCAAAAACATCATAAGATATGATTCATATCATTGCGGAATTGCCCGCTGGCCTCAACCTTGCCGCAACCTAGCTGCTTCCACGGGGCACTTTATTACGAGCTACGCCGTTCTTTTTCTCACATCATGACTATCTCATTGCAAACGTTGCTCATCGAATACATAATTGGTGCGTCAGTCTAAATAAATCGTAAGATAACTTTCCTTGATGCCGTCTGAACCCTGACATCTAGGAAGTCGCACCGATGTCATGAGATCACGCACCTTTTAATCATGATAACTTGACCCAAATAAACTGCTCAGCTGCTTCAAGGCGTAGGATCCCGTATGTTGGTTGCAACTTGTCAACTTGTTGAATTCAAATTGTCACTCACAATGCTCTCCCTATCAGTTGCTAAAGGTTACGATCGCCCACCCTCAATCACAGCAAACGCTTCTGATAAGCCTTTCTCAGTTGATTCGGCGGGCGTGTGCGCGACTCCCGAGGGTTCTGATTCAAGTCCGTTGGCGACCCTGTCTCATATCTACAACTTATCACAATCGTATTTTTGTTATGCGATATCATTCGTTCGCGCATGATGTACCTTTCGTGTTATCTGCATCGATATCGTTTTCCTCGTGCGTTGATTTTTAGTCTTCGGTGTCAGAACTAATCAATTTACATCCTTACGCATAGACCCTCTCCCCGGTGTACTCAGCTCAACCAGCCACTCATGTCCTTCATATCAAGACACATTATCGAATAACCCTGCAGTCTTAGTGCGTATGTCTTGTGCGTGCGTTCCCGAGAGAAACTTCCATCACTCAAGTGATCTTGAATTACGTTGGATCAACAGACCTTAATCAGCCTCCGCGATTACTCGCTGGCTGGTGAAGTGATCTACATACATCTTGTGCCTGTGCCAGATGCAGCAGCGGCCTAAGTCCACACGGGTTCCTCAAATGCTAAAATTCACGGCCCACCCATCCCTCTATGTATATCGCGGGCTTGGACTTCTCAGAACATCATCAGAAGCAGTGAGTGCGGACCTTGTATCAAATTTTTGAACCTTGATATCAAACTCGATCCATCAGAGCTGTGGAAGTATGGCTTCAAGAACAATGTCAAAATGAGACTGGAGAGACGAATGAGATCATTTTGACTGTGTGCCCCGCTGGGTTAGTATCGCACAGCCAGACCATCATTTAGAAAGAAGTAGTCTCTCCATCTTGATTATTGCTGATCCGCTGCTGGTATTTCCAAATCCCGAACTCATCGCTGATTCCTTACCAAGGATGCTAGTATCTCAATCGTTCGAAGCACGATGGAGAAGCCAGGACCGGCGCGATCAATGCCAGCACCTCAGCCATTCCAATCTCGAGGGAGGGACCGGTGCGAATCATGCGATCAATGCTACCTCCGAGACGGATTTTGTCACAATGTTTCATCGCTAACGGTTCAGCTTCGCTTGGTGTCGGCCGAGATCTCATCGCGAGTGTTTATGACGGTATTTGCCGATAACTTCGTAACAAACACTTCTTGGCGCTGCATGTCGGTAGCCTGTACAGGCTGTACCTACTAGTCATTTACGACTTGGTAATTTCCTACCTAGCCCCAACTCTACTAGTACTCTGACTCACAGCCGCCTATTACATGTTTTACGGAGCAATCACTGGGATAATGCGGATCACGGACCCCACACCTGGCAACGAAACCAACTAGATCCCCTAATCAAGAGTCATTGTTTCAAGAATCGAACCTTGACAACACGGCTTTCCGCACCTGACTCCTCCGTCCTTACCTGTAATATAACACACAATCCGAACTATGCACATGACATGCTCTTACAGAAGAACTGTCACTGTTTGATGGGATATGTAAGACAGGAGTTTTATAGCACGAAACTTGTAGGACAGTACTTTCTAAACTACGAGACCCCCCTCCTTGATACCCCAGGCATGACTACGCGGTTGTAGTGCTACGGACGGCGCCGACATCCGCTGCTGAGTACAGCGCTGATTTACTTATGATTGCCTTGATCAAGCTCCTGAAAACAATGTGGCGCATTATGCCGCGCACTATCGGTCAATTATTTGCCGTGGTTACGCCTCAAAGTCACGAAATGACGATGCTGGCAATATTACGTGCGCCCGCAAACGTACTTCAAAGTTCACAAAACTTTATTATGTTTAACGTTCATCGAGAACGTTCATCCTTCACGAGGCCCTAGACCTTATGATAGGCCCGAGTCAGAAAACAGTTTTTTTTGAATCAGCTTCGCTCGACGCCATCGGCAGACGTTGGGGCCGAAAGCAGATCATTTGACGCGGCATTCCAGACCTAGCCGTTCAGAGCGTTCCAGAGCAGCTTCCGAGTTTCAAAAGTTCCGCTCACGGAACAGACTCGTTCATTAACATTTTGCGGTTCAATTTGTTTTTCCGAATGTTCCATCAAAATTAAAATGGGAGATTCCCTTGGGTTGTCGTAAACATATCTCACGACCGTGCCGTCATGTCTCTCGCGCCAACAGCGCTCGAGTGCGATTATGACCATCTTGGAAAAGAACATTAATAGGACAGCCTATCAGCGATTTGGCGCTTTAGCGACCAATAGATCACGCCGTGACTTGGGTCAAGTCATATATATGCCTTCCACAACGTGTTCTCTCATCACACAGCACCGTGATCTTCACATCGGCGCTCTGCTATTTGAGTGCTGATGTCTTACCGTCCTGACGAATCAAATGCACAGATCTATGCTGAGGGCGCATGGCTACAGGGCGCCATCGTCACTGGTGTCCTTTATGGTGTGGTAATCGTCCTCTCTGCCATGTGTTGGCGCTCCCTCTGGCCCCGCATTCGATCGCATGGCACTGGCTACAAGATGAATAGGTTCCTCTTATCCTATGTCACTTTCCTCTTTGTTATTGGTACCATATATGTGGCATTCAATGCCCAGATAACGCAAATGGGCTTCATCGATAATCGTTTATATCCCGGAGGTGTGTACAACTTCTAACGTGCAATACATCTCGTACTTATGTTTTGCTCAGGCCCTAGTGCATACGAGGAGGCGACCTCGTCAGCTCCACTAAACACTGCTTTCGTGGTTTCGGATTGGTGTGCAGACCTATTGATGGTAAGTGTACAGTCGTATCTCCCATCCCCACCATTGAACACGCGCTGTAGATCTGGCGATGTACGGTAGTTTACAGAGATACTAGAATCCACTACTTAATCGTCGGACTTGGATCTCTTCTGTTCCTCGGAACACTCAGTATGTGCCAGACCCACATGTGTCTTCCCATTCCATTCTCACTCTTCACAAGTCACAGGAACTCTCTGGCTTGTCATCGTCTCAACACCGGTACAATCTGCAAGCGGCTGGATGTCCTTCACCTTGCTCTTCCCATACCTCTGCTTCTCCCTCGCCATCAATATCTTCATCAGCCTCCTCACTGTCTTACGCCTTCTATACCACCGCCATCGTATATCCAAAGTCCTTGGCTTAGGCCACGGCGCGATTTACGCCAGTTTCGCAGCCATCATCATCGAATCCGCCGCCATTTACTCAATATGTTCGCTCCTGTACCTCATACCGTATACCCTCAACAGCCCGATCTCATATGCATTCATGCAATTACTGGGTGAGGCGCAGGTAGGTGTCCCCATACTACTCGGAACGAATCGTGATTTACCTTTGTACTCTAGGTCGTCGCACCACTCCTTATCATCTACCGCATCGCAGTGGGCAAGGCATGGACGAATCGCTCCTCCACCCTCAGGGATGAAAACTCCATCCAGCTGCGGCGGCCGTTGGACTTACCAAAGCCCCCGCCCCAAGTCGCTCCACTGAACGTTGAGATATCCTTTCACCAAGAAACCCACGAAGAATCAATACGCTCTCCATACCCGATGAAATCTACCGCAGATGAGGCCGATACCTTTGGCAGGGCGATATGAGACGACCCAGATATTATGTACAAGCTACGTTGTGTGATAATGCTTTCGTTGCAATGCCTCTTGAGATCTATGTAGTTACCCTGGAGTTGACAAAAACAGTTAGCATCTTGAATATGCCCACTTTCATCCATGCCAACACAATACAGGAGCAGACGTAAGTGGAACCATTACCCTTGTGACATTTAAGGAAAATCAGTAACACAACTCTAAGGGACATGAGATAGCAAAGTACATATACGCAGACTTCCGTATTCAATATTCCGCTCTTATACACGAAAATAGTATGATCAGACATTAAGGTACAACCCGGCATCCTTCCTTTGCTTCGTCATGGCTAAAATGATACCAGTATGAGTTCACCGAACAACTGACACGACAAGACACTAACCTGCAATGATCGCACTACCTACACCGCTGCCATCCTCGGCGTGATATGTAACGATGTTGCTGTAATTCCAGATCAAAATGGAAAGGGCATATCAAACAATAACTACTCACCGTCCCTTATCGCCGAAGATGTCCTGCAAACCTTCGTGCACGCGATCGGCAAACCCAGGGTATTTCTGTAGAGGGGTAATTATCCTGTAGCCCGTACAGAAAAGAGGGTTTTTACGTTGTACAAGGAGCCATCCGCCCCAACCGAACAGCCCTCCTCGAGATAACCCATCTTGCTGACGATTGCGGCAATACCACAAGCGCTTAAACGAGCCGCACGTCTTCCAATGAGTTTGGCAAGAGCCCGGAAGAACTGCCGTTCCGCGAGCGTCGTCTCGAGGGCGAAGAAGTGTGTGAAGATTCCGATCACCATGAGAAGTTCGTCCGTTGGGTCACTGAGAACACAACGATGAGCGCATGCACATTTTCACTCGAGTGGGAATGCGGTACCTCTCCATGAGAGACAAGAATGCTGTGTCGAAGCAGTATGGTTTCTCGAGTTTGTAAGTGTTCTGTCCCAGGAAGAGTACGCCTTCGTCGATGAGCTCGCAAAGAACTAGTCGCAAAATCTCGCCCAAGTATCGGCCAGAGATCAGTTTCTGGACAGTTGATATGTCACGTTAATAACGCCGCACAATAGATGTACCCACTTCAAACGCCTGTTCACCAGGCTTATTTGAGGTATCATCAACGATCGTGTCGTATTTCGTGCGAGGCAGATGCTCGTGTTCGAATGAATCAAAGGCACCCTGCCAAGCTCGTCAATATAATGTAGAGAGATGAGGATCAAACCCTACAGACCCATTCGCAATTAATCGCCATCTCAGCTCCAGGATCGATACCCAAATGGTTTATTTTGGTGATATCTTTGACGTGTTCCATATAAGCAGCGTTACAACCAGTTCCGAAGATAACCGCGATCTTCGTCTTAGGATTTACATAGTGTGACGCTATCAATGTTCCAGTTGTATCATTGATGAGAGCGGTCAATTTGACGGGCAATTGCTGTTCGTATGCGAGTCAGTATGAATAGAAACACGAGATAGGCAGAACGTACGTATTTCTCAAGGGACTTCTTGAACATCTCGGCAACATCCCTACCCTCCGTATTTCCAGCTCCGAAACCCTTGGTCCAGCGGATGAGCTCGCCGTGATCGATGCGTTCCTGCCTGGATACCGAAAACAAGATAATCTTGTATGTACTGAATAGCAATTGCATCATGTGCACTCACGAGCAAGGGTAGGAGAACTGAATACTACATAGTTAGAAGGATGACGTGAGGATAGTCACTGACTTACGGTAAAGCCAAGAGGTAGGGATTGACCAGGCTTCAGTTGGCCCGCGTCCTCGCCCGTGTTGGTTTCAACAAATGTATGTAAGCATTCAGCACAGAAATCGAACAATTTCTGCCCATCATCTTGTTTTTGCTCCTCAGTCAAACGATATTTGGTTTGGGAAATCTCGAATTTTCCTTCTCCCTGAAGGGTCACAAGACAAACACGCAAATTTGTTCCACCTATAACGAAATGCATTCGCATGAGTATATTTAGAGCCCAGCAAAAAGGCACAAATGGAAAACCACTCACCAAGATCAAGAGCAAGGAAATCTCCTTTCTCCTGACCTGTTGGCCATCCAAACACGTACGTCGGAATCATAGGCTACAAGCACCGATTTAGCACACGGTCGGAAACCACTCAGAAAGTAAATGCAAAAATCGTCAAGAATCAAGAACATCGAGACATAGATTGAATCGTCTCATCCTATGAACAACTGCGAAGATGAATTGGGTTTGAACAACAAACGCAAGAAAGTGATCTCATTCGGTATGAACGTAGGAAGTACCTACGCACTACAATCTGATTGGGCTTGTTCAAACCAAGTTCGAGCGTCTCAGTAAAAGCCTCGACAATCATCCGCATCCTCTGCGGTGTGAGTGTGAACCTGTGCAACGGGGATTCAGTAGATCCATCATTGGAGCCCCTGATCATAGGGTGACGACTGACAAACTCTCGTATTTTCTCAAGTGGTCAGCCATCGTCCTGCGATTTCACAAAATAATAAAGGTAAGACCAATGTGTCAAGTATGATCGGTGATTCTGCGTACCTCTTTGTTGCATGCGGGAGGTCTTCCTCATCTTGCGTCCGGGTATGAATGGCGATTGTCTGACCAGTAGTTAGCGTGAAGCTACCACTTCCACGACGCGAGGCAGGCATTCTTGATCTAGAAATGACGTGTTATGCGGAGAGATGATGGAAGGAGAAAGAGAGACAGTGGGTGGAGTTTAAGTTCACGACCATGGCAGTCCTTCATCGGTACCTACTTCGCGTGGAAAATACATCTCCATAAACGTATGATATGTCCTCAGACCAAATCAACTTCTGGTCCACGACACGTCGAATGTAACACGATGAGTGAGCTTCACACAACTTGTATCAGTGACCTTGTGAATGCCGATTTCCCAAGACTATCGACCGGGTTACAATACATATACAACGCAGTGGAGAAACATACTTGATGACAATATAAAAACGCCTATACCTCATCAAATACATATATGTATATAAATTCCCACCCACCCCACGACTAGTCACTACCAATCCCACATTCTCTATTCAGTGCTCGCTTTTTTAGTCTGTCATTAGAAGGCGATGATTGGGCTCAAGTCTACACTTAATGTAAGTGAAGTTTTGTATGCATTTTATGTCTGACTCACTCAATTTCTGCAGGTAATAGACAACTCTGGCGCACTACTTATTGAGTGCGTCAATGTCCTCAAACAAAAGGTCAATAACGGCTGGGGCTCTGTCGGTGATGAAATAGTCTGCGTCGTCAAACGCGCGCGCCCAGTGTCGGCGGCGACTCAGGCATCTACCACTGCGGTCAAAGTCCGACGTGGAGATGTTCGACGAGCAGTCATCGTGCGAACCAAGAAACCAGTTCGAAGACCAGATGGACGTTTCATCAGGTTCGATGATAACGCGGCAGTCCTTTTGAATAACAAGAGAGAAATGCTGGGGACGCGTATTGGTGGTGTTGTGAGTGCTGACTTGCGCATGAAAGGCTGGGGGAAGATTGTCAGCTTAGCACCAAAGGTGTGTAGTTTCTGCAACACGTTAATAAAGAGGACTCGACTGATTTTCGTCAAGGTTGTTTGATAGATGTATATTAGATACCTGCCTTGAAATTTAATATTGGCCTTTCACGGTTTCAGTGCGTCCTATGACCAGGTGTAACGATGTCGGTAGAATTTGAGTCGTGCTTCTAGAATACACCGCTGCAAAATGACATGTGCACAATTGTTTAACAGATATTCTAACTGAATAGTGGCATTTCGTATGCTGATTGCTCTCTCCCGACCAATTCATCACCACCCACAAGGGTCCTAGCTTGCGGTTTGCACTAGAAGAATTGAACAGCCAACGCGGCCGCCGCTGATCTAGTCAGGGAAAGAGGCAGATGCCGAAAGCGCTAATACCTCTTTCTTCAGATTTCTTTCCGAGATTCAATATTACCTCTCACAAATAATGCGTCACTCCTTCCGAGTCATCCTCCTGCTTTGACGTGTCTATGGCTGTCAGTGCTAACAGTCAGGGTGAATACCAAACGGGTGGCGAGTTTCGTGACCCAGCTGCGGGTGATTGCTGCGCTGGCTATGAATTCACGCTAGAACTACTTGATCTACCATGTGAGTATTATATGAACAGTTTCATCCATAATTTATTGACTCACTACATGGTAGCTAGACTACGTGTATATATGCCTGTGAGATCGGATGAGCCACAGTCACGGTGAGCGTGTTTTTGCTTCCCCATTTGTGTAGTGTGATGGAGCCACATTAATATTACATTTAATTAGCTATCATGATGCGAAGTGGTGCTCCACAAATTTACGCCAGCAATCCGCTGGCATGGCAAATGCATCTGTTATAAATTGTGCACAGAATCGCCTTGTCTTCTCTTCCAAGATCACACATCACATCTCATAAATCATGCGTCTCTCCATGATCCAAATTGTCCTTGCTGTTATTTCTGCTTTGACACTGTCCATGGCTGTCAGTGCTCATAGTGAATGTTTTACGACTGGTCAATTTTGCCTCGAAAGCGCAGAGTGCTGCAGTGGCTATAGATGTGTGCCAATTCAAACCCCAGAATTTGATGTAGTGAGTATGAGTGGTTTTATCCAGGATTTGTTGACTGACCGGCGTGGTAGACACAAGACCCCATATATATGTGTGAGGTCGAACGGGCTACAGTGAGTCATGTTTCTGCTTTCTCATTTGTGCAGTGTGGTTCATAGCACTACACATAGTAGTAGCGGAAATACTTGCTTCGACACAAATTTTACTGCTGCTGGAACAATGAAAATTTCAGTATAAAAAAAAACCTACCTTGAATCTGAATTAATTGCCTCATAGTAAGGTCAAGCATCTGACATCTGTTTGAAGGTAGATTTCAGGTGGGTAATAGGGTCCGCACATGGAAGCAAGCCGTGTTCCTACCATCGTCCCCCTTTCTAAAATTCCATGTTCCATTGATAGTATCTTTGTTTTAGTAATGATTATGCACATACCTTCTTGCCCTGATCAGACTATTCCTGTCGTAATACCAGTTGATACTAAGTTTTGAAGCACGACACTTGTGGGCTGTGTTGCACACTTTGTGTCGTGCACTTAAACATGTGCGCAATCGCCCTACATGGCTTTCACTTCACTTCAATCGTACAGTCATGCATCTTGCAATTCCCACTGCAAGTTACGTAGTCTAGCAGTACTCCCAAATTTGTTCAGGGCCTCCAGAGTCGTTTAGGATGCTACTTCCTTCTGCAGAGAGGCAAGCCCATGCAACTCTCTCGCGACTCGAGGATGTTGGCCCAAGAATGGAAATGCGGTTTCGCTTATTCCTCAAGCTTAGATCCGCAGACATTGGTCTGTTTCAACATGGTTTGGTTCCTTCTCCGGGAATGTAACGTTAAAGCTTTAGTTGCACATTCCAGTTGAGAAGAAGAGCAATGCAGGGGAAATTCGATAGGCACTGGATCGAAAAATGCTTGCAAGTGACGAACCCCAAGGTTTTTTCATTGCGGTTCTTCCCCAGAAATAAACATCTGTGAGACGGGGTTGAGGTCATCGAAGCCAAGGGCAGGATCGTCGAAATATATGAGGATCGTCTTGTCGACGACTGGCTGCAGATAACTGATAACATTGTACAGCGCTTGTGCAATGCCAATGTCGCAAAGTCCACTCTTCAGCACTACATCTAGCACATACAGAGGTAATTATCTTAGATATAATATCACAATGCCTGGAAGCTCGCTTACCTCAACGAATCGGCGTCAGTTTCATCGCGAACTCGCGGTGGGATAAACTCTGCCATAGACACCCAATAGGATAAATTGACGTAGACATGCCAAAAAGCCGCCTTGGCCTCCTCAGCCGTCCCCGACCAGAACATTTCGCCAAATAGGTACTCCAGGAAATCAATCACGGGTGTCTTCCGACAGTCTATCAATTCCGCATCCCCACTTTCATTGTAGTGTAGATCCAGGATCACGCCTTTGAGGGGATCCTGGCGGATGAAGAGATCCTCGGCCAGAAGCAACAAAAGCCTGCTGGCCAACTCTCCGCCCTTCCTATGTCGACAGTCCCACCATCAATCTTTCTTTTCAAAACCCTCAAAGCGAGCCCCAAATTGGTGGACATCGTATGGAGTAGAACTGCTGCAATACAAGACAGAAGGGGCTCTGATGGATATCCAGTGAAGACCCACATCAGCCTCATCCTCTTTAAGGATCATCTTCACGAAGGGGTCATCGACTTCAAGTACGATTCGATCGATATCGTCCTGGTGTTGCGATGTGAGCGGCAGGAGTGTTATGGGAATATCCTGTGATAACGATTAACCTGACATGGCTTTGGAGTTGGATGTTCCTGTTCAAAGGGATTAAGAGATGATTCAAGCGGCGCGTCTGAGACCACCGTGACTGCCTTAATGTTAATATTCCGTGCCATATACCTAGTAAGAGAATCATTCGAAGGGAGACAAAAATCAGATAGACAATACATACTGTTATGGCTGGGACTCCAAAATTCGAATGCTGCGTGTGTGCACGTGATTTTATAAAGGTTACCAATTAAGTAATCCGCGCCTAGTACTTATACATACTTAGCGAGACTATCGTACGTTCGTATGAATAATGACACACCCCCACAGTTTTTGCCTGTCTAAGAATTGTGCGATGAAGGCTGAATAGTTTCTGTCCCAAAAGCTCATGAAGTAATAGACGGCGTACTAGTTTACAATGTATCTCATACTCCCACAGCAGAATCCCAATGTTCATTTCCTCAACTCGGAAGGCTCTTGTCAGCGACCACACAACAACTACTAGAAACTTCGAGTCGGACTCATGGTCACTGCAGACTCAGAAGGGTTACAGCTATCAAACTCGGCTTGTCCAAGGTTAGTCTCCAGCCTTGAACTTATCTTCTTTTGAGTGTTGTAGGACGCGACCGCCGACTACCACTTTCACGGAGCGTACTTCCGCACTCATTCCGATTTTCAACGGGCGTAAGTCTGTTTATGTATCAGCTGAGGAAATTTACGTCTTCGTTTTTTACGTTGCATTTCTGAGCGCGGGCGTATTTGATGTCAGCTGCCTGCTCTTCCCAGGCGATCCAAGATACAATCTACCGAATCGCCTAATAATAGTGGTCTAATTCCTGTCCTCCTAGGTCTTATGTACTGGTTGAAGCAGTTCTGATACCTTTCCAACCTTATTCTTTGCGACTTTAAGGATATAAGGATCTTCGTAGCTCATAGACTACCACTGTATCATATACTTCCCCTCATATGTTTCCAACCAGCTGCTTCCAGCGGCTGCGGCCGTCCACCAGCTTGTGGACAAACTTGGCTCGTTCCAGATCCATCAAACAACATGCATTGACCTTTACCCGTCGACAGAGCTCGAGCGTGCCCTCCAAGAGTTCACGTTCCTGGTCCCCACTTGTCATTGGCTCTATCGCTAGCGGGCTTATCGGATATTCCCTCAGTGCATTTGGGAAACCTTCTCTGACATCCGAGGCTCTGGAGGAGACGGAACCAAAGTATGGCACCCCGAAGGATTTTGAACACGCGATCAAGGAACTTCGGGATTTATTTGATTCAGATGATGCTGTCTCAATTCATCCGGAAGACCTTCGTGTTCATGGATATTCGGAGAATGATTACCACCCGAGTGAGGGTTTCCATTCAGCCGAGCTTTGCATTCTCCCACTCATGTTAGTCTTCCAGGTGCACCGCATACTGTCATCGTATACCCCAAAAGTACAGAGGATGTAGTCAAAATTGTCAAGACTGCCGTCAAGTACCGTATGCCCGTCATCCCTTTCTCTGGTGGAACCTGCTTAGAGGGAAGCTATCGTGGCGTAAGTCTATTGTTTTCTAAAGTCATTCAATCATGCTGAGGACGATGGTCCTCTAGAGCCCTGTCGGTGGCATTTGTGTTGATATGTCCGGCATGAATAAGATTATTGAGATTCATGGTCAGTGTGCTATGCATCTTTCTTTGAATGTCACTGAATCTCCTTCTAAAATAGAGGCGGACTCGGACCTTGTTTGTCAGCCCGGTATCGGATGGATGGAAATCAATGAGACTTTGCAGAAGAAGGGTAAGATCGCAATGCAAATTTCGTCGTCTTACTCACATCCTTGAAAGGCATACCATTATTCTTTCCCGTACGTTCGGACTTTGGCGCTGTATCGTTACCTGACAATCTTTACTTAGTTAGATCCCGGCCCAGGCGCAACTATCGGTGGCATGATGAGCACTGGTTGCTCAGGCAGTACGTATCAGCGGTCATGAATCTGCAGTACGAATATTGACGTGTTGACCTTGGCAGCGAATGCTGTCCGGTATGGTACTGCGAAAGGCGAATGGTTCTTGAATGCAGTATGCATGAGTTCCCTTGACAACATCTGAGTGGGTTGATTGGGTATCCCTATAGACGGTTGTTCTTCCTTCTGGAGAAGTCATCAAAACTCGCCAACGTGCTCGGAAATCTGCAGCTGGGTTTGACACCACAAAGTTGTTCATCGGTGCCGAGGGCACTCTTGGTATCATCACAGAAGGTGATATCGCGTATTTTTTTTTGGTCGATCGCTCTGACACATCTTCTAGTCACTATCCGGTTAGCTCCTGTCCTCCCAACAACAGTCGCTGTCGTACACTTCCCTGATGTGAAACACGCAACGGAGGCTGTCATCGACGTGATGAACCGCGGCGTTGGCATCCGTAGGTTATCCCTTCCTCATCAAGTAACACGCTCACCCCTGTGGTTCAGAATGCGTTGAACTCTGTGACTCCGAATTTATGCGTTCTATAAATTTGTTTGGTGCATCTCAGCGCAAATATCCTGAACAGGACTCCCTGTTCTTCAAATTCCAAGGTCCAACGTCTTCTTCGATCACTGAGACCGCTAAGATTGTAAAGGAGATTGTGCAGAAGCACGGCGGCACTGGCTTTGAATTGGCACGTTCTGAGAAAGAAGCGCGTGACCTGTGGGCGGACAGGAAAAATGCTCTTTATTCTGGTTTGGCCCTCCTGGAGGGAAGTCGGGGGTGGAGCACTGATGTTTGGTAAGTCCAGGCTGCTACAGGTGCAGGCTTGTCTTATGCTTTCCGACTGCAGCGTGCCAATTTCGAAACTTCCACAACTCGTGTATGAAACCAAGAAAGACTTGCAAAGATCAGGCCTTGTATCAATAGTTATAGGACACGTCGGCGATGGTCAGTACCAACACGTTTCGCATTGTCTCGTCTCTCTCATCGACAACATCACACCCAGGCAATTTCCACACTCTGCTTCTTTTCCGTGATGAGAAGGAGCTCGAAAGTGTCCGCGAAGCCGTGCATAGGATGGTGGAGCGTGCCTTAAAGCTTGAAGGCACTTGTACGTCTTCACTGTTATATCCATGATGGTAATGATACTTACGTCTCTAGGCACCGGCGAACACGGTGTTGGGATTGGGAAGCGGGAATATCTGTACGAAGAACTCGGCGAGGGGACGGTGGAGTTAATGCGATCTGTGAAGAGGACCTTGGACCCGCTTGGTTTATTCAACCCCGGAAAGGTGAGCCAGATCCGTCGCGTTGCAAGAGTTTGGTGCTGATGCCGAACGAATAGCTGTATCCAGACAAGATAGATAAAAAGTCAAAACTTTGATGATTTTTACGACCTATTATGTGTTTTGTGATAAGGTTGACACCGTTGTATCTTTTCTTGGCTATGTATTTCATTGTGAATGTAGCGCAACCATGTCTTGAGACTATCTTGTAACTTGATCAGACCGCCACCCGCGCATAACCATTACACCAAAAGCTTTCAGTATCAGCGATACGGTATATGTACTGATTATGTATGGGAACTCGGGTAAACCGGCGTGCTTACATATCTCCTGTACCCGACAATAAACCTAACCTCGAACTAAAAGTCTGTTGGAAAATAGTCACGCGTGTGTGCTCACATGTTACCCGAGGACAGACATTAAGTATATGCCTCGCGACCAATCGATATATGGCGACAGAGCAGGCACCGAGCCGAGATAAGTGGCTCAAAATCCTGTCTTGAGACCGAGAAATTCGTATGTTTAAGAACAAACCCATTTGTCATAATACCTTTGCCCTTCTGTATCTGTTGTGCATCTTACATTGATCACGTACACGCAATTTCAGAGCAAAAAAGTTCCAAGTATCTCACTATCGATGTAGACAGGGGTAATGACTTGGTATGTATAAAACAACCACAGCACTGTGCTTATAGTGCACTAGCACCTACACATTCATCATGAGTAAGAGCGTGGTATCGGGGACGAAATTCAACGTACCGGTAATAATGTCGACCAACTCGTTGGTAATGGCGGCTTGACGGCCACGGTTATATTGCATCGTCAGTCGGTCAATCATTTCTTTTGCGTTCTTTGATGCATTGTCCATGGCGTTGCGACTGTACCCCAAAAGGTTGAGTGATAGGATCTAGAGTTTGCCTTATCAACATACCGGGCACTTTGCTCGCATGCGTGAGCCTCGACAAGAGCAGCATAGATAGCGTTTGCGAGCGAGAACTCGGCAAGGTCCTTTGTAACGTCGTCCTCCATTTCATATGCCCGGAATCCAGCTAGAAGCGTATGAGTCACAACACCAAGATTCAGCAACATGTCATCGTACCAGACTCCTTCAATGCATTCTCGCCCACAACTTCAACGATTTCAGACTCGTAAGAGACAGCAGACACGAATTTGTTGTAAACGATAGAAATTCCGTCGTACTTGACGTCGCTCTTCACAATCAAGTCGGCAACACCAGCAGCATCAGCGAATGTGGGTATGTCGCGACCAATTTGGTTGAAGGACATAGCCAAGTTCTTGCCAAGTACACGTGACAGCTGCACTTTGGACTTGTCGCCGATGACCATGATGGGAGAGTCGGAATCGACGGGCTTCTCAGTGTCAGCAATGGCACGACGGGTGGCTTTGGACACGGAAGAATGGATACCACCGCAGAGACCCTTGTCGGAGGAGACGACAATGAAAAGCTTGCGCTTTGCAGGAGTTTCCGAGGGAGCGTGCTGGAATATCTCTGGGCTGTTTTAAGAATACGGAATCGAATATACAGTCTACGGGACGCACCGGAGTTAGCAAGACCGTACTCCTTGCCGCTTTGCATGGCACGCTGTGCCTTTGCGAGCTTAGTGGAAGCAATCATTTTCATGGACTGTACATTGCAACAGATATGCGCGGTCAATGCCCAGAATTAACATGAAAAATAACACGTCGGCGCACCTTGGTAATTTTCTCGATATTCTTGACCGACTTCAACCGTAGCTCGATTTCACGCAACGTAGCCATGTTGCGGGCATTTTTGGGAGCAGCTCCCAACGGGGAGGGCTGGGTCGCGATGCGGGCAAGTGAACGCCTTGCTAACATTGAAAAGTGGTCAAGCCTGGTGCGCTACCGAATTCCAGATCCAACACACTTCACCGACTTCCGGCGATATCCGATCGGAGCTCGGATTCGTATTGCCGGATCTCGGCATTGATGGAGTCATCTTGCTCAACATACTCCTCAGCGAGCAAGTCCATCTTACGCGTCGACCATCATGGCAGCAGAGCAGCCATTGTTCGATCCTTCGCTCAAAAAGCGCAAGAAGAAAGCTGTAGCTTTCACTGAGGATCCGTTAGGTCCTGAAGCAGATCCTACAACACCTGCACCAACCACTATCGAGAACACAACTACCAACGGAGATGTCGTGGATCTCGGTCCTACCACCGCACATGAGCAGATGATGCAAAGTCTTAATGGGGCACCAGATCGTGCTAACGCTGCTGATGAAGTAAAGGAAGATGACGATTTCAAGGCCATGTTTCCCGATGGTCTCAAGAAGAAGAAGAAAAAGAAAGACATCCCTATGGACCTGGCGAGTATTTAATCTTAGGCCCATGTTTAGCGATCTTACATGATGTGTTATAAGGGCGAAGATGGCTCAGGAGCATCGCCTGCAGCTGCACCCGCCGCTACAGAGGATCTCGACTTCTCTGACATCAAGAAGAAAAAGAAGTCAACAAAGAAAAAAGCAATGGAGGACTTTGAGAAGGAGCTTAATGAGGCAAAAGCAAAAGATGAGGCTGAAGAAGCTGAAGCTGACGATGGAGAGCATCTTAACGAACTAGATGAAGCAGATCTTGGGGACGACCCATTTGCACGCAATGAAGCACCCGCAGGCATTGACTCGGGCACAGAGCCATGGCTCGGGAGTGACCGAGATTATACTTACCCAGAGGCATGTGCATTTGCGATGATACCTTTTTCTGACCTATATTAACTTTCATCCATCATCAGCTTCTAACACGATTTTACGCCTCTCTCCATGCCGCAAATCCATCATTACTCACTTCCACTGGAAAACGATACACGATCGCACCTCCCCAAATTCTCCGCGAAGGTGTCCGCAAATCAATATTTGCGAACGTTGCAGATATATGCAAGAGGATGCACAGACAGCCAGAGCATGTCATTCAATTCCTCTTTGCTGAAATGGGTACCACTGGTTCAGTGGACGGTTCAGGGCGCCTGGTCATCAAAGGTCGATTCCAACCTAAACAAGTCGAGAATGTTTTGCGTCGTTATATCGGTAAGCTTAGTAGCATCTCGCTTTTGGTGCTCAGCACTAATATTGTCAAAGTCGAGTATGTGACATGCAAAACATGCAAATCACCTGACACGCTCCTTACAAAGGAGAATCGTATTTTCTTCATGTCCTGCGAGTCCTGCGGCTCACGTAGGTCCGTCAACGCGATCAAGAGTGGCTTCCAGGCCCAGGTTGGCAGGAGAAAGGCAACTGCGCAATAAACTGTTGTTATATCATCAGGATTTATTTTGCTACTTTGATCTCTACATTCATCATTATCATCATCACGCACATCGAATTCTCAATACATGGTCTGATTGTAGAAGCGTGAATACTCCGTAAAAGCCCAAATGAGGAGGACATAGTGAACAAGACAAAAAATCACTAAAAAAATCATAATGTATCATAGACTCGTTAAAAATCGCACAATATCGAGGGACGCAAATCATCCTTCATGAATCAATATCCCCAACCTTCGTCAACACTAAACGGCGTTTTTTCTTTGGGGGCTGTGCCAACTTCGCGGGTGTGATGTCTGGTGCACTCCTGCCCGCAGGGGCATTGTCGTCAATACTAGTAGCAGGCGTGAGAGGCGGCTCGTTCCTCTTTGCAGGAACGGTAGGCGTCGCAATAGCAGCTAGCGGAACTGAGGAAGACGAGGGCGTTGTCGTGTATGTGAGGGGCACGAAGTTGTGTTGCGCGATGAACTGAAGTTGTAATGCATGTTGTTGAGTGTGATGCGCAGGTAAAATTTCATCAAAGATCACAATCGTACAGTATCCATCTCGCGATGAGAGGATAAGGCACTGTCCGTCAGGAGACCTATTGAATGATTCAACACAGATACCAGCAGCCAGAAATAGCCATCACATACCACGATGCATCCGTAAATTCATCATAGTGCAACTTCGTGAGCATGCAAACAGGTCCAGATTGTTGGGTATCATAGATGGCAACGGCATCCATAGTCAGAACTGCGTAAAGCATGCGATAAGGCAGCGCAAACATGGAGCCAGTGTTGGGTGGAGCGATCGCCGGGGTAGAGGGTTTCGATGGTGATGGCGTAGAAGGCTTCAGCGATGGAGGCATAACTAATTCGGGAGCCACAACATGAGATGTAGGCGCTTCGACATGTAGAAGTATATTCCTTTCCACCTTTGGAGAGTGCGCAAATACGTCCTTGTGAGTTGCAGGTATCACAGAAGGCCCAGCAATATCAATAGAAATCGACCCATCCCTGCCTTTTTCCAGAGTTCCTATATTGGGTTCGTTATGCCCCTCTGCACCAATGACATCTTGTCTCAATTCATAAAGCACAGGGGAGAACTTGACAGCTACGCTGGCTTTCTTATGTCCTGGTAACTGAGCTATAGGAGGACGAGCAAAGTTCGCCCTTGAGTAAATGAACACCGACGATGCTGACGAAGGGTTGGTTTCGCTCGTGGTAATCGCAAGTTTGGATTTACGTCCGCGAGTAGGAGTTTCCTCAACCTTGGGCTTGTTGGTGATAATGCTGGGGTCCTCAAATTGCCCTGCAGGCGTCAGCAAGAGGCCCCCATCTGGACTGAACGTTAAGCGGCGGAAGAAGTTCGAAAAACTTTCATCTCCATAGAGTTTGATAGTTGACCATGCGGGCGAAGGAAGCGCGCGGATTGCAGGAAGGGGTGGCATAGGAGACGGGGATCTCCCATATCGTGTATATTGCCCAGGAGAGCCGGGGGCATTGGATCCGCTGAATGAGGACCGTCTCGAAGAAGATCTCTCAATCGGCGGAGGAGGGAACATCGATGTGGATGGAGTACTGACTACTGATGCAGTCGGTGTTGGAGGAGCGTAGTTGCCAGAGAAAAGAACATCATCTTTGTGCTGGTCGCTGACAGTAGACTCTATGTCACTAACAGCAGACTCGTGTCTGTAGGATCTGGAACGGCTGTGCGAACTAGGGGTGCGGCTGTGGTTGTGAGTGTAGGACATTCTTGTATTCTTGCCCACGGCATGGGCTTCGAATGTGCCCTGCTTGGTCGAGATCTGATACACGTGCATCGAACGGTCACTGCTCTGTGTGGCGATGTATTCGTTGAGCGGGTCCCATGCTACGCCTTGGACATAGTGGTTGTGCTCAGCGATCTCGCAGAGGCATTTTCCTAAGCCAATGAGCCTGTATTCCTCACAAAAATGCCGCAAAAACCCACCATCACTGGAAGAGAACACCCTTGCGCAGTTGTCCGTACTGCCGGCTAAAATGTATTCCCCAGTTGGACTCCACGCTAGGTCATACACCTGCATAGGCGTGCACCTGTCCAGTATTTTATTCTAACTGGATCTCAAACTGCTCATGAAAGTTACCTGAATGTCGTGCGCGGCTTCCAGTACTCCTTTTCATATTGCAATTCGTCCGCAGTCAAATCACTGCCATATGTGGCGGTCTGCGGCGTGCTTGAAGGTGCCCAGATGATGATCATGCCGTCTTCCAATGAATTCGCGTCAAATAGGATCAGCCAAATATTTGAGATTCATACCATCTCCGGCGGAGGCAATGAACTCCCCTAAAATCGCGTTAATAAAGTGGCCAGGGCTGACGAGGCGCGTGCGCAAAACGCGTACCGTTAGGGGAAAATCGGACGACGTTTACAGCAGCCGAGTGTCTGCTAAGTGTTGCAAGATATTCAACCCGAGCAGGGCGTGGTGCAGCGCCATCTGCACCTTCTGCAAGAGACGACGGAAGGATGTTCGGGTGCACCATCCATATCTTTTCCAGCCCACCTTGGTCAGCGCGCTGGATATGCTATTATAGGTCCACTCACTCTGACGTGGTTATCCTCGCCTCCTGTAGCCAGCCTATAGGACTGCGCAGCAAAATTCTTCTCCTGGGTTGGACGTGCTTTTTTGAATGGAACAGGTTGAAAGTCGCAAGTGGATATGGGCTTGGAATCATGCCATCGAATCTCGAGGGTGCGGTAACGCATTTTTGAATGTAATACTGAGCAAGGATTATGGTAGCTAGTAGAATGAAGGATGGGCCTGAGCGCTACAAGAGGTGGAACATTCGTTCAGAACTGACAGTGCTAGTTATACGGATCGGAATCAAAGGCTCCTTATGTACAAAACAGACCCAGGTGTGGCCGACTCGCACGCTCATGATCGATTGTTGTCTACCTACAATCTATTGAATTACAAAAATAATGACAAGTTCATCATTCACAATAACAAAGCAGCGTGCTCGAGCGAGTCTGTTTAGCTCTCTCTTCCATATATCACTTCCAGATCCTTCAGATCATGTTGCAACACCTTCGTCAAGTGCTGTAGACCAGCTTGCTGATTGGACAAGATCTGCAACGTGCATGTCAGAGTCAGATCTCGGAGTTTACAAATAAAACACCCACCTGAGCGATTTGCTTTAGGCCCTCCTCATCGACGACTGTCCATTCAGAGGTACCATCGAGCCCCACTCTTCTGCCTCTCTCGCGGGCAGCGTTGATAGCCCCTACGAGCGCCCACAGCTCATTCAGCTTTCCTCGCATCTTACTCATCCCACCCGGTCTTCTTATTTCTTCTTCAATCTCTTCTAGCACTAGACGCAGCGCTTCTTCTTCGGGGCGTATCGCTGTAGACCGGACAGTAGGTAGCATCAGATGCATGTGCTGGATCAGGCACAGCAGGCGGTGTTGGGTTTGTGATTGGATTGACTTTGCGCGCTGTAATCGTGATGCATTACTATCGTTATGTCTAGCGGACAACGATTCCAGTCGTTTTTTGAGCTCCTAAAACACCAATGAGTAAGAAAGTTTTCTACAATGTAAGAGATAGCCACAAACCATCAAAGCTTTTTGCTGTTCCGTGGCTTGCTTCATTTGTCCGTCTACGCGCTGACGCAAATCGTCAAAGCCAACTGCCAGAACAGGTACCATACTGAAGAGATAACATAGGCACACGGAGTGGCAGACGGTCATTGAGCTTACCAACTAGGATCGGGATTATCGTGCACCGCGCGTTGCCAAAGCGCCTCATTTGTAGCATTCGCAGGCCTGCCGAAAGCGCTCACTTGGGTCGGTGGAACGAGATTATAGAAATAATGCTGTTCGATGGATAAGTCCAAGATAAACTATAAACTGTATGAGACCAACCTGAAAGCGACATGCTGGCGAAGAAGGATCCCAAGCCTGTACAATTGCTTGTATTTTCTGCTCGAGCGCTGCATATTGTGACTGATGATCCTGTTGTTGTGCAGGTGCAGCACTTCGCGATGCGAGAAGTGAATTGGATAGTGGAAGACCTAGCGTGCTCCCGAAAAGCCCTCCAGTAGTTGTACTGGGCGCAGGCTGATTCACTGAGCCAAACAGGGATCCAGCCAGTTTCTGTTGGGATTGGCCGAATAGCGAGGGGGTAGCAATAGGTTGCATGGATTGGGATTGACCAAATAGAGTTGGAGTGGTCGAGGAGGGGGCCGGAGCAGTACCAAAGATGCTCGCTGGATTTTTATTTCCAAACAACGGGTTGGAGTTCGTTGTGGTACTGCCAAAGAGGCCTCCTCCAGTAGCTGGAGCTTGGGCTGTTGTGCTACCAAATAGCCCTCCCGATGTTGGCGCTTGCGTACTGGTAGCACCAAAAAGGCTTCCGCCAGCACTTGGCTGGGTCGTTGACGTTCCAAAAAGCCCGCCAGCACCGGTAGCAGGCTGTGTTGTCGTAGTACTTCCGAAGAGACTGCCACTCTGTGGTTGCTGCTGCTGCTGCTGGGTCGTGGTACCTCCGAAGAGACCCCCAGCCTGCTGCGGTTGTTGCGGCTGCTGCTGTTGGGTAGCTGCATTGCCAAACAAGCTTCCAGTAGCTTGAGGTTGAGTTGTTGTATTACCAAACAGACTTGTTCCTGTAGGTTGTGCTTGAGTGGTCGTACTCCCAAACACATTGCCCGTAGCGGGCTGCTGTGTAGTTGTCGTGTTACCAAATAGACTACCAGTTGCAGGCTGCTGCTGAGTACTCCCTCCGGACGCTGGCGCTTGGGAGCTGGTACCACCAAATAAGTTTCCACCTGTGCTCGGCTGAGTAGTCGACGTTCCAAACAGCCCGCCAGCACCGGTAGCAGGCTGTTGGGTCGGAGCACCTCCAAAGAGACCACTGCTCTGTGGTTGCTGCTGCTGGGTCGTGGTGCCTCCGAAGAGACTCCCACCTTGCTGTGGTTGTTGTGGCTGCTGCTGCTGACTACCCGCAGCTCCAAACAAGTTCCCAGTAGGTTGAGTCAATGTGTTCCCGAACAAACTTGTTCCTGCAGGTTGTGTCTGCGTCTGCGTGTTCGAGTTCGTACTCCCAAACAGACCACCTGTAGCAGGCTGCTGGGTTGTATTGGCTGTGGTATTACCAAATAAACCGCTGGCTGCAGGTTGCTGAGTATTCCCAGATGAACCAGCTGCAGGTTGCTGTTGTGGCTGAGCGCTGGTATTCTCAGACGAGCCAGTACCTGCAGGCTGTTGTGGCATCGTAGTATTTCCAAACAAGCTCCCGCTAACCGCACCTGCAGTAGTGCTCGTCGCCGTACTAGGCGTTCCGAAGAGAGTTGTACCGGATGTAGATGGTTGTGTGGCGGTATTACCGAAGATGCTGCCGCCCGTTGCCTGTCCAGGCTGCTGTTGGGAGTTCGTGTTACCGAAGATGCCTGTGGTTTGGGCACCAATTGTCTGCCCCGGCTGCTGCTGGGTATTTGTGGTACTCGTTGTCTGCCCAGGCTGTTGTTGGGCGTTCGCAGTACCGAAGATATTTGTTGAGGGTTGCGTTGCGGTACCACCAAAGAGTGACATTTTGCAACCTTTTTATGAGCTATAAAGGAAGTAGTTCGAGGTCGAGTATTCGAGAGATCGAAGCCGCTGCGGACTCACCTTGCTCCTGATACAACTCGATCAAACCCACGATGTTGGCAGAGCGAAACAATGGTACACAATTTGGAACAAAGACGAAGACTGAGAATTCTCGTAATTGTGAGGAGAAGAAAAACTGAAACAAGTGCAATACTACAAGTGGTGGACAAAGCCACGGTACTACTAGTATTCACGATCAGTTCTTGGACTCAGCTGGCCTCAACCTTGCCTCGATCATCAAATGAACTGGTATGATTCCACTACGAATACTAGTAAAAGGCTCGAGACTTGGATGCACTGGTGTTATATTGCTGCACTCCGAGTCAATGGTCTGATCACAAAACTCAAAATGAATCTATAATACAAAAGCTGCTCGGCAGGGAGACCATGATTAAATGATTAGCGACTTGCATGACTCGCGCCTGAAATTACAGCAGTCACACTGGCATACCATCACGTCCGCAGTAGAAATATCATGCAATGGTGCATAAAAAGCATGCGTCATGTAGGGACATATGTGGTGTACATGTAGTTTTGATAAGTCGTCTCCCAAGCACCACAGATATAAAAAGGAGCGATCAGAACTATATCGCAGACAATCAGCTTGAAACGGAGGGAGCATCACGAATAAACATACACGAAGTGCCTGGAAGAACCACTTGTTCTTTCCAGTCTGGTAACGCTCCTCGAACAACTTTTTGATGGTCTTCCGTGCATCCTCCCGTTGTGACGGCTCCTTGAAGTGTTCAGCAGCCACAGAGTTCTTCAAGCCCTCCAACTCCAAAGCGTAACGTGTGGGGAATAGATGCGAATAGTTAATCACCTAGGACATACGGTAAATGTTGGTTCGTATCTCCATGTCGCAAACCATGTGTATTTACCTTAATGAAAGGCTTAACGCGGCTTCTCCGTTGCAGTTTCTTAGCACCCATAGTCCGCGTAACTTTTCGCGGGTAGCGCTCGATGCCGGCAACGATGGCGTGGGGGTATGGTCGCTCCTTGGTTCCCTCATCGAGCTGTTTGATAACAACAACCTTCTTGCCTGCCTGGCGGCCCTGTAGGACAATGGCGACCTAGACAACAAGGTTAGAATTGTAGTGACATTGATCACACATAGAATGGAAGCACTTTTCCGGGCTTGTAAACTGATATCAAATGGTCAGCCCTTGGACACTTATAAACAATATGCATTCCGACCTTTGGGCATCTTGACGTTGGGCGGCGCAGTGAGGATTGACTTTGCTGAATAGATTTAGTCCAGGGCAAGCCATCCGGAGATACCCGAATGCTACTATATAGTTTCAATTTACAAGGTTACGGTCTCACTGGAATTTAATTAATAGTTGTTCTTTGTTTCTCCTAGCTGCCAATTGTTCCAACATTGTTCGCCGCTGTGCGGCTTCCACAAATATCACATTCGAGACATTTATAACATGTGTAAACGTTGGAATTTTAATCTGACAAGAATCTTGTACCCTTACATGACCGTGCAGTAGCAATCATGTTCGTGACGCTCTGCATACTTTATCACGCGCTCGCCTACTCCCTTGCTCATCTATGGACTTTTCTCTCTCCTTTGAGGTCAATTTTGAGTTGTGTCATCGATGCTACAACATACTACCCAACCACGGGGCGAAACATCATCATCGACATCATCATGATCACCTCCACACTTCTTGTTTGGTCAACCGTCATAGGATGTATACTACTGCGCAAAGACGATCCTGCAAAGCGCGCACCATCATACGCACTACCACCTGTAAACTTATCTTCTTAGATCGTTCCTGGGCCTCGTTTCTGATTGGCGTTTTCAGCATGTTTCCTTGAATCAAGCAAATGAGAGCATGGTGAACGCACTGAAAGCAGTACAAAAGGCGAGGGACGACTTTAAAGAGATGGAAGACACATCGGCCACCACAGTAGAGGCGTTGTGGCCCTTAAGGCAGGCCGGGAAGGATATGCGCGAAATTCATCAGGTGCTTGTGGAGATGTCGGAGATATTCGATCAACAAGCAGAACGACAATTGTCCCGCACTTTCTCCATCAATTCAGGTGGAGCGAGATAAATTTGTTAGTTATCCGCTCACTCGCATTTTTATTAGTACTGACAGGTTCCTATATCAAGCAGATAAGATTTGACTGCTGAGTGGGCAGTTCCTTGTATGTATACGACACAAACGTGTGTATAGCACACACTTGTTTCAACTCAATTTGACATTGCAGTGGGTCTCAAACTAGACGCCTATGTGAATCGGCACGATGCTTCTGGAATCTTGTGGTGCAACATTTCCATCAAATCTTCACGGACCAACGTTGCCCAATAATCCGTCGTATTATAGAACGAACAGAAGAGGTCTTCCTCGATTTATAGTTTGCCTAGCCCGGTATCCAGCCCTTGCAGCGTACCTCTACGTGACAGTGAGTCATCAAGTCGTAAAATAACAAGAGAACCCATTTCGCCAAAACTATCACCGCAAAACCTAGAGGATTATATTGCCGCGTGGTACGAAATGAATCACCTCGTCGGGGCTTGGCTCACTGCACACCGTGGTGAGAACGCGGTCTCGCATGGCGTGCCCGGTCATTAAAGGCCTGCTGTGCGCGGCGAGGGAAGACTCATAGGTTGAATAGTTGTACATCGGATATACACAGCTGGGTGTAGTCCCGTGAGCAGCATGCCACCTTCTGCGGCCAGCCTACATCCTCTAGGCAACACATATTTTGCGACATTAGCGATTCAGCTCAAACGCATTGCCCCTCACAATGACCTGGATATATCTCGTACTCACAACCACCTACATAATGTGCCCAGCCCACGTTAAGGTGCCAGCATTCAACGGGGTACATGAGATTTTTTTGGGCAATAATGACGCGGCACCACTGGAATTGTCAGGACTAGTCAATAAATTTCAGTATAACCATATTGCATTATCTTGGATGAGTTGTAACTTGTGCTAAATCCGATTGATGACAGAAGCAATGGCGGTAGTTAACGCACGATCATGATGGCTGAAAGAATTTCACATTGGCATGACTCGGACGAGGGGAAATAACGACATGGATGCTGCAGTGGCTGCGGGAAGACGACGAGTTAACAGCGGGCCAGATGGCTTTAGGAATTTCAACAGCGACGTCGTCGATGTTGTCGAATTTCTCCGAATGAATGTTGCATCTTCGATGGCCAATTCTCGCGAGGATCTTGGTTCTGGTGGTCATCGACAGGGTAATCAGGATTCAAAATCTTCATCCCGCCCAACATGATATGGTTATCATTGCCTAAGCCCAAGAATGACCGGGACCGGTGATCCTTGGCTTGGAAATGATATTACTTTTGCACAAGTCTTTCGATGCTACACTTTCCACAGGCTCGTGATCAACCTGGCGTATACTAGTATTACCACGGATGCACAAGCTGCGTCAATAAATTCTCACCAACTCATAGTCAGACTGAACCGTTACGAGTCTAACACTTTCCAGTTGTGCGTGCACGTGATTTACATAATTAATTCGGACTCTGAGCTCGCTCGATGGTCCTTCCTCTAATTCTGAGCTTGCATCATTACTAGTAACATCAGCTTTGTCATTTACATAAACAAAAATTCGACCAGTTCTTGCGAGCTGTCATCAACTGGCTTCAATTTCCAAGGTAATATCTCACTCTACGCAAGATTGCCAACGGACTGGCTTCAGTTTCCAAGGTAATATCTCACTCTACGCAAGATTGCCAACAGACTCGCTTCATAGGGTAGGTTTTATGTGGCAACCTGCTGGCATGGCAGACACCATCTGCTCAATATGAATTTCAGGTGGATAAATTCTCGCTATATTTAAATGAAGAAGAATACTTGACACATCAAAACAAGGCGATTTCCTACCATCAACACCGTCTTGCAGAGATTTATTTGATCTCATACCAAATCCTCGAAAAAATGCGTCTTTCCTTTGTCCTCGCCGCTGTTGTTGCTTTGACAGCATCAATGTCTGCCAATGGGGCTGCAGACTGTCCTTTTTTTTGCGGACATACTAGGGACTGCAGCGACTGCGGAGATGATGTACAGTGTGTGAGTGGTCTGTATCCTGGATCTATCCACATGACTTACCGGCATGATAGATAAATTGGTTTTGCGACTGGTGAGAACGCATGGCGTGCCCGGTCATTGGGGGCCTGTTGTGCGCGGCGAGGGAAGACTCATAGATTGAACAGTTGTACATCGGATTTGTGAAGATATCCACAGCTGGGTGTAGCCCCGTGAGCGGCATGTATCATAGTAAGAGATATTCTGGTGAAATATGTCAGCGAAGTGCAGAATAAATACTCACAGAGTAGTGCCCGCTCACCCCTTAAAGATGCAGAACTGTCATCAACGAGAGAACCTTTGTTGCGAGCTTCTGAGCCTGAATCCTTGACCAATTAACGGGCCACACAGCGCAAGTTTTAAAAAAGCAAACACAAAGGCAAGAGCGAATTAGGAAACTATGAGCCACAATCGAACTACAGACTAACGACTACAGTGATATAAGTAATCGAGCACGCCTCAAACTCGAGCTCGAGGCCCACCAACGAATGAGCTAAAAGCGAAAGCGGGGGAATCCAACCAAAACGGGACGAGGTTGCGCATCACGTGACCGGCATCGCCCGATAAGGCGCACCCAGGCGTAAATTCCGCCAGCTAAGTAGTATCATTGAATATTTTCAATGATTTCCCGAGTCAAGGGTCACCGGTCATTAATCATTCTTGGGATAACCATATTGAATGTTGGGCAGGATGAGTCCTGACTACCCTGTGAGTCCCTGTCGATAATCGCCAGAAGGCCCAGAACAAAGTTCCTTGCGAGATTCGGCCATCAACATTCATTTCGGAAAAATTCGACAACATGGACGACACAGGGTTAATGGCTTGGCGACGTTGCTGTCGATATTTCCAAAGTCATCTAGCCCGCTGTCATGCATATGTGAAAATCTTCCCGCGGCTGCTGCAACAGGATCCATGGTCCTCATGAACGTTGTTATCCAGCCCGACCTATGCTGCCGATAACACAAGCGGCTAAGTGGATTTTTGAAATTCTGGCCTATCGATTTGTAGATAATCATAGCTATGTCTTGAAATAAGTATGGGGTCGCAGGGAATCCCGCTCTTTCAAAACCGAACAGAGGCCACTTGATAAGATGGAAGGCTGCTCGACAACCTGTTCATGTGTCGCAAAAAAAAATGATCTCCCATGCCGGTAAGTCATGTGGATAGATCTAGGATACAGACCACCAATTAACTCACACACTGTATCTTATCTCCGCACCCTTTGCATTCACTAGAATGTCTGCAAAAAAAAGGACAGTTATCTTCAGCCCCATTGGTGATGTTGTGAAAGCAATAACAGCGGCGAGGACAAAGGAAAGACGCATTTTTTCGAGGATTTGGTATGAGATCAAATAAATCTCTGCAAGACGGTGTTGATGGTAGGAAATTGCCTTGTTTTGATGTGTCAAGTATTCTTCTTCATTTAAATATAGCGAGAATTTATCCACCTGAAATTCATATTGAGCAGATGGTGTCTGCCATGCCAGCAGGTTGCCACATAAAACCTACCCTATGAAGCGAGTCTGTTGGCAATCTTGCGTAGAGTGAGATATTACCTTGGAAATTGAAGCCAGTTAATGACAGCTAGCTGGATTTCTGTTTATGTAAATGATTAAGTTAGTAAGGCATCAGTAAATCACGAGTTCACTTCTTAACTACTTATGGCTAACTTTTTCGCACGACACAGTGGGACGTCATGTCAAGACAACAAAAGTGCGGACACCGTAATACTAGCATTTTGACTTTCATCATAGTTATGTCTTTTGTGGCTGGCTCTCTTGCTGGTGCACTTGTGATGGGTGGTGTAAGCATTGTCCAAAAAAATTAGGATTCGTCTGACTCTGACCCAGATTTACCATGGGTTCTCAAACTTGGTGCAAACCAGGTGAGCAACCATTCGTTGCAAGAACTCAAGACAAACCTGTTCATTGTTCATATCACAGGACTGCCCAGCATCACGCCGAGTTCGTCCATATCCCAGTTCTTTACTTCTATTAGTCCGACTAAGCATGTTACATAGTATCCATGCCCTCTCGGAGCGTATCGCTAATGCCTCGACTACAATTCCCTCTCCTCCGCCCGCATCGACCCGTATAAAACATCATGCGCTATTATCGCTCACTCAGTCCAAGTGGAACAAAGAGGTTGCTGGCTTGTTCGGAACTGCCTGGCGGTGGGAGCAGTGTGCAGTGGAACCAGTCCTTGCGAGCTGTCATTAACTGGTTTCAATTTCCAAGGTGATATCTCACTCTACGCAAGATTGCAAACAGACTCGCTTTATGGGGTAAGTTTATGTGGCGATCTGCTGGCATGGCAGACACCATCTGCTTGATATGAATTTCAGGTGGATAAATTCTCGCTATATTTAAATGAAGAAGAATACTTGACACATCAAAACAAGGCAATTTCCTACCATCAACACCGTCTTGCAGAGATTTATTTGATCTCATACCACATCCTCGAAAAAATGCATCTTTCCTTCATCAGGCAATCGACCTGAGAATGACATAGCTTTATCAAGCTTTGTCTAAAGTAAAATTGATATAATATCCATCATAATTGCACTCAGCTTTACAAATCTTTAAATAGTTAGACTACGCTGGGGAAAACCACCAAAGACACAATTATGACACATATTGCAAATATCTACCATCCTTCACAAAGTTATATAATGTCAGATAACTTCAAACAAAATTGACAAGAAATTACTAAAAAGTCTCAATCTTGATACTCATTTTATCATTTTATAAATAAATAAAATTTTTGATTGGCATTGGGGTATATACATGTAATACCAATACAGGAGAGTGTAGAGATATGATACAAAGAGAGAGATGTCAGTTACCTAACTCAAGAAGAGAGACATGGAGGACCACAGAGGATAAGGACCAGGGAGGGACCAGAGAGAACCAAGAAGGAACCAGGGAAGACCAAGGAGGGACCAGGAAGGACCAGGACCAGGGAGGAGCCAGGGAGAACCAAGGAGGGACCAGGAAGAACCAGGGAGGACCAGGACCAGGGAGGAACCAGGGAGAACCAAGGAGGGACCAGTAAGAACCATAGAGGGCCAGAGGTAACACCATGGAGGGAGAGAATAGATATTGGCTTGAAGAGCCAAAAGTGAGTGTGGTGAAACAAGAGAAGACAAGTGTCAAAGTTGATGAAAACTTTCAAACTCAGACTTACATAAGCATTTGTCATGTGACATGACCAGTGTAATATCATGCAAGTATTGGTAGTGGAGACCAATTGATAGAGAATTGTTGATACAATTGTAAGACTTGACATATCTACATCAGAATGTTGGTGTTCTTTCAATCAATTGTAAAACTTAATATTTCTAACATCAGAATGTCAGTTTTCTTGCAACCATCATTCTTTCAATAGCTATTTGTTGTACTTGTATCAAGCTTTATCTTTGTATATAATCTTATATAATTTAGTGGATTTTTGATCTAACTTTATGAATTATATCCAGTCATATCAATTTAGGGCCAATTTCCTGATGTTTGTCTTCGCCGCTGTTGTTGCTTTCACAACATCAATGTCTGCCAATGGGGCTGAAGATAACTGTCCTTCTTTTTGCAGACATTCTAGTGAATGCAAAGGGTGCGGAGATAAGATACAGTGTGTGAGTTAATCGGTGGTCTGTATCCTAGATCTATCCACATGACTTACCGGCATGGTAGATCATTTTTTTTTTGCGACACATGAACAGGTTGTCGAGTGACCTTCCATCTTATCAAGTGGCCTCTGTTCGGTTTTGAAAGAGCGGGATTCCCTGCGACCCTATACTTATTACAAGACACAGCTATCTACAAAACGATAGGCCGGAATTTCAAAAATCCACTTAGCCGCTTGTGTTAAATGGTTGTTATTGGAGCGAGACCAAACAGAAGCACTCATGCTAACTACCTTTGTACTTAAGTCATATCACAACTCATCAGTAAATCACTTGGTTCTGTACAGTGTGCCAGCCTGACAGCTTGGTCCCTATTGGCTAGCTCACCACAGTACCAATTCTTTCTGTGAGATTCTGTGCACACACTCTACAGACATCCAGAAAATGGCTCTGGTACAATCAAATAGCACTGTGCTCGCTGTTTGCCCATTCTAACACATATAACTCAGGTAGTGCTGCCTAACTCCGGTTCTTGGGCCAAATTTTCTGAACGCCAAACCGAAGCCGTTTGGTCGAACCCTGGACTGAACCAGGTTCGACCTACAGATGATGGGCCAGAGCTCCACCACACCATCCCCAACATTACGAACACCATGCGCAAACGCCCAGTGCATGTCAGCAACTGCTGACATGGCTCAGACGAGTGCGGACGACAGACGAGAGTAGGAGGCAAGAAGATGAGGAGATCTCGTGAAGGGTAAGTGGGCATTGGGAACTTGGCAGCATCAGGATGGTGCTCTAGGGTGAAATCCTCTCGTCCTCTCGTTTTATCTTCCTCAGAGATCTTAGTAAGGTCCTCGGGTGCTACCAGACCACAGTGAAGCCATGAGCCAAGACAGAGGAATGCACGGGTTGATGATGGAGACAAGCGGTTTCGAGTAAAGCGTAGAAGGTGCCAGCCTTGTGAAAATACATGTTCGACGAGGTAGCTATGGTGTGTAATACATAAGTTGTGATGCTAGTGAGAGCAATGGTGCATACCTACCAGGAATACAAGGACCCACACTAACGATTCGGCATCATGCCAGTACAAGTGTGTGACTTTGCCTTTGAGGCCAGCTTCATCGGGCGAAAGCCCGCAGGGCTTTTCTGGCCTGAAACTTGGGTCCGAACCTGGGCGTCGAAGTGAGCTGTGAGGGCGGGTGGGCCCCATCAGTCCACTAGTCGGTGATAGCAACGTCTAAGGGAGCGGCCACTATGCGTCAGACAAATGCTGCTGTAGCTGGTGCTAACGAGATGGGTTAGAAGTTGACCAGAATTCTGCGCATTTGTCGTGCACTCTAATCTGGGAGAGGCGGGTGGGTGGAAAAAGAGTGAGAACTAGATACAAGCTTATAGAGGATGCTGCGAGGTGGGCGGAAGCAAGAAGCACTGCGCCACCTCCCTTATTCATATGTAGACTAAGTTCTGGAAAACCAGTTGTCATGAAGGATGAAGTTAAAGACAAAGAACATATCAGCCCCCCATCCAGAGTTGAGTCTACATGCGCAATGTACCTAAATAATAGGGACGTTCAAAGTTGAGTTTCGAGGCCGTTTTCGAGGCCGTTTTCAATTCTGTTTTCGACAGTCTGCGGAAAACGACTTGGTTTCCGAGCGATGTATGGCACTAGTCGCTGTTGATCGCATCAGTGATCCGCAATATACACAATGTGTAGCTCACTCACTGGATTCATAGGACCCATGTCAGGCTTCAAAGTTTTTGTGGCGCTGTTAAGGTTTTACTACTACGATGTGAGTGAATGGTTGACTCGTATAGTACTAAAATGTTGGAAAATTCGAAAATCCATTTTAAGCCATCATAATGGATTGAAATAGACAAATTCGGCCGCACTATTTTAATCCTGATGTAATAAGAGAGTCGTATTACAATAAAATTATTATTATTATTATAATTCGATTTGTAACAATGCTGGCAATGGAAATTTTAATGAATAGCAATACCTTTGCACTCCCCGTCTGGAGCTTATTCAAACGTCATGGAGCTCATTATAATATCTGCTACAATAATCATTAAAATTGCATTTGCAAGTCCCATGAGACTTGTTGCAATACTCCAAATGCGATTGCAAGAAGATTGTAACTTATTCACAACTGGCAGTGTTCATAAATTGTATCATTGGACTGCTACTATCAATACAATATTATTCTATTAGTACTTGAAACAAGCTGTAGTCAAATGTCTAGATCAGCAGTAATATGTTATGAGGTTGCTGTGCAACCAGGATTCAGGGTGAAACCTGTGCCAGTAGTTGATTGAAAATTGAGCCAGCAGCCTGAGGGGCATGTCAAAATATGAAAAAAATGATTGCAAGTAAGGATAAACTTACCAAGACACTGCGAACGGTGGGCAATGACTTCGATCAGCATGGCTCGAGCTCAATGGAGGATCGACATGCTGCAAACAGCAGGAACAACTTGGATCAGCATGGCTATTGCTCGAATGAGGATTGACACACTCACTCTCTGTGAATGGTGGGCAACGACTTGGATCAGCATGGCTCGAATGAGGATCAATGCACTCACTCTCTGCGAATGGTGGGCAACGACTTGGATCAGCATGGCTGTTGCTCAAATGAGGATCGACACACTCACATCCTGCAAGCCCCTTCAGTGACAAATTCCGTATTATATGGGTCACCCGACCTACATAATATCCTGTATAAGATGGGCCAGCAGACTATGGGCCAATGTTATGTATATCCCCAATGTTGACGGATGGGCCAGGAGGGATATTATTTCTGATGGAGATGGGTGGGCCCATCTATGCTGATATTATATATATCCTCAAAGATGTCGGGTGGGCCAATGTAATGGTTTATTGTATAGATGGGTGGGCCGAGGTACAGGAAGTATTTTGTACACGGGTGGGCTGAGGGAGTGGTGGAATATGTATTATATAGACGGGTGGGCCGATGTAAGGGTTTATTGTATAGACAGGTGGGCCGACATACTGGAATTATTTTGTAGATGGATGGGCCGAGGGAGTGGTGAAATATTCATTATATAGACGGGTGGGCTGATGGAAGGGGATGTTATACAGATGGGTGGGCCGAGGTAGTGAGATATCTGTCTGACATTCATGGATTACCAAGTCCAAGATGCCCAAAAACCAAATCCCATTGTGCAACATCCATTCCGGACACCCGAACACCCCAAGCTCGAGACTGGAAACTGGAAACTTGTGAAAATGTGTGAAATTTCTATTTCCTTACACCAAACACATGAACACCTGAACACCCAAAGCCTGAAGCTTGAAAGTCCATTTATCAAATCACCAAGTGCTGAGTGCTGATAGACCCAAAGCCTGAGACCCAAAATCCGAAGCCCAGAACCCAAAAACATGTATGCAAAATGTCCATTTTTCATTCATTGCACAAATCACCGAGTGTCAAGTGGCAAAACCCAAAACTCGAGACTCAGTACACAAATCACCAAGTACCGAGTGCCGAGGGCCAAACCACAAAGTCCGAAACCTGAAAACATGTATATAACATATCCATTTTTCAGTCATTGCACAAATCACCGAGTGTCGAGTGACAAAACCCAAAACTTGAAACCCAGTATGCAACATGCCCATTTTTCATTTACATTAAACAAATAATCGAATGCCAAGTGCCAAGGCCCAAAGCCTGATGTCCGAAGCCTGAAACCCAAAAATATGTATACAGCATATCCATATTTCCCTCACTGCACCAATCACCGGGTGTCGAGTACCGAAACCCGAAACTTGACACCTGGTACACAAATCACCAAGTGCTGAGTGCTGAGGCCTGCGCCCCGATGTCCGAAGCCCAAAACCTGAAGCCTGAAACCTAAAAATATGTATATAACATATCAATATTTCACTCATTGCACAAATCACTGAGTGTCAAGTGCCAAAACCTGAAACTCAAAGCATGGTACAAAAATCATCAAGTGCCAAGTTGTGAGTGCCGAGGCCTGAACCCCAATGTCCGAAGCCCAAAACCTGAAGCCCAAAACCCGAAACTATGTATACAACATATCCATATTTCCCTCACTGCACAAATCACCGATTGTCGAGTCCAAAACCCGAAACTCAACACCCAGTACACAAATCACCAAGTGCCGAGTGCTGAGGCCTGAGCCCTGATATCCGAAGCCCGAAACCTGAAGCCTGAAACCCGAAAATATGTATATAACATATTAATATTTTACTCATTGCACAAATCACCAAGTGCCAAGTGCCAAGTGCCGAGGCCTGAGCCCCGATGTCCGAAGCCCGAAACTCGAAGCATGACACCCGAAAATATGTATATAACATATCCATATTTCCCTCACTGCACAAATCACCGAGTGTCGAGCACCGAAACCCGAAACTCGACACCCAGTATACAAATCACCAAGTGCCGAGTGCCGAGTGCTGAGGCCCAAAGCCTGATGTCCAAAGCCCGAAACCCAAAGCCTGAAACCCGAAAATATGTATCCAACATATCCATATTTCCCTCACTGCACCAATCACCGAGTGTCAAGTACCGAAACCTGAAACTCGACACCCGGTACACAAATCACCAAGTGCCGTGTGCCAAGGCCCGAGCCCCAATGTCCGAAGCCCAAAACCTGAAGCCTGGAACCCAAAAATATGTATATAACATATCAATATTTCACTCATTGCACAAATCACTGAGTGTCAAGTGCCAAAACCTGAAACTCAACACCCAGTACACAAATCACCAAGTGTTGAGTGCCAAGTGCCAAGGCCCAAAACCCGATGTCCGAAGCCCAAAACCTAAATCCTGAAACCCAAAAATATGTATATAACATATCAATATTTCACTCATTGCACAAATCACTGAGTGTCGAGTGCCAAAACCCGAAACTTGAGACCCGGTACACAAACCACCAAGTGCTGAGTGCTGAGTGCCAAGGCCCGACATCCAAAGCCTGAAACCCAAAGCCTGAAACCCAAAGATATGTATACAACATATCCATATTTCCCTCGCTGCACAAATCACCAACCGAAACCCGAAACTCAACACCCGGTACATGTGACTACAACTGGACATGAATTCTGTATTTGTATGTATTATCCATTGATGTAGGGTTCAAATAACTTGGGAATTGTATTGACTACCAAGTGTCGGGACTCGGGACTCGCTAGTCAATATAGGAAAATGATAATGAAAAAATGAAAATTGTTATTATGCTTAACTTTCTTAATGAAGGTTGTAGTCCGAGTCTATGTGAGTGTATTGGTGGTCCTACCAAGTATTGGTACTCAGTGTAGTGATGGTTGTGGTGCTGGGCTCAGAACCACTAATTTTTATACTCATGTCATTCTTGTCAATTGGGGATTATTTGAAGACTACGTTAAATGTTAGTCAGTGTCGAGTATGATAATGAATGTATAGTCATACCTCAGTCTGAGAACAAATAGACTGAGGTAGGATGATGCAGGTATGAGGATTATATATTTGTCTGGCATGTTAGCAATGATGTAAAGATGAGGCATGCATTTGTACATGTGTGCAGTAAGTGAGCATAAAGATAAAAGAATGAATATTAATAGTGAGACTTGCACATTATGTTGAGATATTCAACATGACAAGCCTGTGATGGGATCAGAGACCTGGAATAACACCCATATATGTCCATTATAATAGCCCTAATAGTTTAGAAAGATACATGAAGGATTGATGTAATGACAGGCATATGTGTGAAATGTGACAATAGACATATTTTTACAAAGTCGCATTTATAGATGATTCAGGCCAAGAGGCGTGCAAAAGGGAAATGCTGAACATACAGCCCACCATTAGATAAGCTTTTAAACCTTAATACACAGCTGCTTGAAGTTGCCAGCAGACCATTCTGAGTTCCTCGATAGTGGCATCAGAAGTTAGTAGAATCGTTCACTGAAGACCACGAGGGGGAGTTTTTGCTAGCGTAGAACACATCTTGATAGTTAAATTAATGAAAAATGCGTGTTAAAGGGTGCTGCTTACTAAATCCAGTATTTTGGATGTCATGTGTGAGAGCATGTGACTTCAATATCAAGTCACGTCTGATATCAATAATGCGTGTCTTATTACAACTCTTATGCCCTCTCTGTCCTGTCGACCCACCAACTCTCATTTGCAAAGACACACTTTTATTCATTATGTATTCTAACACTCATCCATCGCATGCAGGCCGGTTCCCATTAATTTACAACACTTCAGCTCCCAGCATCAGTAACAACTCACACGAAATTTTGCAACACGAATCAGATTACACCTCTTATAGCATTAATAATTCTGATTCATCTGGACATTTTTCTACAGGCCTGCAAAATGTACTCACATTGTTCATGCTTTACTTCAGCAGCCTACTAGTACCGCCTCACTTGCTTGATGTTCTCTTCATTCACATTCATTTTGTATCACTACTTTCTCGTATTGCTCATTATGTCTCTATTGCTTCAGAACAAATGCTCTCTATTAGTTCGTATGTGCTCTACAGCATGCACCGGAAGCTACAGTAGTTCTCGTTGTCGTGTACTTGTGCCATTCCCTTGCAATCAATCGTTAACATTAATATTGTTTTTGTCTTGTGCATCCGGATGAAAATGATCAAACGGTCACCATATATGGATATATTGGCATTACTGTCACTGTGACAGAGGGGTGGGGGGGGGGGGGGGCTTCTGAAGTTGCAAGAGGTGTATATCCTATATTGCAAATTCGCACACCTCTTGATTCAGGCCAAAGATTTCATTAAAAATATGTAGGATAGATTGTAAACTACCTAAGGAACCCATACTGCCTACTGCCTTGAGGGTAGGGGGTGGGTGGAAGGGATATAGTGAAAACATGAGTTGACTTAGCATTAAAGTCCTATTATTGCTTCACTGACCATTTTCGATGCTTTGGGTCTTTGAAGTTTCCCACACTCCATTTCTTATCTATTTCACTTCCTCAGTACTCAATTCTTGGCGGATTTGTCTGTAAATTTATGTCTATGATACTTAATATATTTTAAATGTACTCCAGGTTTCTGATCATGAAGATTCAATGTTTTGAAGGTATGGGCCCCTTATCAGGAGAAATGGCAAGTATGCACACTAGCTCACAAACTCCAGCCTATTGTGAGCTGATCTTGGTCATAAGAGGCAATAATATAAGATACGCTCATTATATATCAAAAGGTTGGATCATGGATGCAAGGGCAAGATACTGAAAATTGTGAAAAATGTCAAAAGTGCAATGGTCTATGCTTACATGTAATAACACTGTCTGTAATATTCAATAATGTGAAAACGAGTAAATATGCACCAGTGGGGATAGATACGACTAGACAGGACATAGGAAGGATGAGTCTGATGCAAAAACGTTGGGTCCGAAACTTTCAGGTCGGGGTCGGGCATTGGGATCAGGATTGGAATGTCAGGGATGCATCGGACAAATACTGTTTAATGTGAGTATCAAAAACACGGGTTTTGAGCCCAGTGCCGCGACTATCATTACACCAGGTACCAAGTATCAGAACCAAGTACTGAGTACCGAGTAATGAAATAACCAATTGACAAGAAAAGACTACCAATACACTCACCTTGACTTGGACTACAACTTTCATTTTTCATTCTCGCTGATGTTTCAGATTTCTTTAGCTTATATCTTGGTCAAATGATAACCGATGGACAAGAAAAGACTACCAATACACTCACCTAGACTTGGACAACAACTTCCATTTTTTCATTATCTTTGCCTATTGCACACTGGGTTTTGAGTTTCGGGTTTTGGCACTCAACACTCGGTGAATTGTGCAATGAGTAAAAAATGGAAATATTGCATACATGTTTTCAGGTTTCGGGCTTCGGAATTTGGGCTTCAGATGTCAGGTTTTGGGCCTTGGCACTTGGCACTCTGCACTTGGTGATTTGTGTACTGGGTCTCAAGTTTTGGGTTTTGGTACTCGACACTCAGTGAGTTGTGCAATGAGGAAAAAATGGATATGTTGCATACATATTATCAGGTTTCAGGCTTCGGGTTTTGGGCTTCGGACATCAGGTTTTGGGCCTTGGACATCAGAGCTCAGGCCTCAGCACTCAGCACTTGGTGATTTGTGTACCGGGTGTCAAGTTTTGGGTTTTGGTACTCGACACTCGGTGATTGGTGCAGTGAGGGAAATATAGATATGCTGTATACATATTTTTGGGTTTCGGGCTTCGGACATCAGGCTTTGGGCCTCGGCACTTGGCATTCGATTATTTGTTTAATGTAAATGAAAAATGGGCATGTTGCATACTGGGTTTCAAGTTTTGGGTTTTGGCACTCGACACTCGGTAATTTGTGCAATGACTGAAAAATGGATATGTTATATACATGTTTTCAGGTTTCGGACTTTGGGGTTCGGCCCTCAGCACTCGGTACTTGGTGATTTGTGTACTGGGTCTCGAGTTTTGGATTTCGGCACTTGACACTCAGTGATTTGTGCAATGAATGAAAAATGGACATTTTGCATACATGTTTTTGGGTTCTGGGCTTCGGATTTTGGGTCTCAGGCTTCAGGTTTATCAGCACTTGGCACTCGGTAATTTGATAAATGGACTTTCAAGTGCCAGGCTTTGGGTGTTCAGGTGTTCATGTGTTTGGTGTAAGGAAATAGAAATTTCACACATTTTCACAAGTTTCCAGTTTCTAGTCTCAAGCTTGGGGTATTCGGGTGTCCAGAATGGATGTTGCACAATGTGATTCGGTTTTTGGCATCTGGCACTCAGTAATCCGTGAAGGTCAGACAGATATCTCACTACCTCGGCCCACCCATCTATATTCCACCACTCCCTCGGCCCATCCATCTACAAAATAATTCCAGTATGTCGGCCCACCTGTCTATACAATAAACCCTTACATCGGCCCACCCGTGTACAAAATACTTCCTGTACCTCGGCCCACCCATCTATACAATAAACCATTACATTGGCCCACCTGACATCTTTGAGGATATATATAATATCAGCATAGATGGGCCCACCCGTCTCCATCGGAAATAATATCCCTCCTGGCCCATCCGTCAACATTGGGGATATACATAACATCAGCCCATAGTCCACTGGCCTGTCTTATATGGGATATTATGTAGGTCGGGTGACCTGTATAATATGGAAATATGTCACTGTAATATGTGCAAGTTGGATTGGATATGCGCCATCATGAACTCAGACACATCCTCTGAAGGATTGAGCGAGCCAGACTTGCAAGAGAGCTGACTTAGACTCGAAGTAGTGGAAAGGATTGCGTCTTCCAATGCATGATCAGCATCACAGTGATAAGGCATAGTGCTAAGATGACTGCTAGAGGTAAGTTCACACCATTTGAAAAAAGGCAGGCGTTCAATGAGGTTTTATACCAACTGTCGCAGTACGGCGACCCTGACACTATACTGTGGCCATAGAGCAAATTATGCAGCAGGTGGTAGTGCCCTATGGCACCATACCAAGTTTGGTATGTAATTGACAAGAAGACAGCGCGTGCAATCCTTTTGAAACTCTGGACATACCAAAAATGGAATAGTAATTTCATGAACATTAATATGAATTGTATCGTGAATACACATGTAATACAATTAGGTACCCTGGAGTTTTTGTAATTAGCATTACTACCCCCAGTTCTACCTGTGATTTATTAATACAAAGACTCATTATATCATGACCCATCAGTATAAGCAATCCCACTGCAACTCAATTGCTTTCTCGCTCGTCTGATGCACACATCTAATGACGAGTCTAGGCACATAGTATCTCAGAAATCAGCAAGGAAGTGTCCTTTCAAACTCCGATTGGCCTATTAAACAATGATTACCTATAGTAACACTCACGTAGCCCACAGTCGCTTGAAAACCACCCATGGAAAAAATGAACTTGAACTTAGCTGCTACTAGTACTTTCTGCGATGAAAAGCCAGCCATTCATTGCCCCTATCCTGCCATTCCTCAGGCCAGCTATGACCAGTCAAAGCTCTCTTCTCCTTCAAACTCGCCTCCAAGCTCTCCCCCATCAATTGGAATATTAGGTATGGATGACTCCCATATCATGGTGTTTTCTGGATAGACTCAAATATTAGAACTGGCAGAGCTCGGGAGTACTATGGTCTCAGAGGAGGACGGCAGCTTTCCTGTGACACCTGATTCCAAGCAATCTGGGGGTAAACACCGCCCCACTGCTGATATCTCTGAGTCTCACCACCATGAATCAGGTCATACTAGCAGCACTCCCGAATCAAAGAAACACATCAAACTCTACCATCCTTACCCCCCCCCCCCCCCCCCCGGTGGCTGTTGTCAGGAGACAGATGCCATGATCGTACTGAGCAGATCTTGCACAGACAGTCATACCACCAGTACTCGGAAGGTATGAGCATTGAGGTATGCTATGTATTGAACATATATAGTTCCTATATATAATTGTTACATCTGTCATAATAGGATCAGGAGGCGTTGTCGAGAGCTATAAAGGATATGAGCCTGCACACCTTCCACTGCGCTATTCACTACAAGGAGGTGGTCCGAGAAACTTTGCGCATGGAATACTTGTACAGGGGCTGGCTTCTTGAGACATCAAGAAGGTTGAACATCTTCAATGAGTCCTTACATCATGAAATGGAAATGGAGTTTTGGAAGGTGGATCAAGAATTGCAGTGGCTAGTGCATGTGCTTGTTGACCAAGGGGGATTGACACACACGACTAATGATGATGTCCAGTATGTTACTGCAGCTCGAGACAGCAGTGGGAAAGCTCTTGTTGATGCTGATGCTGAGATCGATATATTTAAACAATTTTCCATTGGAGATACGGATGATCGTGACAACAAATCGGAATTGGAAGCCACCCAGCGAGTTACTGCTGTGTTGTAGTTGTAGTAAGTCCCCCATGTACTATGATTAAGTCACCATTACTTATATCATTGACATATTTCCAGGAATGTATTATTTCCACTAGCCAATTTGAATAGGCCTCGTGCCTCGCTACTTTTGTTGTAATTTAGTTTGCCATTTCATAAATGGGGTGCTTCCTATCGCAGAACTGTTCTGACTTTGATCTCAAGTCCCATCTTTTACCACTGACCATCCATTATGATGTATCCTGCTGGCAATGCTAGCTATAGTGACTTCGAGCACACAGTGTTAGGGCACAGTATTGATTCTGAGAACATCAACTCACTCTTCTCCAATTCTCATAGACAACCTGAAGCTACTACTAGCCATCATTCATCTGACACACTCTCTGGCAGACTTGACCCCAGTGCACCAGCCGCTCAGATCCAGCTCAACTCCTTCAACATCCAGGGTCATCACATCTCAATGCAATGTCCAAATCAGTCTTCAGGCCAGCTTAACTTCCTCTCAAGTCATTCACCACTTCCATCTGGTCCGTCACGGTATCCAGGTGCAGCCGCCATGTGGCAAGCACCGATGTTTGCACCCTTTCCAACCTTTGGCGAAAGTCATCAAGGCGACGATTTGCCTCTGCCAATCTCATTTGATCATCCACTACCAGGTGCTGCTGCCATGCAGCAAGCACCGATGTTCACACCCTTTCCAACCTTCAGGGAAAGTCATCAAGGCGATGATTTACCTCGCCCAATCTCTTTTGATCATCCGCTACCAGGTGCTGCCGCCATGCGGCAAGCACCGATGTTCATGTGCCTTCCAACCTTCAATGAAAACTATCAAGGCCATCATTGGCCTTCATCAGTCCCATCTGGTCATGTGCCTCTGCCAATCCTCGACGATTACAATGGAACTTTGCTTCCACCATTCATAGTCCCATCCCAGGATCCCATCTGTTTGAATGATTTTGCATTGCTGCCATCAACACTTGCCGATTATCAGCACAATTTTCCTGTGTCACTCCTATCTATGGATGGTGTCACTGTGCTACCACCAGCAGCACCAGATTATATATGACCAAAACCCCTCACGGCGCTGAAACATACCTGTTCCCAAACTCAAAAATGCGATGGTCTGTGGCGGTTTGTCCCATGCTCAGGTCAGTGACAAAAACCATTTGGAACCTCCTCAGTAAGTGCTCTTCCTTCATAAACTAATACATGCACTCATAGCAGTGCAGCAGTCAGTGCCTTCTAGCACAATGCCTTCTCACCTGACCCCCACTCAGTCTATGCAGCCGCAGATTGACCTTCCGCCTCTGGATTATCAACCTAATCTTCCGATACACGATGCCTTTATTCTCGCTGCGGAGAAGGAGCTTATCAGCGGCGCTGTCAACAATTGTACCATGATAAAGCCCTCGTTAAGAGAGGGCTTGGTCCAAGCCGCATTAGCAAATGCAGTCCAAGACTACTTGAAAATCACTCGATCTGACCTGGCCGAGTTGGCGAAAAAAAGAAATTGAAGGTAAATTGAATATTAGATTTGGAGAACAAATCACTGTAAATTTCACAGAATTTGGTCAACATTGGGTGGAAAAAAATGCGAGATCATTGTACATGAGTCTCTCCACACCGTTTAAACTTTTAATGGGAGCTTGTAAAGAGCTGGCATTCAGCATTGTTGATTGAAGCTACAATCTTCGACCCTCACTTTGGTTGAACACACCGGAGTCAAAGTGGAAGCAAAAGCAAATCAAAAGTCTCATCAGCGATGCAACCTGGCCTCTCAATTTTTTCTTCAAGAAGGATGAAGAAACTGGTCAATGGATGGCATTTGAGCATGACGCGCTTCTAGATGTGGTTCTCGGTGTAGTGAGGAAACTCAAATATTGGCACTACATCCGTGATCTGGACAATTTTTATTGCACAGCTGCGGCTGCAATCTACTGCGTTCTAATGCAGTTTTCTTCCAGAAAATTGGACCATGAAATCGAGTTTTCAACAGACTCTTTCAAATTTATTTATGACCTGTCAAAGCAATACATCATGAACATCATCCAGAAGGACAAGAAGTTGGCAAAATGATGGTCAGATGTGAAGGCCCGCACCATGACTAGATTAGCTGACATTGTATGACTAGTGACTACTACTATGGTAGAACTGGGACTCTAAAATTGTAGGTCTACCACAATACCATACACATTGTAAGAATGTAGTGATTTGTATTGGTGTCGACGCCATGTGTGTGCTCAACGTTAACTTCAGACTTGCCCGTTTGTATATGGTGTCACGTGACCTTTGAAAAGGCAGTCCCAGGAGAGACAACAGCGGCACCAAGAAAAGACCACGAATTCATTAATTTCCTGCAAACAAAAACTGCTGTGCTAATGATATATCCTACATCCAACTGAGTCATTCATCTGTACTCCCTGCTCTCCTCCTAGCCCTGACTCCGCCTGCTTCTGGCCCGAACTCCCCGTTACAATGCTCACCAAGACACTCAGCCAGCCACCATACCACGGCCTGTCCGTCCCTTTCCTACTAGTACTACTAGTAGGCTCACATAGTCGCCCAAAGGGTGGCAGGACTCGGTTTGCAAGGTGGTGCTTGTGATGTTAGGTGAGCTCCAATTTTCACCTGAGACTGGAAAAGTTCACCGAATTAGTAGCAGAACTTGAACAGGCATCGATCCCTGGACATCGGAGAGACATCATTCTTGCTGCTACAGGATGGATATCAGAGAACCAAAAACCAACGACGAAGCCTGCAAGCACGCTAGTACCACCCATGGCAGACATCAAGTTGAAATGTGCCATGCTTCTGCAGTGTAAACCTCCATGAGTTGTTGGAGACGTATCAAGTAAGCTTTTTGCAACAGGAATATTTGAGTGTGCAGGAATTGAAGAACTTCTAGGCTGCAACACATTCTCGTGCAGATCTAAGTCATTCACTATATTTTTCGGTCCCTCCAGCATTTTAGCACCCTTTGCTATCGCACTCATGCTAACGTTAATGCCCAAAATAGGGTATCTTTCAAGCGACATATATTATACTGACATTTTTGGCTTCCTCTTTTGGTACTCGCTTACACACCCTGACCAGCATATAAGACGCAAGCTGGTCAGCTTTTAGAACCCTCATCTTGCACCCTCTCCTCTGAGTTGCCCATTCCACCGTTTTCTCCCTTCCCGTCTTTCCCTGTCTCTATGTCCAATGCCGAGCACAGTGCATCACCCGTCGATGAACTACCTAACTCGGTGGGCTCGGGCAGTGTTGAGCACCAGCAGGCTGAGGCCAGCGATGATCAAGCGGTAATATCTGCACAGGCTCGACAAAGACAGAGGATCACACAGCTGGAGGAGAAGCTATTGGCTCTCAAATCAGGGCGCACCGCTAAAGAAAGGTATGACCCCCGTTACAGTTGTTGAGTTTTGTTTCTCACTGTAGTGTAGGCAGACTAACTATTACGTGGCTCAAGGAAGAGCAATCAGATGTATTGTTACTCTGTTCGATAGCCTTGAGGATCTAGTTGCTGAAACCGACCAGAGGTATGACATTGAAGAGGATGCAGAAACTACCACTGAGTAAGTCTTTCCCTGGGTGTGTGAGTGTTACTCATTGTTTTATATAGTCAAGATCGGTTGCAGATAGGCTACATTATGTTCATGAATACCATGCGGTGGTTCTTCAAGAAGGCCACGGAGCAGGAGTACAAAGAATATGTGCAAATATTAAAAATGGTACATTTTCATTATGTCAATGATCATCTTACTTTTACTGAACTGTGTTTTCAGCTTTGGAAAGGGGCTGACGCTGCTCGAGGGGACGATACCTCCAAACTGAAGGTTCTTGTTTCCGAGTGGGTTAACTGTGAATTCAAGCCCGATCCTCTGGTCAATCCAGACGACAAGCATTCACGTGGGTTTACTAATGATGCGTGTGGTAGGCTACTTTGTCCTTCGGAACTTGATTGGAACAATCCAACATAAAAGGTGGGCATTCAAGATCGTGCAGATGGCCATATCGTAACCGACCTCTCTTTTCCAGCATTTGTATATGAAAAATACACTGCAAAACCTGACGATCTGGAGGAGGGGCTATTCAAGGGAAAAATCCTTCTTCAGGTATGTGGCCCAGCAATAGCCCAGAATTGATCTCAGTTGTTTTCCAGGCATACAAAGCAGTATTTACATCACCTTCCTCAGCTAAAGATGTCGATGGCAATGGCAATGGGGTTGACATCATTCAAAACAATCGACACGCTAGGAAATCCTTCAATGGACTCAAGGTCAAGAAGCATGTAGCACAGATCATCAAGATGGAGAAAGTCACCCCTCGGTCAATTGCATACATAATTTGCCAAGTAAGTCATATCATCGGTCATATTGATAGTATTTAACAATCAAGCTGACAGGTCCGATTTGCGCTCTCTTCAGTCACTTCCTGGTGATCCGTTGATGGAGACTTTGACTATGTCCAATTTTGGCGGACCATTGTTGATTTCTTCGAAAGGGCTCCCGGTCGAGAAGCTCAGCGCCACGTAGATAGGCTTCTGGAGTGGTGGACTAGGTGCATTTTTGACTGTCCCAGCAAGCCTTAATTAAACTCGCCGTTTAGAAAGGTTTTTGGAAGGAGTCACTGTGATGACCTCAGCCAAACAGTAAAGGACAATATGTCTGTAAACGCTCTTGCAAGGCAAAGGGCAGCACGTGATGATGCTGCTTTCGACTTGCCGTAGGACTTGAACGTAGTACTTGTGTCACAAGTACCTTTAACAAATCATTATTCTTTCTTGAATCTTCCTAAGTGCCAATACACAGCGCCTAAGTCAAACCCTAACCCTACCCCAAAAGCGTCTACTAGTTCAGAGATTCCTTTAGCACCCACAACACGTGTCTTCGATTTGACTGATGAAGAAGACGAGTTCTTTGATTGTGAATAGATTAGATTAGATACGATAAGATAAGATATGGTCACGTGATACTTCTTTAATATTCTACGACATTCTATGGTATGATTCCCTTTCTATTTTATGATTGGCTAGTAGTTGTAACTCAGTTTCAATCTCTGTTTCAATAGTTGTATATAGGTAGCACGTCTTGGTCGATAGTTCTTTAGTTCAAACCTCTTGTATCTACACTGTAGCAATCCAAGACATCCCTGCTCATTATCCTTTGTTGTGATTATCCTTGTTTGAGTCCTAGTCTCTGCCCAAGCGTTAATTCATTATTTGGGTTGTGACAACTTGACTGTCATTATTTATAGCAAGTGATCTGTAGCACACTTTATATTCATAATTTTGACCTAATGCCATATATTTGAAATCTGCTTTGTGTGATAAGGATATTACATCTGCAACAAATCTTTTTTGAATGAATGATTTTAAACTACAACTTTTTGAGACTAGTGTGAGTGGGCCATCACTAATGTATGAGGGGGCCAAACAGTAAGTTCCTTGTTGGACAGAAGAGCTACCTCGCCAAGATCTTAAATACACACATACAAAATCGCCCTTTGGAGCACACAAATACAAAATTGCTGTGATGTATGACGCCACATGCATTATCTGCCGCTCATTAAATGCTTGCAGTTCAATATGCGAGTCATGAATCACTATCCTTATGTTTGATACCCTGAGTCAATGGAACATACAATGAGCTTTGTCTTGTCCGTATTTTCTAGTTTTGTAATAATAAGCCGTCACAAATGGATGTCGGCACCAAATGGTAAAATAGTTGTTGGGTGAACAAACTGTATAGCTGAGATCTCAAAGGCACACATACAAAATCTCTCCCTTTGGAGCACCTCAATACGGGATCGTGATGATGTGTGACACTATGTGCATTATCTTCCGGTCATTGAATCCTTGCAGTTCAAGGTGCAAAAGATGAATCACTTCCCTTATGCTCCACACCCTGAGTCCATGAAGTAGAGGATGCGCTTTGTCTTCTCCATGTTTTTTTTAGTTTCATGATAATACGCTGTCACACATTAATGTTGGTGCCAATCAGTAAGGAAGTCTTTGAATGGACAAATTGTATAACTGAGACTAGACATTCGAGGGCAGAATATGACTTGACTGTTGCTCGCTTGTCAACATGCTCCAGTAGCTGTGCCAATGTAATGTTTCTTCCCGCAGATTTTGAAGTGCAATATATAATATGATCATTGCATACTTACAGAAGGCTGAATGGCAACTTGAAGTATAATATAGGTTGACTGTCATTTGCTCGCTGAAAACCTGAACACATCTTCGCACTGTCAAGATTTCAAATAGCACACATTTTGTTTGTCACTTGCTTTGGTGAGCACGTAGTTGTTCTCTGGAAGATGCCAGCACTTGGGACCACCCTGGATGTTGACCAGTAATTGATGAATATCCCTGTATTTTGAACAAGTGGTATCAATGTAGAAGTAGAGTAAACATTTCTGTGATTCGCTCCATGAACATACCTCGGCTACTATGCAAACATGATGTTTCTTTGTACAGATAGCCAACCGCATCACACAAGACAATTGTTAGACAACTGATCAAGATGGCATTGATTTTTTGAGAGCGACAAAAGTGGTATCATTGTTACTTGCTTATAACTAGTTTGTTCTCTGGAAAAATTCCAGGTTTTGTGCTTGATGTTGACATTTTGGACTTTGCTTCCTACATGGCTATTATAATTCATCCAGTTTAAGTATCTGAGTTTGCTCTATCTTTCCCTGAGGCTTGATTTTGAGGGGTGCGGGGGTCTTTTACTGATCACAGACTTGTGCGGAGAAATAAGGAACTCTTTGTGCCTCTATAAGGTCAAACATGCCATTGTAACGATCGGTAGCAGAATTATGCAGATGCTTGTGATTGTGTACTATATATTGATATATATGACATTCTAATTTGTCCCTCGGTTCACTGATGGGACCAGCCGAGATTGATGCTCGATGTCGAAGACTTCCTCCAAACCATCATGTCCGTCTATTTATGAAAGGTATCACTAGTCTATCTCGTCTTAGTGGTACAGAACACGCTCAGATATGCCATTTTCTCCTTGGTCTAATTATTGACATCCAACTTCCTGGCAATCTGGATTCAGCTTGTCTTTTGCGAGCTGTTCGTGGTCTCCTGGATTTTCTGTACCTGGCACAGTATCCATGTCACAGTTCCGAGACCTTATCTCTCCTCAATGAAGCTCTCTCCCTCTTTCATGACAACAAGCAAATATTCATCAACCTCGGTATTCGGAATAATTTCAATCTTCCTAAACTTCACGCAACTCAACACTATGCATCAATGATTCAGTTATATGGCACCACAGATAACTACAACTCAGAGTATACTGAACACCTTCATATTGACTTAGCAAAAGATGCCTACCACGCCACAAACCACAAGGATGAGTTTGTGCAGATGACTCAGTGGCTCGAGCGCAAGGAAAAGCTTGTGCACCATGATAAACTCATTCAGTGGCGACTCAACACTAATCCCTTCACCAACCATCCTCAGCCACCTGACTTATCTTTTCGCTGCACACAAACCTTAACGAAGCACCCAAATGTAAAAGCAGTGCCGATCCAAAGATTAATATCAGACTATGGAGCCATCTACTTTCGTGAAGTGCTCGCTCGGTATATTGCACAGCAAAATCATATCAATGAGACGCTCTCCCGTCGACGTCCTGAAGACCTCGCTGCTAATATTGTTCTGCTGTTTCATTCTGTGGCTGTCCACCACAAGATCAAGTGGGTTTCCATCGATGCTTGAGGGCATGGTGATCCATGTGTCACTGTAGATAGTGTCCATGCTAAACCTGCGCATTTCGATACTGCACTTATCAATGATGGTACTGGTGATTCTGTGGGTATCGAAGGTGAGCTCAATATTGTCTGAGTCTTACTAGTTGGAATGGGTCGTCCTTACTTATACAATAAATTTTCAGGCTACTGTGTTGGTCAAATTCGCACCATTTTTTCAATTCGAGAACAAGATATGCAGTTAATGTTCCCTCCAACACACCAACCTCCAAAACACCTCGCTTACATTGAATGGTTCACCCCGTTTTCTTCAATACCAGACTCACGCCATGGTATGTACAAAATTTCTTGTTTGCTTCGTTCAGGCAAGATAATCGCTAGTATAATCCCTGTTTCGAACATCACTCGCAGTGTACACCTTCTACCGAAGTTTGGACCAGTTGCGCCTCGTCACTGGACAAGCAACACTGTCCTCGAAGAATGTATTACATTTTTTGTTAATTGTTATATAGATAGATATAGTTTTGCGGCCCTTAGATAGTACTTGGTAATCTCGCATAATAATTCTAAAATTATGAACCATTAGCAGATTTATGTCTATCTAGCTCTAAAGTGTAGTAGTTTATCTGCCTTATCAAAAATTTCTTTAATTCTTCCTAAGTTTGCGCGGGAGGTTTTCCCTGATGTAAGTGAACTCGTGACTTACTGATGGGCTTACTAACATCAGATTCGACATTTACATAAACAGAAATCCGACCAAGTCTTTGCGAGCTGTCATTAACTGGCTTCGATTTCCAGCGTAATATCTCACTCTACGCAAGATTGCCAACAGACTCACTTTATGAAGTAGGTTTATGTGGCGATCTGCTGGCATGGCAGACACCATCTGCTCGATATGAATTTCAGGTGGATAAATTCTCGCTATATTTAAATGAAGAAGAATACTTGACACATCAAAACAAGGCGATTTCCTACCATCAACACCGTCCTGCAGAGATTTATTTGATCTCATACCACATCCTCGAAAAAATGCTTCTCTCCTTTGTCCTCGCCGCTGTCGTTGCTTTCACAGCATCAATGTCTGCCAATGGGGCTGAAGATGGCTGTCCTTTTTTTTGCCAACATTCTAGACAATGCAAAGGGTGCGGAGATCAGGCACATTGTGTGAGTGACTCGGTGGTCTGTATCCTAGATCTAACCACATGACTTACCGGCATGGTAGCTTCTTTTTTTGTGCGCCTCATGGACAGGTTGTCGAGCGGCCTTCCATCTTATCAAGTGGCCTCTGTTCGGTTTTGAAAGAGCGGGATTCCCTGTGACCCCATACTTATTTCAAGACAGCTATGATTATCTACAAATCGATAGGCCAGAATTTCAAAAATCCACTTAGCCGCTTGTGTTAGACGTTTGTCGTTGGAGCGAGACCAAACAGAAGCGCTCATGCTAGCTACCTTTGTAAGTCATATCACAACTTGTGGAGTATTAATACAACGACTGCCGACCGTCATCACCATGCACGGAATCCGCAGACATATATCAGATACTGCGAAACGGCAAGAAATCGTCATATTCGCATGCAGTGGAACCTAGAAGGCCCTAGCACAACCACGACTTACCTTTTGACAACATTGTAGTGCCTCGCACGTCGAGGGCTTCTCTGCTTAACAATGAAGGCCACCTACAGTTGATAATAGTAACGTAGTATAGTACTATCATCACCATGTGCAGCTGGTCATAGTAGATCAATGCGCGACGCACAATAATGTGGTTCTAGGGCGTTAGTTAAAAAGTCGTTAACGCCGTGGTTAGTTTTTAGCGGAGCCTTAGCTACTAGCATTATGAAGCGCTTCTGCTACTGTCACTCCAACAATAAACAAAGCCACTAAATGGATTTTTGGAATTATGGCCTATCGTTTTTTCAGATAGCTGTAAAGCATCATGATTGACTTGGAGGCACATGTACAGCACGGTACGAATGGGTGAAAATATTTGTCAATTAACGGTCGTGTTTTCGAGAAATAACCATAAGATAAACGGCGTGCAACTACTATTCCATGTTTTGTCCAAGCAAACACGTCGTAAACTGTGATAAAGTGTTCACGCCGTACACACGGGAGTTTGAATATACTCAGGATTCAGACGAGATAACTAAGTCTATTCGGTGGGGTAAAGATCGAATGTAATACTACAAGTACTAAGGAGGCTGCTTATATACTGTAGGTGAAGAATTATATAGAAGGACATGGAAATACTAAAGGTAGGAGCCAACGGCCGGTGAATATTGGTTGCCATCATCCAAGTAGTAGATGACGGCTTTTATCGAGTATTACATACGCCCTCCAGGCCAACAGGTCTTTCAAGAAACGGGAAAAAAACCTCTTGACAAGTGAGCTACACATCAAACATCAAAAAAAAATTGACAGAGGGCGCCAGTGATGTGTGTGCACGTAATTTACACTGTGGAGCGCGCACATGGCGTCGACACCATATTGCCGATCGCTCCGTTCTTATAATATGTAGATATGTAGATGTGGATACGTGCTGTAAACTTTGTACATGAGAGTCTTTTTTGCTTCATGTAGATGGCAGATATGCTTGATGGAATGCCCGCGTCGACGGAGAACAGGGATTCGAGCTTTTAAATCATTTGAAACAGTGCGTGGTGGCATTGGACAACACTGTGAGACTCGATCAAGGGCTGCGCAGTGCGAATCTCTCACTCATGTGCTTACAGGTCCTTGTCCGGCCGTTTCCGATGCGCAAGTTGATTCCTTGAGCTGTCATTAATTGGCTTCGATTTGCAAGGTGATATCTCACTCTACGCAAGATTGCCAACAGACTCGCTTCATAGGGTAGGTTATATGTGGCGATCTGCTGGCATTGCAGACACTATCTGCTCGATATGAATTTCAGGTGGACAAATTCTCACTATATTTCAATGAAGAAGAATACTCGACACATTAAAATAAGGCGATTTCCTACCATCAACAACATTGAAATTTATTTGATTTCATACCACATCCTCAAAAAATGCGTCTCTCCTTTGTCCTCGCCGCTGTTATTGCTTTGACAGCATCAATGTCTGCCAATGGGGCTGAAAGTGAATGTCCCTTTTTTTGCAGACATACTAGGGAATGCAAAGAATGCGAATTTGCGAAACAGTGTGTGAGTGGTCTGTATCCTAGATCTGTCCACATGACTTACCGGCATGGTAGATCATTTTTGTATGCGACAGTTGGTGACCGGGTAGCTGGATGATATCAAAATCATACGAAGCCGGTTCTCTATGGGCTTGCTTAGTGAACTACAATGGAGACGGGGCAGGACGGGATGCTTACTATAAATAATCTAGTGAGCGTGATATGAACAGATTGTCAAGCGACCTTCCATCTTATCAAGTGGCCTCTGTTCTGTTTTGAAAGAGCGGGATTCCCTATGACCTAGTACTTATTTCAAGTCACAAAACGATAGGCCCGGTCATCACCATGCACGGAATCCGTCGACATATATGAGATGCTGCGAAATGGCAAGAAATTGCCATGTCCACACGCAGTGTAAGATTCTAGAAGGCCCTAGCACAACCACGACTTACCGTTTGACAACATTGTAGACTTGTAGTGCCTCTCTCGGCGAGGACTTCACTGCTTGACAATGAAGGCCACCTATAGTTAATAATAGTAGCGTAGTATGTACTATCATCATCATGTGCAGCCGGTCGTAGATCAGTACGCGGCGCACAATGGGATTCTAAGGGGTTAGTTAAAAACTCGTCGTTAACTCCGTGGTTAGTTTTTAGCGGAGCCTTAGATACTAGCATTATGAAGCGCGCCTCTGTTGGCGTCACTCCAACAATAAACAAAAGCCGCCAAGTGGATTTTTGAAATTATGGCCTATCGTTTTGCGGATAGCCGTAAAGCATCGACTCGGAGGCACAGCACGGTACGAATGGGTAAATTGGACTTACATACAAAGACCTAGCTGCATAAGCAGCAATTCATACGAGGTGCGCGCACCATGCACGGTAGTGTGCATAAAATGTTCTATTTGTGTTCCTATCGTCTCCTTCCAACATTGCTGAGCATGATGCAAAGGAATACGTACTAAGAATTGTACAACCTGGGCGTAGCTATTTTGACGCGGCGTGACGACGCCTCAGTGCAACCGTCTCTTAAGTCATGCTGCACGGGTTCACGACCATTTCTTTGTTATCTTATTCATCACATAGGAACACAAACCACTAACCAATATTGATTGTTTTCTTTTCCTTCCCACTTGGATCCTCTGCAAAGCACGTCGACATTTTACAAGCGTTGTTTAGTTTCGCAATTTATCGTCGCGGAGCTCATAGTGCCAAACAGCCGACAATCCTCCTCGTCTAAGTGTGAACAAGTGCACAGTTGTCTTACTAGTATGATAGACATACCAAACTGGCCCAAAACGCGTACAACACATGTGGTTACCGACCTTCTCAAACAACACCAGTAGTACCATCTCCGTCATACGATTCAAGTTTCATCCATGGTTCGCATCAGCGATCCCAGCTTATCCTGCCAGTGCTCCCTGTGGAGCGTACTTTTTGCTGCTGGCGCGTTTCCTAGCTTGCAGTGCAGGTGCAACTAATAATTTCGTCCTTGACAGATAAAAGCTGACTAGCAGCGAAAGCCTCAAGCTTAAAAGCCATGCGTGCATGAAAGGAGGAACTTTGTTTTGCCAATACGACGGGGGCCATACGCGTCCAAACTAGACCAAGGGCAACGGCACGGACTCGGCATCTTTTCTATTTAGATTTCAAGCTCCGGCCTAGAATGAACTCAGCTTGACGTCTCGGACACTGTTTTGCTTTTGACAGCGCCGTGGGAGTCCGTACGTTGAAGAAATCAGCTGGACGAAATCAACCGCGAATCACCTTCGTCATATGTACTGAGCGCTTGCAGGGTACAAAGGCACGCAATATTTTGGTGTTGATACATGGGGCAACGTACAGCCATCTACAAGGCACAAAGGCACGCGATCTTTTGGTGTTGATATCATCGTATGTGCATGGGGCAACGGCCGCAACGGGATAACGGATGTTCATCACGGTTTGTCTATAACGGGAGACTAGTTGATCAGACCTGGGCCTGCAGGGCCGTAGCCAACTCATCACCGAGGGATCGGTCGTTGAGCTGTTCCGGGCTAAACTGTTCGATCCGGTTGTTCTGGCGATACATAGTGAGTACGATATCCAACGGAATGACTGAGCAACGATGAAAGTTTAATGTGGCGGCCTCACTGTTAGTGCAACCAATAGCGAGGAAAGCCTGGACATTATTGATATCAATACAACCGGCGATGGCGTCCTTGTTTCGGGTATGACAACCCGAACCTATCCTACTGACCGAGGATTCTCAGATTTGAACCACGCGGCTGGCCTCCTGGCAGAGTAGCACGCTGTCAGTGGCGATTTAGACAGGGTTCTTCTTGAGTCCTTAATGTGGGCTGCGCGTCATGATTGTTCTCATGAATATGCACAACTGTTGGGTAAACTCAATGTCCTTGCATTACAGAAATCTAGGCCGCCTTAGCAATGGTATATTGCTTAATATGTTGAGTCATCCAACTATTTATATCAATATTGTCAGTACATGTATCACTCTATCATTTCCCACTCAACAAGATTTTCCATCAGGTCAGCCCTGCAGACTTCTTCTCGTCGGCGATCATCATCATATCTGAATAATCTGAATAATAGATGAGATACGTGGCTAATTAAACTGGATGGGTTGGAAGCATGGCGTACCGCATGGACCCCTCTAGGTGTGACTCGGTGGATCTTGCTCATGCACGCCATGAGAATACTAGCGAGTCTCATCAAGTACTGTTCGGATCGGCGACACGCAGGACATGGATAATCCGTGATATTGTTACAACGCTTCGGGAATTAGAATGATCGACTCGCAATTTCTGGTGACATTTTAACTGGCACCTGTCAGAACCGTGGATTCACGATCGCCGTTAATCAGTATAATGGCGGAAGAAATAATAATATTTTCAGTGTCCTTTACCACACCAGCTAGCCTGTCTGATCCTAGTCATTTGTCCCAGTCCATTACAGGAAAAGCATAGCCATAAGCGACTTGCACCAGGTAACAAAAACGCAACAAAACAATAACGTAGGCTATGCCTGATGAAGATGAAAAAGTCCAAAGCCGCGGAAAAGCGACTTCTATGCATATCAAACGGAAAAAAGAGCGGAACGTGTGCAGGCATGGAGCCAAACACCAAGCGAGGTGATTGTTTCACCAGATATTGACTGATTGTTGCGGAAGTAAGCGCGTGCATATCAAGAGCATCAGGGAACAAACGTACTGGGCGAGCAACCGATATTGACGAGGCCATTGTAAGTGTTGTCCTCGCAGCAAACAGGTTGCTGGCCGCTGGCGGTTACCAAAAATGTTAATTCTAGCACAATGAAACTTGTATCGCAAAAACTCACCACTTAGCGCCACCGCCCCCAATAACGTTGAGGGGGGAGCAGTTCTGACCACAAAAAGTATCAACAGGTACTTCAATTCTCATAACAGAGAGCAACTCGTCGAGCGTGCTGCCATGGCCAGACTGCGTAATAGAATCGCAACACTGGATAGAGCCAGTGTTGCACTGGCCGCCGCCAGTCCCCGAGGGGGCAGTGCGCTTGGCGCCTTCAAGAATAATCAGAACGCGTCAAACCACATAGAAAGTAATGTACTTACGCTCAACGGGCGTGGCGCGACGAGCGGGAGCCATAGGGGGTAGACCGCGCAACATTCTCTCGGCATTGGTCTCCGCGCTTACGACAGTAACGGCCACGGCGAAAGCAAGGACAGACGCGAACCTCATTATATTCTGTGTCTTTGAGAAAGGAGGGATCTACACAAGACAAAGGAACTTAAAGAAAGTTGAGGAAGGACAGGACGGTTTGAGAATAAGAGAGTTTTATAGGGATTCAACTTGAAAGTCGAGTTACATTATGTATGAAAAGAAGCATCGGTTACCGAATTCAGCACTATCCAGATTTGAAACTCCGATCACCTCTCTAGGACAACCTCCAGGGCTCCCGAGTAAATATATATTTAAAATCAATTTTTATTTGAATAATTTACATGGACCCGATCTATCTCCTTTCAATTATTTCGAGGAATTTTGACATCATGCCGTAAAGAGCCAGCTCAGATCCTTCGTGCTCAAATGGTGCCCATGCAGGGAATCAAGGGACATGTCTGTCTGATGCTCAAATAGAACCCTGCCAGCGATAAAGTCTGTGGCGCACTTACACCGAGGGGGGGTTGGCAGCTATTCGGTGATCTATTCTTGTAAACTGTTATGACTTCTGCATGCCACACGTTGCTGATCTGGTCAGGTCGATCTGATTCGAGCTTGTCGTATGATTCATGAGGTGGGTTGTCAAGAGCGGACCTTCAAAGCTTCACATCGCCCACAGGATTCCAGGTCTCCGTCCATGTCGCAGTACTGGGGACCTTACAGGTTACTGCTTTCCTTGACAATAGATTCATCATCAATCACTAAGCAGGTTCTGAGTACCTTGACCTGCTGCATTCATGGTTTTTGGCACTTGACGTAACATCATTGTCAATATAAGCACGAAACAGACGCTTATTTACCTATACTAGGGGGTGACAAAGCCCCGTAGTAAACGAGATGAGCGGGCATGCAAGGCACATACCTTGAAGACGCGAAATCTTATCTATCCTATAATTGGTCCCGCACGATGTTCATTGGCGTCTCTTGGTTTGCCAGCCAAGTTGGTTTCCTGTGCATGCTCAATTTCAAAGATCACAGTCCACCGACTGATTTTTCCCTTGAGGGACCTATACGAGACATGAAAGCCGCAACTAACAGGTAAACATCGACAGTTCGTCTACGTACTAGCTGCTTCCTTGCACCAAAATGGTAAGATGACACTCAGGTCACAGGGCGATTCAACGAGGTTGGCGGGCAAAATAAAAGAAGTCGAAATTGGAAGAAATCGCACATGATGTTTCTTCGATAAAGCGCCGCGGCTTAAGCGCTTAAGATTTGACGCTGATTCCACACGCAGATTACACCGATCGAAGGTCGGCGCTATCCCACTGGTTGACGAATGATGCACTAAATTACGCCCATCGTTTTGAGGGCCTCAGTGACTGTGTTATCCCGTTAATACCTTTGCCAGTCGACACGAGGGAAAATGTACCTCAAACAAGTGTTGCATACCTGCGAACATGCCCTCATGGGCCACTCTCTTGCCTTCACGAAGACTTCTACGGGTAGTTGCGAGCCTGTGTATCTTTTGGCTAATATGAAATGGGCCAACAAGCGAGTACGCCCTTACGTCGATTGCAGTGACGTGATGTTGTTCGGTTGCCGCGAAAGACTTTGACAGCAGTCCTCGAGGACGGTGTTATCTCATTAATTCACTTTCCTATATGAAAACGGGCAAGCAATTCCAGACCCCAGATTACGCACCCTCAAAATTGACTGTAGGTTAGTCTCTTCGCTGGGCAATGAAACATCCCTACAAGTACAAGCAATGTGGTCATGAAAGCGCGATTGTGCACCGTATTTGCTAGCTGAGGGAGATGACCATCGGCATTGCGGAACCGAGCTAAGTCAAGGATAGAATATCCCCGCAGCCAGTCGGGCAGCCTGCTCCAAAGTTCCGAGTGTATGACGATCAAGAAGGCCGCACGGTATTGGTAAATGATCAGGTGGAGAAAACCGCATAGAGTCCGCATACCGTCATCTTATCCAACGTCTCTCGGCGATTGTTTAGAGGGTCGAGATAGCCAAGGTACAATTTTGGAAACCAACCAGCCTGGCCCCTATGTTCTAGCGTCACAATGCATAATGATGGGAAGGAACCGATTACGAAGAGAAGTAAATTACGGATTGTGCGGAATGTGTGCAGCTGATAATGATTTAGCTGCCAATGTCAGGAGGTGTCAGGTCGATTATCTTGCGGTAGTGAAGGATCCGTGAAACTGTGGTTGCACTTGGTACACACAAAGAACAGAATCATGCGGGTTTCCTTCCGTTTTGACTGATCCTGGTAGAAAACGGCGCTAGAGTGGAGCAGGACGTATGGTTAGCAAGGGTAATCTAAACTGGATCGATATCGCGCACTCGTCTTGGCCACAATGCGGACATGTAATATTTGAGTGCGCCTGATATCAGAATTAGATAGGGTGATGTAAGATGACGCTGAGGGGCGAAACAAACCAATGTAGGATCCGATCCGAGGTCGGTAGTAATTCCCACTTGTTCCCTGTTTGATTTTAATGGTCAGTGAGATGGCACAGAAGAATTTCAGTCCGAAGCACTTACTTGGTGACCGTCAATAAATCATTCCTATATACACACTTGTTCTCGCCGATCTCCTCTTCGCTACATATCCGACAAGCGTAAACCATAATGCGACGCCCAGTGTCAGCCTTTGGGTAAAGCAAGTTATTGCACTCTGAGCAAAAGTGGAGTGATGCCTGCACGTGGCAAGGACGACCAGAGCACGAGGACAGTTACATAAATCCAGCACAGATATATTGAGACAGATAGAAGCATTTAGCGGTGAACTGCAGCACAAGAGATTAAAGACAGACCATCGTACGGTGTTGAATGGTGTCAGCCTCAGTACAAGATGAATTTCAATCTCCGACAGCGTGTCGTGCCCACTTTGATCCATCCAAAAACACTCGACAGCGTCAAGTCCAAGTGCAATACGTGGCCAACTGTGTATGATTTGTTAGGTGCTCGACAAGTTCTTCATGAGCTTTGATTATTGAAACGTGGTGTTAGCAAGACGTAAGTTCAATTGGATCTATGTGGGTCTTTGGACATTACGGATATGCTTTGCGCTTCTTGGAACTGGGTACATTCACCCGGATGAACATATGCAAAATGGAGAAGTGACCTCTGGCAAGTCTGAGCCTCGCGTTCCTCTTGCCGCATTCCGATTGCTGAATCTAAATTCTCAAAGGCGATCTCATGCCTTACCATACCATCCGTACTTGGGAATGGTCCACTGCACTCCCCGTCCGCTCCATAGTGCCAGCATTCGCGACAACTGGAATTCCCCTCTGGTTTGCCAAGTTCTTCATCGGTGAGAGATTCTATGCTAGAACTATAATGTATGTCTCATACGGTCTGTTTAGAAAAACACTTGACACAGGGAGTCCATCCAATACTACTCTTTCGACTAGAACGGTCCGCCTTCTTGGTTATATCTGGGTTGATCGGTAAGTCGTTGATACATTTTTGCAGCTTATGAAACTAAAAGCATTAGATTACAGCTTGGCAAGTTTGGTGCCGGCGCCGGGTGCCCGACACCTTGGTCTTCTGCTTCTGGCGTCATCTCATGTTATGAACACGTTCCAGGTTCGACCCTTCTCGAATTCTATCGAGGCTGTCCTTGTTGCTTTGAGCCTTTTGTTCTTGCGTAAGATAAGCCGGGTCACGATGCTGCACAAGGTCGGTTTCCGCTATTCCCGGCTTCTAGAGGTTCTTCATTCTAATCTATCGGCAGAGTTATTATCTCCATCTACTAGCCATAACCTTCGTGGCTGGTATATTCACTCGCCCAACCTTTTTGATATTCGGGGCACCCATCGCATATCAAGTCGCACTTGTAACACTTACACATGCCAGAACTGCAATCAGGTGGCTACGGCTTGTTGTCCCGCCGTTATTCACTGCAGTAGGGGTATGTGCCGCATTTTTGGTGGCAGACACCCTCTATTTTCGGGGCACCCCTAACGGTCTCGTGGTGACACCTTTTAATTTTCTCATGTATAATTTCGCATCCCAAAATCTAGCCGAACATGGACTTCATCCACGTTGGCTCCACGTTTTCGTGAACCTTCCGATGCTATTCGGCCCCTGGGTCACTTGGCTAGTAGTGCGCGTGATTGTGGACAGCGCGATATTGTCTAATGAGAGAAATGGGAAATCATTTGAAGTTGATGTCCTTCGTTCGAGTAAGGGCTTGCATATCGAGAGTTCTCGCGACCACTCACATTTTGTTTACTCGCAGCGATCATACAAATGATCATTTTGTCATTGACAGTCCTTTCTCTGCAACCTCACCAAGAACCTCGTTTCTTGGTGCCTCTTTTACTGCCTATTATTGTCTTGGTAGCAAACACTGGACGATTGGCCCATGTTGGCAAGGCGTTCTGGGTATGTTAACATGTTGAAGTTAATCAGCGAGGCTGCTGACGACTTTGTAGGTATCCTGCTCCATTTTCAACTTTGTGCTCGCGGTTCTATTTGGTATTCTACATCAAGGAGGCGTAGTACCTTCCTTATTCCACCTCCATTCCTTGGTTGCTGATCCTTCCCTTGGTACGCGGACAAACATAATCTACTGGAAGACGTACATGCCACCGCTCCACCTGCTTGGCGTTAACGACCGAGGTTGTTTTAATTTTGTTCACGCAAGTAGGCTCAGCTGATGTAGTATCACTCAGATGTTGTAACTGGCTCAGTTTCTTTCATTGATCTCGCGGGGGCGTCCCGAGATGACTTCGCTGCGTCCCTCGATACTGGTAATTATGACAGAACATTTGTTGTGACCCCCGTAGCCATGCGATACACGCTACCCCCTACAATCACGAGCTGTATGGAACTAAACCGGACCATTTTTCCACATCTCGATCTTGACCACATTTCGGAGAGCATGGATATAGGCGTACTTGATGGCCTTCGTTTAGGGGTGTACACCTTGTCACGTAACTGTATCTTTGTTTGAATTATCGACAGACTTCAGCGAATTAATGGAGCAGTAATGCCGCAAGAGCTAGCCGTTAGTCTCCACCTCTTATAACCACTCAGCACTGTTTAAACAATATTTTCTTTCAACGATTTATCAACCGTTGAGCCGTAAGTAGTGCACTAGTACTGTGCGATAGAATAATTCACCCACACAGTCCAAGACTACAGTATTTGAATACTGACTCGGCTATTATATACTGATCTATGCCGATGCCGATGCGCAGATCAGTGCGTAACGCAACGTGCGATGCACTTGTAGCACTTCTCCGCGGATAGTAATCTCCGGCATTACTGAGAACAACGATTAAATCAAATTTGTCCAGTGGTCACCGTGGCCGTCTGAAAGTTCCCCACTTGCAAATTGCAATATGCAGTAGCCGCAAGCGCCACCATAGTCTCCACCTTTCTTGGTTCCCCAACTTCTGCAACACGGGAAAATAAGCTCCATCAAAGACCTCGAAAAACTTGCACTGATCATCATGAAGAAGCCAGGAGACAAGGAAGGGAAAATTTTTTGATCTGAGGCAAGGATGCGTGGCCGAATGATTTTTGTTACCAGAATGTGGTGCGAATGCATCCACTGCGATGATATCTTGATGCGAGAAATTGAGCACGATCTGGGGGAAAGTGCTCCGGGGGAGGACGTAGATGGGGAAAGGTCATTCCACCGAAATTGACTGACAATGTGTAGGCAACGTGAATTTGGCGCATTGAGTTATGGGAGAGTTGACTGGTAACAGTATACACTTGACACACCAACTACTCTTTCCCAGCGCCTCCTCTCGGCAAAAAGATCTCCATCAGACGAGGATCAGCCTGTGCGAAATGCAACATTTGCCTGATTGTAGCACAGCGTTCTATTTCAAAAGGGCTTCGGTGGGAAGAACTACCAATGTGGAGGGAGAGACCGACTGCCAGTGCCAGGTCGGGCGAGCCAAACCTGCAGTAGAGACTATAGAACTTTATGGCAGGAGTGCTTCGACGCGTTGGTCGGGAAGTGCGATCTTGTTATGAGGCCATTGATACCTGTTACTTATTGAGCTGGCAACAAACGCGCGCCGGGGGGCTGTCATGTGGCCTACTATATGAAAAGCGGGGATTATGTAAGGAGTTTCAAATAACGTGACTATGCATGTGCAAGTCCGCGCGCCGCGACTGAGACTCTCAATCTTAGATTTATACCAGTCTGCGTTATGATTTTCCTGAAATTGATGGTATGATAGATATGCCATAGCTTCGGTAAGGCGTAGCAACGACATGGTTATCATCTTGTTCACACCTGAACCAATGACCCGGGGTGGCGATCAGGATTTCATTTGGCGACACCTGACTCTTGTCATTTAACTGTGACCTTCTCCCAGTCGAAACCTCTAGTTTCATGGCAAGTCAGAGGTTGAAACTGGGTTTATGGCTATGTCCACGCCAGAGCTGTGACACGTGTGCAGTATTCACATCGTGATCGAACATCTTCTGTGCCACTTTCAAGTTTGCTTCTGAGAACTTGAATGCCGCGACCTCTTCCAATGATACCAGTGATCACCGGCCACTCGGTTCTATAGATGGTATACCCTACCGAAGCTGCACGTTACACGTTTAATGACAAGCACGCGGATCAAGCATGCCTCGTCATAACATGGTGCGCAGTCTGCCGAAGCTCGAGGATATAAGCAAGTTGATCGACTACTCCTGCTTCAAGTCAAACCATTCCAACAACACAAAAGTCACCATGAGCTGGAGGAGTCTCGATAGTACTCCAGAACTTTCTCACCCAGTATTGGCAGTCCCGTATCGCGTTCCGTCATCGGAAGGCTTTGCCTCGCGTCCGATGAGCCCTCTCTCAGCCTCTGCCTCTCAGCTGTCGTTCAGCTCACCCGTTTCCCGCTCTTCACGACCGCCATCGGCAAACAATAGAATTCCTGGACTCTTCGCCCAGTCATCCATTGTTGCAAGCCCAGTCGACTCCGTAAGAAGCATTGCCTCGTTCTTCACAAAGATGCGGTCTTCTCCGCCGAGACACTCCGAGTTTTATTTGCAGGATGAATTATCTGTCTTCCTGGTAGGTGATTCAAACCTTTCCATTTCTGAAAATTTACATCAAAGAACATTGTCATTTAATAGGTAGACGGGGTGTTATTCCGCGTACACCGCTTTTTTTTGCAGCGCGAGTCTGATGTGTTCCGCACTATGTTTGTATGCCCTCCGACCCAAGACGGCCCTGAAGGACTCAGTGATGACAAGCCCATCGTCCTGCCTGACGTTACAGTCGCTGAATTTGAAGCTTTGCTCAAGTTCCTATACGACGGGTATGGCTCTCACATGTCAGCGTACCTTATGAAATAACTATCTCTCAGGGGCACCTCGCCATCTCCTTTCTCAACAGCAGATGAATGGATCAGATTGCTGTCGATTGCAACCCGCTATGAGATGGAGCGTATCCGTGCAAGAGCGTTGCATGAACTAGATTACCTCCCACCGCTTGATCCCATCCAGAAGATTGTCCTAGCGCGGAGGCACGATGTGCGGCAGTGGCTGTTGCCATCTTACGTAGCGCTTTGTTTAAGGCGTGAGCCCTTGAATGTGCTCGAGGCAGTAGAACTTGGACTGGAGACTATGGTGCTGATAGCGATTGGCAGAGAGTCCGTCAGGGACCCTCGTACTCTGAAAGATTTCGAAGACTTAAGGCAGCCACTGGGATATGATGAATTCATGACAGGCATCATTGCTGACGTATTTGGGAGAGACGGAGAGATTTCGGGTGCTTGAAGCGTAATATGGAGTGCGCAGCATGACAAAGATCCGAAGGGTGTGTATTTGACATAATATAATTTAACAGTGACAATAGAATTTGTACAATTACAGCTGAACAAGCGTGTTATGTATGTTGTTTTGCGTTAATTTTGACGTAAATCGTCGAGAGCAAAGTAAAATGTTGAGCAGACAATTCCGCATCCGCTTCATGCCGACCTTATGCTGGCAGTCTGACACAAAAATGATGAGTCTCGTGTCTCGTGTCAAGGAAACGACGTACCTCCGCACTGGCAGTAATGGAGACAGGAGGAGACCTGGTGGGCGGAGATGTAGATGCAGCAGAAGAGGTGCGCGCAATCATGGACAAATCGATGTCTATAGACAAGATAAACAATTAGCTGTTGCATGTGTTACATTCCAAACAATGACTGACCTTGTCCCTTGAGTGCGTTCTTCCTGATTTGCCTAGCATTCTCCCTTTCTTCCTCTGTGAAGGAGTTGATCCGATGTTTCACAAGTTCGGGCTTCTCGTGAACGGCTGGAGCATCGTGTTGTTATGAGCATGGAGCATGACAGTGGAGTTAATGACGTACAATTGTTACGTTGCCTCTGGCCCGTGGTATCTTCCTCAAACTCTTCCTCTTCCTCGTCAACAAGTGCGGCGGCCTCGAGGTAGCGTTCATCGTTGATACTACCCCAGTTGTGTTGGCCGCTACCATTCTTGCGAACGGATTTGTCGAGACCGGACTTGGACTCAGAACGATCCCGTAATAAGGCACGAGGGAAACCAGCGCGCTCTGTGCGAGTCATGATGAACCTATGTAGCGATGAAGTGTGGTGGGGATCAAAGTGGTCGTGTGTTGGGAAAATAAAATTGGATGTAACAAATTGGAAGGCTTGGTCTCGCTTTTATAACCTGCAGTGCTTTACCTCACGCCACCTGTGACTATAATCTACAAAGGTAAATATTCGAGACAATTCTACGATCGACGGGGCTCGTGACCAAAACAACGACTTTTTGTTAGTTTTTGTTCCATCTAGGGCACCTCAATCGAATAAGCTATACCTTTCTTGTTTCACTAGTGCTGAGGCCGTTTGCTGGCACTAACACTATTTCTTCTGACAGATTTTAATGTCGTCTGACGATCCGACACTCACTGAATCTTCCAAAGGAAGAACTTTGTGGGGAAACGTGGGAACATCATTAAGACGCACGTGCCACGTGGCAATCAGTCACATGGCTCCACCCGTAGCGCGGATACAAAGCTTTAATCATACCTTTGTACTTACAATAACCCTCAAAGATTTCTTTAGGAAGTCGTCTAGACTACCCACCTATGAATGGGACAACGGAAGCCGCAGTTCAATCTCTTCTACGATCATCTGAGAATCTCAAGGCGGCACTCGAAGTCGAGGTCACACAACTTCAAGAACGCGGTGACTTTTCAAGTTCTTCCACAGATGACCGATCCAGACGCATTCTGGCTGTTGTATCGCACAGAAAGGATTACATGGGAGACGAAGAAGGCAGGTGTGTAACCTGCTTCCTGTGTCAATGGTCCTCGCCGAGGATCTGTTACTTTCATGTCAGAAGCGGAATACGTCAGGGTTCTTTTTCTGGCGTACAGATGCTTCTGCTAAGCTCCACTCGTTTAACTTTGTGCTGACTCTGAGAAGTGTTCTGATTCTTAAGCGCACGCCGGGTCGCTCCATCGAGGACTGGAGTGTTGAAGTTGCGTACCCGATCTCTGCAAGTTTTTCGTTCACTGTTGCACAACCAAGACGAACAACTTTAGACCTTCACGTACCTGTGGGAGAGACTGGCGCTGCGTCAAGATCAGGTGTGTAAATGCGACTGGTGCAATAAGTCGCATTCTCATCGTGTCGACAGAACTCACTTTGACTATTAAGTATGAACTGGCTACTGAAATACGAAGCTATACTTCTATCGCACGAGATATGCGGAAATTGCAGTCCTTCACCGCAGAATGCAGACGTTTAAAGGACATATTCAGTCAGCTGTTCTTCTTTTACGTCCCCCATATCGACTTACCAATACATCTATTAATTGTAGCTAAACATGAATTTGACGCTGATTTCTCTTGGCTATCACTTTACACGCAAGAGAATTCTTTGAAATGTATGATACCTCCCATCACGTAAATGTAAATACACGAGCTGACCTGGCACCAGCCTTTTCATCTCCTGTAGATTTGCGCATGGTCAATAGGCCATTGCATACGCGACTTTCGCCAGCCAGCGCAGGCCTTCCAGGAGATGATGCGGAAGATATCAGTATCGTTCGCGAACATTGGATCTATAACAAAGCTATTGAAGAGGCTTCCACTGGGTCATGGGCGCGCCTGCGGTATGCTCGCTAATATTGCTCTTGATATATTTAATGGGCAACTTCACTCATGAACAGCATCCGCACAGGGACATTCAATGTCAATGGAAAAATGCCGTCGCAGGACCTTTCTCCCTGGCTCAGACCAACGAAGCGCGATTCAGAGATATCTGGATGGATCTCACCTTTGAAATCCATCTCGCCACTCGACATACTTTCAAACCCGATTGATGAACGTCAGTGGCGTTTGGTCGCCATATCAATTTGACATTGATTGCATCCCATCCTTTGATTTAGAGGTGACCACCACCCTAGGAGCCTCTTCTGCCACATTAGCTCATTCAAATGTAAACAACGACACGAAGGTCTCTGATCCAGATCTCCTTGTAATAGGCTTCCAAGAACTGGACCTTTCAACCGAAGCCCTCTTGTATGCCACCAGTACCGTCAAGGAAGATGCGTGGGTGGAAGCCATCTTGGCTGGGTTGGGTGAGAGGGGCATTCTCTACGAGAAGGTATCGTGTTTCACCCATTTATCTATTGCGATACGATGTGTAATGCCTGTCAGCTCGCTTCCAAACAGCTGGTTGGCATGCTGATCGTCGCAATCGCAAAGAAATCGCGACTGTCATGCTTTGGTGACATCAGATTTAGCGCCGCTGGTGCGGGAATTATGGGTATCATGGTACAGTCGTAAATTGATTTCCATAGCATTTAATCAACAATTATCTTGCAGGGCAATAAAGGTGCAACAGCGATACGGATGTCGTACACACCTTTAGCCCAAGGGATCTCGTCAAGTCCCACAGTTCTCACTTTCGTTAACGCACATCTCGCAGCATTTGATGAAATGATAGAGAGGCGAAATTTTGACTTCCACGATCTTTCCAGGCGCCTAGTTTTTGATCAGATCGATGATTCTAATTCTTATGCGAATACCGCATCGGAGACTTCGAGAACAACTGTTGGATTGTTTGAAAGTGACGTATTATTCTGGATGGTACGCTGTAACTTGCCTCCTCTATTACCTCACTTACCCCTTTGGAACTCTAGGGAGGTTGGTTGATTATTACCCGATGAGATAAATGATTGATTTGGCCGTCACAGATCTAAATTACAGGATAGACCTTGCGGACGGAGACGTCAGAGAACTATTATCATCTTCTCCAGGCACGGGTAACATCCCACTTTTGCTAAAGTATGATCAGGTTAGATGACGACTGACATAATTGATCACCGTGCTGACTGTATCGAACACTTAGTTGAAGACGGCTATCGCAAGCGGGAAAGCATTTACTGAGTTTTCGGAGCATGCAATTACACATATGCCGTGCGCAATTTCCTCCCGAATAATTACATACATTCAATCGCTGGGCGTGGCAGTTCGTACAGATATGCGTCAAATACGTCAGAAGATTCTCTGGGATATGACCGAAAGTGAGTGGTGTTCGCAATTGGCTTAGTATTGTAATAAATGACTTATCCTGCCAGGCGCAAACCCGCATGGACGGACCGCATATTACATATGTCGGCTCCCAGTGTTCCAGTCACCCAACGTTCATATTGCAGCCATCCGCAAATAACGATGAGTGATCACCGTCCAGTGTCAGCTGATTTTGATTTAAAGGTGTGTTTGTTCACAATGCGACGTTGATCCATTCAATCTGAAAGTTTGTCAGGTATCAATTGTTGACAAGCAGAGACACCAGATCGCCGCCTCTAAGCTGTATCGAGAGTTATGGGGCGTGGAACATTCCTCAAAGATGCCGAAAATCAAACTACAGCCGATGAAATTGGACTTTGGAAAAGTCTAGTAGGTTCTTGCACCCCGTAGTTGGTGATGATTGAAATTTGGATCAAAGTTACAGACGTCCAATCCAACAAACGTTATCCATTCAGAATGATGGACAGGTAAGTTGATTCAGTAACTTACACGGCCTTTACTAATTATGATTTCCAGATCCCCTGCGTCTACCGATTCGTTGCTGCAGATGCTGAACAGTCCATCTGTAGGTAATACCTTAGTTCTCATATCACCAACTAATATGTTGTATCGAAGGTCCACAATGGCTTGGGATTGAGCCTGTGGTGGTGCGAGGCGTTCTCACTGTCACGCTGAGGCTAATCCGTAAACTTATTTCTTTGCAGGGCCTACTTCGTCCGGGTGAATCGTCGGCCATTACTGTCACAGTATTTGTCGATAACTCGTCTGCTTCACGGCTAAATCTTGCACCGCCTCGCTTGGATTTTACCCTTATACTGCACACTGCTCTAGGAAAAGATCACTTCATCTCGGTCACTGGCGAATACCGTACGTCTATCCCTGTCCAGCCTGATATACTCACTGGAGATGATGAACACAGAATATACTTGCTTCGCAAACAAGCTTACCAGACTTACACGACTTCCTGGTCCCGTGCGATCTATGAAGTCTCCGAACGATCGGATGCCTGCACGGCAATCAGTGAATGCCCCGAGGGAAATTATGAAGTTGATCAATTGGCTGATGACCTATGCCACCGATCCAGTTCGTGCCACGAATATTCTGACTGCATGTCCTAACGGTGCTCTAGAATGATTTACTTAATGGTCCTCTTGAAGAGAGCATATGCATAAACATCAGAGAGGTGTTTGCGAGTCATCTTCGACATCCGTGCATGTGTTAATAATTGTTCATAGTGTCTTGATACAGGAGATCAATTTCCATCGCCCCAGTCTGCAGAAGAACATGGTCCACTTGCGACTGCTGTTGCATCTACACTGGTACAGTTATTGGACTCGTTGGTAGATCCTGTAGTGCCCCCGTACCTCCATGCGCGGTGTTTGCAAATGACAAGTAGAGACGAAGCATTCGAGGTGCGTTGAACAAAACTCCAGCGTCCTGGATAGTCTTTACGTGGATCCTAGCTACTGGACGAATTTCCTCCTGAATCGGTCAATGTAAGATTCCACACATAGTGTACACGCGTCTCGTTAATTCTTCCTAGGTCTGGATCTCGCTTACTGCATTCCTCCATTATATCTCCGTGCAAAAAATATCGTCACAATCATCGACGAATCAAGCGGAAATGGCAGAAAGGCTGGGTGCGTCTATCATGCATCATGCAAAGTTCATTAGAATATCTGCTGAATGAGGCCTGTAGCGACTATATTTGCACCAGTATTACTGCGGGATGACTCGTCCGGGCTTTACACCCCCGTGTCTCCAATCGGAAAGCGAAATTTTTTACTTCATTTTGTTGGCTGATCTACACAAGACAGTATATATCTCAAATGCTTTGGAGGTGTAGTGACCATGAATTCGATAGTAAAGGGAGGACAACACATGCAACAAGCATCAATACAATTTATAAGATACCCGGGGAACAAGTTCGAAATCATTTGGAAGCAGAAACAAAAGCAACTACTTCAAAGTTGTCCGGCGTCAACAATCCCTATGCACGAGCCAGGGCTGGAGGAAGGAGGGGAAACAGTCTTCGTCGCGTATCAGGTCATCATCATTGCCAACAACATTCGCGTCAGTGTTCCGTTACACATGGATGAGAAAAATGAGACGCGCATACCTGTTTACTGGGCGCGGGAGGAACCCTGGATGATAGTCAGCGATGTACGATCTGTCTGAATAGGCTATCAGGTTGGTGACCGATGTAAGCTGGATTTGAAGGTTTCGGAAGTATTGATGGCGGAGGATTGATGGTGGATGGTGCCGATGTGAGTTGAGACTAGAAGAATTTAAGTTGAATATGAAAGTCCCCGGTCAAGTTCTCGTCTGGTTTTATAAGCGAACGATGTGGGGTGAATGTAGCAGGGAACCGCACAGGAACCGTCGCGTTAACTTGGATGCAAACAGCTAAAAAAACATGCCTAAGGCATTACGAGGTTTATCGGTTCGAACAGCGTCACAGTGTGCCAGAAGCGGAGAAAAGGAACTTTCGTAGAAGATGAAGGAAAGCAAGTGGGTCGCTTGTAGACAAAGGTCTAGGTAGGTAAGGGGTGGGAGACATAACAGGTATTAAGAGTGCTAGATCATGGATGATACTAGCGTGCCATTTTAAAGGAGGTCCGGTATTCTTGAGCATCGATGCGTCAAACGCACGTGTAGATCGTCGTGGATGTGGTGTGGTCATCCATGAAACTGAATGCGGTTACAATGGATTTGTCTTTTATTGCCCAGGAGACCGGCGTAGATGTCCCCCTGGCCAGGTCGCCAGAGTAGATTTTGTACAGTGATATCCAATTTCTGTGCTTGGGCATCCCACACCTGCAGGTACTGTGTCGTCACCACGGCCGGTGCAGGCGAGCTTGTGAGAGTCTCCATAATCGAAGCGCTAGTACGTCAGGATACGGCCATCATTAGGTTTGCATGGACCAGCGTCGAGTCCGCCTGTATCTATGTAAGCTCTAGGTCTTCAGAATCGACAGCCTGGTGTGCTCAGATCACAGAGACCGCCTTCGATGATCATGAAATGTTCTCACGATCCTCTCAAGGTTCCCTGCATCGACAACCTGCATAAATTTCATTCTGCGTCACAGAAGAACTGAACTGGAAAAGGACAACTCAGATTTGGGTTATCATAACTGTCGGGTGTCTGTGGATGCGGCTACCTAGGCCAAGTTATCTTTGACCGTTTTCCCAAAACAGTGAACCTAATAGTAGGTCTGGCTCTTATCTTTCCTCTACTCGAATCTGATGACTTTCAAGGAGCCTTGTGTCGCTTTGCCTGATCTTTACGAGGCTTCAATCGTGGAACTTCAAGATGGTCTAGTCAAAGGACACTTCACTAGTGTTCAACTTGTCAAGGTAGACTCTCATTACCCCAGTCACTACATATCCGATGCAGCATCTAATCGATCACAGGCCTACTTGGACAGAATCGAGGAAGTCAATTTCAAGGGTCCTAAATTACGTGCAGTCATCGAGACCAATCCAATAGCCATATCACAAGCTGCAGCCCTGGACGATGAACGGAAAGACAAAGGCAGCCGCGGGCCATTGCACGGAATACCGTTATTGCTGAAAGATAACATTGCTACGCTGCACGAAGAAGGTGAGATTCTGTGTTATATATGTATATGCAGCACTAATAAATTGGTATCCGGATAAGGAATGAACACGACCGCAGGTACATTTTGTGTTTCTGCCTGCCATTTTGCAGATAATAGCTTTTGAGGGTATCCTAGGTTCCTACGCACTGCTAGGTTCTGTTGTTCCTCGAGATGCATTTGCTGCCGCAAAATTATGTGAAGCTGGGGCTATATTCATAGGAAAAGCGAATCTTTCTGAGTGGTCCGGTATGAGGGGCGAGTGGGGTCGTTTAAAGGGACTGGTTCTCAATGGCTTGTCGGAGCGTGGAGGACAAACTCTTTGCCCATACTACCCGAATGCACATCCATCCTCTTCGAGCTCCGGAAGTGGCGTTGCAATGACCATTGGCCTAGCAGCCGGGTCGCTTGGCTCAGACACTCATGGCTCTATTGTCTTTCCAAGTAGCAGGAACAATGTTGTGGGAATCAGGCCCACTGTCGGGCTGGTATCTCGCTCATGCGGTGAGGTTTCTAGCAGTGGCCTTTCTGATTCCCTATCTGACGGTGAATGTCAGTAATACCTATCTCATCTCATCAAGATACTGTTGGCCCGATGTGTCGCTCTGTCGCTGACGCTGCCCTGTTGTTAAAGTTCATAGCTGGGCCTGATCCTCGAGATGAAGTTACTTTACATCAGCCCGGACTAGTCCCAGACTACATGAAAGCGCTCGACAAAAACGCCCTCAAAGGCGCTCGTCTTGGAGTGCCTCGTTCCCTCATCCGCAATACCAAGGTCATCGAGGAGACTTTCAACTCATCCCTTGACGTTTTCCGAGCTTTGGGCGCGGAAATCGTTGATCCTGCAGATTTCCCGAATACAGAAGAACTACTGACATCGAAGGCGGAGAAGCGGGTACTGGACGTGGACTTTAAAGTTGATCTTAACAAGTACCTATCGGAACTTGTTGACGTTCCGACAGGCGTCAGGACTCTCGCTGCTTTGATAGAATTCAGCGAGAAACGCGCGGACCTGGATCTTCCACCACCATTCTACAAAGATCAATCGCAGTATGTCTGCTCAAATCTCATACGCGAGTTTCTTTTAGGCAGAATATCTAGATTTAAGCAATCGGAAGCCTCGCAAGTTGATGGCGCCTACTTTTCAGCACTAGCTGAAGATTTTAACTTGGGACGCACGAGGGGAATTGATGCCACTCTAGCCCAGTTCAATCTCGATGCCATAATTCTACCAACCGAACATGCACCGGGACCTGCAGCGATCGCAGGGTATCCATTGATTTCAGGCTAGTACTTCTTAGCACTATCTCAACGTTACTCAATGTCATCCGATATCTAGTGCCCCTCGGCTTCCAGCCAGATGACGTTGAGTTACTGCCCGCGACACCAACCTCAGTTTATACGCAAGCCCCAGGACTTCCTTTTGGAATTGCTTTTATGGGGACTGCGTATAGCGAGTTCAAGCTCATCGGTTATGCATATGCGTTTGAGCAGGGTACCCATGTGAGACTTCAGAGAAGAGCATATAACGATGCGATTCCTAGAACCCAATTAAAGGACGTCATGACCATGCGGCTGTAAATGTGGTTTTCACTTTGTAAACTGCCATACGCATCCAATAAGCGAGTTGCTTTACATGCATGCATTCCGGACATCAATGCACATGTCGAAACGTCCATCTACTCGTCTAAAGCACAAGCCTAGGCGCTGCGACTTTGAAATCGCTGCTTCTTCCGCATTTCTGACACGTTCCAGTAGTCACTGCCCTAAGTAAGCACACTCCTTGACTTACCCTTGCAACACACGATGATCACATAAGTACGTCGGCAAAAAAAATTGGTATGAAGATCTTACACATTTAAATCTTGAAAAAATTCAAGCATTCGTCAGTATACTGCTTCGAACAAGTAATTGTCTACAACTTTTGAATCCACCATTGACCCTCTTCCACGAAACAGGTTCATGGAATAAGTACCTTGGATCGCCTGGGAAGAGCAGGGACTTGACTAGCACGCTGGATTGATCAATCCCAACCAACACATCCACATCGGCGAATCAATAAATCCTGCATGAAACTACTCATTCTCAGACGTAGGTCGATTAGTTCTAGCATGCATTCACAGCTAGGGCAGCAATCTGGAGTTGAGTTGCAAAAGCTGCCACCTGATTAAAATTCCCTGAGATTGTCGAAGCAGCTACAATGGTGACAAAGGAGAGATATGATATGGAATCTTTCAGGGTAGCAGCTTGTGTTGGGACCTTCGGAATGGTCTCTACTAACGGATTAGCCGTTCGTTGGAACTGAGCGCTGAACAATAACATCGGCATTGGGCAACTGCAACTTTTCAAACTCCGTGCTTCCCCTGCCATTACAGCATATGTAGTACTTGTTGATTCTCTTTTCAGAAGACTCGAGACATGTCACATCATTGCATGCCATCGCCGGTCAGGAAAAATCCTTTCTCATATTCAACTCTGAAATTGGCTTTCTTTTAGACGAATTGAAGTTCTTGTTTATCATCGTTGCCCTGCTGTCCCCTGCTGCGCCCGACTATACGTATCATGGCGTGTGGGCTGCTTTTCTGGCCATGTGTCATTGTACACTGGCAGGTCCTGAGCCACTCCTGAGCCACTCATGGTAGCCATGTGAGTAAAGGTTCCTGTGTACATATAAACTTTACTGATAACTATAGGCAGTATAGTACTAGCTAGGGCGGTACTGAGACAAACGGTCCAAGCTCACAATTCCAACTAGTCTACCGTACTATCCTTCCATGGGTCCTTGCGCTGTGGCCATTGTTATATTTTTTTTGTCTAGACGCCTTGATATCCACAAGACGCCAATGGATGCTGTTCCAGGCCAACTACCAAGGACCATTGTATATAAAGCCATCGAATTTATCCAAACTACCAATATCCTCCTCTGTGCCAATGTTCTCCCAAAGGCTTGCTGACTACTACCAAAGACGCGAGAAGCTTATCAAAGAGGACCGCGCTTTGCGAATAGACCATGTTCGTTCGAATTACACTGCAGCTGAATGGAAGGCAGATGAAGTTGTGCGCTCCATCCGTGCTAGAGAAGCTACCACTGTTTGGGGAATTGATCACAAAGATGTCCCTCATCCATACCCAGGGATGGAGTTCTTGAATGGTATGATACTCGGCTAGTTCTTAACACTTCCTCTAACACCTGCGTACAGCCAGAGACATTATTCTACAGACGGATCTCTACAGTAAGATAGTCTCCAAAGTAAGCACAGTGAATCACCATGTTTCTCGTCACCCATTATCTCGACCGCAATTTACCTGTAGATGCCAAAGGGTGGGCTATTGCATGTGCACCAGAACGCATCGGTGGAGGCGAGAACACTTCTTGAACTAGCACTGGGTCATCCCGCGATACATATCCGCGTCCCGGGTCCGTTGGATGCGGCTTCTCTTGAAACTGTGCTGCCAGTAATTCAACCAATTCCTGTGGAACAGTATCCTGCCCCCGAAATTGGTATCACGGATGCTTCATACACCGGCGGCTGGGTTCCTATCAAGAAGGCGCGAGAGCTGTTCGATCCTGCACTAGATGGCCCTGCTGGATTTGATAAGTGGGTTCTCAGCGCCTTTATGATCAATCCCAGTGATGCATACAATACGTACAATACACCAATGAAAGTGAGCTCCATATTAACATACAACCTGCTGAACATTTTCTTAATGCGAGACTTGCAGATCTGGATGAAGTTTGGGAGTACCTTTGGCGTGACTGATGTGAGCCCGTGTTTTAGAAATCAGGATGTGGGCTGTTCTGACGAAACTTAGCCCATTATCCGTTTTGTGCCGATTCAAAAGGAATACTTGCGGATGTTCGTTCGCTCATCGATAAATGATGGTATCTCGTATATTGAGGTACGAACTAGTTTTTTCAAAAAGTGAGTTAGATCGACATGTCCGTGTTTGAGATACCTGATAATTCATTAGATATATACTTGCAGAAGACGCGAAGACCAAGCTTGAATTACGTGAACTACTCTTGATATTCCAAGAGGTCACGAACGAAATCAAAGCAGAAATGAAGGCGAAAGGTCGAGAAGACGATTTCGCTGGGCTGAAGGTTAGCTTGGTCGCGGCGAACCCACTCAAGCTCAGACTGATCTTTTCTTCAGATTATCTATAATACCCTGAGAATCGTCTCCCCCGAGGAATTGGAATTAGAACTAGAACAATGCAGCAGATTCAAGCAGGAATTCCCGGACCTTATTGCTGGCAAGTCCCGCAATTTTTCTGTAAGTCGGCAAATCCAGATCTAATGGTTCTATCCGCCAGGATTTGATCTCGTGGGCCACGAAGATGGGGCGGAGTGTAAACCACTTATTGATTACGCAGAACCACTTTTGCGTTTCGCCGAGGAGCATCCGGACATCCCGTTCATCTTCCATGCTGGTGAAACTCTAGGTGATGGCACTGCAGCGGATATGAACCTATATGATGCCATTCTTCTCGGAACGAAACGCATCGGACACGGGTTAGGTGCATTGTATGATGTAAAGCGCTCGCTAACTCATATTGCATAGCTTTTCATTAGCTAAGCATCCAAAATTGATGCAAATCTGTCGAGAGAAGAAAATAGCAATCGAAGTCTGTCCTATATCGTGAGTGAATCATACATGTAGACACGTCCAGTTGATTTTGATTTTTCAATAGAAATGAAGTACTGGTAGGTTTCCTTATATGCTGTCTCGGAACCTTACGTTAACTCAAGACATGCTAGCGTCTTACCTCATCGATGCCTATGCACCCCCTCCCGGTAATTATGAATCAAGGCATTCCGGTGGTACTATCTTCCGATGATCCTGCAATGTTCAATAGTATGGGGTTGTCCTTTGATTTCTTCCAGGTGGCCTCTTTTTTGTTTATCCCTTGCTGTAACCAGACTCATCAGTCACTTACAGGTACTAGTAGCAAGTGAAGTTACGGGACTCCTAACTCTTGGTCAGATGGCCCGTGACAGCATTACGGTGAGCCATGTCGTTGTCCTTGTCTCTTGCATTGCGTCATGTTCCTTGTGTAGTATTCCATGCTAGATGAACAGAGCAAGCGCGCGGCTATGGATGCATGGGAAAGACGGTGGGCCAAATTCGTAGAAGAGGTTGCGGCGATGGGTCCGTGATTCAGTGAAACTTTGGCTACCCGTGATAGAAATATAGAGCTATGCAATGGATATTGTAGAAATACGTGAACTTATCAAACTCGTGTAAATACTAACCTCACGGCGTTTCTGTCGCAAGCGGAATCATACTATCAGACCAAACCCCTGCCGTTCTACCAGTCTCATGGGCTTTAAGGAAGCCATACGATGAGATCATTAGATATGCAGCATAAGCAAGAGCAGAGCACGAACACAAATAAAAGTACATGTGAGTAGATACGAAGCAATATAAATATAAGAGGACAAAGATACTCGTTAGACTCATCAGTCAAGGTGGTCATAAGAAATGATGCGTAGAATGTGACTCCTGGACTTTATTTGTTGATGAAGCGTGGCGAGCGAGGTCCGAAGAGACCAGGGTCACCGTCGTCGGGTACAATCACGTGAGACTCAATCGACGCTGGTGAAGGTGCACGCGCAGGTTTGCTAGTATTCACGGCGTCAATTCACCTTCTTGAACGATGCATAAAACTCAATACTCACGATGCCAGGTGACCCAGGGATGCATTACGAATCGGGGTTTACGAATGCGCCTCGTGTTGCGCCATGCTGGACGAGTAGGTCCAGGTTCATCAGGAAGTGGGGGAGGTACCTCGGGCGGTGAAGGTGGTTCAGGACCAGGCATTGGCGGTTTCCTGTCAAGCAATATGAGAACGGTCCAAGTTGATGGCTAAAACATCTTACCACCCTAAGTTAGACCCAAGGATTCTGGCACAGTTCTAAAAGGAAGAAATCAAATAGATATGGTGGTAGAACGTAAACAAGTGCGTAGTCATCAGGACGGTCCGTCGTTTCCAAGATTGATGTCCTTTCTGAAACTTCCTATTCTCCAGCTCCCTGTCGGAGTCTCCGACACGGAATATGTCAAATATTCTCATACGAATCTTGATCGGCTGATGATTGCCTTCGCGTTTTAGAGACGTCTCATCACTGAAAACCGAGATCTAGGATATACCCTTATATACAGATTATACAGTAATCCCAGCATGGCCTGGACAGCACCAAACATCCTGCATGAGTCCATCGGCGCACGGGCGGTATCAGGCTAACTGAAAAGAATTTGATACTGTCCCATCATGAGTAGGCGGTCAATCATCGAAGTTGGTCACAACCATCCATGGACCATAGCTAATGTTTCTTGTGCGCATTGTGAAATGGGCGGCGGGGACCTTCTCAATGTGGACTCAGAATGTATCCAAGGCACCCCACTTCTGTTTATCTTTCCTTGTCCAGTTCTCAGTACTATACAAAACATGTGCTATACTGTCCATACAACTCTCACCTTCCGACTTTCAAACATTCTACTTGTCACTTGCATAGGTGCTTGTCCCTCTGTCATTCTTTCCCCCTTCACATAACATCCGCCAACTGCATTCTCGGAATCGCATCGTTATATGCCTTTCTCTGAAGTCTCACGTGGGTAGCCTGCTCAAACGCATAGGCGTAACTGATAAGCTTGAACTCGCTATATGCAGTTCCCATAAAAGCGATTCCAAAAGGAATTCCCGGAGCTTGACTGTGAAGTGGAGATGGCGTCGCAGGCAGCACTTCCACCCCATCTGGCTGAAAGCCAAGGGGTACTAAATATTGAATGGTAAAAGTGGCGTAACCATCACTATACGGAGTACTCGCCTGAAATCAATGGATATCCCGCAATTGCTGTGGGTTTGGGCTCCAGTACATCGGTGGGTATAATTATAGCATCAAGATTAAACTTGGCTAGGGTGGCATCGATTCCCCTCGTGCGTCCCAACTCGAAATTTCGAGCCAGTGCTGCAAAGTATGCCTCATCAACCTGTGTCCCTTCCGCATCCATAAATCTGCATGTCTTCTGTTAGGGCGTATTATACGTGATTCAAGCTGACCTACCGAGACTGATCTGTATAAAATGGTCCTGGAAGTTCAAGGTTTGCATTGATCTTGTTGAATTCTATCAGATCGGCGAGAGTCTTGACGCCTGTAGGAACTTCGACCAATTCCGATATGTACTTGCTGATATCAACTTTGAAGTCCGTAGTCATCACCAGCTTCTCTGTTTGTGATGTCAGTAGTTCCTCTCTGTTTGAAAAATCTGCAGGGTCGATGATTTCCGCGCCTAAAGCTCGAAAAATGTCAAGAGAGGAGTTGAATGTCTCCTCGATAGCCTTCATATCGCGGATAAAGTTCCGAGCTACTCCAAGACGAGCGCCCTTGAGAGCATTTTTGTCAAGTGCTTTCATGTAGTCTGGGACTATTCCAGGTTGATGCAAGGTTGCCCCATCCCGAGGATCAGGCCCAGCGATGAAGTTCAACAATAGGGCGGCATCGGTGACAGAGCGACACATCGGACCAGGAGTATCCTGATGAGATGAGTAAGGTACCACTAGCATGTACCGTCGTCAGATGGGCGACTGGTAACTATAGTTGAAAGCCTTACCGCCCGAGCGAGATACCAGCCCGACAGTAGGCTTGATACCCACAATATTATTCCTGCTACTTGGGGCTACGATGGAGGCACGAGTTTCTGTGCCAAGGGACCCGGCTGCCAGACCGACAGCCATCGCAACACCACTTCCGGAACTCGAAGCAAATGGGTCAGCGTTTGGATAGTACGGACAACGAGTCTGCCCCCCACGCCCCGAGAATCCACGAGGAAGTGGAACAGACCTCGCACCAGCCCATTCGGAGAGGTTTGTTTTGCCTATGAATATAGCTCCAGCCTCACGTAATTTTGCTGCTACAAACGCGTCACGAGGAACAACAGAACCCAGCAGTGCGAAGGAACCTAGAACGGAGCCAGAAAGACATTGGGATTTGTTAGATGTAGCCAGTAGGGCGGGATGTACCTGCAGTAGTATTCATTCCTTAATGGATCTCAATATACTGGTGTTGCATGTTCGTGATGCAGAATACTTCACCTTCTTCGTATAACGTAGCAATATTGTCTTTCAACAACAATGGTATTCCGTGCAATGGCCCACGGCTGCCTTTTTCTTTACGTTCATCATCAAGAGCCACAGCTTGTTTTAAGGCTGTCGGGTTGGTCTCTATGACTGCATGTAATGCAGGACCTTTAGTGTTAACTTCTTCAATTCTGCTCAGGTATGCCTGCAATCACTCAATAATGAAGCCTGTATCAGGTATACGCTCATGTACCAACTTACTTTCACAAGCTGAACGCTACTGAACCGTCCTTGTACTAGACCATCTTGGAGTTCTGCGATTGAAGCCTCGTAAAGATCAGGCAAAGCGGCACTGTAAGTATTGGAAGTCATGATCGCAGATCAAAGTGGTTAGAGAGAGGAGGAAGATAAGAGTTTCGTTGCATGAAGACGGTCGCTGATAAGGGCCTGTGATACAAGTGGGAGCTGAAACCCTTTCGTGGACGTAAAGTCTCCGTCTGAGGTCACCAGTTCGTAATTCAGCATTCTGATAAGTCATATTTTTACAACATTTGATTGTGCGAGCCTGGTGATATGAAGTTCGTCAGCTGGACAGATATGACAGCCATAGGAAGTTTAGTCTACTCACTTCGCGATTGCCCTCTATCCCCTTCATTTTCACCATCATGGTCTTTATAAATATGTTCATGCCCGTGTTGGATGGGGGAAATGAATGGCCCGCGTTCGTTCTATCGCACAAATATCCCAGACCTGGCACTCTATCATGATAAATACTCAGAAAATGTTTGCACGTAGTTGTACGCGCCAGTCCTGTACGTCTCTGCCAATCTGACGCATATTCGTCTGCGGCATCGCAGGGAATGCTTCAGCGTGCTAGGCCCGTTTCTTCAAATGCATTCACTGTGTGCAATGCCTATAAATTCTATCGCTATGGGAAGCCCTGGGACTTGTGTGCAGTGGTTCAACGGTTAGCATCTTCATAAAAGATAGACCAGGCGTTGAAATAGATGTAAGCACAGACGTACCTGCCACAGCAAAGATAATGACTTAGACTCTAACATCCGCAAGGGTGAGCTGAGGAGAGGAAGGCAATCATGATGCTCCGAGTCACGGAACATTCGAATACACAAGCAGTGACCGGCGGTATGGCCAAGCAAGAGAGAATGGCAGTGCAATTACATAAACATCCTAATTCTCACGATGATTGAAACGAATCAATTTTACTGCTCAACCTCAACTCAGATTTGGAATTTCGGATAATCATGGCGTTGCACAAGTTTCTGCTCGGATGTCAACACATGCGCGTAACTGTCGAAAAGCTCCAAGTGTATGTGACATCTGGTAAGCTTCGAGGGCAGATTCATGTTGATGTTACCATCATTATGAATTCGCTCTCGAAACATGTCAACGGTCACCATTTTGACCACTACGGAGTCCGGACCCTTACAATGACTCGGTGATATAGGCTACCGCTGAACTATATATTATATGCAGGGCAACATGTTATTTTCGAAACAGTCAAAGGTGTCTCTTCTAATGCCGAATGGTTATTTTACAACTAATAGCAGCTGGGGCCACACTTGCCAGGCCACTAGTATCCGCCAGAAAATCGAGGGCTGCATCGGTAACTCGCATGTTGCCTTACCACAGCTGGGTAAAGTATACAAAGTTGAAGTAAGATTGGTTTGTGTTATTATTTGTGTCATAGGAAGCGCTTACAACTGCAATCCTTTCCGGGGATTTCTTCACTCCAACTGCATTACACTCTACAAGATCACAGCGCAAAATCATGAGTCGTAAGTACTTCAGTCATAAGCGATGTATTCAAGCTTCTGAGATACTCCTCTATTCCAAGGTCTTCATTGCTCGAGCAGTAGTGAAATTTGTTCAGAAGAAAACACTCTGTAATGGACGTATTGAATCATCAATCGCACCAATGCAGAAGTAGAAACACGACACACTGTCACAGCTCACCGGGCTACTCACATGAACATGTATACAGACTACCACGCTGGTGAGTTATAGGATCAAATCCTGGATGAAATATAGTGATACTTATGCCACCTTCATATTGATAGTCGTATACTTTCCCGCATACGCTGCCTTAACAGCAATCTGGCCGCAGATGATGGCACACTCACTGCCAGCACTGAGAGACTTTGACGCTGCCAAAGCAGCAAAGCGAGGACGATCATAGAGAAACGCATTATTCGTGGCTTAGGATCTCAAAAATAGATCTGACAGGAGAAGGTAGGATGACGGTCGCTTGCTTTTATGTCCTGAATACTTGGTGTTCTGTGCAGAATCTGTCCCACTGAAATACCCCTTTAAACAGATAGGATTTAGAATGCCAACAGACAGTAGATTTGACTTTCTTAGTCTCCGATATTCCATTGGTGGAAGAGCGCTAGAAAAAAGTAATCACAGCTCGTTGGATATGGCATACGTTGATTCTCCCATAGTCGGACTTTAATAAGGGTATAAAGACGCCTCTTCGTTCTGTATGATTGTAAGTTCGGCCTTCGAGTTAGGCTATTGTTTACCATAACTCGTTATGTAGGCAGTGAATTGCTAGTCGTAACTATCCTAAAATTTAGTGCTCTCTTCAAATTCCTCTTTATGCTCCTGACATACATATGCAAAGGACGCAACACTGTCAACTTGAAGTTTGCCTCAATATCTTATACTTGGTGTTGACTTTCAGCTGTGATCGACTCCAGGAATGGTTTGCATAGACCGCCGAACGAGCTGTGTGATCCATGCCGACTTACTGCCACAGTGTAGGCCTAGACTGGATCGAGTTCGGGGGACGCCACTGATCCCCGGTGGTAATTCAACGCATGGTGATCTGGAAGCCAAATATAAAGATGTCGGCGAGTCCTCGATCGTGAATCGCATCTGCAAGTCTCGGCAAAGTCCTTCACGGGCCCCGTCACGACATATCCCCATGTACAATATTAATACAGATTCAGGTGGAATGGCATGGGACTCGGGTGGCTAATTTCAGGCGTCTCCTCGGGTTGACGCGGGCTTTGATGAATCCTGTGATTCATGGTGTTTACGCCTAGCTTCAAGATGAACTCTGTTCCACGGACTACCACCGATGTGATGGCTTGTGCTCATTCCACTGAATACATATCCAAGATACACGATGAACCTAATTATAGTTAGAAAAAAATTGCATAGTGATTGTACGCGCGAGTTACATATGCCTTCCTCGTTCAAATGGAAAGCACATCCTTGAGCTGCGTCTTAGGAATTGCTTCAGCATACGCCCTTCTCTTCAAACGGACCTGTGTAGCCTGTTCAAACGCATAAGCGAAGCCAATAAGGTTAAATTCGCTGTATGCGGTGCCTATAAAGGCTATTCCGAACGGAAGGCCCGGAGCTTTTGTGTGCAGCGGTGCAGCGGGAACTGGCAACACCTCAACATTATCTGGCTGGAAGCCCAGCGGAACTACATAAGTGTTTTGTTTAGTAAGATGAACTGTCATAAAAATGGGCATTCGCACCTGAGATTATAGGGTATCCGGAAATCGCTGCAGGTTTCGAGGCTGTTCCTAAGGAAGTTTGAGATCCCGAAATTGACGCAGACATGTGATCGTACATACCATCAGTAGGGAGAATGATTGCGTCCAATTTGAATTTTTGGAGAGTTGCATCAATGCCTCGTCTCCGGCCTAAATCGAAATCTTCAGCTAAAGCCGCGAAATACGCATCGTTCTTTTCTGTTGCTTCAGCAGCAATGAACCTTGTAGCAGAATGAGAAACTCCATAGCACCACCAGTTCGTGAACCCACCTAGATTGATCATCGTGGTATGGTGGTATAAGCTCCAAGTCTGCGTGGGTATTGTTGAACTTGATCAAATCTGCGAGGTTCTTTACGCCAGTAGGAACCTCGAGTAGCCCCGAAATATACTCGGTCAGATCAACTTTGAAGTCTGTCTTCAGCACGAGTGTTTCTGCTTGTGACTCCTTCATCTCCTCGGCACAGGGGAAATCAGCCGGATCTACGATCTCCGCGCCGAGAGCCCGGAAGGTATCTAAAGAAGCGTTGAAAACTTCCAGAATTTCTTTATCGTCGGGCAGGAATATCCGCGGCACTCCCAGTCGCTTGCCTTTCAGAGCGTTCGGATCAAGCGCTTTCATGTAGTCAGGAAGAACACCAGGTTGCTGCAACGTGGCCGCGTCTCGAGGATCTGGTCCTGCTATAACGGAGAGCAGAAGGGCTGCATCTGCAACTGACCTACACATAGGCCCAGCCGTATCTTGATGGGATGAGATAGGTATCACTAAGGAGACTCAACCAACTGTCAAAGTGGGATTGAAAAAGATAAATACCTCCAGCTCGAGAAACCAGGCCCACAGTGGGCTTAATGCCCACCACATTGTTCTTACAGCTTGGCGAAACAATGGAACCATCCGTTTCTGAGCCCAGAGAACCAGCAGCAAGACCGATAGCCATCGCAACACCACTCCCAGAACTAGATCCAGATGCATCGCCATTTGGGTAATAGGGGCAAAGAGTCTGACCTCCACGGCCTGAGAAGCCGTTTGGAACCTTTCCGCGATAGTTTGCCCACTCAGAGAGATTCGCCTTTCCGAGAAGGATGGCCCCGGCCTTGCGGAGCTTGGCGGCGACGAATGCATCCCTCGGAACAACGGAACCCAGGAGAGCATAGGAGCCTAATCTCGCCAAACATTTAACCCAGAACTAGACGTTCTTGGATATCGTACCAGCGGTAGTATTCATGCCTTCAGGAGGATCAGCATAGTGAACACACATTGTTGACGATTACGTACCTTCTTCATGCAGTGTAGCAATGTTGTCTTTCAGCAGCAAGGGGATGCCGTGCAGTGGGCCTCTGCTCCCTTGAGACTTGCGCTCGGCATCAAGTTTTGCGGCCTGAGATAAAGCGTTCGGGTTCGTCTCAATGACTGCATGGAGAGCTGCGCCCTTCAGGTTGACCTCATCAATCCTTGCAAGATAAGCCTGTATTTGCATGGATCGTCATGAAATAAACCAATTGGTTGATAGTAATTTACCTTGACGAGATCGACGCTCATGAAGTAGCCAAGCTCAAGACACTTCTGAAGGTCGAGAATTCCGGATTCATATAAATCAGGGAACGCGTTCTCCGAGAGCACCATAACATCGGGATTGGGCATATCTCCAGGCATTGTGCACGGCAGGCGCCAAAATATCTAGAGAAGTAACGAACGGGTTGGGGCTAGGCACGTTGAACTATTGCCCATTGATAAACGACTCGGACTTTCCGAGTCTCTGCCATACTATACATACCTTGGACGTGTGACTAGAGATAAGTAAAGTCACGAGTACTTGCGAGATAGGCTTCGATCCGGCGCCCAGCCCCGAGACCAGAAATATTGCAAGGGGGGATCAGTGGGAGTTGGCACTACCGTCACTGGTACTTCCATGGATCCAGGAGTTCTGGACTATCATAACTGAATCCTTGTTTGGTTGGGCACGCCGCACAGGTCGTATCGATTGTATGTGGCTTGCGTGAACATCGGGTCAAGACGCCTCATGGCTGAGCATCTGCACAGATCCGATATCATAGGTGTAGGGGGACATGTGACTCGGAAAACGGGACAACATGTGCTTTTGGTTGGCATGTGAGCTAGTGACTACGGATCCTCGACAAACGGCGAACCGTCTATGGGATGATAATTGTATGTTCATGGAACAAAGACTAAATGATAGTAAAAGATAAAAGGATCGAAATATAAAAAAGTATAAGCAAAGCAAAGTTCGAAAGCACGTCCAGTGTGTACATAGAAATCGAAAGCCGTTTAGTCGTTCGTTCGTTCGCCTTGATTACGTAAGTCCAATCATAAATAGACACGTAGGTGCCGTGGTATATCATCAAGGCTCATGCCAGTGGACTATGAGTACTAGTGACCAGTCCGTTGAAATTTGCTCGTGGATTAGCGTGGGTGAGGTATAATTTATTTCCGGCCAGGACAGCCTCACCCTAAAATGCGGTGTCATTTTGACGCGGGAATGAGATATTATTTGTGTTTATGCTATGGAGTGGAACAGCTGGGAGGTGGGCTGTGGCGGACGGGATGAGGATGCAGTAGACAATTTCCGTGGACGGTTTGGATTGGGGCGGCGAAAGGTCTGAATTGCGCAATGCGTCAGTGATCTTAACTACCAGGTGAAGAGGCACTGCATACGTGTCGTGACATGATCAGCTTTGCCATGGAGAGAGGTGCGGGATTTTGGTACACGGCTGGTGCTATGATGCAATAAGTTAGCATCGCAGTACAGAAACCGATAGAAGCTCCTGGCTCACGTGGAGGCGTGAATTGAGGTCGACGCAGTTGCCAATTGCCATGGAGAGATTCAAGAGGTTTATGCGAAAGTCCTACACCTGCTCCTGTACCAACTTCAGGTGATGGTTTCTCCGGGATAGTCAACGAAAAGGGTAGTGATGTTGGGAGAGCACGTTGCAAAGACCGACTCCATGTATTGGTTAACGACAGCAAAGAGGACCAAGCAGGGGTCTTCTCGTCGGAAGCTGTTAATACAGAATTGGAGGACCAGAGACGCATAAAGGAATACATTATGCGTGCAAGCAACAGGCAAACGAGAGATGCAACGCAGGCAAGCATGACAGCAGCAACGCTAGGGAACTTGGTGGGTACAAGGACGCTCATGGCAGGAAACAGTCAAGGGAGTACACCCTACTTGTTAAAAGAGAAACACGGAGATTGAGACCACGAAGAAAGAGAAAAGAAAAGGACGTCCTGGGCAAGGCACTAGACTGGGCTGGCTAACAGGACTGAGCACAGCTGAAATTGATATTCAACATGGTTTCTTATAATAATATTTCTCAATTTACTTTTTAGGCGGATGTAATTAATTTCGGAAATATATATGCATTCTCTATTCCCACGGCATCTTATTCGCTTCCTCAGTTACGTCCACCTTTCCGTCGATCAACGCCATGACTTCAACGCCTGCAGGACATTCATCTCAAGAATTTGTTCAGGCTCGTTATGAAGGATGCTGCGCGACACTCTTTTATCAGCCCTTACCATGTCGCCGCCACGACACGTTTATAGATCACGAGGTTGCCTACCAAGCTATCTCCTTTTGCCCGCTAGTGCCGCCACTTGATGAGAATGTCCATATTCAGTAGTATGGGAAATCAGAACACCAAGTACTGCTCACGATAATTTTGAAATGCAGAATGGACACGATCAATCACGAACACAGATTCTAGGCGCTACACGACGCGGCGCAATGCAAACTTGAGAAAGTATCATAAGGGTTTGGGGGTTGCCCCAGATTGCGCTTGGCCGATAGCGATCACCCCACGAACCTAACCTAAAAGATGAGTGCTTCGCGCTTGAACCGTTAAGCCCCTCAAGCGCGCTTTAATCTCTGCTAGATCGTGAGCGAGAAGCCATATAATGCTCAGAAGGTATTTCATGTAAGGCTAGGTGCACGCTTCGAATGCGTGCTCGTGATAGGCTTCCTGGTGCTCGTCAGCATGCAAGATCAATTCCTTATTAATGAGGGTCGCGTACCGGCCGCAACCCAAAGACCCTCGTGTCCGCTATGCTTCTAAACACCACATTGTTCGTCCTCGTCGTCCAACCCAAATGAGGGCCCGACTTTTTGCGCAACTTCTTTGCCACACACCGACCTCACGCTATCATGCAGGTTACCAAAGCGGCAAATTACCTCCGCCTCCGATAGAACAGCGCACATACCCCGTGGCAAAAATGACGACGTCGGCTTGAAGCTCCGTTCCACCATTTAATACCAGGCCACATGCGGTGACAAAACCAACTGAATTAGCTTGATGCTACGCATCTACGAGCCTATTACTTGCACCAGTGTCTGCGGGGAAATATGTAACTCTTTCTGCCGCTCTACGAGAACGTACTGATATAGAAACCTCCCCGTGTTCGTAAACTAAGGCGCTAGGGCCAACCGGGGCGAGATTCGTATGGAACCCTACAAGCTTGAGCCCCTCGAGGAAAGCTCTTCATTACACCAAATATCATGGAAGCATGCAATATTTTCAGAGGACAAAGTATGACTCTTATCCCCACTATCCCAGGTGTAGCGCGTTGTGTTATCTATTTTTGCATTGAACATGGAGATACGGACCCCATAATCGACTAGTCTCGTAGTAAATAATTGTGGCAGGCTGAGAGTGTGAACAATATTATTCATGTCCAGCTGCCAACGCATGGTGATGTGGGTGAACTTTGTATTCCGCTTGGGGTAAACGTGAGGAGATATTGGAAGAAGAACTAAATTGACATGGTTATGTCAACGTTGGTTGCATAGATTAAGCGTGATACCATGGGATATTATCATGCGCTGAATATTAGGTTATTTTGTGCATTTCGTAATGTCGCATCAGAATCCTACCTGAGTTGCATGCACCTACAACAACTGAACCAGAATAGCAGAGCCGGACATGCATTTCGACATGAAAGCATCCTACCGTAAAGGTTCAGTGTGATATTTCATTTGGCAGTGATTTATCTTTCGATAGACAAGATGCTATCACTACCTTCGAGCTCGGGGAATCGCGGGGTGCTGCCCTGTCTTAGGCGCAAAGACAATGTGCTTGACCCTCGAGCAATGTGATGTTTCATCACCACATCCTAAGATTTTGTAGCATAGACTGTTTCCCAAAAATACTTGATGTCGATGGCCAGACGTTCAGCTCCAAGAGGTGAACGTATCATTCAAAACAGTTAGAAAATAGAAATGAAATAAACTTCGAAAAAGCCTGCTGGGAAACTCACTTTGCAGGAAGCAGTGCTGAAATATGGCCAAGTGTTTAGAATCTTGCCTCAAATGAGCTGTCTGATCAAAATCTATGCCAAGTACGAACAAAATGACCCCAAATCTAACAAAGGACGTACTGATTGATTTGCGTAGGAATAATGGTACGTCCACTGAAAGGGACACGTTAGGTTGAATGAGATCGAGGATGAAGCTTTGAAGAGAAAGTGCATTATCTCCCATGGCCACCCGCGCAATGATCACTAAGGCAGACTGTATTCCGAATGCGCAGCGACTTCGGATCACCGTTAACGTACTCCTTCGTTTCTCTTCCCAGGTTCCTTTGAAAATCGTGTGACCGCGAAAGATGCCGGCCTTGAAAGAATATAACTTTATAACAACAAGCATGCACACAGTGAGCAATACGTTTGAACCAGTATTTAGGCCGAAAATACTTTCAGCACATCAACATGTGTCTTCCAGGGCACGGGCCGCTTGGATTAGCTAAGTGTGAACCCCGCTACCTTTCCCATGAGGTGTTTCGAAGGTGAAATTGGAAGGAATAAATGCTAGGTCTGGAAACGACATGACATGGTCAGGCATTTTGTGCGCCTCCTCGCTCAATTGGAGAGTTATGAGGCCAGTCGCATCGCTGGTGCGCCAATAAGGCGCCTGATATTATTTTTGCCTCCTAGCCTGCGAAGATTCCAAGTAAGGGCACAGCGACATCTCTCCCGGGAGCCCGTTTCGTGGAAGTCGACAACAGTTAAAGTCATGTCATTCGCGCGAATAAGTGTCGACAAAGGCACTGAGCCATTTGTTGACCTCTTCTATGGAAGAACTTGAAGCTGCCTCGACAATGGCTTTGGTGGTGCCCAGGGAATCAAAACTCGACAGGCAAGGAAGATCCTGGATAGTCTTCATCGGAGGAAAGTACCAGCAGCCAATATTGAGGTACAGTTCCGAGTCTTACATGCATACATGTCTGGTTCACGGCCAAAAATATCCCCGGACTATCATGGCCATGAAAAATTGGTGAAAGCACTCACGGCGGCTTCAAAAACGCATAAAGCTCTTTTGTGAGTCGCCGACGTGCGAGGAATACCGGCACTAGTTCAAATGCTTGATTGTTCTGGTATATGTGGTCACCATGTGTTGCGAGGATAGATCAAGGGGCGTGATCACTTAGGAGTGGTGACCAGTAGAACGTAACATAAAGTTGGGAAGGACGAAGCATTTCTAACATAAGGTCACTAACCCAAAAGTACTCAACACTAGCCTGAAATCAACCGACCGATACCTGCGGGTCCAGGTCCATTGGTTGGTAGAATTAGTATGGCATCGAGATTGGACTGGGCTAGAGTGGCATCAATTCCTCTCGTGCGTCCCGAGTCAAAATCTTCGGCTAGTAGTGTTGGAAAAGTAGGCATTATCAATTTGTGCGGCTTCCGAATAGATGACTTTGAATATGTTTCGTAAAAGCACATCATTTTTTTTCGTTGAACTCTACCAGAGCAACGAAAGTACTTATTATTGTCCGTCGGAACGTCGATAAATCCCGATACGTACTGGTTGAGATCAAAATGGAAGGTCCACGTCCAGTACCCGCTTCTCTGCCTTCGATGTCAATAGTTCTTCTATATCCGAGAAATTTGCAGGGTCGACAATTTCCAAGCCCGCAGTTCGGGCGGCAGTCAAGAGATGGGTTGAAACGCCTTTTCGATTATTTGGCATTGCGAACGAAGACTCAACGACGAGCGCGTTTTCGTCGAGCGCCCCCAGGTGGTCTGGGACTAGTCCGGGCTGATGTAAAGTAACTTCATCTCGAGGATCAGGCCCAGTAATACCAGTCTCATCTGGCGAAAATGCTACTGGCCTGATGTGCCGCTCTGTCGCTAACGCCATCTTGTTGTTGAATTTCATATTCATCGTCGGATGCCAAGTGACCCTGCTGTTAGACCAACGTCGCAATGCCACTTCCAGAGCTCGAATAAGATGGATGTGCTTTCGGTCGGTAGGGGGAAAGAGTTTTTCTCCACGCTCCGACAAGCCATTGAAAACCTGTCCCTTTAAATGACCCCACTCGCTCCTTATACCAGACCACTCAGGGAGGTTCGCTTTTCCTATGAAGGTTGAAGTTGACTTGCTCAATGCTATCAAAGTAGGTCTGTGATTGATAAAACTTCAACACTGCATGAGATGTGTACTGGAGCAGGAGCCTACCTTGACAAGTTGAACACTAGTGAAATCTCCTTTGACTAGATCATCTTGAAGCAAACCGACAGGACGCGTTAAAGGTCATCAGACTCGAGTAGAAGCAAGGTAAGAAGCCTAGATTCACTGTTGTAGGAAAATGGTTAAGAATCCGGATTGTTAGGTGAAACCATTTGAAGCGTGCCCGTCCGAGGTCACATTAATTTTCTGCACATGAAACATATCAGAGAACCGATTGGGAGTCGTTTATTGTGGGGCCTACGTCGTAATATAGAGATAGACACGCCATGGGTTTGGGCTAGGTCAGAGCCAACTTGCAGGACACACGTGCCTTTTTCAATTTCAACCCTCTTCTACTGTCACTGTGCCGTGACATCCACACCGCAATTTTCGACAGATATTAATCATGCGCAATCTCGAACCAGGAAACGCATGCGTTATATAGATTGAATGGCATCTAGTAGAGGAGTCAGTATGTGTAGAATGCGGTCAGCTTTTGATGGGATGATATCCACTCGGATATCAGATATTGATCATATGGACAGTTCTCGAAACTGCCAGAATCAACTGTTCGTCACTCTTACAACATCCGATCCTTTATAACCTCGGTCAACTCGCGAACTCACAAGCGCTGTTGAAACGTTGAATCCTTGACTGATTGTTCCTTGAATTCGTTTGTTTGCCATTTGAGCGCAACATGTCCTAAAGTACCTGCAGAGCGCCCTATCGCTTACTTTGACATCACCATCGGTGGCAAACCCATTGGGCGCATCGTATTCTCGTTATACGCGGACTTGGTGCCCAAAACAGCTGAAAACTTTCGTGAGTTTTTTACATACTCAGTTAAATCGCGTCAGAGTTTTGAAAGTTTCCAGGTGCATTATGTACGGGTGAAAAGGGTGTCGGGAAGTCTGGCAAACCCCTTTGCTACGCTGGATCTGGCTTTCACCGCGTAATCAAAGGGTAGGAGCTTTCATCTGATGTTACAATGAAGGCTCACGCAGTGGATCAGGTTCATGTGTCAAGGTGGTGACTTCACGGAGGGTAATGGTGCGTCCTAGAACTACGTCTATCCAAATGTTATAAACTCATCGTCTAGTGACACAGGCACCGGTGGGGAATCAATTTATGGCGAGAAATTCGAAGACGAGGCCTTCCTCGTAAATCACACAAAGCCTTTCTTGCTGTCCATGGTAGAATTCCCTCTCGATTTCTATCCAGGAGAGTGGTTTTAATCGACTTCTCAGGCAAATGCAGGAAAGGACACTAATGGCTCGCAATTCTTCATCACCGTAAATCCAACATCCCATCTTGATGGCAAGCACGTAGTTTTCGGTGAAGTGATCAAGGGCAAATCAGTAGGTATGATGCATTTCCATTGTCCAAAGCGCCCGTCTACGAATTGCTTACCATGCTATGCGTAGTCCGTACGATTGAAAATTTCCCGACTGCATCCGGAGATGTTCCCACTTCCCCCGTCTTGATATCTGCTTGCGGCGTTCTCTCAGCGGATGATCCTTCCCTCGTAGCTTCTGAGACAACTGTTGGTGATGACTACGAGGACTACCCAGAAGACGACGATTCCGATGTGCAGAACCCCGAAGTTGCGCTTGATATCGCACGTAAAATCCGCGAGCTCGGTAACAAGCTCTTCAAGGATGGACAAATAGAACTCGCACTCAAAGCGTACCTCAGTGAGTAATCCTGTAAACAACTTCTCCCCTGTTTTGTTAACAAGATGTCAGAATCGATAAGGTACCTAGACGTGCATCCTGTATTGCCGGAAGACTCTCCACAGGAACTTAAGGACTCTTATGGATCGCTTCTTGCACCCCTTTTATTAAACTCGGCACTCGCTGCGCTACGCACGCAACCAGCAGCAACCGAAACCGCGGTGAAGAATGCCACGCGAGCTTTGGACCGTCTGCAGCTGAGTAACCCAGATAAAGCCAAGGCCCTCTATCGTAGGGCGTCAGCGCATATAATTTTGAAGCAGGAAGATGAAGCTGAAACGGATCTTGTTGCTGCTAGTCAGCTTGCACCGGAAGACCCGGCGATCTTGGGGGAGCTCGCGAAAGTGAGGCAGAAGAAGAAGGAAAAACGAGAGAAGGAGAAGAAGTCATACAAGAAACTCTTTTCGTAGACCGATTATCCAGTTCGGCATGATCATTGATACAATCATTAGAAGAATACCAGTTGACTACTCGGTTTACTGTAATTAGTTTCTGAAGGGGTCACAATAGACATTGATGCAAGTACGATGAAGTCAACTTGAAACAGCAAGTATTATCTGTTTGTTTTCAGAAAAATATGATTTGCATCAGATGTGGTCAGTGACCCTACGTTGAACATGTAAAGTACCTGCGTCGTTAATCGGCAAATGTATTAGCATCCAGTTCTTTTCCGCGGTGGCTTGGGTGCGTTACTCGTGAACTTTCACTAGAACCCATATCGTATAATTATAAACAATAGCAATGTTATCAATAAACATCGTCCTTGATTAAGGCAAAGTAGAACACGCTTAGGCGAATATGATTTAGACCCTCCGATGGTTGTACAACGCAGTGGATGATTGTACCATTGTGATGAAGTGCCCACCACTGTCGAAGTCTTCGTGGTATCGTGTGGTGAGGCATAAAACCTCATAGAATGTGATGACACTTGAGAGCGCAATTTCCTTATGATGGACCCAGCGCCATTCGTCTTCACAGTTTTGAATCCACCCCACTGATGAATTTGTAGCGCGTAGACAGGATGACTCCAAAAAGCGCAACACTTCCATGGTCTTTGCGATGATGCTAGTCAGCAGTGTTCGACTCGTAAATAAGGTAGCACTTACCCATATATCCCATCAATCATGAATTGTTCGGTTCATGGGAAGCTAAAAATTCAAGGAAGTGCTTACTACCCGAGGAACCTAGCTATTCTAGGTCAACAATAAAAACAGCACAGACTATTCAAGATTTACTACTCACGGCTCGCCTTCTTGACAGCGACAGAGTTATGATTGTTGACCGGCGTGCCCCTCGTAGCTCGTGGCTGCATGTGATAAGCCTATGAGGAGGGCTGTTATAATGGGACCGCGATCCTTCAATGTAGCTTGTTCAATAAGTTTTGTATTTGTCTCGCGATGAAATTCAACATATCGGACTGGACGTACTTGTTAAACTCTGCGATCTCAGGGAGAAGAGGATGAATTATGAACTCTGGGTGTTCTCACGTAGAAATTGACTCGAAGAACATGAAGCTGATCGACGAACAATGATTTTCTGTTCATTGACATACTGCTATTGCTCTGTCATCTACATCCTGCATTCAATTGGCTCGCGTGAATCAAACATTCATGCCAGGTAGGGCATAGTAGTGGCGGTTACGCACCGTGTACTGCCAAAATCTATACCATTCAAGTTGAGAACCTGCAGTGGTCTGTGGCTTTGAAAGCGAGGAGGGCAGAACTCGGTTAGCACACATATCTTGCAGACATCCCCTTCGATAGGATCCACTGGTGTGTGTCAATCACTGAAGGCGAGGATTACCAGGGATTACATTATATCTTATATCAGCATCATGGTTATACCCGACCCCAAGGCATGAACAGCCTCCAAGTTGAATGATGCTATGACTAATATTCTGTTTGTAAAAGACTCGGTAGACGGATCGAGTCTAGTACCGATCAGACGATGCGAAGCCCTTGTGAGTGATGACAATTAGAAAGAACTCCGACCAAAGAGTTCCAGGGGGCACGTCGCGGCGGAGGAGATCGAGGAGACCTAGTAGAAGTTAGACGTTTGAGACGCGCTCTAGAAGTATGCTGGCCGATTCATTGCCAGTGTGTGAACATTCCCGGCGTCAAAAGGTCTGTGTTTGGGTCTTTGACACGCTTCAAACTCCACTTCGGCGTCTCCCGTTCCTGTATGCAAATGGATTTCGCCTTATGCAGTCAGGAAAGTTCGTGTGAGCAAACATGTTTAATTTATTAGGGGATGATTTACCGCGACTCATCATGAAATTTCATGACAGAAAATCGCAAGCGTATATTGGCTGTCAACTTGTAGCAGTGTCATATGATGGCGGGGAGGGAAGTTATAAGTTCAGGTGGATCACATGGATTGTAGCTGTCAAAAGGGAACTTCAATCACAGCGAAAGTGACAGTTGAGGGCACAGGCACTGATGAAGGAGCTAGGATGGTAGCTGGGTAATGAACAACCCGAGCTGAGTTGACCGAGGAACCCGGATGCTCATCGTTATCGTTCAAACTTCACCTTGGCGAGTTGTAAAGAAAGTCGGAGGTGTGATGAGCTTCTCGAGGTCTTGTTACGTTGCCACGTTACGTACCTTGCTTTAAAACGATATTCGGGAGAAGTACTATGTTCGGAAGAGTAAGAGAGCGGTGAACCGTGGTTGGTTGATTGGTATAACCAAATGATATGGTTTATGCTGCGCGTCGGTACGTAGGGTAGACGGACTGGTCACGAGTCCGACGCTTAACTCGGATCCCTGATAGGCTTACCAATAGCCGAAGTTATTTATGTAATTGATATTGATATCGTGAGAATTAACTGCCAGATGCGGCCCAGGCGCCCTTGTGCCGCTGATTACCAATATAGTTTTCTTTCAATCACGAGGCCCAGGCGCATTCCCTTAATATCACTATACCCTCTAGAATTCTCCGGAGTCGGTAAAAGGGAATATCGAGCTTGCCTTGAGGCATTCTTAGACCATATCTTATAAGGCCATCATCATGGGCGCTTGCAGCACAGAACTTTGTCCCTCCGAAACCTCATCCTTCAAGTTGGAGCAAAATGGGTTTCCTCTCCAGCGTGTCTAACTTTTTCTTCGATGTTGGGATCATGTCTTACGATATCCTCCTTACACTCCTCAATCTCGTGATGAAGAAGCGCCGCATAGGGCACGTCACCCCCGAGGGCCACTCAGGCTATGGTGGGTATTGGCCTGAGTTTAAGCCTGCTCAGGAAGGCGACTCCCGCTGCTCATGCCCAGCACTCAATGCGATGGCCAATCACGGTTAGTTTTCATCCCACAGTCAATTTACGTCTTAAATTACATTCAAACGCAGGCATCATTCCCCCGCAGCGGCCGCAACATCTCATTTGTCGAACTTAACCACCAGATCCGCACAACTTACAATTTCAGTCCTTCCTTCTGCTCTTATGTCCCACATTTTGCCGCTCGCATGCTCAAGAGAAGCTACAGCAAGGATACCTTTGACTTGGCAGAACTCGACTTGCACAATGGTATCGAACACGACGCATCTCTCTTCCGTGAGTGATTCACCATACTCGTCTGATTCTCGCATGTCGAATAAAACCGTCTTCAGGTCTTGACACTGCCCTTCAACCAAACCAATCGACAAAACACATACCTTTCATCGAAGAATTGCTCGAGGCATCTACCGGCAAGGACCAATATGGCAATAATGTCCTGACCACAAAAGATCTCTCTGGGATTCTGGGAAAGCGTCGAGCAGTGGCGCGCGCAACCAACAGGGAATTCTCGCTCAGCTTCTTCCACAGGATGTTCGGTAGTGCAAAGTATGTGTCATCACGTCATCCGTTTCCAGACACACTTTTAATGTTTGCAACAGTTCCTCAACACTGCTCACAATCTTTGGAGGCCGTGTAAATGACCTGCGCAGTGTTGTTCTTCACGAGCGTATTCCAGACGGCTGGGAGTCACGCATTCGCCAACCCTATGGACTGACTTTTACGCACTTCAACAAGACTGTATTGGCAGTCGAATTTGGTGTGCGCGAGAAGGATTGGACGGAAGCAGCGCAGGAAGCAGCCCGTCAACGTGCTACTTCTGTTTGAGAACTCCCAAAAGGCTTTGGATCTGTCATAATTCCTCACTGATGACATTACGTTGCGTTCATGACTTCCTACGTGCTCCTATATATGTTGACGCCTTGGATACTACTCGGTCATCGCTTGAGATAAAGTGTGCTATCAGTACTCGTGAAACATGGAAAGATGTATATTCGACAAGTTGGTCAAAATATTCTTGCCTCTGGTATCGCAAACCCCGCAAACGACTAGCTATCGTGCACACTCCGATACTCCCTCATGTACTTACACGTTTGTGACGTGCGTAATTTTTCATTAACATGTGGCAGAGTTGGCATTGGCATTGAATATATCAAATACCGAATGGTAACAGTCGTTGTTGCTATGGTGTGGTCCGCTCTCTCTCGTTTCACGATCTTCGTGGAAAGGAAAATCATGCATTGCAATGAAACTAATCAAAGACTGGCGCAGTTGCACTTTACAGAAATCTCCGTACGGGGTCTGCTCCAGGCCCAATATCGTGCACAACGTAGTAACTGAAGAACAGCACCTTGAACGTCAATGCTAACCCAGCATGCAGTGCCCCGACCGCGATTATCAATAAGCGAGTGGCTTTCGCATCGGCCTAAGAGAGTCGTCAACAATCTCGACAAAACTAGATCAGGCGAGACCATACCATCACCAATATTGGGTACACGTTCGTTACCAGGAAGTACCCTGATAAGCAGAACGCGATGCCCACAAGAACCCAACGTAAAATAGAGATGGGTATGACGCATAGTATCTACAAAACAACATTTACTTCAAAAACGGTGCATCTAAATCGTGACGATTCGCGTCTTACCGAAACCGGTATCCAGACAAACAATGAGTAGCCCCAGACGCCGAGTGCTTCCGCTACGCCCCATTCACCAACACCGATGTAGCGTAATGCGAGCCACAGAAGAACTGGTACTGCAAACGTGTATGTATACACGATCGTTGTTGCTAGACCAAGTAAGCCAAAGTCATATTCATACGCAGCTCCTGGGTCAGAAAGGTAAGACGAGATGCTTGCTGCAAGGGACGAAGACAGAAATAACGCTAGTATAAGCGTGGTTGGGATCCAGAAAGGGCCGTACAGGTCAGCGCTGGGCGTAAGGATTGTCAAGTACGAAGGTGAAGTGGGGAGGAGCGTCGTATAGCATCGCTTCAAGACGGTTGCGGTATCAACGTCAAAGTACGGCTGATAGTAATCGACTGTCCAGAACCCAGATGGACTTTTGCGCGTTGTGTGATCTGTAAGGTATCCTGGATACGCGGTCAGGGGAGAAGATCTGGCGGAGGTTTTCGATGTATGTACCTCGGTCGAGGTTTGGAGTTCTGGATTGGGTTCTTTGGTCTGCTCTTGCGTCTGCTCCAAGGAAAGCTGTTTGGGTTGAATATTTGATTATGCATTTCGAGGTAAACGTGCTCACATTTGAACTCGAGACCTTCAGGTCCTTCTTCTAGTCGCTATGAATCATTAACACAGTGAGAAATTTTATAGTTTTATAGCAGAACCATATTACTCACATCGTCCGCGTCGACAGCAACATAAGCCATGGTACTTCACGTAGAAAAGCACAGAATATTTGGATGTGATGAGGGTTACTAGCCCAAGGACTCGTGGAGACAAACTTGTGCAGGTCGACGAGGACCCCGGAGATCTCCTCGTGGATCAACCTTGATGTAACCGTAACATTTCTTTCTGAACAAGCTGGTGCTCAAGCTTCATAACTACTGAAGCGGTACTACTGCAATCTAGAAAATACAATGGCACAGAAGCTGCCTCCTCAAGCTCGCAGGCTCCGCACCATCATCGTCACGGTTCCTATCATGGCAGCAACAGCATGTTCGTCGTTCTTCAATGTTCGGAACACTCTATTCACTCATATTGCTTGCAGACGTACTCTACGAGCGCCTCGTGCTCGGAAAACCTCAAAGAACGTTACCTAGGGAGACACCACAACCTCTTTCTACAACCAATGGATTACTGCCCGAAAGCTCTCATGCCGGGAGTGAACGCTGGTCAAAAGGAGAATGAACATTTGCGTTGTGAACTATGGAAGGTGGGAGGGTGTGCGAAGGCGCTCTATGTAAAATAATGCCAAGTCCTCGAGGCTCACGATCATATCGTTGTCCCTGTGCAATGCCCTCCGCGATACAACCGAGCGGCGTGTCAAGCGACATCATTTGCTCTCGTCTGTCTGAGATATTATGCGTGTTCCCGAGATGCGTGCGGGGTTGAATGAGCGATCGCAGTCTGCGTATGCTGCACCCATACCGAAGCCCGTCGAAAGAGCAATAGGCCATGTTCGTCCTGCAACGTTGTCGGGTTAGAGTATGAGGAGAAAAAATAAAGCAAGACACAGACTTCGGAAAAGAATGACAGATGCAACGACTCCGACGCTGAAGCCTACACCACTGTACGATTCTCAGATGTTTATACAAAATACAAATGCAAGACAAGACTTACGCCTTCACCAAGAGATCGGCCACTTTCGGATACAGTCAGTCGACTCTTCCGACTCGAATAATAAAAGCACCTACGGCACCTGTCATACTTGAAAGATGGTTAGCTTCAAATATTATGTTTGACTGTAAAAACACACCTTCTGGCTAACAATGTTCTCGCTTGATGACGCTTTTTCAGACGACATGGCTTTGGTACAGTGAAATGACGGTCCCGAGCTCAGCTTGCCACAATGGACGGAAAGGGCAAAGAAACAACCCCCCACGTGGGGGTCAACAATCCATTATTGATGGATTCGGACTCGGAAATCCCATGAGCCAATATGCGCAGTTTCATGGAATCATAGCCTACAGGAACACGATCCGCACTTGTCTGGACTCTGCAAGCTCTGAGTGTACATCTAGGACAACTCCAAGGTATATTAGTTCTCAGACATGGCGCACCAGTCGCCCATGATAGCAATCCCCAAGAAGACGACGGGGGACGTCGATTGGACAGGTCCCATACGCAATCTCATTGCCAAGTCCTTCGGCGAGAGCCCAGACAACTACGCACAGGAATGCCAAGCGCTGCAACGCTGCAGGCAAGACGCTGTAAAAGGAGCAGGCAGCGATATGACAGGTTCGTCGCTCCAAGTAATCGCGATCTTGGGTGTGTTCACGACTTTTGCATTCCCAGGTCGTGATCTGCTCTACAAGTACTTTGGGCAACTCGAGATCCTAGAGATGCGCTTCCCAGAGATCCGTGTCAACTTTCCGTGGCATGATGCTTTCACGAACAAGCTGACTACCCAGACAGCTATTGCGTATGAGAAGGCCTCTGTTCTGTTTCAGATCTCGGCTACGCATTCAGCTATTGCTGCCTCTCAGAATAGGTCCGATCCGGAGGGGCTCAAACTCGCTTTTTACTACTTCAGGACGTGCGCGGGCATGCTCACGTATATTAACGAGAATTTCTTGCATGCCCCCTCGACTGACCTCAGCCGGGAGGTGATCAAGTTTCTGGTGGGAGTCATCATGGCGCAGGCTACAGAAGTGTTTTTGGAAAAGTGCATCGAAGAGAAGAAAGCGCCTGCGTTGGTAGCCAAGATTGCCTCCCAGTCTGCTTCCATGTACACTTCCCTGAGCGAGGAGGTAAAAGATTTTATGGGTAAGGGCATATTCGATCGCAACTGGATCACTCTCATCCAGGTATTTTCAATTTGTGAAGCACGAGATTGACATTAACATATTGCACAGATAAAATCCAAACACTTTGGCTCCATCGCGCAATACTATCGCGGTCTAGTTGACAATAAAGCGGGGGCCCACGGCGATGCCCTCGTACGGTTCACCCTCGCTGAATCTCTAGCAAAAGAAGCCAATCGCTCTGCTGCATCATTCTCTGCTTTATTCGCCCACGTATCACCTACGCTTCCCGCAGATGCCGGGCCTTCCATCTCCGAACGCACAAAGGTACAGCTCCAATTGAGCACAGACCGCAAGACAGAAGCGCAGCGCGATAATGATCTCATCTACAATGCTGTCCTTCCATCTGCAGATGCACTGCCTGCTATCGACAAAGCGGTCGTCGCTACGCCTATTTCCATTCAGGAGGTGTATCGCGCACCAGACGTCCAGAATGTTATAGGCCCGGATATCTTTATCAAGTTGGTTCCGCTGAGCGTGCACGAGAGCGCCAGCGTGTACTCAGAGGAAAAGGCAAAGCTTGTGCGCAAAGAGGTCGAGAATGCAGAAAGCGCCGAGGTTGAGGTGCGCAGTGCACTGGAAGCGATGGGAGTGCAGGCAGGACTTGCAAGGTTCAAGGCGATGGCTGAGGGTAGCTTGGTTGGAGAGGAAGAAATTCCCCTGGATGTGCGCCGTTGGCGAGAGGATATCAACGTCATGGAGGACAGGGAGGGTATCGACATGCTTTTGCAACAGATGGCTCGTCTCAAGGAGGCTGTCAAAGCAGAGCTGGACGGTATTTCGCGGGACCTCGATGTTGAATCGAGAGAGTGCGAGACGATGCGGGTCAAGTACGACCATCTGTGGACACAAGAGCCATCTGCATCTTTTACGAAGTCTATTCGGCAAGACTTGAAATCTCATATGGGCGCTTTAGACGCTGCCGCCGTGTCCGACCAACAGGTATCGACGCTCTGGGAATCGGTCAAATCTGATATCCGACTGTTGCTATCACCTGACGTCGAAGATGTGTTCCGCGCTAGCGCCCAGCGTGATGCTCCTTCAGAAAGCCTGCTAGATCTTGACATCGGTGTCGAGGCACACGATGAAAAGGAACGAGTCAGAATCAGACAGCATACCACCAAAATCGAGGAGCGATTGGGACGTTTGAAGAAGATTGCTTATGAGCGAGGTGAAGTACTTAAAGAACTAAAAGACAAGGTAATGTACACAATAATATTATCAGGATTCAACTGATATTGTTCTCACATAGATCCAAGCTGACGACGTCTCGCACCTGCTGCTTCTAAATCGCCGTAACCCTGGCGCTGAGCAATCGCTGTTCGCCGCGGAACTCGAGAAGTTCCAGCCATACCAACAACGCCTCGGAGCTACTGTGCACAATCAACAAGCCGTGTTGCAGGAAATCCAGGGACTGTGGAAGAACTTACGAGACCTTGCTGGGCGTGGACCTGGCGCAAAGAAGTGGGATGAGCGCGAGCGGCGGAAGAAGGACACCGTGCGCAGGTTTTCGAATGCTAGAGACGGTTATATGGAAGTTAGGGATGGGTTGACGTACGTGCACTCTTTTCCCCCTTTATCGTATCTGAAATTCAGTTTAGGAAAGGAATGCAGTTCTACCAACAGCTTACTGACTTGAGTGCTACACTCACTCTTAGTGTTAGATCCTTTATCACCGACCGTCGATCAGAACGCGATAGACTCGTTGGGCAAGCGGAGATCCAGCAGCGGCTCGCGGTGCCCCAGAAACCTGCTGAAAAACCTCCCTTACCGCCGCCGCCGCGTTCTCCCCCATCTTTGGACTCATCCTTCGCGTCTATGAATCTGCAAGGAAGTCAGAATTCAGTATCTCCCCCACCAAAACCACCACAGACACCATACTCCGCATTCCCGCCTCCTCCACCCCAGCCAATCAAGGCATATTCGAATCTCCCACCACCTCCACAACAACCCTCACGCCCAGCATACACAAATCCAGTATCGCCGAACATTCCAACCGACCCATATGCAAGCCTGGGGGCATTTGGGTCTCAGTTTTCTGCACCACGCGCCGCCCCTCCGGCTCCACAGCAGCAAACGCATTCTGCTTCACCACAAAGGCAGTCTTCCTTTTCCTTACCGCCGCCACCTCCATCACGACCCCAGTACGCTGCGAATCCGCAGAATCCACAGACATATGGCCAGCAAGCTCCGCCTCCTCCACAGTCATGGCGACAATATCCTCCCCAGACACAGCCAATCCACCAGGGTTCACAGTACCAAACCATGCCTCCGCCTCCGCCACCTTCACAAGGCCACGACACTCGGCAATATTACCAAGGTTATGGAAGATAATAATTTACGTAGATTCTGATAGAACCGAAATGTGTACATTTGGAAGGAAGCAAGTTTCATTGGGGGAGTGTGGGGCGCATGTCGCCGATAGATAATTTGAGCAGATTGCTGGCGTCAAATTTCCTAAAAGGACGACCGACAATATTAATTCTCTGATTAGTCTAATGCCTGACCTGGTGGGAGTTGGTATCATGAGTCGCCACCATACAGAACTTTCTTCCCCAATTCCACTGCACGCTGCTCCCACCGCCAGGCAGTTCCGAACAAACCAGCAACCTCTTCGTTCCACTTGGACTGAATGAGCGATGATAGCGCATGATGTTTTATACGCGTCGATGCGGGCGGAGGAGAGGGAATTGTAGTCGAGGCATTAGCGATACGCTCCGAGAGGGCATGGATACTATGTAACATGCTTAGTCGGACTAATAGAAGTAAAGAACTGGGATATGGACGAACTCGGCGCGATGCTGGGCAGTCCTGTGATATGAACAATGAACAGGTTTGTCTTGAGTTCTTGCAACGAATGGTTGCTCACCTGGTTTGCACCAAGTTTGAGAACCCGTGGTAAATCTGGAGTAATAGAACGGGTCAGAGTCAGACGAATCCTAATTTTTTTGGACAATGCTTACACCACCCATCACAAGTGCACCAGCGAGAGAGCCAGCTATGAAAGACATAACTATGATGAAAGTCAAAATGCTGGTGTCCACCGCACTTAGCTGGCGGAATTTACGCCTGGGCGCGCCTTATCGGGCGATGCCGGTCACGTGATGCGCAACCTCGTCCCGTTTTGGTCGAATTCCCCCGCTTTCGTTTTGTTTGCGCGTTAGCTCAGCGCTCATTCGTCGGTGCCTGAGAACCACATTATTGTGCGCCGCGCACTGATCTACTATGACCAGCTGCACATGGTGATGATAGTACTATACTACGCTACTATTATCAACTGTAGGTGGCCTTCATCGTTAAGCAGAGAAGCCCTTGACGTGCGAGGCACTACAATGTTGTCAAAAGGTAAGTCATGATTGTGCTAGGGCCTTCTGGGATCCACTGCATGTGAATATGGTGATTTCTTGCCGTTTCGCAGTATCTGATATATGTCTGCAGATTCCGTGCATGGTGATGACGGTCAGCAGTTGTTGTACTAATACTCCACAAGTTGTGATATGACTTACAAAGGTAGCTAGCATGAGTGCTTCTGTTTGGTCTCGCTCCAATGACAAACATCTAACACAAGCAGCTAAGTGGATTTTTGAAATTCTGGCCTATCGATTTGTAGATAATCATAGCTATGTCTTGAAATAAGTATGGGGTCACAGGGAATCCTGCTCTTTCAAAACTGAATCGAGGCCACTTGATAAGATGAAAGGCCACTCGACAACCTGTTCATGTGTCGCAAATAAAAATAATCTACCATGCTGGTAAGTCATGTGGATAGATCTAGGATACAGACCACCAAGTCACTCACACACTGTGCTTGATCTCCACACACTTTGCATTCACTAGAACGTCTGCAAAAAAAGCACAGCTATCTTCAGCCCCATTGGCAGACATTGATGTTGTCAAAGAAACAACAGCGGCGAGGACAAAGGAAAGACACATTTTTTTGAGGATGTGGTATGAGATCAAATAAATCTATGCAGGACGGTGTTGATGGTAGGAAATCACCTTGTTTTGATGTGTCAAGTATTCTTCTTCATTTAAATATAGCGAGAATTTATCCACCTGAAATTCATATCGAGCAGATGGTGTCTGCCATGCCAGCAGATCGCCACATAAACCTACTTCATAAAGTGAGTCTGTTAGCAATCTTGCGTAGAGTGAGATATTATGTTGGAAATTGAAGCCAGTTAATGACAGCTTGCATGCAGGACTGGTCGGATTTTTGTTTATGTAAATGACAAATTTGGTGTTAGTAAGCATCAGTAAATCATGAGTTCACTTCTTAACTTATGGCCAACTTTTTTGCACAACACAGTGGGATGTCATGTCAAGGTGCAGTTCATGCTGCTGAGGATGCGAGTGAGAAGCTCGAACAATGGCTTACTAATTGAGTGGCGCATAAAAGACGATCTGAGCACATATACGTGCGTCTTTTCCTTTTACAATCACCGTCACCATCTCGTCGACCTTTCTCTCATTTTGAGGGTCCTCGCACACACATTCAGTCATCCACTTCGTTCTTACTTGCATCTACAATGACTGAAACTTCGAACCCTGCACCTCCCTGCGGGGCAGGGGGAAAAAGCACTGACACTTTAATTTCTGCATATTCCCGTGTGTTGACAGATGGTGAGATTACTATCACTCCTGGGGTTCTGCAACATTTTCAATAAATCTTTTGTAACTCCTCAACCACATCATATTATCTTCTACTGATTTGCACCATTATATATTCATAGCTACTCTATATGAATATGATTTTTTCTGATTTTAAGGATTTTTTGGTGGAGTGTCGGATGAAGGCCGAGAAAATTCAGGGTCTGACTGGTATTCTGCAAAACATGGTCACGTTGTGTCACACATCGGCACAGCAGCAGCACCATCAACTTTCACTCTCTGAAGACTCTGAAGCTCGTCGTTGCGCATCACTTTGAAAATGAATATTATTGAGGATCATGGTCTATATACTAATAATTGTGATTATAATGGTACTGTTGATAGAGTCCTGACTCATACAGCTGACAGCCTGCATCACCAGAGCCCCCAATGTCATACATCTGCACTCCACCAACTCGAAAATCCTGAGATATATTAGTGAGAGGTCTACCAACTGGTGCGAAGGGAGGGTGAAGAACAGGTGGAGACTGAGGTACAGAATGGTGCATTGAATAATATGGAGGTGCATAGCTGGGTGGGGGCAGATCCATGGCTGACATTGAGGAATGAGTGACAGGCACTGGCAGCTGCGGTTGATACCTGGATGGTTGTTGAATCGAATTTGGGGGAATCATGTCCACAAAGAGTGTCATATGGCACTTTGAACTGTGCAGCTGCTGTCCAGAGGTTCTTGGTCTTTTTGTCTTTGACAGCCTGTATAGCGGCTGTGAATTTGGCCTCACGAGTTGCAGTCTTCTTCAGCTTTCTTCTGAAGGTTACACTGGCAGTTTGGAGGCATTGTGAGGATACGAGAACAAGACAATGCAATGTGAATGCGACTGACTGGACAGTGCCGTGTATCAAGCCGAGCGTGCTGTAGAGGAGATTGAATTTCTTACACACTCTCCTATCTGTTGTCACACTTTCATACATGTCCACGATCCTCTGTCTATAGCATCTTAAAACAAGAGAATGACCTCTATCGAAATTGTGTTCTGACACCCTGACAAGGTGTTTGATATACCCTGGGTGTAATTTTTTGAATATCTCTCTAGGATCTATGGGATCTGGATCATTTATGATTATACAAGGTTGCAAATTACCACTATTCTGTCTCTTGCAGCTGCAACACTCGAGAAATTTTTATTCTACTTGAACAGTACATCATCTCTAAGTAGCCTACATGCATCTAAATTTTTTCCAGGTGATTCAAGCAGCGCATTGAGGTATTTTGAACAATTTGCATATTATGTGCCAGTTGCAGATTCCCAGGAATGATAGTAACCGTGTTGTTGATTCAGTTGGGAGGCATGTTACGGCACCTATTGATCTTGAGGATCTTGAGGCCGTCATAGAAGAGAATTTGGCACGTTCTGACAGGAATGCAACCAGAGAGTCTAAGCGAAATGATCCTGATTTTATTGAAGAAGTTTCTGATGACAAGCCCTTCCTTGATGAGCCTGCACCGCAGCCTGTCACTCCTTTACCTAAACCCTTCCTTGGTGATAAAGTTACATGAGCCTTCAGCTTCATTAACACACTCACACCAAACATGGCTAAGAGAGTTGTCGGTGCCCTTACTGGTGCCATCACTTCCTCATCTAATGTTACAGTACCATCTTCTACGTCTACTGATACCTTAGTTTTCAAAGACTCTGATACTGTTATTACAAAAACAGTGGACACTGGAGCCAAGATTCTGAGGCTGATTCTCAATCTCATGAAGGCGAAGATCCACATCCCACTTATGCTTCTCACCCTGACATCTCTTTGAAAGATCCATCTAGACCCATCTTGCATCAAGATGAAAAGGGTCTGGTCCTGGACGACCCCAAGAAGAGCGTCATGGACATGTCAACCTTCCCAGCAGAGTTGTCCTTACTCACCGACAGGTTCTATGAAGCCTATAGTAATTTCCTAAAGATGATGTTATTGATCACTGACGAGGCCATGATTAAACACTTCGTAGAGCACTGTGACTTCTGCTTGTCTCACAACAAATTCAGCGAAGACTGGAATGCTGTCCTGAATTTTGACATTGAGATTCGTCGGAAGTTCTTCAATGCACAATCATTCTGCGACCTAGATGCATACATGCAACACTGGAATGAAATTAAGATCAACACATCTTTACCAGCAGCACCCAAAGACAGGGAGGTGGCTCGCATTACAACCTGTACCCTCCTTGCAGACCAGAGGGTCAGGCATTGGTGAACACTTTGAATGACGGGAAGCCCTTTCAGAAGGGCAAAGGGACTCAAGCAACTGACTCAACCCTTTGCATCATCTGTGGTTGGTATGGGCATAGAGCCAGTGGTTGTACACACACCAACACAGTTAAGGATGCCCCCATCATCAGTGCATGGCAAGGAAAGCTGCTTCATAAATCCTCCTCAGCACCAATTTGCATCTCCTTCAACCTCAGGCATTGCTTTGCCCTGAAACACTCTTCCGATGTCATCCATGTTTGTTCCATCTGCAGAGACAAAAACCACAGCACCGCTTCAAAGTCCTGCTTCTGATATTCGCAGTCGCATCATTACACCTTACAATGCAGATGCATACAATGACCTTCTACACCAATACAACTTGACACATGTTTATCCGAGTCTCACATTCAATATGCTCCACAGTTTTCCCATTGGGGACATTCCACCCCTCACCAGTACTTATACCCCAAAAAACCATAAATCCGCTCTCGACCATCTTGATGTCATCTGTACTTATTGCAATGATGAGGTCAATGGTTTCTTGGACTCAGATGACTTCCCGACTGAATGGGGCATGGCTGCCCAAGTTGCTGAAATTGTATGTCATTGCTCTTCACTTGTCCAGTCTTTCCCACCCTTCTATAAAATCGCTGTTCACATTCACGTGTTACCTTGGGGACTTTGATTCTCTTGTGCTTTCATCCATTTCAATCTGGCCTTGGCCAGCATTCGTTCCCCATAACGTAAATTGGGTTTGTGGGGGGGAATTCTGACCCACTCGCTTGGGCATTCTTAATGGACTTCCCCATTACGTGTCTTGATCTTGCCTCACCCTAGGGTGTTGTGTTCTTTTTCGCCTCACACAAGACTCTTCTCACTTCTTTATTTTGGCTTCAATCTACCGTTCAGTGCCGGGTTTCTTGCTTCAGTGATGATTTCTACTTCCCATTTCACTTCACTCGAGATTCACCCCTTTCATCATCATCTCATTTCACTTGTAGGTTGCCACAGCTTCCCCGGGCACTCAAGCAGCAACACTAGATATTGAGGCTGCCTATCGAACCATTCCTGTGTACCACCCACACAAATGCTTCTTAGTTGTCGAAGTAGACGGAAATTTTTTCATCAACCATGTCTTTCCGTTCGGACTCTCCACAGCTGGAGGAGTCCAAGGTAATGTCGCGGATGTGACCGTTGACATTCTGCATAGGATGGACCTTGGTCCCATCAAAAAGTGGGTCGATGACCACTTATTCTTCAGATTCCTGTCGAGCCCCTTCAGTGACAAATTCTGTATTATATGGGTCACCTGACCTACATAATATCCCATATAAGACGGACCAGCGGACTATGGGCCGATGTTATGTATATCCCCGATGTTGACGGATGGGCCAGGAGGGATATTATTTCCGATGTTGACAGGTGGGCCCATCTATGCTGATATTATATATATCCTCGAAGATGTCGGGTGGGCTGATGTAATGGTTTATTGTATAGATGGGTGGGCCGATGTAAGGGTTTATTGTATAGACGGGTGGGCCGACATACTGGAATTATTTTGTAGATGGATGGGCCAAGGGAGTGGTGGAATATTCATTATATAGATGGGTGGGCTGAGGTAGTGAGATATCTGTCTGACATTCACGGATTACCGAGTCCCAGATGCCCAAAAACCAAATCCCATTGTGCAACATCCATTCCAGACACCTGAACACCCCACCAAGTGCCGAGTGCCAAGGCCCACGCCCCGATGTCCGAAGCCTGAAACCCGAAGCCTGAAATCCAAAAATATGTATACAACATATCCATATTTCCCTCACTGCACAAATCACCGGGTGTCGAGTACCAAAACCTGAAACTTGACACCTGGTACACAAATCACCAAGTGCTGAGTGCCGAGGCCTGTGCCCTGATGTCCAAAGCCCGAACTCCGAACCCCGAAAATATGTATACAACATATCAATATTTCACTCATTGCACAGATCACCGAGTGTCGTGTGCCAAAACCCGAAACTCAAAGCACGGTACAAAATCACCAAGTGCCAAGGCCCGAACCCCGATGTCTGAAGCCCAAAACCTGAAGCCCAAAACCCGAAAATATGTATATAACATATCAATATTTTCCTCACTGCACCAATGACCAAGTTCAAGTACTGAAACCCAAAACTCGACACCTGGTACACAAATCACCAAGTGCTGAGTGCCGAGTGCCAAGGCCCGAAGCCTGATGTCTGAAGCCCAAAACCCAAAAATATGTATACAACATATCCATATTTCCCTCACTGCACCAATCACCAAGTGTCGAGTACCGAAACCCGAAACTCGACACCCGGTACACAAATCACCAAGTGCCGATACACTCACCTAGACTCAGACAACAACTTCCATGTTTTCATTATCTTTGCGTATTGCACACCGGGTTTTGAGTTTCAGGTTTTGGCACTCAACACTTGGTGATTTGTGCAATGAGTAAAAAATGGAAATATTGCATACATGTTTTTGGGTTTCGGGCTTCAGAATTTGGGCTTCAGATGTCAGGTTTTGGGCCTTGGCACTTGGCACTCAGCACTTGGTGATTTGTGTACCGGGTGTTGAGTTTTGGGTTTCAGTACTTGACACTTGGTCATTGGTGCAGTGAGGAAAATATTGATATGTTATATACATATTTTCGGGTTTCGGGCTTCAGGTTTCGGGCTTCGGACATCGGGGTTCGGGCCTTGGCACTTGGCACTTGGCACTTGGTGATTTTGTACCATGCTTTGAGTTTCGGGTTTTGGCACATGACACTCGGTGATTTGTGCAATGAGTGAAATATTGATATGTTGTATACATATTTTCGGGGTTCGGGGTTCGGGCTTTGGACATCAGGGCGCGGGCCTCGGCACTCGGCACTTGGTGATTTGTGTACCAGGTGTCAAGTTTCAGGTTTTGGTACTCGACGCCTGGTGATTTGTGCAGTGAGGGAAATATGGATATGTTGTATACATATTTTTGGATTTTGGGCTTCGGGTTTCAGGCTTTGGACATCAGGGCGCGGGCCTTGGCACTCAGCACTTGGTGGGGTGTTCAGGTGTCTGGAATGGATGTTGCACAATGGGATTTGGTTTTTGGGCATCTGGGACTCGGTAATCCGTGAATGTCAGACAGATATCTCACTACCTCAGCCCACCCGTCTATATAACATCCCCCTCCATCGGCCCACCCATCTATATAATGAATATTCCACCACTCCCTTGGCCCATCCATCTACAAAATAATTCCAGTATGTCGGCCCACCCGTCTATACAATAAACCCTTACATCGGCCCACCCATCTATACAATAAACCATTACATCAGCCCACCCAACATCTTCGAGGATATATATAATATCAGCATAGATGGGCCCACCCATCAACATTGGAAATAATATCCCTCCTGGCCCATCCGTCAACATCGGGGATATACATAACATCGGCCCATAGTCCGCTGGCCCGTCTTATACAGGATATCATGTAGGTCAGGTGACCCGTATAATACGGAATTTGTCACTGAAGGGGCTCAATAGTCAAGCAGGGCAAGCAGAGTGAAAGAATCCCAGACTTGTTCGGTTGTTAGAGAACTCTCAAACTGCCAGTCACTATTGTTGTTGGTGCAACTGCCACGAGCCTGGGCGATCCCATACATGTGTGCACAATTTGTAGCCAAAACACTGTAGAGAGTATAAACAATGATATTAGAAGTGAAGAGAGTAACATATGCAATCTGCATCAGATCCGTCCATTGCATGGCAAGCTCGAGCTCAACAAACTGATGATCAGAGACCTGGATAAATTGGGGTAGGCCTGCATAGTATGTTCGCAGCTGGCCCTTGACACTGTAGTTAGACTGGTAATTGGTGTTGCAGGCTTCGTCATCAATGAACAATCAATTAAACACTATCATATATACATAGTCATGCAATAGACATACCTTGGCACCTCAGATGAACCATCCATCCAGGATGTGCACCCTCACCATGAGTAAAAAGAACAACACGCTGGTATTCTTCTTTCTTCAGCAGCAATCCACACTGCCATGCAGTGCAGTCAGGGTTGATACAAACCTTAGTAGGGGGGTATAATGTACATTTTGCTGTCTGGTGTGTGAGAATGGTCACAATATGCCCATCAATAAGCATACTCAGTCCTAGTTTATGACCATGTGTCCTGAATGCAGCTTCATCACTTGCATTTGCCTTGGCACTGCTTGGCATTGTCCATACAATATCTTCTGTAATAGACCATAGTATATCAACTGTATCAGGCAAGATGTTGAGGGAGGCTGTGAGAAAGTGTGTAATACTCTGCGAGAGAACATCAGGGGGGTGCATGATAGAGACATTATGTGGCTGTGGCTAGAGGATGTCATCCTTTAGTAAGTTAGTATGGCATATGAAACTCGCAAGGTCAACAAATGAGATACAGGCAAGTGTCGGATGCCCTTGGAGTGAGGTCAACAGGTTGCTAATATCCAGGTCAGGTGGCATCATGGGTGATATTGACATAGGCTGACATTGATCACATTGGTGTGGTGGTGGATGGCTAGATCACATGGTATGTCAGCCGCATGATGTTGAAACTCCGAATAAGGTAAACAGATACCCCAGAGTTTCGCCCCAGAGTCCACCCCAGATTTTGGCCCCAGAGTGTCCATTTCCTGGATGTCCTCGAATTTTCCGTCGTTTTCTATTGATTATCATAAATTATCTTGAATTCAGCTGATGACGATGTCAAGATATACAAGAATATCAATTACATTATAAACAAAAATGATTCCCCCGCTTTCATTTTGTTTGCACATTAGCTCATTCATCAGTGTCTCGAGCTTGAGTTTGAGGTGTGCTCAATTACTTATATCACTGTAGTTGTTAGTCTGTAGTTCAATTGTGGCTCATAGTTTCCTAATTCGCTCTTGCCTTTGTGTTTGCTTTTTTAAAACTTGCGCTGTGTGGCCCATTAATTGGTCAAGGATTCAGGCTCAGAAGCTGGCAACAAAGGTTCTCTCATTGACGACAGTTCTGCATCTTTAAGGGGTGAGCGGGCACTACTCTGCAAATATTTATTCTGCACTTCACTGACATATTTCACCAGAATATCTCTTACTATGATACATGCTGCTCACGGGGCTACACCAAGCTTTGGATATCTTCACAAATCCGATGTACAACTGTTCAATCTATGAATCTTCCCTTGCTGTGCACAACAGGCCCCCAATGACCGAGCACGCCATGTGTTCTCACCAGTCGCATCCCCAATTTATCTACTATGCCGGTAAGTCATGTGGATAGATCCAGGATACAGACCACTCACACACTGTGTCTTCTTTCCGCACCCTTTGCACTCCCTAGAATGTTTGCACGTAATAGGACAGTTGTGCCCATTGGCAGACATTGATGTTGTCAAAGCAACAACAGCAGGCGAGGATGAAGGAGAGACACATTTTTTTGAGGATGTATTATGTGATCAAATTAAATCTCAAGGTGTTGATGTCAGAAATTTCCTACAGCCATTGCAATGGTGTGACAGTGGAATTGCCATTGAGATGTCATTCCCACGACATCATGTGGTGTTGCAATCTGTTAGAATATTCAATAATCATTATCATATCTTGTTGACATCACAATATCATTCCCACAGTTGCGTGCACCATTTCAATGCATTGAGATGTGATATCTCAATTGATAAGGTTGTTGTCTATGTACCTGCTCATATCGCTATCAAATTCTTGTATCTACACGTTATTATTACTTTTGGACTGTACACACCTTCATGCCACCCGAATGGACCTTGATTTGCGACACTTGTGGCCAGAAATTCAAGAGCCATGGACTTGCTGCCCACCAGAAGGCCTGCAGGAGGGATGCATTATGGATGCAGGAAGATCATGAGAGACAGAATGCTTGAGCAGGTGAGTACATTCAACTGGGTCTACTATATGGTCTGTGCATAACTCCTCTTGACAGCTCAAGCTAACCTGAGCTGCTGAACCCTCAATACCGTCCAGTCCGATTATCACAACAGCCAGGCGCATTCTGAGGTTTGATTTGATTTAATGGATCCGTATTTTATTCAACGATTTCTAGGCTCTAATGCAGCTCCTGCTACGCACGAACCTACTTACGATGAGTATGTAAATCCTGATGAAGGTATGTTTATATTTCTATCGTCAATACTAGACCCGGCCGTTCATTCATTGCATGTAGGTCTATCATTCACAGTGCTGCAAGAGGCACCAGATGATCATGTCCTGCCACCTGCATCTCAGCGGGATGACATCAGGACAGAGTATCATCCATGTAGCGGCATCCCTATGAAAACTGATCACTTTGCTGATTTTCATTGCCATACTGCCACTCACTCACAAGTACCTGAAAATACTATTTCCTGGGAACTGTTTGCCTCACACATCGACTTCAACTTTGCTGAATTGATTCTGTAAGCCAACCTCACGAAACTGCAGATGAACGAGCTTATTGGTCTCATCTGTCGCACTGCGCTCGAAAAATTCTCAGTTACTGACTACAACGGCATTTGTAAGATGTGGGATGCAGCATCTTCCCATCATGCAAATGTAAGTCTGCTGAGTACTGGCTTGCTATACCTTGCTAACGATCAATTTTCAAGTGCAGTTCAAAAAGGAAGTGATTTCGGTCCCGCATAGGGACCAGGAGCACAATTTTGATGTTTGGTATAGGCCACTCTGGGACTGGGCCTGTGACCTGTTGAAAGATCCTCACCTTGGTCTGCATTTCATGTTTCATGCTCAGCGGTTGTACAAGTATGATAGACAAGACTTTGTGCGTTTTTTTGATGAGCCATGGACAGCCAATGCCTTCTGGGATAGTCAAGTATGTATGTGCTACTAAATTTGAATGTTCTAATGATGTAAATGTGTGTTTTGTAGTCATCCTTGCCAAAAAAAATGAAGGAAAACCCTTCGCTCTTATCATATATGCCGACAAGGCAAAACTTTCCTCGTTTGGTCATCAAAAAGCATATCCTGTCATTGCACAATGTGCAAATTTACCTGTCGGAATACGCAATGGTGAGGGTTTTGGTGGTGGTCGCCTCATAGGCTGGCTTCCAATTGTAATGAATTATTCAATTTGTCATCGGCTTCTATGCTTATGACTGACTCTTGCAGGTTGAAGAAGAGAGACAATATTCCGGAACTCAGTCCTTTGTCAATTTCAAGAATGTTGTCTGGCATGAATCATTTAAGTGCCTTCTCAAATCACTTGCACTACTCTCGAAAACCGGTTTTTGCGTCAAGTGTTGGGATGGTATTGAGCATCTTTTTTACCCACTTATTCTTATTTTATTGGCTGACTATGAGGAGCAGTATGTATGTTGCCTATATCATTATGACTCACTAATGGCTATTCTGCAGATGTGTTATGACCTTGATACATGGAACGAGGTGCAAATTCCCTTGTCCCGTCTGTCTTTTTCCTAGAGAGGAACTCAGTAATGTGCCTACATCATATCCATTGTGAACAAGCATGTCTACACAAGCTACACTTAGAGAGGCTCAAAGTTTCACTTGACAAGAAGACAAAGAGAAGGTATTAATGTCTCGAGGCCTCCAGGATGTAGACATAAGTTTCCTGTTGTTGTACCTTCATTCCCAACTCTAATTGTTCATTTTAGAATGCATTTTCGGATGTTGCTCACACAGACATCCATTCTGCAGTCTCATTTGACCACTTACATGTAAATAACAAAGGTAATTTTTCTGACCATCTTTGGACCCAGTTTCAGGAACACATCAAATCAATTGGTTGGCAGACACAGTCTAAAATTGATGAATAGTATGTTTTTCAGCTTCAGGTATAGTGGATACTGACATTACAATTTGAATAGCTTCTACTCAATGCCACGTTGGCGCAACATCAATCACTTTAATCATGTCATGGACATAGCATTTTCTGATAGCTCAAAGTATGAAGATATTTCTAAGGTAAGGCAGTTTCATCAATTCTGACTTGTATTACCGATTCTGATCAGTTCTGTAGCTTATTGTATTTGCTGCACATGACATCATCAACCGAGCCACTCACGCACTTCCTTAACTGCTCCTTCAATGCATCCATGAATATGTCAACATTGACATGTATGCAGCTCTCAAACTCCATACGTCAGAAACCATTGCTGAAGGCCGTCAGGCCATAGAGGAGTTCACTCAACTATTGGATGTAAGCTTCTCATTTGAATTGTGTGTTGAATTCTTACTGACAATCTAAATCATATAGCAATATAGCACAAAGGATGACTCCGGAAAGAACTGGGCATACCCTAAACGACACACACATGCTCACCTGTTTGACGATATTGAGGCAAAAGGTGCAACACAAAACACCAACACCAAGCCAAATGAAAAGTGTCATGGCCCAATCAGACGAATTTATCTTCGGTGGATGAACTTCAAGAACATTGCTGAACAGGTGTGTACTCTCATTTGCCCATGAAATTGGACAGTATTTGATTGATCTTACTCAGGTACTTTGCCTCGACCATCACTTCCTCATTGCACATTCGATTCATTTGGATATCAAAGACTACAATGACCTCATTTTATCTCAGAGCGACCATTTGCACTCGGGCAGCAAGGATGATGAAGAACACCCTAACAATGATTCTGATGACACATTCCATGTTAAGTTGGGTGCGGCACAAAAAGAGCAGACAGTTTGTGGCCTTGGAGCAACTGCATATGAATGACAATGTGTTCAATCAGTTTTGCATCAAGCTTGCAAACTTTCTGAGTGATTCCCTTCCTGCTCATGGAATACCCTTACCTGGTGGAAAATGACTCAAGTTCATGCCCAACGAAGCTGTATGTCATTGTGTTGTTTTCCAATTTATGTCTAAACTATAGAATGCAGGTGACCGAGCATTGATTCATAAAAGTCGACTACCATTGTGAACTGGCAAACCACCACAGATTACCTTCGATGCAGCCCATCATTTCACAACTTCCCTCAATATGACTGTGTTATCATTCAGACTCAAGCTGGAGTGATATTCGGGTGTTTACTGATGCTTTTTACCTGTGTTGTGGATGGTCAAACTCATCCAGTTGCACTCGTTCACCCATATGATGCTCCAGTTGGACAACACTCTCTCAAAGACAAACACTTTCAGTTCTGGTGTATTCATGAAAGACCAAGGACTTCATCTGAATTTTTTTCAGTTCACTCTATTATCCGCAGCGCAGCACTGGCAGAAGATCACAGTGTCCAGGGTGATTATCTGATTATTGATACAATTGATACTGACATGTTCTTGCGTATGAAGTCAATGCACAAGTCTGCTGGTCATCCAGCATGAAGAACTAGTCTTATCTCATCTTCGTCTACTCATTTGATTGGTATGCTGCATGGTATGAATCGATGATGTCGGTTCAACACCCCCACCAAGAAAAAATTGACGAATTACGCAAATTAGTATATGTAAGTTCTTTCCATCTGTTATATGTACACGTGGTTCAACTATCACAAGTGTGTGATCCACCAGCATCTCCAGCTCTATTGGACACAAAGATGCCTGCGGAGCTGCCGGTGTCATTCAAACTAGCGTTGGAACTTGCATTTTCAATGCTCTCATTTGACTCTCAATTGCAGCAATTGCAACTTGACGCCCATGCACCCGAACTCTCCATTCTTTTACATGGCATGCTATTCACTAACATCCAACTTGACAACTTCTTGCCAACCCTCGCTCACTTCCTTGAGTGCATTGAAATTGAAGGAGCTGAGGAACACGAGTGGATCATGATGACTGTTGTGAACATTAGTGCCATGCTTGAATATGGTCGTCCAAGTGGCATGCTGTGTAAGATTGGTGGTGTAGGTGCTCATGACACTGGCACAGGTGTTCCAGCTGTAAAGGTTGCCAAGAAGTATCAAGTCACGCCCGCATTCCGCGATGAAGACGGTGAAGAGAAATGGATGGACGTGGATGACAAAGGCACTCAACAAACATCTCCAGCTCTATCAGATGCAAATATCCCTATGGAGCTACCAGTGTCATTCAAACTAGTGTTGGAACTTGCATTTTCAATGCTCTCATTTGTTCTTCACAATCTGACATGGAAGGCCTCACATTTTGCTTGTTCAACTCTCACAACAGTCTCACCAAGCCCATTCCCTATCCCTGAACATCATGGCAGGCTATACTATTCTTGTAATATTGATACCAACATCATCCTACTATCTCCCTTATCGGCTACTGCGTCCATCATCGAGAGTCTATGACAGACCATCCACCAGAGCTTGGTAAAGCTGCCCAGGAAGCCACAGCATACATCATGTCACATGTCCGTTCACATTCAACCTCACACGTCCACTCGCACTCACCACAAGGAAGTCCAGGTGTCGGCATAAGGTAATGATTACTCTCTCGGTTGCACCACGTAAGTGTACCATGCATCATTTTACCTGTTATCTCTCGAATGACTCATCCTATGCAGTGTTTAATTACCTCACCACCAGTACAAGGCACCGTCTAGCTCCTTATTTCAAGTGCCTCAAATGACAACTTTTACCTTATCCTTCCTTTCATTAAGGTGCCCTGGTCATTTCCACTGTCGCAATGCCACCATCAAACACACCAGGCCCTGCCGATATCAAACAGGTCTGTGCCAATCCTCTCGCTGTCACTCATGTCGTCTAACTTTTGCTTCAGGCTTTGCGAGAATTGCAGCTTGAGTTGCAAGAACTCAAGGGCATCAACAAGGAGTTGACCAAGGAGAACAAGATCCTTAAGGCAAACCAGCCAAAGCGCAAGAAGAAGGGTCAAAATGTCTCTGAGGAAAGCATGGCCTTTGATGAAGAAATCCACCTATGCGGTGACAAGTATGGTGCCTGCTATGAAATGTTTGCGCCAGACAGGCAACTTCTTCAGTGTCTCAATCCTACATTCCCTCCACCTCTCAATGAATTGTGTCACGAGTACCTTTAACGAACCATTATTCTTTCTTGAATCTTCCTAAGTGTCAATACACAGCGCCTAAATCAAACCTTAACCCTACCTTGAAAGTGTCTATCATTCCTGAAATACCTTTAGCACCCACAACACGTGTCTTTGATGTGACTGATGAAGAAGACGAGTTCTTTGATTGTGAATAGATTAGATTAGATACGATAAGATAAGATATGGTCACGTGATGCTTCTTTAATATTCTACGATGTTCTATGGTACGATTCCCTTTCTCTTTTTATGATTGGCTAGTAGTTGTAACTCAGATTCAATCTCCGTTTCAATAGTTGTATATAGGTAGCATGTCTTGGTCGATAGTTCCTTAGTTCAAACCTCTTGTATCTACAACTGTAGCAATCCAAGACGTACTTGCTCATCATTCTCTTTGTCCGATAACCTTCGTTTGAGTCCTAGTCTCTGCCCAGCGTTAATTCGTTATTGGGTTGTGACATTAGGTTTGAACTATAGGAGACTCCGACTCTCGCATACCGCTTGCATCATTTCTCTCTAGGTGATTCATTGAGCACATCGCCAACAAACCACTTAGATAGCCATTACACGTTTTCCATTGCCCGGCCTAAACAAGCCATGATCATCTTTTCTGAAACCCATCCTTTTGCTTGCTTGAGCTTTTTATGAATAGCCTTTATTAGTTAGTAGTCCTATATCAGGCCCTGCCTTACATTGCAGCCGCCAGTATATGGAGGTGTTGACGACATTAGGTGTCTCGCTACAACTTTGAGTGCTGGCCCAAAACCCTGCCTGCTCAATGTTACTATAGTTTCTTTCATACCTACATCTTTCTTCATACGCACGTAGAACTTTTCGTTAAGTCTAGTGGAACTGTCGCATCTGCGGATAGTCCTACCATCATTACCACGAGGATTTAGATATGGGATTCTAGTGAGACTCGCACTTGTAAGCTTCGGCTGGAAGAGTGATAACTTGTCCTAGACCTGTACCCTTTCGGTGATTGAGAAGTAGCACACACGAAGCACACCGTGTTTTTCCCACTTAACAAAAGCGTAGTTTTACATACCTCTTTCTAGTTAGTAATTAGGGAAGTGTCAGTCGGGTTGACTAAAGAACCCTTTGACCCTAAAGGACGAGGTTGATCCAGTTAGTACTGGGGACCCCTTTAGCTTTCCATTTACATATCCTTTTCCCTCTCCCTTTCATCATCTTTCCTATCCGGAAGAGCCGTTATGACCCGCTCTTCAACAGTCATTAGTGAATCGGATTCCAGAACGCACCTGGCACTATGGCTGAAGTTGCAGAAGCTACCATGGGACCTGCTGAAAACCCCCAAGAACCACAAGAACAAGGGGAACAGGGACCACAAGGTATCGCTATGCCGATAGAGTTCACCAACTATGTACAGAATGCCATCACCATGGCAACACACGAACTGTACATAAGAACACAAGAACTCCTAAACCATAACAACACTCTTCGAGCACAGAATGCAACTCAAGAGCTTCAACTTAGAACCCAAAACTGCACAAATCGAGGAACTAAAGAAGAAGCTTGAGAGATTTGCACAAGCACCGAACACTTCGCAAGTCAAATTGTCGAAACCCACAGAATTCACCGGAGACAAAGATTCGATCTCCGTAGAAGTCTACGCTACTCAATTGGCATTATATATGTCACAGTGGCCGTTGATCACAGACAGGCAGAAGATTACAACTGCTCTGTCTTTCCTTAAAGGATCTGCTGCTAAATGGGCGCAGAAATATGTTATCGAGCTTGACACCAAGCCAACATCCTTTGAGGACTGGTCAAAAGAATTCGAGACCATGTGGGGGCAAGACGACAGAGAAGGAAAGGCTGTCAGGGAGTTGGAAACCCTGAAGCAAGGATCCTCATCAGTGCCCGAATACGCAGCAGCTTTCAAGCAGAAGGCTGCACTCACCAAATATTCCGACTACGACCTCCGCCTCAAATTCCGATCTGGCCTACAAACCCGGATCAAGGAGCAACTCGCTCATATCCCAGCATCTGAAAAAGACACCCTCAAGAAGCTCATCAATTACTCCATACAGATTGGACGTAACTATGAAGAGCTAGACGCTGAGAAGAAGAAGAGTAATTGGTGTACCCCTAACAAGGAAACCACAAAAACCTTCAACCCAAGGCAGGCTGGTCCTAGCAAAGACAGTGACACTATGGATGTGGACTCTGGCAAGCAGAGGGGATCTCCCAAACCCCAAGGAAAGCCTGGCACTTTCACCTGCTACCGCTGTGGAGAACAAGGCCACATAGCGAGAAACTGTAAAGGTGCGCCAAAAGCGCAAGTCAAAGCGGCTGCAGTTGTCGAAGAAAACTCCGCACTGAAGTGGTTCACAGATTGGATCGCTTCTAACAAAGGCAAGGATTTTTAAAGGGGTTGAAGTCAAAGTCTGCAGACCTAGACCCGAACAATCATTTCTCTATTCTTTCTACGTTCCAAGATGTATCAGAAGTACATATTAGATCTAAATCTGAGCATTTTTATATTCCGATAACGTTGAAAGGAAATAACCGACAAGCAGACGTAAAAGCACTTGTGGATTGCGGTGCATCAACATTATTTATCAGTGAGAAGTTTGTGGAAAAGAACAGTGTGAAATGCCGTAAATTATTAAGGCCTATTTCAGTCAGGAACATTGATGGATCGCTAAATGCCGCTGGATCAATGACTCATTTTGCAGAACTAGGTCTAAAGATTGGTGATCATGAAGAAGAAAAAGCAGCCTTCATGGTTACAGACTTAGGAAGCGATGATGTTATTATCGGCATAGATTGGCTGAGATATCATAATCCAGAGATTGACTGGAATGCAGGACGATTTGCACTTTCTCGATGCCCTGTAAAATGTGAAACTAAAAAAGAAAAAAGAAAAAAAAAGAAAGAAAAGAAAAAAGAACAAAAAAAGATAGATGATGTACCTGATCTAATTCCTACGGATGATGAAGACGAGGAAGAAGAAGATATGTCGATGAAAAGGGCGACGGTTGAGGAAATAGAAGACGAAGAGAGTCCAGAGAGACTATGGATTCGTTATAAAGCCTCGGTTGCCACGGAGCAGAAGGTAGCAGAAGAAGCTACTAAGAAAAAGCAGTCGGTAGAAGAAATGGTACCTGATTGGCTTCATGATTACCTGGGAATTTTCTCAGAAGAAGAATCTAAACGCTTCCCTGAAAGAAAGAAGTGGGATCATGCGATAGATCTTAAAGATGAGGGTGATCTTCCGCCAAATGCGAAACCTTACCCGTTGTCACCTAAAGAGATGGATACACTGAAGGAATGGTTAAAAACCGAGACTGCACTGGGACGAATCAGAAATTCACAATCTCCAGTAGCAGCACCTTTCTTCTTTGTGGCCAAAAAAGATGGCAAGTTAAGACCGGTGATGGACTATAGAAAGCTCAATGAGAAGACGGTGAAAAATGCGTATCCGCTACCGAGATCTCAAGATTTAATTGATGCTTTAACCGGTGCCATGATGTACTCTAAGATGGATGTACGATGGGGGTACAACAATATTCGCATGAAAGAAGGAGATGAGTGGAAGGCGGCCTTCAAAACGCCGTTTGGTCACCACGAACCGACCATAATGTATTTTGGACTCACGAACTCGCCTGCAACCTTCCAAACTATGATGAATGAAATTCTGAGAGACCTAATAGATGGCAAAACAGTAGTCGTCTACATCGATGATATAATGGTCTTTACGAATGGAAACAGGGAGCAACACCGAAAGGTGGTACGAGAAGTCCTGAAACAATTAAAGGAGAATGACCTGTTCTTGAAGCCTGAGAAATGTAGCTTCGAACAGTCTAAAGTCGAGTTCCTCAGGTTGATAGTGGAAGAAGGCAATGTGTCGATGGACCCTGTGAAAGTAGAAGGAGTATTGAAATGGCCTGTTCCCAAATGCGTGAAAGATATCCAAGCATTCATGGGCTTTGCCAACTTCTATCGAAGATTCATACTTGGGTTCTCGGATATAGCCAGACCAATGAATGATCTGCTAAGAAAAGGTGTCAAATGGGACTGGACGGAAGAGCAACAAAAAGCTTTTGATGAACTTAAGAAATGTTTCACAGAAGCTCCCGTTCTAGTCATGCCAGATGTTGAGAAGAAAAAGAAAATAGAGACCGATGCTTCAGATTACGCAACAGGAGCGGTTCTCTCTCAACTTATGGAAGATGGATTATGGCATCCAGTAGCATATTACTCTAAGTCAATGAATGATGCAGAAAGAAATTACGACATTCACGACAAAGAGTTATTAGCGATCATTAGAGCGTTAGAAGAGTGGAGACACTACGTGCAGGGAGCACCTCACCCGGTTGAAATATGGACAGATCATAAGAACCTTGAATATTTCATGACGAGTCAAAAGTTGACCAGAAGGCAAGCTAGATGGAGTCTTTTCCTAGCGGAGTATGAATTTACACTCCAACATAAGCCTGGCGTGGTTAATGACAAAGCAGACCGTCTTTCTCGGAGATCAGACCATAGAGGGGGGGTAGAAAACGATAACTCAGATCGCATCCTTTTGAAACCGGAATTCTTTACCGTAAAAGCTGCTAAAAGAGGTCAAGTTTTGGTGCATGGAGAGAAACATTTACTCCAAAAGATACGAAAATGCACAGAACGAGAACCTGAAGTCACGAAAGCATTAGAAACGCTAAAAGCAGCACCAGTTCAATTGCGTAGAGGAATCGAAGAGTGGAATGTGGAGGATGGATTGGTGTTATTCCGAGGATTAGTTTATGTTCCAAATGACAAAGAGATCCGCCGAGAGATATTGGAGTTGTTTCACGACTCTCCACCGGCTGGACATCCTGGACGAGCTAAGACCTTAGAATTGATTTCCAGAAACTATTGGTGGCCTTCAATGACGAAGTATGTCCACAATTATGTAGATGGTTGCGATAGGTGCAAACAAACGAAAGTGCTTCCGAGTAGACCAACGGGGCCTTTACAGCCAAATGAAGTTCCAGAAGGACCTTGGCAGACAATCACCTGTGACCTGATAGTGGATTTGCCGAAGAGTGAAGGGTGTGATAGCATTTTTGTAGTCGTTGATCAATTTTCGAAACAAGCACACTTCATTCCCACCACCAAAGATATAGACTCAAAGGGTATTTCCGAACTATTCCTGAAAAATGTATGGAAACATCATGGAACACCGAAGAAAGTGATTTCAGATAGAGGAACTCAGTTCATATCAACGTTCATGGGACAAATGTCAAAAAGATTAGGAACGAAATGGTCTGCGTCGACCTCCTATCATCCCAGAACCGATGGACAGACTGATCGCGTAAACCAAGAAGTCGAACAATATTTGCGCATGTTCACGTCATATAGACAAAATGATTGGGTATCTTGGCTGCCGATAGCAGAGTTTTCACACAACAATGCAGTCACAGTAACCGGTCATAGTCCGTTTAAAGTTCTCTACGGGTATAACCCAGATTTCACGATTCATCCAAACTCTATGTCCATAATCCCCGCCGCTGATGAGAGAGTTGATCAAATGAAAGAAGCGAGAGATGATGCTGAAAATACTCTTAAGATGGTCAATGAGCGCATGAAGTGTTTCTACGACAAAGGAGTAAAAGAAGCACCTCAGTATAAGAAAGGAGACAAGGTCTGGCTTGATGCAAAGAATCTTAAACAACGTCGTCCAAGTCAAAAACTGTCAGATCGTCGTCTAGGTCCCTTCGAAATACTAGAGAAGATCGGTGAAGTAAACTACAAGTTGAAATTGCCGGAAAAATATCAGATTCACCCGGTTTTCCACGTAGAATTGCTTACGCCATATCATGCATCTCGATTAATTCCTCATCCTCCCCCAAACCGACCACCTCCAGAATTGATTGACGATCGGGAAGAATTTGCTGTAGAAGAAGTACTAGATAGCCGATTGTTCCGAGGAAAGCTGCAATACCTAGTAAAATGGGAAGGATACCCGAAGGAAGAGTCATCTTGGGAACCAGAAGAGAATTTAAAGAACACCCCAATTCCTTTAGCGGAGTTCCATAAGAAGAATCCCACGGCTGCAGCCGAAAAATACCGAAGAATCAAAGGCTCAGTACTGTTTACAGAAGATTTCAAATGATGGAGAGAAAAGAATATCCGACCTTCATTCGTTCGTGATGACACTCACCTTAGAGAGGGGGTAATGTCACGAGTACCTTTAACGAACCATTATTCTTTCTTGAATCTTCCTAAGCGTCAATACACAGCGCCTAAATCAAACCTTAACCCTACCTTGAAAGCGTCTATCATTCCTGAAATACCTTTAGCACCCACAACACGTGTCTTTGATGTGACTGATGAAGAAGACGAGTTCTTTGATTGTGAATAGATTAGATTAGATACGATAAGATAAGATATGGTCATGTGATGCTTCTTTAATATTCTATGATGTTCTATGGTACGATTCCCTTTCTCTTTTTATGATTGGCTAGTAGTTGTAACTCAGATTCAATCTCCTGTTTCAATAGTTGTATATAGGTAGCATGTCTTGGTCGATAGTTCCTTAGTTCAAACCTCTTGTATCTACAACTGTAGCAATCCAAGACATACTTGCTCATCATTCTCTTTGTCTGATAACCTTCGTTTGAGTCCTAGTCTCTGCCCAGTGTTAATTCGTTATTGGGTTGTGACAATTGTCACGCTATAAAATGCTAGCCTCCACAGAGTCAGCCTTGCTTGCAGAGCTATTCAGTCTACTTCCATTGCACATCCACCATCTTGTCGCAGATAACCACTTCTCTGATGTTGTGAGCAACATTTTAATGACTCTTAGAGCTGATAGTACTTAAGTTCGAGGATGCAATGAACAGTAGCCACGCATCTGAAATCAAGAAACTATGTTCCAAAGCTGGGCTCATCTTTGGTCTCCCTGAACAGTATTTCACTGATACAACATACAATCAAGCAGGTGTCTCTGAGATCCAGTGTCTCCTTGGTACCTCTACATCACAGCACATGCCCAAGCCCTTCCCACCTATCCTTTTTCCGAACCTGGTTGAAGATATGTCACTGCGAACACTCTTTGGAAACTGGGAAGTATTTGTGAAGGTGTGTCTCTTAATTCAAAACTTATTTTTATTATCTATCATGTTTTCAGATTATCCGGATACTACTGTGGGGTGAAAATGGTTTGACCGCACTTCGAGCAGGAGGACCACCACGCAATGGTAATAAGTGGGAGGTGACATCTTTGACACCTGGTTTGTTGGCATGGGCGGGAGTTGTTGTTCATTTTTGCATGCATTGAAAGGCTCGCAGCTGATGTAATTTTGTTAGGCTATTTTTCTACTCAGTGCCGACAAGAAGTTTCGCTATTCTGGCAAGGGTGAGACTACAAAGATTCAGTACAACTATATGTTCTCCTCATATAAGAAGGTTCTCATCAAGAACTGGAATACGGAATACACGCATGACATTGTGAAGATGCTCAATAATTTCATTTTCTCTAAAGGTTCGAGAACGGCTGATTCAATGTCAGATGAAGAGGATTTCACGGCAGCAATGGATTGTGCCTTAGCGGGTGTGACTGAAGGCGAGGAGAGCACTGCGCAGCCTGAACCACCACGATCTGTTACAGAGGACATTATGGATGAAACAGTTGCTGATGTTGAGGTTGACAGGGATGGGCACAGAGCTAGTAGTCCTCTTATGGAGCCTGATGAGGATGAAGTTTGTGTTGTAGTACCTACTGCTACAGTCAGAGGCCATTGAGGGGGCAGGGCAGCCAGACATACTGTATCTAACACGACCCGCAATACTCGCACTACTAGTACTGAGACTTGATTACCTATCATGATATATCATATCTGTACCCCAATCACTCAATGCAATGCAACTCTTTTCATGGTCTTCGGTTTATTATAAGTTAATAAAGGACCCCGGCTGCTCCTTATACTGCATGTCCACTGGTAGTGCCTCGCAAGTCCTCAAAATCACCCATCCTATGGTCCAAAATGTTGCGCCTCGGAAGCCTGTAGCACATACCTCATGTCCGTCGGTAGTGCCCCGAGAGGTCATGGATCTCGGATCGGGGTCATGCCAATCATACACTGACCAACGACAAAGCCCAAACAGATGTCCGGTTTCCCCAAACAGGCACTGGTTGACTACGAATTGACAAAGGGATTCACCCAGATTCACCATGTAGCGATGTTTACTGACATATGGTACATTTATGCGGAACATTTGGTAGCAATAGTTGTGGTACGTCAAACCAGAATCAAATCGTTCTTTGTATCATCCAACCCCTGCACCCTTGTGAACTCTCTATCGTGACAAAGAATCCTAGACAAGCTGAAAAAAGCCACTCTGACAGTCAGCAATCAAGGACCAGCATCTGAGAGTATCCTCGGAGTTAAACACCTGACACTCCAGCATTCTGCAGACCACTGGGAGGAGCTTCATGCCCCCATTCATGCCATCTTCAGTTGGGGACAACTTGAAGGAGGAGGTCTACTATCTTCGAAATCGAGTCAGGCAGACTTTCTCCTCATACACAACTTGGTAAGTTTAGAGTCTATGAAGCACCATAAAACTTACTGTTTACAGGTGGGAAGCAGCTAGAATGGTAGCAGTGTGCGAGATTCTTGCGTCACAGTTTGCAGTACGGTCTCGCAAGAAGCAGAACCGTGGGTTTGCCTAGGTACTTCAGTAGCACAGTAATATGTTTCAGAAAATTTCCTTTTTTGGTATGTTTTGGCCACTATGCATGTTTGAAGTGCGCCCTGCAAGCCTCAAAAGTGTTGCACCCCGCAAGGAAAATTTTGAAAATTTGCGGATATGCGGTATAGGGAGCAGCTGGGGTCCTGTTAATAAGGCTATAGAGTGGTAGTCTAATAGAGTTGGTTTCCCTTATAATAAAGCCCTAGTAGTCTAATGGTTTTGCTTACTGACTGTATATAATGTTACTGTAAGAAATAGTGTAGTCATTAGTTCGAACCAGCCTAAGTGTAATAAAACAGTGTATTAATAATGTAATAGACTATAGTAGATGATTGAGATAGTAGATAATAACTTATGGTAGATTAATAATGCAATAGACTACAGTAGATGATTAGATAGTAGATAATAGATAACTTAAAGATAGACAGTAGATAGGTATATAATAATAGACTAATAGGTCCATAATCACGCCAGCCTAGGGTACATCATAATCAGATAGATGTCATTCCCACGGACTATACATTTATTTTAATACCATTGTAATAATATTGATATTAAGTTTACAATGGTCACGACAATGGGCATTGGTGTCACGTTGCCACGGCATTACCACCGGCACCTGTCGGCATTCCAAAATGGGGCTTACATTTCATTTCCATTGCCACGGGTGCGTTGTCATTGTGGCATTAGAATGCATTACAACGCATTAAAATCAAACCCAGAAATTTCTGACAGATGGTAGGAAGGTTGTTTTGATGTGCCAAGTATTCTTTTTTATTTAAATACATCCACCTGAAATTCATATCGAACAGACGGTGTCTGCAATGCCACTGGCAACAGATCGCCACATAAAACCCACCCTATGAGGGAAGTCTGTTGGCAATCTTGCGTAGAGTGTGGGCGGGATAAATATTTCGAGTCCTAACTACCGTGAGTCCATAACCCTGCCGATGATCGCCAGAACCAAGTTCCTTGCGAGAATTGGCCATCGAAGATGCAACATTCATCCGGAGAAATTCGACAACATGGATGATACAGGGAAGGGCTTGACGACGTCGCTGTTAAAATTCCTAAAGCTATAGTATGGCCCACTGTTGACATCATGTGAAGATCTTCCCGCACCCGCTGCGGCATCCATGTTGTTATTCTCCCTCGTCATGCCAATGTGAATTTCTTTCAGCCATTATGTTTTAACTTTCGTCATTGCTTCTGTCATCAATGGGATTTAGTACAAGTTACAACTCATCCAAGATGATGCAATATGGTAAGTATGCCGAAATTTAAATTTATTGACTAGTCCTGACAAGTCCGGTGGTCCAAAAATTCTCATGTACCCCATTGAATTCTGGAACCTTACAGCTGGCTGGGCACATCATGTACATAGGTGTTTGTGAGTACGAGATATGTCCAGGTCATTTAAATCAAAGCCAATTAATGACAGCTCGCAAGGAATCGCAGAATCAAAACTTACGCATCGGAAACGGCCAGACAAGAACCCCGTAAGCACATGAGTGAGAGATTTACACTGAACAGCCCTTGAATCAACGATTGAGTCTGTGTCATCCAATGCTGCCGCGCACTGTTTTAAATGATTTAAAAGCTCAAATCCCTGTTCTCCGTCGACGAGAGCATTCCATCAAGCATATCTGCCATGTGGGGTCATAGGGAATCCCGCTCTGAACAGAGGCCACTTGATAAGATGGAAGGCCCCTCGACAACCTGTTCATATCCACTCACTGGATTTATTTAGTGTAAGTATCCCGTCCTGCCCCATTCCCACAATGATTCACTGTCATTAAGTGTCGCAATAAAAAAGAGTCTACCATGCCGGTAAGTCATGTGGATAGATCCAGGATACAGACCACTCACACACAATGTCCCATCTCCGCACCCTGCACATTGCCTATCATGTTTGCAAAAAAAAGGACAGTTCCCATTAGCAGACATTGATGCCGTCAAAGCAACAACAGCAGCAAGGACAAAGGAGAGACGCATTGTTTCGAGGATGTGGTATGAGATCAAATATGATGGTAGGAAATCACCTTGTTTTAAAGTGTCGAGATTCTTCTTCATTTAAAATATAGTGAGAAATTATCCACCTGAAATTCGTATCGAACAGATGGTGTCTGCCATGCCAGCAGATCGCCACATAAAACTCACCCTGTTGGCAATCTTGCGTAGAGTGAGATATCACCTTTCAAATCGAGGTCAATTAATACTGGTCGGTAGGCTTGGAATTTTAATGGTGCCAGGTCATGCAGCCTGCCGGAATGTTCCAGCACCACGACTCCAGCTGAGCGACTGCGCCAAACCTGTTCCTTCCTTTGTTCGATTTTCAGTCCTCCAAACTGTTGAGTTCGTCGTACTTCGCACCTCCTCACTCGCTCCTTTAGATTTTCGAATCCCGCCCACCACTCCCCAATAATAGTATCTGTTAGTTTTTTTTTATTATGCCACACACCATAGTTCGCAGTGTTTTCATGTTGCAGATCCTCTCATTGCACAAATCATCAATTAGATGCTTACAACTCATAGTCCTTGATGTGTTCGAATTTCGTGAGCAGGTATCCCGCCCTCCCAGCGGCTCCACCTGCTCGTGTACCACCCCGAGCTAACGCTCAGCCCAGCCCAACCTTTTTTAGAATGTGTTAGCGACCTGGATAGATGTAGACGAAGCTGGATTAGAGGAAGAATGAGTGAATTGATTATGTAATTTATGCGTACAACTACGATAGTCATCTCATTCGGACACTACAGCTCACAAAGGAATTTTCATAGGAGTCTTGGTCGAATGGATTGGTGCAAGGACCACGTCAAAGGCTCAAATGCACAGTTCGAGGCATATTGGACGTTTTTTTAACCTACAAGTACGATTCTGTAAAATTACTCTCACAGAGCTACAGTGACAAGCTGGCCCTTGTTAAAATAGCCAAGTCAAGTGCCAAGTTGATCCCCCGTTCTGTTACGCCACCTGTTGCTAGCCCGTCAATTTCTGGTACTGTCATGCCACCTGTTGCTGGCCTGTCGAATGATCGCACTGTGGATGCAAGGAGCGAGGTAGCAGATGTAATGATGCTACTTCAGTCTGTCTCAACGTCCGCTGGTTGATTTCCATGGCTTTCCGTTTCTTTGCACATCAAGCTCTCACATGATACCTACCACGCTCGTTGTTTTGTCACATAGTCTGTCGTCATGCATATCCCATGTAAAAAATCGCAATTGCTTTGTTATCGATCCTTGTATACATGCATGCATGCCATATTCGGTGAAATTCGTTACAGTTTGTTACAGACATTGGTTGGAAATACAGGCGCATACAGGTAAGTACTGTTTTGGCTTGTATAGGCCATTGACTGGGGATAAATGTTTGACACAAGCAGCTAAGTAGGAAATTCTGGCCTATCGTTTTGTAGGTAGCTGTGTCTTGAAATAAGTATGTGGTCACAGGGAATCCCGCCCTTTCAACACCGAACAGAGGCCACTTGATAAGATGGAAGGCCGCTCGACAACCTGTTCATTTCCGCTCACTATATCGAGCATCCCATTATGTTGTACTGCATATAAAAATATCTACCATGCCAGTAAGTCATGAGGATAGATCCAGGATACAAACCACTCACACACTCTGTATCAGGATTGCACTTTTTGCAATGCTTAGTATGTCTGCAAAGATAAGGACAGTGATCTTCAGCCCCATTGGCAGACATTGATGCTGTCAAAGCAACAACAGCGGCGAGGACAAAGGAGAGACGCATTTTTTTGAGGATGTGGTATGAGATCAAATATGATGGTAGAAAATCACCTTGTTTTAAAGTGTCGAGATTCTTCTTCATTTAAATATAGTGAGAAATTATCCACCTGAAATTCATAGCAAACAGATGGTGTCTGCCATACCAGCAGATCGCCACATAAAATCCACCCTGATGGCAATCTTGCGTAGAGTGAGATATCACCTTGCAAATCGAGGTCAATTAGTAACGTCTCACAGGGACTGGTCGGATTTTTGTTTAGGCAGGAAGAATGAGTGATAATTTACATGTACGTACATGTACAATAGTCACTGCTGTTGGGTAAACTCGTAACCAGTCTGACTATGCGTCAATTTGAGATAGTGAGACACCACTTGTTCATCTGTGGTAGTATACGCCAGGCTGGTCACGAGCCTAGTCGTTGGGCCCTGTTCAACCTGTGAGTCTTCCCTCGCCGCGCACAACATGCCTCTAATGACCAGGCACGCCATGCTGTGAAGTCCGGAGCTCGCGTTCTCACCACAGTGTGCAGTGAGCCGATCCCCAACGAGGTGATTCATTTCGTACCACACGGCAATATAATCCTCTAGGTTTTGCAGTGATAGTTTCGGCGAAATGAAGGTTCTATTAGGGACACTCAAAGTTCGGGGCGCACATTTCGCCCACGCCCACCACCCACGCCTATGACCCCTTCACACAAAACACACCCTACCTAAAACGTAGTTTGCACATTACCTAATATCGACCTTGCAAAAAATAATCACTTAATACTTTACACTTTCATGTTCTCCCCTCTTCGTTCATACCTCAGTCGTTGTCTTCAACCTCTGAGGTATGTGCGTTGTCTTCTGTCTTGCCCACTTTCTCTTACTTTGTATTATACGCAGCATGTTCTATTATAGGTACTTAGAATGATTATAGTCGTTGTCTTCAACCTCTGAGCATGTTCTATTATATAGTGTTGCGGAAGTCCGGTTTGGTCCGGTTCAGCAACAAATTTTGCGAACGCTGAACCGGACCTCACATCCGGTTCAATCGTTTTGCTGAACGCTGAACCAGACCTCACGTCCGGTTCACGTCTGGTTCAGCGTTCGAACATCGAACGCATTGTAAATATACTCGATTGTACTATAGCTAGTAGTAAGGAGTACTGGTACACTACTGTGAAGCAGACTCAGAGGGGGTGATGCCGTCGATATCTGTCTCATGATCCATGTCAGTAGCTGCATCCGTAGTTACCCTGTTATCCTGGTCTCCTTCACAGTCACTTTCCCCCTCAGAGCCCTCACTTGTGACCACTGACCTGCTAGCCTTGCGTTTGCGCAAGACAGCGTTGTTGGGGTCAACAAGCTTGGGTGCAGGGCGTGGGATACGAGTCGAGCGACGTGCCTGAGCAGGAAGCACAGGCAGTGGAGTATCGTCGTCGGGATCGTTGTACCATCGGATTTGACTGGCGTCGAGGAGAGTTCCATCTGCACCCAGACCACACTGGTCAGCCATGTTGTGAGGGGGAAAGCTTGAAGAGAGTTGAGCTTACCTTGAATTTGATCCATTTTAACTTCCATCAAGTTCATGAGTGCCGAACAATTCATGTAGCTACCCTAGAAAAAAAACGACCCGTTAACAAATACATTAGCACTAAACCAAATTAACCAAAGTCTCCATACCTTATCAGGTTCTTCCTTTGTAATGTTTGGGTTAGTGGTAGGCAAACAAACCTTCACGGACCTTGCCAGTGTGGCATGGTCCTTGTGAATCGGATTCCAAGTGAAAAAGTCGCAAGTAATCATGTCATGTTCAGTGTATTGCGTGTGTGGGTGATGTCATCTCATATGTGTGAGTAGCCTAAAATGGAAGCAGTTCAAAAAGGTTTGGACGCGTTCAAGGAATGCTGAACGCTGGACTGGACCATCGGTCCAGTTCAGCCTATACTCTAAACATTGAACTGGACCGTGGTCCAGTCCACGAAAGGTCCGGTTCGAACCGCGGTTCAGAACTGAACCTCCGCATCACTACTATTATAGAACTTAACACCTTCAAGATCCCTGCATGGCGGGCAATGTCCTCTAGTGACCCACCATTTCCATAATGTCCCATCTGAAAGAGCGTGACAGCAAGCTGAGTCTGGATGGGTGTTTGAGGATTGCGTGAATTATTATAGAATGCAGGATGGTCTTCGATTAAATCGAGCAACACCTCAAAAACCACAGGGGAAATTCGAAGCATGTTGGTAAAACGGTCATGGTCAGATGGACTTTTGACATATTCCCAAGCAAGGTGTAAACTACCAGCTTTTGCGATGGGGGATTGTTCTTGTAGGTAGCAAGTTTGCCGGATGGTGAGAATGCAAGATATGTCACAGTGTAGCTGCTGTGCTGCTTCTTCTACAGTCTCTGCAGGGTGAAATAGGATACAAAGGATCATAAGTATGAGGTATGAGTGTAGGTATTGCTCATGCAATGTGTGACGAGCCATCTGTGATATGTTTATCGTACAGGCCTTCAATGACTTCACGCTGCGTTAGCATTGTATTATATAATACGGATATGTACAAAACGGGATGGTGTTGCAACGCTGGGGGGTCATAGGCGTGGGCGGTGGGCGTGGGCGAAATGTGCGCCCCGAACTTTGAGCGTCCCTATTTTACGAACACTGCCACGTAGAGATACGCTGAAAAAGGCAAATTTGGCCTCGCCGATTGTCCAAGCCAAATATGTCACAACAACCATTGGACTAATGGACTTTCAAACGACGACTCGGGACGGTATTTACTGCTCCTTTGACCCGATTAATATTGTTATTCAAATCTCCAGATCCGTGTCAAGTTGCTATTGAAGTCGTTTTGGACTTGTCTTCCTAGGGAATTACTTTATGAACGGACGATGAAGGCTTTTGCTACCGTACATATCGCGGACCGAATGATTCTTCTCTGAGAGGCATTCCAGTCCACCACAGGCAAATGTCTATATACTTTCAAAGACTCGGAAGCACGCTGCCAGATCTAAGTTCGCTGTACAATGCGTCAGGACCATCCTCGACACCAAGCATCCTTGCACTTCAGAAGGGATGTAGTTGTCGGTGAAAGTCAGGGACTTGGCCAGTCTAGATCTATCAATATTCCACGTAAGGCCGAAGCTTGTATCAAACAACCCTAGCGTGGTGATGAGTCCCCGTATCGGTTTAGGTATCACTGCCCATGTCAGTTGTGCTTCCTCACAGCCCAGCGGCGAGCTAGTTGTTATTTAGCACTGCAGCTTGTATCCCCTGACCATAATCTGCATGTAAGTTGTTAACATGGCACTCAACTTTAAGAAAGCGATCACGATAATATGTCCTACAGATTCCCTAAATAATTTCTCTATATATTGCCCAAAAATATATCCATGCTGCAGTCTAGAGATGCAGATACTATCCCCATACAACGGCAGACGAACCCAAATATCAAAAGAAAGTACTTGACAAAGGACAGCGCCCTATCGCAGCACCGAGTCTAATGTCAATGCGATGTGCATGATGCTCAAATCAAAATGATGCGCGTTCCAAGCTCTGCCACAGGATACTGAAAATTTGGACCTGGGCTATTCATGAACATGAGGGATCGCGGAATCTTCAAATGATGCGCTAGGGAGGCCAGATTTTTTGGATCGAATTGACCCTCAATAAACATCTGCCGGAGGTCAGATGTTAAATGCTTAGCAAGATCATTGTTTTCGCACCAGATCAACAGTGATTTCAGGGAATGCTTCGTCCAAAACTAAAAAAATACTGTCAGGATCACGGATAGAAATGTAGTAATATGTACTTTCTTTTCGCATTGGCCTCCATCTCCGAAGGTATGTCACCACTATGAAAGTGCACTATTTTCAAATGTGATGTTTCTTCGTTATGTCGGACGTAAAGAATCATACTGAACAAACTGTTGATCTTCAGGAAACAATTTTAGTAATCTTCATCCTCTATTTTGGCGCGCGTACCTCATCGGTTTTAACAAGCAAACAAACCTCCTGCCTGCGCAGGCTTCTCATACGCCGGATCAGGCTGTCACCCCACCCTCTGGTAAGCTGCAGTCCGTGTAGCCAGGGAAGCTGGTCATATCCCCAGTATACCCATCGCAGTATAGTTACCTTATTTTGCGACATAAAGAACAAGATGAGAAGGATGACGAGGTACAGAGCAAACCATCTAAAACAGCGATTTAGCGAAATATAATATTGCAACAAGATGTAGGTGCCTTACCCTGCTATGACAGGATCGATGGCCACGTTTCCTGCCGCTACAGTTACAGTGACACTGATAGCGCCAGCAACGACAAACAGTGAACATTGGGATGCACGCGGAAGTCGAGGTCGTGAGAAACGGAGGAGTATGAGAGAGATTGGAAAGAGCGCCATAACGGCCAACCACACCATCGTAAACCTCTTAAAATATCAGAATCTCTTGATACTGCTGAATCTGAGAACATACATCTGGGATACCACAGTTAGGTTTGCGCCCGTGCTTGCATATATTAATGCGCTGAATGCAATGAACGAGATAATTGCGACATAAGGGGCGCCTGTCGCTGGCACTGTAGCAAGGAATACGCCAGGAAGGACGAGATCACATGACAGCTTAACAAGGAGCTCGCAGGCACTCAGAATTCCTAAAATACGACATGAGTGTATATCACGACGCGTAATTCTTGTTCACGAACCGGTAAGCACACCCGCACAAAGTACAACAACGGCGTCAACTACGACCATTATTCGTAACCACCGTCCTGCAACCTGGTCATTCACTTCAGCGTCGTGCATAGGTAGTCATTTTGAAAACCACAAGTCAAGTGTACACACCTTTTGTGCCAACAAACTGAGGATATTGTTGCCACTTTGAATCACATCAAGAGGTAATAATGCCATAACAAGGAGCATCATCCCGCTGGTGAGGACAAGTACAGATAAATGCAGATTGCGCAGAACCTTGGGATAACGGTTCTGCTTCATTTTTGACGTATATGAAGGTGCGCCTAAGTTGTATTATATTGCACTGTAATTGCAAATCGAAACACTCACATTCAAATCCAGTCAATCCTAGCATCCCTAGACAGACGCCATTGAATACCTGTCGGGCTATAGCTGCTGGAGATAATCCAACGTGCCCCAACGACCAATTGGAACTGAGCTGAGCCATCCCGCCTCGTCCCCAAGCAATGACAGAAGCCACAGCAAGCATGATCATTACCACAGCCTTGTTCCCATATATGATCAAAATTAGGTTAGACAGTAGAAATCATCAGAACTCACGTGCATCGCCAGTACACCAGTTGCTACACGAGCACTTTCTCTCAAGCCCCAAAGGCTGACTACAGTAAACAGCACGAAAACAAGGACAGCACCAACATAGATCGGAAAGGGTAGCAATACTTCGCCTGCAAGATATGATGTCGCAGTTGCAGCCGAAACTACTGCTGTGGCTGAAAAATCCAGAAGAAGGAGCGCTGCCCCAAGAAGAGCTACGGATTTTGTCGATACATTGAGCCTGGTGATAATTTGTCACTGATATCTCTGTTCAGAAGCAGATACAACATACAGGTAGGTATAGGGAGCACCACTGATTGGAAGAGCAGAAGCCATTTCTTCCATGACAGGACGCCAAAGGAATAAAGTCAAAGCTGCCACAAATAGCGAAATAGGAGAACTGGAATTAGTTCAATGAGCGTGTCCAAATCTATGTTTATTGTGGAATTAGCTCACTAGACACCAGCGACAGCGACGACGCTTGGCAGAGTGTAGAATACACCGCCAAGTATGTCATTCGCTGCAAGGGCGCTGGCTGTAAACTGGCCAAGAACTTGCTGCTCTCGGAAAGAATTCATTTCAACTTCACCGTGACATATATCTTCGGGTGCAAGGGTGAGATGAGAGATAGAACCCCAGCCAGCAAACTCGAAGTCATTGGTGAGATTCAAGAATCTCGAGGGAACAGCCGTAAATTTTGGCTTTCCCTCTTGACGAGCACGCTGCCGCCGAAGAACAATGTCGAAGTGAGACTGGTTGAACAAGGGGGGTGTGGCAGCGAGCGAGCCAGAGTTTGTTCGAGAGACTTTATAGCCGTCAGCGAGGTCGGTGAAACGTCCGTTCAACCGTTGGTGCCACTCACAATTTGTACGATATGACGAGTTTTCACTAGAATGCAGAGTCACCATTGAAACGCATTCCTTTTCCTTTGCAGAGTTCCGCATCGCGTTTGCTATGATAAATCGGCGAGCTGGTCTCCTATTTCAAATTGGCCTGACTGGGGCAGTGAAGCAGCCAGAGAACTGACTCGGTGATACGAGTAACGCAGGTGCTCCAAGCTGAACAGACGCGCTCGTGAGCGATGATCGAACGCGACACGATAGAAAGGAGCTTCGGTCGTGGGGTGACCTTGAATTGTTCTTGGTCTCATATATACGGCAGGAAGCTTGAAGCTTGAAGCTCAAAAATAAAACTAGTACTGACTGCATTGATTGATTATGTAAACTTGAAACGCCCAATTAAGTTCACGGATAGGCCTTTACTCGCGTCGCGAGTTACCGCAGAGTAATATGACAAGTTGCCTCACTTCCCCGTGCCGAACTTTATGTTCGTAGGCCTATCTTCACGATATCTGGGTCCGAGGTTATGTGCGGGCCTATATTTCATCCTATGTGAGTTACCGAGTAACTCAAAGTCTTGAAGAATCCGCGAAAGTTGCCTCAGCAACAGGCACTCTCTAGCCCACAGCTATACAGATATGTGTCTGCACCGTATCACTTCCTATAGTTATATATATAGTTGAACGTTGAGGTTGCACATTGAACGTTCAGAACAAGTTTTGCACATGATCCTGTCACATGATGATCTCCTGGGAAGCGTAGCCATCTTGGGGAGCCTCCGGGGGCCTATACTACCTTTGACAGTAATTTTATGGGCAACCCTCAGCTTCCACATATGACCCTCAGCTTTGATGATATCCCCCTCGAATTATTGCCTATAATCTTTGATTCTGTAGTCAGAGCTCAACATCTTGCATTTCTGTGCTTGGTCAATAAGTCATTCTACGAATTTGCAATACAAAGGCTCTACCGGCGCGTTTACATCTACGCATGGCACACAAATGCCAAGTCAAAGGTGGTTCTATATTTCTCATGTCTCAATAGCCTGCAATCGCCGTCGTTCACATTTGGAATAGGTCGTTCTGCTGTTCCAGACACTTTCGAGTTGTCCCCGTCTTGCACATTACCTTTCACGTCTCGGTGAGTTCAGACTAGCCAATAACACCGACTAGCGCAGTAACTAACCCCCGTTACACAGAAATAAGAGCCTTTCCAAAGGCACTCCCTTCTTCGTCCTATAACGACCTCTTGGGTCTTTGCACGAGGGGAATACGGAATTGTGTCAACCTGACATCGTGTGCCTGGACTCGAGATGGTTCGCTGCAATCGGACATTCTCCTGGCTCTCCAGCAATGCCCCAAACTTAAAGAACTCGAAATCAATGGAAAGGATAGCGGATACTATGATCCTAACATACTTACACGATTCTCTAAACTGTCTAGAATATCACTCATAATGCCGAGTGCGCAAGTTATTGAAGTTCTTCCCTCCTGGATATCCATTACGGGTCCAACCCTTCGGAACCTTACTATGATCTGCCAGGTATGACAACGATCGGAGCGATTGAATAAATCTCTCTCACTCTCCTTTGTAGACATCGAGTCTAATCACCGATACCTTACTCGAATCGCTCGCTCCTAGCATGACTGACCTGGATCATTTGTCTATTATTGGATGTCCAAAGGTGACGCATAGAGGCATTGGTGAAATTGTATCAACCAATCGTAATGGCCTCGTGGGTATCGGACTCGAGAGGCTTTCCCCGGCGTTCGTAAGTTCCCAACCTTTCGCCATCACTACACGTCCGCTGACCGTATCGAACAGGATATGACCAGTTTCAACCGCATTTGCAAGGATTGCCATGCGTTTAGGCGTCTCAGATCAATAACTTTGGCGGTTCATAATGAGACACCCTTTCAGACATGGACGGATGATGTAACGGACCTGCTATCTACTGCGCCGTTACAAATTTTACAAATTTATGCCACGACGCCAACTGCCAAAGTGGTTATCCCGGACGATTTTTGGGAAACCATCGTCACGATGCATGGGTCACGCCTCAAGCGATTTTCTATTGACCGGATGACGATTAGTTTGGGTGCATTGCAGGACATATGTTCCCGATGCTCGGTTTTAGAGCAACTGTTTGTTGTCACCACGCGGCATAATTTGGTGCGTAGCTTGTGTTTATTGTAAGTGGAAATTTTTATTCACACCTGTTAGGATGAAGTGACACGCTGTTTTGCTGCCGCCCATAACCTCCGCGCGATTCATGTCAACTTTTATCGTGAAGCGAATGACACAGACGAGCGGTCCATGATGAATGACGCACTGCGCATCGTCCGACAATGTCCTACTACAGTGACGCAGATTGGATGTGATACCAGGGTCTGGCACGTGAGTTACTTTCTTATAAATCTATTGCTTCGCTCTTAACTCGAGCACAAGGTACGACGTGAGGTGCGGATGAACGACAAGGCTGAATTATACACCGTACCTACTCTCACTAGTTATGAGAATCCGGATATACCGGAACAATTTCTTGTCGCTCGAGGGGCGTAGATAAACTGCCTACATGTCACCCGATACACGAAAATGATGCTCATGATCTGCTTTTGAATTCAACATTGGTATCCAAACACGAAACTTGGTTGAACAAAGAGAACAAGTGAACATCAAAGTACATGGCATATTTACAATACCTCAGCGCAACCTGTGCGATGATATCCAGATCTTGAGCGTTAGGCTTTGTTTCTCATTCCACGCAGTCGTGGCCCTATAGCCCTCGAAGGAAGCGTCCAAGTGAAGTATGATCCTGTGAAAATATGTTGTTCGCGCTTGCGTGCCCGAACAACCATCCAGCCTTTAATGGTATCAAACACATCCTGAAAGAAATTCGCTAGGACGTAGTTGCATCCATATCAAATTCTAATACTTACCTGGATGAGGGCCTGAGAATGTGGCACAGTACCCCACAGAGATAAGTTAGTTAATGGATCGACAGCACGCAACTTTTCTTTAAGCTCAATTAACGCTGGCAGATTTCGTTTTTTGCGCAGTCTGTCGTCCGCGTATAAGAGGGCGTGTATGGCACACAGACGATCAAATTGTATGTCTTCCAATAGCACGGTCAAGCAAATGGCGATGTCTTTGGCTGTGACGATATTAGCAGAGAACAGTGATCCCAGAAGGCCAGCCTTGTTTACTCCTATCAGCATGAGAGCAGAGTGTCGACCAGAGCTGGAGCATATGTTCCTCCAGTCGCCGTTCTGAGAGTGACGTTTAGTACTCCCATTGTTTCTCAATCAATGGAGAAAGAGTCAACTCGTCTCCAGTGTACGCAAAACATTTCCATAGCACGCAGGCGCAAGGTTCCCTCGAAACTTTTGATCTGTGTTGGCGATTCCGTCATCAGCTTGATTAACATCGTTTGCGCTACCATCGAAACGAGTGGCGCTGACTGAACAGTCCGTACTCCATCGGTCAGCAGACTGCCGACAACGCAGACCAAGTCACGAATCCGGGGTTCTTCCATTTTGGCATCGACGATTTTTCCAAATCCTCCCGCGAAGATCCAGGATACGCCAGGTTGAGTGGCACAACTTTTCTCCACGTCTGCAGGACGTGTATGGTGCTGGTCGCTCGGAGGCAACATGCTTTGCTTAGGACTGTTAGTTTCGAGTGAGAACTTTTCATTTGTTTGTGCCTGATAACCTTTAGCAACCTTGTTCAAGGAAACATCGTCCGCGCCGTATGTGTGCGAAGTAGGATTGCAAAGTCTCGTATATAACATATGAAGGATCAGGATCATCGACGACAGCGAGAGTAGCGTCCATTGCAGTCGGTGCCAACTTAGTCCGTATCGCCTCCATCACCGTGACTTCCATAAAAATGACAGATCGGCATGAGATCAGCATGCGAAAATATGGTTTTGAACTGGTCATATGCAAATAGGACCAGGATGCAGGCTTCTGCCGTGGATGATATGGGTGGCTCGAACCATAGGAGCTGAGTTTGAATATTCAACGTTGATGCACCTTGGTCCTTGGACAGCATTCATTTTTGCTAGCGTGTTGGAGAATACATGAGCAAGCGTTGCGCTTGATAATTCGCCTTTGGTGCATTTTGTTATCGCAGAAGTGCGACGAAAAATTCAACAGGATCGCTCGGATCATGATATTGCTGCACAGGTTAAAGACATAGCTTTTATTAGTTACACATATGACGGACATCAGGACACTAGAGATCCTTTCAAAAATCTCACACCTGTTCCGGGTAAGCGTTCATAACCTTCAAGATATTGATAGCTTGTGCTTCACTGAAATGATTCACGAAAAGACTGTGCACCATTTGGTTGGAGAGATGATATCAGATATGTTGGGAGGCCATAGTATTTCGTAGAATGCTGGTACTGTGAGTCAATGATGGTCCATTCAAGTTGCACGTTGAAAGACACCGTGACAAGCCTATAGTTCCCACGGCTACCATATCGACTGCATCGGTTCTTAGGCGTAGCTGCTTTAAGTGCTTACCATCACTTCACCAAGCCAGGGTCGGCTCCTACTCGAGTCTCGGTTTTGCAAGCAAGGGAGAGTGTGACACGAATTCACTTGCAGGTGCAGTGCGTAATTTGTGCGACAAAGTTTGAACTTGTCGGTGACTGCATCCGCGAGGTGTTCCTATTCCTCCCTCACGTTGACCACTCCAATATTGCCACCGTTGGCGCCGGCGTTTGCGGTACAAGTGGTTTACACACCACCGCCACATCTTTCGTGTGTTCACTCACAGCCACTCTTGGCTGGCCAGCTTAGAGATGACACTGGAATACCAGTGCAGAATGTCAGACCCAATGATTCGGTGTCGCGCATCAATCAATGCTGTTTGGCCATTGGCTACCCAACAACATTCATTCATATCCATTACGGTATAAGGTTCATGGTATTTTACTAATTATGCTATATAGTGATCGATTTTCGCTGGTCAACTTTATCTAAGAGACTAAGACGCAATTCCAAGTTCCCATTCCCCTTTTCAAGATATCACTTGACTACACCTGCGTCTCTTACCATCTACCTCTTGTCTTCCTCATTTCTCGAGTATGCACCTCATTCGCTTCTTTATATGCATTGCTTCTTGTCTCTCTGTTGCTCGTGCTTTCAGTGTGACTGTCGGGACCCCCACTCAATGCGGCCCTCTTAGCATTTCATGGACTGGTAAGCGCATATTAAGCACATCTTATACGCTCCTACTGAATTTTATCGGGTTGGTCAGGTGGTCAAGCACCCTTTGAAATACTCTTAACTCCCGTTCGTCAGCACCATCGTCTCAAGCGCATCAATCGCACGCTAACCTTTGCGCTTTCCAGAACAACGGAATGTATCAGAATATACCTGTACCAGCATCGGCCTTCAGCAATGGAAAAGGCTCTTATTCAATACCGCAATTGTCGTTGTTGTCAGGAACATCGTTTCTACTTATCATGTCTGACGCCACTGGATTTGGTTCGGGTGGGACGACAAACGAATTAATTGTGCTGAACTCTGCTGCAAATAACATTTGCGGCGCTGGAAACCCTTCACCTCCTTACACATTTAATTTGTCTCCAAACCCGCTGACGCAATGCAGGTAAGCTTGGTTCATCTACTTTTTGTTGCACTGACCTACCGTCACTGCAGTCAATTTACCATTACGGCCAGCGGTGGTGCAGTCCCACCCATTACTATTGGGGTCAGATCATCGCGAATTATTTTGAAATGATCTACTTATCTTTCAACAGCTTCTTATTCCTGGCGGACAATCAGTCGTGTTCAATTCCGACAGCAATACTTTTCAATCGGTTTTGGATGTTATCGCAGGGACAAATGTCATGTATTTTGTCAACGACTCCTTGGGCAACCTAAGGTGGGGTCTCTCCATTCGAGCCCGTCTCAGGGTCGAGTGATTCCTCGTGCCTAAGCGCCAACCCATCGCCATCTACTGCAGGCATGTCGGCCACGGCCACGGCTTCACCAACATCTAGCCCAAGCAGCTCATCAAGTAATCCATCAAGTAATCCATCAAGTAATCCATCAAATAGTTCATCAAGTAGTTCATCAGGCAGCCATGTTGCTCTCATTGCGGGTGCAGCAGGCGGTGGTGCGGCAGTCCTTGTTGCATTGGTCATCTTCGGCATGTGCTTGCGGCGTAAACGGAAGGCACCTAGATCTTCGGATGCTCGGTCTTCTACAAAAAGTCATCTACATCGTTTGCAGCGTACAGATCTAAAGTACGAAGTCAGTCCTCACAGTGATGCTTTGCCACAATTCCCTTTCCTATACAAGACAAACTCCCTCAGCAACCATACCCGACCCGTTCATCCTAGCCTAGGAACCCAAGTCAGACATGGCCAATTTGTCTGCCAGCAATTTTACAGTTAGCGCCCCTCCCCCATCATTCAACCAGATACAACGTTTGCGCCAGAGCTCCAACACGGAGACTCCTATCTATGGGGATGCTCAAACGTCGACCATGTCATTCGCTAACAACCGCCAATCACCCCTGTCTACCGGAAACCTTGCAGTCGGCGACCCTCACACACCGTTCAATCAGACACTGCTTTCACGTCAGAGCTCAAACGCAAACTTTGCTGTGTATACAGACGCTCGGGGCTCCGCTATGCCGTCTGTTGACAGGCGAATGGCTACAATCGCAGAACTGCCATCACCATGGGAAACAAATCCTGTTAGCTACCTTGGTCCATTCATTCAGTCCGGATCCCAGCCGAGTCCTATTAATGCTTCTGTCGCCAATTTGACGGCTAGGGACCATCACGCACCCTTCAATCAGGCACAGCCTTCGTACATGAGCTCCAACACAGACTTTGCTGTTGACGGAGATGCTCGAATGTCAAACACAATGCCCGTCGAGCAGATGGCTGTGGGGGCTCGACCAGCATCACCATTACCACGAAAGACAGACCTTATCTATCTTACACCACCCGTTCAACCCGGATCTCAATTAATCTTCACCTCTACCAGCGACGTCGCAATTAAGAACCCTCTCACACCCTTCAATCATTCCTATCAGAGCCCTGGCACAGACAACGTAGATGTGCACGGAGCATCTGGAGGTCAGCCTATGGTATCTGCTAGTAGGCAAACAGCCCACCAACCTCCTACTCAGATCATTGTCCATACCGACGCTGATGATGTCATGTCAAACAACAATGGTGTAGTCGAACTTCCGCCGCAGTATTCAGAGCATAGGGGAGTGCGTGCCTTGTAATCGTCCTGACTACATCACTACATCTTCCTCGGAAATTAAGGTGATTTCTTAGAATTGATGATTATTTCTGCATGAAATCATGTTTTACGCCTTTATTCAAGTCTAGCCCACGTTTCATTGAATTACTTTGCATTCACAGTAGTTTACTTTGTACAACCAACAATCGAATTCACTGGTTTATAGTCAAACACAAAAGATGATTGCAAAACTTGCAGTTGAACTTGCTCGTCGGGAGAGCATTTAAATATTATCGCGCCACCTTTCAAGTGATGGCTCAAGCGCACTGGCGGCCAGTTCTCCTGATAAGATCAAGCATGATGCTGCCCAAACCGAAAATCGTTGTGCTATTCTCGTCACTAGAATTGTTCACAAAAAGACTCACCCTAGAAATGCGAGAGACACACCATTTTGTTGGAGAGATGCCATGAGGTATGTTGCGAGGCCATATTTCATAAACTGCTGGCACATGTTTTGACGGACACGGATCCGAGTCGGATTTCTAAATAAATAAGTCAAACCAGCCTCCAAGCTACTAAGTCAGGTTTTAATCAGGACAATATTTCTTAGAGCTCTTAGCTGAGCTTTGAAGATCATTGATACAGGTGGGAATTTCTGACATAGCGCCGCGGCTGTTGACTCAGAGGTGAGAAACTTGCCATAGTCCCGAGTCGTCGCTTAGGTATCTTGGCGACTCTATCGTTAGGCATAAGATACCAAGCGTTACAGATAGCAGTGCTTGGTGGGGGAAGAATACCACGGGTACTCGCTAAGCAATTCATCAGGTTGTGTGTCCTAATCTCCAAGTCATTTTCAAGGCGTCGCTGAGAGTTCTTGAAAGGCTCCAAAATTTTGGATGAAGCATGGACTGGTAGTGTATTGAATAGCATGATTTGGTGTGACAATAGACAGCGGGAGTAGTGTTGGAAAGACCATGAATATGGGCTGTATCGTAGCTTATATGTCTGGATTGTATCGGTGTGGATGTGGTGGATTGGCTGGTTGTGGGTTGAGCATCGTGGAAGGAGGAAGAATACAAAGTGACGAGGCGAATTGTCATAACTGGCAGTGGTAATGAGAATGAGACACCAGCGTCGCTTGGCTTGTGGTCCAGCTCGCACACAATGAACAGTGCAGTGGCGAGCCAGTGCTGTTATCAAAGGATATCAACCTACGCCACACAACATGGCACTACGCTGAGGTCCACTGCTACGCCACAGATTTGACCTTCAAGTTAGGAGTGAACCAAACGAACAAATACGGTTTGATTGAGGATGCATGAATTCTGAATGAGGATGTCGTTATTCTTTAGATGCTTCAAGAGAACATATCTGACTTGATGCCCAATAATAGGTCGCGAGCCAGGGACTTACATTCTCAAGACGACGGGGCCACAGGTTATCATGAGCTTTCAAAGTTATTCTGGAGCCTTAATTAATATGTAACAGTCAAGCCCCCAAGTTACAACAATGAAGTCGTGACTCAGGTGGGGGGAGAGAGCTGGATGAACACAATGTGCTGTCGACCTTTGAGTTGACGCCAGGATGCAGATGGTCTGGCGATAATACCCCGAAAAACATGGATAGTAAGTCGGGAATCACTGTGGAGGAATTATCAAAACAGTGCACATTCAATCAAGTGAGAATAACATATAGCAACTTGAACTGTAAAGACCAACTCAAGATCTATCGAGTCAATATTAATACAGACGAGTACTTTCAACCCTGGAACGCGACACCTGTCTTCTTCGCTTCTGCGATACCGCCTCCTGCGAAGCCAGTGCCTGACATTATTATGAATCAGCATGTGGTAAATCAAAACGTAGTCCTTTTTCTCCACAAGGACCTCCGCAACCCAAAACAAGTTGGACAAACACACACCTTCTCTCTTTAGTTCGATCATATCTTTATCATCAAGTGTGTGATCACAAACAATGCACTGCTTCGTCGCCCGCACCAGCTTATCAACACATACTTTGCATACAACATGGGAACATGGTTTCATGACTACAAATGGTCAAACCCTGCAAACAATGTCAGAGATATGGACTTACGGAACATCATCCTATTATTGTGAAGATTGCTTTTGCATGCCGGACAAATCGGAACCCCATCATCCTCTAGCTTGGATTTTCCCTTTTCACTCTCCACGGGAGCAGAATCTGATGATTGTGACGCCGACGCAGCAGGTAGCAATGTAAACGCCACAGGCACCAATGACTTTAGGCTGAAAACGTCGTGAGAAATCGTTTACAATGACAAATGATGTATCCAACGTTATTGGGTGGGGTGGATTACCTCCCCGGCAGGTTGTCTGAACCTTAACATCCTTGAGAGAGCTCGGCAAACCGCTTGAGGTGTATGTGGGAGTTAGCGAAGGCAACCAAAAGTCCGGTAGTTTGTGTCGTAATGATTCCGCCTGCTCTCGTTCGATCTGTCTTAGGGCTGCCTCTTCAGCTTCACGGGTAAGAGTTTCAACTGTTGAAGAATCGAAATCAAGCTTCCGCTTCGATGATCGGGCTGGGGACGATTGAGCGCACTAGGAAAAGAGAATAGAAGATATACGTACAACCTTTCGCACCGACGCCAGATGCAGATGCAACAGACGGCAGGTTCGCAGACAATCCCAGTTGACCCTTCTCGAAATCACGAAGTACACGTTCCCTGGCTGCCTCTCTAGCTCTCTCTTTCTCCTCTTCAGTTTCTTTCTTCAACTGCTCAAGGCGTTCCTTCTGCCGCTTAATATCCTTTTTCTGTGTTACTGAGTACTCAATTTGTATGAAACTTGTACGTGTCATTGCGAACTTACATAGGTCGGTATACGCACACTCCTTGCAGAATAAGTGCCCCTGATCGCATGCTATTGGTTCTCTCGCTCGTTGCAAGCATAGAGAACATGCATCAAAATTTCTCATTGATTCATTACCTAGGCGTTGCTGTTGCAGTACTCAGTGAAAATCTTTGCATCATCCAGCTGAGCAGACGTACCCGTTTCGTACCATACTCCGCCTTCTGTCTCTCAGCATAAGAGAATACCGAAGATGCTGTATTATTTTTACTGTGCTTCGTCATGGCAAGGTGTAGCGACAAAAGGTGTCTCTGGTTAAGTGTCAACTTCAGTGATAGTAGTAAATTCTTGGCACTTATTAGTCACTAGTAACTACTACACACTGCAATTGCGGACAAGCAAACTGAGTCCACAAATTGAGTAGTCGCATTCAACCTGCTTTTGCACCTATATACGACAACTTCTGGGACTCTTCACAATATCTCATTCATGAATGTATTTTCTGCACAATCACACAGGACACAGCTGATTCTGGCAGCTGTATCTGCATCTTTACTGACATCAGGTCTATTTACCGCATATAATGCCTACAGTCGACGCCAACGGAGACGCGACCTCGATCGAGACATCCGTAGGTCAATAGCAAACCACGATGAAGGTTCCAAAGAGCATTTGGGACCAAAGGACAATAAGTTATCAGATGAACAAATTATTCGCATTGGTGATGGATATGACGAAGAGCTGATTAGAGAGCAGCTCGCGCGGTGCTATGCATTTTTCGGGGATGAGGGCATGGCACGCGTTCGGGGAAAATCTGTTGTTGTCGTTGGCTGCGGTGGCGTTGGTAGCTGGGTGGCAGTCATGTTGGTGAGGTCGTACGTGGTTATTATTACCATTATCATCCGTGTTGTTGTGATTCACCAATTACCCAGAGGCGTGTCAAAGATCCGACTGGTGGACTTCGACTATGTGACGCTTTCTTCCTTGAACAGACACGCCACGGCTGTGCTCGCGGATGTAGGAATGCCGAAGGTGGTATGCATTGAGCGGACTCTCAAGCAGATCAGCACGTGGGTGGAGGTGGACAGCCGCGTAGAGATCTGGAGGAAAGAAGACGGGGGACGTTTGCTGGAGGGAGCAGACTGGGTCATCGGTATGTCGATGCGCTCCTTGCTCTCGTTCGTCTTCCATTCAGTTTGTTGTAAAAAGATGCAATAGACAACATCACCACAAAAGTCGACTTGCTGAAGTATTGCCATGAGCACCATATCAAAGTTTGTCCTAGTCACCATATCCAATTGTATCCAACTCATGCTTCTGTAGGTGTTCTCGTCTATGGGAGCTAGTGCAAAGACAGATCCTACGAGAGTCCAGATTAGTGACATCTCATACACCATGTACGACCCTCTTGCACGCTCCGTTCGACGTAAGTTACGGCTGCAGGGTGTATCCTCAGGGATTCCCGTCGTTTATTCCACAGAAGTCCCTGGAGATGTGAAGTTACTCCCCCTTCCCGAGGAAGAATTCCAAAAAGGTGACGTCAAAGAACTTGGAGTATTCGATGATTTCAGGGTGCGAATATTACCAGTCCTCGGTATGTCTTGATTCTTTGCAAACTGGCGTCCTGATATCTTACTGTTCTTCTGCGAGGCAGGTTCCTTGCCATCTCTTTTCGGCTTGCACATTGCAACCTACATCCTCTGTGAGATGGCCGGAAAACCGATTTTGAACCCTTTGCCCATAAAGAATCGCAAGAAGCTTTATGAGCGTCTCCTTCGTGATCTCTTGCATCGTGAATCGAAGTTCATTGGGGAACCGATCAAGTAAGTTCACACGTCACATCATTTGACCCGTCTTACACTTTTTGCAGTAAATTACCTATCGACGAAGATGACGTCGCGCTGATATTCGAGGACCTGCATCTTGGTCGTTCTGTCGTGCCTCCTCACGCTGTCCCTGCACACCCAACACTTCTGCGGTGGGATCCGGCGAAGCCACTCACCCTAGAGAACTGTGTGGTCTTTGAATCTACCCAGGCAGAGAAGCACGTTAGAGAATGCTTGACGCCGCGGACTAAGGAAGCGCATCCAAGAAAAACTCCGAGAGCTGTCTGGGGAGACGAAGTGCAGGCTGTTGTAGAACGTCGTGTAGAAGAGGTGGCAAAATACAGAACGTGGGTTGGGCTATAACGAGAATCTTGGCCAGCACGCACGTCCATCTGAAAGAACAGATATAGAGTTTAACAATTATATCAGGAAACTTCGGTTTCTGATAGAAATCAAATTACGGCGCATAGATAATCAATAGGTTATACTGTAACGGTACAATCTTCTTTTACTTCACGGGTCATCTTACACCACTTCTCCGTTATGCTATTCCTATCTCGTTCTTTGGCCTAAAGCCCTATGTAACGTAGATGAGGGTACGTTTTTGAGAGTTGACTATACAGAGAGTTATGAAAGCGCCGACAAGTAGACCTGTAACGATACAGGTTGCGGTCTCGGCCAGCGAATGTGGTCGGCGCTTTGGGTGTCGCTGAGGTTCTCCATGAGGAGATTCTGATTTTGATGTAGGCTGAGTCTGCTCTGTGGCGGACTGCTGTTGTTGATGAACAACAATCGTAGGGGCAAAAATGAGGGTGGGTGTCTTCGGCCGATTGCTATCTGGGCTCTCAGAATGGGTTGCGGCTATATCAGCCAAAGCAGCCTGCGAAAAAGATGCAGCTGGTGGGGCGGTAGCTGTTGGGAGCGCTAAGATAAGAGTATCTTCGTCCGCCGACCATTCGAGGACAGATGCTGGGGGTGAGGGGGGCATAACAACGGATCCTTCGACCTTGGATTCTATCATGTCGTCTGTGGAATCAATTGATGATGCAGTTTCGGTCTCTTCATGATCCTGTACAACACGTTCAAGGTTGGAGAATGCCCCTTGCAATCTCCGAGCCTCTTTGACCGCCATCTCCTTCTGCTTCTCTCGAACTTCCTCGCCGACAGATTGGACGAGGGAGCGAATGACATCCCACATCTCGACGTGGTCTCGTGACCACCACTGAGCTGGCCATTGCGCGATTATGAAGGCAAGGCTGCAGACTGTCTCAGTTGCTTCAGTGAAATCGTCGACGACAACATCGTGGAACCAGGGACGTAGAAATGACATTGCCAAGCGAACAGAGCTTCCAGTTGCATCGCAAAGACGATGCTCAGTGGGAAGGTGCAAGAACCTGATCTGACATATCTTGGCAGAACTGGCGGAAACTAGGCTTGCGATCCATGGTATCCCATGATAGGAAATCAAACTGCGATGAAGATGACCGCTTATTGACATTGGTATCTTGACGGAGGAAGTATGACGGGAGTTTATCGATGATGCTTAGTAGGGGGACTGATGCTAGAACAGCTGAACTCGGGATAGATCCATGAACAAGGACATCTTGCGACTCCAATGCGAATCTGTACCACTTCCAGTAGTCTAGATGCCTTCTACGTCACAAAATCAGCTTATCTGAGCAGCCAGGAGATCGATTAAATACACTAACTCGTTAGGTGTGCCTTTTCTTAGTAGCTCCAGGGCAGTCGCAGCTCGACCAGCGAGCTGACGTGCATCAATAACGGCAATTTCAATGTCGTGCTTGAGACCGACCCGGTACCTGCGGGTAGCCTCCCAAATAGCCCAGGCAAAGCTGAACGTAGTCGAGATGTAAGGGGACATGTGTCTCTGCGTCCAGTCCATGTGCTGGGCAACATCTGCATAACTGCTCGTTGAAGCTACTGACTTGCCTGTAAATGGCTGTCGAAGCCGCTCTGCGGCCTCTCTATATTGCTCGTTGTACTTCTGGCCTACAAAGTAGGGCTCTGTAGTATCAAAGAATGGGGAGCGTTGCTTCGGAGTATATACACGAAACAAGAAGGGGTTGTCCTGGATAAGGCGATCAAAGGTATGATCAGAGCCATACCCGTATTGAGGTAGTGGACCAGCTGAACTTGGGCTCTGAGGTGAGGATGGAACGATGGTCATCGTATGTAACGTCGAGGAGCTAAAGGATATAGATCAGTAATTTTGGCTGAAGGAGATGCTTTTCTAGAAATTAGAGTCGTCCTCGTGTTATCCAGCCCTATCGATCCGGGTCATGGACATGAAGACAAACACATGGACTCAACGAGGCTTTTAATAACATGTACAGATCTGAAATGGAAAGCAAAAGCCCCGCATATCAGCTAGAGTCAGACAGCTGCCACTTGACGAGCTTTCCGCTTACCAGAGTGACATCTGTGCATGAGTCGATGTTCGTCGATGCTTTTGACCGTGACTGCAGGCGGACTTGGGGCGGACAGTAGTTGTATAATTCCTACGTTGTGTCGATGTCTGAATGCAGATACCTTAAAACTCACAGACATATGTTGAATGACTCGGAGCTGTTGTATTCTGTCTGACATCGTAAGTCGAGTACGAGGCTGCTCGGTCGTGACCGAACCCAAACCGAACCCGCCATTAATTGAGGGTGCCGCTGAGCTTTAATTCCGAGTCCTAAAGCGGGTGCCACCAGCCAGGTGACCGAGAGCATGCCATCTACAACGTTTTCGCCGAAGAACCCGACGAGCCTCGAGGATTCATCGTTTATTTGCACAGCACCGATCAAAGATGCCTTGCAGCATGGAAGCTGCGCAATCATTCAATGCGATACCACCTGCAGGCTGCATCTCGGAGAAGACTCAGAGATTGATGCCAGAAATACGTCACAGTCACCGGTATCTCAGTTTCCAAGCTGTGATATGAGCTTGTGGGGAAACTTACCCGGCACAGACGGCCAAATGTATTTCTCTGTCGAATTGTTACGGTGTGCCCGACAACATTCTTAATAACGGTGATAGTGTATGTCCATCATCCTTGACAACCTCTTAGTATGCACTCATCCAAAGGTAAGTCTTCAACGTCACTAGTGCTAATAGGAACAATCATATCAGAATTCCACAGATGGGCCCTCAGCAGGCAATCATTTATCTCGATAACCTCCTCATCTTGGCAGTTCTCTTCGATGCTGAAAATGTGATCACAATTGCCATTGGCATGTCGGTAGCCCTACACCTAGTAATGGAGGGAATTTGCAATTGGGCAATATTAATCTCCATGGCTAACGTCGGTGGCATTTATGCGGTAATCATCCACCCTTGTCTGAACGCAAATCCTTTCCGCAGCTCCCCATTGGTGACGGATCGCGAGTTAATCACTAACAATAATAATTGGTCGGACTATTTCATCTCGGCGGCCAAGCAACATTTTTCTCAAACCTCGATGAAAGGAGTCAGCAAAAGCAAACTACTAACGGGGATGTACTTTTGGGATCATTCTATTACCGTTTGTCCTTAGAAGAGCGGGGTGGCCAGGTAGTTTTATCACAGAGTGCTTGGCAGCATCAGAAATTACAGCTTTTCACCGAGGTCGATGCAGTGTTGATATAGATGCCAGAAACCCGAGTGAGACTGTTAGCTTTTCTCTTAGACTCTCCGTGAACTGCGTTATGCGACGATAATCCACCTCCCCTATAGCGGACAGTTATTTTCGTTACAATGCCCATGCTGTTTCAACGCATCCATAGTACGATAAACAACCACGAATGTCTCCAGAAAAAGGGACGTCGTCAAAATAGAAGGTGATCCGGAGGGGAGGCGTATTGGAGGCAAGATATCATAACGAATGGCAGAAACACGAAAGGCGGCTAGAGTATATCTTTAATCTGAAGTAGTTTTGAACGAATTCTACGGATGAACTTTAGATAGTTTGCCAAGTCTGCCGATATCCTCAATAACGATTAATGAGCAAACACTCATTAAGTGCTGGAAGAACTTGAGAAGTACGCTGCGAAGCGTGCATTAATCCTCAGCAGTTCATTCCACCACAGGCTGCAGCACTCAACCGAGTTACCTCAGCAGGCTACATCAATTATCAGTATCTCGTAGATTATAAGCGTGGTTATCTGATCTCATCATGATGAAAAACAGCGACAATCAACTCAGATATGAATCTTCTTTCAAAGGGGAAAACCAATGTTGGGTGGCGTTGGCCTTGTACCGCTGAGGCGTGACCGTTACACCAATGAAAAAATCCGGTTTTCCCTGTGTTAAAATCAGCTCAATGCGCTACCTCCAGAAGAATGCCGCCAAACAAGAATGTGAGAACTCACCGTCCACATCCGCCCATCACTTACTATCGTCTTTAAATTCACGCACGCCTGCATCATGTATCTCACGTCATTCCTTGCCAAGGTCGCACGTGGGCCGTGGCTTGCGTGGGCATCACCAACATCGGTCAACGTGTGCAGCTCTTTCAAACTTGATACTGCTGTAGTGAAGGCTTGCTGGAATGACTTTTGTGATGATGCATCTCGGCCATTAGGGAAAAAAAAACGTACGATGTCTTTAATTGGCAGTGGTATCTCCAGCATTTCTAGATCTTTGCACCTCGAGCTTAGCTTTCGAACCATGTCAATAGAAACTGCACAGTCCATGAGAGCAAGACGCTTCAAAGGCATTGTGACAGCGCTGGGCGGAGCAATGAGATCAATGACAGAGCTCCATAAAGGGAGCTGACGGTCCGCAAACTTGAGTACAAGTGTAGACAGGGAGGTCATTGAAAAAAAGAGTGATGTAATTGTCACAGCCGTTGCATCTGATGTCGGGCGCACATCAATGGCGAGATGTCGCAGGGTGGGTAAGGTGATAGTAGGCGGGCAAAAAAGGCTTTGTGGTGGGGTATTTTCCTGCCCAAAATAAGCGAGTGTTAGAGATGTCCAATGGGGCAAAGACGCACGAATATAGTGAAAGAAAATTCCTTCAACGATGGGGTGTGTGTTGCGGCAGCTTTGATGACCACTGTATGAGGAGCCTTTGGACATCCAATGACATGCAGCCCACGAAGACGAGGCAGTAGAGGGAGTAAGGCTTCCAAAAATATACCATTTACTTCTTGAGACATCTAATCAGACCTCAATAAAATGTTGAAAGTAAACGACAAGTAGCGCACGAAGATTGTGAGGTGCGAAAGTGTCCGCTGTAGCGACTGGGCCCATCTCGTCAGCGAATCTACAACATTCCAGGTTGGGTAGTCCAGAGTCAGGCTTCTTAGCGTTGTGATGCTTTGCAGCATCTCCCCTTGCGTTGTTGTGAGCGTGGCATAGATGTGCAGATCCTGCAAGCGGTCCTTTCCCTGCAAGGAGCCGAGCAGGGCTGGGAGGATCCTCGGCCCACACACAAACGATGTCAAGTTTTTGCAAACCTGCAGTGCGTCTGCAGTTTCCGAAAGGAATTTCGGATGTATTTGTCCAGCCGCGATGAACGGTGCACCATGTATGTCAATTTGACGAACGTGGACAGCTAGATCAGGGTGATTGCGAAGAGTAAGGAATGGTGACATTATCTGATGCATAATTATTGAGAGACACGCTTTTCCAACGAATGTTCGACCTACCCCTCCTCCTTCGGGCCTATATCGTTTGGCATGCTTTGCGGTGAAAGAGACTGTGGCATACAGACACGGAATAACGCCAGCGAGGAACGACTTGCTAACAGACGAGACAGCGACGAGATCATTTCCAGAGATGAATGCAAAAATTAACTCGAGCACATCGAGATTCAGGTTGTCTGCCGTGACCATCGATTGAGTGTTCGGAGTGGACGTTTTAGACTGAGATGTGAGTCCTCCCGAGCCACAGACTGTGTGCAGTCGAGTCTGGCTCGCAGGTGAAACCACTGGTCGTGAAGGGTAAGAAAGATAACTTGGATGTGATGAACTTAAAGTCAGCTATGTCCAATTAATGATTTACGGTTCTACCAACTACTATAAATAACATCGATAGAAGCTTCCTTGTTTTCACGCTTTGGCATGTAATTTCTAGTATACCGGCGAATTTAGTCGATGATAGCCTTGCCTTGGATGTAAGTGTAACCGATGATACAATGGGACCATTGGATGGATTATTATTCTGTATTGATATTGTAGGGTAATATGGCGCCTGGAGAGTTGGATTAGCATAGAATACGGCTGCAATGACCAGCGGCAGCGCTGAACCCAGCACCAGTTGGTGTGTCAGTTGAAAACTCCATCGCAGTGATCATCGCTAATAATTGACTGGTGAACCGGAATAACCTGGTAAGGCGGCTGCCGACGGCAGTCACGATCAAGTGCGGGAAGATCTCTAACACTGTCTTCTAGATCAACATGGACCGGTACAAAGCCATCCATCATCCAAATCCTCTTTCTCAGCTCTAAAGCATGAGTGTAGCATTTTGGATATCCACAACGCCGTGAAAAGAGCACCCCGAGGCCATAGTAGTGAAAGAACAGGGCATCACGTGTGGAGTGCATGTGAAGCTCAGATTCGGAGCACGGGTAGACGTTACGTGGGATCAAACGTTCCGTGCTTATATGTCCTGGCTGTTGTAATGGTGCAACAAACGTTTGTCTATCATACCTGTTGGCACCATCTTTCATATTCGAATCTCCCATGTAATCTCGTGATGATTTCCATATAATCGGGCTCATCATCAGGTGTCAAGTGGCCGTGTCGGACAAAGAAGTCAATGAGGACTGTGAGGTCAATGATTTAATAGAGATTTTTGGGGCCATTTGCATGAGTATTTACCAGCAGCGCAATTGGGCTTGAAGATTCCCTGCCTCATCTTTGCTTTCACTTCATCCAGCGATAGCAACTATTCCGTAGCATCGTTTGGCACGGTCGAGAAATAAAGACAGATATACATACATCAAAAGACTCCACCTCGCCGTCTAATGGACGGGGCTGGAACGGAGTATCATTCGGTACCTCGAGATCGTAAACGTATCTAAAGAGTGTGTTATTAAGATCCACACACACAAAATTAGGTAGCACTCACTCGACCTCTGGTTGCAAGAAATTCATTCTGTTCCTGAAATCATTTCGTTATGCTTTGTAATTCTCCCCAAAGCCTTGAAGAACGATACCTGAAGAAATAGCTGATTGCTCCGACGGGTTTGGCATGATTCCTCACGATGTCTGCTTCTATACTGGCCTCCTCCTCGCACTCCTTGACAAGGCTCTCGAAGACAGACATGCCACTGGGTATCCCACCAGCAACGCTATTATCCAACCAGCTTGGCCACCTGACGTAGCCATTCAGCCATGTACTTTATGAATATAACTCAATCAAACCCACGTCTGCTTCGTCTTCGCCCGCGTTGGGACCCAAATCTTCACTTCTGGGCTGCTGGCGATCCCTTGATAGATAGTCATATGTATCCCATATGTTATGACGCCAAAAAGAGGACACGCGGCGCGCTCCATCTCAAAGGCGTAGTTTCCCAATTCCTCGTCGGAATCATTCCTCAGGATAGTACTCGTGCACTCCAAAGGGATTCCGGTACACAGGGTACATCTCGTTCCGCCATTTCCGGGGCCCAATGCTCGCAGGGAACACGCCAGTGTCGCGCCAGCGCTCACAGAGCTCTTTCAGCACTGCACTGCGCTTTCTCGGGGTATTGACTGACGCATCAAAGCTGACACGGCACCCAGCCTGAGGTTCTGGAATGACCCATGTCCCAGGTTTCTCTTTTCGAAGGAGATCTACTATGTCAAGCCTCAAGAGCCCAACAGCAGGACTTCCTGGAGACTGCGATAGTGTCCACGGGACGAAAGAGTCTCTATCCAAAGGCTTTTGAAAGACATGAGGAAAGTCAAAGTCAGATGGTAGGCGAAAATTGTCGCATATCTTGACGAGCTCAAGATAAGAAAGTGGTGGGGATACGGGAGATGGCGGGTCGTTAGACATCTCACACTTCTGATTGCACCAATGTGGATTTTATCTTTATATGATACTTCATGTTCGGCCGACGCTCAGTCCCGGCAAGTGGCAGTGAAACTCATCTACATTACACGAAATCCATCCTGGCCTCAGGCTTTATAATAAGACCCAAGAGAATATACAAAGTTCCAGGTTTCCGTGGCATAATTACTGTGAAAAGGCGAAAAAAGTGCAATATGTACGGTGCCCAGCGAGATGATATAGCTGTAGTAAACAAGACGAAAGGTGAAGAGTGCGTACAGAATCAGGGTCCATCTACTATTTGCATAGCATTCACTTTCGATGAAGCAGGTCGTGGACCTTGTGTGGCTGGCAAGTATGAAATGAGGGGGGAAGCCGTTCTACTTCCCCCACCAAATAATGACGCAACACCATTCATGCCGCCCTCCATCTCTCTAGGCGGTGCTCCTGGACCCGCGAGGCGAGGAGAAAAGCCGGATGCTGGACCAATAGGCGGCATACCAAGCTTTGACGAAGACATCGGAGGTGGAGACAGTGGTCGCCTGGGCTTCATCACTGGGCTACTAGCCGTAGACGCATGAGACTCAAAGCGTGACGGCGAACGCAACCCAGGGTGCGGCATTGATGACGGACTGGGAGGGAGGGGTCGGGCGCGAGGTGGAGAAACTCCCGATGAGTTTTGACGTGATAAGGCTGATTGTGGATGCTGAGAGTGACTCGACGAAGGTCCTGTGTACCGATGAGGTCCAGGGGAATGGTAGCGGTCTGGTGGGGCTTGGAATGGGGGTGGGCGCTCCCGATCATCCTGATGCATCCAGCCATGTCTTGGCGATGGTGCAGGCCCGCTTGGTAGTCCAGGACCCGAGGCCGAACCTGACATACTATTATGTGACGGTGCCAACACAAATGGCGTCGCAACAGGTCGGTCACGCTCTTCATACGGTGGATGAGTGGACGACGGACGGCTCCCATGTTTATTCCAGTGCTGCTGCTTATGATTAACCATTTCTGACTGCGGTTGCGGTTGCGGCTCGGGCGGGTGGTGATGATGCACCACGTGGTGGTGGTGACGGTGATGGTGGTGACCACCAACATGATGATGCGGTGGGGCATGCGTATGATGCGGGTGCCGATGGTGGTGCTCACGATCCATTTCTTCCTCACGGCGTCGTCCTTCCGCTCCTACGTTCCAATCCATCCCACCCGCTGGCTTGGGCATTGCAAATCGCGTTGTATCCTGTAACGCTGCATTCAAGAATTGCTGTTCTGAATGAGGAGGTGGCGGCATTCCCGGGCCGTATGCGGGAGGAGGGAGGCCATCGTACTGTGCTGGGGTAGGTCCGGAAGGCAAGCGCTGTAGGCGTCCTGGTGCGCCCAATGGATACCCCTGGTTGGGTTGTTGGAATACAGGTGGCGGGGGCGGAGGTGGCATGCGCACGTCTGGGCCACCATGGAATGCTAGAGCATCCATGGAAGGCGCGCCATACATTGGACCCATGACTATGCGTGCATTCATCATACGGTGCTGATGCAGGAAATCGAGATCTGCAGCCGCATCTGCTTGAGGGAGAGCGTTCAAGTCGGGATATGCAGTCGCAAGCATGTGGCGTCGGGAGGTCGTGAGAGGCAGTATCTGTGCAATTTGACGAATCGTTGGTGCAGGAGGTGGATCAGGGATTGCATTAGGAATGCGGCGCACTGCAAACAGAACATTAATGAACCGTACAGACAGAAGCAAGAGAAGATAATCCTACGTGGTTGAGGCCTCTCGATAGCTCTGCGTTCGCGCTCCAATTTACGGCGTTTACGGTTGGTCTCAGCAATCATCTCTGTTTGCAGGTCATCTCGTGCGACCTAAGTCGAGTCATCAAATACAACGTGAGTAGCGGGTATGGACAGGACGCGCATCAAACGCACCTTCCACCAACTCCAGACCGCGTCCTCATTTGTCCTCCGTCGTTTGTTAGCGGATACAACCTCATACACGCGCTTTCTGCAAGCAAGAGCAAGGCGTTTGTCGCGACGTTTGTTCAATTCGGCCTGCAGATGTATGAGTTCTGGGTGCGCTGCTAGGGTAGGTCGTCAGCCTGGACAAGTTTGAAATTGGTGAACGTGCACACCCTCAGAAACCAACGCCTCCTCCCATGCGAGTCCCTCCATTTTCTCGACATATACCTTTTCCCGTAATAACGCAAACTTCAGTTCAATAGTCGCAAGCACATCCAAAGCTTCGGCACGGTGAGCAGGCTGCAATTCCAATTCCATCTCCATGTCTAGCTCGTCGTCCACCTCTGCTTCAAGAAGTGCGGACTCAGCGTCTGGAGCTGTTGTTGTCGCGGCGTCGCAGTCTTCATCCTTGTCCTTCTTGCCTCGTTTACTTTTACGTTGCGGTCTGCCGTTCTCAGGTTTGGGCGACGGAGAACGCGAAGAGCAGGGTGAGCGGGATCCAGACACAGAAGACGCAGATGGAGTAGGTGATGGTGGGTGAATGACCGTTGAACCTGCCATTATTGAATGCGAGGCAGCGGCAGCTGCGATGGGCGCGACGGACGCTGGCAGCGGAGCTGTGATGTCAATGGGAATCAATGGGACAGTTGTGACTGTCTTGACCGGTGCTAAGGGTGGCTCTGCCTCGTTATCTACGTCTATGTCCAAGCCCGTGTCTGGGGGGCCGTCATTGTCTTCAGATTCGGTGTCGTTTTCGTTGTCATTGAGGGCGGGAGGATCGTCATCATCATCTCCGTCGGCTTCTGCTTCAAGCAATCCGTTTGATATGGTAGGGAGGCTACGACGCTTTGGGAGGGAAGTTGCAAGGTCGTCGATGCGGCGGCGCTTTGGAGGGACCAGTGCCAGCTCGTCTTCGTCAGAGGCATAGGGCTCTGGTTCTTCGTCTAATGCCGAATTAGAGGTGGAATTTTGCGGGTCAGCAGTACCGTCCTCATCGTCATAATCTTTCGCACGTCCATTGACAAGCACGTCAACATCGTCAAGAGGCTCGTCAGCGTCGGCATCCCCGTCGGGGCTGTCGCCATCGAGGTCGTCCCTCGGATCATCCTCATTCTCGTCATCCTCTTCCTCTTCCATAGCTCGAGGCGGGCCAGCCATCTCTTCTTCTTCCTCTTCCTCGACCCCGGGTGTAGCACTTCCTTCACTCTTTGAATTTGAATTGGAGTTGAAGTTCTTTGATTTGTACGCCCAGTCCCACATCGGGGCAGGGACCAGGCCGCCACGCTTTTTTCTTCCTCCGCGACGGGGCTGCCGACGACGTGAACCATCTTCAGCATCTCCGTCAATGAATGTCTTAGTTTTCTTTTTGGGCGACTGAGACTCCTGGACGAGCTCATCGTCTGTAAGCTCTGATAGCTCGGACTCGGCATCCAAGCCTGCACCCGAATCTTCTTGGGGAGGTGGCGATGGAGAGGGCGAGCTCAATGATTCAAGTGAGGCTGGAGAGCCCGTCATCATGGGGGACAGCAAGCAAGAAGACGAGCACTGGTCAAAGATGATCGTCCGAAAATGGAAGTTTAATTGGACCGTGCGCAATCTCATCCACACGTGTCATGTCTCACGTGACACGCAATATTAGGAATGTACACACAACCTGTTGTGCCGCTTCGGCACATCCTGGAAGCGAAAAAAAGTGCTTCGTGCTCCTTTTGTAGCTCCCTGGCCCTTTCCTACCTTTGTGTGTCTTAATAATCATGGCAGGTTTTGAAATAAACAATATTGTATTTGTTGAGCTGAGCATGATATCACATTGGTGAGAAAAGTAAAAGTACAATTGAATATATTGATTTTTTCCTGTCTCCCATCTCTTGTTCTTCCCTTCCCCATGTTTTGTGTCTCCATTGTGTTTTCCCTTTTTTATTTTTTTACTACCTTCTGTCATTCAAGTTCACCTCTGCTCAAAGTTCAAACACATGTTACATGATTTATTGATGTATGTACAATTACTCACTTTGAATCTGGAAGGAAGTTATTATCACCCCCTCCATAGTTGATATAGAATTTTTGGCAGCTGGTAGCATGGTGAATTTGTTGCAAACATGTAAGGTATATGAAAATATCTCTACTGTATGTAATCATGGCGAAATAAGGTTTAAGCCACAATCGGCTCATTCTGAGTCAAACTCAGTAAGGTAATCTAACTCCAACACACCCCCTCAAGTGAAGACTTGAACAGAATTGTAAGAACCTGTGAAGGACTGTGAGTATGAAGGGGTGTGTAGACTGCTTGTAGGATAGATATGTGCTGAAGAATAAATGAAATAATGAGAGTGCTATGAGATAATGATTGTGAGAGTGAGACTTCGATGAGAGAATGGTATTATTGCCTGGTATTAGGGAGTGTACATGGAGAGTACTTGTACTGGAGACAGTAAGGGTCCTCAGTATAGCTAGGCCAAATGATTATGCAAGGAATGGAGCCAAACAGTAGTGGCATCACACTATGATAGTGTAGGGTCTGAATGACGAGACGATGAATATGAAAGTGTGAGAGTGGGTGTGTTAAAGAGTATTGAGTTTAGACAGGATGACGAGAAATATAGTGTTATTTTGAAACATGTGCCAAACTAGGTGGTCTGAAATGGTGTGATTAAGAGAAAAGGAGTGTTGAGCGGCTTGGTAGCGATGAAGGAGAGTGGCTGGATGATGACAGATAGCTTGCTGGTGCCGATGAGCTGCAGTAGTGGTGGTTGTGGTGAGTGTTGTTTCAGCACCAAATGATTGGTAATCCCTACAGAATAGAAAGTGAAAATAAAAAATGCACCCCCTGAAATTAAAATGCAAAAGTTTCCTTTGCCACCATTGGGGCCCTCTCAGCACCTTTCCCATGAATCAGGGTCTCTTTGCAGAATGCCCGAATGTGACCTTCTTTCCCACACTGAAAGCAGACACTGGGTCTGCGCCCTTGAGCTGAGCTGACTAATGCAGTGTGCACCTCCTCACTAGCACTGCCACCTTGCCGAATGTCTTCATTGAGTAAGCAGTTGACCACATGAGTGAAAGTAAGATCTGCAGTGGCCATCGAGTCGAGTGAGATGACAAATGAATCATATGATTTGTCGAGTCCAGTCGTAAGTGCAAGAATCTGGTCTTCATCATCCATGGTCACACCAACATCCTCCAAATCCAGAGCCATACCCTTGACATGACTAATCCAGGCAGACATAGCCTCTTCCATACCTTTTGTCACTGTCAACAACTTCCGTCACAATGCCATCCTGGTACCTAGGCCACGTGCACAATGAACTTGGGCGAGCGTCTCCCAGATGACCTTGGGATCGCGATCATGCATATGAGCAAGCTGGTCACACTCAACGTGAAGGATGATTTCTGCCCTTGCCTCTGCCACCTTCTTCACTGACCTCCTAACCAGCAACTTCTGCAACTCTGCCTTCACCTTGTTGTCTGTCTTTCCATCCATATCCACCTCAGCAAACACCATATCCCATAGACCCTTTTGGATAAGCTCCGCCTCCATTTGGATAGACCACTCACCATAATTGGTATCCCTGAGAAGCGGGAAGTGCAAAATGCGGTCCAAGCCATCTGTCATAGTGATGGTGCCAGGAACGTGAGGTAATAGAAGCGAAAGAAGCACGAGTATTAATAGATAAGCCCAGATCTGTTGATTCTGAGACTTCTGCCTTCTGCTCAAATAGCCCTGAGATATGACCACAGGGAGCTCTGCCTGTTTGTGTGATGTGTTTGTATAGAATTTTCGGCAGCTGGTAGCATGGTGAATATGTTGCAAATGCGTAAGGTATATGAAAATATCTCTACTGTATGTAATCATGGCAAAATAAGGTTTAAGGCACAATTAGCTTGTTCTGAGTCAAACTTGATAAGGTAATCTAACTCCAACAGTTGAACTATCTGTTTTATCTGCTAAATACATCATGAAAATCCCAATTTTTCTTAACAAGCACTTGGTGCACTTATTGCTGATAAGTGTTATATACAGCATTTCTGTTAAACTGGGAAATGGAATGTTCTTATGATAAGGTAGACCTTGCACTGTTTCAGCAAACATCATGTGATGAGTGTGATAAAGTGTGACAAAAGCAATGAATGTGTATAGGATATAAGATATAAAAATTCAAAGACAAAAGAGTTTTAGTGTATGTACTTCTCAATGAGTCCTATACTTTAAAATCACGATTTGTGCAAAATTGAAGAAGGAGATGGCAACACAAGCAAGCCATATCCAGTAGTGACAAGTAAAGTCACAGCAAGTCACAAGAAACTTGTGTTGCCATCTCCTTCAATTTTGCACAAATCATGATTTTAAAGTGTAGGACTCATTGAGAAGTACATACACTAAAACTCTTCCATCTTTGATTTTTTATATCTTGTCACTACAAATATCCTATATACATTCATTGCTTTTGTCATGCTTTATCACACTTACCACATAATGTTTGCTGAAACAGTGCAAGGTCTACCTTAGATGGATCTGAAAGGGCTTGGCTTCAGCTTATGCACTGCACCCCTTTACTGGATATAGGCCCTAGATTTTGAGGAGAGATGTCCAATGGAATCTGAAGACCAGAAATTGGCAGATTCCAGCTCTATAGGTAATGGGTCTGGCAGATATCAATGTGGTATATGTATGCATGTTACAATGACATCTAACCCTATACTTTTTTTTCTTCTTATAACCATTAGTACTGCCATGGTCCAGTCTAGAATCAAGGTTTGAACCAGACTTTTGGTCCAGTTCTGTCCATAGTGTTGCCACAGATTATTCCATAAATGGCTAGCTGAACTGGTAGAATCATGGCTAAACACTAGCTCGATTCCAAAGTGGCTTGCAAGTGGCTATTTATAGGTTTGGCAGGAAGCAGCATGACCCATATATTAGGGAAGTAGTGATGATGATGATCAGATGGAATCTTACAGTAGTAGCAGTACTAGGTAAGTCCTAATGTGTTGCAATGGTGAAGTACATATTTTGTGGCCTCCTTAATGAGTTGGTGAGTGAAGATTCATTGAGTTTAGTGTGGAATACACTGTCAGCTACAAACTTACACTTTTTGCTGATTTGAGTGGACATATTGGGGACAGGAGAATGTCTGCAAAGATGAATGGATAAGAGACTATTATTATCCAAATCTGAGTAGTAAAATTACAGAGATAAGCAAAGAAATTCTGTTGAGACAGACATGGAGAGTGGAAAGGGAGCTGAATGCACACACAAAGATAAGAACTCTACAAAAGTTGATGAGGATAGGGATAATCTGGCTTCTTGCTGAATTGAAGACCACAAGCATAAGTAAGCATGGTGGCAAATCCTGAGGAAAGTCCAGAACAGAGTGTTTTGAGAGAGGTTTGGATTTTCAACTGCAAAATACAACTTGAACTATTGCAGGAGTATGCATCTCCTGAATCGAGTGGAGCCCAAGGGAGATTACCACGTATCAAATACACAAAGACATAAATGAGTGACTCAATATCATTGCACTGACTCTGCTCCACACCTCAATGAGTATTGATGGACACAAATTGTAGGTTTCCAACAAAGTGTTGGTTGGTTTAATATCATGATGGATGTAATCATGCAATTGAATATACTCAATGCATGAAATCTATTATATTTTCAAGTTAGCTACAGATACCAAATACTATAGACCAGTAAAGTTACCTATGCACCAGCTGCTTTGCAAATGAAATTACTGTCTGAAAGTCCAATCTTTTGTTGCAGGCATTGAAATGCATCTTGAGTGAGGGACCAAGGCATAATTGCATGATGTCCAGAGTCTGATCCAAACCAGTGAATATGCAGAATACTGTTTCCACCAGCAAGAGCTAAGTACACGGCATACTCCTACTCTAGTGTTCTTGGTTTTGAATGTTCTAGTTTTGCTATGACCTTCTGGCTAGTAAAAATGTCCTTGGCAATGAACACACAACCTATAACACTTGAATCAGATTATATTAAGATAGGCCTCACTCAAACACCACCAATGTCACGTGATGTATGTTACAAGAACATCTAGACGCTTGGGCCCCTACTATTTTTCTCCTCATTCTCCTCGTCTCAGCCCTTGCATCACACCCTTACCCCGACCATGCTCTTGTTATCCTCATCATCCTTGCATTCCCCTTCGCCCTCTACCTGTCGCTCCAGCAGAGCCAGTACATCTGGCCAGACCCCTTCTCTGACGAAGCATACCCGTGCTCCGCTCCACCCCTTGACTGATTTTGTGGACAGTCCCTTTTGTCCTTACTGTCCGGACGGTAACCTATGATATGATGCATGCTGCATCCCCTTTACCCTATTCCCTTTCCTGATCTATGACTCAGTGCGCAGTCGCACATGTGTACTTATATTTAGCTCCACAGTTGCACGATCATGCCCCTGCACGTTTCACTTCTCATTCTGCTCTTTGACTCATTTCCTATCTGCATGTTTTGGTTTGCCTATGACTCACCTCGAATGTGCCTTCCTGTTATAGTCTTACCCTTTGCCCGTTCCCTCTTCTGGTAGTACGAGTTATCATCCACTAATGTGCCTCCTCCCCTCTATATAAACTCGCTACCATGTATCTTATTCCTTAACTTGAATCTACTTGGTTCTTGACCTCCTACTCCTAACAAGAGTGATCCTTTCTGCCTAGCCAGCAGTCTATATTCTACTTTCTTATCTGCTCATCGCGGATAAGTCTCTAGTCTCGATCTTTACTCATCGACTTCGTCGACGAGCAAAGCCCCTGTTAACTAGCTGGACTTCCGTCCTTCTAATTAATGCAGATCTTACAATTAACCTTCGGGTGTCAGTAAGCATTGGCAGATACGCTTATTGTCGAGCCCCGCTTGACATAAGCCACCCGATTTGGACATAGGTGTCAAATCTTACTTGCCGAAACCTCGCCAAGTAAGACCCCTAACCTTGGGCTAGCCCAAGGACATCCTCGACTGTTGACAACACACGCTCTGTTTGAGCGTCGCCAACAGATACTATCCAAGTCATAACAATGTATTTAGTCACACTACCGCGATTTTGAGGGAGAAAAGCATGACATTTGCTTATTTCAAAGGCTACACTACATTAAATATTAATTGGTTTTTGGGCGTGACAGCCCATATGACCCTCCGACCATTCATAGGAAGCAGATTTGTCATTAGTGTCTGTAAATCGATGCAATAACACAATTTGTACTCTGTCTTGCTGACTAAGTTGAACACCTACTGTCTTGCTTTGCTAGCCATGGGCAAATGGACTCGTGCAGACACAGCAAGGAATGCCAATCTCGCAAAGGCACTCCTCAAGAAGAAGAAGATATATGATGAGAATAAAGAGAATGTGAGACAAGCTGCATTTGCGACCAAAAAGTATTGTGGTCACCACACTCTCCCACTGTCTGTTTTCAATGATCTCGCTGAGCTCAATTAATGCATCCATATACTTTATACAACTAATACTATATACACTCTTATAAAAACTAAATGATACAGTACTTTTCATTGTCTGTACCCTCCCACACACTCAGCTTTTACTGCACACCACAAAGTTTGAATCAACAGTCACACCATTGTCACATCACATGACGTTGGTGGTGTTTGAATGAGACCTATCTTACCCGCACAACAAGTAGGACTCACCATGTGATCCAGACCCAATTTTTGCACCCAGCCTGAACCTCCCATTGATCTGACAAGGCTCTGATCCTGCTCCCTAAGCTATAATGCTGGGCTTTGAGAAAGATAGAGGTGTGTTTGGAGCTTTCATCCCTAATAGTATAGTAGAGTGTACACTGACGATACACAACATGCAGTAATGATGCACAACACATTCAGTTGGCTAATTGTGAGTGTTTTGGCTTTCAGCAAATGCTGGTCCCTGGTAGAGAATAGAATCATGAATCATGATGTATTCGTCATATTGTGATTACTGTAGGCTTGTAACAAGGCCAGAATAAACTTAGTTCAAACTTCAAAACATGAGTAGATACTAGGTAGCACTGCAGTAGTACTAGTAGGTATAACATAGATCATCAATAATGGATCCAGTGCAGTCCAGTCTGGAATAAATAGTAGATTGTCAGATATAATGATGTAATGATGGTTGCAGCACTGGGCTTGGAACCACTGTTTTTCATACTCACATCCACATAGTACAGTGACTTATACCCGTATTAGATGGACAGCTGAGGGTGACAATGTACTAATAGAGGTGGGCCAGCCAATGTGGGCCCATGACCATAAGTGTACCATGATAGATGAGTAGGCTGGAGGGTGGTGTGTACCTGTTCCAAATGGATGGGCCGGTGGTATATCTTGTAGACGGTAGTATAGGAATGTACTATATAGGATATCTATGTATATAAATGAATTCAGTGTGCAATGGAGATGAGTGGGCTGGCTGAATGCAGTGCAATGTAAATGAGTCGGCCAGGGAGATGGGTGTAATGGAGACGAGTGGGCTGAGGGTACAGGGTACAATGGAGATGAGTGGGCCAGAGGTATGGGGTGCAATAGAGACCAGCAGACCAGGGATATGGGTGTCATGGGGACAAGTGGGCCAGTATGTGAAGCACAATGGAAGACAAATGAGCTGAGGGGGTAAGCTCAATGGAAGACGAGTGGGTAAAGCTCAATGATATTTCATCTGGTATGGAAGGTGAAGGTAAAATGGATGAAACAGAAGTGTTAAACAAATGGGCTGAAAGAGCTGGAGGGGCATGAAATGGATGATATAAATGAGCTGGTAGTGAATGAAATGGACAAGCCAGAAGGGGATAAAATGGATGATACAGATAAGCTAGTAAATTAGGTTAGGTTAGTTAGGGAGATGAGCTGTTAGTACATGACATGGATGATACAAATGAGCTGGTAGTACATGAAATGGATGATACAGATGGGCTGGTAGTAAATAAAATGGCTAAGCCAGTAGTGCACTGTGTGATAGAGGTGAAGGTGAAATGAATTATAGAGATGAGCTGGCAGAGTGCCATCTGGTCCCGCAACATTCTTACTACTGAATGTATATTATGCAAGTCAAATCATATTGATTGAAATCATGCAAGGTTGACAACACAATGTAGATGACTAGTGTTACAAACTCGGATGGAGTCTGCTGTAACTGCCTCAATAAAGAGGATCAAGAGTACAGAATCGAGAGGGTTGACTAGAGGTAGAACTTTAGCAAGATCGAGGTTTAATAAGTACCCATAGGTCTGTTCAAAGGATTAAGTGAAGCAAGAACCAAGTAGATTCAAGTTAAGGAATACAAGTCAAGTAACTAGGGCTTATATACGTAAGGGAAGAGTGCACGGACCAAGAGAGAAGTGTTCTAGTAAGTACAAGAAAGAAAGTAGGGCAAAGGGGAAAAGATAGGGGTCCTCATGGAGTCCTTATGTGCTACATGAGTTGCACTAGAAGTAAAATGGCAATCAAGAAGCAGAGACATATGTCCAAGATGAGGCACAGATAGGGAAAATGAATAGCCTGCTATAACAACTAGTACATACAAAAACATAAATGATGTGCTAGTTTTACTGTGTCCAATCACCAGAAGGCTTGCATGGATATCTAGCACTCACTGATCGACCTTGGTGCAATAGAGGTCCATATTGTGGGTGTTGCAAAGGAGCCAAGATGGACTGTGCATCAGCCAGCACACTTGATGGTCCAGTGACCGGGAGATCAGGAGATTGCCCAGGTGGTGACACAACCAGAGGAACAGACAAGCTAGATTCCCTTGTGGTCAACGGTAGGATGTTGGTGGGAGTGGATGACACCTGGTTGTGCCTTGCGACCAGTGAGCCATCTGCAGTATCACCAAACATATCATTACCGGTCTGGGCACCCATCCAAGATACATCTGGAGTGAAGACATTGTTGGTCACAGTGCAGGCAAATACACTGATGGATGGGCCAGGAGCTGTGATGGGGGGTGGATTGAATGCCAGTGGAGGTGACACTGTAGCTTGACTGAATCTCTGCTTCCTCAGATACCTAACAATGCCTCTTACTTCAGTGGTGCACTCAGAGAGGAGTACATACTGCATATGCATGTCCTGTTCAATCTGATCAACCTGCATGGACATGGCACTGTCAGATGCCTCTGTGAGGTCCATGCGATGCTCCAGGTGAAGTTGCCGGAAGTTGATTTCCAATCGATTGCATGTACGAAGTTTCTTCATCTCAAGATGAATTTGGGCCAACATGGCCTCCATCTGGTCATGAGAAAGGTGGTTCCAGGTGGATTGACCAGGTCTAGAGGGCATGGTAGGGGCAGGTGGGCTGTGAACGACAGGTAATGGAAAACACCGGATGTTGTGCTCTGAGGCCTGCTATGCCCCTTACCTGAGTATGTGCCCTTAATTTCAGATTGATGTCCAGAGAAGATCCTAGGAAGTCCGAAGGCACAGGAAACTTCGGAAGGGCTTTCTGGACGAGTGCAAGTAACTTCTAAATGAGTGCAGGAAAGTTCCGGAAATTACAATGAGGTTTTGTCCTAATATGGATATATGTAATGGCTACTCAGGACAAGTCCTGAGTAGAAGCAAACAGAGGTAAGGCTGCAAGGACAATGTTTGAAGCAGAATAAGTCTGGAAGACCATAGGAAAGATCCGGACAAACTTCCAGAAACTTGGAGGAATGTAGGATCAGAGAAGCAGAGCTCTGGCCTAGGGAATTCCTCCTTAGGCCTAAGGAAGATTTCACAAGGAAGGAACTAGTATAAGAACTTGGTGTGAAGACTAGTGCAAGGACTAATATGATATTCAGACTAAGAAACTACAGGACATATACAAGAGTTTATATACTCAGTGACTATTAGAAAGATCAATAAGCAAAGGTCTGAAGGCTATGTACGAAGCATAAGCAAAGTTTACCAAACCCGAGTTGGAAATGAAGCATAGGTTAATAGATCAGTAAGCATACCGTAGTAAGTATAACCGAGATACCAGGAACAAGGAATAACAAATAGGCTATGTTAACATTATATAAACAGGAATTGAATTAAGAAACTTATTGTATATCAGATCAGAAGCGGTGAAGGGTTCAACAATTCTGCTATGAGGCAGAACAATTTGTTGGGTAAATGCTACCTAGCTGCTATTCGACCTAAGGGCTTCTGGACTAAGCTCAGTGCTCAAGAGAGGTAGAGAGAAAGGTAGAGAGAGAGAGAGAGAAAGAGAGAGAGAGAGAGAGAGAGAGAGAGAGAGAGAGAGAGAATATGAAAATGTCACTCCAGACAATGAGGACAAGACTATGTATCAGGAGCTTTATAGTAAGCTATTGAGCTACTACGAAAACTAATAAGCTGCAAATCTGGGGAAGCTGCTGAATCCTAGAAAGGAGAGCTACCAGAAATATAACTGAAAGTCTAGCTAATGGTGGAGGAATAGGGCGAAGATTTGGTGATTATGTAAGCAGTAAAAATGTGAACATAAGGAAAGGAAAGTGAAGATAAGTGAAACTATGAAAAAGCTGTTAATGTAAGCCCATCTAAAAATGATTCCCTACAGTGGATCTGTACATCAGATTGGATTGGATTTAGGCTCTGAGGTCCAGATGAAGCATGGGAACATTGTCAGGCGTAGGTCCGAAATACAGGATATGACATGGAGGTGGCAACTCATCATTGTTGGGCTCGATCCAGTGATTAGGAGGGAAATTGTTTGCAAATGCCAAAGGAGCTGATTGTTGTTGGGCACCCGTCACATCCACAGTGCCATTGAGCATCTGGATGCTGTTGTCTTCCTCTTGGATAGGACTAGGTTGCCAGATTTTCTTGTCTACAAGCATGCATTAGAATAGAAAGCAACTGGAAGCAAAAGACTTACCTTTTGCATTAGATTTCTCCCTCATTTTTTTTCTGGTGGCTTTGGACTGGGTTATTTTAGAGTGAGTGGTCACTGCAGCTGCAGGTGGTGTAGTGTTGGTGGTGGGGGTAATGTTGGGGCTCTCTGTATTGGTCTGGATGCATGCCATCTTCCAGAGGTGGTACAATGAGCAAGTCAAGGCAACATTGCCTTTCTTCATCAACCGGGGGCAACACTCCACATCCTTCGCCCAGCATCTGTCACAAGGTGGCAGGGGGCCATCAGCATGGGGCTATAAGGGATCAGCATGGTAAAAACCTAGCAGTGACCAGAACACTCACCTATTCTTGGACCTTGGCTTTCCTGCTGGTGCCCTTGCCCTTGGACTGGATAGACTATGGAATGATGTTAGCCTGTATTCAACCTTCATGGTTACAGGCAAATCCTACCAGTTTTTGTCACTTCCCTGGTCATAAAGTGGCCTACACCAGGATCAGCAATGAACCAGCAAATAGAAATAAAAATAAAAACTTGCCTTTGATCTGTCTTGTGTCTTTTCATCCTCCAATTCATCTTCTTCTTCATCGCCCTCATTCACAACCAACCGACTTGCCTTCAGTGTACCCAGCTTTTTTGCAGGGATGACAGCCTTGCACCTTGATTTTTGGTGCTGTTTCAGCATCAGTAATGTTAAATTTATGAAGGAAAAACACTTACCTCGACAGTCCAGAAGCTCATTGACATTGATGAAGTCGACATCCTCATCGCCATCAACTTCTAGTGCCTTGGCCTTGGTCTTCCCCTTCACCTTCTCAGTGTCGGTGTCAGGACAAGATCTCCTTTGACTTGATGATGGGCTTCCGGGATCAGTTGGTACGATGCAAAGGAGGGCTGGTACTGAGTTGACAAGGTGCAGGTGTAGGTACCTGTGCAGTTGCTATTGCAGTGTGAGATGTGAGTACTGGTGGGATGAGGAGGAAGACACTCACCAGAAGCTGCAGATGCAATAGGTGGGGCATTACCCAAGGCCTTACTGTACAATGGGTGCTTCATGCGCATGTCCTTATTGTGCCCAAGATGGGTCCAATCCGGTATTTCCACCAATTGTGTGGTGCACCTCTGAGCGCGAAAGATCTCTGCTGCAAGTGACAGCAGGCCAGGGGAGACATAGGAAGCCTCCTTTCCATAGGAGCGAATCACGTCATTCTGTGTGACCATAGGATCAATCAAAACAACTGACAGAGAATGACACATACCACTTCATGAGCAATCTTCTGGCTCAACTCCATTTTTTCCTCTTGCGACGGCAACTGGATAACATCTTGAACCATCTCAGTGAGCCGAGCAACAAGAGCTATGAGAGCTTGGTTGGCAGTGGTAGCAGCAGATGCAGAAGTAGAGTGAGAAGACATAACAGGAAGATGATTGCAGTAGAGACAGTGGACAAGTAATCTGGAAGAGACATGTTCAACAACCAACCTTGCAAAAATTTCAGCAACCTGGCAATCCAGCCCGACCCAGATATATCTGAGTCCATTGTTCGCTGTCAGCATCTATTTTTATATCTAAATATCACATTGTGCGGTTGACACGTCATCAGCAATCAATTGTAACTAGCCAACCTGTGAAGAAATCATCCAGTCACAGGCTGCAGCAGAATATCTATTCTTCTGGTGATCTTATGAAGACCATGGATTTATACAACCCTTTCATTAAAATGAAAAAGAGAAAGATGTGATTGTCCGAGGACAAAGGTAAGAATTTATCTACTACCACAATGGACTGGTTGACATTATCTGGCATGCCAGTATTTGACACCTTGCTGCCAGGAGGCAAGGAGTGCATTTACAACAATCCTGTGATGGATTGCTCAAGCATGGGTGAATGTGAGTTCATCTTATCCACAGCAAAGACATTTGTCATTACCTTTGAAGACCTAGATGTCGTGTCAGCTCATGACCGGCTGAAAGATGGCAATAGATTGAAGATGGTCCACTTTCAAACCAGGGATGACCGCTGGTCATTGGACTTGGGTTTTCCTGTGTCAGATGATGACCGGATAACCGACCCAGGATCCATGAGAACCCATTTGGAACCCAGGTCGGTGTCTTAATAACCGAGGGTCTTATATAAAGTCGTGTAAATGTAATGACACCACAATTACACTTTGGATAAGACTGCTTGCCAGTCCTCGATTAACACGGTCTACAACTTTTCCTATTTCGTGGTAGATAACGTGTGAGTTCTTGGGAGGCTCACTAAATTAATCTTTTTATAAAGATCAACCTAGCTGGAGCTTTACTTTTCTTTATTGAAACTCAAATCTCTTGTCTAGGAATAAGCTTCTAGACACGTAATTCGGTTTCTGGAATGTATTTGCCTAGGAAATCTCCTTCTAGGCTCTGGACTTGGATACTGGAACTAGTGAGACGTGGTCTCAAATATACAAAATATGACCAAGATCACTTGGTCTATGGACACCTGACTGTGAGACAATGGTCTCAAATATACGATATATGTTCAAGATCGCTTGAACAAAGGGGACTATAACTTGACCAAGATCGCTTGGTCTATGGGACAACTAGTGAGATGTGGTCTCAACAATATGATAGATGACTAAGATCGCTTAGTCAAAGGGCACAGAGCAATGAGACAAAGGGGTCTCAAAGACAATATATGTGACCAAGAACGCTTGGTCTATAGCACTAAATAAGTTTCTAAGGTAAGAAACTTATAATCTCAAGGGAATTCTTTTCCCTGCACTTGTCTCACTTCAAAGGGACTAACTTTGCAAGTGAAATATCTGATAGGCAGATAGCTACAAATGGGAGATCATATTTTTTTTGGGGGGAGAATGGGCTCTCCTTATATACATTTTGTGTGGGAAAGTAACCTAGGTTCACAAACAATAAAAAATAAGGAGGACCAATCAAAATATTGGGTCAAACCCAATAAAAGAATAAAATACAAGTGAAAGATGGAGCTATGACATCATTGTGGAGCAGAACATTCTGGAATGTGGAGTAATGACATCATAATGACATCAAGAATGACATCATTGTGGAGCAAAAGATTCCAGAACCTTCCATGAGTGAGTCAGAGTGAATCATTGTGGAGCAGAATATTCTAGAAGGAAATGACATCATGAATGATGTCATTGTAGAGTAGAATAATCTAGAGCTTGATGACATAATATCTTTCAACAGAATACCTGCAGGAGTATCTGTGGAGTCTTATGACATCATAATGACATCATACCCTATGGGTACAATTTTATGAAGTGTCAGGTGAGTCAAAGCATCCTAATGAAAAAGTAAAGTAAAGAAACACTAGAGAAAAGTAGGTAGCAAAAATAAGACAGTTGGCAGGAATTGAAACACGGTCTTTTTGGATAGGTTTTTTATTGGCTTTGTACTTTTCTCTATGGTTTTCTCTAGCCGAAGTGAATAAGCCAAAGGCAAGGCTATACCTTAACCTTCATTTCCCTTCTCACATCAACTAGGTCTAAATGTGATTCCCATCTCACATTAGACTTTTTTCCGTCAAAACGTATTCAGATCATGAAACTTGGGGAAAACTGGAAATATGGACCATGGTTTGAAACCAAGGTATGGGTTGACTAGTCTGAGGACTAAGCTAACAGACTTTATCTTTTGAGGGTCACCTAGTATTCATGTCCATGCATGATTCCCACATCATGCAGGACACCGGGCCTGAACATAGCAATTCCACTTCCACCACCGACGAACCACCTCTGCTGCTACCGACACATGCTGCAGAAGCACCCTGACATTGAAATCTGTCCAATAGAACTGGACCTCGAATGTCTTTCTGACTGTGGTTATACTGGTGGTGTCAGCTGTTGGTCAGATGATGACATTATTGAGTACCAACCAAACTCGTTTTCTGAAAGTACATCATCAGACTGTGAAAGCCTCTGTGAGCTCGAGGAAGATGATTTGGAGTGCAATTTAAGGCAACTCGCAGCAGAGGCCAACTCGGAAGCCCTCAGGTTGACAGTGCTTGTTAACACATTGTTCAAGATCATCTTGAGGCCGAAGACAAATGTGATTTGGAAGAAGGCGGAAAAGAATAGATCACTGGGATACAATGGACTTTCAGGTCGTACTCAGCGTCGGAGGGATAAGCTGGCCCGAGACCAAGCTGAACAACAAAAGAAGATGAAGACTTTGTATGTGTTAATTCAAATAGCTCGTGAAATATGTTCTGATACATACCTGAGCAGAGACGATCCACAGATTGTGTTTATGCAGCGGTGGTGTGCACCCAAAGACTCAAATGCTACGCCCGATGTTGAATCAAGTGCTACACATGTGGCACATGGTGCAGTCAATTTTTCTGCCAGTGGTTACCTTTCTGATGAGTCTGAGGATCATTTTGACTCAGAAACTGACGATGAACATGAGGAGGACAAACATAGAGTTGCAGGAAGTAGCTGAGGTGTAAGCAGCCGCTTGCCTGCTGTTCCACCGCTCAAGCAGTGCAAGCTCGAGATCCCCTTTTGCACAGAGCATAAATGTGCAAAGGAAAGGCGTGCAGATGACAGGCGCATGGCATTGGAGGCGATTGAAAAGCTGTTGAAGTCGAAGAAAACAAACTTTGTTAGTGGTCCAGATGTATAAGGATGCCATATCCTCTGCACCCCGACCATTGCTTCACAGAAAGACTTATGGACCTCGTGTCTTGTCAGCCATGTGACTCGAAGGATGTGAAGAAGCATCACGCTTCGCATCCGAGTCACGTGGACACATTCTCCTTTCTTACTCTCATTAGCTCATTGTTGTCAACATCCCACTCGGTCCTTCACTCACCATTATACGATACCCTTACCATCACCGACTCTAGGACCCTTTTCTCTCATTATTACTTCCTATTTTCACCTCGCCATACCCAGAACGGTCAAACGAGCTACGAAACTCTCATCACTCCTGTGCAAACCTTCTTGCTTATGAACAACATTCATTCAATACTCTCATACTCTCTTTCACATTCATCATTTCTACCCTGTCAGGATCGCCACCACTCACTCTCCGTCTCTCTTTTCGGTTTACACATACCCGAGGACCCTTAGCGCCTCATACCTTAGAAGCACCCATGTACTTTGGCCTCATAATAAGAACTTGTCGTCCTCCATTAATTCAGGCAGTCATCGTTATGTTACTCTAACCTCTAGTCCTTATAGAAAGAGCCTTCCCTCACTAACATATCTTCTTGGTCTCTCTCCCAAAGCATAGATTCCCCTTCGAGCTCGATCCAGCCTTACAGATGGTTTGCAAGCGAAATGGGCACGTACCATTCAAAGCCATCTCGCCCTCATTGTGAAGAGAGGCCACTCTTCAATTGAAGCATCAGAACGTGCTGCTGAAAGTCATGGGTTCGCAGCTGCCTGGAGCGGCCGTCAACTGTGCAGTTGTACCCATAACTGGGTGTCCAAACGGGAGCTCCCTCAGTCATTGACTGGTCGTCACGCCAAGGTGTATTCATTGCTTGATGACCCAGCAGTGGCTGCCGAGCTTCGCACTTATGTTCGTTCGAACAAGTGGGCAATCAATCCTGAAAAGTTGGCAGAGTTTTCAAAGAGCAAGTTGATACCCTCAGAAGCAGAAAAATACCTTCACACCATTGTCAATGATGAGATGCCCCGTGGATTGAAGCAGTACATGGAGCTGGAGTTGTTTCCTCGAATTCACCTCAAAATCGGACGTGGAATTTCGCTTGTCACCGCTCGTTGGTGGTTGCTCGAGAAGGTTTTCGATACTCATCCCATAAAAAAGGCCTTTACTTTGATGGCCACGACCGGCCCAATGTTGTCTCTCATCGCCAAGAGCATTTCTTGCTAATGATGAAGGAATATGAGTGGCGACTGGTTCGCTATGTTGTTGGAGACATCGAATCAGGGCTCAAGGACCCAAATTGCAATTTTGTGGAACGGCGGCTTGTTCTCTGTGCACATGATGAGATGATGGCACAATCAAATGACACAACTGATAAATACTGGGTATTCGAAGATTAGTTCAAGTTGCGAAAGAAAGGGGTGGACCATGGACTCCATCGCAGTGATGTGATCTGCTCCACAGTGGGACACCTGGTGGATGCAGGTGAATCAATGGAGGAGTACAGCAAGAATCATGAAGGATATTGGAATGGCGAGATGTTTGTTAAGCAGGTGTGTGCTTTTACAATATTGCTTCAAGTATTGATTTGAACTCAATTTGATGTGATTCAGCTCAACGAAAAAATAATCCCAACATTTGAGCACATTCACGGGCCAGGATATCAAGCATTGTTCCTGATTGATAACTCACAGGGACACTCTGCATATGCCGAAGATGCATTGCTTGTTTCTCACATGAACATCAATCCAGCAGGGAAGCAGGCTCACATGCGAAATGGATGGTTCATGTGTGATGGCATCCGGGTCGAACAGGATATGGTATTTCCTCCGGACCATCCACAATTCCCAAATGAACCCAAAGGAGTCAAGACCATCCTTGAGGCCTCCATCAACCTTGGCTGCGTAGAAAATGTGCCTCCAAGTGTAATACTGATGCAACAGCTTGTTGCAACAAGCACATCCTCGAACTCCAGCCAGATTTTCAGCAGCAAAAGTCCCACATCCAGGAATCCATTGAAAAAGCTGGGCATCTCTGCATTTTACTGCCAAAGTTCCACTGCAAACTCAATTTTATCAAATATTTCTGGGGGAAGGTCAAGAAATACCTCCGGGACAACTGCGACGGCACTTTCGAGACGTTGAAAAAGAATATGCCCTTAGCGATGCAGTCTGTGCAGCTCCGTGCAATCCGACTGTGGGAACATCACATGCACCGCTGGATGGAGGCATATTGGACAGGCCTGGGGATGAAAGATGCTCAATTTCGGGTCAAGCAATTTAGTTCTACTAAGTATAAGTCACATAGATGTGTTCATGAGGCAGTGGCATGTACTTTTGACTGACAGGGAGTTATAGTTCTATATGTGGCCAAATCGGCATCTTCATGAAAAAATTTCTTGCTCAAATTTGATCCAATCAAAAATTCCTCTTGTAGGTTTACTCTACTCATTGAAAGGATCGTTTCTGCAAGAGCATATAAAAATTTGATGTTTTTTCATGGGGGTGGGAACCTTGCACAAAAGTAGCGGTATCTAAGTGATTGGCACCATAGCACATCTCTGACGTCTGACTCTGGAGGAAACCCCAATTCTAACATCTCACTGTTTGATTGTTCATCATCAGACAGGGTGGGGAATTGCATATCCAACATGTCCGGCTGTGGGTGGTTGTGAGAGTTGGTAGGACCCATGAGAACCTCTATGGAACCCAGGCTGGCATCTGGACACAAATTGACCCGAAAGGTTGTTTCACCCAGGTTACAGTCCGGACACCAAGTGTCTAATTTGGGTGTCAACCTGGGTGAATGTCCAGACATCTGTGGAGGGGGTGGTGGTATGCCAGGTTGAAGTCCGGACATGGGCTATTGTTTGATGGATGTAAGATATGGTCGAGTAGTGTAGCGGAACAACACAGCCGATAATGTGGAATGCAAGAGTTCGAATCTTGCTTCTTGTGGCTATTCTAAATACACCTCGCTACTTAGAAAAAGAAAAGAATACACATTTTTTTGAGATTTTTGGTAACCTGGGTTAGAGTCCAGACAAAATTCACCCCTCAGGTGAACCCAGGAGAGCATCTGGACAAAAATCCCCAAAATGTGTCTGGACAAGTTTGGGCCTCAGCCGATGTCCTGCATGATGTGGGAATCATGCATGGACATGAATACTAGGTGACCCTCAAAAGATAAAGTCTGTTAGCTTAGTCCTCAGACTAGTCAACCCATACCTTGGTTTCAAACCATGGTCCATATTTCCAGTTTTCCCCAAGTTTCATGATCTGAATATGTTTTGATGGAAAAAAAGTCTAATGTGAGATGGGAATCACATTTAGACCTAGTTGATGTGAGAAGGGAAATGAAGGTTAAGGTATAGCCTTGCCTTTGGCTTATTCACTTCGGCTAGAGAAAACCATAGAGAAAAGTACAAAGCCAATAAAAAACCTATCCAAAAAGACCGTGTTTCAATTCCTGCCAACTGTCTTATTTTTGCTACCTACTTTTCTCTAGTGTTTCTTTACTTTACTTTTTCATTAGGATGCTTTGACTCACCTGACACTTCATAAAATTGTACCCATAGGGTATGATGTCATTATGATGTCATAAGACTCCACAGATACTCCTGCAGGTATTCTGTTGAAAGATATTATGTCATCAAGCTCTAGATTATTCTACTCTACAATGACATCATTCATGATGTCATTTCCTTCTAGAATATTCTGCTCCACAATGATTCACTCTGACTCACTCATGGAAGGTTCTGGAATCTTTTGCTCCACAATGATGTCATTACTCCACATTCCAGAATGTTCTGCTCCACAATGATGTCATAGCTCCATCTTTCACTTGTATTTTATTCTTTTATTGGGTTTGACCCAATATTTTGATTGGTCCTCCTTATTTTTTATTGTTTGTGAACCTAGGTTACTTTCCCACACAAAATGTATATAAGGAGAGCCCATTCTCCCCCCAAAAAAAATATGATCTCCCATTTGTAGCTATCTGCCTATCAGATATTTCACTTGCAAAGTTAGTCCCTTTGAAGTGAGACAAGTGCAGGGAAAAGAATTCCCTTGAGATTATAAGTTTCTTACCTTAGAAACTTATTTAGTGCTATAGACCAAGCGTTCTTGGTCACATATATTGTCTTTGAGACCCCTTTGTCTCATTGCTCTGTGCCCTTTGACTAAGCGATCTTAGTCATCTATCATATTGTTGAGACCACATCTCACTAGTTGTCCCATAGACCAAGCGATCTTGGTCAAGTTATAGTCCCCTTTGTTCAAGCGATCTTGAACATATATCGTATATTTGAGACCATTGTCTCACAGTCAGGTGTCCATAGACCAAGTGATCTTGGTCATATTTTGTATATTTGAGACCACGTCTCACTAGTTCCAGTATCCAAGTCCAGAGCCTAGAAGGAGATTTCCTAGGCAAATACATTCCAGAAACCGAATTACGTGTCTAGAAGCTTATTCCTAGACAAGAGATTTGAGTTTCAATAAAGAAAAGTAAAGCTCCAGCTAGGTTGATCTTTATAAAAAGATTAATTTAGTGAGCCTCCCAAGAACTCACACGTTATCTACCACGAAATAGGAAAAGTTGTAGACCGTGTTAATCGAGGACTGGCAAGCAGTCTTATCCAAAGTGTAATTGTGGTGTCATTACATTTACACGACTTTATATAAGACCCTCGGTTATTAAGACAGCGCTTTCTGGTAGACTTTTTCACTGGATGCTTGGATCTTGTGTCTGAACCCTTTCTGGAAATTGCCTCTGCTGGTTCTCTCATCATCTTATTGTCACCTTCCCAGCCTTTAAATACAAAGGTTGGGCAAACATGGCCATTCTGTCTTTGACACCACAACTCTAACAGCCGGTCAGCATCAGCCATCCAAACCTTCGACTGTTACGACTTGGATAGTATCTGTTGACGATGCTCAAACAGAGCGTGTGTCGTCAACGGTTGAGGACGTCCTTGGGCTAGCCCAAGGTTAGGGGTCTTACTTGGCAAGGCTTCGGCAAGTAAGATTTGACACCTATGTCCAAATTGGGTAGCTTATGTCAAGTGGGGCTCGACGATAAGCATATCTGCCAAGGCTTACGACACCCAAAGGTTAATTGTAAGATCTGCGTTAATAGAAGGACAGAAGTCCGACTAGTTAACAGGGGCTTTGCTCGTCGATGAAGTCAATGAGTAAAGATTGAGACTAAAGACTTATCCGCGATGAGCAGATAAGAAAGTAGAATATAGACTGCTGGCTAGGCAGAAGGAATCACTCTTGTTAGGAGTAGGAGGTCAAGAACCAAGTAGATTCAAGTTAAGGAACTAGATACATGGTAGCAAGTTTATATAGAGGAGAGGAATCATATTAGTGGGTGATAACTCGTACTACCGGGAAAGGAATTGGTCAAAGGGTGATACTAAAAGAGGAAGGCACATTCGTGGTGAGTCATAAGTGAACCAAACGTGCAGATAAGAAAGTGAGTCAGAGAACAGAATCAGGAAGTGAAACAAGCAGGGGCACGATCGTGCAACTGCGGAACTAAGTATAAGTAAAACGTGCGACTGCGCACCGAGTCATAGATCAAGAAAGGAAACAGGGTAAAGGGGATGCGGCGTGCATCGTATCATAGGTTACCGTTCGGATGGTAAGGGTAGAGGGGACTGTCCACAGGATCAGTCAGCAGGTGGAACGGAGCACGGGTATGCTTCGTCAGAGAAAGGGTCCGGCCAGATGTACTGGCTCTGCTGGAGTGACAGGTAGAGAGCGAAGAGGAACACGAGGATGACGAAGATAACAAGAGTAAGGTCGGGGTAAGGGTGTGATGCAAGGGCTGAGATGAGGAGGATGAGGAGAAAAATGGTAGGGGCCCAAGCATCTAGATGTTCTTGTAACATTGACAGATCGTTGAGCTTCTAGCTGGTAGGTAAAAATTTGGCTGTAATAAAGTTCCCCTGAGCCTTTCTCACTGAGGCCTAAGGCACAGACACCTTTGGTTGTTGGCTGCACAACCCTGAAAAATAGCCAGTCAGTTGATCAGCTCTCCAGATGCATCATTTGTGAAACTGACTGTAGTGTTTTGTGAGGAATGTTCTTATAAGACACTTTTTACTCTCGAGGTTAAGCTCTTTCATGTCCGGTATGACTGGAAGCCCATAGCTATCCACCTCTAAAGGATATTTGTCCTTCTTTCTGCCTTTTTTTTTACCTCCCCCTCACTATCATTGTTATCATTATTCAGGTCAACATCTGGTATCACCCCATGTCGCATAAGTACTTGACTGAATGATGCAAGATTGTCAAACAGATGCTCCCGAACTCTTCTCCAGCATAGGCATTCCACTCTGATAACATGGGCTTCCAGTCCTTTGTATCAGTAAAACTATTGTCCTCCAACTTTTCATTGAAGTCAATTCTTCCAACCAGATCAGTATTCATTTACCAGTTGAGTGTGAAGTGGAACTCACTCATTGATCTGCACTTTGTCTTCCTCTTTCCATGCTAATAATATAAAAATTCTCATACCAGCCTGCTTCCACAACTTGGATGCCAGGTCCTTCATCAAAATGGGTGCTTTCTTCTTTGCAAAGTCCACCTGGACGGCTGCAGGAGGAGCCTTGGCAGACCACTCAATTGCAGTGTTCTGAGCTTCTTCTAACTCCTCTTTAAATAGACTTGCCATGACTGTAGTGAGTGTTGTCTGATATTTTTCAATAAATCTCTTCAATCCTGGTATCGTTCCGGTCTTTTCAATGATCTCCTCCTTGAGCAGTTGTTCTATGACCAACCGGGAAGTCCATTTCTGACCCAACTTGCTGGCCTTTTTTCGAGTCTTTTCGGGTCTCTGGTTATATAACCAGTCCCGGTACATCTCAATACATCATGATAAAAGTCAGTCATCATGCATAAAATTTGAAGCTCAACTGCTCACATATTTTCTGTTCTTCAGTGACTGGTCATCCATGGCAAAGGCATGCACCTTTGCCTTTTTTATAACTGCCTTCAGAATCTTTTTTCTATTGTTGGCAGTAGTTTCCTTCCATTTTTCTAGGTGGGATTTTAAGACCAGCACCTCTTCCTCAGTTAATTTCTTCTGCTTGCTCTTTTGTGGGCTGTTGACTGATGAGTTGGATTGGGGCATGGTAAAGCAGTTGAGGAGCAGTTGAGGTCTTGGTAGAAGAAAGGATGCATGCATGTCTCACAGTATTAGGTTACATAACTGACATATGTGACTGCAAACCGAACAAGAGATTGTCCAATACTTGTTTGTTGATATGATTGGTATGATTCCCTTGACATCCTATGTGTTTCAGATGCATAGAATTGAGAACTGTACAAGCATACATACCTAGACTTGTATTATATAGTATATGGGCAGCATACAGCCCTCAAGTACTGCATACAGGCCCTGTGCAATCATATTCCACAACTTGTTCAAGTAAGTATCATCACAAATGACTTTGGAGGCCAACATAAATGTGCATACAAACAGCCAGTGTCCCAAAGATCAAACAAGAAGCCTGTTTGTGTCCATAGAGTGGGTTATTATGTTTGAACTGTTCTCTCAGAGCATGTTTTGCAATGCTAGTGCCCTCGACTGAAGGATAATCAATGTATTCACTTTACCAGACTCATCAATCATCTGATTGAAAGAAGCATGTATTACTGCCGAACCCTCTTAATTAACTGGATTACTTTTCTAAGACCAACACTCCGGAACACTGGATAGACAGAAGTATTTGAACCTTGAAATGTAACCTCCGGTCAACGTACTCTATCAAGTCAATTGTCATCTAACTTGAACATGAAATTCATGCGACTCATGTTAATAGCAGGATTACAGTGTTTGTTATATGATGCAACTATGGCAACCCTCAGTGACTCCAACCTTAATATATACCAAATGGAGGTAATATTACAAGATCATCAGGATCAATGTGGTAATCCTGACTATTCAAACCATTCGGAGTCTGGACAACACCAGATCAATTGGTCCCTTCATGAATGATTAGGTCATTCAATGACTAACAAGGGAAAATGTGGTAATCTCAATGGTTCAAATCACCCAGAGTCCAGAAAATTGATGGAAGGCACCCAAGTCATCAAGTGTTCAGCATACTTATCCTATCCAGTTGTAGTACCAACATGCCAAAGACCAAACAAAAGAGAATCACATACACCCCTCCTACAAAGAAATAATTGCCTCAGCTGTATAAGCTCAAGGAAACAACTACAACTAGAGGATCCAGGTCATCTTGGGTGAATAATTCATGGGCTCGGAAAACAAAGTCAGTAACATCATCACTGACAAAATCTCCCTCAAAGCATATATCTGGGTCCCCTCACTTGCTGTATGAAGATGCCAATTTTGACTTTGACCAAGGTGACATCCTACAGCATAAATCTCTGAAATCTCTGGCAAGCAACAGTCATCTTCATTTCCTGAGTCTAGGTCTGACTGGTGTAATGATGGTTGCAGTGCTGGGCTCAGAACCACATATTTTCATACTCACATCAACACCCGAAGCATATGCACACATGTCTGACACACTTGTGCACATGTCTGAGCCACTCCACATTGGACCTTCGGACATCACATCAGCCAATCGCACTTCACACACACTTGTCCATCCCATGTCCTGTCCTTCCGAACTAGCCTCACTAGGTGAGTAGTTATTTCCATGCATGTTTTCTGACATTCGGACTGCATTATTACATGTCCGCAGCCCCTTGTGTCTTATTACATAGGACATTGGACTCAAAAAATATTGCTACTATCTTCGCCTGTAGTATTCCAGATTTCTATGTACTTACTTAAATACTCTGTAGTGACCCGTAGCAATTATCATCCAGTAGTTAGGAGCCATTTCCTGACTCTGTGGATCACCCAGAATATTCTCGTAGTTCTTAGTTGCATTGCGAAATATTACCGTTCATTCACCGTCACAAACCCGCCATTCATTATACTCATGATACCGCTCGCAACCCGACACTCATTACATAGTCTCCGACCTATATTCATAAAGTCTGAAAGTCTGAAATCTCAGACATCGCACTTTGGCTTTGGACATCGGATAAGTACCCTCAGACATCATTGGATTACCATCAGACATTGTTTCATAGCTTCAGACATTCGTGATTTGCATTACTGACACATTTATACTACTAATACCAATTAGCAATCCCTTTAGGATTAAATGCACTTGCTCTGCAAGTATAGCAGCATAGGTCGTGCTAAAATATTGTTGACTAGGTAGTACAATTTCTGCTGAGCCCAGCAGAGACTTACTCTTTACAATGGGAAAGATCCAGATGAACTTCCGGAAACTTGGAGGATTGGAGGATTGGAGGATTGGAGGATTGGAGGATTGGAGGATTGGAGGATTGGAGGATTGGAGGAGCGGAGGAGCGGAGCTCTGGCCTAGGGAATTCCTCCCTAGGCCTAAGGAAGATTTCACAAGGAAGGAACTAGTATAAGGACTTAGTGTGAAGACTAGTGCAAGGACTAATATGATATTCAGACTGAGGAACTACAGGACATATACAAGAGTTTATATACTAAGTGACTATTGGAAAGATCAATAAGCAAAGGTCCGAAGGCTATGTATGAAGCATAAGCAAAGTTTACCAAACCCAAGTCGGAAATGAAGCATAGGTTAATAGATCAGTAAGCATACTGGTAGTAAGTATAACCGAGATACCAGGAACAAGGAATAATGAATAGGCTGTGTTAACGTTATATGAATGGTAATTGAATTAAGAAGCTTATTGTATATCGGATTGGAAGCAGATCTGTACATTGGATCGGATTGGATCTAGGCTCTGAGGTCTGAATGAAGTGTGGGAACATTGTCAGGTGTAGGTCCAGAATATGGGATATGACACTTACTCTCTCCCACTCACTACTTGCTCCTCTTGCTCAATAGAACTCATTATATCATTTACTCCCTCTGAAATATAGTGTTTTGTGTTTATGATCTTAACAAGTGTGAGATAAGTTTGGAAAGTGTACAATAAGTAAAATAAGTATCTCTGAATTATGCTACTGGCACAGCTCACAATGTAGGAATGAGTATAAAATGATTGCCAAAAAAAGCTAAAATAAATTTGGAAAAAGTTGAAGTCAAGAGGAGGCATCTGCTTTTTCGACTTATGATTGTCTTGTGGCAAGTTCAAGGCAAGTTGGTGTCACTGTTCTTATGAATGGCCTTTCCACTCCTTTTTGGGAATTATCTGGTGGCAAGTTGCAAAAAAGGAAGGTCCAGAAATGTGTGAATTTACTGATGCAGGCTGAGATGGTGGTACTCAATGTTACGACTTGGATGGTATCTGTTGGCGACGCTCAAACAGAGCTTGTGTCGTCAACGGTCTGTGGACGTCCTTGGGCTAGCCCAAGGTTAGGGGTCGTACTTGGCGGTTCTTCAGCAAGTACAATTTAACGCCTATGTCCAAATCGGGTAGCTTATGTCACGCGGGTGCGAGACGATAAGCTATATCGGCCTAGGCTTACGACACCCGAAGGTTAATCGTAAGGATCGTCGTTAATTAGAAGGACAGAAGTCCGACTAGTTAACAGGGGCTTTGCTCATCAACGAAGTCGATGAGTAAAGGTCGAGACTATAGGCTTATCCGCGATGAGCAGATAAGAAGATAGAATATAGACTGCTGGCGAGGCAGAAAGGATCACTCTGGTGAGAGTAGGAGGTCAAGAACCAAGTAGATTCAAGTTAGGGAATATAGTACATGGTAGCGAGTTTATATAGAGGACAGGAGACGTATTAGTGGGTGATAACTCGTACTACCGGGAGAGGCAATCGGTAAAGGGTATAACCATAACAGGAAGGCACGTTCGGTCGAGGTAGAACGTGCTAGATAAGAAAGTGAGTCAAAGATCGGAATAAGAAGTGAAACACGCAGGGGCACGATCATGCAGCTGCAGATCTAAGTATAAGTCGCATGTGCGACTGCGCACCGAGTCAGAGATCAAGAAAGGTAATCAGGGCAAAGGGGATGCATCATGCATCATATCATAGGTTACCGTCCAGACGGTAAGGGCAAGGGGACTGTCCACAGGATCAGTCAGGTGGTGAAACGGAGCATGGGTATGCTTCGTCAGCAAAAGGGTCCGGCCAGATGTACTGGCTCTGCTGAAGCGACAGGTAGAGAGCGAAAGGGAATGCGAGGATGACAAGGATGACAAGGGTAAGGTCGGGGTAAGGGTATGACGCGAGGGCTGATACTAGGAGGATTAGGAGAAAAATAGTAGGGGCCCAAGCGTCTAGATGTTCTTGTAACACTCAAAGGGCAGGGTTGATCACCATGTTTTGCTGGCTTTCAGCAAGGGTGGGCTTGTGGGTCTTCAAAGAACACCCACCAAAGGCAACACAAGTTTTTGCAATCTGGTGCAATTTGTGTGGACTTACATTTAGGTACACCACACAGACATGGTTGAGAGGACACATCACCAATGGACAAGATTTCTGGACCTTACACTGCTGGAGGTAGTTATAATTTGAACAATAATATTTACAACAAACAGTCCCATATGCATGACTATAATCCAGTAACACTTGAAACAGAACTCTAAAAATCTCCAAGATCGACCTCTATCATTTCAATGACAGACACCTCCAGACTCTTGTCCTTCTTCGCGCCTGTTCGCGGGTCTGACAATGTTAAAGGTGGCAGCGGCGATATTGATCGTCCACCGGCCGCATCATGCGCCTGAAGTGCAGGCGTACCAGTCCCATTCACATTCGGCGTACCCGATCTGTATGGGATTTCATTTGGATGGATTTGATGGGCCAGAGAAGCGAAGCATGATGCAATCAGGGGCAAGACAGATGACCAAGTGACACCAACCATAATAATGAGTACAAACCTTGATATTGTGTCGTTGAACAATCTTGGAACAGTTTTTAATCTCGCACTCGGGTCCGCTGGGGTTGCGGTGCCCGAGGCATTCATTTTGCGTTCCCTTCGTTTTCGTTCGGCCTCCAACATTTCCGCCTTGCGAACTCCTTCTAAATTGGCCTTACGATTACGCTCATTCACTTTCGCGAGTTTGTCGTTAAGCGACTCTTCACCCCCATTCCGAGGAGTGGCTACCGCGGGCAGCTCTGCCAACTTGGCATCAATTTCAGCAACTTCGGCATAGTCTTGTCGCCGGATAGCCAGTGTCTTGGCCTGCACAAGTGATGAGCGCTGTAATGTGAGGGATGCACCAGATGGTAAGTTTGATAGTTGGCTTTTCCGTGCCAACATAGCAGTGATGTCGCTCTAAGCCTGGTTCAGCAGTGACCACTTTGAAAAGGTAACGGAAAATTTCATACTTCTGTCATAGGCTGTGTGATCAACTTGGACATCTGCGCAACCTTTTTCTCAAGGGCACGCTTGGATGGTAACTTGACGTCGTCCGCAAGGCACACTTTCCCTAGACGTTCGAATTCTCGCTAGATCACAATAGAGTAAATAGAAACAGCCAGTGGCAACGGAAAACAAACCTGTGTGAACGCTGCATTTGACACCTTGTCCATATGGAACACTTTGAGCGACTTGCCATGCTTCAGCTCAAGCGTTTGGTTCACGGTGACATCGTTAATCTTATATGGCTTCGTAAGATTTACTCCCAGGTCTGGCTCGAATTAGACAAAATATTCACGCTCCAATTTCTGACACTCACTTTGTATCTCACAAATCCTGTACTGTGGCTGATCTTTCTCATCTTGGCCCACAAGATAGCGAACCCAGCCACCTTGGGTCTTGAGCCATGTGGCATTAAAGACTACTATAGCACTCACCCTTCACATAGTCCTCGAACCAAGGAGCCATGCAATATTTCGCAAGTTGGTCTCGCGTTAATCTGCACCCCATGAGATCCTCGAGCGACGATGGCTCGTCCGCAGGGTCAGGCTGCCTTGAAAATAGCTTCCTGTCCTTCTCTTCTTCCTCTTCGTAACGCGTTATTTGACCGTCCTCTTCCTCGCCCGAAGACATGTCCATGTCATTGGGTGAGGAGGACCGATCTCGCTTGGGAGAGTGTGTCTTCGTCTGCTTGAAATATAAGAGACGTAAGTATACTGATGATCAGCATACGCACACGCTTCTTCTCGTCCTTTGCTTTTCGCCTAGCCTTGAGTTCGTCAAGTGTGCGAGACTTCTCTTTTGTGGCGCCTCGGGAAGTACGTTGGCCTGTCAAACAATAACATCAGAGGGAGACTGTGCCATAAAGCACTGTGAGTACGTTTTGCAGCTTTCGAAATACTCTCAGGATCTCCAGATTGTGCTTGAAGCATCTCATGCAGCTTTCGCTTGTCTTGTATTCGCATCAACTCCTCTTGCCGCCCAGCAAGGATTTCTTCTCTTTCAATCTCAGGCATAGAAAGTAACCTAACAGGTATCAATAGGTTGATAGATGGCAGTGTCAAAACTACACTTGCACATGTATTCAAGATGTACTCACCGCTCCCTGTCTGACTCATCTATGTACTTGCCCTCAAGTGGGAACTTTACGTCCTCCGACTCCTCTTCACTCTCCGGCCCATCCTCTGCGTCACTGTCATCTGAGACTCTGTGGTTTCCCGAGATTTGTAATGAGCACAGCGGTGAGCCGGATCAAGGAGAAGGCTCACTCCGTTCTGCGCTTCTTGGCTGCGGAAGCCCTGGAGCCTGATACTTGGTGTTTGCGCTTTTTCTCTGTGGCGCCAGCAAGCTCAAGGAGCTCATCATCGAAGTCACCTTCAAAGTCGGACATGATGGAAAAAGTAAGGAAGCAAAAGTGTTTTACGAAAGCTGTTCGACTGTGTTGCTGTGTATTTGCAGACCCCCTAAAAGAGGGGTGAGAGTGTGGGAATCATGCCTTATTCGGAAGAAATTGCACTAGTACTGTGCTGTACGTTGTGTGTCCATGAACGCCGTCATCTCCTCTCCAAACTCATTTGCACCGTCAGCGCCCCGACTAAGACCAATTTTGAATAGTCTAGCTAAGCCACCCATAGCTAGCCATTAATCTTTTGTGATCCAATTCGAGGCAAATATTCGTGACTTCCTCTTCCTTCGCGAACTTCGTAGGAATGGCATATTTTTTCGCATCTCCCGTTGATGTCGACATCAAATTGGAAGGAGAGGAGCTGAGGAAGCAGGTGGATATAAAGACTGACAAGGACCGCACAGCTTCATGTCCAGTCTATTATGACGGTGACTCAATAACAGGGCAGGTATGCGTTGGATATTAGCCGGATGATTACGTCCAAGATGCTCACGCCGCTACAGGTGACCATTCGCGTTCGCGACGGAAAGCGAATGACTCACGAGGGCATCAAGGTTGAGTTTGTTGGCAGCATCGGTGGGCATTTACATATTCTGTCATGGTTCATTAGCATCTCATTGTCTTTGGCATCAGAGTTGTTCTACGATCGGGGGCATCACCATGAGTTCTTATCATTATCTCAAGAATTGGCATCACCTGGAGACCTGCGTCAAGCCCAGACCTTTGACTTCCTCTTCAAGAATGTCGAGAAACAATTCGAGAGTTACCAGGGCATCAATGTCAAGCTACGGTGCGGTGTCTCTCACGCCATGCAGATGCCAATTGACCTTTTCTAAAGCTACTTTATACGAGTTTCTGTTACAAGGAGAATGGCGGATGTTACGAAGGAGAAAGATATATGGGTACACTCGTATCGCATGCCTCCAGATAGTAATAATTCCATCAAGATGGAGGTCGGCATTGAGGATTGTTTGCACATTGAATTCGAATACAATAAGTCAAAGTGTGTCATATTTTATTATGCGACCGGCCATGATGCTGACCGCACGCCAGGTATCACCTGAAGGATGTGATTGTTGGCAAGATATATTTCTTGCTTGTTCGTATCAAAATCAAGCATATGGAGCTTTCTATAATACGACGCGAAACAACTGGCTCCCCACCAAATCAGTACAACGAGAGCGAAACAATCACAAAGTTTGAAATCATGGATGGCGCTCCTGTTAGAGGTTGGCACGAACACACAATACAATCTTCTACGCTCGTTGCTGACTGACTCTTAGGAGAAACCATCCCTATTCGACTATTCCTCGGTGGCTTTGATCTCACACCGACGTTTCGCGAAGTGAACAAGAAATTTAGCGCACGTTACTACCTGAATCTTGTGCTTATCGATGAAGAGAATCGACGGTACTTCAAACAACAGGTATGTTGTCTTGTTTTCATTAGTTTACATTTACCTGACGTCAAAAGGAAATAACGATATTCAGGATACCAGAGGTGCGTTTGGAGACTTTGTGTCGTGTTTCACGGACTGATTTTCTTGAGAAGAACTAGCTAGTACTGCACGGCATGATTCTTGTACTCGCAGTCTCGTCTAATGATGCTGGCTTCTGCCTTTTCCGCATTCTGCCCACGACAACATTTTCTACTGATACAGGAATGAGACACTACGAAGGATAAAAAGGAAAGTAATACGGATACAGCAAAACTAATCGATTCCGAAGGTAGTTTTTTTTTCCTTTTCTTTTTTTCTTCTTTTTTCTTCTTTTTCTTCTTTTTTCTTCTTTTTCTTCCGAGTCCAATCGTTGTCCTGTTACTGTGCAGGTCACCAAGCAAGATGTCACCGCTGGTCAAACACTGTCCTCGCTCCTCAGCTGTCTTCTCTCTTCAACTCTGCCTTAAATTTCATACATCTACTTCCCCGTTCAGTCTCCGCAAAGTCTTCTCTCGGTTGAGCGCTGTCTGGCTCTCGTGTATGAAAGCATCCGCGGACGTAATATGCTTCTGATCGATGACAGTCTGCGGCCTACTGTCGCGCAAGGTTTCTGCGCTCAACGGGAACATCAAGTCGTCAGGATCGGCAGATGCACGTCGTGAGCTGATTGCCGTTACACCACCATACATCCTGATACTTGCAGTTGATTGGGAACGCGCAATGGTTGACCACTGTGAAGAGTGCGTAGTGGCAACACTGTAGTATTTGCTCACGAGCTCGAGCGAGCGAAGGGATGACAGCTGTGTATGGTGGCGTTTCAGTGAGTCCGAGCTTTCGCCCTCTGGGTGGGCAGTTGGGGGATAACTAGTAATTCTTGCCCGTGTGGGTCTTGCGGGAAACTGGACTGTATAAATGTCGCTGTGTTGTGATACAAGTTTCGTCCATGGTAACATAAGTCCTTTCGCGCGCGTATACGCGGGCTGCGGAATGGACGTAAGCGGAAATTTGGGTTTGTGTTCCATGGAGTCGCTAGTACGGACCACTGCGCATTCTGTAGCCACGTCCTTTTCACCATATGACTGCGCAACATTACGACACGTGGCAAGAGCTAGAGGCTCTGACTTGTCATCTTCGTGTCCTTGACTGAGCATGGATCCGGGGTACTTGCCAGTAACACTGGGGGCAAGGACAACGACTGCATCGTCGAAGATGGCCTGCGCAGACTGGCGCCGAGTGTTGCGCTTCGAGGGGATGACATCATTGCGGGATGTAGGCACTTCTGCAGATGTGTTCTCGCCAGATTGCCTCCGCAATTCATCTGCGTGGATAGCCCGTTCGGGAAGAGGGAGTGCAGAAAAGTGTCTGCCAGTGTGCGAGACCGCCAGCTCGCCAGCTTCATCGTGCACTGTTGCACGTTGGTCTACCTCGCCCCTTTCCACATCCTTTTCAATTGCAGAGGACGGGCAAGACAGGTCTGAGAATTGCAAAGACTGTATAGTCATGCGTCGATTGGCTATGAGCGAGTGGGAGGTTGATAAAGGCTTGCCACGACGCCACAAGAGTAGCTCCTTGTTGAGGATCTCAAAGTTTTCATTTTCGTCCATTCTGTGCATTAAATATCAGCAAATTGAACAAACGTGGTGCCGAGGAACCCCACCCTTTTAATGTGCCAACAATTATGCAAATCCTGGATATCAGTCGTAGGATTCTTCTGGAAAGCGGACCAGCAAAGCCGCCCACTAGAAATCCAAGCAGGCATTCAAAGGCTCCTAGCTTGATGCCGAAAACAATCCACCCAGTACCGTTGAAAAAATGACGTTCGTCGGTATTATTGATATCGATGCGCCATTGATCGAACAAGGCAGTGGCGAGCCGGTACAACGCGAGAAAGCTTATTAAACATTGATAATTTGTATACAGTCCGAGTGACATGTGGCCGAGATTCAGCCATAGCAATGTGCTCTTGTTGCTGAAGTCGATCAGTGGCGAAGATAAATTTTCTGACGATACATCAGTTATGAACAATACGAATGCATTGAATCTCTCACGGATAGACATTCCGAGCGATACCGCGAAATTGAAGGCTACATACACGGGAATTAGACCGGTGAATAGATATTTGGCTACAGGTCTGAAACGGTGAGGGAGGTAAGGAATGAATTCCATACGACTCAGCCAGAGTAGATATGAGGTGTATAACAAGATAGGAAGAAAAGAAACGGATCCTGGAAGAGTAGGCGTATGTCTCAGCGTTCATGCCGTCTGGTGCGCATGGTCACATACCAAGGAATAGCTCGGCCACCCTAGAAATGGCAATCGAATTCCGCGCAGCGGGCAATACATGCAATAAAAGGTCGACCAGCGCCAAGATAAAATACAAAACACCGTCTGCGGCCAGCAATAGGTGCGCTCTACATGTGAAACCATTAGCCAATTAACGTGACAGATGGTGATAGATATGGATATGAAGGGCGCCGTCGCGAGGAACGGCGTAAAGCCTTGAGCTCAATGCCCAAGCTGTTTCGGCTGGAATTAAATCTGACGCACCTCCTCGATTTCCGGGTCATATAAATCAAAAACAGGCAGAAAAAGAGCTCGATAACGGGAGGGATGGTAAGGGCGTGCATTTGAACGAGGTTCAGAGGAACGCAGCGAAGATTTTCTGCAAGAAGCAGACAAGTCACAGAGTTCGATGACGAACTCATACTAGCAAACAGGTGCTCAAGAAAAACGATAAGCTTGTGGCAAGTGAATAAGGATCGTGGGCAGAAGCCAACAAATGACGACTGAAGTTGGTTGGGAGACTTAGACCGAGTAATAATATTGATGCAGTACTTGTTGCGAAGGCGGCAATCTGTGGAGGCTCAGCCTATATACTGGTGGGGGGATACAAGAGTCATATGCTACTTATCTTTGGACGACCTTTGAACGATAGATATAATTTTTCCCTCGAGATCGCAATGGCAACTTGCAAATTCCACGTGGCAGATATGATCAGCGGTGTTTGCCTTATTTAGACAATTAATTGTCCTCGTTCTCGTCGAAAAACAAATCGGCTAATGGCAATAGACGAGCGACACCAAATGCAGATCGAGATATTCACTACCGCCGTTACCGGGGCACCCTGGTCTCCATTGGTCGGCAAATTCCAGTTCTCAGCAACAGGTTGATGGGCTAGCACTGAGTTCTGCTGCAGATATATTTAGAACAGAGACTGTCACACGTATAACTCACCAGTTGCGACTAGTACTACTAAACAGCCGTGTCGCACTAGCACCTGGGAAGTGGGGTCGAATACAAACACCGCTGGCGCTTTCGAAGATTGCCTAGGTCCCAAACGTCTGGTTCGAGACGTACTACCGCCGCCGAGTTGCAGCTTCGCTTACGACCTCATATGTCATATTTATTGCCTGCATTTGCTTCTAAATCCTTCTCAGTTCGTGCGAGAAAGATGATGCGAAAAAAAAAGTATTGCAATGATATTAGATATATTCCAACCATCAATGTACTTGGTGTGCGACATCGACTAAACCGCAATAGAAACGTACCTGCTCTTGATCTTTTCTGTAAGCTTACATGACTAAATTAGCGGCCTCCCAACAGCGACTATCTGCATTGCGCAACATAGAAACAATGACGAACGACTCACTGCAAGGATTAGGGTAAAATGTATTGCAGGGGCGAGCGCTGTGCTGTCACATCGAGACCTTGTATCGTATAGTCAAAGTATGATCATCCCAAATGAATGCAACTCCAAGACCCGGAGAAAGAATTGATCGCAGATTGCACTTGGCGGAATTCTCCGACTCCAGAACAGAGCAGCCAAAAAATATAGGCTATATCAGAGCTGTGTCTCGCTATGCCACGGTAAAATGCGGCGGCACAAACGCTGTGTCTGACAGAGATGCAAGTTGAAAATCTGCCGACTCTCGGTCAGGCGCAAAACTTGATTCCAACTAGCGCGACGGAGAGAAGCAACTGACCCGCAGCTTCTCAGTCGCTGTTAGTCGCCTATTTCTTCAAATCTTGAATATCCGCACTTCGTAAAAAAAACACGGCCGATGCATTAAATAAGCTAGTGGGTTCGGAGGGTTCTTGATGAAAACGCCATGGAGATGCGGAATGTGTAACATAGCGGAATCCTGGACACTCCTGGACACCCCTGTGTATGTTCCGTCATTGGAGCGGCAACACCATATAGGCACCATCATATAATCAGCAGAATGAAACCTGATGGCTGTTGAAAATAGCTCGCACGTGTGCGAGGGTGAGTGTTATTTCATGGAATGGCACGAGACAAGCTGCCAGCGACAGCGGACAATAATTCAACAGGCAACTTGGAAATCTTCAAATGATTGTAGAATGGCGGATGATGGGGTCTAAATCCCCTTGAGGGCTATGACGCGTGACGATAGAATGACAGACACTGGCATAACTGCAGTCAGTGATAGTAGACGCATTATGACTAGATCAATGGCAGGAGCAAGCGAACGCACGATACTCCTCGAAAGAAAATGACGAAACCGATATTAAATTCCCACGATTTATTTACACTTTGCAGAGGCTCCAACAACCAAGTGACCCACAACACACTATGGTGGTGAGCATTGGACTAATCGCATCAAGTAAACTGGTTTCATTGAGCCCTTTCAGAAAATATCTGTTCTCCAACATGCTCCTTCAGTACACCTACCTGCACGTCCTGGAGATCCTACGCCTACCACTCGCAATCTCGATCCTTTGATGCACCCATTTGCTCGCGCTCGCGAGCGAAATCGTGCTTTGAATGCTGCAAAGATGGACAAGCTGTTTGCGAAGCCCTTCGTAGGAGCTCTCGAGGGTCACATAGACGCTGTCGAGGTGTTGTGCAAAAAGCCTGGGTCGTTGAGTGCTGTTGCCAGCGGTAGTTGGGATGGGGGTACGTTAAGAAATCGACTTGACTGACAACAATTCATGCTCAAAAATTCCCTTCCTATAGGTGTGATGTTGCATAATGTTTCCGAGCGCAAACATATCCGTCGAATACAAGGTGCTCATAAGGGCAAAGTGTCGGGCCTTTGCTTTGCTCAAGACGACCGGCTGCTAAGCTGTGGTGTGGATAGCAAAATCAAAATTTGGGATGCGAGCCCGCAAGATGATATAACAGTCAGTTTCTCAGTTGGCAACTATTTTTTTTCGTGTATCTATCCTAGTCCATTTAGGAGCAGCGCCCGTTGAACGAATATCCTGGGAAATCACCATTCAAGTACGATGCTTAAAGATGCTAAGATCTACATCTGATTCACACTTACCTTTACAGCTCAATAGACCACCATCGTTCAGACCCACTTTTTGCTACAGCTTCAAACATTGTTCAAATATGGGATGAAACAAAGTAGGCGCTGTCCATGTCTATGACCGCATCTCAGCTGACTTGACATCCAGGAGCGCTGCAATATCCAATTTAACGTTCCCCACGTCCACCGAGACCATCACGTCTGTGCGATTCAATTTGAGTGAAACAAGTGTACTTGGCAGTATTGGCTCAGACCGAACTTTCACCCTCTATGATATTCGCACAGGAAAGGCAGAGCGTCGCATTGTCATGCAGATGAGCTCAAATGCACTTGCGTGGTCACCAACCTTTCCAACGGCTGTCTTGCTGGCATCTGAGGATCACAATCTTTATACATTTGATGTCAGGCAACTAAAAACTCCCACTCACATTTACAAGGGACACGTTGCAGCAGTTATGAGCTGCGACTGGAGCCCCACTGGAATGGAATTTGTTAGCGGTGGATGGGACCGAACAACCAGAATTTGGAAGGAGGGGCAGGGCACGAGACCAGAAGTGTACCATACTAAACGAATGCAAAGGTAAGCCTGTGTATCTCTGTTCGTTGGCTTGTTAAATCGTGAGACAATAAGGGTCTCATCATCTATTTTCACTGCCGACGCGCGCTTTGTGCTGACGGGTTCTGATGATGGTAATGTACGGATATGGAAAGCCAAAGCATCAGAAAAGCTTGGCATCATCACAGCCCGGGAACGCGCCGCAATCGAATACCGGGATACCTTAAAAGATAGATGGAAGCATGACAACGAAGTTGGCAGGATTCAACGGTAACAATTATTCCGCTTGGTTTGGAATGCACTCACTAGTAGCACAGCAACCGACACTTGCCAAAGCCGGTCTACCAGGCTGCAAAGCTCAAACGCACTATGCTCGATGCTCGTTCCGTCAAGGAGGAGCGCCGGCGGAAACATACGCGTGCCGGGGAGAGCAAACCAAACGCAGAGCGCAAAAAGGTGGTTATCACGGAGCAGACTTAATTGCACGCTCGACGATAGCCTATACCTACATTATGACCCCCTGTCTGCTGCTGCTGCTGATTGTTGCAACGATTTATGAATGGGTTGTAACCAATTTTGCAAGTTGCAACACGTCGTTAGTATCCTTCGGTATCCGGGCTGCGGTACACAACGAACATTAGATCTTGAGTTTGGGGTGCCGGTGAAGCTATGAAAATTTAAAGCTGCCACGTAGGCAGTCAAGGCTAATATTGTTAGTGAGAATATAGCAGCTATAGCTAGCGCACCAAGTCTCAGACAGTAAATTCTGTGCATACTGTGTAAATTTTACCACGCGCGAGAGCCTGCTACTGGCATATTATGTAATGGAAACTCATAGAAAGTCACGCAAGAAAGGAAATAATTTCCCGGTCTGTCATTCTACTTGAACCTCCTGCTAGTATGCTAATTGCCAATCGTGTTACATGCTGCATGATAAATTGGTAATGCTCTTGCATACCAAGAACTTTCAATTGGTTGCTATATGTTTTTGAATATATACCAGGAGTCTTCACATATGAACACCCAGAAACGCCTTGTCTATGCGCACCTTCGCTCCCGGGCCAGTGGCCAAACCAAGCATGACGAGTACTTCTACTTTCCTCCCCTGTGTGCTAGACTGACTAGGGTGGAAACTTTACACAGGAAACACCAATTTGTCGCTCACCTCCATCGAATCAATAATAGATGCTTGCCACCAGAGTTGTTGCTACTAATCTTTGAGCATGTTTACGCAGATACTAGTAGTATGTTGAACGGAGAGTGGATTGCATGTAGCTCGCAGTCTCTCACGCAGTTCCCATTTTCTCCCGCGGCCGTATGCAAGGCCTGGAGAGATGTTCTTGCGTCGATGCCACGCTTTTGGACACGTGTCATCATCAATCTTGACACTACCAAGCTTTCAGACGTCGCTACATACCTTCATCTCTCCCGAAAACTCGCTTTCGAAATCGTCGTCACACGAGACCAACAAATACTTTCTCATTCTCGCACAAATAATGAGGACGAGGGCGACAAAGCAGCCGCAGTCATGGCGCAGATTGTTCCCCCATCTAAATCGCTGCAGGGCTTTATGTTTTCAGCTTCTTTATAGCTCCTCTTTGCCTGCTCTTCGCCATCTGAAGGTCGTTGCAACCTCTCCTTGAGCGGCTGAAGCTGCAATGTGGGGTCGATGATGGGGAACATCCCCTCGTAGGCAGCGAAGTTCCCGAGCAATGGCACTTCTACGCTCCAGCGCTTCGGCACCTCTTTCTCAACGGGCGCAATTTCCGTGACGCTTGCGCCCTTGGTTGGGTCGAGCGACTTCCAAAACTTAGAGGATCTATGTGTTTCACGCTATTCCGGTGGCAAATTTCCAACAGGAGAGTTGCACCTGCACGACGTTTTGTTTGTCGTCGACAGACTTCATCACTGGTTTGGAACACTTCAGAAGCTGACTCTTCAAGATATCTTGTTTGATGGTATCCTCACGCAGCCGGACGGCTACGACATTGAGATCGAAGCTGTGAGCCTGCAGTCCATTAGCCTCTCGACGATCCGTGCCATGTTCATGTCTAAGACCGGACCAGCTCCACGCCTTGTACATATCAAGCACGAGCTCTCACCTAGTTTAGATCAAATTCGCTTGACTCAGGCTGGCACCCTCGTGCTGGAAGGTGCTTTCTCACGCATGGCTGATGCTATCAATATCTGGGACGGCAATTGTCTTTCCATCAAACACTGCCCCACCTTTAACGATCACACCATCTGGAACATTCACCGTCGTGGAATCCAAATAAACTCGCCTCTCCAAGCTGGACCCAACTAAAGATAGAAAATTGCACAGAGTTCTCCGCAGGTGCGCTTCTGGCCTTCCTCGATGCACGCGATGATGCGGTGCAACGAGCGTGGGATAGAGACATCACATCACAGGTCCACTTCAACAGCTTGCAGGTTTTGCAGGTACATGGCGGGCCCCCCATCTCTCCAAGGGACGCAAAGGAATTCAAAGAGAGGTTGCTCACCTTCGGTTGGCATGAAGCAGCCACAGGTATAACATATTAGCGGAGCATAGGTATGCGAGGGTCACCGTTGACACCCTGAGGGCGGGTGTGTTCTTTTTTTTTTACTGCAACTCATCTATCAGAAACTCGTAGAATGGCTACTATGTAGGGTACGTGGCAAATACTACTACTCTAGCTCAATTTTACCAGGGGGAAGCATGACGATAAGTAGGACACAATACATATGGATTGATCTCTACGGCGGGTTTCTGTTTCGCTCGAATCCACTCTTACGAGAGGCTTTGGATACTGATATAATACTGTATAGTGGCAATCATTCTATGTTACAGTTGATGAACCGCTGATTCAATTTTGTTGGACTCATGTGTACTTACGTTACGCGCAGGTCTGAATTTTGGAGGTCTCTGTCGGTGATCGGGAAAGCAGCTGATATCCGATCACGAGTTCAGCTTGAGGTCGTTGGCCGAGCTTGACCGTAGAGGTGGCCTATTGGCGCTCAAGCGCTCAAGGCCTATCAATTTTGTCAAGTGGTGTAGATCTTATCCTCACGCGAAGTCACTGCCACGGTCACCAAACTGTCTTGAATTTGGACGTGTAAGTTATAAGCTGTGTCATTAATTTTAGCTCCTTGCAATGCTACCGGCACCGCCTCGTCGAATACATGTCTTCCTACCATAGGAATGGTTCAATAAGTGAGACGGAGGAGCGCCGCGGTGATTCATCTAACCACTCGTAGACTTGATCTGTCTTATCAGATATATCAACCAGGTGGTGAATACGGTGCGATAATATTACTGTGGTCGTGATGGAGCTATCTGAACAGCCTGCTTCATCAATTTTGATTGAATTGTGATGAAGCTCACAGTCGCAATAACGACGGGCGGCGGCCTGATTAAGTTGGAGGACGGGAATAGAAAGTAACTGCCAGCCTGGAATACCATAACGTTGTTATCGAATCTTTGATTTGACTGTACGGCGTCCACACCAGAACACAGCCAGATGCCGCTAGCTATCTGATATGATGGGTGATGGGGGCGCAGCCTTGGTGATACCCTGGCTATCGGACGCACGGTCTTCAAACTTAGCACTGCAAACCTGTAGTTAAGTGATGTCGTGGGAATTCGTATGACTATCGAGAAACAATTGAATGCATAAATTGCCTTGTCCCGAATACCTTCTAATCCTACCGTGGCCCCCATCATATACTTTTCTTCTCCACAGCAGGCAGGTCCTCTCTTTCGTTATACACGCAGGTCGTTCTTTGTATCATCCAACTATTGGCCGGAGTAATACCTCATGTCCTTCAAACGGTCGTCCGGTCTTGATTTCAAAGATCGCAACCCATTCAGAGACCAAGACCCCTTTGTCGACGGCACAGGCGACTACGCACTACCAGACCACCTTCAGCGTAACAAATCAGAACGCCTTCGCCTTCAGGGTATCCAGCAACCTCTTCCAAATGCTGGTATTGCTGCACCCAAAGCTCCTGATGGTCCTCCTACTCTCGGTCAAAAGTTTGACCTGTGGATGATCAACGAGGGTGGAAAACGCCTTTTTTTCTCTGCTTGGATCTTTTTCCACATGCTCGTTATTGCATTCGGGTTCATGAACTACCAACTCAGTGACGATCTCACTGGAGCACGCGCAACGTTCGGCGTCACCTACGGTAAGCGTTTGGATATGTCGTATGGGTTCCCCTTCCTCTAATATTACCACAGCTATCGCTAGATCTGCAGCACTTGTACTGCACGCCGATGTTATCTTTATTCTCTTGCCAGTCTGCCGTAACTTTATCTCCCTGCTTCGCAGAACACCCCTTAACTCGTTCATCCCATTCGACAAGAACATAACATTCCACAAGGCAACAGCCTGGTCCATGGTAGTCTTTACTCTGATCCACATCGGCGCTCACATGCACAACTTTTACGAGCTTGCTCTCGCTGATCCAGATGCAAATACATCTGGTAAGCGTGTGCTCGTTTTCTTGCAAGCGAATTTTGCTACCGGTCCCGGTGCTACGGGTTGGATTATGACTGTTGCATTAGGTGTCATGGTCTGGTTCGCTATGGAGAAAGACGCCGTGCCAATTTTGAGAGGTTTTGGTACACACATCATTTGTTTGTTGTCTTCTTCCTCGCTTGGCAGTTCCATGGCATGTGGTGCATGATCAAGCCTGACAGAGAACCGTTTTGTTCCTTCAACTCTATTGGTGTCTTCTGGGTGCGTGAGCTTTGACAAGCCAATTGTGCAATGTCTTGACAACGATTTTTGTTATAGCGATACTGGCTCATCGGGGGCCTCATTTGGACATACGAGCGGATTTTGCGTGAAGTTCGCTCACGTCATAAGACTTATATCTCCAAGGTCATACAACACCCATCCAAAGTCGTTGAAATCCAAATCAAGAAAGAGAAGACCACTACTCGGGCAGGGCAATATATCTTTATTTCTTGCCCAGAGATCTCCTACTTCCAGTGGCATCCTTTCACCCTTACGAGGTAATTCAACTCTCTAGTCGGTTCTGCGAGGAAATGCTTATAATCTCATAGCGCTCCGGAGGAAGATTATATCTCTGTGCACATCCGTGTCGTCGGTGACTTCACCGCCGCGCTTGCTAAGGCCCTCGGCTGTGACTTCGATTCTAAGGATTCTAAGGATTCCAAGGATGTCGACGCCAGTGGTGGAAAGGTTATTGGCACGAACACAAATCCGCCACTCAACCGTGTGCTCCCTCGTATCATGGTTGATGGTCCGTTCGGTAGTGCCAGCGAGGATTTTTTAAATTATGAAACTGTCCTCCTTGTTGGTGCTGGAATTGGTGTCACGCCCTTTGCTTCGTGCGTATCACGTCCCTCATTTACTTCATGACATCATTTACCGTATGATTTCAGCATTTTGAAGTCGATCTGGTACCGCATGAACAACCTAAACAACTCCAAGCCTACCCGTCTCTCTAAGGTTTACTTCACTTGGGTCATTCGCGACTTTGGCAGTGCCGAGTGGTTCCACTCGCTACTGCAGGCTATTGAAGAGCAGGACACATCAAACCGAATCGAGATTAACATCTACCTCACTGCCAAGATCAAGGAGGATGACATGAACAACATTATAGTGCGCTTTACTCATTTTCTCGGTAGTTTCTGTACTAATTGTATTCTCCTTAGGTTCAAGATGTCGGTGCAGAGAAAGATGCTATCACTTCGTTGCGTGCTCCCACTCATTTTGGCAGGCCGAACTGGGACAGGGTGTTCGGTTCTATGGTTGAAAAGCATCCCGAAACTGATGTTGGCGTGGTTCGTAGCTCGTCGTTACTTTTAACTCATCCTCATCAGCTCACCCGTCTTTTTATAGTTTTTCTGTGGCCCTCCAGTTCTCTCCAGGCAGCTTCACCAGATGTCCAACAAGTACTCCAATCCAAAAGGCACGCGTTTCTTCTTCGGCAAGGGTGCGTTTCTGTTTTCGTTCCGTTGCCAGGCCCAACTAACATGTTTTGTGCAGAGAATTTTTAGGGTGGTCAGACCTTATGCTGGATTTAGTGCGGCTGCGTACTGTAGTAACTAGTTGCGTTGCTTTTGTTCGCTGTATATTACTATGGATATGAACAACCGGGATATAAAATGCAAGGGTCATCACTATCTGCGGGTAGATATACAATAGGGTATATAATCCAAAGTAGGGTGTTGCCACTATGATACAAAGTATATGAAACTAATGACCTTTAACTTACTACAAGTCCGTTGCTTTCCCGCACAAGAGACTATCGTGATGGAGACTCCAGATCTGTTTAAAACGAATCGTCGTCGCCAGGCGGAACCTATTCGGATTCTCTACTAACCAATGCGGCGGCGGCGTCCCCCACAATCTTTCATACGCGCTCATCACGTCTCCTTGCATGATTGGCAGCGTGAATGTGATCTCGTGTCGGCCACATGTGCACTGCTCGAGCTCCCCGGCCTCTACGAACGGTGTCTCCAATGCGCAGTAAAGCTCTTTCTCATCCTTGACACGGTACACCTGGCACCAAATATCCACCAGCTTACGCACAAAGTCACCCATGTTGCCCTCACTGCCATCAACGAGCACTACCATCAAACAGTCTGGGATATTCTCATGGTTCCATCCCGAGGGCTGCGCCTCCTCCAGGTCATCGTCCTTGCAGCGCACGACGTCGCGAGTCTTCTCCCATGGTACGGATGCGAGTGCCGAGCGGCTCCGTGCGTGTCGCTTCCGTGAGGTCCATACCACCGGCCGCGAGCGGATGACACGCCCATCCGCTCCCTTGCGCAACATGACCATGAGGTCAGGATGTCGGATGCAGCCGTTGACAAAGGCTTGTGCTTTAGGGTCGTTGAGAGATAGGGAGCCGTATATAGACAGGTTGCGCTTCGTCTCCTCCCACATCGGTCCAAACGACTGAGAACCGCTATCCGTGCAGACGATAGAGTGACGAGGTGAAGAGAGCGGTATGTCGCTGGGAATGAAACCAGCTAAGATCAGTTCTTTCGCTCCGTCGAACCCGTATTCGTACTTCATATACGATTGGCATAGGGCTGTCTCGGAGAACAAAGCAAATCGGGTCATGGCAATGACTTCGTCCACCTGGAGAACTGAAACATAGGCTACTGACTCTGGTATAAATACGTACCGTCTTACACGTCGTGCGGAGGCAGGAGTAACAATGGTACATTGCCATCATGTGGCCCCAGGCGTGCAAAGACCACTCCTCGCCGCTGGCCTCCTTGAAAACCTTGCCACCCAAGACCATCACGTAGTCGCCTTCCCCATTGGCCCGCAGAACGTCGTCCACCGCATCTCTGATATCGTGGACACACAAAGTCTTGATAGCATTCCAGATCTTTTCCAAGGTCACCAGGTCCAGGTTATCATCACTGAGAAGCGCCATGACACTATCGTAGCTCTGGGATAAGAACATAAGGGCTGGTTCCGTGAAAATTCCGCGGCGCACATAGGCATATATGACTTCTAGTCGTTCATCGTGGTACCTTGAGGTAGAAGGAGCACAGTATCGAGCTAGACGGGACCTAATCTTCTCCAAGAATTCTACAGATTTCTCGCGCAATACCGCCTCCAGAGGATCGTCCATAGTTGCACCCCGGTCGCTCTCTATGGAATGGAAGGACGCGTCATGACCAAGAGATTCGTCGCCATAGCCTGAGCAGTCGTCTGAATCGTGCAAATCGGGGTCGCGATCCAAGACCCAAAGCGCATTCTGTGCCTGTAGGATGAGTTGATAGGCCCGTGTCTCGACGTAGTACAGGAACCTTTCGACTTCAGCACGTTTTTTGATAAGGGATTCCCAAAAGGCTTTGTGACCAAAGTCCTATTGTCCTACACATGAAGTCAGATCCAAAATTCCACCTAGAATCTCATACCATGTCGTTTCTATCATGAAAAAAATACGATCAATGAAGTTAAGTGATCCTGGAGACACCACTCACCCAAAAAAACGCTCAGAGAAGTAGACCCGAGCTTCTATGCATCTTCCGCCGTCACTCAGTGGATGACAGTGAATTACAACTCATAAAGGCACCTGTTAACAGATTGTATTTCAACTCAAGCCTCAATCATTCCATTCCTTGAGGAGCGGAAGGGCGGTGCACCCCAAAATTGTCGTGACATCGCTGCACGCCGGGTTATCCACAAGTGTGTCGAGTAGTGCATGATGCGCCTTGTAGTTTGCATACAGCTTCAGTCGTTCCTAGAACGAGATTTAAACTGCCGACTTAACCCCATAATGCAGTACCGCCGCCATGTTTGAGGAACTGACCTCATTATGTCGCGGGCACCAAAGTGGACCATCAACAATCGGCATACTACACTGTATACCAGCAGAATATAAGGCAGGCAGCAATCACGCTTTTTCTTGGGCGACCTTGACATGGCGTGAGGTTGGCGTGAAGGAGAACTGAGGTCGGGATCGACGTCTGATTTGGTTCCGGGCGACTGCAGTCATGTGACGAGTGCCAACAGGCCGACTTAGGTTGACTTGAGCTATTTTACATCTCTCCGCTGTTTACCATTCTGACCAGCCCTCAAACTCTCCCACATATCAGCTTTCCCAATCCTCTCTTCTATGAAATACTCGCCCGTCCGAGTCTGCGTCCTTTGTAGCCTTTGCTGTCGCTTCCAGTGGCTAATGCCAGACTAGCACAATGGCACATCCAATGCTGTGTGAACTATTCTTCTTCCGTGCGTGATTTCATGCGCTAATTGTGACTGACAAGGTCCGACAGGTCAGCAACTTCGATGTGGCTCGCGAAATATTCCCATTGGTGCTGATGCGGTTGCCGACGTTGGTCTCAATTGTGCCATCGTTGGGACTGACACTGACTGTGCCGCCAATCAGGAACCTCTATCCCGGAGCAGTAATAAATGGGTTCACATCAATACCACTTCCTACCTTGCATGCGACTAAATCAAGTTTTGAAGAATGGCCTTGTCAACGTTGACTGCTAGTCCATAAATGTCAAAGTCTAGAGGATGTTGATAGAGGACTGGTATAGCGTTGAAAATCACTCGTTTGGTTGCGGGTAAATTATCCGACCTAATCATATGCTTTCGGGTTGACCTTGACTATTATTGTCTAGATCTGACTTCTTCCGCGAAGCAATTGTATTCCGGTCTTACTATCCCGTCATACACACGAGGAGTCAATGAGGTGAATGCGTCTCACAAAGTCATAACCGATGTCAGGAACTCGTTAATAGGGAAGTTCCTATTATTACCAGGCAGCGGCATGTAGCACCTGAATTACATCGTGCCTTTCCATCTGAGTTGGCGGAGCAAGTTGATAAAGTGCAGCCGTCTATTGCCATCGATGAAATTTTTTTTTCTGGCTACCAGTAACATCGGGCATATTTCGATTGCACAGACCAAATTTCCACACGGAGTGCGCTTCACTCGATCAAGGCCAGTGCACTTTTGTATCAAGTCTGTCGAAGGCCAGTGACTCGGTGCTATCAATAGCAATACCATGCTACCACGGTTCGTATGATGGGTGGAGGAGCAAAGATAGTGTCCTCGAGGTAGACCAACATATCGACCGCGGATATGGAACTACGCCGATACCAACTGCAGCCTCCATAATTAATCATGATTGCTCGCGGCGCCCCTCGCTTATTCCTGAAGCTGAAGGGTCAATGACAAATGCAGGCCGGCGTCCCACTCATCTACTGAGGGACATTTTGGGGTTTTCATGATCTGCATTCAAGCCTAAAGAGTGTGCTCGAAAACACTGCATGTGATATCACCATACCGCATTTCAAATATCGGGCAAGAACAAGATAGGATTCCCGAGGCAGACTAACCGTGGATATGAAATCAAATGATATCCCTCAGTTAAGGGTTGCTCTCGCCATGAATGCGAGTAGAAAACACTTGGATCTGGATGGTGCGATACACAGCTTGTTTGGGAGTTTGGTGCTCAGGTAAACCCACCGAAATTGCCCACACTACCCCAGTGCCTGACCCTGTGGGGCTCCTGTTTTCCGTCCATGATTTTCCCTTCCGTACGTTATCCAAACCCCGCCAAGAAAAACTTACCCGTACTGGAAACTGCAAGTATGCCTCGCACAGGCACAACGAGAACTCCAGACGTTCCTTTCAGGGGGATTATTCGTGCTCAAAAGCGCGTGGTCCAAGGGAAAATTGCAGTACATTCTAAGAGACCTCATCGTACAATGTAGGTCCTTAATTGCTGTATGTTTAAATGCTCTCGCTGATTGGAGTTAGGCTGTGGGGAATGATATATTATTCAAAAGAATTAGACATTTTACATTACGTAAATCAAAAGACGCCCGTGGTTCCCGACTTCTAGCCCGTATAACCGGTACCATAGCCGTACAAGAAGGGGTCGTTACTGAAGTTAAAGACAGAGCATCCGCGGTTAATAGTCTGATTGCAGGAGAAGCACCAGTTGTTAGTGGAGTTGATTGTAGTCCACTAAACAAAGTCGTGAGCAGGAAAACATACGCCTTGTAAAGAGCAGCTCACAAATAGTTGGTGAATAAAACTGTCAAGCGTGATGCTCGTGTTTCCGAACATCTTAAGTTGACGGAACTGGCTGTCCTCAGTACCGTTCTTAAACTTCATGCTAACCTCATGCTGACCCTGTGAGTTCTGCGACAACTCAAGGGCAACGACAGAAGCATAGTTGACTGTGGATTAATATAGTCAGTAGTGCTAAATTCACACACTAATGAGACAATACTGACCGGTACCAGCAATTTCGGGGTCAGTCAAGGTAGCATTCGTGACGTTAAATAGACTGATAAACGGCTTGTAATCGATTTCTTGAATATTTAGCCTGACTTGGTTAGAAGTTTTGGTCATGTTACCCAAGGCCCAGATGACCTCCGGTAGAAGTGTGCGAATAGGAACTGCAGCAACGTCAGTTGATGATTACATTTTCAGCATTGAATATAACCCTACTTTGGCCGATGCCATTTTGCACGGAGTCGGTGAAGACATTGTGTTGGAGCCAATCAGAGTAATAGCGTGCTTGCTGGAGGAAGGTGGGAGGCAGGATTTCGTAATAGGTCTTGTTATACGTGTACTGGACATTGACATGGTCGTATATCTGCGAGACGATATGGGCTCAATCTGAAGGTATTCAAATGAACTCTTACATTCCACTGAAGATAATTTTAGAAAAACTTTCACAGATACAATGAGGTGACATACCATGTTTGTGAAGTTATTACTGACGCTCCCCAAGTAAGGTTTCAAGGCAGTCAGGAATGGCGCAGCAGTGGTGGACATGTTTAGGAATGTAGACGAAGCGTAAATTCTGGCCAGGTGATATTGGAAATACTGTTGCCGGGAGTCACAAAATGACCTCCCGAAGGAATTGATTTCATACCTCACAGTCCATCCAACTTGTGAGAGATGGACTCTGCCAATATTCCAAAGATTCCACTGTAGCACATTAGTTAGAGGACAAAAGAGTAACTCTGCCTGACTTGCCTGGAACATACTGGTATCCGCCAAGAGGAGGGACGACCGTTGTACCGTTCGCCAGAGTTATCTCTGACTTTTTTGTAGATGGGTAGAGACCCTGAAGCAGAGCATACGCGGAGTTAAGGATGACATTTCCTCCGCCGGCGTCTGCGCGGACAGTCAGCTGATCGACATTTACCACGTCGGTACTGATATTCTGGATGAAAGATGGAGAATCGGTATTGAGATATGTGTTACGAAGAAAAGTGCCGAGTTCAAATTCTTGTTGCTGACCACTCGTGAGCGAGATACAGTATTATAACGCAGAGCTCTCACCTCTCCAAGAGGGGTAATGTATGCTTGGGTAGAGTTGTATGTAGTTGGGTCTTGGTAGTATCCCGTCCTGTCGCCGTGGCGAACCAAAAGAACAGCACCGATGAGTCCCGCTGTGGTTGTGGTATTGACCATGGCTGAAGTGTTAGACCCGTAATGACGAAAGATTTAGCTTCTCAGTCGCCCTTTATAGAAGCATCAACATGCATAGCAATTTACAATAACCCATCTTCTGTATGCTATTAATCCGAGTTGAGTGCGCCAAGACGAATGCCGTCACATTTAGTACAAAACCTATGGCTGGTATCGATGGAACCAACATTAAGAGGGAATTCTCTCGAGCGCTATGACGCTATGACGCAAAATATATTGACATGTACCGAGCCACTAGTATCATTGTGTCAGATCAATTTCTATGTAAATGTCACAAACTCACAATCACCGCCTGCTCCATATGGAATGTCAGCGTTTTGCGCGGATATACTTCAAGGCTGCAGGCGCCAATGATACACTGAAGCAGATAAAACAGGGTTCATACACGATCCATAGGTATGAGCGAATGCTCAGCGAAAAAATACGTACATCCTTTCAATGCATGCCAGTTTACAGTCTATGCTCGAGAGCCGAGATCAACTGGGTGCCTATATGCAGGAACGCCTAGTAGTTCGTAGTCGTTACCCGGTGACAACGCAGATCAGAATGGGCTGTGAAACGGTAGTTTTTCCAAGACACCTCCATAGGGTGACTCGAGCACGCACTTGGCAGATTCAAATTTCAAGCTCCGCTACGCCGCGTGTCGAAGGCTCCCACTGGTGATCAACCTGGTCTCCAAGCTTCAAGTTTCAAGCCATCGAGTTGATTTGTTTCTGTGAAATATAATGATATTGACTAGTTGCGACTGCGTGTCTCTGGTGATATGTAATCATGATGCGATCTGTCGGCATTTTACATTCTACCGCACTGACTTGAAGTACAGCCTTTACGTCATGGAAGTAGGCTAGTGCTATGTGTCACTGGAAACAACTTGGGAGCATTCAATAATTTGAATGGAACAACATCACCTTCAAGTTACCTTAGTGCTACCCTCACCCAACACCGAGGCATGAAATGGAACTCGTGAGGTATGATGAACATACTACTACTACTCGTCATCACACCCAGGACGTCGGGATGGCCGTCTTCAAAGTCCAGCCCCAGGTTTTAAGACGGATCTCAGTGGGACAAGATCGGAAAATGTATGCGGAATAGCGTCAGATATCTTCCTGGCTGAATAGGCACAGCTTCAAGGAACTCGAGCGATCTTGCAGCGGACCATGATGCAAATTCACATCGTTAGGGGTATCATATGATGAGAAAAATGAGCATCGTCTGCTGGCTATGCAGAGCGACCAAAATGAGACAAAGATCTGAGATCTGAGTACTGCCAGCGTGCTGCGGCTCAGCGCTCAGCATCGGCAGTGAACGCAAAACTATCTCGGGTCGGGCGTCGCCGACCGACAAAAGACTATGATGTTTTCTCTTCCTCCGTGGCAGCACTGGCAAGGTCATTTTCCGTTTTGGATGTCGGCGGCCAGTTACATAGGGAGAGAGCTCCTCACATCTTGCTCTGCCAAGGACGTCTAGAACCTAACAGTCATAATGCTAATAAGTCCCACGTGTATCAACTTATCTGTGGGGTATGCAGTTGCTGCCATGTGCTCTCCATGATTCAAAAGGCGAAAGGAAGGAGGAAGGATACTGACAAGCTCAGAGGCCAGTCACCTGCTAAGAACTCAAAGATCGTGCCAACCAAAAGCCGTGACGTCTTTAACATGGAACTGGGAACAAAAAAGCTTGTTGCATCGAGCGAACAACACCGAGAATTCATGACCGTGCATATTGGATCAATTGGTCCAGAGCAAGTCCATAGTCAGTTTACAAGTCCGAACTGAACATTATGTAATGTTATATCACGTGAATACACAACTTGGTTCTCTTCAGCCAGTTCTATTAGTGACCTTATAAAAAACAAGGTAATACCGATAGATTGTTTGCTGCTCACTGGCTCCCCTGAGTCCCCTCCCACTACCTCGAATTCTCTCAGGCTCTTTTCCCCATCTTGAATAGACAAGATGACGCCGACGCACATGGCAAATATATTTACGTTGGTCTTGCGCGACGCACCCAGAAAATAATATATATATACTGTTACACTTCGGAGGAGATCTTGTCAGATCAGCGCTGCACATCTGTATCTTCACGCGTGTCAGATATGCACCGTATACACAGTATGTTTCTGCTTTCATCCACCGTACCGTTACTTTAAAAAAAATCCAAATCATGTCCTTTCGGAGTTGTACTCTGTGAGTCTGTGTAGGGCAAACAGCATGATTTAATTTGACTCGATGCGACTTACCAGTCAAGACTGTCGTCTGCTTAACTGTCAGGCGGCCGAAAGACAGTGATATTGAAAATTTATGTTCCAGTATCGCGGACAATATTTATGTAGATTACGGGAACTCTAATAAGCCAGTGTGCTCACACTTGAAGGAATTCCCAGTGTCCCCAACGCATCTCCAGATGCACGAATGCCCTCAGGCTGATGTTTTGAAGGCGTACCCCAATCAGTCCGCCATTCCCGCCGGCCGTTTTAGATGTGCCATCCACAAAGATAAGACGACTTTGTAAGTACGCGCGTTCACGCGTACATATCGTTACTTACTCACCGGCTAGCTCCATTTTGACTTGGCTCTGAAAACCAGTTATGATGATGATGATTGTAATCGTGCACGTCTCCACGTTTGTCAAGTCACCCGAGGCAGAGTTCGTGAATGATGACCTCTCACGCCTGAGCCTGTCTCACAGTGCTCTTTCCACATCATTTACAGAGATGCCATACTAGTAGAAGGCTTCCAAGGCATTAAATGTGTGGGGATGTTACTAGATTGGAAGTATCAAAAAGTTTTACATTTTGCTAACCGAAAGACTCATCTTATTTTAGCCAAGCTCGCTATCAAATCCTGTGAGCTTTTGGTGAACAGATGTGCCTCTCGAGTTCTATGAGCGCGGAGCATATAAATATGCTTCGCACCCCAAACATTCGTTCTCCGCGAGATCGAAGAGGTAGCTCTAGGATATAGATCCGCGAAAACAATCCTCATACACACAGAAACGAAAGGAGATTGCCCCATGGTGCGTTGAGACGCCAAGGGGACGGCAATCTGTAAGCTGGCTGCCAACTCAGGGTAAAACTCACAAAGATAGTCGATGCAAATGACAAAAAACAGTTGTACGTGAAGCATGGTCCCCTCATGTTGCTTGCCTCGAGTTAGTATCAGGCCACTAGCACATATCTACTCTATCTTTCAGCGATTGGACGATCTGTGTCAGGGATGAGGAAGGGTAGCAAAATCCTCGGTGTGATTCAAAGAGACCGACAAAATTAAATGACTCCAGCTATCATGCTTCATGATAAACTTAAAATTCATATATAGAAATCATATACAACCGTGCCTTGTGTGAACACCACGTTACTGCGTGATCGCGGAACATCGCCGTCCAACCAGAGGCCCTTCTGAACAAACGCCCAGTTAGCGATTGGTCAAAATTAACCTCAAAATAACTTGGTAGTTATTCCCATGATAGAGCAGTACGTGTTTCCTGGCATCGTAAATTGGCGCGACGTTTTCAACTCTGTCAGAACAGTGACGAGCTCCCATGTGATTGTCGATTAAAATTGCGTGGCAGCCAACTCTTGAGTTTGGGACATTTCCATGTACTTGACTGTCGTACTTAAAACTCCGCCTGACGCAGTACCGCAACTGTTGAGACACGACTGCCGTCGGAGCCTCGATTTTGCATCATGGTACCTACTATGATGATCAAGCCGTCCAGGCGCGCAGTGCTGTCGTGCTGGCGCAAGGCAGATGAGTGTCAAATAGCCACGATTCGATTGGCTAACCTGGCCGCCGGTAACCAACGGAGGGCGTTTGCTATATGACGACTTCAGCCTCTGGCCAGTGCGATCACAGCTTTTTTCTAATGTCTGGTCATTGGCTCCTTCGTACCCGTCATGTTATATATAAGGTCCCTTGCTCCGAGTCCTTGCTCTCATAAATTCCTTACTGCCCTCGTTGGCCGCCCATTTACCCATTAACAAGCCATGTCCTTAACTCACCAGGTGTCTACCAGCCCTACCACAACTGCAGTTCCCCTACCCGACAGAGACACTATGCCTGGCAGTTCTGCCCACAAACCCCTACCAGTGTGGTCACTGGAATCCAACGGGACCCTAAGTCCACCATCACTCACCGAAAAATGCGATAGAAATGGCCGCGAGAATGGTATCTGTTGCAAGGATCTCAAACACGAAGGCAACAGAACTCTGATAGATCCTGATATTGTCCGCGACATGTGAGTTTTCCTCTTATCAGCTCGCGGCCTTCTGTCTGCGCTTTCCTAGCAAGTCATTGACATGTTTATTTTTACCCCTTTTTACAGCATTATTGGATTGTCGGATGGCCTGACTGTTCCTTTCGCTCTGACAGCTGGTCTGTCTGGCTTAGGGAGTTCAAGAACTGTTGTTGTCGGCGGCCTTGCAGAAATCATTGCTGGTGCCATATCCATGGGAATAGGTGGCTTCCTTGCATCCAAGGCTGAGCAGGACCATTACCGGTTCTTGCGACGCCACACCTACTCACGGGTGATGCGGAGTTGCATTGGGGAAATGGAGAGAGAGGTATACGGTATTTTGGGTCCCATCGGTGTTGACGAATCGGCCTCCCATGCCGTCACGAATTGTCTGCGGAAAGTAGAGGATGAAGCTGGGTTTGACGGAAGTGCATCCGCACCTACCGATGAGGAGAAGTCACCGCGGGGGATGAAGAGCGAATCTGGGCTAACACCTTTCTTACTGAAATTCGGAGAGGGGCTGGGTACGTCCATCTTGTCATGATTCTTGTGTTTGACGTGGTCCTGATTATCCATGCTCAGAGGATGTTCCGACTCGCCGACTATACATCTCCGCCTTCACTATCGGCATGTCATACCTCCTTGGCGGTATCATCCCCCTTCTCCCGTATTTCTTCATTTCCCAAGCAATTCAAGCACTGCAATATTCTTGCATAATTACTGGGATAATTCTTCTCATATTTGGTGGCGTCAAAGCCCAAGTCACGGGGGCAGCGAGGAGTATCTGGGGATACATTTGGGGAGCAATTAGTACGATGGCTGTTGGTGGATTCGCTGCTGCTGCAGCTTACGGGTTGGTTACCGCAATAGAAAGATCGTCTATATCATAGATACTAATATTTCTCCGTTGATCTGCTGGTCTTATGCTCTCCCATACCGTTTGAATGATCCGCTAGATTAGTAGTGTATTGTTTTCGATGTTTTTTCATGGTATGCCTAGCTATATAGTACTCACAATATACGTTTACTCCACGCTGAGGTGGCCAGGGGTTGGACTTCTGCATTAATTATTTGTAGTGTTGTGGGCAGAAGTCCGCCATTCTGCCAACTGGTTCTGCCAAACCGGTTCTGCCCGGCAGATGGCAGAATTCTGCGGGCAGAATCCGGCAGAATGTCAAACTACTGAGACGGACATCCTCTGAAGGCACTTGCAATCACCCTCTTATCCATTGTTCCACACGCTGCTGACGTCGAACGCCTCTTCTCGGATATGGGTAGCACTCAGTCTCCGAAGCGCTGCAATCTCTCGGTAGACACATTTGAAGCACTGGCAAAGATTCGAGCGAATCTTCGCTACCACTGTAAGGATTCATATCCTTTACGCCCCGACTATAACTTTACAATGAGACACACGGACACATGTCCCGTCAGCCACGTGACGTACTGATGCGAAGAAGCACCACGCTTCCCATCCGAGTCACGCGGATACAATCTTTTCTTCTTACCTTCATTATCTCACTACTTGACGACATTCAGCACGACCATTCAGTTGTCGCCACACGATACCCTTGCCATTACCAACATTCTGACACCTTTCTTTCGTCACCATCCCTCGTTCTACTTCGCCGTACCAAGAACAGTCAAACTTCTCGTCATTTCTGTGCTAACCGCACTGTCTAAAACCACCACTCATACTATACTTTCGTACTCTCCTTCGCTCCCGCTGGTTCTACCCTGTCAGGATCGCCGCCACTCACTTTCCGTCAACGTTTTCACCTAATCATTCGGCTTAGGTATACCCGAGGACCCTTAGCGCCTCACATTCTTAAACACACCTTGTAGATTGCATGAAAATATAAGTCTTCGTCCCCCCAAAACTAAAAACAGTCGTCCCTCCTTAAAGAACATCCTCTCTCAGCGATTCCCTCCTCGAACTCAACGTCAGCCTTATATATTTGGAGCCCACCGCGAGGGAATTGCTTTCGAGCTGCCCTTGCACCCCTTGTTCGATTTATCGAACTCTCACTCTTTTGACCAAAAAAAAAACCCTTCACAATTACTAAGTATTATCATCCAAACGCGCAGATCCGTCTCCAACAGCCAACTGCGCTGGCTCTCCTGAAAAACACCTCTGCCCCAAAGAAGACCAGAACCCGCGCCAATACCATCACCACCGCCTACCCGCATTACTATCTCCAAGCAACGACCGCTCAGACTCCCCCCAATCAAATCGACGCTTATCGAACTCCAACCCGTATCAACAACTCAAGGCAGAACATAGATACATCAGACGTTCCATCCGAATCCTCTATCTCCGAAGACGATACCATAAGCCAGTTACCATATTTTAACGTTCTATTTCCGCCCCTTCCTTCTCAAACCACATTCGTTCTTAGACCCGCGACCTTTGACCCCGAAACCCCAAAACATCCTTCTGTACCTCCGCAACTCCATAACACCCCGACGGCCGCCCTCCCTACAGCCGTTCCCCTCATTCCGAAACCTCAGTTCATTTCAAACGAGTTGCTACCCGCACCAGCTCAACCAGCACCCACGGTAGTCCAACACCCTACTACTTCTCATCATATCCAAAAACCACTTTCGTCGAAACCTACGTCCACCATGTCGACAAACATGAAGGGAATATCCGCAATGCCAGGACCAGGCTCTAGCAAAGCCCCGTCCTTTAGTGGGGAGACGTCCGACTTACTAGAGTTTTTAGAACTGTTCGAAGACTTAGCCTCGTCCTGCGGACTCACCGATACCGACAAATGCAAAATGATAGTTCGATACGTCAACCTCGAGACCAAGAGGTTCTGGGTCACGCTCACGGGGTATGAGAGCAGGGATTTCAGCATCTTCAAAGCGAACATTATCGGACAATATCCGGGAGCGGCCAAAGGTGCAAGATACACCATTCGAGATCTCGAACGAGTCATTCTCAATATGGCGGAATCAGACGTTTCTACCGAAACGGAACTAGTGCAGTACTATCGTCAATTCCGTCCTATAGCAGTGTGGCTAGTAGCTAACTCCAAAATCTCGGAACGCGAGCGAGATCGTTACTTTTGGCAAGGTCTTCCCCATTCCGCTCGAATAGCAATAGCGCAACAACTGCAACACACTGAGGCAAACTATACCCGCAACGAAGCTACTAACTTCGAGAAGGTCGTCGAAGCAGGACGGTTTGTGCTCTCTGATGACGCGTTCGATGCAGATTTGAACGAACCTATCGCCTCTCGCATCAAGCTGATGAGAGACGGGCGCACGCAGAAGGTTCGACCATTGCGACAAACCTGGGATTCAGACGAGGAAGAGGAGAGAAAAGATGTTAGAAAGGAAGTCCACACAAGGCGCGTAGCATTCACACCACCCATCCCTCCCAAAGACAACTTCGACGAGGTCGAAGCCCTGGCTCGTAAAATGCACGGACTGGATATAGGCGACGCAGCATACTCTGGGTGCTATACGCGTCTCGCATGCTTAGCCCCTGCAGCTATTCACGGATGGGCATCCCCTAAGTCACGGCAGCTTGTCAACGCCGTATCAACTCAAACGCCACTATCATACCTCCCCCTTCCGTCACTTTCGTCATCTCCCACCTACCCTTCCAATGCCACTTGCTTCTTCTGCGGAGGAGCTCATGTCATGCGAACGTGTTCGGTAGCGGGAGAATACTTACGGGCAGGACGGATCATTAGAGACGGCCAGTACTTTGCCTTCCCGGATAGGTCCCGTTTACAACGATTCGGAAATGAAACGTTCAAGCAAGCTATTGATTCAAGGTATTCGGCGACACCAAACGCGACACCTGCTACAGGAGCTAATTCCATTCCCGTCCAAACAAACCGAGTCGAGACCACTCCGCCAGCCTCCACGGAAATTCCCTCCTCTGCCTTCATATCCGACTCGTATTTTATCCAGTGCGAACCAGTCGCTGGCAATCACGCAGTAATAGTGACGGTCGAAGAAGAGAACGAAGAGGCAAACGTACTGGCCATAACCAGGTCCAAGTCCAGAGCCGCGTCTGTCGTGGACAGCACCTCCGTTCCGAGAACTACCCTTCCTTCGCCTCTCTCAAAACCCGCCTCCCCGGATCCTGCAAAAACGAATGATACGGACACGAAGAAAGGGCCAGCGTACAAGTATGAGTCCAAGGCAGCCTCACCTGACGCAGCTCGACGCATCTACGAGACCATCCTAAGTACGCCCATTCCGCAACTAACAATATCGGACCTATTGTCGATTAGTCCGGACTTAAGGAAAGAAGCCGTCGAACACTCACGTACACATCGAGTTCCCACACCAGCCTCCACACTATCCACCAACACGTTAGCTGCACCCTCTCCAATATCGGTCGAGCATGCCACACCTCTGCGAGAAATACGAATAACGCTAAACGGGACGCACTCAGAGCTAGGATTGTTGGATGAGGGATCGGAAATTGTCGTTATTCGGGAGGACGTATGGAGGAAGACCAACGCCCCAATCAATCCAGACGTACGAATGCGCATGCAAACTGCCAATGGAGGATCACAGGAATTAGCAGGATGTCTAGAGATGTTAGAAATTGATGTCGAGGGAATTAAGACTTGGGCTCACGCGTATGTGGTTCCCGACGCGCCCTATCGCTTACTTCTAGGACGGCCTTGGCAGCGGCTGGTACGGCTGTCAAAAACTGAAGATATCAACGGAGTACACATCACGGTGCATGACCCCACAGATTCCAGCAAGGTCCGAATCGTTGCAACGACACCTCGCCCTTGGGCTCATCCTTCTCTCGCCTTAACGGCCTCGGTATTCGCACCTCCCCTCCTTCATCAGTCGCCTTCCTTAACTCTACCTGTCCCGCACATCCAGCCAACCAGCTCGACGAACATTTACCATGCTATCAAATCTACCAGCTCGACGGATATATACCATGCTACCCCCAAATCTCGTCTCGTCTTTTCCTCCTTCGCTGAGTTTCTTCTCCAGGCGCATTTCGATATCGACCCAGTCCGTCGCACTTTTGCCTACAAGAAGGTCGCCAATAAAGTCAAACCCGTCGCTACCACGATGCCTGAGCATGCGCGAATCATCCGCAAGTTTCCAGAAGACCCGCTCCTTTCACTTCCCATCCTTTTCCCTATCCCTCCAGCATTCACACCTGGCACTCGTCTCACTCAAGAACGCATGGACGAGCTCGGAATTTTCAAGAACGAGTTTCTCCTTCTCGAAGAACGGAAACTCGCGGCCCACGTCCTAATGAACAACGAGCTTGCTCTCGCTTGGGACGAGACGGAAAAGGGACGCTTCCGGGATGATTACTTCCCTCCCGTTGTCATTCCTACCATCGAGCACGTACCATGGGTACACCGTCAGCCACCTATTCCGCCAGGTATTAAGAAGGAAGTAATCACGCTCATCAAGTCAAAAATAGCCTCCGGTGTCTATGAGCCATCCAACTCATCCTATCAGTCTCGCTGGTTTTGCGTCGCAAAGAAGAGCGGAGCAGTCAGAATCGTCCACGACCTCCAGCAGCTAAACTCCATCACGGTTAAGGACGCTGCAACGATGCCGTACATCGAGCTCTTTGCTGAACAATGCGCCGGCCAGTTCAATTTACTCAATGATGGATTTATTTGTAGGGTTTGATCATCGAGCCCTAGCAGAGGAATCACGCGACATCACGACGTTTCAAACCCCCCTCGGCACTTATCGACTCACCGTCCTTCCTCAAGGCTGGACTGACTCACCAGCGGTATTTCAGAACGACGTTGCCTTTATCTTACAAGATGAGATTGAGCTAGCACCGAATTTTCAGGACGACGTTAACGTCCTTGGACCCTGCACACGTTACGAGTTACCTGATGGGTCTTACGAGTTCATTTCTGAGAACTCCGGTATCAGACGATTCGTTTGGGAACACTGTGTGGACGTCAACAGGGTTTTGCATCGTCTTCGACACGCAGGAGCCACAGTATCCGCAAAGAAATTATTTCTTTGCGTTCCCGAGGTTGTTGTAGTTGGACAGTGTTGCACATATGAAGGACGTATTCCCGACGAGACGAAGGTCTCAAAAATCATGCACTGGCCTCCCTGCACGACGAAAACCGAAGTACGAGGCTTTCTCGGAACCGCAGGTACCGTCCGCAATTGGATTAGAGACTATGCCCACATCACCCGTCCACTCACTAATCTTACTCGCGCTAATGTACCTTTCATCTGGGATTCCGTCACCCAAGAAGCCATGGAAACGGTCAAGCATGCTGTTTCTACCTCTTCCGCTATCCGCCCGATCAATTACTCCTCACAAGACGAAGTCATCCTATCTGTCGACTCATCCTACATAGCCTGCGGTTGGATCTTATCGCAGGTCACTAACGGAAAACGTTACCCATCGCGATATGGGTCCATCACTTGGAATGAACGCGAAGCTCGTTACTCCCAAGCGAAAATCGAGCTCTACGGCCTTTTTCGCGCACTTCGCGCAGCCAAAGTATGGCTTATCGGCCTCAAAACGTTCACTGTTGAAGTAGACGCCAAGTACATCAAGGGGATGATTAGTAATCCGGACATTCAGCCGAATGCGGCCATGAACCGCTGGTTAGCTGGAATCTCTCTTTTTCATTTCAAACTACGCCACGTACCAGGAACCAAACACCTCGGGCCTGACGGTCTTTCTCGACGACGACCAACGCCAGAAGATGACGACGGACTCCAGGAGACATCCGAGGAGATAGAGGATTGGTTAGATGAGGTTCTGGGATGCGCTATTTGGGCTGAAGGAGACTTAGAAGAAATTTTTGGAGGAACAAAGGACGACAGCCGACTTGTTTTCAATCTCGCAGCGCTACGGAACAGTGCTGACTTCAACCTTCCTACAGATGACACCACACGTCAGCGTGACCAGGATCTCCTCATCATCCTTTCCTACCTCCAATCGCTCTCATTCCCTTCGACAATATCGACTGCTGATCGCACTCGCCTCATCAAACGGGCCCACAGTTTTTTCGCCAAAGGAGACTGTCTCTGGCGCAAGCAATCTACTGGACGCCATCAGCTCGTTCTCTTCGGCTCGAACCGCGCTCACATTCTGATGGATACCCACGATAAGCTCGGTCATAAAGGCATCTACGCCACACGACGCACCATCATGGACAGATTTTGGTGGCCTTCGCTTGACAAGCACGTCGCTTGGTACATCCAAACTTGCCATCAATGTCAGCTTCGATCGGTCGAAAAAGTTGTTATTCCCCCTACTGTCTCTATTCCCGCGCCACTATTCCGCAAAGCCTACACTGATACTATGCACATGCCCACGGCACAAGGCTTCTCCTACATCGTACAGGCGCGCTGCTCCCTATCTGGATGGCCAGAATGGAGGATGTTGAGAAAGGAAAACGGCCGCACTTTGGGTGCTTTCTTGTTCGAAGAAGTCTTGTGCAGATGGGGAGGAGTCGAGGAAATAGTCACTGATAATGGAACGCCCTTCGTCGCAGCTTTGGAGTGGTTAGCAGCAAAATACGGTATCCGGCACATTCGCATCTCTGCCTACAATTCGAGAGCCAACGGAATAGTTGAACGATCGCATCGCACTATACGCGATTCTCTCGTAAAAGCTTGTAACGGAGACATCACCCAATGGCCATCTCTAGCGCCCCATACCTTCTGGGCAGATCGCGTTACTACACGAAAAGCTACGGGACACACGCCGTTTTTCATGGCACACGGTGTTGAGCCGCTTCTTCCCTTCGATATCACTCATTCCACCTTCCTTTTGCCCGACATCTCCAATCTGACCTCAACATCAGACCTCATCGCTTATCGCACTCGCCAGCTCGCAAAACGGGACGAGGACCTTGCACTCATGCACCAAAGGATCCTCCACAGCCGCTTCTCGTCTATCCGTCAATTCGAGAAACAATTCGCAAACGTCATCAACGACTACGACTTCCACCCTGGCGCACTCGTTCTAGTGCTCAACAAGAAAATTGAGGCAGCGTCTAATGCTAAATGCAAGCCCAGATATTTCGGACCAATGGTTGTTGTCTCCCGCTCTCAAGGAGGCTCTTACCGCCTCGCAGAAATTGACGGCACACTTTCCAAGCTGAAGTTTGCAGCCTTTCGCATTATCCCTTACCACCCGCGCTCCTCCACCTCCATCGAAGTCACACAATTCTTCGACCCGCAAGCTCTCGCAGGAATTAACGATGAGCAATCCTAGATGCGTTCTATTCATTTTTTTTCCTTTCTTCTCTTCCTCTCTCGTTTCACTCAAATTATTCTATCTTATTACGCATATTTTAGCTATATTGTTGGGAGATCGACCGAGGGCGGTCGATATTCAAAGTAAGGAGGGGATGTAAGGATTCATATCCTTTACGCCCCGACTATAACTTTACAATGAGACACACGGACACATGTCCCGTCAGCCACGTGACGTACTGATGCGAAGAAGCACCACGCTTCCCATCCGAGTCACGCGGATACAATCTTTTCTTCTTACCTTCATTATCTCACTACTTGACGACATTCAGCACGACCATTCAGTTGTCGCCACACGATACCCTTGCCATTACCAACATTCTGACACCTTTCTTTCGTCACCATCCCTCGTTCTACTTCGCCGTACCAAGAACAGTCAAACTTCTCGTCATTTCTGTGCTAACCGCACTGTCTAAAACCACCACTCATACTATACTTTCGTACTCTCCTTCGCTCCCGCTGGTTCTACCCTGTCAGGATCGCCGCCACTCACTTTCCGTCAACGTTTTCACCTAATCATTCGGCTTAGGTATACCCGAGGACCCTTAGCGCCTCACATTCTTAAACACACCTTGTAGATTGCATGAAAATATAAGTCTTCGTCCCCCCAAAACTAAAAACAGTCGTCCCTCCTTAAAGAACGTCCTCTCTCAGCGATTCCCTCCTCGAACTCAACGTCAGCCTTATACCACAGTCATCAGAAGGCTGTGGTTGATGGCAAGTCAATTCGCCGACGCCACGCACACATGCACACCAATGCCCAGCCAGGAATCAACATTGATGTAGCTGCTGACCTCGAAGCTAATTTTGCATGGGCGCCACCACTCGCACCTCAAACTCAGAACGTTGATGATGATCTTGCAGGTCCTGAATCCATATCACTTGACGAGATCGACGCTGCATTTGCGCTACTGGAACGCGACGCCATGGAACAAGAGCCGGTTGACGGAAATGAAGTGTTGGAGGGCCGAGTTTATGATTTCGTGGAATTGGAGCATGTTGACCAAGGTCTTGCACCGAAATCTGTTGACGACGAGATCATATTAGTTGATCACACCTCACACAATGATGGACAGTGGGATGTGGACGCGCTGATGTCTTCCAATGGTGTTTCCTAGTGATATTGTCATAAACATAGCCTTGTAGCGCTTTGAAAATTCTGCCGAGCGGCAGAAGTGGTGGTTCTGCCGCTTCTGCCGGTTATGCCGGCACAATTACTTGCAAACAATTCTGCCCCTAGCACTAATTATTTGGCGGTTACTGGGCAGGACCCCTGGAGTCACGCCGTGAAGACCCCGAAACGTTACCTACGGCAGTGAAGGTTAAACGGGTTGCCCACGATCTCCACTGTGTGCTCGCCGTTCACTATAAGTCGCTCAGCTCGGAATTGTTGCGAAGAATCAGTGGGTGCCGTCCGAATCTGCAATTTTCGCTTTCCAAATCTAGGTCTTCAAAGCTGCAAAAAAATCTGATCGGACATTCCAGTGTAATTCCAACCCGCTTCGTGCTTCACCCACACGGCAATTGGAATCATGCTTGTACAGACATCCGAATCAAAGGTCAACATGCTTGCTGAAGATGACTTCGGAATTGTCTATCTTATAGAGAATGCTCAACAGTTTTGGTCAGGTGCGTTGTATCACATATTTTAAATGTCTCTTTGGGACATGGAAGAAGGCTCGAACTTACAACCGAGGGCTGTCAATCTGTGTTTTCTAGAGCTTGATGATGTCCTTCGAGTTCCGAGCGATGGATCTGCCACGTTATCCATGTTAGACACTGCACTCAGGAGGTTTGTGTCCCTATGTGCTTCTTATCACGGTTAGCTTCGCTACGATCGCATAGTCTCCTCTACATGCGTTAAAATGCTTTATGTTTTGTTTCCAGAACAGTTCCTTCAAAGTCCGATGCAACTGGAACATGCATGCAATCTTTTGCTTGACTCTGAATTGTTTGTGTTTCACTCTGAACGAATGTGCGAGTTGACCATCGAGGATGTCAAGTCTGTGCGCAGAACCGTCACATATCACTCGTCCTGTGCTGAAGCTGGCTTACAGAAAACAGATCCACACTCGCAACTCATTCTATACAGTGTACTATTGTTCCATGGTCGCCGTCAATCGAACTTTATTCGCTCCCATAAGCATTGGCAACCACTGATACCGCTTCTCATGGACCACATTTTGGTGGAAATAAACCTAGATACAGAGGACGTCTATCTTGGGGCACCTTCCATATCAAGTGGTTCCGGTTCACGCTCCAGCATGGTGGTTGGCCACATACCTATAGAGGCAAAACTAAGGAGTCTGGGCGTGAGGCTACTCTATGAAGTGTGTAGGGTCCAGAAACTGTCTTTACATGATTTAAGTAAGTGGTCCTATTACTTCGGCGATGATCTGGTTTTTGATCAATAACCTTGCACAGGTGTTTTCAACGATCAGTTTCTCGATAATTTGTTTGAGCTTGTAGAGCAGACTCGGTTTATGCCCGATGAGACTCTGAACTACTCCATAATAAAATTGATCGTGAGAGCGCCGAATTTCTATGAAGGTTGCACCTAATTTACTTGTCAGGTTGCATTGAACGAGCAGTTCATGGTAGCCTGCTTAAGCAACAATCAACAGCCTGGATCCAAGGAGCCAGAATTGCAGAATCGAGTACTCACTGTTTTGATTTCTCGTCTCGGATCTAGCAAGACTTTTGGTGAAAACATGATATTCATGCTCAATCGTGCTTGTGAGTAACTAAAGACATCGTCGAACCACTGACTGATGTTTGTTTTTGATAGCACGATCCGCTGAAGACCTGTGTATGCAGCTTCTGGTGCTCAAGCTTCTTTACATCCTTTTCACCAACAAGGCGACGTCGGAATATTTCTACACAAACGATCTACGTGTTCTTGTGGATGTCTTCTTACGCGAACTGGTTGACCTTGATGAAGAGAGTGAATCTGTGAGTCTTGCAGCATTGCACACGGAAGCAGTCTGAACATATTCTTTACAGCTTCGGCATACCTATCTTCGTGTCATGCATCCACTGCTCACAAAGACACAAATGCGGAATGTGCCATATAAACGTCCGCAAATTGTGCTTGCTCTTGAATCCCTTGTTCAAAATGGAAATATCCGAGATATCAACCCCACAACAAAACGTTTGGTCGAACGATGTCTTGGAGGGGAGTGGTGTGTGCAGCTGCGAAGGACGTCCCACGATAAAGAGGTACTTAAGCATCAAGGGAATTTTCGACTCAGCAGCCCAAGCCACGACATAATTGCATCCACGACACAAGATACTGTGTCCTCTCGAGCACCCACTTCACCAGACGCAGAGCATGACGCTGCTTCTAAGGTGTTGAACTCGAAGTCGAAGATTATAAAGCACTATAGAAGTGCTGAAAGCATACATGATCCTATATCTCCACGATCGGTAAAAACCACACACATGCGTTCTAGCACAGACAGCACAACGAGTTTAGCGGCTGCCACCGCTACTGCATCTAGACAACGAGAGAAAGCTAGTTCTGTTGATGATGTCACTCGTGATGTCACACTCCATCCAGAGAAGAGCGTTCTCGTGCAACAATCCAGACAGCCTTCGTCTAGTTCTTTGAACCTTCCCTCGTCCGCATCTGTCAATCACAGTCACAAGGTTCGAAGGCCGGCGCCCGCTCCACCCAAGAGAAGAAAGCCTCCTCCAGTGCCTGTCGGAACAAGCAATAGCGGCGCTACAATCACAGCCATCGCAACCTCTGCTTCTACTCCCCTTGGCCAATTAGGGAAGAGCGGCAGAGTGGTGTGCCGCCAACTGTAGTTTATAAATGATCGGTGAGCATCAGTGCTCGTCTGAGCCTTCCTCGACACCTAGGTTTGGCTGCTTCACTAGGACTTTCGGAACTCTGCTTTACATTAGCCGTTCTATCCTCAGTCACAAACATCGTCTCGTGCATTGATCATTTGCATCTGAATCCTCCATCTCATGGCCACATAGGACACTCATATTGGATACAAAATGTACAGCTACCTCACAACACTTATTTCGTTCATCACGCCCCGGGACTTATCTTATTTGATTGCGTTCTTGAATTCGATTATTATTCGTCTTGATTTCTTACTGGCATTTTCTTGAAAACATTGGGCCCAACGTCCTCAATTCAGGGGGGGTTGTGTTCCTATCCAATTTTCATCTGGTCATCCGAAAATCGCTGACGTAAGCACAAACTCAAGATGAGTATCCGAGATGAGTCTCCGAGGACTGGCCCATTGAGCCGTTAGCCATAACTCCTTAGTCTCCTGCAATTTCGAGACAACTCTGATTGTCATCAAAATTTTCAAAATGGCAGATCAAGCAGGACCCTCGACACTGAAGCATTTAAAAAAGCCACGGAAGAATGTGAAGCACGGTTTGCGACCGGCGAAAGCCAAAAAGCTCTCGGAGAAACAGCAGATTGAGGCTTTGGAACGTGCAGTGATGGAGTTCGTGAGTTATTCAACCCTCTGTACTGTTGAACGTAACTTTATCTCAAGGGCGGCTCAGGAGCCCCGAGACGATCTTCAAGCTTTTTCTGAACTTCCTATTTCTGAATTCTCGAAAAAAGGTATGCCATAAATCTCTCCGAACGCGACTGATTATGACGTATTCCACAATCAGGACTCAAAAAGTCGTTTTTCGTTAAAATGACAGAAATTCAAGCAACCAGTATACCGGTCTCTTTGAAGGGTAAAGATGTACTTGCGGCTGCTCGCACTGGTAGCGGAAAGACTCTTGCTTTTCTCATTCCAACGCTGGAGATACTTTACAGGAGAAAATGGGGGCCCCAGGATGGTTTAGGCGCGGTAATAATTTCACCGACCCGTGAATTGGTACGTCCTACCTATCCTTAGTTTTTTTAGTCACTTGATGATTACATGACCAAGGCTGTACAAATTTTCGACGTCTTGCGTTCCGTTGGAGCTTTTCACACATTTTCTGCAGGGCTTGTGATAGGTGGAAAAAACCTAAAGGATGAGAGGGAGCGACTCGCTCGAATGAATATCCTTGTCGCCACACCAGGCCGACTGCTGCAGCACATGGACCAGACATTTGGCTTCGAGTGTGACAACTTGCAAGTTCTCAGTAAGTCGCGGACCGCGCACCTTTGCTAAGGATTAATCATGCTTGTAAAGTTTTGGATGAAGCGGACCGCATATTAGACATGGGATTTGCCAAGACACTATCCGCATTACTCTCTCACCTCCCGAAATCACGCCAAACTCTACTTTTCTCAGCTACACAAACCCAGTCTGTATCACAACTAGCTCGCTTGAGTCTCAAAGACCCTGTTTTCATCGGCGTGGATGAATCCAGCAGCTCGTCAGCTACTCCTCGCTCCCTTGCGCAGTACTACTCTGTCTGCACGTTGGACAAGAAGCTCGATGTGCTATGGTCATTCATCAAAACTCACCTACACTCCAAGGTCCTCGTCTTTTTCTCGACTGGGAAGCAAGTTCGCTTCGTTTTCGAGACTTTTTGCAAAATGCATCCTGGAATACCACTACTGCATTTGCATGGGAAACAGAAACAGTCTGCCAGGCTAACGATGTACACTCGATTTACATCTTCTCAACATGCGGTACTATTTGCCACTGACATAGCTGCACGCGGTTTGGACTTTCCTTCGGTCGATTGGGTTGTGCAGGTCGACGCTCCAGAGGACGCTGACACCTACATCCATCGAGTGGGACGAACGGCGCGTTATGAGAGCTCTGGAAGTGGCTTGTTGCTTCTCATGCCCAGCGAGGAAGAGGGCATGAAAGCCGCTTTAGAGAAGAAAAGTATCAAGATCGAAAATATCAAGATTAGACCTAGCAAAACCCAGAACATACAAAATCAACTTCAGAAACTCTCTTTTCAAGAGCCAGAGATCAAGTATCTCGGGCAACGCGTGTGTTTCTACTACATGTCTGCATGGTGAATTCTGCTACTCATCTGGAGGTTTAGGCTTTTGTTTCATATGTCCGCTCTGTCCACCTTTACAAGGATAAATCGATATTCAAAGTCGACGAGCTTCCTGTGGAGAAATTCGCTGAATCTCTTGGGCTGCCGGGCGCCCCCAAAATCAAGTTTTTAAATAGGGAACTTGTAAAGAAACAAAAGAACTCGTCTCGAGCGGTGGCAGCTGTTCAGGCCGAGATTGAAGCGGAGGCCGAGCAAGGGTGTTCGGATAACGAAGATGACTCTGAAGAGGCTGTTGTTTCGTCTGATGACGATGCGTTAACTGGCGCCGATCTTGCCCCAGATGAGGTCAAGGATGATTCGAAGCTTTCCACGTCTACTAAAGTGTGTGACATTGCATTCGTTTTATTGCTCCTAACTCGGATATCGCAGCACGGTGTGCGCACGAAATACGATCGAATGTTTGAGCGCAAAAATCAAAATATTCTTTCTGCCCACTACTCGAAATTGGTTGATCATGGCGATGCGGTTGATGATGATGAAGACTTCATCACGCTCAAGCGCTCAAATCATGACTTATCTGATACCGACGCAAACCCAGATATAGACAACCTGTCGAAGAGAAAGCTCAAACTATCCAGAACGAAACGCGCAATTGCTAAGTATGGTCAATTGGGACATAAGCTGATATTCGATGACGAGGGGAACCCTCACGAAATTTACGAGATGGTTGACCCCGCGGAATTCTACAAAGAGGGTCTAAAAGGAGCGAAGGAAGCTGGCAAGGCCTTTGTGGAAGGGGAGAAGGACAAGCTGAAGGGTGCAGATGTGGTTGATAAAATGGAAGCTAAGGAGAAAAAACGCGAAAAGAAACGCAAACGGAAGGATCGGGAGCAAGGTGTAAGTTCAGCGTCTCTTTCCTGCGAGATCTAGCTCAGAAAGTGTTCTTTAGGTTGATCGCGATGATGCTCATGATGGAGTTGTTGCGGAACTTGCACCCTCTCATGAGGATGGGTATATATCGCCTGAATTCGACCTGCCGTCCGAAGATGAAGTGCAGAACACGTCGCCGCCGCCACCCAAGCGGAGTAAACGTTCAGCTTCAACCAAAACAGATTCCGATGGTTTTGAAGATGAGGAAGAGTTTGCACTTCGGCTACTACGTCACCGCAGATAGGGTCAAGATGCTGTATGTATGCAATTCATTAGAATTTATATGCTCTTCAGCACCCGATAAGCAGTGCAGGTTACGGCTGCACTGGATTCTCATATTTTCTAACATATATAAGCACGAAACGTTTGTATCCACGGAAGTAATTCGCGTGACTGTCATGTGCGTGCACCACCTGGGCTCAGCTGTTCACTGTGCTTAACCATTTATCCCTTCTTTTTTTTCGTGTCTGTGATTGTGTGTGCGCCACCTGCGCTCCACTCTCGTATGCGCTCGGCAGCTGTCTCTCTTTGTTATTCCCCGCGTCTGTGATTGCCACGTGCGTCCGCTACCCGAGCTGCACTCTTCACTGTCAGTGTCGGTGATCCCCTGTCTCTCCCTCACCATCATGGCTCTTTTCATGGCATAGTCGACATCCAAAACGCAACACATTATGCTTCAGAGTTACATATATAGCCGACGACATATTCATCAAGGATGATGATCAGAGAGCAAGTACATCTGACATCTTGAAGTTCCAAGCTTCAGTTGTAGTGCTTTACTATCACCCCATTGATGACTTCTTGTTCCACGCCTTTCTCTTTGCCATCCTCCAGTTTTGATTGGCCATAGGCAGATGTCCTCGCTTTCCTCCATTGTTCCATTGTTGGTGCCTCGCTATCGGCGCAACGCCTATGAATTCCAGCTCTCTGCAGGACTGGACTTTCGGCCATCGGCACCAACTTGACATCGTCGTTGGGCATGACAAAGTAGAAGACTCCGAGGCGAGGGTAGTTTTTCTGATCCTCTGGAGGCTTTGTAACACGATGGATCGTGCCCTTGTAATACCCGCCGGTAAGGAAGTCCAATGCATCACCCGCATTGACGACCTATAATCCTTTCATTATGTGATGCATTGAGACGTAGAATATGACCGCGTACGAGTGCATTTTCGATATGGCGGACCCAGTGCCATTTGCCTTCACGGGTCAGAATTTGCAGTCCAGCGACAGGCTGACTCCACAGAATCGTAATGCTTCCAAAGTCTTGCGTTGACACTGGTGAGCACAGGCGTTGTTTTCACGATAATCAAGGTCACTAACCTGTGTGTCCCTTCAGCCAAACGTTCTGTGTTTTGGTTTCCTCTTCCTCTGTTCGCGGATAACTGAACTGCATAAACTTGTGAAGACTATAAAGAAGGCAACGCTTACTATTTCATGAACCTGACTGATGGATAGGTCAGCAACGATTTGGAACGTTTCGAAAAGTATGTACCATACGTCTCTCCAACGGCGTCATAGTCATGAATGTTGACCAACGTATCTTCGGGTAGCTCAAGGCTGCGTGCAATAAGCCTGATTGAAATGTAATCAGGTGGTCATCCTAAGTGCAGCAGTAATATATATGTGCCTCAGCATGGGATGCAACACGTTGATGTGATTGTGTTTGCTAAATTCCCTGATTTCCGGGAGAAGAGGACGCAGTGTCTCTGGGTGTCCTCGTTTGGTCACATCGCGATTGACTAGAAGGATGTCAGGCGAGTCAATGAAAAGACACAAATGCATTCTACTCACTGTTATAGTGCTCAATCTGGTCGTGGACCCCAGCATCAATATGCTGAATTCGATCGGCTTGCGTAAACCAAACGTTTGTATGTCAGGCGAGATATGACTATCACGCACCCAGTACTGTCGCAATTTATAACCTTGGTATGAGCCGCTTTGTTTCATTGTTCCAGCATAAGTTTGCTTCTCGCTGTCACTGACCGCCGAGAAGGGTAGATCCGAGATGTCAAATATGCGATCTGTCTGCAATGTGCATTGAGATAATATTAACGATCCACACGACATGAAAGAGTTGTTTCACCTGATCTTGCGAATACCCGTGATTCACCACGTAGAAGAACCCGTGGTTAAGGAGGGCCTCCCTGACTTCAATTGCCAGTGCGGTTCGACCTTCTTCAGTATTGGCTTTCGAAATGTCGATGATGGCAAGGTCAGCATACTCCACTGTCAATTTACACCTCAGCGTTCGACATTAAACAGAGAACTTGACACAGACAAGTTTCTTCACTAGGAGGTGCGGCAACATAATGCGGTACGTAGGGTAAAGTGAGGCTGGGCATTATGATACAAGGGGGGATTGTACATCTGATCCAGCCTTATAAGCCTAGAGATCTTATGACCATGCGGACCGCAAGGTAGAAGCAGCTGATCACCTCATTATCAGGGCGTATTACGCACATCTTGACTAATGCACATTCAGGGAAATCCTAGCCACATGAGCCCTAGGCTAAGGCGCAGATAAGGTCGTGTAGAGGCCTGGTGAAGGCAGACCCAATTTCCGGATGCTACCTAGTTGTAGTGTTTGACAACTATGCCATTCAATACCTCTTCCTCTATGCCAGGCTCTTTGCCCTTCTGCAGATCGCTCGCGCCATATGCACTAATTCTTGCAACCCTCCACGCCTTCATAGTAGGAGCTACATCATCTTCACATTTACGCTCAACCCCAACCTTCTGAAGGACTGGACTGTCCATGAGGGGTACCAACTTGACATCGTCATTGAGAAAGGAGAAATAGATCATACTCAGCCGAGTGCAGCCACGCTGATCAATTGGGGGTTGCACAACCCTATGGATGGTCGCCTTGTAGAATCCTCCTGTGAGGAACTCCATCGAATCACCAATATTCATGAGCTAAGGCATTTATGTCAGATAGAAAAGCCATGGCATGGAAATACACACCAAAGCGTTTTCAATATGCTTGACCCAGCGCCAGCCCTCTTTCGTTTGGATCTGCAAGGCAGCAACTGGCTGACTCCAAAGTAGGGTGATACTTCCGAAGTCTGCTACGGTATGAGCAAAGCAACATTTGCAAAGAGTAGAGCAACCTGTGTGTCCTTTCATCCAGACATTTTTTGTCTGAACTTCATCTTCTTCTGACCTAGGGAAACTTTAAGAAAGTAAGATACAATAGCACACGTCATATTGTCGTATGTTTACTATTTCATAAACCTCACTAGTGGCTATATCAGATCAAAGCCATCGAGAAACGAAATAAGTCGCACAATATGATACTCCGGGTGCATCAAAATCGTGCAATTTCACGAACGTGTCTTCCGGAAGTTCAAGGCTCAATGCCATGAGCCTGAGAGCGCAGTCAAATTCAAATTCTGAAGTCAAGGCTGAAGACATACCTGCAAATTTTATGGAGAATGTTGTGGTGATTATGACGCACGAAGGCATCAATATCAGGAAGAAACGGTCTGAGTGCTTGTGGATGCATCAGGCTATAGACGTGGCGGTTGCCTAACTAAGGATGTTAGATTCTCTCCACCAATACTAGACTGTGTGCGAACAGTTATAATGCTCGTGCTGGTCACGTACGCCTGCATCGATGTGCTGTCATACAGAATCAACAGTAGCGAATGGCAGGAGTCAGCGAATGGTCTACCCAGTATTGTCTTGGTTTGTAGCCTTGAAATATACCTGTATTCTTGCTGTCTCCGGTGTACGCTCGTTTCTCGTCTTCAGGTACGCCAGACATGGGAATATCTGCGATATCAAACATCCTTTCATTCTGTACTCGAAAGTGAGGATACGCGAGAGAAACAATATTTGACGTATTTCACCTGAACTTGGGTGTACCCGTGGTTGATAATATAGCAAAATCCTTTAGTAGTCAAGGCCTCTCGTAGTTCAACCGCCAGTTCTGCACGGCCTTCTACGGTTGCTGCTTTAGACAGGTCGATGATAGCAAGATCTGCATATTGGACTGGATGTGAGAGGTACATTAGATACATGCATTGTGCTATGTCTATATCACCCACGGTTTTCCTTAGTAGGCAGAGCAGGGACATATCTTGGAGTTTGTGGGACCGTTAGACTTGGCATGGTATGGCCTGTGCTTCTGAATGGAATCGAAGGAGACCAGAAACTACTCGTATTCTCCCTTTTAAACGCAAGACGCAACGAATATCATCCGCGCACCAAAAAAAGTGTGATAAGCCAAGGAGCGAGTGTGGGACTAGATGATATCAATTTTGGCATTTTGTCCTGAGAGATACCGTGCGTTCTTGTCAAGCTTCAAGAACCATGAACTAAAAACACTGTCAGATGTTCAATCTGATCCAATGGCTTTTCAATAATAGGGTGATTTTGCGGGCGGAAGGAGTTGCATGACCCATTATAGCTTGTGCGGTCACCTGCGATACTGTACCACTAGGAAGTGGGGATCCGGATTACTGTCTTTGGCCTAGTTCGATGTGCCGTTCTAAGTACAGCATTTATGCACACTCTAGACTTCAGAGAAGACTCGGAGGTATATCTGTTTGTCACGGTACAAACGAGTCGACGTTCACCGATAACGCACTTGTGGCCAGGGTGATGTGCATTCACTTGAAGGACCAACTCATTATCCGTTGTGACAGTGACTCAGCGGGTCTGACACGGTGGCCTGATAGGTGAGCTTTGTTATTGAGTCGGTATGGCGCTTGAGCTTAAACAGGACCAAACGACTATTTTCCATGATGCATAATTGACGCACCCATGGGTTGATGGCGAGGACCATGAAGCGAGGGTGACAACCGGTTTCGGGTGCTATCGTCCCAAAGATAGAATTTTGGGGTTAACATGGAATCCATTTACGGGTGAAAACTCTTCGAGCAATTAATAACACGGTTAAATAACATGGGAATAATAACAAGCAAGTTATTAACACATCACGCGACCCATTAGCTTAGTATAAATAAAGTTAAACCCAAATTATTAACAATCACGTGACCCAAAATTCAAGTTCTCTACTCGGCGTCCGCATCCTCCAGGTCACTGGTACCATCACTGCTACGGCCAGAGCCTGGTCAGCTACAAGATCCTTGTCACAATTGGTGCATGGATATCCACTTCGCCCTCGACCTTGAAGGCTGAATCTTGAACTGGCATAGATGCGATGCGTGGTATCCTATCATCGACGAGAAGAAAAATAAGCACATTCCCTTCATTTCTGACACTGATGTACGCGACTTTTCTTTGCCTTTGCCTTTGCCTTTGCCTTAGGACCTTCAGACACGTCGGTTCGCTGAAGTTCAACTCTTCAATACATTCGAAAGCTAGCAGCCACTGCATCCCTATCAAACGTAGTTGCATACTCAAGTCGTAGAGCAAACTTATCTTCGATTCACAATCACTAATGATTTAAATGGAATGGAACGCAAAGTTAATGCGGGTTGTCAAGGACTGACGCTAGCACGGACTTGGCACGGACCGTGCTCAACCTTTGAACGGATCCCTTTCCTCACGGTCAATTGTACACGGCCATGTCAATGGTAGGAATACGATATTCCATCGAAGAGCTGACCGAAGGTATACGACTATTCTCATGACCGAATGAATGGAGATACAGTATCCCCTCACATAAACCGTGTCTAGTGCCACGACGTCTTTCCTGCCATGGAATTTACATTTTGGCGGATAATCAAATCCAGAGTCTACGTCAGATAGTAGTGCTGTGGGCAGAAAACGGAACTAGGGTTGTGCCACAGCAAAACCAGGCAAAGCTCAAAGGAGGTAAATTATTCGTCGATCATTGGTCGACATGAACGATGCGACGCAGCGAACGCCGAATGGCGGTAGTCTGCCAACAACACCACTGATACAGACACGTATAATCTCCTGCAGTACCAACTACGTATGGCATGGTTTGGGTTCCGCACTATACGGTACTGCATAGCATGTGTTCCGAAAATGAAAGTATGCCTGGGAGCACTATTGAGATCTCCTAAGTAGCTGCTGATCTCCCAGTATGCATTTTCGCGTTTCCCCTACGTACATGACGAGACGCTAAATTTCTGTCATCATCCACTGTGGACTTTTTTCACATTCCTAAGAACAGCTTCAGGAATTGTCGTGTCACCTGGTTGGAATTACATGTTACCAGCATCTCCTAGGCCGCCAAGAGAATGTCGAGTACAGAGTAAATCGAACCTGAGGTCTGCTGGCAATACAGCTATCACCTGTCTGAAGGAGTCAATATTTCGGGTGCACAGAACATTGATCAGGACATAAAAGCCAGCTGTCTTCCTACCGTCTCCCTCATCCTTGTTTTTGAAGCTCATATCACAAATAATGCGTCTCTCCGTCATCCTCGCTGTTGTTGCTGCTTTCAAGTTGACAGCCTCTATGCCAGTCAGTGATGACTGTCCCATCAACTGCGGCGGCACTGTTCCTTGTTGCGCCGGCACTTCATGTCAAATGATAATGAGTGGCTTAAATGTGAGTATGAGTAGTTTTCATCTGACCTGGTGGCTTACCGGCACGACAGTCTTACGTCTTTGTGTGTTTGAAAGTTTGAACGACTGATTCACCGGGCTACAATAAGTCGTGTTTCCGGTCTTGCCTGGTGCAGTGTGGTTGGTTGACACGAGTCAGACGCCGTTCGTTGCCGAGTGCTGGATTTTCATGGTGAACAAATTTCAGCCTGCATTGCAGGTGTTAAATTAGAGGAATGTATCTAGCATATATCAAACGTCAGTCCTACATAGCTAGACTCCGAATTTTCCCACAACGGTGTCTTGTGACAGTGTCACAGTGGCACCAGTCTTGGTGCTTGAGCAAGCAAAGCTTTCCTGTCGCACACGATTGGAGTCAGAGCTCTGCTCTGCAACGAATCCAGAATTGGGTGTTTTTGATGATGGCACGAAAACTTTCTACATGAAAGTGTTCTCGGGTGAATCTGCTGAGTCGCTACCGCGGGACGGACCTCCCTAATTGGTGTAACTGTGTCGATGAGCCCCCAACTTACTGACCCCCTCTTTAGGGGTGAGCTGAGATCCTCATGCATCGTGTTTTGCGTGTGTAAACGTTTATTCTTGACCAGCTATCATACCAGGCCCACAGTCGCAGTGTTTCATCGTGGTTTTGATATATCCGAGCCTTGAAAATAATCTGGAACTCTAGTCTATGCACCAGAACTCTCTTCGTGCCCAATATCCACTACAGGCAAACCGGTACTCTCTCGGAGATGTCAGTCGAAACCCACAGCACATCCCCTCTTCATACCGAGGGTCATTTTATTATACCAAGCACAGGTCAGTGTTCGATATGCATGGCAAGTGTTGTGTTGATTATAGCAAAGCTTGACCGATGAAGTAGACGCCGGCAGGGGCTGAGCTAGAATTAGTACTTACATTGCACCATGACGCCATTTTCTAATGCAGAACGAGACCTCACTGATTTAGGCTTATTCGGCAGGCAAGAAACGATTGTCCTTGAAGCTTGGGGTTTCCTTCTTTCTCTTTGGACTCATAAACAATGGTGTGCCATTTTTTTCCCCCAAATGGCTGCTCTGATCATCATAAAGTACTCTATGTCATCATACTTTCGGCCGCACTCGACCTCGTCCCTCCATCAACACCCAAGGGCATCATTGCCTTTTGTAATATCGCTCCGGCCTTAATTGCGAAGCTCGGGTGGCCGTACTTTCTCAAGGGCCGCATACGTTATGCCCGACGCATTGTCGCCTGCTGCGCATTAAGTTTTATAGGCATGCTGGTAATCCGACAACAGCTTTGTTTTGAGAATCGCGATTCATGTAACACACAGGTCGTTGCCTTCCATGAAAGCCTGTATTCGAGGCTTCTGGGAATATGTATTGCGTCGTTTTCGTCGGGTGAGTTCACACATCCATCATGCACACCCATCTTAATGTGAACAACAAACTATAGGTTTGGGAGAAATGACGTTTTTGCAACTTTCGACAACATACAGTCGTTCAGTAGGAGGTCGAAGCGTTGGGTCCGCATTGTCTTACCCTTCGAGCTATTTCATGTTGATTCCACTTGACAGGTACTTCGCCTCAGGTACAGGGGCTGCAGGTATTGTCGGAGCATTCATGTGGTGGGAACTCAGGGGCCTGGGCGTCAGTACTGGTGTTGGCATCTCAGCGGTAACAATATAGGCATAGCGACTAAACAATCTCTCATACTACATCACAGGTTCTTCCATTCATCCTTCCTCTGGCATACTTTTTCCTGCTTCCCCGTCCAGCAGCATTTACGCATCAATCTTCTGCGTCGTACACGCTCGTCCCTGCTGACGACCTTGAGACTGAAATTGATGATGATCTGTCTGCTCAAGATGACGTAGAATCTCGCGTGGAGCACAAGGTTGCCGTCCGTTTATCAGCCGCGGATAAATGGCGTCTAGTCAAACCGATGTTATTGAAGTATATGCTTCCACTCTGTGAGCTATCTTTATCATTTGTGATCCTTATGCGTCTAATAATCTACCACTAGTTTGCGTTTATACAGTAAGTAATTGATGTTTTTAGGCATAGAGCATACCTTCTGACATGCACAACCTAGCTCGAGTATACTATCAACCAGGTACATTATCCCTATCCTTGCACCTTTAGTCTTTCTGAATACATGCAGGGTGTCGCACCGACTTTATTATTTACAGTTCCGTCACACGGCCTCATCAGCAAGATCATTCATTCCACCCGCGACTACTATCCACTTTGGCAGGTCTGTATAATCATCTACCATGATCCTGAAACACTTCCTGATAACGACCCTCTCATAGCTAGTCTACCAAACCACAGTCTTTTTCTCTCGTTCAAGCATATCTCTGGGGTTGAAAACCCTTCCGGCCCATCTCCTCCCCGCTCCGGCTATCATCCAGTTCGTGATACTGCTCCTGCTAGTTTTTGAATCCGCTGTTGGGCTACTTCCGGAAGATCGTGAAGTAGGAAGTATATTCTTGGTTTTTGTGCTTATCAGTATCGAAGGCGTATGTGGCGGTTTGGCATAGTGTGTCTTATTTTTTATCCAGATAGAGGTTGATGATCTGATCAAATGATTGCTAGCGTCAACGTGTTCTATTGTATTAATCAAGAACAGCCGGATCCAGCCTCAACACACAGCCCTGAGGTAATAAAGCAGGAGCGGGAGTTCAAGATAGGTTCTATTGGTTTTGCCGATAGCTCTGGGATTTTGCTGGCTTCGATTCTCGCCGTACCAACGGAAATGGAGCTTTGTAGAGCGCAAGTTGCAAGGGGAAAGTACTTATGCCAGGGGCTTTAGGTCCGCGATCTGCTGAGGAGTAGAGGACGTATCTGAAATACACAAGCGCAAATAACTGGCGGCTTGATATCGTATAGTTTACATACAACATTTTGAGTAGTGATGATACACATTGCACTAGAAGATACCACGAAACTGAAATGAATGCTATATGGCCAAATAAAAGCACTGGAGTGCAGACGAGCGCGCGCGCGCATTCTACGTCGGCCGACCAGGCGAGCCGACGTAAACATTGAACGACTGCCACGTCTCTTGCAGGTGCTGCTGAGAAAGCGACGGATATTCTGCAGGAGCTTGGGGTGGTTGAGACATTTGGTACTGATTGTCATAGTACGGGGTCCGATAATACGCAGTACTTTCCTGCGCCTGATACGATTGCTGTGCAGATTCCCAATATGATTGGGAGGGTCTTGCGTTGTAGTCATCAGACGCGTAAGGATCTGCAGTGCTAAAGGATGATGATGACTGGTATGGATCATGGTGACCAGATTGTTCCTGGCTGTAGTATTGCTGGCGCTGGGGATCGTGGTAATGTTGCCCGGGATGTTGCTGATGAGGGTCCGCATGGTATTGAGTATTGTCGGGCTGGTGATGGTAAGATTGTGGCGGCGATTGAACATACTGCGGCTCGTGCTGATACTGTTGCCCTTGATTGTCAGACGAGTACACAGGCTCCCGGCGCTGAATCTCGCCTCGGAAAGACTTCTGTGCCTCGACCGGTTGAGAAAAACTATGTGGCGAAGCGGAAAAGTGGTTATGGTATACTTGTGGCGGCTGTGTAACTGGATGCGGCTGCTGTTGGGTCGGTCGGGCTTGATATGTGCCCTCATGCATACGGACCATTCCAGATAATGCTTCAGTAGACGCGGGCACCATGAAATCATCGTCTTCTGTGTAATACGCATCTCGTTGAGCATTGTGAAGCTGAGTATTGAGATCCCCATCGAAACTGCTCCACTGCTCACGCAGCGATGGATGTATGTGGCTGAATGCCTGTGGGGGAGTGCCTTCTACCTGTACCGGGGGTCTAGTTTGACTTAAATTGGTGCTGCTTCCAGGTGAATGGCTAGACCGTCCTGAAGACGGTAGTACGGGAGCCTTCGTGGAAATCTTGTTGATTTGTCCACTGAAAATCGAAAGTTCATCCTTCGACTTCGTTGGACCGGTGTTCGAGAAGATATCTCGTCGAGTCACGGCAGGAGTGGCAGTACTGTATGCTTGCTCAGCTTTCTGCAACAGCCTCTCAAGGATAGGCTATGAAGGCATCGACATCAGCATGCATTGTCTAGCGTTCAGTATGCCAGTGCCAGTGCTCACGTACAAGGAATTTTCCAGCTCGACCTCCAAAAACAGATGCTTCTTTGAAAAGACTGACAGCGCGCCGCAGCTCGGTCAAGGCTGCAGTGGTGATCTTCGACCGAGAACCGCTTCCAGATGCATGCGTAACAACCGAAGACAGCAACACCTAAATATGTTGGAGCGTTAACATGGCATTTTGGGACGATTATGCCAGTGAGTGTGCTCACAGATGAGGAAAACGCATGGGTCCATAAAACCCAAAAACGGGCGATCTGTGCCGGGAACAAATCGAACTGCTTACGAAGACCGCTAATCAGCTCACAGGCACTGCGGTACCCTGCAAGGAACGATGGAGCGAATGGGCTGCTCATGGGGTCTGTGGGGTTGCTTGATACAGCTTCCGCAAAAAAGCATCGATGAATATATAGCAGAGCTGGAACGAACTCAAAATTGCTTTGATATTAGACTATGCTGAAATCGCTTACTAAGATGTCGGTAGTTATGGGGCATGTAATGCTTCATCGCTTCTCCAAGTTCAGCACCTTCTCTGGAAGATCGCAGGGCGTATTTTGGAAGTTCCATGTCGCGAATCTTGCGATCCAGCTCGATGACAACAGAATACTTCGGGACCTTTGCCGTTTGTGCATGTTGGATGACTGCAGATATGCAATGGAAACCAAAGCGAGCCTTCCATGCCGGGACTGAAGTTATTATCGTTGAGATCAACATATGAAACAGAAAAATATAAGACTTACAGCTTAGCAGAACACTTCCGTCTTCATCCACCGTGGAATCGGGGTCGTTAGGCAGTTCACAGTCTACAAAAGGCAGATAAAACGTAGCAAGACGACCTGTGGCCAAGGACTATGAATGTTAATAACACCCGACAGAATTACAAAGTCAAGTTTACCTGCCACCCGTCTGTGATAAATAGCTCCCAGAATAGTGCACGGCGTTTTTGCACCTCTTGTGGAGACAGCTGCCAACGGGCGCAATCACGGTCTGGCAGTGGATGATGAGCTGATTTGACCGATGATACAAATGATTCAATTACTGACGCAGTCCAATCTATAACACAACGTCAGGAAGTAGAAACAAGAAATCAATTTCACTTACGCTCTGAGCTAACTTCGTTGCAAGTCCAAAGATCCCCCAGGTACTCTCAATACTGTTTTCTCCACTGCAAAGGCCCTGATAGATGGCAAGTAAAGCCAGCGTCTGAATGGTTGCTACTGATGGTGGACGGTCAAGTACGGGCTCCAAGTTTAATGCAGCGCGTGTAAGTTTGAAATACATGTCGGCTTCCTCGTTGTCTGGCGCAGGGGGCAATCTGTAATCCGTCAGTGCCCCAAAGCAGAAGATCACGAACATCAGGGCGAGTTCATGAGGACCTTTGCTCAAAGTATCATTCCCCGAGGTCACTGATGGCGCTACGGAACCCAGATAGTTGAGATCTGATGCTTCTGCGTACCATGAAGGGAGGATCTCCTCCATCAGTTGCCGTTTTGTCACCGCTCCAAAGAACCATGGTGCTTGCTGGAGATACAGCTCACTCAAGTGACGACCACGATGCCAAGGAGGTAGATGATTTTGAATGAGGTAGTTGAGATCAACTTCATCGTTAAACACTGGAGCCAGAGGGAAAGTCTTGGACAGATGCTGGACACTGGGAGACAGATGTTCAGTATGCTGTGTCCGAGTCCTGTCGCCTTGAGTAAAACCGGGTGTCGATGACACGGCAGACTCTCCCTGTGGCACATGATTAGTCTTAGGATTGGTTGACAGGACCCTCGTGACGTACGATAAGCAAACTCTTGAGGCATTGGTGTGATTCAATTGGTCGTTGTAAAGAAAGATAACAATACAATGCTCACCTCCGACCCGGCGGATGGGCCATAAAAAGTTGCAGCTCCATCGTCCCGTATGGCAAGCGTCCCGAAAGATTCGATGTATTGTGAGTCATCATCGACCTCACGCTTGGATTTACTTGCCGTTTCCTCATCCACAGCAGCGTGTAAATCTATGATTGATTTGATGTCAAGAAGATTTCTATGCAAAAGAGGATGCTGTTCGCCAGGACTAGTTTGGAAAATGGAAAGTGCATCCTCAAGTTGACGAATCCTGTCACTCATTTGTGCGATCTTCTGGTGCAATTTTTCTGTATCTGCTAGCACGAACCTGAAACGAGGTACAACATTAACATGGAGTCCTCAGCCACCTACATGACTCGTAGAAGACTTACCGAGTTCCCTGACCAGTCGTGAGGGAACCTAGCGCCCATGGCCTTGATAAGATGACATCTTACAGCCGATTAACACATGTACATACCATTAGGACAGATGGCTGAGCAGCCTCTGCGTTTGCACGAAGAGCACGGAACAGTTTTGTCGCACTTTAATTTGAGTCTAGGCGCAAAAAAAAATGAGGAGAAATCTAATCAAGGATGGAGCACCCACCTTCGACATTCGGCGCATGACATAGCTCCTCGGCTCCTTTTCTGCTCCTTGTCCATGGCCTTTTGGGCCTCCCTGGAGTCAGGCTGACGAGCACTTCCACGGGATGCTTGAGGCATGACTTTAGGCTGAGTGAATATCTGACGCAGCCGAGACGATAGAGTTGCGCAAAGGAAGAAAGGAAAAGGAGTGCAAAGGATCTTGCATTGTGTGCGTCCCTAACTTTAAGACTTTCATTTTGAACTACAAATGGCATGTTTTACGTAAATTTGCTTCCGCTCTCACATTCAGAGGTTCCTCCTACAAGTCAGCTGGGATGACAGTGTTCTTCAAACTTGCAACTACCGTGGCGACTCTATCATTCAATGCTTATTTTGCCTTCTCACAGACATAGCAACTCACTCGATCGTTTTCAATGTCTGGCCGCGTTGTCGGCTTTTTTAGAATCCATCATGATCTCGGTGCTGCCAATCCAGATTCATCCAGCTCCATGTCAGCCGCATGGCACGCAGACGTCCAAATGATTAGCTCACCGTACACGTTTTTGCCAGTATGCATTCTTTTCCTGGGCCGGATAATACTGATACTGTCGTATGTATTCCACAGGCTGGAACCCAGGGTCCGTGATGCATCATGCATTATGATTCAGGGTTCGTTGTCGCCACCACTGCGACAATTCTGCCTCGAGCTGTAAGTATATGCTTGAGAAGAAGTTGTACGATATGTATTCATATAGCCTCCTGGCTTTAGAGCGACTTCAAGATGAATTCTCCTCGGCTTGTTCCACTGCCACCCTGCCATCTACGACGGAGAAGGAGAAGTGATTTTAATACTTACTCAACTTACGTTTTAAAGCCCTGTATTTGATTAGATCTCGATGATCCATCAGATTGTTTGGCGCGACCTGGAACATTCTATCGGATCGGCGCTTTCCCTGACGGCGATTCATGTACGTTCAACTACAGTATTGGCGGTGTTGCAGCAGACGCGGGAAATAAATATAACAATGGTACAGATTGTGAGTACATGAAAAGATACAACCATGATCAGAAAATATTACCGAGTATGTCCCGCGAGTTATGTAGGGATCTCGTGCAAATGTAAATATAACTATCACCACAAATCCCAGAACTTTCTTGATTAAGCTTCCAACTAATCTGACTTTCCGCCTTTGCTTGGCGCCGTGCTTCCCCAGCCAAACCAGCTGGCAGCCTTCCTTGCCTCGGGTCTATCACGACTCTCCCGACCAGAGTCACCATCAATGTCATACCCCTCTGCATCGCTGGGAACGTCTACTTCTTCAAACCGCCCAACAACGCTGGATCCACGCTCCCGCAACTCATAGTCCGAAGGTACACGGGAGGATGACTGGATAGAGCCTGAAGCGGGGGGAGTCAGGACAGCAGGACGCTCTGCCGAATTGATGAATGCAAGCTCAGCCTCAAGCTCGCGCTTGCGATCTTTCAAGGAGCCCTGATGACCTGCGTCAGAACGCCTCGTGAAAGTGTTTGCAGGAGTATTCCAGGCTTGGTCAGCAGATGTTCCCGCTGCTGCGGCACCTTGACGCAGCAGTGCTGCACCAGAAGCAAGGATCGTGGGGCCGTAAGAGTGCCAGAGCCCCATAGCAAGTCGAGCGGGCCCTGACGCCGGGTCAGCCAAAGTTGGGGGCACACCGGTGTCTGTCACTCCGCCTGCAGGAGCAAATTGGGCCTGTTGCTGTTGGCCGATTGCTGCAGCGAGTGCGTCCCATAAGATGCGAAACTTTTGTTGGATGAAGGCATAAATGCGAACTTTGAAAGATGCGAGCGTCGCATCAATCTGGGATTCATGATTGTGGAAGAATGGTTCAAGATGGTTGATGTAGAGGTAGGAAGAGCCGCGCGTTTGCGGGAGTGCTAGATAGAGAAGAAATATGGTCTTGATGAGGAAGTAGAATGGTACCCTATTTACACGCGCAAGGTGTGTGTCAAAACCTTGGCACTGATACCATCGATGTAAACCGACTGACCATGAAATAAGCCATTCTGCAGCGTACTCGACGCCGACGATACATCCAAGTACTGACCAGTACATGAGCCATCGCTCCAAATCCTCGTCAGAGGCTGGTCTCTGGGAAAGGGTCTTGTAGGATGCATAGCCAGGATAGAGAAAAACGACGACCGAACTAAACGCTGCATGGGTGTGTAGCTCTCCTGATATCTATGAAGACATACCTAATCATGCAAGATGTCAAATAGAAGAGCATATTGTGCAGTATCTCAGAACAACAAAATCAGTGCACTTGTACAAAGTGCCACTGTGCGCAAGGGTGAAAAAGCATTCCAAATCGCTTTACATAGAATGCTTACATCATCAACTGTTCGATGTTCGTGCCACAGACGCGTTTCTTCGCGTCTTACAGATTGAACTCGAACAACATCAAAAGACATTGAGTACTGAAAGTTAAACTGTCGTCTTCAACTTCACCTTTCAACATGTCTCGGCGTAAGAAGAAATCACTTTTTACGCGTAAAAAAATATCAAAACCAAAGTATACAATGGGCATACCCACCGATAGCGAATGGAAAACGATGCCAAATTTTGCCTCATTTATAGGTGCGATATCTTTACTGTTTTTTTAGCTTGACGTGGTGACCGGTGCTTTCTAGTTGCTGATGAAGAGGGAGAGGAGCATACATTTTCCATCCAAGAAACGTTCGTGTCTGACTTTATAGCAGGACGTACTACTAGTAGCAAATACTGACTTTCAAAAGCGCATTTATTCTACCGGAAGGGGTGCTTCCGGACAAAATGCACCATCCAACTGCGTACTGGATTGGTAGAATCAAACAAATTAGAGCAAGAAACGATGAAGATGTATGTTTCATCACTGACTCTGGTGTTATCCTCACTTAGCCATGACATAGGTCTGGGCTCTCGTACAGTGGTACTGGTCGCCTCAGGAAGTCAACTCTGTGATCAAGTCTTTGTAAGTGCGCAGAGAGTTGACATCGAGAACAATGTATTCTAAAGTATCAAAGTGATGTCAGTGGCTGCGGTCAATATGAACGGATCATGTCAGATTACTACGATTATGTATCCACAGCAAGTTTCTGTGGTAAATTTTTATTTCTCGTGTTACACCATCAGTTTGAACTCTGTCCATGTAGATCATGCAGCTGTCATGAGGTACGATGAACGCTCTATCGGCCAAGAGGTGTTTGACTCCGATGATTTCTACTGTCGTTACGACTTGGAATACCGCGCCCGGAAAATCCTCGTGAGTATACCTCGATTACTTGAAGTGGAAGTGATTACATTCATCTTTTCGATAGCCAAATGTTACACGTTCTGCTTGTTGCTGCGGTGTATCTTATAATCCCGATCGAGACCCGGTAATGCATTTCTGCCCACGTCCAGCTTGCCGCGCAGCCTACCATCAAGAGTGTCTGCAAAGACCGACACAAAGATTAGATCCAGCTGCCAGAGCCCGAAAGTTTATCGAAAGTTGGCCCGATACAGATGAACAGCTATCTATCGAAGACGTAGTCGGCTCACAGCAATGTCGTAAAAGGAGAAAGAGACCTGAATATGCGATCTCAGATCCCCTTGAGCAATTTCCGGAAGAGCTTGTCAAGGCGGCTCAGCAACAGATTGTAAAAGGCGTGCAAGCGGGTGGCGTTGTCGGGAATGTGAAAGCGGTGGTGGCGGCTCGCCAACTGATCTACTGCAGTTTGCTTGAAGGTTCTTCTTTGCCTACTGACTGGAAGGATAAGGTGGACGTAGAAGCAGCTATTCCCCCGAAGAGGAAAAGCTCCCCTGTGTTTGTATGTCCCCAGTGCCAAAGTCTCATTTGATGTGAAGGACATTACGGAGGTTCTCGCATTGATATCCTACTCATCCATACCTTTTCATTCCGCACACGGTGCTTAATTTAGACAACTAACCATGTAGCATATACAGTACTGCACGAGTCCTATATTCTGTACAAATTACAAAGCCAACGATTCTCAGGGGCATATGACTCAACTTGAATTCAGTACTTTTGACTGAAACCTGCCATCAACACAGAACCACTAATCACTATGCCCAAGGGTACGACTCCGAAAAATACGGCAGCTAGGGCAAGTAGATCACTCTTGCTTTGAACCCATCCCATAATAACATGCATTTTATCTCGTCAGCCGCCATACAAGGTAAAGTCTGCTGGTACGAAAACAGGTATCCTCCCCGACAGTTCAGAAGATTCCACCCCAACTCCTCAGGCTCTCCAGGCCAGTACTATGACTGAGGAGCAACCTGCAGAATCGATAATTAAAGTGAGGAATATTTCTAGGTCAAGAATTCATATATGGATCAACAGATCTCCCGACAGGAGTCAGTCGAGAAGGATATTCCGGGGAAAGTGGGGGACGAGCTACTTCCCAAAGCTGCATCCAAGGGTGACGCAGGTGCTAGTGCCCCCACGAAACAAACGCCGGAAGGAAAGGAGCCCTTGCAGGGAGCGGAGACGATGCCCGCTAGGGCCACCGAAAGGGGTTCCGGGCAATCTCAACCTGAAGTTTGTGAACAAAGTTGCGGAATTACCAATACATGTGATTGTGATGGATGGGTGCCTGACGAACGGTTCGAACAATGGGTGGTTGGAGAAGTTGAAGCGAGAGCAGCTGAAGCTGGCATGTCGACTGGTGATTGGATTGCCAGTGAATGTGGTGACTATGACTGGTACCCCTATGAAGAGGGAGCGTTCGATGGCATGGCGAAGGACGATGCTGATGCAAAGAGTGAGCGATTTTTTCCCCGCCGTCTGACTGTGGACTCACCAGGGTACCTTCACAGTGGCTCAGATCTTCCGTTCGTATGGACAGTGAGCATGCTAGCATAGGCCTCACACAAACAGAACCGATCAACTTGAAGTTATGAGCAAAACAGCATGTATATGTTCGATCTGTGTATGTGTACATATATATGCTACTGCAAGATGTATAAATTTTCGCCGAAGAAAACCAAACGAACATGCCAACTCAGTCCTTTGAACGTAATCGCCCTGATCCACCAAACTCAATCATACTCGCTCTCGCTCTGCGGGATCCTTGCGACTTTGCGTTTGCTTGCTCGAGATGGAATGGCGCTACTTTCAGAACACTTTTTCTTGCGTTTGCGCTCCGTCTCGCGGGTATTGAGTCGTACACCATATCTGGCGAGTTGCTAGAAATCCGACAAACTCAATCAAAATTTGCTTTTTGAATGGTGCCAAGTCACCTTGGAGAACTCTGTTGAAGGTTGTAAACCGGGAAATTCTTTGGTTGAATATATGTGGAATGAACCGCCATAACACTCAGCCTGCACCGGTACATCTGCTAGATCTACCGTGCGCGAAAAGAGATCGAAAGCGCGGTAGCGGAGGTAGAAGTCGCCCTCAATTTTAACCGCAAGGTCCTGTATGGGTGAACGTATCGTGTAAGAGCAAGTTCTCAACCATGATGAAAGACGTACAGCAAATGGAAAGACAAGGGCCTTCTTGCCTTCATAGTCTATGCAAACTGGCTGAACAAAGGTGGCGCCTGAAAGTGCGGCAGTACACTTCGTGTTTTCGGGAATTTGGGGTGGTTCGAGATGAACATAGGGAGGACGGAGTAGCCTAGCATTAGCATCTGAAACGAGAACCCTACTCGAACTGCTTGAGGAAGGGAATTGATCTCTAGCCAGGTTTGAAGGTAGTGGATAGCCGCCAGAGGAGGGTTGCACTACTGGCGAAAGTTGGTGAGGAAGATGGTGGAGGGAGCCTGATTCCGATGAGCTATCAGACTGAGTAGCCACTGGAAACAAGTCGACACTGCAGAGTAATCCAAGGCATTGTATATCGCTAGAAGATAAGAATTATTGGGAGCATGATGGGAAACGTAAGTAGCAACAACTTACTCGTAGTCTTGGATTTCTTGTTCGGATGCACGGTCAGTACCCTCATTGTGTATGTGGTATAACCTGAGTTGGACCACTGGTGGTGGGTCGAGAGGGCGTCGGTCTACACGAGCATACCTGCATGCATGATAATGGTCAGCCACATGGAAGCGAGTGAAGGAGGCACCGATTTCACTTTCGCCCTAGGTCTGCTTTTTGTATCTCGACGAGCTCAGCACGAACGCATCTTCCTCGGAATTGGCCAGAACTGAAATGGATGGGTACGTTGATGTATGAAAGAGTAGCTCGACGTGTTGAGTCTTGCATTGCTACGTGCAAGCAGCCTCAGTGAAAGTTGGGCGAATGAGGGTTGTGTTCGGAACAGACTGATAAGTTTCGATAACACTGTAGCACAACTTAAAATCGGGGTCAGCGTACACAATGCTGTATGCCACTCCTGGCACTGGGACGATCTTGGGTCGAAGCTAAATGGAGACGCAATTCCCATTTGCGTGACGTTACTACTCCACCTGTGCTGCGCTACCCTATTCGCGCTGAGTTGAACTGAACTCTGAACTGAATCCAGAGGCCTGCATGGATGGACACTACTCCCCCCCAACAAGTCGTGGAAATGATAGCAGCCATCATGGCGTCATGGTCAAACTTATCCATTTTAGCCGACGCTTTGGCGCACTCATGGAACCAGCAACATGGCGGCGACACACTCAGACCACGTGCCAGTGATGTCGAGCCCACAGTCTACGAATCGCGTAAATCACTTCTAGCACTTGAACACATTAGACAGCCTTCGAGTCGGAGGTCGTCCCACCAATACATCGAATCAAAAAGGTCTGTCTTTTTCTTCGATTTACCGTCTACTACGAACATTATCTGTGGTAAGACGACTAAAAATGCATTGATTACGATGGGGTTTATATGCAGACAGTACGTCCATACTGTCATCCGGTTGTTTTCCACTAACTTCAGTTTCGCCTTTCAGGGTTTCACAAGTCTAATCATCAACTTACTGCCTTTGTCGCTCTCGCTCAGTCATCTTGCCCCTGTTACATCCTCTCTCAGACAACGACTGAGCAGACCTACTAAATGCGCTCATGGTCACACACCAAGTGGGACTTGGACTACGTCTCTGACAGAGGCGATTCGGGATTGTCGACCATGATACCACTGTTTCAACTTATCGGAACAGCGGTCAGCGAGCTGCCATGGGAAACCCAACATCCTACAGACCTTTCCAGAGCACTCTAGAATACCTTTCGAATGTAATTTCACTGGCGGAAAAATGTCGGTTTCCTCGCTGTGTTACCATCAAATGCATTTCCATAACCTCAGTTCGTGGCCAATTGCACGGATGCTGTCACGCTGGATTTTAGGGTGCCAATTACGGGCCTCTTGGGGAAAAAAAGTATACGAGATTGGCATGCGGATGGGCCGCTCTAAGGTCATTATGAATGTGGGTTCAAGTTTTCACGTTTACACACATTTATTTCAATATCCGTTGGCATTTCACCCTCACGGCTTCTTATTTGACCAGACTTTGTCTGGCTTTGACTATCAAGCACATGTGATGATGACACAGTTGGGGAGAGTACTCTCGATTGAATGGCAGGGTAAAAGTCGGGGATTCGGGGGTCCAAGGTATGCTAGCTCATATTCGGGAGGGCATGTGACGCTTAGGTGGAGCACAGACAGGAGAGAGACGCCAATTGTGAAACAAAAGGCAGATCATGTGGAGCTTAAGTGGAGCGCAGACAGGAGAGTCACGCGTTTTGGTTCCACGGAACCAAACATTTCGTACATACATATGTTAGAAGAGGAGCTTAAGTGGAGCGCAGACAGGAGGGTCACGCGTTTTGGTTCCACGGAACCAAACGTTTCGTACATACATCTAACATATGTGACAGGTGTAAAATCTGTGGAAATGGTGTACATAGCAGCATGTCCTCCATCGAATGTCCGACACAGTACAACCATTGTCTCCATAAAGTTAAATTGTCAGCACTGCAAAAGCGTAAGTTTCCCATCGTCATAGGTATGTAACCCAAATATGTGATTTATCAACTTGAAAAATCGTATCCGTTTGGTATCCGTAGTACATTACACCAATTGTGTCCATGCAGTACGAGGCGGGTTGACAACGGCAGAGGCAAATGTTCTTGTGAATGTCCAGCGCGCAACAGGATCAGAAAAAACTACAAGTAATGGTGGATAATCTAAAGAATGCGAATGATATAGATGAGAGATGAATTCATTACAGATTATTGCATAGGGTGCAGTTGAAATGAATTCTATTGCGGAAGGCGGCAGCTAGGGAGAGCATCGATAAACAAGAAACATATGAGTAGCGATAACGACTCACGAAGGACGATAAGTGCTGTAAATATGATGATGACGATCACATAAACAGTGCCATATTTGATGATCTGGGGTCATGTATGAACATCCTTTTACTTGACTGCCAATATTCGAAAACACTCACTATCCAGCGGCGTTGCTTTTTCTGTTTCAAAGAATAGAGGGGAGCGCGAATCTGTTTGGAGGGCCGCAACCAGACTGGACGATATCAGTAATATACGAAGAATGTTGCGATAGATAGCTCACAAAGCAGCATCGCATGCAACCGATCCGCGTATGGGAAAAGAATGGGTGGGGTCAACATGAACAATAGGAAGTGACCAATGAGAAGGTCAGAGCTCCACAACGACAACTCGATGATCTTGACAATGAATTCACGGGCAGGTTGTGACATGACATGGGCGCCAAGACCACGTCCATACCAGCGTCCCGTCCACCACGCACGGTTCGTCTCGTCGTGCTTGAACTCACGCGACAGGAACACAGCGATGAGAACCTTGTGAACCGCACGCTGGATAGCGATGACCGCGATAATGCCAAGGACTGCATGGGATGCATTCCACGTCTCAAGGAACCACTTCAATGTCAGACCGGACTGTATCAGAACTGCTAGATGGTAGATGCGCTGCATACACTCACCAAGAACTCAAAGAAACCCAACATCCCAATGACGCCAAGGACATGAGCGGTGGTTGCCATGATGGATCCAAATCTCGGGAATGTGGGGTCCATCATTGGACCAAGGAAGATGGAGATAATGAACTGCACAAGGAGGACTGCAGCGTTCCATACGATGGGACCGAGGGCAATGATCGCGATTCGGATCAGCGGATTTGGTGGAATCTGGCCAGTCGAATCGGGGAAGGACTTGACGAAAATATAAGCAATGGTAAATAGGGCGGCCATCACAATAGGGAAGATAACTTCCGAAAAGATGACCGCTCTCCAACCGGCGCGTGGAGCATCACCCGACATTTTATCTGAAGGGAGACCAAGCTTCTTCTTTTTGTATCCTGTAATCATAGTCCGCGACAGACGACAGTAACCAATCCAAGAATTATTATGCGAGCGCGAATTTCCTCGAGACATCCATCTCAAGAATTCCCTACAAAGCATTCATCAGCAAGGCAGGCAAACAAACTAAACAATCAACTGACCGATAATCGATCACAAAGTCCGCGAACGCGAACTGATGCGGGTTGAACAAGAAAGGAGCAACACAAAGGGCAAGAATGGAGATCCAGAAGTAAATCAAGTAAGGCGTCCAAAGTGCCATAGTGACATAGAGAAGACTGATCAAGGTCCTCATGCCCAGATAAATGCTCGGTCCGGCGAAACGAGAGAAGAGAATACTGAACGAAATACGGGTAGTTGCGAATCCACGTCCTGTCGCGATGTATCGGGCACCACCAAAGGTCAGGTTGGTGATGATGGAGTGTGTGTAGATTTGAGTAGAGAAGACCTCAAAGACAGGGGAGAGGGACATGAACTGCTTTCCAAGACGAATAATGGCACGACCAGTTCCACGTTCCACCAATTCTGTAAAAGTGTCAAAACTACGCCTCACTGAAGACAAGCGAATCATGCGTACCCTGAATGAACAGCGGCAGGAAGGCAATCATGAACACCAAGAAGATACTAATGATACAACGGTGAATCCAGTCGAATACGGGTGTCAAGTTGTAGCAGCCATCCATGCCAGGCAGAACAGTGCCAGCGGAAGAATACTGACACACCAAGATAGAAGAGTTCAACGTTCCCAAGAACACCACTGCGTAACACAATCAATTGCAACTCACGCGTAGTCGGTAAGAGAAAACGCACTTGTCACAATGAAGCACTGGACAGCCAAGATGACCAACATGTTGTTGATGTGGAAACCAGGGTGGCCGTAGTAGAACGTAAGGAAACGATCGATAGGCAGTTGCGTGCCCAAGTAATAGTACTCCCGACTGAGCATCTGTTCTCCCATGCCAGTACCGATCTTAGTCTGGAAGTTGAGGATGGTACCGAAGCCAAGGTCACGACCTTTACCACACTGGTAGTACTCAGTGTGCTTGATACGACCACCACGACCAAAAGCGTTCATGCCAGCATAAATATCCTCGTTAAGGTGCAAACCCTTCTGTGCCTTCGACACGCCACCACGAGTGTTCATGTAGAGCGCGTTCAGGAAATCAGGATGACCATAGTGAAGCTTTCCACCGATCCATGCCCAAGCACGAGCGGACAGCGTACCGAACGTCTGCTCCTTGCCGGCGGCGAGATCACCAAGAATACCGATGTTCTCCGAAAAGATGTACTCGCGAGCGCCAACGATGGCCACAGGACTTTTCTTGAATTCTTTATGACCATATTGTGCGTATGGGCTCTGAGTTGACACCGAGTACTCCTCGAACTCGCCCAAAATGTTGCGAATCTTAAGACACTCTTCCAGATAGTTATCCTGGTTAGCATCAATGAGTTGCAGGTATTCGCCACGATAGAATACGATCGCGTGATTCTGGTTGTCCGACTTGCCGTCACCCAGAATGGGATTACCGGGGAGCTCAATGCGGAAGTTGGGGCGGCGACGGCCAGTCTCAGGAATAAATTCAGAGTGGCCATCGATAAGCGCAGAAAACAACCGCGATTCACCACCCTCCTTGCGGGGTGGCTCCTCATCCAGGTACGCAATCTGAAGATCCGGGTATGCACGCAGTAAGAACTCAGCGTTCTCGTGCTCCTCCTTGTTGAATTTGGAATACCGCTGCATCGAGACGACAAATTTGAACTTGCGCCTAGCCATGCGTTCCAGCTCGCGTTCTAGTTTGTCTGTGTTACCGCCGAACCGCTGCACGACCTCGGGGTTTTCCACGCGGTAGAGCAATTTGATCGCCTTGGCGTAGTTCATCATACCGGAGACTGTGCGGTAGAGCGTCTGCGCACGCAGGGAAGCCCATATACGCGTTCGCAGGGTGAATTCGGGGGCAGCGCTCTTGAAACCAATGCAGTAGAATGGCAGATCGTCCATCTTTGACTGACCCTTCTCATCCGTGCCGAAAGGACTCGTGCCGTTGAACATGGCAGATTCTTCAGCCAAAATCTTGGTATCCTTGACGAAGTTGTCCCATTCAACGGGGTGGAGCTGCTTCAGGTACTCAAGCAGAGTGACGCGGGTATTCTGATCTTCTTCGCGGATAATCTCCCTCAACGACAAGAGAATCTGGATGAATGTTAGGTCAGGAAAACTTCGGATAAGATGAATGAACCACGGACCTTTTCGCTATAATGCGGCGTCAAGACCGTGAATGCGGGCATGGCATCCACAGGAAGCGGCTCCGGAACAGCAGTCGTGAGCGACTGTGCAAAGAAGGAGATGCGGCGTTCAGCCTCACTGCCCGGAGGGAAGAATTCGCCCTTAAAACCCTTATCGCTCTGGGAGATGAAGAACGGCGGCGCACGGAGACTGCGTTTACCATCATGCCCCGAGTCAACCTGGTGGTACAACAGTTTCTGCACGTGCTCAATGGAAAGTAGGTGCTCGCGGTACATGGAGATAATAATTGCGTTCCAAATCTGTGAAACTAATACCTATAGAAAAGTATCGTCAAGATGCATCCAGGTAGCGATTGCAGAAAACTAACCTTCGGTTTGTACTTGACCTCCATATCCCTCGTGGCAAGCAGCTTCGCATAGATCCGTTTTGGTAACCTAGTGTAGATATCCTTCCATGGCGTCCATATCGACAAGCCAAGTATGAACGACCGCGCGATACTGAACACCGTATTCCAAATGATGTACCAAAGGAACGTATCGAGGAAAAACAGCACTAGGTCCATCACGTACATGATGGCCAGCGTGAACGCAGCTTGGTTAGTGCACAGACTGGAGCCAAAGTACCTGTCGCTACAACCCTGGATCTTCATCCCCACCATCACTGCAATGGGATCACGGAAAGAAAGTGTGAGGAAGAAATAAGATTCCGTGGCTTTGCAACTGAAAACGAGCGCCCAGAGCGCAATTGAGCCCAAACGCGCTTGTGCATGCAGCCCAGGATACGAAGCGGTGAACGTTTGACTGGCGAGATACTTCCGCGACTTTCCGGCGACTCTATCTCCAAACATGCGTCCAGACGGCATAGTTGCGAAGAGGAGCGTAGCAACAACCGAGATGAAGAACTGCACGATACCGAGGATGAGGGCAAGTGAACTCGTGGTCCCATCAGAGTTATTTTCCGCGATGGCAATGTAGAAGGTTGGGCCGCATGTCAGCCCGAGGGTGATAAACAAAAATAGCAATCGGCGGGAGAGGTGAGAGGTGTTATTCCAGGTAGTGGGGATATAAGAAAACTCAGCGAGTGTCGCTGCAATCATAATGACTGTTGCAACTGCACCTCCAAGTGCGGTGACAGACCATGATAATGCCGGGGAGTTGTATACTTTATTTAAAGGAAGCGAAATCTGGTATACTTTAGGGGAGTTGAATGCGGTATAGAACCAGTAGAGAGAGACGTGAATGACCCAGATTCGGTTGAAGTTGACCAGGAGGTGTCCAAAAGAGCGTTTTTCATAGTAGGTTTTGAAGAACGCACGATTCCAGTCAATGCTGTGAAACTTCATAAATCTATGCGGAGGTGGAAGGTCCACAAGTCTCGTCTGAATTGCAAAACGGGTTAGCATATAGCTGTACGTAGCAAATGGCAGCGTACCTTGTCGGTGAGTATGATTCGAGCAATACCTTCTGGATACCAGAAAAGCTGGTTGACATCATCGTATCCGATAATATCTGCATGGTCTCGCTCCCGCCTCACGAATCGCCCGTCGACAACCTCATAGCCTTGGTCCCGAATAAAGCGGTACAAGGGCTTTATGACAGATTTCAGGTATAAACCTTCAGGCACTGGATCCACTTTGTTCTGGCATTCAGGCGAACGATAATAGTCGTCCGCACACTTGAATATGAAACACAGACACTCAGGAACAAAGCGCACTTGGGCAGCCTCACCCCAGCAAAGAAGGTATAGCGCGATCTGGCGGAGGCGATCGTATTGGCTCATGTTGTTCATGGCCTGGCGCCAACGCTCCATAGCAGTTGCAAGCGATTTCTCGTTAGACGAGCGGGCGCCGGCCCTGCGGTTGAGGCGTTGAAGACCAGGATTTTGAACGTGGCCCACGGCGTCATCGAGGTCAAGTTGGGCTGCAAAATACCATTTACGGTAATTCGCATGCTCACCACCGATGTAATCTGCATGTAGGGTGAGAAGTGCCTGATTGGGCGACATACGGGATGCCCGACTGTCCAGCAGTTGCATCAAAAAGTCAAACTGATCGGTTGTCAACATCCACAAAATTTTTTATTAAGGTAAAGGTTACCATGTTCCGCATGGAATCTCGCTGGAATCCGAATTTCTGAGTCAAGTCCAGGAAAATATCTTCTATTTCCTCTTTGGAGAGTGGGATTTGACGCTCGGCTGACCAGGCGGGATATGCCTCACGGGCGCCTGGTGGTCCTGCGTATTCGGCCCACGTCGTTGCGTTCGAATCTGACACGCCTATTCTCGAAGGTCCTAGAGATTCCGAGGATGCTGGAGGATACCGCTGGCCATAGATGTCGACGTCCGAGTCTGTGTCAGGTTGTGCTTGAAAATAACACAAGTGTGAGTATGAGAATAGCGCAGCAAGCCGCTCCACGAACCGTATGGGTCGTAGTTACCGTTGTGATCATAGTATCGCTCTGCATCGTTGAGGCCATTGTTGCTGCTGTCTGAGGCATAAGTATCTCTACGACCGTAAGGGTCGACATTATCAGAGTCGTTGTCGCTGTAAACGTATCTGCGAGGACCGCCCGCTGAAGAAGTGAAAGGATCTGCGTGATCTGCTGTCGGCGAGGCAGACTGAGGGTACATCTTGACCTCTGTTTTCCTGAGTTAACAGGCCAACAGGAATGAGACTGCCGAGGTCAGGACAGAGAAAAGGAGTGGTGGTGCGTGAAGAAGAATGACCAAGGTAAAACGTTTTGGTACAAAGTTGCACCCCATCCTGTGAACAACACCCTTTTTCCCACGTTCCCATTACCTCGGTTTGTCGTTTAATTCTCAGTCATCCTCCACTACTAATACTATTAGTACTCCTACTACTCGGCTATTCGTGTTCTCTTTATAAAGTCGACTCGGATTCTTATTCGCGCCCAAAGTCTTAAAGTTGACTTGGATCTAATGTGCACGAGGAATGGACATACAAACTACTACACCACGGTGCCTCTGGCAAAAAATAACCCCTCCTACTAGGGACTAGTTTGTGCTGCCGGAAGCGAAGTTGTGGTCTTCATGACTACGGAATGGATTACACCCCAAATCTTATACCACACGCTATCCTTTCTTCGATAACCAATGTCGGAAGATGGCGTATGATAAGATACCTAGAACGACAATAAAGAATGATATGGATCTCGCACTGATGATGCCTGTTTCATGTTCGACCTAGTGATAGTAAAATGATCCAAACTTTAACTTTGCAACGGCGATTAACGAAGGCTTACCACTGAAGTAAACGGGGAGAGGATCGGTATCGTAAAGTGCGAGGCACCCTTGGCTTTCGGGGAATCACGCAGCAGTATATAGATTAACGCAAGGAAGAGAAGCATGAAGCATGTTAAAAGTGCTACCTGAATGAATATAGTGAACTTGCAAACAGGAACACAAGCAAGTTGATGCAACGCACGACGAACTTTTCGAGCCTGCTCTGTCGTTCTTCGCTCGCCCGCACGAGAGCCGCAAGTTGGTTCTATGTCATGTTTAATCACCGAGAACATTCTCAGACATGCAAATACTCACCGTCTGCTTCTCTTCCTTCCCTAGCCTCGCCTCTACCATCTCCTTCTGATACCGAACACGTGTTGTCAGCACCGTTTCGGCCACCAGTGCACGCGCAGCCCAGTACTGCTCGACGAATGTGCGAGGCTTGGCAGTAGCAGGCGCAGAAAACCATGTCGTCTTAGGATAATCCAGCGTGTTTTTAGCCGTAGGAATTCTTTCCGCATCAAGTGAAGCACTCGCGATCTGCATCGTTCTCGATACTGGAGGAGCAGAGACCGAGCATTGGTTATGATTGTCCGATCGAGTTGTTTGGGCACTTGACGGTGGATTGCATATCGTGGCGAGTGGCTTGGGCTTTCTGAGCTTGTTCATGGTCAGACGTAGAGCAAAATCAGCAAATTGAAACGAATAGGATCGCAAGAAGCATGCTCAAGCTGGCATCTGCCGCCCGGCTGCAGCCATTGGCAAACATGACAAGTTCGACGAAGAATCATCTCGAGCTCAATGCAATGGCAATAATAGCGACAACTTGCTTATCATTCAAGTGACTATCATGATCCGAGTCACGTCCTATATGTAAGACAATTGCCGACTGTTCTTTCTGACACTGACATGTCTTCATCAGCCACCCCAGCACTTCCCTTCACGCAAACTCTCGCAACCATCTCACGTTTGGTTACCGATCCTCGCTTGTTAAAGCCACGCATCGGAATCGTGTGTGGATCTGGTCTCAGCACCCTTGTCTCGAGCTTGAAGGATGTGGTGCAGCTTCCGTACTCACAACTTCAGGGTTTCGGAGAGAGCACAGGTATGCGCTAATAAGGACGATCAGGTATCGCTGATCCCAGCAAGATCATCTACTCAGTTGTTGGCCAAAAAAGCATGCTTGCATTCGGACTGATGGGCAAAGATAACGTGCCTGTTGTCACCATGCTTGGGCGGGTGAGTAAAGTGGATCACCACTTCGCCAGCGAATTTATTAAAAGAGAAATTATGACAGTTCCATCCGTATGAGGGCCACAAGCCAACAGTCGTAACGTATGGTATCAGAATCATGAAGAGATTAGGCGTCAAAGATGTCATCAGTAAGCCCACTTTTGACTCACAGGACAATATGTCTGATCCAATATAGTAACAAACGCTGCTGGGTCATTGACACCAGAGATACCCGTTGGAACAAGTATGATCTTGCACCTGTACCAAGCCTGAGGCTGAACAATGTCGCAGTCGTCGTGATCCGTGACCACCTCGCCCTTCCCAACCTAACAGGGATGAACCCCTCGTTTGGACCCCTCATATCGCCAGAATATACCCGGTTTATTCCTCTGGGTGACGCATACTCCCCTCGTTTACGACGCCTTGCCTTCCTTGCCTCCCACTATCTTAACTTTGACTCATCTGCGTTGGCTGAAGGAACGTATGCCTGGGTGGCAGGTCCTGCATATGAAACCCCGGCCGAGGGTCGTTTCCTGCGCAATGCAGGTGCGCACGTAGTCGGTATGAGCACCATACCTGAAGTAGTGGCTGCGCGAGAAGAGAAGCTCGAGGTCATGGTGCTGAGCCTCGTCACTAACATGGTGGTCGTGCCTGATACCTACAGGAGCATCAAGGCAGAGGTTGAAGCTGAGGTACGTGACCATGTAGAATAAATACTCCGATACTGATTGCTCCGTCGATGGTGACCTCTGTAGCTTGCTGGTCAACGCATCGAGCTTCCTCCCATGGGGACTGCGTCTCACGAAGAAGTCCTGGAGACTGGGAGACAAAAGGCAGAGGTGATGAGGAGTCTCGTCGAGTGTATCGTCGAGCTTGTCCCAGGAAACTCATAAATGGAGTCGGATACTGTAATCGATTAAATCGAAACCCACGTTTTATAATGCTTGGGAAGAATTCCCAAGACAATGATCACACCACTTCTGTTTGCAAGCGATTAAGTCTGGTTCAGCATATAAGTGCCTGACACGAGTTTCGGCCGTCTTTAACTATACCAACCCGCAAATTCCTCTACTGCGTTGTCCAAGAGCAGCTGATTATCGTTTGGCAGCACTCGGAGCATGCGCTGGCATATGCTCCTAAATCAGCCGTGACGGGGCGCCGTTATTCCATATGCCATACCCAGTCGGGCCAGCTCAAGCAAGGGCTTGAGCTTGAACTTCTACTCTGAGTCAAGGTAAGGTTTTTACGAAGCATCGATCTTCCCCAGCAGCCGCTGGCTCGTTGTTAGTGTGCTACATCCCACGCGCACGCCGTGTGTATCTTTTAAGCCCACGCTTACAAAAGACATTCACTCATTAATAGCATCTATCTTGATTCTACCACGCACTAGTGCTTTTCTTCGTTTTGCTAACTAGCCATGCCAGTGCAAGGAGCTACGCTCTTCACTGCTGTTAGACGCTCGCTGGGTCCGCAGAGCAGACTGCTGGCACGAGGCTTTGCAAATTCAATGAGCTTACGTGAGTGGTCTACTAGTTTTGCATCCGGTAGACGGGGTAGCTCGAAGCTCGAGCTACGCCTTTGCAGTAGACGTGCTGTTTCTGCAACTCTCTTGGTCCATACATACCATGCGCTGATCTGATTCTGACAGAATATGGAAAGAAGATTGTGGTGGCGAAACCCGTCGTGGAGCTTGATGGAGATGAGATGACGAGGATTATTTGGAAAAAGATCCGTGAGGAGGTGCGTGTTGTTTGAATTCTTCTGCTACCCTCTAACTCGGACGTCATTGCTCCTTCAAGCTTATTCTTCCTTATTTACAACTGGACATCAAGTACTACGACCTTGGCCTTGAGTACCGTGACCAGGTACGCTCCCATTTTATCAATTCACTTTAATTTGCATATTCATGACGTGAAAGACCAACGATCAAGTAACTGTGGAAGCTGCCAATGCCATTCTCGAGCACAAGGTCGGCATCAAGTGTGCGACAATCACGCCCGACGAGGCTCGTGTGGAGGAGTTCAAGCTCAAAGAGATGTGGAGGAGCCCGAATGGCACGGTGAGTGTTGTACCTGACAAGCAATTATCGTCAACTTCTCAACAGATGACGTAGATCCGTAACATCCTTGGCGGAACTGTGTTCCGTGAACCCATCATATTGGATCGTATCCCCAAGCCGGTTCCAGGATGGGTGAAGCCAATCGTAATTGGCCGTCATGCATGTTCGTTACTCCGTCTGTTATCTCGTAATTGCTAAGCCTGACAATGCTGTAGTTGGTGACCAGGTATGAGATTTTCAACGCGAATGGTATACGTGTTTATGTGGATTTAGTACCGTTCCACGGACTTCGTCGCACCGGGACCAGGGAAGCTCCAGCTCGTATACACTCCTGCTGATGGAGGTGCAAAGACTGTTATGAACGTGTATGACTTCAAAGGAAAGGGTGTCGCCATGAGCATGTACAACACTGATGAGGTAAATCGAGCAGTTCTTTGTCCTGATGCGACCACTGACTATGCCCATTCTTAGTCAATAATCGGGTTCGCGCATTCATCATTTAAAATGGCTCTCCTCAAGAAGATGCCCTTGGTGTGTCCCAATTTAACCGACCCACACACATCATATTAACATGACTACGTCTAGTTCATGTCAACAAAGAACACCATCTTGAAAAAATATGATGGCCGCTTCAAGGACATCTTCCAAGAGATCTACGAGTCCCAGTACAAGGACGCTTTTGAGAAGGTCGGTATATACTACGAGCACCGCCTTATCGACGATATGGTTGCACAAGCGATCAAGTCCTCCGGTGGTTTCGTATGGGCATGCAAGAACTATGATGGTGACGTACAGAGTGACATCCTCGCTCAGGGCTTCGGTTCCTTGGGTATGATGACCTCAGAGTTGATCACTCCTGACGGCCAGGTTGTTGAGAGTGAGGCTGCCCACGGTACGGTCACCCGACATTACCGTGAGTTCCAGAAGGGCAACGAGACATCGACCAATCCGGTGGCGTCGATCTTTGCATGGACTCGTGGACTTCTCCACCGTGCTAAGCTGGATGACAATGAAGAACTCAGGAAGTTCTGCTTGGATCTTGAGGCTGCATGTGTGGAAACGATTGACAAGGATGGAATCATGACCAAGGATCTTGCTCTTGCTATCCACGGCAAGAATATGAAGAGAGAACATTGGGTCGTCACTGACAAGTACATGGATGCGGTGAATGTAAGTGATGGGTATGAATATATGTACCGCAGCTAATTTTTCGTGCAGGCTAAGCTCCAGAAGAAGCTTGCTGAAGGGGTCACTGCTACGCCTTGAGCATGCGTCGCACATGACAATGTATCTTTCTTTTGTAAATAGAAGGAATGCGTGTTCGAGGAGCGAATATGCTACTTTTCCATGCAACGTGCAACGCGCGAGCGTCGTCATGGCCTTATACCAATTTGCAAGAATGCAGATGGGGCCCATCCCATAACAAATGATTATGTAATGGATGAAAGGACACGTCAGGCCGGGTCCCCGCAGACAGCACCGCACCCCGTTCTGGAGTCAACCTGCTACCTGTAGACCCGATCAAAGGAGGTTATGTATTATCACTGGCCATGAGTGCGCCCCATCGCACTGGTCCACGCGCAGTTTTTTGATTCCGATTTCCAGGATCAAGTTCTTATGATATCGTATCCATCAAGTGACACGATAAAACTCGACGTGGCTACGCGTGACTGTGCACGATCTAACTCTTCTATCTGAACGACCATATTACATATGGAGGGTGACTACAGGCTGAGTCAAGGTGGAGCCCATACGTAGCATCGCATTACTCACCAACTCCGAGTCGGCCGCAAAACGATACATCGGGAGGTTTTCATCCTGTTACGACGTAAAGGCCGCACGATCAATGTACCAGTAACGCACCCAGGCTTACAGCTATTTCAAATAGTATTAGCCTTCCGACTCGGAAGAAGCGTTCCACAGGAATTTCTTCGTGACCTTGGCACTAGCACTCCCGTCCTATGTCAAGTGAAGTGCGATGTTTCGAGACAGGTTTCTCAAACGCTCACTATGTCAAGACTGACCCGATGTCTCCCCGGAATGTTTTTTCAAGTTGGTGCGTCATTGATGCAGTGGAACCTTGAACCTATTTTTTGTACACCCCCCTGGTGTTTATTTTTACCGTGCGGCGACAACTTTCTTTCGTTAATGGCCTCGTGCGTGACCATGTAATCATAGCTCACCCCTTATCAGGCTAACTTAAACAAGGCCCCAAGGCTTAATTATATAAGGACGGCGAGTTCAATCTCGTTAGATCTGCTACCTCTCGGTGTTCTTGATTCCAATGCCCAGCATTACCTTGCCACACGTACCGTACTACGTTGCTGCACCCCCTACGAAGGAAAATTGTCTGTGCGAGGTCTTGTGCTTAATGCAGAACACTGACGTACGCATCAACAGTGGAGTATGCCGACCTTGCGATCATCGACATTTCGAAAGCCAGCTCCGAAGAGGGTCGCGCTGCGCTCGCAATTGAATTAAGGGAGGCTCTCCTGAACCTCGGGTTTTTCTATGTCGTGAACCATGGATATTCGCAAACTCAAGCAAGACCATTTTCTCACATCACGTAGATTGTTAATCATATCTCGGCTCAGACGACTCGCATGTTTGACATTGCAGACGTACCCTTTTCGGCTGTCGCTGACGATGAGAAGCAAAACTATGCTTCGACAAGAAGGCAAGATGGACTACTCCAAGGATATACCACACGTGCAGTACGTGGTACGTAACAGTCGTATATCACGCAACAGAGGAATATCTAATTGATCAAATCCAACAGGATAACGATGGTCGGGTACGCGACCAGCTTGACCAATACTGTAGTAAGTGGTGCGCATTCATCTTTATAGACTCACCTCACCTCCCTCTAGTCCATCGCGATGTGACCAAGCGAAGGCACCCAGAAGCCCTTCTCCCTCTCCTCCCCGAGATACAGGAGTTTAGCAGTCATAACCACTTCAACGTGTTACATCCCTATCCTGAGGTAAACGTATGTCCCGGTGTGCTCAGTGAAGACTCTGATATATATATATTTCTCAGGCTTATCGCCCGCAGCCTTGAGCTACCAGAAGATACACTGTTGAAAAAACATGTCTTTGACGCCACCGGCGAGACAGCCGGTACATACATTTCAAACAGATTGTGCGATTACTGACTCGTTCATCAGTTAGGTTCATCAAGTAGTAAGTACTTTCTTGTATGTCTACGCTTCACAGACTTATGTAGTGTAGCTACCCACGAACAGAGGAAGAAGAATCCAAAACAAAGAATGTCTGGCTGCAGGGCCACACGGGTCAGTAATCTACCTACCAAGAAACCGTGCTTACAGTATTGTCACAAGACTTCGGAAGCGTTTACAATTTTATGGAGTCAGCCTGTCACCGCACTGCAAATCCAGACCCGTGAAGGCAAATGGCGTTGGATCCGTCACATAGAAAATGCGCTTGTGAGTTGATCATGTCCTGTGTCTCAATCCATGATATGACGAGCGGTTTATAGGTGGTTAACGTAGGCGATGCAATGGACTTCCTCACTGGCGGGTATTACAAAGGCACGATCCATCGCGTTATCCAACCCGCGGTGGACCAGCGAAACTATACTCGTCTTGGATTATTTTACTTTTGCCTGCCAAACGACGATATCAAATTGGTGCCGATGGTTGAAAGTCCAGTCTTGCAGAGAGTAGGGATTCAGAGACGTTGCGAAGATAGCGAGGCACCGACGATGGAAAATTGGAGGAAAGCGAGGACGATGGCTTTTGGTCTTTCGAAACTGAAGAATGGAAAAGAGGATGGCGTAGAGGAAGAGATCATCCACGGCGTGATAATCAAACATTACGACTGATGCTGCAGGTTGTATGATTACAATTTCTGTCTCATTTTGTACGATAAACGTTGCACAAAAATATTGATGACGTACAGGTCGATGAATACAAGACAGGTCTAGTGCACAAATATTGATGCAACTTGAAGGATCTCATCCAATTGAACCGCTATGACAACATGGGTCCATGCCAATAGTATACTTCTACGGACAACACAGTTTGGTAGAAGCAGGCAGAAGTCCTAGATCACTCTGATATTAAATAGCACAATACATGGATAATATCTATCACTAGCCTGTTCTGTGGACTATTTCAAGTACAGACAGGTGAGATCATCCCTGAAATTCAACGTGCGCCCAGTGGTATCACTAGCCTATATAAGCTATGTCAACAATATTAATGTATCGGAATGGGCTTAGCGGTCGTGGATGCATGACGATAAATTAAATATAGTCCTCCAGATTAAACATCAAGTGTAGCCGTCATACCAGCAGCTCTTTCTTTCCAACACGTACACTCCCTTGGAAGGGCAGACCCAAAAGGTCCATTCCTGTGGTCGTGCCATCGTGACCATGGGACGGTAATCCGAGGATATACACCCCGACATCAGTAGTTCCCTGCAAGCCAGCCAATGCACCATGGGTACCAAATACAACCTGCAACCAATCCTGCATGAACAAGGTCGCGCAAAAGAAGAGTACCGTACACACCTTGCTGATGAAATTGCTGAATTGTTTTTGCCTACCAGGAAGGACCTCCAACGGGACATCGACCATATCTGCGCTGACTGCGAATATGGAGCCTTCTCCTTCGGCATCGATCTGAACACTTGTCGCTTCCAACCAATCTTCAGGTCGTATGCGACCAAATGCGCGATCTGGAAGTGGATCCGGTAACTCTTCTTTCTGGTTGGGCAAGAGAAGTGAAGGCGATTCATGGACTTCCCCGTCGAAGACCAGAACATCGGGAAATATGCGGGTAACATTGAGTGTAAGGTCGATTCCTTTAGGAAGCACTACGTGAGCGAACACCGAACCACTCGCAAGAAAACCGGTGCTGGCGGAGTTGGGTTTGATCTTCATATCGTGAAACGTTACATTACGGAGTATTTGTGGTTTGGAACTGGGGGGCGGGAATTCCATGTCTAGCACAAAAGATGGGAATAGTGAACATGCGATGGAAACGGGGTTAGGTTCAAGGGAGAGGTATCTGCTAATGAAAGCCGAAATGGGTGCGGAAGGGTGAGGGGGGAGGGGGAGAACGCTTCCAGAGATAGTGAGCGTGATGTTGGGGTGAGTCAGCGTGAACGGGTTGGTGTGGACCGATGCTATCGGGACTGATGAATGATTTTCGCTGGGGAGCGAAATGATGAACGGAAGTGAGGGTGCACTTAGGTTCATTGTAGGTGGTACGGGATTGATGACAGTCGCAAGGGCATGCACAGTTACGTCTTTAGCCTCAGACTCCACGCTGAAAGACTGCAACGTGATCAGCTGCGAAATGGATGGTAGGGGTACGTCCTTGCCCGGGGTGGGCAAGCCAGGGATTGGCGGAACTACCGGTATTGCTGTAGCACTTTTAACAAAATAACAGATAATAAAGACTCACGCTTCATGGATAAATAAGTTTGTATATCTGATCTCTGGAGCCTCAGCATCTGCCTCCAACCGCCTTTGTTCGTCGAGCCCCCAGAGACGAGCATGCTAGGAATAGCGGCATGTACAGACGCAGCACTTGAATGCCATGAGTCGTGCACAAACTGGTTTATATCAGATGCGTTCTGGGTTGGGACGACAAAAAGAGTCAAAGACAACGAGGATAACCACGAGTCATCATAAGGGGGATTGACGGTGAGAGGAAGTTCAAATGGTGGGGAATCGAGCGTGGCTAAGAGTGCCTGTCGCTGAGAGAAGATTTCAGCAGCAGAGAACTCCACTGTCACTCTATCCAGAAACTTGACGCCCCATCGACCGAGCGACTTCCACAAGTCGTTGAATGTACCCTCGTCGTCATCCATATCGATTCCCATGATTGATCCCGCATTAATTCCAACTCTTGCTTGTACTTGTATCCATGTCCCGCCGTCTGCTGTGACATTGAGTACGCTAACCTGGTACGGCCCTTGTATTACCAGTGCATTCTCTAATATGTCTTCTGGGGACACGTCCGATAACCTGGCGGCATAAGAGTATGCCAACAGAGCAAGCAGCAGAAATATTAGGATGCAGGAAGACAGAGATGCCAGGAAAACAAATGTAAGCTTGGACAAAAGCCTTCGCCGAGCGTCCAAGCTGCTTTCAAGGTCGACGTCTTCATCGTGTGCAACACGTGCCAGTTGACTAGAAGCAACATCATTATGATGTGGTAGCAGAGGTGTTTGCTCTGAAGGTTCAGGATTCAGATGCCTGGCCTTTCCTTTTCCCTTGATACATGGGGCAGGATTGTCGTTTTCCGTAAGCGGCATGAATTCAGTAATCGTCAGGGAGGAGTAGAGTAGAGCTTGCTGAGCTCAATCTGGCAGTACTCTGGGCCTATAGCTACGCAGGTCCAAAAAGGGCCGACTAGCGTTTAGCGCTTAATCATGAGTAACCGCCGGAATCGGGTGCTATTGTGTCAGAAACGTTCATCATGCTTTCGCGCAATACCGTCTTTCAATCAAGCAGGTCCGCAGCAAAATGGATTCTCAAACGTTTCTCAACAGAGCATGCGAGTTCACCCTAAAGTACATCTGCGTATCACCAAGATTCTTTTTGCCTCACCCACCATGCACAGCAGGCCTGCTGCTGATCGACCATGATGATCTCCCGGTATCCAGTCATGCTCCGCGTTTCTTCATGCATGCCAGTGATGAGACTCTAAATTTCCACTGTTCCAGACTCCTGAGACCAGCTCCAGGAATCATCGTGTCACTTATCGCAGGCCGTATGCAACAACGAGTTAGAATTACTACATATCACCAGTATTTCCTAATGTTCTACCGCCAGGCAAATCAAACCTGAGGCCTGAGGTGCGTTGGCAATGCAAATGCCATCTGTTTGAAGAGTATTTCGGGGTGCACAGAGCGTCATTAAGAACATATAAGTAAGACGTCTTCCTACCGTCCTCTTCAGGGTGAGGGGTCGTGCCAACTCATCGAGCTACAGTAAGTCGTGTTTCCGTTCTCACCTTGTGGTCGACGACATGACTCGAACATGTAAATAGTTCGTTGCTGAGTGCTCAGCTGTCACAGTGGACAAATTTTACCCTGCTCGAGCACTGAAGACGTTAAACTAGAGGAACGCTTAATTATGGTAACTCAAGTCTCTATCACGCGTTGTTTTTCGTCTTGTCGCAAGCTTGTATAAAAGATTACAGAAGACTAGATGAGTGCCAAGGTCACAACAGGACCCTTGAATATAACCTGATGCGCTTTTCCAGCATTTGGCCATAAGTTCTTACACGCACATTGCAATTAAAGTCCCACATCTTACGATTTTTGTGACGAGCTTGCCACTAGTATCGCCGCATGGACTCCTAGTTGCATAAATGGATCCATCCAAAACCCCAGTGTATGTACGGCCGCAACCACCTATATCCATGACTTGGCTGCGTCTGTGTAAAAAGGTACATCAATGCGGAGATGCCTCATCAGGTTCTTCTGATTGGCAACGCTGACACCGGCATGCGAAGAACCAACTGTTTTGTAGATCCCGTTTGCGCTGCGTAACTGTTTGATTAGTATCAATATAACTAATGCAGAGCTCCTCGTCAATTTCGACTGAGCGAGAGGTGGTGAAGTGCATGGTACGTCCGACGCGCGTCTTTTTGACATTTGGGCAACAACCTTCATAGGCCGATGATTTAAGTAAGAAGGCTTACGAAGAAGTTGGGTTCTTACTGTGATTAAAATAACTCGCGCCCGCCCAAAGGCCCCATCCCAGCATTTCGTCTCTATTATCTCCATCCCAAATCCCGAAAGCATTCCCGGTATCGCGTGCAAGAATATGTCGAACAGTAGGAACATATTGTCTGAGATGCTTTGGAAGCGAATAACACAGAAAAGCATATACACGTAGATGCGCCGCGAGAATGTAAGGCCGCAGACTAACGTTCGGGAGCTCGCTGCTCTGGAGATCAAGAACCTCCTTCCATAGATCTGAGGTGGTTATTATCGAAGAAGTCGCAAGGCTGGCGAGACGGTGATCAGATACATATCGCTGGACGATGGCTGATGCAACTGAGCGCGATATTTCGAGTTCCATATCTTCTAAATTCATCGTCGAGCAGTATGAAGAAAGACGGGCACGACAGGAAACCAATTCCTCAACGTCCGCCCATGCTTTGTCGATGTAATCTTGCGTGATTTGTGTAGGAGGACCATTTGGCAATATCGGATCGTAGCCGTCCCTGTCTGGATTCTTCCGAGTGGCTATCTTTGCTTTGCCAAGAAGAGCATTGACACCTGCTATCAATGGACCTATCACCCCACTTTCCCATGTGACCTTGCATTCGTCTGTACAGAACCAAACAGTCTCTGCATTTGTCCTACAGCTTTTAATACCCCAAGTCCGTGGATCATCAATACTTCGAGAATTACTTGCGGCATAAGCGAAACACTGAGCACAGACTTCCCTGCGATAATCTTTGTAAATCACATGCGCACAAGGAACTTGGCACGTAAAGATGTTGGTCCCCTCGATAATGGGTTGGATAGCAAAGAGAGAACGTCCCCCGTACAGTGTGGTCCGCAAGTCGATCAGTGGCTGAGTCATTCAATATTTTTCGAGGCGCAAGTGTGGCGAAGGAAAACACACCGAAGAAAGCTGGCTAGATGAGGCAGAAGCTACTTTTTTGCGACCGCATGGAGAGTTGAAATTTTAAAACCTTAAGTGTCACGCATCACATTTTGATTGTGACCTAACGTAACTTACTCACCTGGCTGCCGTGTACATTTTCAAAGTCCGTTGTATTTACTGTTGTATTTCTAAGCCGCTCGATACCAACATTAATTAGTTCTGCCGCTGTTTGCAAAAGGTACTTGATAGCAGTCAGGAATTAGTAGTAACGACATCGAGTAAAAATTTTCATGGCTAGTAAATGTTGTGCTGCCCAGGCATTTCCGTCACGACGGCGCAACTTTCTGCACTACTTACTACCATTCACCATTCCCTAACTAACTAAGATGGCAGGAACCCGAACCGGACGGTGTGAACAGTCAACGATCTGAGGACGGATGCTTCGAGACAGTTCATTGGACTCGGAAGGAAGAGGATCCAGGACCAGTAGGTCTCAGACTGTAACCAAGGACCTCCTCGAACCGCGGACAAGTTTTTAGCGATGATGTTTAAATGGATGGCCCAAAACTATCTGCCTTTCCTGCTGAATTACTTGCACAGATGCCGAATACAATTGGAAAGAACGATCGAGTTCCTTCCCGTAAGTAGGGTTTCTGTGCTAGTAGTTCATTCCTGGCTGATTTTCGCTTATTCAAGTTCTTGATGATCTCATCAAGTTGACTATTGAGTATTTCGTGGCGAAGGGTACAGTAACACTGAAATCGTTTCTCGCCTACGCAAACACTATGATGCTGATGTATACAATGCTTCGTGAGTTCTGTTATTTTCTAGCTGAAAGCATGCTTAATACATAACCTAGGATTGACCTCTTGAAAAAGCGGCACTCTCAGTGGGGGCTGAAGTCCGCTTGTGGGAAAGCCCATGCCACCACAAGTCCTGCAATTGAGCGAGTGCGAGCACGCTTCCACAAGCAGGTAGGAAGGTGACTCGCTTTCATACTACCAAAACAATTGATTCTCAGTGTTGTAGACTTGGCAGAACAGGCATGTTTTACGTGCAGCGGCGTGATTCTGGGCAGCGTTGTTCAGGCAGAATGTATGACGCTGGATCTATTCAACAATTTTGCGCACACAGACACACACAATACACACAATCACTCGTTCGCATACACACCTCACCCTAGGGACTGGGTGCGCACGGCACGTAAGGAATACGTTCAAGATTAAAACAACTCTGGTAGCAGAAGCACTTTCGTTTCCAAATGGGCATGTGCGTGGCATCTGAGTGTGCGCCACTAAAATGCAAATACAAAGTACGGTCACAGTCGAACGTCGAGGTCCGCACGGCACTTAGGGAATACGTTCGGGATTAAAACAACATTGGTAGCAGAAGCGCTTCTGTTTTCACATGGGCATGTACATGGCATCTGTTCTTCTATGTTATACATAGGTTCTGCCTAAACTCTCGTCGTGCAGACTGATCGAACTACCAACGTTCTTGAAAATAGCCCCTATGACTGAGGGGAGCTCTCAAGCTCGAAGTGCTAGATGGCAAAAGAGAGGCTGCGTGGCACAAATATCCTGACAGCAGGACCTAGGTGCGTGCCTTTGCTTGTCGAGTTTTATAAGTAAATGAGTCAAGGATCACCAACTCAGCGATTATGGAGGGGACGGTTCTGCCTAATCCACTAGACATGAATAAAATATAACCCACATTCTCACAATTATGGGACGTGAGATCATACATCATCGGATATCGATCTCGCTGATGTTCTAGCGCTATGGAAAGCAGATCGATGGTTGGTATTTCAATCTCCACCTTCGCATCAACATTTACACTCCAACGGTACGACAAACTCGGTATAATAAATATTCCAGTGACACCATGTTGATGCATCAACGAGACTGACGTCGGGCCATGTATGATCCCACGATTCATAATAATGGTGACAATGTAACGGTAGGTTATACTTCATTCACTTGACGGGACAAGCCAGACACAAACGGTACGAACGACTACTTGCCTTATCAATCAAGCGACTAATCAACCAAGATTTTTTAGCCACAGATTTGATTTATGACCGACTTATGGGCTCTATTCACACCAAGAGTACAAAGTACGCAAAAACGCTTCATTCATCCGACATATCTTCTTCAACTCGATATTGATTAGTTTTTGCGCTATGGACTGGACAATTTAGGGAAAACGAGGAACTTCGCTCACCCCGCATTTCTTGAAGCTATCACATTCTCTTCATGTATACCGGAACTTATCGCATTGCTCGTAGGCCAAATCAGGAAAGGTTCAGGGTCCGCGTAAGTAGTTTATGAGAGGACGGCCGTAGGGTCAAATCGACATTGACGACGACATTTTAGAAGTGAACATCTCTGTGGGAGCCACATGTGTTGACAAGGCCTTATATTTTCTCCGCCGTCCTTAAAAGGCACCTTGTGACACATGAGACTTGTAAGCCGGCGGCATGAGTTCGTTTACCTTTTTCTGACATATCTGGAGCAGATATATTCTTGCTAAACTCTCGCTCTCCAGAATCGTAAGTTGGGCGCAACCATTCCGATAGGCTGAGTTCTGCCATAGTACTATTTTTCGCAATATAAAAGCGACTCATCTTCCCCCAGAAATTATTCAAACTCAGTAGAAGATCATAACACCTCAAACAAACAATGAATCTCTCCTTCACTGCTGTTATTGTTGCGTTGAAAACGTTCATGTCTGTCAGTGCATGTGGCTTGGAATACGATCCTTGCCAAGCCCAGCAGGACTGCTGCCGCGGTATGATGTTGACCTGCGGTACATTATTTGTAGGCGCAGTTTTTTGCATTCAGTTTTCATCTGACGACTTACCTTTCGCGCTTTGTAAAATCAGAACAAACCGGGAAACTTCTGGATTGACGCTCCCGTTAAGCGGGCCGATTTGCATGTTAATAGCAACGACATGGTGAGTCATGTTTCCGCTTTCGTACTGCTAGCACTGTGGTTGATCCAACAATTCATAGGATAATGAGTAGGGGCGATATTGAGTAGGCGAATTTGCGTACTTTTTGTCTTGGTGGAAATGGATTCAAATACGTATCAGCTAAAATCTGCGTAGTTTAGTCTCCCGTTTGTCACTCATTCACTTGACAAGACATGCAGTCGTCCAAATCGATTTCTATGTCAGCCTCGGTTAACCGTCGAGTTGGAGCTCGACAAGAGAAAGTGAAAAGTACATACATGCCGTTTTGTGCATTGGGCGCACGTGTGCACCACAGTCAACCACTCGCGTCCGACCATTGGGCATGGTGGAGACAAGAATGTCGTATGAATAGGTTCTATCCTGGGATCGAGTCATTCAAAATTTCATCAGGACGAACTGATAAAATCTGGGTGAACAAAGGCTGGTTCTTACACATGCATGTCTACTAGGATGAGTAAGCTCAGTATTACCCGCAGATCGAGCGATAAGCGAAAGGCGACAGGGACATACCTCGGCGTGACCGTCTGAAGATGCCATAGATGATGCGATGCCTGCTGCAGGAGTGTGCATGAAATGGTGCTTGGGTGCCACGCCGAACCCAGGAGTGAAATACTGCTATTGATATCGTAGAAAAGAACCAAAGTGTCCGATCAGTTTGCACACGTGGGTACGGATCGAGGCTTCTGAGTTTAAGGGGGGCGGGAAAGGAAGTGCATATTAAGCATAGTCAGGTAATTGCAAAGTAGTCAATTTCATATCAGTTGTCATACCTTGGCAGAGAGCAGGACGATAGTGCAGACAATAGTAGCTTCTCAAATGACGACAGCGATGTCCAAGAAGGTAGTTTTCTGCACAGATGTGAATTATGTGAGCTGCCTTGGAACAACGGATGAAACACATCGGTCCAACCTGACCTAATCAACGAATGCATTCCATCCGCTTTTCGACGAACGAGACTGTCGAGAACTGCGATGCGTAAGATAAAGACGCAAGAGGAAGGAAGAAAATGCGATTGGAGACTTCGATCTGCAGGTCACTTCATAGTAGCTAGCAGGACCATTCGAAAGAAAAAAAGTAACGTAGGAATAATGCCGTATCATCGCTACTCAGTCCAGTACGGCACAGACATCCTTCACCGTCATACCGATGACTAATAGTAGGTTCTGTTTGTCCGTGATGCGTGTAAGGGTCGAGAAGTTGTTTGGAGGAGAGGAAAATAGTCGAGGATATGGAAGCCCATCTGGAAGAGGATTGAGCTCAGGCGGTGGATGAGGCGGCTGAAACAGTGGCTGGGGGGTAGGATTGGCACTATAACTGTGATAATCATAAAGACGGTCATACGATTTTCTAGGCTGACGACGCACGCACCCGCCCATGAAAGACAGATCATGCTCCTTCCTGGCTCTTGGTATCCTGCAGCCCGTACAGAAAAGAGGGCTTTTACGCCTGTACAAGGAGCCATCCGCCCCAACCGAACAGCCCTCCTCGAGATAACCCATCTTGCTGACGATTGCGGCAATACAACAAGCGCTTAAACGAGCAGCACGTCTTCCAATGAGTTTGGCAAGAGCCCGGAAGAACTGCCGTTCCGCGAGCGTCATCTCGAGGGCGAAGAAGCGTGTGAAGATTCCGATCACATTGAGAAGGTTCGTCCGTTCGTCACTGAGAACACAATGAGCGCATGCACATTTTCACTCGAGTGGGAATGTGGTACCTCTCCACGAGAGACAAGAATGCTGTGTCGAAGCAGTATAGTTTCTCGAGTCTGTCCCAGAAAGAGTACACATTCGTCGATGAGCTCGCAAAGAACTAGTCGCAAAATCTCGCCCAAGTATCGGCCAGAAATCAGTTTCTGGACAGTTGATATGTCACATTAATAATGCCGCACAATAAGATGTACCCAATTCAAACGCCTGTTCACCAGGCTTATTTGAAGTATCATCGACGATCGTGTCGTATTTCGTGCGAGGCAGATGCTCGTGTTCGAATGAATCAAAGGCACCCTGCCAAACTCGTCAATATAATGTAGAGAGATGAGGATCAAACCCTACAGACCCATTCGCAATTAATCACCATCTCAGCTCCAGAATCAATACCCAAATGCTCTATTTTGGTGATATTTTTGACGTTTTCCATGTAAGCCGCGTTACAACCAGTTCCGAAGATAACCGCGATCTTCGTCTTAGGATTTACATAGCGTGATGCTATCAATGTTCTAGTTGTATCGTTGATGAGAGCGGTCAATTTGACGGGCAATTGCTGTTCGTATGCGAGTCAGTAGGAATAGAAACATGAGATAGGCAGAACGTACGTATTTCTCAAGGGACTTCTTGAACATCTCGGCAACATCCCTACCCTCCGTATTTCCAGCTCCGAAACCCTTGGTCCAGCGGATGAGCTCGCCGTGATCGATGCGTTCCTGCCTGGATACCGAAAACAAGATAATTTTGTATGCACTAAACTAGCAATTGCATCATGCGCGCTCACGAGCAAGGGTAGGAGAACTGAATACATAGTTAGAAGGATGACGTGAGGATAGTCATTGACTTACGGTAAAGCCAAGAGGTAGGGATTGACCAGGCTTCAGTTGGCCCGCGTCCTCGCCCGTGTTGGTGTCAACAAAGGTACGTAAGCATTCAGCACAGAAATCGAACAATTTCTGCCCATCATCTTGTTTTTTCTCCTCAGTCAAACAATATTTGGTTTGGGAAATCTCGAATTTTCCTTCTCCCTGAAGGGTCACAAGACAAACACGCAAATTTGTTCCACCTATAACGAAATGCATTCGCATGAGTATATTTAGAGCTCAGCAAAAAGGCACAAATGGAAAACCACTCACCAAGATCAAGAGCAAGGAAATCTCCTTTCTCCTGACCTGTTGGCCATCCAAACACGTGCGTCGGAATCATAGGCTACAAGCACTGATTAAGCACACGGTCGGAAACCGCTCAGAAAGTAAATGCGAAAATCGTCAAGAATCAAGAACATCGAGACATAGATTGAATCGTCTCATCCTATGAACAACTGCGAAGATGAATTGGGTTTGAACAACAGGCGCAGGGGGGTGATCTTATTCGGTATGAACGCAGGAAGTACCTACGCACTACAATCTGGTTGGGCTTGTTCTAACCAAATTCGAGCGTCTCAGTAAAAGCCTCGACAATCATCCGCATCCTCTGCGGTGTGAGTGTGAACCTGTGCAACGGGGATTCAGTAGATCCATCATTGGAGCCCCTGATCATAGGGTGACGATTGACCAACTCTCGTATTTTCTCAAGTGGTCAGCCATCGTCCTGCGATTTCACAAAATAATAAAGGCAAGACCAATGTGTCAAGTATGATCGGTGATTCTGCGTACTTCTTTGTTGCATGCGGGAGGTCTTCCTCATCTTGCGTCCGGGTACGAATGGCGACTGTCTGACCAGTAGTTAGCGTGAAGCTACCACTTCACGACGCGAGGCAGGCATTCTTGATTTAAAAATGACGTATTATGCGGAGAGATGATGGAAGGAGAAAGAGAGACAGCAGGTGGAGTTTGAGTTCACGACCATGGCAGTCCTTCATCGGTACCTACTTTGCATAGAAAATACATCTCCATAAACGTATGATATGTCCTCAGACCAAATCAACTTCTGGTCCACGACACGTCTAGTATGACAGTTACAGCAATTTGCATAATGGTAGAGGCTGGTAGAGGCCGGCGGTAATTTCCAGAATTTATTTTCAAAAAGTAGTGCTACAAATATTTAATTATTTAACTATTTAATAGTGGGATTCAAAGTAAGATGAAGCGCCCATAATCGCATCACTCAAAGAACAGATACGACAGAACTGATGATCATGTCTGGGCACAATTAATGAACATCCCATGGGTTGAAGCCAATTCGGAGCTCAGCTAAAATGAAACTCAGGGGGGTATATTGATCGTTCTGGTACATAGTAGATACAAACTCTCAAACACATTAAGTCTCGATGGTAAATTACTTTGTATCTCAGCGGCCATATAGATGTCTTGATATAATGAAAAGAGAAAAGTGGAAAAGAAGAGAGGAAATGGTCAGGGATACACGGGCATATATGTGATGATAGATATGCGATGAGATGAGATGCGGAGAGATCCAGGAATACAGTGATGAAGTTCAAGGAAAAGGAAACAGAGTTCGTTCGTGGACAGCCACCAGTGCCGAGTCCAAAGAATTAATCGATCCTAGTATTAACGCGCACCGGCACCAAGGTTCATAGCACCCAGAATGACCTCCCACGCCAAATCGAGACAGTGCCAGAGCTCAGGATCATGAATGCCCAGTGCAACCGCGTTTCTCCATACAGCAGCGATATTCTGAGCGACATTTGTGAGTGCGCCCATGCCGGGGGCCGAGGACATGAGGTGGGCGGATAGGGTGTGGAGGGCAGGTCCGGAGGCTAGTGTAGCGCGGAGTGCTTGTGAGGATGTGAGGGTGGATAGGAAGGAGGCCGGGATGGCTGGGAGGAGCGCGGAGATAAGTTGGGGTACGGAATGGGTGTAAAGGAATGTGTGTAAGGGTTGGAATGCTGCCGGGGCAGGTATGGTGAGAGGGAGTACTGGGAGGGTGAGGCTGGCTGTGACGCCGTGGGATGGGGGAGACGGGGGGAGACGGGGGAGTGAAGCACAGTTTGATGCGAGTATGAGTGCGTGAGTTGCTACGAGAGTGAGCTGTGAATCGGAAGAGGTGGATGATCTAGAGAGAGCAAGTATGTGCGTAGGGTAGGAAGAGGAGGGGCCGGATGGCCGAATTGGGATTGTTAGAGTTTGTGTGTGGTGGAGTTGGGAACGATGCATGGTCGAAGGTAATTGAAGGGCTGCGATACCAGCAAACATCCTGAGAGATGATATGTTAGATTGAATTTTGAGTTAAAATATGTTACTGACTGGTTTGCCTGATTCCTGAGACCACGTCGTACATAGTCGACTGGGACATGAGAGAGTTCAGAATCGATAGCAGCGATATTTTGAGGAGGGACCTCGAGGTATTGTGGCCGTTGCAACTTGCGAGGAAGCTGAACGTTTGAAGGATAAGATTGCTGTGAAGCCATTGTGGGAGTTGCTGATTCCTCGTAATCCCAGATGGCTTTTGTTTGGATTGGGTGTGCAGGACGAACTTGGTACATTGTGAAGAAAAGTAGTAGTAGTATGTAGTTAAAGAAGAGATTGGCGAATTGCTTTATATCATTAACCTGAACCGTTTTCAGAACAAGGATTATATGTTCTTCAAGCGAGCTTGTTCACTCTCTTTGACGCTTTTTTGGACATTCCTTTGTAAACACATTTGGTAATTCCCAGCAAACCTTGCTCGACCTCCGCGACATCCTTTAATTCAAGCCAGCGCGCCGTCACCACTGTTAGACAAGGACGTGAGTTAGACACCTTCACCTCTTTTTGGCCATCCCCGAGAATTCATTCATCAAGAACCAGCTCAAACGTGGCATTCCTTGTAAAGAGGTAAATTTACGTCAATGAAGTCCATGCTTCTGATGCATTTTTATTTTGTGACCGAGACTGCTAACCTTTTGTAGTACCCGTAGACGACCTTGTTGAGTTCTTAAGGCTCCGAGTGGAAGACAAGACGTAAATTGTGGATTTTATAGTGACTCCGCGCTAAACGGGTGGATATGTAATTAATTGATGTGGCATTGTAATCTAGAATTGGCAAGTCAAGTATTGGACTAGTTCTACTTGGGATGCTTGTCTTCTCATGCCTCGACACCCACCAGTCAGTGAACGTGCATCAACCGCTAAGAAACCTTGTCTCTCGTCAGCTCATCACAAGCGGCCTCCGCCTGATCCCCGTCCAAAATCCCCAATTCGACCCGCTAGCCCTACCCATACTAGCTTTCGTGCTCAGCTTGCACATCTCCTGCCTCGTCATGCTATATTTCTCTTGCGCCTTACAATACATCAGCTCAGTAGCGTCCCCTTCGTCAATGGAGAATTCGAAGTACGCTGGAAGTTCAAGGGGGTCACATCTGGCGGTGGTCTATTGGGCAAGGTGAAGAGCAATCGCAAGGGCAGGGTAACCGCAAGTCCCACGTCAGCTAAAGGAAAAGAGAAGGAGAAGCTCAACGAATGCGAAGTTGACCCACCCAACCCTGACGCTGATGCTCAAAGCATCACCAACTCAAACTCATCCCACTCCCACTCACACGATCTATCCATCCCCTCAGTCGTAGTATCTTCAAACACACACGTATCCCCTGCTTCAACTTCAGATACGCGCACCACGCTTAGTTCATCATCTCGTTCACAACATGTGCCACCACAATATCTTTCCGCCGATTGGTTACCACAATCTACCCCACCAGACCCATCCCCTTCCCTTGCTAAATCACTTCCAAATGCGTATGCCCCTGCCAAAGGTCACACTATGTTCGAACAGCTCAAGGAACACAGTGTGGTCTGGGAACATACTCTCGATGTTATGGTGCAGATGGGTATTACCAGGGAAACCAACCAGCTCGGATGTTGTGAGGCAAAATTTGTCGTCATGCAGGTCCGTTTTTCGTGCTAGCTCTGTCTTATAATCTTTCCTCACTATATTTCCCAGCGAGTTATTCCGGGTGATCCGGATGCACCTCGAAATCCTAGGCTTGGCACCGTCAGCTTAGATCTCGCTCAATACGTGGACGCTGGAGTCGTCACTCGCCGCTATTTGCTTAGGCAGAGCAAGACTAATGCTACACTCAAGGTATTTCCACCGTCAATCTCTCTGTTTTTTTTGACTTACCCGCCATTTCTTCGTAGCTCACCGTTCAATTAGAACACATCAGCGGCGAATCATCTTACATCGCCCCACCTCTCCCTAAAGGAGAGATTTTAAGCGGGGTAGCCGGTCTACTCGACAGCGACATCTTTCGAACACGACCACGCACCCTCGACCTCTACGCACACGAAAACTCATCCTCCTCCTCTGTATCCACCATCTCGACCCACTCTTCTGGAAAACACAGGCCCAAACGGAAAAAGAACCCGTTGGATGCGAGCCAGCTCCCCAATACTCGTGGTATCCGGGGAACAGAAAAGCTCATCGAAGCGCTGTTTAATCCTGTACCTGTCACATCTCCTGGGCAACTCACCCCCTTCACATATCTCCACGAGGTCTCGCTTGTCCACTCTAGAGATCCCACCACAGAAGACGAGCACGTCCGAGTCGATGTGGAGGGTGAGGATGAAGCAAGACTCGCAGACGAATCTCTATATTCGAATTCGAATTCCGTGGACTTGAGTCACCCTCTTCCAGCGCGTCTAGACTCGGAGAGCGATTATCAAAGTGTGTACTCGAAGTGGACTGGCTCATTACGCGCGCCGTCTGTGAAAAGTATGGCCGCAAGTCGATCGGGGGTCAATGATGGAGTGGGAGTGAGCACTGCTGTGTCGAATACGGCTATTGTGGAGAAGCGAGTGTGGTGGCGGAAGGTGCTCCATGCGGGAGTTGCATCATGATCGTAAGGGTCATTATTTTTCCTACGTCCAAATCCACGTTTTTTTCTTGCTCTTGTTATTTGTTATTCAGGTTTTCGATTCGTTATTGCACTGCACTCTGGGACGATTCAGATAATCAGCTTTTCGTTTATATCTATAATCACATCACGCTCCTATCACGTCGTTCTGTTTGTTCATCTTTCACTACATAAATTGCACGGTATGATATATAGTCATGCCTTAGTAGGATTATTCTTGCGATAGGGCGCTGGACGTTCAAAATGAAATGTTATACGCGCGAGTTTAACTTGGGGGTCGTTGAAATTCGAGGTATTATCTAGGAGTATATGCTACAGACAGCTACGCACGTCACTGATCTGCAACATTGACAACATAATTACCAGCTCAGATATCTTCCAAGAAGCACTGAATAACCCTGACTCACTAGCTATGACGCATTAACTCGATGCGTAGAGCTCGACCCCACCGACCCAAATATCCCCCCAGTGATAGTCTGCCTCACCTCTCTTGATTTCCGTGCATTCGCAGCTTGCGCTCTGCGTCTCTGTTTTGCTTCCTTCTTCTCCTTCTCGAGCTGGACCTTCGCTTCTGCTTGTGCCAAGGCCTCGTCTTCGGCACGTTTAACGTCTAACCGTTCGCGCACCAAGATCCTAAGACGCATCCCTTCCATACCCAATAAATCGGGTTTGGTCCGTAGGAGGTAGTTATCGACTCCGCCATGCTACTCCCAAAAAGCAAAATGAGAATGCAAGATACAAACACGAAAAAACACAAGACACACCTTATTGATACTCTTGAGCGCACGCGTCGTAAGCTTTACTTTCAGATCACGCCCAAGCGCATCTGACATCAAGCGTTTAGTGTGGACGTTGGGAAGCCATGTGCGTCGGGTTTTGTGTTTTGAATGGGGGACGTTGTTTCCGTATTGTTTGGTTTTACCGTGGAAGAGACCGAGTTGGGAGCGGCGGAAGGGAGTGGAAATTTTGGATAGGGCTGAAGAGAGGACCTGGGGGGTGGGGAACATGGTTGGTGATGTTAGGCAGGAGCCTACGTAGTAGGAGGAGAAATGGACTTGGTACTTTGTGCTTTGGCCGGAAGTAGTAGTCACGTGAGTAGGTTAGTTACGATGGCCGGCGTGCATTTTGCTTCGACGCTTGTTCTAACATGTCAACAGACGCAAGAGATTCGACTCGAGAAACCAGGCTAACTCTGCCAAAAACATGGCATGCAGAATCCGCTGGTGAGTACCCCACATGCGCTCGCTTCCACAGAACTCACTTGTGACTGACTGGACAGACACTATGGGCTCGATGGGCATGTTCCTCGCTGGCTTAGTGCTAGTTTCCAGAAATAGGTACGCCATAATTTCATGCTGCTCTTGCCCTGTACTCATCCCATCACAGGTACCTAGCATGGCCAGTAGCCCTGCTCGCGCTCAGCAGCTTTATGAACCAGCACCCTATTCGGACAAAGGAGGGTGGGAGCACGCCTTGGACGGCTCTGATGTGAGTTCTTCGTGTGCGCTGTGCGCAAAGTTCTGACTTTAGGATACGTTACTTTTACTTAGGACTGCGATATTTGCGTTGCTCGTATCGCACGGTGCGATGTTCACGTTCACGGATGCTAAGACTGGCGCGATCAAGTTTTCGTCGTAGACTTGAAGTCGTGATTATCGTGCTATATATTATTGGGTCCGACTGTGACTGCGTGATTATTTTCTGTTGTGGACTGCTTTTTTTCTGATTCAGTCACGTCCTGAATTTAGTGTGGGCAACCGGTACACATGCCATGTCAGGGAGGAGTTGACGCTGAGTCTGATTCGCATTGCTAATATCTGTTTAAACACAGGAAGGGTAGGACTCGCAGTCTTCCCCATCGTCAGGCTTGTACAACAGTAGACATGATTTATGCGTACCTGCTGAATACTCCTATATATAAAATGATAGTATACCAGGCTCAGGCCTTCACACATGCAACCAGGCTACATATGATGAGAATGTGATAATATAGGCCGTAATAACCTTATAAGTAGATGGCATTCCGAAGACCTTCTAAGGATCACTTAGTCAGCGGCTCTTTGGATGTGTACTTCCATCATATGCTTTCTGAATCACAACTTGAAGTCTTGAACGCCCAGAAGCCTTTCCGGGTGGTGATCGTGTCATGAAATGTATCCATCGTGCATCATGATTGAACACACATACCTACTACCGAAGCTTTGGATCGGCCGATTATTCCAAGACTCGGGTGGTTATAGCCCACCCACGATGGCATCTAATTCTGATTCTGCAACATAGTTAATCCGGTTTTCTCGTAATCGGAATCATAGAAAAAAGACAGGCAGCTGCCACGGTCATTGACACTTATGATATTCTCATATCCCTACACACCTACAACACTCCGGACGACCGTGAAACCGCGCCCATGGGTGCCATTCAAACCCCATGAAGGACACGCCAAAGTCCCGCCCCTGCCCTCCAAGCCCAGGTCCGATGACTTACTTGGCATCTACAACATCAGCACGCATATCATACCTGCAGCTACTCCCAGAGTCACCCCAGATGTTCCAGTTCCGGAGCCACCTCCTCGCTCTTCGAAAAGGACCGAGAGGTATATCAAGAAACTAGGACTTGAATTCATGGAATCACAGGTCCGGCAAGTGGAGGACGGCAACTCTGGGGTCGTGGACGAAAGGTTACTGTGGAATTGTGTCAATCGATACGTGAAAAAGGAAAAGGAGGACAAAGTCAGAACGAAGGGGATCACCTTGTTCCTTGTGCATGCAACGGGTTTTCCGAAGGAAGTGAGCCTTGTGATGTCTGTACATGCACGCTAGGAATCTAATCTAATCATTTATTAGATATGGGAGACCACTTTATGCTATCTACTAGCTACCTGTGACATCGTAGATGAAATATGGTCATGGGAGTCCGTGCAACATGGGGACTCTGCTCTGCTAAACAGACAGAATCTCAGTGGTAGCTGTGAGATGACGTTTTCCAGACCTCCCGCTTGAATTTAATTGACAGCAGTTGATTGGACTGACAATGCGAGAGACATTGCAAACTTTCTCGTCAACTACATGCCAGAAGAGGTAGAAGCATCTGCTCTCCCTATCCAACTCCATCGACTTCCTGCATCCATCGGTGAATCACGGCAAACGTATGGCTTCTCCTTCCGGACCTTGGTGGCGGCAGGACACTCGTATGGAGGTTGCTCAGTGTATGTCGTTGGTGGTTCAGAGACCTGCTGAACCTTACAATATCGCACAGGACGTTAACCGCGTTGCATTTCCCTGCCTTGTTCTCCTCGATGATACTCCTCGATGCGATGATTGATACTTACCGAGACTTTGTGTGGGAGCGCACGCAGTACTTGACTGGGGCTTCGTTGATAAGACGCGATCAATGGCCATCACGGTGCTCAAACTTTCACAATGCTCTTGCGTCTGAGTACTACTGACTATGGTTGTAGGGAGGAAGCCTTGCGTTCCTTTAAATGCTCGCCCATGTTCTCCACTTGGCATCCTGACGTCCTTCGGGCTCTATGTTGATTTTGGGCTATACGAAGATGAAAGTGGATGCGTCAGATTGAAAACGCCTCCTGTTCACGAGGCTCTCGTCATGGCGCACACAAGAGCTAGCCGTGAAACCTGGGAATTGATGGAAACACTTGACGAAAAGATTGAGTTACTGTGGATTCTTCCCGGAGAACAAAGCCAGGATGTGTAAGCCAAGGCGGCGGGACCAAGTTCTCTAACTGATAAGCATTATTTGACAGGTTGATGCTATTGGAAGTGAGAAAGCAGCGTGCTTGGCGCAGGCCTGCAAATTCAGCTAACGTCATATTCAAGTCGTCTGGCCATCTCGTCTGTATCTCGTCTTCAAATATTTGTATAACTAACACAATCGTTCCTTAGATTCCTCAGGAGTCTCCAGAAGAGCTTGGTATGTTGTAATAAAGGACTAATCGATTGTCTAACTGTTCATACAGCGCAAGTTATCACCGACTTTCTGCATAGGAAGTACGCTATTTCTTTAGGGCAATCAAAGCTCTAGAAACTTGCATATGAACGTGTGCATAGTGCGCTGGGAACTTCCGCAAACACTCCGGCGAATATATTCATGGGACGAGTATCTATCTTAGGCCCGGATAGCATTACGTAGAGCATGCCATTGGCGTTTCCCAGATATTTAACTAATTACGAGCATCATATTTTTGTGCAAGGCTAATGATAGCGACCCAGAGCTTCAAAGTCGAGCTTGCTCCAAAATCAAGGTAGGCTGTACTGGCACCTCAGCATGAGGGGAGCTGTAGACAGGCAACGTCTTGCGAAATTCCTCCCAGCACTTATCCGATATGATGGGCGACGACACATATGGCTCAACCTCCATCCCAGCGAGCAACTCATCTAGGCGAGGCAAAGCTGCCGACAAAGCTGCATCCTCCATATGCACGATGGCCTTGTGCGTAAACACGCCATGTTCTACGTACCACGCGGCATCTGTCTTGATCGCGTTGACGACATACAGATCGACGAGACTTTGGGAGACCCTTTGGTCGACGGCTGCGTCATAGGCCATACGGTGTCCCATGATTCGACCATCAGCTGACAGCGCGGCTGCACATATTGCATGAACGCTTGTGTAAAGTCGGCTGAGAATGAAACTGTCTCAGTTGCCTCATCGAATAACGAGATTTCATGCATCGTAAGTGGCCCATCTGGGTGTGTCGAGAGAGGTAATTTGTACGTTTGCGCCAATGTATCTGCAACGAGTCCTATAATTTATCTGTCAGTCTTTGGTTGGCGCCGAGATCGATGTGGTCCACTGACGCATGGAAAGTTCCTGGAATCTTTAATCAGCATCACGTCACCGGAGAAGGCTAAAAGTTACCAACCTAAAATGTCACCTTCAGCGATGCTGATTCCCCTCATCTCGCTCTGCAAAAAAGATCAATTCTTGCTCTAGCATGATCATCCAAAGAGAAGGTGTTCGTACATAACAATCGGACAGCCGATCATATTCGAAGAGGCCTTGAGCTCCAAGTCTTTCAGACAGGACATAATTTGCAGTTTGTGCATGTTGAACCATGACCGCTTTACAGCAAGCCGCGATTGTCATGATATTCTAGTTTTCCAACCTGAGGTTGGTCCCTGTCCATACCTTGTTTGTTTGCTCCGAGTCAGGTCTCAGGGATTGCATAAACCGATAAGGGTAAAAGTACTTTGTTGTATGAACTCGAGTCCAAGGAGCAGAACTGTGTCGGTTACATAAGTTGTTACCATATTGGTACTGTGCTGATCTTCGGCGTTCGCGTGAGGTCGCGAGTATCGCGTCGCATCTTGGTCGCATCAAGTGCTTTCTCCTCCGAGTCCGCTTCACCCAACATGCAATATCATATCGCGTTCACTGATGAGGTGCAATCAACTATGTTGTCACATCCAAACATCTGAGTACATGCACATCATGAAAGCAATTTGAACTCCGTTCTACTCTGTCATGATGCGGCGGTCTCAGCTTCTCTTAGTCTCAGTCTCGGTCCGTAATGTTTCGTGTCTGACTTCATAAAATTGTCCCCATTCTTACTTGTGCCTAGATACTCCAAGTGAGAAAGGTCGCGAAGCAAATAATGTTCAACCTACTGTAGTAGGCCGCAAATTGGTCTTTCTATAACCATTGCCAACAATGCCACACATTCGATCCATGTGAAAACGGTCAGATATATGCACAGCTTCGCTGATGGGCCTCATTGAGATCTGATGGTACAACAACTACAAGTTATGTGGTACCGGTCGCCTTACCAACAGTGTTCTTTGAATGCATTATAGCACAGACGCCCATCATCATCAGATGCGCACTGCGGACTAGTCGCTAACACAGCGTCGAATTGCAAAATGTCTATCATCCAACCGCTCACAAGTTGATTGGCCGAAAGTACGTACTTAAAGAAGGACTACATCCACCCAATAACTTCATTGGCTTGATATCCTTCAGGACCTGATTCAACATACCACCGATCGTAATCATGGGCATACCTTTGGATGAAGCTTCACTCTTAGCTTTGTTTCTAGAAACTTTGTTTTATGGTACGTTGTCGATTGGCGAAGGAGGTAATGGTGCCGAATCTCACCATCTCAAACAGGCGTGTTCTTGGTATTGTACTGCTTAACACTATTCGTCCTGCTCAAGAACACTGGCTCAAATCGGCGACTACTCATCCCAATCGCAACTGTGCTGTTCTGTATGGCAACGGCTGTCAGTGTATTACTCAATTCCTTTGTCAGAATTGCTCAACATCATTAATCTCAGCATCTAATTGTTGATTTTGTTCGAATTATGGAGGCATTCGTATTCAATGTGGGCAAAATGAGTGCAAATGCCTACTATGCTAACCTTGCGTCGCCATTGGAATACGCAAAAACTGTACTTTACGTTACGCAAACCATTCTCGCTGATTGCGTCCTTGTGAGTTTCTCTGCTTGGCATGTTGTTCTCTTGTCTCAGTGATAGGGCAGTAGGTTTGGCGATGTTACGTACTTAACCACAGAAGTCTCTTCGTCGCAATCCCTGGTCTAATCGTGCTGTGTACGAACACTGGTGAGCATCTTGAAGGGTACTGTTCGATCATCATCTTACCCATGACGTTTCGCAGTGACTGGGTACATCATCGTGTGGTCCCTTTCCAAGGCCAACAGTTCATCCACCGTTTTCACCACTGCTCACTCATGGATCACCACATTCTTCACGTTGACTATGATTACAAGTGTCACCTGCACTTGTGCGTCTATCCCATAACTGATTTGCAGGCTCTGACGACGACTCGTAGCTTTGATCGCTTGGCGCATCTATCACACTCGACGTTTCATGTCAGATGGATTTGCGATGTATTTACCCATTTTGATCGTCATTGTGGAAAGTGGCGCTATATATGCGACGGGCGTCCTTTCGATTCTTCTGGCATACCTGTCCGGATCCAATGGTCAATATACCGTGCTGGACGCTGTGTCTCCTACTATGGTGGGTTCAATTGGTTTTCGACACACGCCGGCTGTACAACATTTCTAAAGGGAATTGTATTCTGCCTCACCATCCTGCAAGTACACTTCCAAGTAGGCGGCAAGTCCATGATGACACGGTCCCTTGAACCAAGGGGCGCCAATAGTGGCTCTTCAGAGAGCCAGGTATACGCGATGTGGTCTGGAGCATGAACCGATGACTGTACCCGTCACAAAGGAGACAGAGATCATTCATGCCAGCATGATGGATGGGAATTAGAATAAATTGTATATTAGACGATCTTTTGCTTTCGCACAACTAGAGTTGCGTAGTCGTTTCGTGTTTTATTTATGTTACGATGAAACCCGAAATGTCGCACATGGGCAATATTTTATCATAGAACACAGTTTTGGCATATTGCCCATAAGAGCTGCCTATCGTATCTCCTTAACGAAGGTGTCCTTGGGCGTGTCGACAACTGTGTGTGTAAGAAGGGGATATGATGGGGCTCTCCTGGCTACGGCCCTGCTCCATGAATCCGATTGAGGACTGCATCACGGTTGTCAAATAAGTCTAAGCACGTACCATGCATGCTTCCAGGACAGATTCGCATTGATAACCTTCAACTGTAGCGACAAAGCGCAGGGCTGTTTCAATACATCTCGGAAAACCTTTAGGTTGTCAGGAAAATCAACCGTTGCCTGTGGCTCCTTTCGTAGATTGTATATCTTCCGTTGAGTTAAAAATTTGTAGTCGACGTCCCAATTTTTGTGTCGTGTAGTTTACGACGAAACTCGATCATGATGAAGTTGACAAGCATGTTCGATATTTTACGAAGTGAAAAGTCTAATTCAGGTCACGTGTGCATAGGGTGCCGGGTCCTTTTTGGAAATGATCTCTGACGTTGAGATTGATGTTTTCCAAACTGGAATCCACTGGCACTAGAGATCTTGGCAGTCCAGGGGTACTAGTGACCAGGACTCAAAATCTCAATCTATCAAAACTTTTGAGAAGCAACAGCACACGAGCCTATGGAAATATGCCGCATCAACACCAACAGAACCTGTTGGAAAATGTTAAGCACGTATACGCGTCATTTTTATAGCAGCACTTACTTTTCGTTGTGCACCCACTCCACGTCCTTCGTAATCCCAGGTCCATACCACACAATCTGTGGCAAATGTTCGCTTCGTATGAAGGTCTGCCCACCTGTTTTCTCCGCAGCGTCCCTCAATCGTACTTGCAAATTCCACACTTCCACTTTCCGAATTCCACTTCGTCTAGCCGCCTGCTTGATTTTTGCGATCAATCCAGGAAACGTGTCTTTGCTGGCCCGGAGCCGCGTGACGATCAACGTGGGTGGGTGAGGCTGCATTTCAACGCTCCAGCTTGCGTATGTGTCTGGGTTCCTCAAGGACCGTACACCCCAGAATCCACCTGCCATAGAAAAGTTCGAGCCGTACGTCGCTCGAGGGATTTGAAATGCTGCGACACCACTTGTTGGCAAGCATGTCACAAGTGCCGTTGGGCGCCCCACATCGTACAGCGTGTTCTCCACCAGCATGTTCTCTAGCTCCTTCCTAATCAACCTAGCATCATGGTCCCAAAGACCCTTTAGCTGTTCCTGCGTCAGCCACTCCCATCCCTCGTCATCCCCCTCCTCCGTGCCCACCTCCCATACAGTCGACACCGGTCCCCGTTTCTCCCACCCCCCTCCTTCACCCCCAGGACCCGCTGAGTGGTAAAATTCCTCTCCAACATCACTCCATAACACCGAGAATAGCCCCGCACCAGCATCCGCTACCTCTTCCGGTGGTGTGCCCCACGCCTCTGGGAATCCAGGAAGATTATCACGTGAGGCGGTCACCCAATGCAGGAGACGCATCATGTGTCTTCCATAGCCGCGCCCGCGTTTTGAGGGCGGGGTGAAGACTGCGGCAACGCCGTATGAGGTTGTTTCGTGCACTGAGTTGGGTTCAGAAGGAGAGGAAGGAGGGTAAGCAACGAGACTTGTTCGCTTATATCTGGCCCCGTAAAGATTAGAAATCCGCTCGTCCGTCGAGGGTACTCGAGTCGCTTACGTCCTACAAGCACACATGAAATCGAGTGTCGTGGGGTCCTCCCGTGGTGCCAGGACCCTTTCAACCTCATTAGCTCTCTTCTGTTTGATAAATGTCATATTTACCAGGTGATCATTTTCCCCTCCTTTGCATGCTCTAGAACATCCATATCTTCATCTCGCTTGATGTACTCCGCAAGACTCAGGGTACCACCCAAGTGTGGCCACCTTCGGCGTCGTGTCTCTTCAATTTGTGCAGGCGTCGCACGGAAGAGCGAGATCGATGCAAGTTCTACCTTTGGTTCCACCATCGCAGGAGATGTACTTTGCGAATGCAATGAATGAAGATAGTGGTATTGAAGAAGGCTCCTTATATCTCTATCTCATTATTGCTCCCACCCACGTCAATGAACTTATCGCGACTGTCACATGGTCGCGCAATTCCTGACTCTGTCCTCACACCGATTTCCTAAGGTCCAATCGATACTGGGTGCCAAATATAGCCTGCTGCAGGATTTACTTTAGGTCTCACGGCCGACTTAATGATCAACTTTCGGAATTTGCGAATCGCTGGATGACAGTCGTAGGGTCCTTGCTTGCACTCGTAATCAACAGATATAACGATAAAATTGAGGAGACAGATAAGATATAAAATCTTCCAAGTGACCTCAGCATCACATATAAAAGTAATACTTGATGACCGCAAACAGAATCACAAATATCACCAGTCCAGATAAGATAGCTTCTCCGAAGTCACCCCAAAAGGTATTGACCTTGAATTGAGGGCGAAGCGGTGGGTCCACCGAGACGGCTATCTTGTGCATCCTACCCGAACTACCATCTTGAGGGACGATGAAAAGAGTTTGTCGAGTTTCATCATAAGTATACTTATCGCCGGCGCTGAGGCCCGAGACCACTAGCTTCCTCCCGTAGGTGATGAGGGACGGTACGAAAATTTCAGTCTCTCGAGCAGTAAGAATGATATTGTCCTTGGACTCGGGCGACCTCCACTCGAAAACGAACGTGCCCGTGTTCACTTCATACTCGAACCGGGTGGGTATGCCAGCAGTCTTTGCTGCGTATGGTCGGACGATAGAAGGCAAAATGCGGGCGCCGTTATCCAGCGTGAATGAGAATTGGTCCAAATCGAGCAGTGATCGAGGTAATCCTCGCCTTCGACTGAACCAAGAGAAATTTTCCCCGTTCCAGTCATCACCTTGAATGTCATTATTGTCGGGGTTGTAGTTCCACAGGCTAAAAGCATATCAATAATTGATCATGCAGGAAGCACGGCACACACGTAAATCCGACCAGGGATCTCTCGAGACCTGTCATCATGGCGTCCATCATCCTCTCCTGCCATTTCCAGTCGTCGCTCTCAAATGCCTCCTTGTGACTGTGACCGTTCATCGTCAGGCATAGATACTAATGGCATCGTCAGACTTACTTCATGTCCATGGGTATACCACACTCTCCGATCAGAATAGGCCTCTTGCCGAGTACTTTACAGCCGTGATCCACGATGTTCTGGATTTGGAGTGAATAGTTTTCTCTCGCGCCTTGTTGACCCCAGTACAAGGCTTTCAGCGGGAACATTCCCTAGAAAACAATATAAGCGTCGAAAACTCATGTATAATTTACCGAGAATAATACCCTAGATAAGCCTTGCACGTTCACCGTGAAATCCCCAAAAGCCTTATTGAATAACGCATTAAGGTCATACCTATAGCCGAGATAAGCAATGTACTCTTGAGACAACAGTTCACTAACCAATGTGGGGCAAACACCATGTTGGGAAGTTGATGTTCCGTTGTCCATGATGGTGGACAAAACTGCAAAAGTTGTCAGCAAATATAAGAGATATATTGCGCAACATGCCTCATTGGGGATTGGCTCTACAAAAAACATTTTATCGCTTGACATCACCTTCCGGGCGCGATCTGTCCACCGTTTAAGGAATGGGTAATAGAAATCGGTGTACCAATCGACCTTCAAGCGTGTAAGCATCTACTGTACGGTCCGTCGCGCGCACACACCTTATGACCAGTCATAGGGTCCTTGACAAAATAATTTTCGCGCAGAACGACGCCCTCGTTCTTGCTGTTGTCCCACCCCCAGACGCCATGCATTTCCCATACACACATGCCTTGCGTCGGACCATCGGGGCGCCATGCTTTCCGACTAGCAGAATTTAGGACACTTCGAGAAGTGAGACGAGTAGGGAAAGGGAACGAGCGCGTCCAGTGGGCAACGAGAGTAGGGTATCCGGAGCCAAGAAGAAAAGATTCGAAAGCGGATGCTGTACATAGCCAGTCATTAGTAGCTTAAATGCAAAATATAATCCAAGCGTACGCACGGACATGTGAAAGATGCAGATCTGTATTGTAGTCAAACTTGTGCAACGAAGGCAATTCTATGTACCCTCTATGTGGCTCGTTCATAATCTGTTTCAGATTAGTACTATGAAATTCAATTATTGCACAAACTTGCCTCGAATCCAATGACTCCGTCTAAACCATCTAGAGCCTGTACGACTGTAGCGTACATATCCAAGAATGCGTCCTGGAGGTATTGCTGGACTGGTTTTGTCTGACCATCAGGCATGACAATCTTCAACTTGGGCGCAAAGGTATCACCAGCCCAGAAGCAGGTGCTGGTCGAATAAAATCCCATGTCAACATAATTGCAGCAATAGATTAGACTGAACATACGCCATGGTTGCGGCGACCAACTTTTGGTATCCGCAGGGCCATATACCACGTTCCGCTTCGACGTGGCCGCCACCTTTTACTCCTAGCAACCATGCAGCCCCAGATTCTTCTAGTGCGTGTAGGTCGAATCCAACGGCATCGAGGGTCCATGCTGGCGCGCCAGAACCACCCGAATACCTGGACCAAACGTCTTGATGGACGACGACGAACGCACTAAGTCCGAACGAGGGCAACAATAAAAGAAGCTTGCGAACGTATGTCAGATATTCCTTGTCATATATGCCACTGTAAGGATTGCATTAATGATATGATCGAGAAATTATTTTAATGCGTACAGTCCTGCATGTTCGACAGCCTCCCAAGTCACGAGAAAGCGAACTAGCGAAATGTTAACAAGCAGAATATCAGACTGCATGAAGACGTACTAAAGGTTAAGCCCCATCTTCTAAGACGCGCAAAGTGCTCAGGTGCTTCCTCCAGTGGAAATGGACGGCCAACAAATGTAACGACTTCATGGTCACCAGGAAATGCACCATGGTCATGGTTCATTGGGCTGCAAGATGTTTAGCATTGTCTTTTATGCATGGAAGAACAAAACCTACGCTTTGCTGCAACCAGACACGTTGACGCCACGTAAATTGCAGATACGCCCATAGGAATCGACAAAGTGCCGTCCGTTGAGCTTTATTTCTCCTCCTGTCCCAGTTCGAGACCAATCATGCGCGTATGTACGAGTCGAGCCAGGTATGTATGAGGGCAACAGAGAGGGATGAATCTGATATCGCAGTTAGCATTGGACATTGATATTACACTGAGCTCAAAGCCTCAGACCTTGTCTAAAAGTGGATCCGGCTGTGTGTAAGATGGAGGTGGGGTTGGCTTCGGACTTCCTTCAAGAAAGACAAAGGAGTTTTCGGAGCCAGATGGGCTGAGCATCGGTGACTGTGAAACGGGTATCTGGTCAATGACAGACTAGAGGCAACTGGACAGAGTGTTTGCTGTGGTATAGTGACACCTCAAAAACAGTGATACAGAAAGAAATGTCCTGATGATAAAACAACCAGGAAAGATCTATCGGCGTTCAAATTAGCAGCAGACAGGAAACGGTTGCTACGTTCGAGTTGAAGTGGACTGAACTAAGTTAGGTTGCTAACAAGTTTATAAATGTGCTATCCGAAAGAGGAAGGCGGTTGTTTGGCAAAGGCTTTGGATCCAAACAACTTGCTTCAGCCAAGTTCGTTATGTAATTAGATGCCGGGGAGCCGAATTTTATAACACCAAAGATGCATAAGGGATATCAGTGCGGTCTGCGTGCACATCAGTTCCTGACTTCAGGCTTGTCCAGACAGATTATTCCTTCCTTCCGCCGTACATATACTGAAGCTAAAGCTCAGACAACAGATTCCAAGCTGATTGTTCCCGCTCTCGGTGCTTCTTTTCCTCATAGATGGTTGCGAGACGCCTGCCAATGTGCAGCCTGCGTGCATCCTTCTACATCTCAGAAGCTTCATAGGACATCAGACATTCCCGCTGATATTTGTCCCATCCCTTATGGCGTAACTTTCCAGGACAGTGGCATACACGTCGAATGGGTAGATAATCACAAATCGTTCTACGAGCATTCTTTCTTGGAACGCTACTCGTCATCTCCGCGACTGTCGTCTTTTCACAAAGATATGCAACCGATATCTTGGAATGTATCTACCATCTCCCAAGTACCCGACCTCTATATGAGCTACGAAGCCATAAACAAGCCTTCCCAGCTTCTCTCTGCCATCACACAGCTCACGCGCTATGGACTGCTCTTCGTCACAGGTGTCCCGAACACCGAGCACACAAACAAGACATGCGAGCTCCGCAAACTTGCCAATATGTTCGGCGAACTGCGCGAAACCTTCTACGGGGAGTTGTGGGATGTCAAGAACATCCGTAACAGCAAAAATATCGCCTATACTAATCTTGACCTAGGTATGCATATGGATCTCCTGTATGTATTTTCGGTACGCTGCCTCGATGACGTTCTCATGATCTGACAGATACTTTGAACATCCTCCTCGATATCAGATTCTCCACTGCCTTCGCAATCGGGTCGTAGGTGGTGCTTCGCGTTTTGTTGATGGTCTCCGCGCTGCAGAGACGTTGCGCAAGACCCATCCAGAGGACTTTGATACCCTGGCTACTACACCGGTTCCATTCCATTACATCAACGATGGACATCACCTTCATTACGAGCACTCCACTATCGAACTCGCTTCCCCAGCAATACGCACTGACTCGCCGACAATGCCAGAAATAAAGCACATTAATTATTCGCCGCCTTTCCAAGCTCCTCTGCTGTTAGATTCGACTCCTCCCGCATTTTACGACGCATTGGGATGCTACGCTGCTCTGCTTGATGACCCTTTGAACATGCTAGAGTATACCCTGCGCGAAGGCGATGCTGTCCTATTCGACAATCGGCGGGTTTTGCACGCACGCACTTCATTCACTGATGATGGCTCTGGTGCGGATGCGTATGGTGAAACGACTCGGTGGCTGAAGGGTTGTTATCTCGAAGCCGATGCCATTTTAGATCGGGGAAGGGTGTTGAGGACGAAGCTTGAGAAGGAATCTCTCTAGGAGTCGTTAGGTCGCTGCATCATCGAACACAAGAATAACACGACAGATATATAAACTAACATGTACAAGTTGAAAAGAATTTACATGAGCACGATTTGTTGTCAATATATACATATATGCATACCCCCAACACAACAAAAAGAAAGTTTCGACTACAACTTGCTCTTTTCTGCCTTTTTAATAAAGGCAACACCATTGCCCAACACAACCTGCGCCAACTGTTTAGAACAAGACGAGAAACAGAACGAAGCATCTCACTTTGCCAGATGTCAAGTTCTTCGTTATGAACGTGATTTCTGAGGTGCCGTTCGGACCAGGTCCAACTTCCCATGCCGACGTCTCGAGCTCGTCGCCAGGCTTTACGGGCGACGTAAACCTCGCGCCAAAGACCGTCAGAGCGCGAGAATTCCCGTTAGCTATCACCTGAATCAAACCTCTTGCAGCGAACCCAAAACTTGACAGCCCATGCAGAATCACACCACCAAAGCCCATCACTTTGCCAAGTTCCGGGTCTGATAGGCAGCTTAGTCCAAAAAAAACCATTACATATGCAAAGAGCTTACCAATGTGCAGAGGGTTGTAATCGCCGCTCAGTCTGTAAATAAGAGCTTGCTCTGGTGTTGTCTTGTCCCGAACCACCCAATCCGGCTTTCGGTCCTTAGGGACAGGTTTCGCCTGAGGCGGGGCTGCAATAACTTTAGAAAACTTGTCTCCGTTGGCCTTTGAACCAAGGTAAAAAGCTGAACTCTATAAACGGGATCAGCATAGCGAAAATTCAACTTGGGCGAGCGCCTCACATAAAGCTTCGCATAAGGAACACCATGAGGGTCGAGCAATATGGATTCATTGTCGATGATGATTCCAGACTCTGAAATATTGTTAGCTAGAAGATGCGCTTATAAATTTCATGAACGCACTGTTCTCGTGTACACCGACTATTCTTTGAGAGAGTTTCCAGCCTGATCCGCTGGCCACCGGAAGCTCTTTCAGGATTTCGATGCTTTGGGTTGCATGTACCTGCATGCCTTGTGAAGACGGATTGAATGAGAAAGTTCGCGAGTTACTCACCACCCTGTTGATGTTCAGCTTCGGAAGACCCGGAAGAGGCTTAGCGCCCTTTCTGGCTGCGAATAAAGTGACATCCTGGTCATCGCCTATTGATGTAAACGCCTTTAGTCCACTACCTGGAAGTCTAATCGAGCCCACCTTTAAGTGCAAGCACCACAGGATATGTCGGTAGTGGTCCCCATGACTTGTCTGCAGAAAACGTCAATGACCGAACGTAAGCATGCCTAGAACAACCGTGACATTACCAAGCTCTATGAAGTCGGGTCAACATGTATGGAGCAAACAAGGATACGCATTTACTTACCATATACTAAAGACAGCTCGTCATGTTTCGCGCCTACTCCTAGAGCATACGTGATGATGTCTTTACGAGTCCACGAAACCTAGTACATACTATGAGCAAGTAGTAGTATATTACTGTAAGACTGAAACGCACTGGTTGATCTTGGGACTTGAAACCGACGGCTTTTCCAAGGTCGTAGCTCATAATGGTAGAGGCGAAAGCGTTGTAGAATCGATGGTCTCCGAATTGAAATTTATCTGCTGTGAACTTGAAAATTCCGCCTGAAACTCTGCGGCTATGTGAATCCCGGTCACTGTGCTGGCAGCCGATGATGTCACCACGTGATTGAGAGGAACAGTTGACGCAGCTTTTCAAGTTAGTCATACACGAGGGATGCATAAACGCCACGGGAGTTGGTGCTACAGGGAGTGATACACAATTCGACTACGAGAACTACTAGTGATACAAGTGAGGTGATACTTGGAAAGAGATGTAAGGAATTTTATGAGTCGTCATCTCCCCTGTCAAATAGAGGGGACAAGACAGATTTCAGAGACCGGTGGCCTTGTCTAGACAGACCTCATTCGGCGAAATTGATAGTCGAGCATACTGTTAAGTCCATCTCACGCATGAACATGAATCGGCGATTGAGCCTTTCAGAATAAATCAATCTTTACAGCATGAAAAGTTGATTTGTCTTACCATGCCAATAGCGAATTCGCAATTACTGTTGAATAATTAGCATCACTTTCTTCATTAATTTGAGCGACGACTTACGGTTGGCGTTGATGAGATATAGACCAAACCAGGAATCTAATAGGCATGAATTCCCCCCCAAAAAACACGAAAAAATGCAACTAACTGTTGGGTAAAGTAAGGAGCTGAAGCATTGATTTAGCGATATAAGCAAGCTCGGATGTAAGCATATCTTACCAGGACGGCGATCGAAAACGTCAACAAACTTCAAAGACGTTCAAAACTGGAAAGGCCTGGCGCGAAAGACCTACCTAGCTACCAAACATGTTTCTATCGCCAGGTCATTATAATCGACATCATAATGTAATACTCTTACCAAGCATCCACGCAATTACCCGGTCAGCTAACCTAGTTGTCGCTGTAGCGCCCGAAACGTACAATGATCGCTTCTTCAGGGTTGTTGCGGCTATACCGATGGTAGTGAAAATGTCAGATGCCGAACGAGATATTGCTGCGAATGTGATGATGAAGTGTTGATCCTTTCCGAACGTCTCGAGGTTGGCCATATTAAACGCGCGGACGACGAAAATGAAAGCTGCAACTTGCGCAGTTATACCTAACATTCCTGAGACAAGTGGTAGGATGACGATATTAGAAATCTTCCAGAGCCTGATGGTGTAAAATGCCTAAAAACAAGACATGACTTGTGTTGTTGAGAATATTGTCGACACTTGCCTGCACAGTAGAGCACGTGAAGCTGCTGAGCAAGAGGATAATTTTTGTTCCAAGTGGAAGAGTATCGAGTATGGATGGGTGATCATAGGCTATCACTGTCATGGACCATAGCGTAGCAACCAAGCAGATGAAGTGGCCTAGTTGCCAAATTCTAAGACACGTATGCGAGTTACAACCTGGAGACTGGTAGAGAGGCGAGACCGTACCCAAGAGCTATAACCTGCAGCTAAATGTGAATATTGATAAAAAAAATCGGTTACAACTTACGAAGATTTTAAAGCCTCGAGGATCTGTTGGGAACAGTTTAAAATACAAGTAAATTTGGGAAACGAGGCAGCCGTAGAATACTGCACTGAGGAGCGAACCAACTTGCATCGGTCCAATAACAATACGAGGGTCGAAGGCCATGATGGGATGGATCATATGGTATGTCCGCGACTGGCCACTTTTACGGGGTAGATGTTTTTTTCTGTCATTGTTCCAGGACCCTATTCTTGGACTTGTCTTGGGGTAGAGGAAGGTGGATTCTGTCACTGTCTCGGATATTGTTCTTATATGTTTCGTCTTGAAACATCGATCATCGCGGTATGCAAAAGGGGAATGGCGAACATAGAGAGTACTCTGATCCTCAGTAGCCTTGAGTAATCAGAATTAGTATTCTGGTACGCTTGAGCGTTCTCTGAACGTTGTGATTGCATCGTCGATAACAGCGGCAGGACTGCTCTACTCATTATAAAAATATGGAGGAGGCATAACATTTTCAAAAAATTAAAACCTTATTGGCTGGGATTTATACTTTATAGCTTGGACCCCTTGTTTTATATGAAAATAGGTCGATAAATTTGATGCCGAGAGTATTCATCGTGTTTTCTATTTGAAATAGATCTAAGAGAGAAGATCGAGTCGCGAGAAAGCCTCTCTGGAGCAGCGGTCGTAGAGAACTCTGGTACCAGAGCACTATGTCTACCTCCGGGCTGAACTTGCACTGTCGCGGAACATGGGAAGTGATGCGTTCTAGTCCCTGCCGAATGCGTCAAGGACAGTTAATTCAGGTCAACAAAATTAGCGCTCGGACGGTCAAGTGCACTTTGTACCTGGTCAAAACTTTCGGATTTAGCCGGAATGAAGTTGCTCCTCGGACGGTAACTAAATTAGGCTTTATTCATGATATTACGGTCCCCTTCCATGTAATTTAACTTCTCTAGTCGTTCATGTCGTTCGTCGAAGCGCTCCGTAGACCACGGCATGTATGATCCTCAACTTGTCTTTTATGCCCTCATCATCCCCTCTCCCTCCTTACATTCCCCACCATGAACGATACTCTCTCCGTCCTCGCTTCACATTTCATCGGTCAGTATCACATTCCTTCCCTTCATCACATCCTACTCACCCCTACTATCAGGTGTCATCGTCTCTAGCATGTGAGCTTATTACACTTTATCCTCACACCCTTCATATTTATCTTCTCACTAGGTTCTATGGTTTTACTCTCGCCCAGACCTGGCGATATTTCCGAATTTTTCCAAAAGACAGATCGTCAATGAAGGCCTTGGTAAGCACCTAACATCACCATACCCAATTCCAAATCTCAAGCCTCTTTTTCAGGTAGCGTTTTTGTGGTTCGTCACTTGAAACTCCTCGTTCTGCACTCTGAATCAAGTTCCCTAGGGTGTTAGATACGGCACAGCTGGCCCTTGTCGCCGCATCACTATATCATTATACCATAGCTTGGCCAGGTGACATCACAATGTCATCACATGTATCAAAGTATGTCATTTCCCACCTGCCGTTCCACTTATATTCATTTTTGACTAGAACATTCGAGGTGAGCCCTTCTTATTTTCATCATATCAGTATCGTAACAACTCATTACAGGCATCAATGGGCATTACTGTAAGTTGTCCAACGTCCCTTTCAATCAGAAGCGTCCTCATTCTATCATAGTCAATAATAGCTTTTCTCGTGCAACTGTACGTCGTCTCTTATCTTCACTTCCTGATAAGCACCCATTCCGCTTTTTAGGACATATGCTCACCGTATATGGCGACGTGAGGTCTAACCCAACAATCTCGAGAATTTACACTCAAAACTCTCTAGTTAGCTTTGGAAACATTATAGTCACGTTTTTCATAGTAAGTCTCCAAAGTCTCTATTCCTCTCCTAGTTTACTCAATGTATCGGCTTCTCCAGGTCCTTTTGGCATTGGCTGCGCTAGGTAAAGAAATAATCGTCTACTGTGAGCGTGACATAGCTGATTCACATGACTTACAGGATCTGGCGGAGGTACGCTTAAATTCCGCTTTATGTCATCTCTTGCTCAAACCGGTCGCAGCGATGGTTGTCAAAACGTGAGTTTACTCGGTCCAATACCGGACTAATTGACATTCATTCACATATCTTCAAGTGTCCGTGATCCCCTGTGGGATAGCACTCACGTTAGCAACGTAAGCTCACCTTCAAATCTATCAACTTCCACAACCTTACGCGACCCTCAGTTGCCCGCTTCTAGTTTTTACTTGTCTTCGATGGCATGTGACTTCCTCATTGCTGCTACGCAAGTGTACTTGTTTCACAAGTCCCGAACCGGGATAGGAAGGTCCGTCCCGTCCATTGTTTTTCAGTCCTACATACTTATTTTTGTCAAGACTCGGCGGTCTCATCACTAGATTGACTGTGCTTGTTGTAAATGTAGGCTTGATAACTACGTAATCGTGTCTCCCGTACAGCACTGTTCCACAACTGACTCGTCATTTCAGTATAGATGTCACACTGTTTCTCATACTGGTACGCATCTCGACGGGAAAGCGATGGCACTCACAAACTCCTCCTTTTAGTTTCTCGTCTGCCCCCGCAATGGCGCCTTTCTTGTACCGTACATCCTCATGAGCCACTGTGAGTTCACCGCTTATATTTCACTATAAACTTATCCACCCGCATTGCAGGTTATCTAAATAGTTTTCTCAGCGTGTAAGTCCATTTTCTCACCTCAATAACCAAAGTCTCACCCCAACAAGTCTCAACTCTCGTCTTGAGCTACGGGAACTGGTCGATAACGACGATGTAGGCGATCCCAATATTTTCTGGTGCTGACTGTACCTGACGACTCCATCGCAGTACGCTTGTCCCAGCATCTACACCATCGCTTCAGAATCGGCATGATGTAAACTTCAGTCCCTCTAGCATTATTCCCGCGCTACGTTGTGTGATGCCCATTGAGGCAGGTTTTGAAGCTAGCTGTGAGTGTACTGCGAGACTGCTTTAATACAATCCTAAGCCGAACCCTTTTGTAGGACATAAACATTGCACTGTACATTATTGCAACCGAGACACATAGACCAAACGCATCCAAGTTGAACTTCCAGTAAAATCAATACCGCTGGGACATTGAGTTCAGACAAGTATATATGTATACTACAACGACTCGTTAGGTCGCTCCGTTTCATTGCGGAAAAGTCTACCGCAGAAATCAAAACAAGTTTGGACTGAGTGAGGGTTCCAGAGCGAAATCGTTGATCTCGTAAGTACTAAGATCCGCTGGTCTACTTGGCTACTCTGTCCCCTGGGCACAAGCTACTGGGGAAATAAGCGAGGTCGTATACCATCGTGCCCGATGGCAATCGATGTGAAGACCAGGATGGCTGTATACATGTATGCACTTTCACTATCAGCAAACGGTAGTTTGAGTCGAAGATCGGAAAGTCCCTACACAATAACCTGCAATTGAATTGTGCAGGAAAATCACAAGTTATCATTTGATATGCCGCTTACGCTGCATCCGCCAAGCTTGACGCGAACCATAAATAAATGATGTAGTTAGATGTGATTTGATAGCTTCGTCCAGTTTACCGTGGCTTGCCAACAAGAATCGAGAAATGTACTGCAGCTACTGGACCCCCTCCTCGTCATCCTCATCACCAGAGACTTCTGCATTCTCTTGACCTGCTTTGGCCATGAGCTGTGCGAGATCCTGCTCTTCCGTCTCAGAGACAGCTTTTGGCTGGAAGGGAAAATAGGGAAGAGAGTCAGAATATAGATGAAGTATAGTATATAATTGCACCGGACCTTCATCTTCACAACTAGGTTTCCACCTTGACCCTCGATGGTACTCAGAATCGACTCGATCGCACGTTCTAAACGATCAACAGCAGCATACTACAGATTCTCTCAGACAGCTTTGTAATCAAGGAAGAATAAAGGCAGACCTTGTCTGTTGCGTTTGTACTGAGAACGTATAGTGGAGGGGCTACAAGCTTGGCTTTGATCGGCACCGTCTCGTTGCTTTGTGCTTCACCTGCCCTCAGGGCCTTTTTGATGGCATCGATACCGGCAGGGGTGTAGCATGTCAGTTCGATATCAGGCGCGCAGCTTGATAGGCTGAGGCGTCAACCGTCCGTGCGATGGTGCCCATAAGAATGGAGATGGCTGCTGGTGAGACAGGGTTCGGAATAGGAGGAAAATACAGTCTCTTGCTCGCTAGTCTCATCAGCCACTGCAGCAAGCAAAAAAGGAATACCAAGTACGCACGTCAAAGCAAGCTTAAACGCATCGTATGTGTGTCCATATTTATGACCAAGTGGCCAGGCCACCTGCTCATACAGTTTTTCCAATCTTTCTTCTTCGTTCGAGCCATCGTGCGGCACAGCGGCGGCCTCTTCAGCAGCTATGGCAGCCGCAGCCTCCTCAGGATTGTCCTTCTTCGCCGCACGCCTAACTTTCTTCGTCTCCTTCTCCACCGCCTCGTCCTCTGGTGAAATAGCAGCGTCTGCATCCATAGATGGCAACTTTGACGCGACATGCCGCATGATCGATGCGACAGCTTTTGACTTCATGTACCGTTCCTCACACTTGATGATGTCCTCAGGGGAGACACGACGTTTTGATAGATCGATGTAGCCTGTACACGGGGATCAAACTAAGTTCATTTGAGGATAGCTAGGGCAGGAAGACCGACACACCTTTTTCCCTATCCACACGAAGTACCACTACGACTTCGTTACGGCCAACACGAATGAGCTTTTGTATCGATCGGATACGTCTACGAGAAAGCTCTGAAAGGAGAATCATTCCCTCGATGTTGTCGTATTCGAGCTTTGTTTTTTGACATGGATGGATCAGCGTGACGAATAGGGTACGAGCGAATGGGTACGGACCAGTTTGACGTATGCACCCATTTCCGCAATCTGGCGGACTTGGACCATGACGAGCTCGTCGACTTCTGGATATCTTTGTTCATAATACCGCATGGCAAGTGTGGGGCAGGCGAGGAAAACTTTCCAAGAAATCTAAATAGGTATGCGGCTGAGGATGTTCAGCCGATAAGTCAGATTATCGTGCTTTCAAAAGCGGTTTACCAAAAATGGGTTTCTATTTTGTGACTCGGTGCATAACAATTCCTCCGGGTGATGTAAACACTCTATTAGACGACGTCAGCAACTTGGAGGAGTCCGTGCTCATTCGGAGCATCATCCTACACCTGTGCCTACCTCTGACGTCCTGCGTGATATTCGTACGATCGTGCCATCTCAGAGCTGCATTGCTGAGTATCCACCAGTGCTGCTGACGAACTGTACGCCAGCATCCGTGATGCTTCCAATTTTCACGAACAGGTACGAGTATCGTCCTTTCTACCTGGCATGCAAGATGAACACGCGGTGCAGCTGCACTTAGTCCCAAACATTGTGACAGACAACCTGAATCTCACTCCTACTTCCAAGCATCTACAACTCTTGAAGTTTGACGAGTATGGGGTAAAGGAATGTGACTTCCTTTACACTAGATTCGTCAAACTCCACGGCATGCCAATGTATTATCCTACGCCTTTCTTTGACGTGCCCGACATTTGGTCATACACTCGCAACTTCTGTGAGCACTAGGAGGCCGTTACTCGTCAATGTTACTTGAAAGCCCCTCGGAACCTGTATTTCCCCGACGACTCGATCTGCCCTAGGATCTATTTCATGAAAACGTCTTCCATATCCACCTCAACTGATGCCATGTTACATTAAACTTGGGCGTTTGCTCTCCATCACTATTACCTTATTTTCAACTCTAACTCTTTCAGTCCATTTAGATTAAATTGTTCTCGACGAGCACGGGCGTTCTTCAGGCTAGCAGCCTCGGAGGTTCCACGAATATGGTGGCGCGGAGTTAACATCTTCACCATCTTTATATACATTCCGACGTTGCCAGGTCTTGAGCTCAAGGAACCCGCAGCGTTGTAGTATGTATTCGGCCCTGAAGGCGCTATGATGCTTAACGCTATTTATTGGTATTCGACATGCACGATTATTCTGAAATGCCGGCTTACCCGTCCCATGTTTTCGTGCACAACTCGGCTTCGATGTAAGATGCTTGCTGTACGAGTATTTGACTGCCTGGGCCTAGGTCAATCGCGCGCATCCATGCCTTTTTACTTGCAACTCTACGCAACTGCTCAAGTCAAATCGGTATCATTTGCCCAGCTATCTACATACGTTACAATCCACTAGCACAAGTGTAGTGTCGTCCACCCTGTCATACAAATGATACTGCGAAGACATAACAACTATATAATTCACTGGACCGCATACCCAGACGCAATAAGCGCCTGCACAAACGGTTGCACTACCGTTTGATCACCTGCAGCTAGCAACCCCCTCACGCGTGGATCCGCCTTCACCAGCGCCTGCCCTAAGAAGTCTTGCGGATCGCGCACGTATGCCACGGGGTCCACATGTGCGCCGTCTGCGGCAGCGAGTCGGGAATATGCAGCCTGATACCCCGCAGTCTGCTCCTCGAAGTCGATCTCTGTTATGCCAGTGCTTTGTTCTTCGTCTTTAGACTTGCCGAGATACTGTGGCTCGCCGAAGAGCTTGATGACGGAGACAAAGGCTGGGTGCCTGTGAAAGGGACGCAAGTTAGTGTTAAGATGGGGAAGTGAGGTGAGGTGATGCGACTCACCAGTTGTGCGTGCTCGGAGGTGTAAGCATGATCGTGCTCTGCGTAAGCATGCGGATAAGGCCGACAGCTGCAACTTTCCTGTCTTTGTGTGGCATCTTTGGCACTTGCGGGACGATGAAGTTGACGAGAATTTGCGACCAAAGCCTGCAAAATGAGATAGATGAACGATGTGACAGATTTGAAGACCAGTATGTGCCTTACTGTGCCTGTATCTCTTCGATAGCGGATATGACGTAGTCCGGCCCAAGTCCGTCAACATTGATGGCCATTGTGAAGAGAAGGAAGTGGGAAAAAAGATATACATATTTATCCGTTTTGCTTGTCTGCATCCTTGTGAGCAGCGTCATGACGACTGCTTTGAAGTACTGTTTTAGCTGCACACTAACCAGCCAGTGCCGTAAATTCTCATTTCACCATATAGCAAGAACACAAAAACTCACGGAGGTACATACTGCACGACACCCTGCAGAAGTTCAAAGCCCCAACCATCATTGATTTTGGAGGGTATCAGGCGTTGCTGGACGACGGCCAGCACAGCTGTGATCTGCCCTGTCTTGACCATCTCGGCAGCGTCGCGGGCAAGGAATGCTTTGAGGAGCTTTACGAGACCAGGGATACTGCCCTTTTGTTGCCAGCATGTAGGCGTCAGGAGGAAGGGGAGGAGGGAGCGATATTCGGATGGCACGCCAGTGGTGTGAGCTTCTAGCATCTGAGCGAGAATTTGGAAAACGTAGGGGATGTACTCTAGGTGGTCAAGTCAGAGATGAGGGATAAGCCAGATTTGAGCTCCTTACGGTCTATGTCCTGTTGAAGAATAAACGTGAAGGGACCAAAGAGCGTCTGCTCGAACGTAGGCAAAGTGGAAGGTGTACCGCTCACAACAAACCTACAAACAGGGTATTGGCCAGGATTCCTAGTATGAAGCGAAGACCTACCTCAACAGCGCCGATATACTTTCAAAGATGTACTGGTCGAAATTGGGATTGCTCGGGTTCTTTGCAATGACACCAAGGATGTTGACCAGTCGCTGGAGGACTTGTTGATAGACAGGGGCGAGAGTTTGACGTGCGGCGACGATTATGCGCATCGCGCCTGCACACGGGAGTCAGCACTAGCCAGCACAGTATGTGACTTACTTACATTTCATCAGGTGATCATTTTCGGCAACCTTTTCAGGAGGACCGGCAGCTTCTATCTTATTCAGGAGTGCATTGAGCAAGTCAGCAGCGAGATCGTGGATATCGGCTTGAGAGAATCTGTGGTCAGAGCATAAGGCAAGGCCTCTGTCACACAAATCCAAACGCACAACAATTGTGTCCCCTTTTTGATGTACAATATACGGTCAATCGTGATCGCAGCATATGTATATGTAACATAGTGGTCCGCATTCAAGTGTCGCACCAACAGAGGGAGTACCGACAGAAGTTGATCTCTTGTCAACTGGTAGCAGTATTAGCGCTGAAACGTTAGCTCGCATCAAAATGCAAATACCTGGTTCCTGAAAGTCAAAAGGAATCGAATCGCATCAACATAGAGGATTTCATGAATGCTGCCAGCCGGTGCTTGGAGATCCTGATACACATGCTCAGAAAAGAACTTCACGACATCCACCAATGCATTCGTCGACGTGACACCGTGCTTTCGTTGACGTTAGATCGTAGCACTCATCGACAAAAACTGACGCTCGCTCACCTGTGTTGTCGATGCCTCTGTCGCCACAGCAGTGAGCAAGTATATAGCACTATCCTTCGACTTCCAGTTCTGCGCAGGGTTCGAATTGTACTGCTGCAATCCTGAGGTGATCCAAGATCCCACAATTTCCGTAGCTTCGGCTTGGTAACCCGAGCTGACTAGCGCTTGCAGCACGTCTGCGGCTGCCTGACGCCGGGTTGCCACTTCTGATGCGTTACCACCAAAAGCCAAGTCAAGCCGAATGAACTCGAGCGGCTCGTCTTCAAATTGCTCCATCTCATGGTCGCGTAGTCCAATATTAGGGATAATGACGCCTTGTACGAGAGACGCAATGGTATCGCGCGAAGAGAAGAGCGATTTATAGTAACCCGACCGAATTGCGGTGGATATAAAACGCAAAGATTGAGAGACAAGCTGGTAAGCCGATGCCAATGAGGTCGTTAGAAAATAAAACAAAAAACTTGAAAGCGTACAGAGTCGTCCGCGACACCAGGGAGCTTGTTCGATCCAATGAGCTCCCATACGCTCTGGACAAAGCCCTCGACAGCAGGCGAGCGTGATAGTTGGTCTGGGAAAAGCTTGATGTAAAGCTGTTGCATATGTTAGTATTTGTTCGCCTATTTCCGACCTGCTGCAAACCTCGCCAATCTCAAATATCTTGGTCTTCAACTGAGCAGGCAGCGATGGCTGTGTTTCATCAGGCTAAATAATAGGTCAGTAGCTGACAATGGAGGGCAAAGACGTTGCTCACATCGGATCGAAGTTCTGGTGGGTCCCATGACATGAAACGCTGAAAGAGTCCCGTTTGTGGTGCAAAAAAGGAGTCATGAGCATCTTCGATACCCGGGGGTAGATCTTGACACGTAAAGTCATAGAATATATCGACGAGAATGATCTGGGCTTGTGTTACGATAGCGATATTAGGTGGGGCAGGGGAAGAAAGCAGGATGGTCGCAGTTTGATTGGAAAGATCAAGGAAGGGTTGCATGAAACGCGATAACACGAAGTTGATCTCCGTGAATAACTCGTCCGAGCGAACTTGGGCTCGCCATTGGTTGAAGATCGAGTGAGCGGTCTGTAGGACCCCGACATTGATGCTGTAGTCCGTTTTTGATAGTGATAAGATGAGTTGCTGTTATGGAAACGTCAGACAACGAGCCCGTAGTTTGACACGGGTAGCGCACGTCGATGAGATCAGTCCATTTTGCTGGAAAGTCAAGTTCTGCGATCAGAGCGACAGCCTCGGCAATTTGAGCACGAATCGCTTTATCTGTAGGATTCGAGAGCGCAATCATGGCTGGGACGAGCTGGGATCGGAGTGCTGCTTTGTCTGCTTCCGGGAGGGGTGCATCGTCCTGTTTGAACCATAGATGAGATGAATGATTGTGATCAAAGACAGATTATCATGCACCTCTTCCCATCGTAGTTTAGAAATGTTTTTGAGATATATTCCGCCTGCCAAGCGCGTTGAGTGATCGTAGGATCCGTCAAGGATCAGTGTAAGGAGGTGAGCTAGAAATCCCTGCTGTGATGCAAGTGCATGGAGTTGCTGTTCTGCTGTTTTTCTGGAAGCAGGCTGGAGTGAGGCTTGAAGAAGAGAGGCGATATTGGA